GTTAGGTAGAATAATTAATATAAAGGCATTTTGGTTGAAAAAAATAGATGTAAAGTAAAAAAATAGATGTAAAGTAAAAAGCGGATGGTTAGGTGGCCGACTCGGCGGTGTGGCCGAGTGGGTAGTGAATTACGTTAGCGATCTAATAGCCCTTAATAAGCTAGTTTAACGTAGTATTTAAGGGTATTAATAGGCTATTTAAGCGTCGTTTTAGGAAAGCTTAGATTAATACTCCTTATTTAAGTAATTTAGCGATAGTCGCTAGTGTTTTTAGGGTAAAAACGCTTAATTAGTTACTTAGGCAACTTCCTAAGGGTATAGACGTCTAAAGCTAGATATTAAGCTTTAAAAGTACTTATTCTAGATTAAATAGCACTAAACCTACTACTATAAAGCTATTTTTTATAGTAGGCGCTTAAAAAGCGCTATCGTAAGTATTTAGATAGGTAGCGAGAAAATTAAACTTATTGTCAGGATTTTAGGTGTCTGCATTTATAACTGCAGATTTCTAGAGCTTCCAATTCAACATAGAAGTTCCCGCTGAAATTCCCGTTCTGCCATTTCTCACCGCCTTTATCTGATCTTGCAGTTCTCTCTCATTTATCTCTCACTTTGCTCTCACTTCAGCCTTTACTATGCTTTCTCTTTCCATTTGCCTACCGGACCGAGGTTATTAGGCCTATCCTGTCTATAGCCGCGGGTAACAGCACGTTTACCTACCTCGGGTAACAGCACGTTTACCTACCTCGGGCAATAGCACGTTTACGGCAAGATTACCTCGGGCGAATATTACCTTAGGTAATTAGCCAGATGAACTGAATATTTCTGTCTATAAATATAGCCTAGAAACCAGACTAAATAAAACAAGAGCTTTCATCTCAATTATTCTCTTACTACCTTTCTCTCATAAAGGCAGACTAAAGAGACCCTTTATCTTTATCTTCATCCATCTTCCTGGGGTAAGCTACTACGCCGCAGTAGTAGCCGACCTCTACGGGAGGTAGTATTTCTCTCTACAAATATTTGTCCTAAGGACTGCCCTGCCGCATAGGGACCCTTAGGCATTTATTTATCTCTCTTATTTTCATATACTACCAATCCCGACACTTATTAATATAGTTAATACTAAGCTATATTTTTTAATTAACTAAGATTCTATATAAGCGCTTTAAAACCGCAAAATAACTAATATTAAATAGCTATAAAAGATATAAGCTATACGCTAGTATATAAATAGAGATAATCTTATTTTCTAAATAAATTTAGTTAAAATAGGGCGTAGGATAGCTATCGTGCCTATTAAGGACTAATAATCGATATTAGCCTTATATATAGTTATTTATTAATAGTATAAATAGCTTTTAAAGCTATCGAAGGCTAATCTTATTTATCGTCTATCTATTTTAACTAACTTTAAAGCGCTAATCTCTTAGAAGATTATTAGTCTAAGCTAGATTATATAGTTTTGCTTTAAAGATAATTATAGACGAAAGCGCCTATCTAGAAGCGCTAATTAACTTAATTATAGTTACCTACTTATAATTTCCTAGCTATAAAACTAATCGCTAACTATAATATTCTACTTAGGTAATAACCTTTATAGTCGCTATAAGACCTATCGTAAAGCTAGTCTTATTAAAATTATAGATATCCTCTAATAGGATATCGTATTGCTAAATTATAGTTTATACGTGATTAAACCACTCTTAAATAACCTTTAGATCCTTTTATTTTGCTCGCTAATAGTCGTATTAACGTAAGAAACGAGTTTTTAGCTCTAGCTATCTTTTAATATAGTTTATAACCTAGTTTTCGCTGACTATCTAGATTAGGGTTAAATCGCGCTTTATAAGTAAAAGATTCGCTATTTCTCGTACTATAGCTAGCCTAGGGGCTACTCTACGCGTATCTATTAATAATATCCACTTCTTAAGCGATTCCTCTTTAGTTTAGGTCAGTTTATAGTTATTAGCGCGTCTTTTAGAGCGATTTTAGTGGCTATTAATGCGGTCGGCGAGCGTAGAACGTAGAACGTTAAATTAGCGCGCTACGTCTCGAATAGAGCTAATTTCTTTCTTTTTTATAGCCTATATAGCTAACAAAAGACGGCCCTCTTGTTCGATGGAATTACGGCTTGATTAAGCGCGTTTTGGAGGTATAGTAGTTAGTAGAAAATAGGAGAGACGCGTTAGGACGCGTAAATTTAGTTAGGTGGCTAGGTGGCTTATGTGGCTGGGTGGCTTGTGAATTACGTTAACGTAACTAGAAAGCGAGCCGCCTATATAAGCGAGCCGCCTATATAAGCGAGCCGCCCACCTTAAAACACTATAGTAAATACGATATAATATTTTAATAACTATAAGACTGTTTGGCTTTATCTTTTGTATCCTACTTAATTAGAGCATAAGAATTTGGTTTTAAGAGTCTAGGTCAACTTAACTCTAATTTGATAGACTTTACTAAAAATACACTATAATTTAGCTCTCTAAGCTTGCATTATATATTATCGACTCACCGCACCTAAAAACCCTCCGAGACCTTTAAATACCCTTAGACTTATTATAAAGGACATTTATTTATAGGAAGTCTTTATGAGAAGCTGCTATTATTAAGATATAAGGTTGTAATTTATCGCATTTACTATAGTATTTTAAGGTGGGCAGCTTGCTTATATAGGTGGCTCGCTTTCTGCTTACGTTAATAAAAAGATATCCTAGTAACTTAACTATACTTCTCTTTATTAAAACTATAATAATAATATATTCTAGTTATTCTATCTTAACCCTTTAAGGGTCGTAGATAACCCTTTAGATAGAAAGGATAATTATTATAGCCCTTAAATAATATAAGGTAACTTAGATACCTAATTAGATATATTAGAAACTATATAAGAGGGTTTTTTACAATCTATATAAAAGCGAACGCTATATAATTATATAAAGGAATAATAGGCACTCTCTTATAATTAATGAACTCTCTTTCTTAAGGATTAGTTTAGTTATAATTATAGGATTAAAGTTCTTATCTATATACTTATAGTTCTATCTAGTCCCTTACCTAGTCTAAATCTAGTCCTAATAAATAGTAATCGCTTATAGAATAAACTATAAACTAGAAGTAGGTTAATTAATAGTAATTTAAAAGAATGAATCAGTAGGATTATACATCTAAATTAGGAGTAGTCAACTATTTTTATATAAATAAGGGCGGATAAGGGCCAAGGGCTGTTGAGAAATAAAGGGTAGATGATCAGACGAAAAAAGATGGATAGGTAATTAATAGTAGATTCTGATGATATTTTCTGCTCGTTCTCAGGGGGGTATTTATATCCTCTTCCTGGGAACTGTTTTCTAAGGGAAATGCATACAAAAATGTTCTCCTACACCGCTGCCCAGGGTCCATGAAAGAACATCCTCTGGAACAAGCAAAGAAGGTGATATATATGAGGAACCTGCATATACAGGCTGCTCATGCAGCCCAATTTCAATAGCCTCATAGGTCTAGCTGGCCAATCAGCAGCCATCGGGGCAGAGAGATGTCGACCGATATTGGCGCCTTAGGATAAGGGCTTCAATTTCCAACAAGGGCTAGGCGAGGGCGGGGGATCCTGGCCCTCAAAATGTTTTTCATGAGGTCTATTTAGAAAAAGTGGTGTACCTACCATTTAGGAAATATATATATATATATATATAATTTTGCTCCAATTACCTACCCCACTTACCTATTCTAGTCTTTATATCTAATATTAAAAAAATATATAGTATATATAAATGCCAAGACCTAAACTTCATGTGAATTCGGGTTAAGATGGGTTATTTACGGGGGTTTAAATCCAGGTTTATAATCCACTGGGTTAGGTTCGGGTTATAGCACAGTCTAGAGGCAATACTCTTTTTAACTATCCTCTCCGCGGAATTATTCAAGCTATAGATAGAGGGACACGCTCATTCCTTCACTAAGCATACACCCTTTATAGATAGATAAAGTGTAGGGGTACTACGTTAAAAGACTAAGCTAGCCTAGAACTTTACAGCAAAGTTACTTTCTCCGTATGCTGTTGGAGCTGTCGGAGCTGTCAGAGCTTGGAGATTTCCCACGAGAGCTCGAAATTGAATATGTTCTCACCGCCACGAATATTTCAAACGAGCGAGGTAGACAGTATGTAAACAGCCGGGCTTTCTGATACCGACTAAAATGAAGTTACGGCAAGAAAGTATGTTGGAAATCTGTCCAAAAAAGCCCTACTGCTCTTATCTCAAGCCTCTGCATAATATAGAGTATTTTCAAGTAAAGGGGCTATGATTTGACTAGAATGCCCGTGCATGCACAAATCCATTTCGACAAACCTCTCGCCCATCGAATAGACCAGTTAAGACAGGCCCGAAATATCGATAAGACGCAGGAAGCTAGTAAGATTCACTCATTCCTGGTAGCCAGATCAAAATAAGTTACCGCTCTGGTCTCTCTCGCTTAGTACCTCACTCTTCAACACACCTATAAAATGACAATGTACGCAACGTGATGTGAGTTGTCCACTAAATACTATATCTATGCCAATACTTGTGTAGTGATCCAGATTACGACTACAGAACCTAGAATCAGAGGACTCTCGCTTAACAGCACTGCGACATTTTGCAATATATTGACGGGTATTTCATTGGACTTATGGCTTGCGTGGGATGAAACGATGAGGGTGTCCTCAGGATTAAATGGTAAGGGTTGAAGTGAACAGCACCCTGCGCTCGGCCAAACATGACATAGATCCTAAAGTCTCTAGCACAGGCCCGTGATTGTTTCCGTGTAGTGAATGGCTGAATGTCCCAAATAGGAGTGGAAGATGAGATGAATCGCTGGCTAAGAGGTAGCTGGATATGAACATATGCGGGTCTGGTCGTCGCTATTCCGTGTTTTAAAGTCGGCAGATACAGCGCGGAGAACAACCAGATAGTCATGCAGAGGAGCATACGTGCGCAGCCATGGAGGAGATGTTCGCTACCATATCACTGGGCCGCTGGTTCGGCCTTTTTCTCGGCCTTAGGGGCCTTGTTGACCCTCGGCGGGTTGCGACCACCCATCATCCAATTGGCAAATCCCCCGGCCATGGGAGTGGCGACTTTCGCTTTGGGTTTCTTGCTACCTGAATATCGGTCATTAGCATTTATCAAGCCCGTGTAGGAGATTGCGTGTAGGGTCAACCATTTGGCGGAAAGGATCGAGCACATACCTCCATCTTTCTTCTTCTCCGATGCAGCTGGGGCACCATCCGGCTTCGCAGGCGGCGGATCTGCGGCAGGAGATGGGTCGGCTTCCTTCGGCTTCTCTGGAATCGGCCACATGTGCATGGTGATTGTCCAGTCGGGCTCGACTACCGTCTCCCAAACCTGAGGTAGAATGATATCGCCATTGGGGCCGACAAGATCGTAGTGCCCCTCCGCGACGTGAGGCCCAATGACCTCGATATGAAGAAAGGCTTGTTTGATCAAATCTTCCATTCCCTAGAAATACGTAGATGTTAGATGCGCTGTTCGCATAACTAAGACTTGGAAAGGGAGGACTCGGGGGTTACTTGCCTGCCATGTGCTGCACAGCTCAAAGGGAAAGCTAAATTTCCGGCCCACGGCATCTTTGAACTTGATAGGTTTTTTCTTCTCCGGGGCAGGTTTGGTCGAAGCTTCTGCAGCGGCTGCCGTTGCCGCCTTTGCCGCAGCCGCTGCTTCCGAGGCGGCAGCGGCAGCAGCTTTCTCAGCTTCTTCTTTTGCCTTGGCTGCATCATCGGCGGCCTTCTTTTCGGCATCTGCGCGAGCCAGTAAAGCAGCCTCCTCGGCGATTTTCCGGTCGTGCGCAAGTTGCTGCTCTTTGGCGGCGGCCTCGGCGGCCTCGCGCTCGATCGCAGCGAGACGGGCCGCTTCCTTGCTTTCACGTTCCGTGCGTTCATCCAGAATCAACTTCTCCAGACGTGCAATCGCTTCATCCTTCGCAGCGTCTGCGGGTGGAGGAGCTGGGGATGATGCTGCCTCCGGCTGAGTCGGAGAAGTCACCTGAGGATACGAAGGAAAGTAAGACTGCGGCATCATTCCCTGAACCATAGAATAGGGATCGCGGTAGTTGTAATATGCATTGGGGGCATATGGCATCATCTCATGATGGAAAGGTGAGCTCGCATAGGGTGAAGGCCCATGGGCGCCCATGGGGTGAAGGGGGGTGTTGAGGGGGGTTGTGCGGATCGATTCGTGACTGGGGTGGCTGTCGAGGATGTCGGTGCGCTTGATCTTGCGCATAGAATGGGGGATACATAGGAGCGCCGGACGATGGTCCCTGAGCCCCGTACGGATAGGGGCCAGGGCCATACGGCTGGCTCACCGGGTTGGCGTGACCGAAGCGAATGAGTTGGTCAGACGGTAGAGGGCCGTTAGGGGGTGGGTAGGGAGCATGTCCAGGCGGATAGGCGTTGAAGGATGGGCCAGAAGAAGCGCTCGGCGCATAGCCTGCGGCAGGCGGGGCAGGGGGCCACCGTCGGTCATGAGGGTTTCGCGCATATCCTTCCGGATATTCCTCCGAGTCTGCGCTGTCGGGCGACTCCGGGGAACGGTGTCGTCGGGCCCGAGAGCCCAGGGACTCGCGTTCGGAAATCATTTGGCGGCGCGGTGGTTGGCGGCGGCCCGAAGCCGAGCGCGAACCGTGGAGCGAGCGGTTACGGTGCGAGGTCCTTGGTCGAGAGGCTGAATCAGACGGTTTCAATTCATCTGGATATGACAGATGCGCCCACTCATCATAGTCCTGGTATTCATGGCTTCCGTCTGAAGGCACGGATACTTGCACGACCGAGGAGTCCTCCTCGTCCGTCAGAGAGCTATCCGAGCCGTGCGGATTTGTGGGATCAATCGAGATGCTGAGCCTGGAAAGGGGGCGGCGGGGTGAGAAAGTCAGTGCAAGGTTCTCGGGTGAGACGGGGAGGGAAATGCAGAGAGTAGAGAGCAGAGCACAGAGAGGAGGGGAAAGGGAAGGGGAGGAAGCAGAGAGGGCAAAAACATACGTCATAGAGCCAATACAGAGCCTCTTATTTTACGTCCCGAGTAAAATGAGAATACCTCGGTCAGTGCAGGTTCACTCTCACTCGCATATACGAAAAGCGAGGAGAGGGGAACACCCGAGTTGGTGAGTTGGTGTGGGTGGGGAGGGGAGAGAGGGGATAATAGAATTGACGCTGGTAAAAAAAAAAAAAAAAAAGCGGACGCGGGGGGGGAGGCAAAGAGCAAGCGCATTGACTCTTGGTGCCCCGCTAGATTGAACTCCCTTGCGCGCAGGGGTCCTTAAATAGGTACGAGTGCGTATAGTTGTGTGTATAGCCGTCGCCGTAGCTCTGTGTGGGTGTGGTTGCGTTGTTCGGCATAGATGGGAAAGTCCGGAAGGGCATTTAAAAGAAGATGGCGAAGCGCCGTTTTTTTAGGTGAGGATCTTGCCTGCCTAATTCACCATTCTATTGGGCTGGGTTGGGCATACCTTAGCGTTGGTGTAACTATTTTTCTCCCTTGACATCGAAATGGATCTGCTGCCCAATGCCCAATCATCGCCTGCCTACGGAACGCTCCAGAAACTCGGGTTGTGAGACGAGTCAAATCTAGGCCTAGACCAAGTTCTGCAGGTGTGTGCGAGTCCAAAGATCGGCGGATCATACACATACTGCATTACAGATATAATAGAGAGAGAAAGAAGAGGGGTATCCAATATCTAGAGAGCTTGGGTGATGGTGCTGATCATTGCGACTTTTCAAAGCGATTCAGCAGTTCTTTGGCCGCAATGAGTTCACTGCGACTGGACGCCCAATGTTGGTCATCGACCGACCGTGATCGGACAATGTCTCCGAGTTTCTGAAGCCCGAGGCTTTTCAACTGCACAAGCGTTTTCTTCGACGGAATGGCTGCCTCCGAGGGTCTATCATGGGCGTAGTCCTTTTCCAGCATGTGCGACGAAGCCTGCAATGTCGGGATTTCAAATCAGTACGGGGGATGCATAGGCCTCTGCTCACACGTACCAGAATCAATCCGTAATACCCCCGCAAGTAGTCGTCGCAGAGCTCAATGCTGCGGCAGAAGTGTTGCACCGACTTGCCTGCAAGCCGGGGTGCATCGCCATCGGGAGACGAGGCGCAAACATAGAGAAGTTCCCCAAGCCGAGCGTGGACCTGGTCGACGTTAATTCGGGTTCAAATCCCAGACAAAGAGAAGGGCCTTGCCATACATTCCAGGAATTCGGGGCTATCAGCAGAGACTCCTCAAGGCAGAAAATTGCTTGGGCACCGAGGCCCTGAGACTGATACAGGTCTGCCAATTCGCACCACGCTTCGGGATCGGTAGGTATGGCATCAAGGAGCTGGATGAGGGCCGCAATGGCATCGGAGGACCGGTTTAGCGAGCGCAGCAAAGCTACCTTACGCTTCATAATGGGCTATACCGAGTTGGCCGTTAGGTATTCACTATGATCAACATTTACTCGGTGGTTGGACCCAGACGAACCACATTGACTGGATTCTCCGAAAGGATCCTCTCGTATTCCTCTAGACATTTCTTCAGAGCTGGCTGGTCTTTTGCGGTCGCTTCTTGGTACAGGCCACGGAGGCCCATCACTCTTTCGTTCGAAGCACCGAATCGATGGTTTAAACGGTCGAGACACGCGTGGGCAGACTTGTCATCTCCAGTCCGAAGACAGGCAAGGAGGAGCTGTTCAATCTGCCCGTACTCCTCGGCCGTGTCTGCAGACGAAGTAGATGGAGCCACTCCCGTATTCGCAGGATCATGGCCGAGAATCGTGGGCGCCTGTTGGGAAAGATGAAGGGCGGAAATCAGGTCAGACCCATTGGCCTCGCGGGCTTCTGCAAAAGCCATGGTAAGTATCGGATGGGACGTGCCCCGGTACGGGTATTTGGAAGAGAGGAAAAGGGGAAAGGGAAAAGGTGTTGGAGGAAGAGACCGGAGAGCATAAGGAGAGTGGAGAACTCCCCGGAGATTACACCAAGCACACGGTCCCGTGATCCTTATCGAATTCCCCACGTCAACTCCGACTTTCCCAGCCTGGAACAGCTTGCAAAAGCTTGCTACAGCTGAGCTCCCGGCGAACTCAGGGCTGGAAAGATAATGCTTCTTTTCGCCAAGGAACCGTGGTATTCGTATTGACCTTCGGAATCCCTACCGCTCGCGGCGCGAGTCGAAACAAGATGTATGTCTCCGATGGTGGGATCCTCTAGTGCCCCGACTGACCGTGCCATCTAGGTTCGAAAAGTCTCTCTACGACCTGATCAAGGGTCTTCGGACCCACAAAGGTGGAGAGGATGAATACGTCCAGGATTGCCTGCGAGAATGCAAGGCCGAAATTAAATCCCAGGATATGGGTAGACAACGCCCCCCTCCTCCAAAACGCTATCTCCGCATGCTGAACCCGATCAGATAAAAAGGCCACGGCGCTTCTGAAGCTCATCTATCTTGAGATGTTTGGGTATGACATGTCGTGGGCGGCTTTTAATGTCCTGGAAGTCATGTCTTCTTCGAAATATCTTCAGAAACGAGTGGGCTATCTCGGAGCGGTGCAAAGCTTCCGACCGGACACGGAGGTTCTGATGCTGGCAACAAATATGCTCAAAAAGGTTGGTTCCGGTCACTCTTTTCTGAGAACTGAGCATGGTCAATCTAATTGGCGTACAGGATATCGTGTCTCCCAGCATTCCCTCTTTGTCCCTGCCGCTCGTCACCCTCCCGCATATCATCACTCCTTCGCTGGCCATGTCTCTGCTTCCGGATATACTATCCCGTCTCTCACACTCAAGCCCCGTAGTACGCAAGAAGACGATCGTGTGTCTCTACCGGCTTGCATTGGTATACCCGGAAGCACTCAAGCTATCATGGCCTAAAATTAAGGACCATCTGATGGACGACCAGGAAGATATTAGCGTGACCACGGCGGCTATCAATGTTGTCTGTGAGCTTGGTTGGCGCCGGCCACATGATTTTCTGCCATTGGCACCCCGACTATTCGAACTACTGGTGGATAGCGGCAATAATTGGATGGCCATCAAAATCATCAAGCTGGTTAGTCTATCTCTTCCCTACGATGGTTTCTTTTCTAATAGTTTCAGTTTGCAACTTTGACTCCGCTGGAACCTCGACTGACACGCAAGCTCTTGCGACCGTTGACCAACATCATTCAGACTACCACGGCTATGTCACTACTGTACGAGTGCATCAATGGTATCATTCAGGGTGGAATTCTTGACGGTGAGGAGAATCTGCAGGAAAGAGATGAGGTTGCCTCATTGTGCGTGGGTAAACTACGAGGAATGATAGTCATGAATTCGGACCCCAACCGTAAGGTTTTCTTGATCTGGCCAATACTGGTGACACCTTCTGACTTCTAGGGGGAACACGAACAGTCAAGTACGTTGCTCTTCTTGCATTGAACCGCATAGTTACAACACACCCCATGCTCGTATCTGTGCAACAAGACGTGATCATGGACTGTCTGGATGACGCAGATGTGTCTATTCGCTTGCAGGCCTTGGAGCTTGCAGCTGGAATCGTCACAAGTGACACCCTTCAAGCAGTGGTGAACCAATTGGTGAATCAGCTTCAAGTGGCCTCGTTGTCATTCGCAAGGGACGCTACCGATCCCGAATTCGATCCCGAAGCCGATTCCTCCGCGCGAGCCGCATCTGAAAGCCCCGAGGGGCAAAGGGCATCCAACGTGGGACCTGACACCTCAATTGACTTGCCCAGTGAATATCGAACCGAGGTCGTGAATCGTGTGCTAGACATCTGTTCACAGAGCAACTACGCGGAGGTGACCGACTTTGAGTGGTACGTGGGCATTCTAGTCAAACTCGTCGGTCTACTCCCACCATCGGGGCTGGATGAGTATTACCAGCAGACTCAAACGGGCAAATGGTCCATCAACGGCTCGAGAACGACTGTTGCGTTTCGGATTGGATCGGAGATCCGCAATGTTGCCGTGCGCGTGAGGGGAGTACGTCCGGAAGCAACCCGGGCGGCTGAGTCATTACTGCTCGTTGACAACAGATCGATCCTTTTTCCAGCAGGCTCCAATGTGGTCAACGATGTTCTGGGCCCTATTGCGTGGGTTGTTGGTGAGTATGCAGAATGCCTCGTGTCGCCTGACCGGGCGCTGCAATCGCTGATTGATCCGTCTAATGCATCCTTGATGCCCAGAACTTTACAGCTGTTCCTGCAGGCGATACCGAAGGTGTTTGTTCAATTAAATCGCACCTGGGGGGCCAAAGATACGTGGAAGAGTGAATTGTCTCTTCTGTTGGCTCGAGTCGTGGATTTCCTCGAGCTCTTAGCCGCTCATCCGGATCTGGACGTTCAGGAGCGGGCCATTGAGTTTCTGGAAGTCCTCCGCTTGGGTGCCGAGGCGATGCGCTCGAATACACAGGAAGTGCCATCGCTACTCACCTCCATCATTCCCAGCTTGTTCGAGGGCCTGGAACTCAATCCCATGGCACTGAGTGCTCAGAAGAAGGTGATATTGCCTCCAAGTCTGCGCCTGGATGAGGCATTCCATGATGATCTGCCGGGCCTTTTCCGCAACCTGGACCGCTCGATGTTGAATGTGGACACGCGGAGTGTCTTACAGGACTTTTACCATGTCCCGGATCTTTCTCCGCCCGTCAACAAGCCGTTGTACGAAGCGGCCCCTATCGAAGTGCATCTCGGCCCATCATACCAGAACACAGTTGGCGGCACGATCGAACATCCATCCGTCTTGGAAAGGAGAAAGGTTGAGCGCAGGGAACGTTTCAAGGATGACCCGTTCTATATTGCTCCTGGGAGTTCATCGGGCACGTCCACGCCGGTCCATGACGTGTTTAAGTCGACCAATGGCGATGCGTTGGACATTGATTCAATTCCAATTGTCGATTTGAAACTGGATGATGGACAGCAGGGCCGTGTTGATCGTGATTCTCTCACGGACCGTCAGATCTCTCCCAAGAAAATGGAGGTTACCGCCGATGAAACATTTGGGTCTGATGACACTCCGTTACACGATAGTTTGGCCGGAACTACCCGTGGGTCTACTGGCTATAAGCGTTCTCTACTCCAGGTGGATTCTAGCGGTCTCGGTCAGCTTTCACTGGGAAAGAATGATGATAGAGACCCTATCGTGGCCGGGGATGAGGGTGACGCCGAAATGACAAAGGCGATGCAGAACGTGGAACAAATGCGGCTGCGCATGCAGCGAGCGTCCGAGCGAATCCAATTAGAGGGGACTCCGGCTGAGGGCACTCTCGTGAAGAAGAAGAAGAAAAGCAAGAAGAAGCCCGACGATGGTGATATCGAGAAGACAGAGCCCTCTCGGGTCCGGGGAAAAAAAGAAGAAGAAAAGGGAGGCTGTTTGATTGCCAGTCATTTTAAAGTAGCTTAGACAATGTGATGAGATGAAGTTATCCATATATTTTTTTTCCTCCACAAAGCAGATGTGTCATGTGCCGTCAACCCATCTACCCGGTGCTCCTTGAACATCCAGTATCTCGGCGTCTCTCGGGGTACTTTCGGGTATAGGTGTAACCAGGGGGGTTGTATTTGGCACTGCCGGCGCGGGTGTCTTGTCTTTTCACGTATATCAATGGGGGTATCTTCGAAGGGAGGTTCGTGTTCTATCCGGTGAGCCGGGAAAGCATTGAAGCCACCGTGGACCAAATTTCAGGGACAATCCTCAGGAGCTCCAGGATGAGACCACCGCAAACAACAAAAGCCAGGACCACTATTACAGGCCGTTAGCTTGACACAATTAAGCGAGTTTCAATCACTCACAAACCCAGCTCGCAGAGACGGGTGACTTGGAAGCCTGCTTGGGCTTGGTTGAAGAAGGCCCCTTCCCTCTTTTAGCGGCCTCGTTCTTTGCGAAGCGCTCGTTTGCGCGTCGTTGTTGGGGTGTCTGTGCCTGTAAGATGGATTAATATGGTTTCAGCAGAGCTGTGGATCACGGGGAATTACCATGGTTGTTGATACCGAGGGGTTGCAGGGTGCGTTGATAGGGGAAGGTCTATCGTGGAGTCGAAGAAGCAACTTTATCGGGGGAGCTTTTATCGCCGTCCGGGGAAAAAGGCCACGTTGTTGCCAACCACGGACCACAACCACACCCATGTCTCTGTCGAGATGCTTCAATGCTCTGATGTCTGTACTCAGTGGGTGCCGAGCTCTTATGTACACACGCTTAGATTTCCCTAGGTCAGTGTGCCGTATGATAAGATGTGTAGCTTGGTTTTCCATGGTCACCGCACGAGTATATATGCGTCGTTAGTGAGGGACTTCCAAATTGCAACTTGCTTGCGCTGTGTTTCTATCTCGGCAAATCCTTAAATCCTCTCGGTCTACAGATCGTGCTGTCAAGGTAGGTTTGAATGGGTTCAACCGGCATCGGCCCGATTGGGCCCGTCGCATTGATATCCCCATCTAATCCTCCAAGTCCATAGATACTGCACTACGACACAGAATACCTAGAAAGAGCCACAACGGTCGGAGGGCTTAGCATTGAAGGAGAAGGCTCGGGGGCCGCCATCGTGTCTCAGGACTGGTAATGCCACTGTCCACAGAATCGCCGCTATTTCCGCAAAAGCTCCAATAACATTTCGCAATCCTATTTCCTGTCAAGACTGCGCTGTCGGCTGCATCCATAGGGTTCTTCATTCGGGTTCACGTCTTCCCAACAGGGCAAACCCAATGCACCACTCCAAGGGTTCCCGGCCTAATTCCCGGCTGGCCCGGTCTTTTCTGTCTTTCCTGTTTTCTTCCCTCCTTTTCATAACTAGCTCTTGATATTTTATTATCCTTTCCGCTCTCCCTCCCCCTTACGACAAGTGAACGCGCCGAATCAAGAAAAGAAGAGAAGTAATGAGTCAGATCCAATGTGAAGAATAAGGGATGCAAATATCTATGAAAAGATGAGTTTAATCTACATTGTGCAAAGATTCTAGCTCCGAAGAACCAACCCCCTTAGTATCGTCCTATGCAAGGCCGGTCTTCGATGCGTAGAGTCATAAATCATCGCTGAGGTAGGAGTGGCCTCCACTCAATCTGTTCGTCCGCATCATCACCAAGGAGATCTGGAGCCCCGGTGTTGCTCTGAGGCGCTGCCCATACGCCTTGGTCAGAACCCGAGACCGGACTTCGAACACCCCCTTGAGAGCTCAGTGAGAGCGGCTTTCGAGGCACGGCCGGAGGTGATTTACTCATGGTTGAACTTCCACTTCGAGGTCCCGTAGACTCCGATCCGTCAAACGCTTGTTGTCGCGGAGGAGGCACCGGCTTCCTATCCGTGCGAGCGTCTGCCTGCTTACCCATTAAACTGGAGTTTGGTACCCAGTCAGGTTCGGTATCCATTGAGAACGGATTGGACTTGCGTTTGGGATTTGCAATGAACCTCTCTGCAGGTGGCTGAACCGTCGCCTTGACGGGGGCGCCTGTTACATGAATTAGGCCTGTTGGTCGAAGATTCACACCGTCGGACAACATACCTTGATCCAGCCACCATCTCGTTCGATCTGAGCTGGCTGGTGGTAACCCCGGCGCAATGGAGACTTGCGCCATGCTATCCTCATCATCTAGGTCCAGGAGGTGTGGTGAATCGGAGAGAGCGTCATCCTGTTTCTCCTTATAAAGCAAACGTCTCAGGCTATCTTTGAGACCAAGATCAACAACATTGATAACGCAGTCAAACATTGACCAGACCGGGCGGTGGTCAGAAACCCGCAAGTCGGCGGTTTGATACCCGGTTTGACGTACATTAGCCCCTCTCCATAGCACCCGATCACACCACGCAGGAATACGGCCCTTTTCGCTGCAAAAGGGTCAGTAGGTTTGATAATTGAGTAGATGGGCTCTCCTTACGAAGTATCGTAGTGGTCGGTGCCGACATCGTATTTGTATGTCGGAGGGAATCTTATAGGACCCTCCGAATAGAACTGGAAAGCTCTCCCTGCAATCATTTGCAGATTCAACTGTTCTTGTTAGCGAGAGGAAGACGGCAGATACGAAAGGAGGGCCAACCTGGTCATTATCATAGAGTTTTTGATAGTCACGTTGCGTGACAAGATCTCTCACGATCTGATTTCCCAGTCCAATTCGGTAGTTAAAATCCCCGAGCCAGATCACAGTGTCGTGATCTGCAATGGATCGATTCTTTTGAAAACGTAGCCCTCGGTCAATAGTCTCGTAGTCCCTATTTCGTTCGTCGTAGTTCGCAAACCCGGCAGCCAGGTGGGCGGTGATAAAGCAGATGCTCGTGTTGGAAAAGTCAAACCGGATGGCACAACCACCCTTGTTGCCGGCGATCCCCGAGAGACCTGTCTGTAGGACTGTCAGTCCAGTCGTGGTGATTGGGAATTAATACTCCTCTTGCCTTTTTCACAGTGCCCTCGACATTCTTTATTTCCTTCAATGCGTCTAGCTTCACGTAGATCATAAGTGCAGCGCCCACAAGCTGCCCGCTTCTCAACAGCACGTACTTGCTGGTCCCTTTCATCCTCGCGCGATTATTCAAACATTGCTGAACAGCTTTTTCCCACACCTTCCGAGTACTTGGGTCCGTTGACATGATCTGTTGTGGACTTAAATCCACGATTTCTTGAAATCCGACGGCGAAGACTGTGGGGTCCTCGTTGGCGTCATCGGCTTCGGGAAACAGCCATGGCGTAAGGTCGGCACCGGGGCCTTCATCACGGCCATTCACGTTGAAGCTACCGACCCAGAGTCGAATGTGTTTGGTCGATGAATATTCCGAGGCACGCCGGCTCAGCTCCTCGGTGACCAAATCATTCATTGGGTCATAGAGATAGACTGGTATTTGGTGTGCCAATCTACCTAGGAGAAGATCGATTGTCTTCTGACGTGCCTTGTCGGTAAAATTGTTGACATAGAGCCGAGTTGCGCTTTTGCGTGCATCTGCAAGCGCGCCCGCAAGGGACATCTTCCCATGTCGCGTAAAAGAGGATTTGAGGGCGCCTGTTCCCGCGTAAATTTTGGAAAGTGCATCACCGTTGTCAGCCCAGAGGGTTGAATGGCGCATCTGGATGTCCGAGCTCAGCCTTCCGCCTTGCTGTGACAGAAATGACTCCAATGCCATCGAACTGATGATGGTCTGGACAAGGTTTGTTCGGTCTAGACAATCCAGACAGTTGGTCCGAAAAACCCCTTCCTGCTGCAGGATGACCGAAGAGCTGCTGGCTACATCATCTTTATCATCGGCGGACCCAGCGGAGCGAGCAACGTCTTCTGACAGAAAATATGCAAAGCCATCCAGAGAGTCGGCCAGCTCATACTTGATCTGGCTACTTGCTTCATACCCAGCGGGACCTCGCGTCTCCGCAAGAAAATCATATTCGGTCGCTCGCAAAAGGTTACGGCGCCCAGATTTCACGGGGTCTTCTTTTTGGCGGAGTGAGCTCCTCGATATGTGCTCGCGAAACTTGGCCGTAAGCTCCGCCTCGCCGCTTCTGAGCTGACTGAGGAGGTTGACCACATGAACAGCGCCGTATTGCAGTTCAAGAGTCTCAAAGTGTTGATTGAACGCGTGCTGGGTGGCCTCGCTCGACCGCGTTATCTCGATCTTCTGCTGTCCCGGAATGAGGCCGGGGGCTTGCTCCCAGAAGATCGGAACGGAGCCTCGAACCTGGGCATATGAGAAAGTGATGCCCGGTGCAACCCAAAGAATCATTTCCGTCTCTACAAAGTTGGCCACGTTGCCATCATCATCGATACCTCGGGAATTGAACCTCGTGCCAGCACGCCGAGACGATTGCCGTGAGATGATGGTTAACAGCGACGGGAAATTGGTTCGCACTTGGGGTAGAATGGAGATAGTTGCAGGAACCTTGAGGGTACCGGCATATCCACGGATGACACAGGTGAGAAGTTGAGATGCATCCAGCTTTGCTTTGTCCGAAGGTGGCAGATGGCTTCGAAACAGAAGAAGGGGATTGATCATGTATGAATTCCAAAGCATGTCTTCATCCAGAGTGTCAATATCGAATGCCGTTGATTTATCGGCTCTGATACATTGTCAGCCGAAGATCACATAAATTGAGGAATCGACTAACCGGTTCTGTAGGCGATCGGTGAGATTGAAGTCAAGGCAGTAGTAAAAGCTCCCATCACTGAGCAGCTTTTTAAGGGCGAGGAAGGGATGGTCGGTCACCATCTCCTTCCCTTCCCCAGCAGCGCGCTCTTCGGCAGCGAAATGAGAGCCAGTCTCATAGTCCATGCCGTACTCATACTCGGGGCGATTAAGGCAATCTGTAACTGTAAGAAAAGGACAATGTTGAATGAGCGACGAGACGTACAGAAACCAACGTTGTCGATCCTGGACACGGTTTCCCCGGGCCGCACAGTAGCAGCCTGGGAGGCGCCGGTGACCACACAGACGAACACATCGTCGTTCAATGTAATAAGACCCAATGTGCCATATCCAGCACCGAGTGGCCGATAGCTCCCAAGGTCCACGGATGAAACATCCGAGAATTCAACCTGGCAGCGAGGCGGACCCTTCGCACCAGTATCGGTTGCGTTGTAGTGGAAGATTAGGACATGATCGGTAGTCACCAAAGCAATAGTCCGCTGAGGATGATCTTGACAAAAAACTCGGAGATTGAACATGATCCGCCGGGCAAGTCGACGGACACTTGCCACACCACCTACCTTCAGTACTGGAGGCTAAGCTCCAGTTTCCCGACACGAAACAGCCGCAGCTATTTTTCCATGTACAAATTCCAGGGAATCCCACAACTAACCACGGAATCTGCCTATACCAGAGGGAGCTCAGTGTGCAATGGCTCAACGTTTCGAAAAGAAAACGGTGTGCTCATTAGTCGCGGTTGTCTGTATACGCGATACCCGAATCGGAGACGGGATACTCGCGGGGGTACCTTATCGGAGGCTGACTCATCATTCCAATTTTTATCTTTTCTAAGACTTTTTCTTCCCGGGGGACGATCACGAATCCTCAACCATCTCGCCATGGGTCTCGCCGCACCTCGGAAGTATGGATTTCTCCCTGCGCTAGGCTTGTTCGCCGTCTAACTGTCTATAGGAAAACCAAGATCTCTCATGATCCCAACAATACGAAATGGGCCCGGGCCACGTCCGGGTTTGGGCATCGCATCATGAGTGCGCAGGGTTGGACACCTGGAAATCGCCTTGGTGCTGAAAATGCCGCCCACGCCGATTTCTTGACTGCTGCCAGCACCTCACACATCAAAGTGACCATCAAGGATGATAATCTGGGCCTCGGGGCCCGTGCCGGACGGGACCCGTTGGGTGAGCCGACTGGGCTTGATGCTTTTAAGGGATTGCTAGGTCGATTGAACGGCAAAAGCGATGTGGAACTGAAGCAGGACCAGCGGAAACGGGACGACGTGAAACTTGCTCGATACGTCGCTATGAAATTCCCGGAGGTTCGATTCGTCCGCGGTGGACTGTTGACCCAGCAAAAACTTGAAGCGCTGCCTCCCAAAGACGAAACACCAAAGGCCGAAACCGAGGATGTTGATTCCTCGTCCAGCGAATCGAGCACCCCGGCCCGCAAATCCAAGTCTAAATCCAACTCGAAGGACAAGTCGAAGTCCAAGTCCAAGTCTTTGAAGAAATCTCGCTCTGAAGGGGAGGATGTGGAGAGCTCATCTGTTTCCGATTCCAAGAAGAAAAAGAAGTCCAAGAAGCGAAAAGTGGATGCCGCGGAGGATACTGGAGGTGAACAGCCGTCAGAGTCTCTGCCCGAATCGCCAAGCAGTACCATAGCGAATACAGTCAAGACTTCAACGGTACGAGAACGCCTGCCTATCGGGAGGCAGGTTTTCCGAGGGCGGCATATTGCTCAGAAGAAGAGAGCGCTCTTGGACGACAAGTCCCTCAACGAGGTGAGCTATTTGAAATGGGACACGATGGAGAATCACGCTAATGGGGAAACAGATTTTCATGGTCAAGGCAAAGGCATAGACCCTGGTTTGCATTGCATTAGTACAGAGACACTACACATGGGGCACGGTCATCGGCGCAATGGTTTTACAAAGCATTTTTCGATTTAGCTACATCCAACGAATCTTAATTTTAGCCATTAGAGAGTGTTTTTTCCACCTACCTACCCTGGTATGCATGTAGTACCTTATAAGGTACCTGATTGTTTGTGAAACAGCGCGGGCCCCGTTTAGGCAAGTCAGCCTCTTAAGTAAGCTGGCGATGTCCGACGTCGCTTAGGTAAGAGGGCGGCACCAGAGGTTCGTCTGGTGACCGGCGAGGAGTAATTCGGCTTCACTTTTCGCTATCTACTCCATCGTAGGACCTCATCATGAATGGGCACGTTCAGTCCGAACGTCGTCCTGGCACTTCGGTGCGCCCGCCCTCCCGTGTCGAGGACGACGACAGGAAACGGTATGCTCCCCCCACCGTACGCTCCGTTCCACTGGAAATTAACGGCTCTTCCAGCATCCATTGGGCACCGTTGAATATCGGTCTCGAGCGGCGCCTGCAGACGTTGATCGTTCTGTGCCATACTCTGACCATCGCTATTTTCTTGACCGGTTTCTTCTTCACGTGTGCCATTCCCCTTTTCTGGCCTCTTCTGTTGCCCTACCTGGTTTATATCACTCTGTTCTCGACTGCGCACACGTCCGGAAAGCTCAAGGGCCGAAGTTCCCTGTTGCGTTCGCTTCCCGTGTGGTCTCTCTATGCATCCTATTTTCCCGCCCGCCTCCACCGCGAGGAATCACTTCCTCCAACCAAAAAGTATATATTTGGCTACCACCCGCATGGCATCATTTCACATGGCGCATTCGCCGCATTCGGAACCGAAGCACTGGGGTTTTCGAGGCTTTTCCCGGGCATTACCAATACACTTTTGACGCTGGATTCGAACTTTCGAATTCCCTTTTATCGAGAGTATGCGCTTGCCATGGGACTTGCGAGCGTGTCCCGGGAATCATGCGAGAATCTTTTGACCAAGGGCGGTGCGAATGGTGAGGGAATGGGCCGCGCAATTACCATCGTCGTTGGCGGGGCCCGTGAATCTCTCAACGCGCAGCCGCATTCTTTACGACTGGTCCTGAAGCGGCGCAAAGGATTCGTCAAGCTTGCAATTCGAACCGGCGCTGACCTCGTGCCGGTCTTGGCGTTTGGGGAAAATGACATCTACGAACAAGTGCATTCAGATGAACATCCGATTATCCATAAGATCCAAATGCTGGTCAAGCAAACGATGGGATTCACCATCCCTTTGTTCCACGCGCGGGGAGTTTTCAACTATGATGTCGGGCTAATGCCCTACCGCCGTCCATTGAATATCGTAGTCGGACGGCCTATCCCGGTGATGCAGCAGCAGAACCGTGACAAAATCGATGACAGCTACATCGATGAGCTTCACTCAAGATATGTTCAGGAGCTACAGCGACTATGGGATCAGTGGAAGGACGTCTATGCCACGGACAGAGCGGGCGAACTTGAGATCATCTCATGATACACTCGACGGACACAAGTGACCTGATATCCTCGCAGTTGCGACTGGCCTTACGGAAACATATTACTGCCTTAAATGTTCATCATCCACTTTTACAAATGTCACGCTCTTGCATTTTATAAAGATGTTGATTAGATATCTAGGTAGCATGTACATATTCGCCTTTGGGAACGAATGGATTTCCAATACAATGACATTCCCCTAAGCGTCAACAAAACACAAAAAATCAAATTCTAGAAACACATCGGGCCGAACGAAAACAGATGGCTAGGGGTATCAGATCAACGGAAGCGTCAACATAAGTACAAAAAAAATAGGAGGCGCATTGTGCCCTGTCACGTTGGTGGAGAGCCAAGGGCACCGCCCATGGGAAAGGGTGTTGGATTTAAGCCTGCTACCTCCGCCGACGACGATACTCGACGACTGTCATTGGGTGCAATTCGGACGTTGCCCATGGCGTTCTTGTCGAGATGGCCACTTTCCACTCGACCTTGGATCATTTCATCCAACATTCTGGACACCTCGTCCATGTTCTTTCTTCGGTCTTCTTCTTTCTCGCCTGACTTCGCAGGTGGTGCAGACTCCGGGCTTGCGGCTTTCTCGGCCGTACCGCTGGTCCTTAGTGGGCTGTTATCACCGGAACTTGTTGCTTCTGCTTTGGGTTTCATTTCCGGCGACTGCGATTCATTGGGCACGGCAGCCAGGTCCCGGTGTCGCGCGGCAGATCGAAGAGCAGCCAGCATTCGATCCTTGTCATCGAGCTGAATCCGAAGCTCATTGATCTCCATGTCCTTCTCGCGAACCAGGGCCATCACGTCTGGGTGCTCGGCAATTGTCGCATTTCCGGATTTGACCCCCATTGACATTCGCGAGTGGCTAGAACGTCTGGCTTGGAGCAGGCGGCGCTCGAGGGTGGAGATGTATCGATTCTTGTCGCCCAAATCAGCCTGCAATGCGGTGACCTGTCGCTGCAGGCTGGCCTTGCCATCACCGAATTCGCCCAGGTCCTCGTCGTCTTCGTTGCCAAATGGACCGCCTGAGAAGGGCATCGCCCCCGAAGGTTCATTACTGTTGACCGACATGAAGGACATAGGCCGTATGGACGAATAGCCAGCCCCCAACGTGGATTGACTGGCTGACGAACGCAATGAACGGGTTCCTGACTCCGTGGCCGACATTCTCGAAAGCCGACCAAATGCGGCAGACAGGCTGCCGTGGCTGTTCACCCCGGTGGACTTGGAGCTCAGAATCAAACGATTAAGATGCTCGATGCGTTCTTTTAGGGCCGTCCGAGCAAGCTGCATCTCCAGCACCTGCTCCTCGTGGCGAGCCTGCGCCTCTTTCTCAAACTGCTGTTCATCCCATTTCAACTCTTTCTCCGCCTGGGCCTTCGCTTGCGTGTCAAGCTGGCCCCGAAGAGTCTGGATTTCCATACGATAGCGTTCGAGCAACACGCGGCTCCCAGAGTCTCCACCACCGCTACCATACGCTTCTTCGGCCTTCTTCGCATGGCTGACGATGTTATTCTTTGCTCGCGCGGCAAACTTCAGCGTGTTGAGGGTTTCGCCAGTGTGCGAATTGACACTTGACACCATTTGAACCGTACACAGAATGCTCACGAGGGAGTTACCCGACAAAGCGGGTTGTAAAAGTCTTGTCAACTTGCTATCGCGATATGGCAAGTGCCGGCCCTCTCGGTCCGTCGGGTTGCCTTGGTTGTCCTTGTTTTCCGAGAGCTTGGAGATGATGTTGCCGAGGGTAAGCAAGCTTTTGTTGATATGAGCACCTTCGGTTCGGCGCTCTTTGTCGTCGGCTGCCCGCTCCGAACCAGCAAGATCGATCAAGCTTAACGTGGACACGCGAACGCCACCAGGGGCAATACCAGATCGCTTGTCCTGCGAATTTCCTGCGGGTACCCGCTCTCGACTTTCGACCACGATTTGGACGACTGCATGACTTCGAGAACTGCGAGAATTAAACTGAGTGCTGCTCGTTCGCCGGGCGTGGTCTCCTCTCGCAATGACCCGAAGGAGCTGGGTCGGACTCTGCACGATCTCTTCCTTGAGCGGCGTCGCATAGACGCCTCGTTTGCTGTCCTCGCGTAATTTGATCTCCTCCTGCTGCGGCACGGCCGCAACTGCTCCATTGGCGATAGGGGCGGAGAGAAGGTCATGGATCTTCTCGTTGTAGATCTCCAAGTAGCTTACTCGAAGCAGGAATTCTCGATGGGGGGTTTCACGAATAAACGAGAAGATGTCCGTGATGGCTAGCGGGATGACGCCGGGGGAAGTCGCAGTTCCCTGCATCGAGAAGGTCTTACCAGTTCCTGTCATGCCGTAGGCAAAGACAGTGCCATGATAACCTTCCATAACCCGCCGAACCAGGCGTTTTGCCGCGGAGTCATAAACTTTCGCATTATTTTCGTGCGTCGTGAAGACGTTGTCTTGCCCGCGGTCAGTTCTCCATTGTAGGTTACAAAAGGGGTACACTCACCATAGTAATAATCTCCCCCTTCTTTGCCTCGGTAGGAAATGAGACTTTGGCGCCCATCGACCGCCCATTCGCCGTGATTTCGCGACGTCTCTCCTCCATTGCCATCGGGTCGGACACGGACACTGACAAGGACGTTGCCCTTCGTCTCCTTTTGTTTGGGATAACCCTTGCTCGTCCCCGTGGCATCATCTCCATCCTCGAATGTCGTTGCAGTGGTCGAAACGGATCCCTGAGCAGACGAGCTTCTGCTGTGTGATGGAGAAGCTTCGGGGTCCCGCACATCCGCCAAGATTGACTTGCCATCAGCACTTCCATTGAGCAGTGATGGGGTCCTGGAGCTTCGGTAGCTGCTGGTCGTGCCAGTACTGAGCCGCGAACTCCGTTTGGGCTTCACACTCCCCGGGGTGGCGGTGCCAGAAATACCAGAGACCGAAGATGCCGTCGAAGGCCGACTTGCAGCCTTCGGGGGCTGCGGGAAGGATGCGATGCTGATGGTGCGGCGTAAGGATTTATCGGGGCTATTGGGGGCACGTCCACTGGATGCTGAGCGGATCGCGCTGAGATTCGACGTCGAGTTGGAATTGGAAAGAGGGGATCGGGCAAGTGATGGCTTCGGGCTTGACGGTGTCCGCAGCTTGGACAGTTGGTACGGAGAGGCGGCCCGAGGAGTATCGGGAGCCGGACTGCTCTTTCGAGCTTTGGAATTGGGGAGAGGTGGTAGCGACCCAGCGGGAGGGTTTGTAGCTGGCCGCGAGGGTTGAGGTAATGCTGACATGGAGGCCATGTTCGTATGGAGCAGAGAGAGGCGTCTTCTCCCCAAGGACGTCAGTTCAGTGGCAGACGGGAGAATACAACGGCCATGCGGGACTGTTGACGTAAATCGTTTTGCGCGTCAGGTTGCTTTATCCGGTCCGATACTGTATTCCACGCGATCAGCCCAAAGCCGAAAAAGCCAAAGATCCTAAGAGAATGGACCTCGACGTAAGAGGGGAAAGAAATGCGTTGAGAGACGACCCGGGGAAGCACGCGGGCCGTGCATGGTTTTTTTTTTGATACACACAACAATTCCGCAGGTTTCGGGAGCTTACAGATTCAAACATGCGTTGCGATCAGGACGGACGCGGAAGTCCACGAAGCGCCACTGCCGCTGTAAGTAGCTGTGCAACAGAATAGACGGGGAAATGAAGTTCCAGGGCAAGGGACGTAGAAGGGTATAAGGTGATGAGGAGTTTGGAGAAGGAAGAGTGAGAGGAGTCCCCCGCAGCCGGGAAAAGAGCCAATGTTTTTATCTTTCTACATTAATCATGTTTTCGGCCCCCTCTAGACTTTTCCTTCCCCCTGTATTGACACGGCACTTGCATACGCCTATCGCAACCATCCCTCCAAGGTACAAGAGGTACAAGGAGAACTCGAACTAGAACTCGTGCCTTTGTTCCTGTGTGCACCCAGGGCCTCCAGATCAAGTGCCGTACGTGCACCGGAGAAAAGGGGCATCGGGAAGGCATGGCGCGGTGCTAAAACAGACAATCACGGCCTAAGTCTCGAAGGAGTCAAGGCGTGTTCCTTGTGGCTCTCGAGGGTTGAAGCTTACGTCCAATGACGAAGGGCACAGTGGATGAGGGTCGTTCGAGGGGCCCAGAAGGAGCGAAAAGGGGGCGAATCATCCCGGAGCCCGGTGGATCCACCCATTATTTGGATCTTGTTGGATCTTGTTGGATCCTCCTGCTTGGCTCGTCCCCAGGAACCCTTGTTCGAACACGTCCATGTTCAAGAAACGGCCACGAACCTTGATCCTTATTTCACACTCTCGACCCCACCGAATCTCACTGGGGATTCAGGAACACTCGGTCCAATGTGAGGGCCGTCACATAGATATGCAAGGAGTACTCGCTATCCAGGACGGACGGTCTATCGAACAGTCCCGATATGACGGAGGATCGTGCGGGATGTCAGTGTCCCTTCTTCCACCCCCACCGTGCCACTTGGACCGCTCGGGTCGAGCTGTCTCCCTGTAGATAGAGAATAGTCGCTGCACCTGCATGCATAGGACGGGACTGGTCCGATATAGAACGTACGAGAGATGTCAATCTTGATGCATGACGCGGAAAGGAAAGGGAAAATAGCTACAATCCACGTCCCCGAGAAGGAGAGAGGAAGGGAGAAAACACATCATGGTCATTATTTCATAGCGCCAAAGTCCAGTTGTCGCGCCGCATTTTTGAACATCCCGTCGTCGATCTCGCCTCCTCGCCGGCCCAGGTCTTCGCCCATCTTTTTAGCTCCAGACTTCTGCGGGAGATCTTCATTCTTGGTCGGCCGGGGCTCAATTGTCCACCATGCGTGTCGCAAGGCCTGCACGGCAGTGCTTCGCTTGCGAGGGTCCAGTGCACACATCGACATCAGTAAGTCGGCTCCTACCGGGCCCGCGGTAGGGAACTGGCGGAGAAAGAACTCTCGGCCCTGCAATGGGATCAGGTGGTTGTTGTCCGGCGGAATGTAGTTGGGCAGTTCCGTGACTCCCGGCCAGTTCTCCTCTGTCGGGGTACCGAAAGCTTCGCAGATCTTCGTGATTTGATCTACGTCAGTATTGCCGGCCACAAAGGGGATGCGCAGGAGTAGCTCTGCAAAGACCATTCCCATCGACCAGACGTCCACGGCGCCCGAGTACTGCCGTGCCCCGTAGAGCAATTCGGGTGGACGATACCAACGAGTGATGACCTGGTGGGTCATGTTGAGATAGGGATCCGCAAAAGATCGGGCTAGACCGAAATCTGCCAATTTGACCTCACCGTCAGAGGCGATGAGCAAGTTGTTGGGCTTGATATCCCGGTGGAGTACGAAGTTCTCATGACAGAACCACACACCCCGAGCCAGCATGCCCATCCAGGCTTTGACGTCGGCCGCACCGTAGTGGATGGCGGTGTCTTTGATGAGCATCTCCAGATCCCCTCGCGGGAGAAACTCCAAGACCAAATTGAGGTTCTGGTCCTTGGAAGAAAAAACGTCGTGAAGCGCAATGACATTCGGATGTGACAGCTCCTGAAGGTATTTGACTTCGCGAATCGCGTCCATGGTGAGTCCATCCTTGTATTCGGCATTGACCTTGATCTTCTTGATTGCGACGTAGGATGAGGGGTTGTCGCGGAGGTATCCGAGGTAGACTATGGCGTATGTACCTTCACCTAATCTTTTGTCTGCATCTATCGTTAGCCTCAAGCTCTTGTTATCGCCGACCTTGGACGCCCAACTGACCTTTGACATATTTCTGTCTCACGTCATCGTTTAGCTGCTCGGTGAGTTCCCGATCTGCGCTGTAGACGGATTTCGCCGTAGCTACCGGCCCAGACGCATTCTGAGCAGCGGCAGCTCTCAGCCTAAGAGCGGCATTGGGCGATGATACCGTCAACGAAGGGGAGCGCGAGGCAAACGGCGAGACCGCCATCTCCGAGATGAATGCAGGGTGAATGCAAACCCTGTGGTCTCGAAATGAGACGCCTGAGGGATCACGAGAATTCCAGCCAGCGAATAAGGCCGTAGAGAGAGAGAGCTAACAAGAAGTCATTGTGTGAATGCTGACATAGGAAGAGGGCGAGGATGGTTCAAGTAGTTGAATGCTTGAGTTCGGAGTATCGTTGATCCTGAGTTGACTGTCTCCGAAATTTCCAGCGCTGGCAACCCGCAAACACGGCCAATTCGACCCTCTCCACCACTCCATCCCTCAATTCTCTACTTGGCACCTCCGGAGCTCTCAGGGGACTACTCTGGCTCTGATCTCCTCGGATCTGTCTGTTTGCTTCATATAGGCAGTCGGTGCTTGCGGGATCGTGCCCGCAACTAGCGCCAGGACCGTCATGGCGATGCGCAACCCCCAACTACGCGGCCTCCCGTCCCGAATTATCCAGTCTGTCGGTCTCTCGCGGCAATCCATTCGCCCCTTTCACCGAAATGTAATGCCTTCGGTGCCCTCCCCGACCCCATTCGTCCCAGATGTCCAGACCTTCCTCACGTTGATCGGCCGGGAAATGTCCAAGCATGCGAGCAAAATTCCCTCGTGGGAGCAACTTTTCACCCTCAACTCCTCCCAGTTCCGAGAAGCCGGCATTGAGAATACTCGCCAGCGACGGTATCTCATTCGAAAGCGAGAGAAGTTCAGGAATGGACTGTACGGTCCCGGAGGAGACCTGGAACGGGTTGTCGACGGCGTCGCCCAATTGCGTGTGGTGGAAGTCCCCAATGAATCCTCATCGAAGGATAAAGACCAAGCCGCCAAATCCGTTATCACCTCGTCGGCCACATTGACACCAGGCATGAAGAAAGCCATCGTGAACCTCGCCCCCGGTGTCACCGAGTACAAGCACTCAGCATCGGCACAGTTGAAGAAGTTTGCGCATATGAAGATCCACCGTGGTTCAAAGATCATGGGCCCATACCTTGAGCCGGTCAAGGGAAGTCACGGCTCTGCTGCAACCATCACCGTCCAGGAAGGCATGTGGGAAGACAAGCGGGGACAAAAGGTCGACGGCGGTGAACGCCGACGGGTGGAAGTGAGAGCGAAGAAGAGACTGGAGGAGCGGAGAAAAGCAGCGTAAGGTGATGATGGAGTGGCGTTTCTTGCATTTCTCTTGAGCCCCTGACGGACTTGTGTTTTCTATCTGCAATGTACTATATATACTACTCTCGCACCAAGGAGCCTTCTCGAACATTTACATTGAATTGATCCAATAAAGTCTGATATCAGACCCTGATTTGATCATCTGGAATCGTGTTTGATTATAAATAAATATGGTAACTGTATCAACACAAACGGCGGGAGTTGGCTCGATCACAAGTTGCAAGAGAGGAAGAAAGATGTTAATGTACAGATGGGTACAATCGTTCTAAGGCGTCAAGACTGAGTGCAAGGAAGGTAATTAAGTGTAACCAAGGGCCACTTGCGCAAAATAGAAAGAATCTTTTGGTGGGTTTGCCGATTCGCAGCTCTTGTCTATGCCTTGGCCCCACGCTTCTCATAGCACACGAATGACTTGCCCAGAGGCTTGGAGAACAGCGACTGCGGACTTTGTTAGTACTCGAAGGCTCGCCGAGGGTATTGCATGAAGTGTGACTCACCGAGTAATCTGTGTCGGGTATGTTGTTGGCACCGGGAGGGTTAGAGAACTTAAACTGCCTCACCAGCGCAGCCAAGATGGTACCCAGTTGCACGTAGGCGAATTGCTCACCGATGCAACGATGGCGGCCGGCGCCAAATGGAAGGTAAGGGCTGTTGGTGCCCTTGCTGACCAGACCGTAACCGTAGTCGATCTGTTCGCCTTCCTCATCCTTGGCATCGACCTTGGACGTTGCGTCCTCGTCCCAGCGGTGGGGGTTCCACTTCAAAGGGTCCGGGAAGAATTCATCGGATCTGGCTGTGACACCCGGGGAAGAGAGGACGTTGTGGCTGGTGGGAATAACGTACGGAGTTCCTTCCACAGGCATGGGGTTCTTGACGGCGCGGATAATGGAGTGAATTGGGGCGTGAATACGGAGGGTCTCCTTAATCACCTTGGCATGCAGGTCCAGCTTCTGGAGGCTCTCATAGGTAAGAGGGGGGAGATCGGAGCCCAAGACTCGGAGCTGCTCTTGGTAGAGCTCCTCCACGATCTCAGGGCAGGTGGCCAAGCGCAAAACGATCCAGGCAGCGGTGGAGGATGAGGAGTGTTGACCCGCCATCAGCAACGCAATCATCATATGGGCAACTTCTTCGTCAGGAATCGGGGTGCCGTTCTTATAAACGCACGACATCAGATTCCAGACCATGTCTTCGGAATCCTTCTTGCTACCGGCGTCACGACGCTGACGGATAATATCCATGTACGTCTCAGTCAGCTTCTGCTGCGCAGCATCACGCTTGCGGTTGTGGGGAAGCGGTGCCCAGGGCAACATGAAGTTGATGGGGGCAAAGCCCTTGTCGAGGTCGTGGTACATTTCCGCGAAGGTGGAGTCGAAGCGAGCCCGAACCTCCTTACCCTGGAGCGAGCGCGAAGCAGTGTAGATGGTGATCTCGGCAATGTTCTTGGTGACGTCGAAGGTACCCTTGGATTCCTGGAATGCGGGGGCAGTCTTGACGAATTGATCGACCTCGTTGGTGATCAAGGTAACGTACGATCGAAGCGCTTCGGAGGTCAGGCCAAATTTGACGAACTATACCCAATTGATCAGCATCGGATTCTGAGGCACCTGCTCTCAACACGAGTTATCTTTCTACCTTCTTCTGCTCCATAAGTTTGGAGTTGGGGCAGTCGTAGACCACGTTGCGCCCAAAGACCGGAGTGGTGAGTGGCGAGTAGACTTCCTCGGCGCAAACGTCGCGAAGCTTGCCATTCAGAATGAAGTCATTGCCCTTGGTACCCAGATAGACCGTGGTCTTCTTGCCGAGGAGGACGAAAGTGAAAATGTCGCCGTACTGTGAAAACCGCTATGAGAGACCGCCCCGAGAGATTTTCCAGGGGAAGAGGAGAGGAAAATGCATACCTTCGCACGAGCGTTGAAGAAGAACTTGTAGGGGTCGATGCCATAGCTAATGGTGCTGCCAACGAAGGGGAACCAGTGGAAAACGACTGGGGGCTCGTGGGGGCTCTTGAACAGCAACTGGCGCAGGACATTGACGACGACGGACACGGAGATGAAGGACAGGGCGCCAACAAGAGCGAGAGTCCAGATGGACTCGGTCGAGCAGCGCTCGCAGAACAAGTCAATGAAACTAGAGAAAAGACCCATGGCGAGAGAGGCACCCTTCAAGGAGACAAGAAATGATGGAGGTGGAACGTTTGGAAGGGGGGTTTGCAAAATAATAATCTCCGCTATCATTCGCGGTGAGCGCGCAAGATCGGGGGACCCGCCCCCTGTCCCTGACCTCTCCGTTTGTGGCTTCGACATTTTCTGTATTTTCGACTTTTGATCTTATGATGCTTGCCCCCTTTCCTGATCGACTCGTCGGAATATTTACAAGTCACGACTAATAATATATGGACCCAATGGCATGATGCAAAGCATGGTTTTTTATCGTCACGCCACTTCTGCGAAGGGGATTTCCGCCGGTATCTGGCCATCGCACGATGTGCTTTTTTAACACTCACACTATACATAGTTCCCTTCCGTTATTACCCAGCTTTTCCTATATTCCTGAATTTCCACCCCGTTCACCCAAGTAAGCAATACAGATCTGAGTTGAAACACCGACAAAACTCCTTATTTGTACCGACTCGTAGGTTCGTCGTACAGCGCGGCATCGCCACCCTGACCCAGGTTGATGAATTCCTTCGGGGCCCGATTATTGCCGGGCGATGGCTCACGGGCAGCGGCCTTTGAAGGCCGGTTGTGAACCCGCTTGCCCGCTTCGTTTTTGTGAAAGACCTTGACCGGGCTTTCGCTGCCCTCGACGTGCTCGCTAAAGTGGACGTCGTTGACGCTACTGAGCATAGTCCGCTCACGCTCAACCTTGCGCCGAGAAAAGTCCAAGTTGCCCAGGGCACCCGTCAGCCCGTCGGTGCTGTCGTTAACGCTGGGATATTTGTCGGTCATCCACGGGTGTTCAAGACACTCCTCCACGCTTATCCGCTTCTCCACGTCCACTGTGAGCATCCGGTCAATCAGATCCAGGGCCGGGTCGCCCACAGAGTCCCAGTAAGGCGACGGATAGTCAAAACGACCCATTTTGATCTGCTGGGCCAGCGTATACGGGTTCTGCGGGGTGCACAATTCATCGGAGAAGGGTGGGAAACCGCAGAGGCAGATGTAGAGAACCACACCCAGAGACCAGACATCCACGGCCTTGGTATATCGCCGCCGCCGGGTCTCTTGTAGAATTTCAGGTGCCACGTCTGTAATCATCAGCCTTGAGTACTGGGACCACCATGCCTCTATTCTGCTTACAACTTGGAGTTCCGCACCTGTCGACGAACAACGTTAGCACCCAATGGAATACTCCGCGAACGAATAAACGATGCTTCACTTACAGGGTTGTCGTAAAAGAGTCCTCTCCGATGATCTTGGCGAGTCCGAAGTCTCCCAGTTTAACCGTCAATTTCTTGTCTGCAACAAGAATGTTCTCGGGCTTGATATCGCGATGAACAATCCCTCGATCATGCTTGAAACGGGTGTTAGCTGCAATTTTATCTGCTTACTGGTGACTATGTGCATATTTACCAAGTACTTCAATCCCTCAAAGAGCTGGCGAAACACATGCCGCGTTTCGGATTCGCTGAGCTTCTGCTTGCTCACAATCAAGTTGAACAGCTCACCTTCGGCGGCTAACTCAAGAACGAGATAAGCACCGTCATTTTCATCAAAGATGTCCTTCAGGCAGAGGAGATTCGGGTGGTTGACCCCCATCAAAAGGGCAATCTCCTGCTGTAAGGTGTCGGTCTGTGTTTTCTGCGAGTCACCTGGTCTTTTCTCAAAGACTTTTGCAGCAAATTGCTTTCCGGTGGCCCGCTCCACACATAGGTAAACGGTAGCGAAGTGGCCTTTTCCTAGCTGCTGGAGGATTCGGTACTGTTGGCTGAATTTGTTGGTGTCTCGCGTCCGAGGATAGCGGAAGACAAATCGCGCCTCATTCAAGATGGATACCTCATCTCCATCCTCGAGCTCACGATGCTTGTTTCGACCCACAATCGCGTCGTTCACGAAAGTCCCATTGCTGGAAAGATCCTCCAGCATCGCAACCATGTCACCCCTCTTCTTCTCCGAAAAAAGAAGGAAATGTCGGTTAGAAATCGTAGGAATATCAATCATCAGATCTGGCATAGTATTAGTATCGGCGTGATTGGGATTACGGCAGTGCGGAGTGTTCACTGACCACACTCCGGGTGACGGCCGACAAGGTAGCCGCCGGGGGTCCGGTTGTTTCCTGGTTTGGGAGCCAGAGACTTTTTGGCGGACTTGTCTTTAGAGACCTCGTCACGGCCTGCACAGCCGTCCCGCTTCTTTAGGACGAATGCACTGCTTACTTTGTCGTCCAGCGGGATCAGGTATCCCCAGACTCCTTCCGCACTTTCGTCATCCACCTCGTCCGCAAACGCCCTCGGGGGGTAGACAAACTGCGAGAGAGCTTGTGTGTCACCCGGCGGTGAAGAAAGGCCCTGGAGGAACTCGGCATGGCTCGGAGACTGTTGGCGATGATGAATTGGACTGTCCGGCGGAGTGGCTGTCACCTCGTTGCGGGTGTCCGTAGCGGTCGACCGGCCATCGGTCAACGGGGTTGGCAGATAGCCTCGGTCGATTGGTGTTTCCAACGGTTCCTGCTGGCTGGAAATTCTCTGGGAGCGTCGGGGTTTCTTGAGATCTGAGGAGTCGGCGTCGACACTGGCCTGGAAAACGATGGTGAGCAGACGAGTCACTTCACATACACCCTGGGCGAGTTCACACTGACCCTGCCCCGTTTGAGCGAGCTTTTTTCACGAGGCGCCATGACTCTCGTCCGTACCACACAGACCACCGAATTGCCAATATACACAGGCCAGTTAGCGATGCTGCCCGGGGCTCACTGCGGCATTGACAGGAGCACTCGGAAACAAATAAAGCCCCTAGGATATTCGCAAATCAAATTTAGGACGTCGAGTTACACCTGAGATCAAAAGAACCAAAAGAATCTTCACCGGAAGGGTAACGTTTAGGGGGAGAGGAGTGAAGGGACGCTTGTGAGGCTCCGGGAAAGCTACTCGTGCGGTTTCGTGACCTCGCCGCCACCCGCCCCAACAGGAGCAAACACGACCGACATTCGAGGGTTCGTGTCGCATTCTACGTAAGGTAAAAGAAAAGAAAAGACATAGTTGTAGATAAAGGGCAACCTGTTAACTCTATTTTTCACAACTCTGAAATAATGAATCATGAATGTCCCTTGTTTACTCGACTCTCATTCCAGAGAAAACGGAGCTCTGGTTCGGCGGTCGCGGACCTAGGTTCGCGCACCGACACGTGCATCTCTCCACCCCCCTTCCCCATAGCTCCTTCTTCTCCCCAAAGACACTGTGTATCGCTCCTCTTATACATAATGGATGGGTATGTCGGTCCGTCAGCCTTCTCCTAGAAATGCTAACATGCCATTCAGTCTCGCAGATGGGATCAGACGCTCTGCGTTTGAGAAACTTGCGGCGTTAGCTGTCAAGTCTCCCGCGCGCGATGATGGATCCGAATTAGCTCGTCTCGCTCAACAGTCTCGCACCCGCAAACCTGATGGAGCTTTAAACGGGGTGCTCAAAGACCAGGCCCCGACTTCTCGGATCCCAATGGTGAGTTGCAATTGCGCGTGGTCTGTCTATTGCCATACTAATCGAATCTTGTATAGGGTATTCGGGAACTTGATGTCCTTCTGGCCCTATGTAGGGCGGCATCGTCCGTGGATAATCTTGAACATGCGTCACGATTGGTTCCACAGCTGTCGCGATACCTGCCCGAGTCGCCTAGCCAGTTGTTCCGGCCATCGCCATTCCTACAAACTGTCAAGCCGTCACCTTGGGAGGCTCTCACCCATAATCTGACCGCTGCACTCCTGGCCCTGGGCAATCAGTATCCGCCCCTGCGTAAAACAGCTCTTGGCGCGATCAACGGCTTCTTGAAAAATTGCGCGGAGGCCATCAGGGCAGTCACGCCGTTTCAATACTCCAAGTCCGAAGCAGGGGGTCGAGGGGTCGTGCATGAATCTGTTGCCATCTTGTCAATCGCAGTGTCTTTGATCGGTTTCTTGGAAGCCTCGGCCAAATACACCGTGATCTGGTCTGCAAGTGAGAAGCTGCAGATTATTGAACATTTGCGTTCTGTGCTTTCCGAGCCATTTATGATTGCGGTGGAGACAGCATCATCCACGATTCGTAACGCTGCTGGTGCTGAGAATTTATTCAAGGATTGGAGAAAATATGCCAGACGTTATGCAGCGAACGGCCGTCCGTTGGGCGCTATGCTGGTGCAGGAGGGCTTCATGCGCTTTGTCAAATCCTGCGCGGCATCTCTCATCGGATCGCAGAATCTGTCCGACGATCAACTCTTGGATGAATACATGGCGGGCGTCGGGATTGCCAAAAGCTACGACGACGCCGATATTGCTCTTATCGAGCGGATCACGGACCTGATCACCGAAGAAATTCACCAGCTTGAAGATGGGTCCGATTATCTGCAGGTTGGCTCGCCTTCCCAGCAGCAGCTTGCTTTCTCTGTAAAAGACAATGCTTTGATTGGCTTCTTGAACTGCGTCGTTCTGGGTGAGGACGCAGCCAACAATGAGGTTCTTCTGTCTTGGCTTGAGGATACGTTGACCAACCCTCAACAAATGTCGTGCAAACCCTTGGCCATGACGACCTTGAAATGTACGGCAATCCTCGCAAGGATGTCTGCGGACGGTGCATCTCTCGGAAGGCGAAGCCTCTTGAAGTTCCTGACCCAGGGGGGTGCAGCATCGGGTTCCATTGTGGCTGTTGCTGCTCGATGTCTCGCTCAAATTTTGAGTATTCTCTCTGAGGATTCAATCATCACAACCTTGTACTCGCTCGGTAACGCTTTGAGCCCCAGTCCAAATGCTGACCAGTCCTCCCAAAACCAAGCCATTGGGGACCCAACTGCACCTGAAAATAATCTACCGGCCTACCCAAAGACCGGAGATGGGAGTCAAGCTTCCTTCCCTGCCGTTGGTGAAGAGGAGAGTATAACATACAGGAACGTCGTTCATGCCATTGTGATCGTTGCCACCGGTTGCAACGATGACAAAATTAGTGCCTTGGCTCAGTCCATGCTCCTCCAAAAAGTTGGAAAGATCAATGTTGCAGTGGATGCCTACATCATTCAAGAAACGGCTGTTCTTGCCCTGAGTGGTGGACAGGCTGAGTTCCAACTCCTACTGAAGTTCTACGCCCGCATTTATCTCGACGGAATCCATAAAGGCTTGGATATGATCTCCGATGCGGTGCAGTGTGCCATGGCTTATCTCTCTGTGACGTTGGACCAACAATCCCTACTTCACAGGATCTATCTTATGCATCTGCTGGAGAGTCTCGTCAACAAGGGTGATGTTCCTGATCTCGACAGTGAACGCCACAAGGAGGTTGTCTTCGCTCCTCGAGACATTACTCCTCTTCTGAAACCGTTGGCGCTTCTTGTCTCTTCCAGAAATACCTCGGGGACTTTACTTCCAGTAGATGACTACGACGACGCTATTTTGTCTCTTTTCCGTGATGCTTGGTTCAACATAGCGATTCACGGCATTTCGCTCAACTCAAACATTGCTCAGAAGCACTACAAGGAGCTCTGTTTGCTTGCAAATCATTCTCCGCCGCTCGTGTCTGAAGAACGCATGGAGTCTCTGGAGAGTGATGTGGAGCTCAATACAGTGCTCAGGAGGGGTGCAGGGCCACAACGAGTTTTGGAGCAAAAGCGCACTCTCATTTCGGAGCTGGCTGGCAGAGAATCCGACATCAAGAAATTAGACTATCCACGCGCAGTCTTTCTTAATGCCGTACTGCTGGTCGAACATCTACGTGCTTCGTCCGGGGACTGCACCAAAATTCTCAGCTATTTCCGTGACCCTGCGCTTTCCACATCCGAAATGGTCACTTGCATGACTGCCGTGGCTGACAAGACGGTGACTTGCTATCTTTCCAACACCCTTTCGGGAGAATATGACGACTTTTCGGCTCCATACTTGTCGAAACAATTGGCCGAGTTCCTGGTAGCTTGCTGCCATCGCATCGAGAGGGTGCAAACCATAGCGATACTTTGTGCAGACAAGATCATTCGAGAGTGCCCCTCTGCATTGTGTGAAAAACATTCTCTCTTTGCCTTGCTTGAAATCCTGACTGTGATGTGGTCATCCTGCCTTCAAGGAGAACTCGATGAGTTTGAGTGGAAAGCATCGCTAGTGTCGCCGATGGGCATAGTTAGAGTCGATTTGCCCGATAACTATGCGCTGAGGAAGGTAACTCTAAATCGTTTCCTTGAGCGAGCCAGAGCGTGGGTGACAGCAGTGTTGAACGTCGCCCCTCTGGATATCAAAGGCCTCCTTCAGACATACCTCTCTGAGTTCGACGATGATGGCGTTTATGGTCATATATCATTGGGCCGTTCTTTCGCCCTGGAGATGGGTTCGCTCATTCCGCAAAGTGATCCACGACTAGGATCTATCGAAGGCTATGATGCCAACGAAATCAATGTTGCTTCCGACTTCATGGCTCTTTACACAACTCGACAGAAGTACCGCCGACCCGAAGCAACTTTGCTTGACGGATCGGGTGAAGACATCTTTGGCACCATTGGCCGGAAGCCCTCGGCAGATATTCCACCCGAGTCTGCCGAGGACTTGGAATATTCCCTAGCCCGTCTGTACGAACGGAGTATGCGGGGAGGACATATTCCTCTTGTTGAAGTGAGGGATGTTTTGCGGCAGGCCGCGGGTCTAATTTGCAGCAGCAGCAAGCCGCGGCTTTCTGTCGTTCATTACCTAGTTGCCTTGCCGTTCCAGATTTTCACCAAGGAGATCATCAAGCTGGGTGTCTCTCTATGGCTTGGTGTCATTCATGAAAACCCTAGCATTGAGCCACGGATTCTGGCTGAAGTAGTCGAGGCCTGGGAAAGAAGCATCCAGCGCCGCCAGGGTTTGTTCGATCCTACGTTCGGGTATCTCGATCCACTGCATACCAAGATCGAATTGCTCCCTACGGATAAGACATTGATGCTCAAGAAGCAGCAAAAGGCCCAAGACACACTTTCCCCACACTCACGAGTTCTTCAGTTCTTTGAGAGCCATTTCAACGCCATTCGCCTAGGCAATCTGCAGGACCAGCAACTCTTTTGCCGTGTGATTAGCAGTACTGTTGTGGCTCTCTGTCAGACTCAGGGCCATCCTTTGGCTCGAGAAGTCCATTTCCGCATCGTCCTCTTCGGTTTGAGGGTTTTGAAGCATTTGAGCCCGCAGATTATCTCTGCGTCTTGGAAGCTTAAGGATCAAATTCTTTCCGCCGCTCTCAGCTGGTTCAAGCACCCCCCAAGGTATGGCACCTCTCGTTAACACTCAAATCCTAAAGACCTTACTAACACACGCTCTCTTAGATGGTCATTCGGAGGCAATCGGCTTCAGATCAAAGCCGAAGACAAGATCCTCGGTGACGTACTGTCTATTTTGCGGAGTGTCGCTCACATCGCTTCTCAGAACCAAGGACCGTGCAAATCTCTGCAGGCCAAGCAGGATTTGGTTCAAATTCTCATCGAGAATGAGAGATCTCGCCTTCGAGTTTGGTTGAATCCTTTGGAGCCGGAGCGAAAACACCACATGCCCTCACTTGGGGGCAAAAATTCAACGGAGGGTGTTGTGTCATTCCTCAAACTTGCCTGGACGGAGAGCCCCGGGTTGGCCATTCAACTTGCCGCCCGGTTCCCGTCGGCCAAGATGCACAGTGATCTTCGATGGTTGATCCTCAATCTCCCCGAAAAGGTGATCAGTGAGGCAAGCGCTCTTGAAATCATGTTCGAAGCGTCCCTACCATCCGATGTCAATCACCAACTGAAGTACCTCTTGTTCTGGGCACCGGTGAACCCAACTGAGGCTCTGACATACTTCTTGCCCGCTTATGGCAACCATCCATTCATTTTGCAGTACGCCATGCGCGCCCTGGAAAGTCACCCCATTGATGTTCGCTTCTATTTTGTTCCGCAATTGGTCCAGGCTCTACGATACGATGCTCTGGGCTACGTGGAACGTTACATCCTCGAAACGGCAAAGCTGTCCCAGCTGTTCGCTCACCAGGTGATTTGGAACATGAAAGCGAACTCGTACAAGGACGAGGATTCCCAAGTGGTAAGTACAGCTTAATTTTGCAATCTTCGCTCGATCAGTATCTAACATCATATTCTATCAGCCTGATCCCCTCAAGCCAACGATCGATCGTTTTATCGACACGTTGATAGCAAGCTTTTCCCACGAGGAGCGTAACTTTTATGAACGGGAGTTTTCCTTCTTCAACGAGGTCACTGGTATCTCCGGCAAGCTTCGGCCCTACATCAAGAGGAGCAAACCTGAGAAGAAGGAGAAAATCGAAGAAGAGCTCCGCAAAATAAAGGTCGAAGTCGGGGTGTACCTTCCCAGTAACCCTGACGGTGTGGTCGTTGGAATCGATCGCAAGTCCGGCAAGCCCCTGCAGAGTCACGCAAAGGCCCCATACATGGCAACCTTCCGAATTCAGAAGACACGACCGCGCCCTGATGCAGATGCAAAGGCCGATTGCAATAACCCCGGGGCCCACGGGCCTGAACAGCGTCATCTTATCGGTCCGACGGCGGAGGCTGACCAGGAGAAGTACGAAGTCTGGCAGTCAGCGATCTTCAAGGTCGGCGACGACTGCCGGCAGGATATGCTGGCCCTACAGATGATTGCGGCCTTCCGAAGCATCTTCTCCAGCGTGGGGTTGGATGTTTGGGTCTTCCCGTATCGGGTCACTTCCACTGCACCGGGATGCGGTGTTATCGATGTGCTCCCCAACTCCATTTCTCGTGATATGCTGGGCCGCGAGGCAGTGAACGGATTGTATGATTACTTCGTCTCCAAGTACGGAGGAGAGGACTCGATCCGATTCCAAGAGGCACGTACCAATTTTGTCAAGAGTATGGCCGCCTACTCCGTCATATCCTATCTCCTGCAGTTCAAGGACCGGCACAATGGAAACATCATGATCGATGATGCCGGGCATATCATCCACATCGACTTCGGATTCTGTTTCGATATCGCACCCGGTGGTGTCCGCTTCGAGCGTGCACCGTTCAAGCTCACCTCCGAGATGGTGGCCGTGATGAGTGGCACTCACAACCCGGCTCATCACAGTCTGCCGGGAACCAATTCGCACAACCCGACTGCCACTCAGCCTTATCGCTGGTTTGAATCCTTGGTCGTCAAGGCATTCCTGGCTTCGCGTCCCTATTGTGCCAAGCTGTCGCACATTGTATCTCTAATGCTTGACAGCGGCCTACCATGCTTCAAGCCCGAAACACTCAAGAACTTCCGCGACCGGTTTGTCCTGGACAAGACCGACAGAGAGGCGGCGGAATTTATGCGAGACCTCACTCGCAAATCGTACATGAGCGTATCCACCAAGGGATACGACCAGTTCCAGCTGATGACCAACGGTATTCCTTACTGACGGCCCAGATAACCTCTTTCTTTTGAATCCTGCTCTCGTTTATGCGGTATAGTTTCTTTCTGTAGCCCAGTTTAATCAATTCTACCACACCTTCTATCAAGTCACAGTCGTTCGTAGATGTCTCCTCGGCCAGTTCTCTCCACCCATGGATTCCTACCTCCGTGCTATTACGTCAGCCCAGCGAGCTCGATAAAAGAGTTGTACTATGCTGAGAACGTGGTTTAACTCCGACGCATCCCAGGTTCCTGTTTGTTGACAAGGGTGGTTCTTGACGTCACGACTTCGTGTCCGCCACATCTACCAACATGCCTTTATTCTTCGCGGGATGACGAAGTTGGCGTTCGAGGACCCAACCAACGGTCACAGACCATATTTGATCTATAGCCGTAAAACATCACAGTCAACCTTCAACCTTCAACCATTCACCTGCCGGAGTGCGGTTGAGATGAAGCCCTAAAACATATCTTAAGCCCGCGTATCAGCAACACCAAACGTGTGGTGGCACAATTGATCCATGACGAGCTCATTCTACCATAGAAGACTTGGGAGGTGGCAACCTTATGATCGAAAGCCCATTCGCCCCGCATAAAACCTTTAAAAATGCGACAATTGCCTGACAAGGTCGCCTTATTCCATCCCCATATTTTCTCACGTGGCCCAAATCCCGTCACGGACGTATGCAATTGATTTCCCTCCCTTTATCACACCGACTTCTACGGCCAGAATGAAGTCCCCATTTGCTAGCAAGCAGAAAACTGAAGACAGCGGGTCGCCTCCGGTGACCGATTTACCAAACTCGTTTGACCAGGAGAAGAGGCGAAGCAGCTCCCTTGACGAGAGGCACGTGCCATGGGTAACCTGGCGGTCGTTGCTGCTGGGTGGCTTTGCCTCAATTGGCGGTATTATCTTCGGTTATGATACTGGTCAAATTTCGGGGTTCCTTGAGATGATGAACTATAAGCAGCGCTATGCCCAGCTCAAGGACGGCAAGTATACGTTTAGCAATGTCCGTTCAGGATTGATTGTGTCCATGGTACGTTCGCGCTGGTCATCGATTGTGATTCTCATCAGCTAATTGAATCCAGCTTTCCATCGGTACTTTGATTGGTGCTCTGTTGGCGGGTCCTCTGGCAGACCGTATTGGCCGCAAATGGTCGATCTTCTCGTGGTGTATTATTTTGCACGTCGGCCTCATCATTCAAATTAGTTCACCGTCTGGGAAATGGTACCAAATGATGATGGGGCGATTCGTGACTGGATTTGGTGTGGGTGCCTGTTCGTTGCTGGTTCCCATGTATCAGGGTGAGATTGCTCCACGACACATTCGAGGTGCCATGGTTTGGTAAGTGGAAAACAGGCAATCATGAAATGAACATGAGAACTAACATTCTCGTCAGTTCATACCAACTGTTCGTCACGCTCGGTATCTTCGTTGCATACTGCATCAACTACGGCACGGAGACCATGGACAACACAGCCTCGTGGAGAATCCCACTGGGCATCACCTTCCTTTGGGGTTTAGTGCTGGGATTCGGTATTCTCATGTTCCCCGAAAGTCCCCGATTTGACTATCGGCATGGACGCATCGACCAGGCGAAGAGAACCATGTCCAAGCTATACGGTATTCCCGAAAACCATCGGGTGATCGTACACGAGGTGCTCGAAATCCAGGAGCAGCTGGATGCAGAGAAGGGAGCCAGGGGCGGATGGCATGGCTGGGTTGAGATGTTCCAGGCCCCCCGGATGCCGTATCGTATTGCACTGGGCATGGTCCTTCAGGCATTCCAGCAGCTCACCGGTGCCAACTACTTCTTCTACTATGTAAGTATCACGATCGGGCACTTTCTCTAATTCAGAGCTAACCTTGTTCATAGGGTACGACGGTCTTCAACGGAGCCGGAATCAGCAACGTCTATGTCACGCAGATGATCCTGGGCGGCGTCAACTTCGGTACCACGTTTGGAGGCCTGTACGTGATCGAACATTTCGGTCGCCGCAAGTCTCTGATGGCGGGCGGTATCTGGATGTTCGTCTGCTTCCTGATCTTCGCCTCGGTGGGACATTTCTCTCTCGACATCAGTACACCATCCAACACACCGGGAGCCGGAACGGCGATGGTGGTGTTCGCCTGTCTGTTCATTACAGGGTTCGCGATGACTTGGGGCCCGATGGTGTGGGCCATCGTGGCCGAGTTGTACCCATCACGATATCGAGCGCGGGCGATGGCGATGGCGACAGCGTCGAACTGGATGTGGAATTTCCTGATCGGGTTCTTCACGCCGTTCATCACGCACGACATTGACTTTGCGTACGGTTATGTCTTTGCCGGGTGCCTTGCTGTCGCGGTGGTGATCGTGTATTTCTTTGTCATCGAAGGTAAAGACAGGACGCTGGAGGAGATGGACATGATGTACGTGATGCGGGTGAAGCCGTGGGAGAGCAGCAACTGGGAGGCGCCGGCGCCGGAGCATCGGCTCACGACGGCGCAGCTCATGGACCGCCAGGTGGCCGAGGATTACAACCGCGACGAAGAAACAGCCGCCGGTAACAAACAGGCGGAAGGCCCGGGCCACATGCATGCAGAGAACCTACAGGAGAATCCAGCCGGAGCAGGTCCGTCCGCAGCCTAACTTGGAGCTGCATGTGATAGTGTAGAGGGGTTGGAGGGAGAGAAGGAGTGAGAAAAAGGGTCGGGAGGGTGATGAGAAGAGCTAAAAGGAGGAGAAAACGGGTGGAAGAGCGGTGTTCCACACGATTTGCACATACAGACCCTACGAGTATATTCAGAAGTATATAATGACTGAGTACACAGAACGGTCGATAGAAATCTCACGTCAATTTGTTATTCATATATCGGATGATCGTCCCTCAGCGCCAGGATGAGGTCACAAACACAAAAAGAAATAGAAAACACGGTTCACGCCCAGAAAACACCAAGTAGAAAAGACATATGAGTTGCAGGACCAGGAGAGCCGATACCAATCTTGATCCCCCTCTCGTAAATGTCAAAATGTTAGGGGGCCGCTTTGAAACACTCCAAGCGAACATAGAAAAGGCTAAAAACACAGAGTGGGAAGCATGCCGCCGGGCATCCCTCCCGATTGAAGTCGTAGAAAAAGGAGGGTTTCAAGCCTAGTCCATAAAGTCACCTCGCAAGATCTTCTCCTGGAAGAAATCGGGCTTATTCTGCTTGGGCTGCTTGGGGATTTCCCGCACGGGTTGCTCCATCGAAGCAATCGAAGCGGCACGCTGGTGGCCAGGCTGGCGGGTAGCGGAATGGCTCTGGGGGGAGACGGGGCCACCGAGGGAAGGGGCACGCTCGGCACGGGAGCGGAGGGCCTCGGACCAGTTGAAGCCTTCGCCTAATCGCCGCGATGCGTTAGATCTCTCATCTTGGGGAGTCGTTGAGGTACTTGCGGGAGATCGGGGTTTGGAGCTGGAGGCGGCCGTGGCCGGAGGCGGACGCGCACCAGCCGTGGAGGATGAACCGGGGGGATATCTACCGTTGCCAATGCTTCCAGTTCGAGCCTCACGCAGCGCTTGAGCCCCGAAGGAGACCCGTCGGGCGAACGGAGAGCTGGGGCTAGCGCTCGGAGGAGAGCCTTCGGCATCCTCTGCCATTGCGTCTTCGTTGGGAGCACTGCCCCACGAGCTGGAAAGGCTGCCTCGACGGATGCCCCGGTTTCCAAAGGTGGAAGCCTGGGTGGGTGAGCCGGACAATCCGAGCGTGGTTATGGACAGTCGCCGCTGCTGGTTGGCCTGGTTGGCAGCGGCCTGGTTGGCGGAAGAATCTCTCTTCGAGAAGAGGTCGGCGATGGAACCGCGCCGACGGCGGTTGTCCGATTCGGGGACGGAGATCGGCTCGGACGGGCGGCCGTTGGACATGATGGAGGATGGAGAGGACTAGGAAAGCGTCGAGGGGAAGTAGGAGAAAAGGCAAAGATCTTGGACGGACTTGCCGCCCTTCTCATGCGAAATTCGAATAAAGGAGGAAGCAGCACCAGTGAGGAAATAGAAACCCTGGGAACTGGTGGATAGCTGAATAGTTGAAGTGGGGAAAAGAGGAAGTGGTAGTGAGTGTAGAGAGTAGTGAGTAGTAGAGAAAGGAAAGTGAATCGATGAGGAGAAGGGGGAAGGAAATAAAGGAATCACAGGGATGTCAAGGATGGGATTGTGTGGTGCCACAAGAAAGCCAAGGGGGGGGGGGAGGAGAAGAAAAGAGGGAAAGCTTCGAGGCTAAGCTCGAATATCTGGGGTAAGCAGTGGCGCGATTGTCGTATCCGGTGCAGAGTGGAGAGTGGATGATGCGGGCTGCCGGGCCAGCGCATGTGATTGGATGGCGTCTGACCGTGCGGCCGCATGGGGCAATTAGTGGGCCCAACCGGGCTTTAGTCCTCGGGATCTGCACTGGGCACCCTACACACACGCACTCGAGGTCCGTAAGAATATATAGATATATACAGGGGACGTAGGGAATAGTATAGACATGGCACGGAGTATAGGTGAATATATATAGAGAGAAGTATTTGTGTTGGGAAGAAGGGAGGGGGAAACTGCCACCTCGTGCCACATTCCCCGATAAATAGAAACAAAGAAAATAAAAAAAAAGGCTGAATTGGACGTACGTCGTGTATTGCTCGTTTCCCGTGATTGTTATTTTTCAAGTCTTTTGGCCTTTGGCCTGCAGGATTCCCGGTTCCTCCCTGGAGGAACACAAAGCTCAAGATGAGAATCACGTCAGGTGAAACAGCTGGACGAGTTTCCGGCCGATCGTCGGCTCGATTTCCGTTCCGTCACGGGCGATCTTCACCTCCCGGTTGGCATTCCACGGATTGCGGAGGCCGCGGGTGCGGTGGAAGGGAACTCGTTCGGTCGATAGCCATTGAATGCGGAACGGTTTGCCAAACGACTGCGCCTCTGCCTCCTCTTCCTCCACGCTCTTCTCGCTGCGCACATCCTCCTCCTCTTCCGAGGACTCGACTTCCCAGAATATTGTCCCCCGGGCCGAATCGTCGATGATCCGGCCTTTCGGGGCCGTCGACGTGGCCATCGTGATGGTCACATCCAATTCGTCCGGTCCTCCCGCCGAGGGCTCGGGCCGTGGTGGCATCTCCAAGGCAAGTTCTTCATCGTCACTGATCGGTGACAACATGCGGGCGTATCCAAAATACTCGCCGGATTTGTTCGCGGAGAAGATCAGATACACGTGCTCGGTGGTCTGTCATGTGCCCGTGTTAGGAGACGGGGAGAAAGGGACCGTGGGATGGAATGGAGCTACTTACCTCGAAGGCTTGGTTCAGATTGGTTTCGTTATGGGTCTGAGTGGCCCAAATTCCACTCTGCTTGCTTAATTCAAGATCCTCCACGGTCAAACTCTTGACGACGAAGTACCGATCCAGGGTCTGAGATCCCTGGTCACGAGGCGGGATCGTGGGTTCGGGCACTGCGGGCTTATCATCACCGAGGGCATCCGCCGCCTCGTCCCGCGACTGCGACCGAGAAGTGCCAGATCCAATCCCCGACCCCGGTGCCGTGAAACCCTTGCGTAGTCGGCACACTAGACGCACTCCCTGGAACCTCGAGTCGTGGAATCTCGCCAAAGCGGCAGCGCAAGCCGCCGCGGACCGGTAGTTCACAAATGCACAATTACTTTTGGAAATCAAAAACACGCTCTCGATATCGTCCGTGGCATCCTGCGAGAAATGATCCTTCAGATCAATCACGTTCGCCCCCGGTGGCAGATTTCCGACCCAGAGTGCATGCCCCGATTGTTTGGGTTTTCGCGGCGGTCCGCGTGGCGTTGAGCTGGTAGATGTCGATTGGGTCACGAGAGAGGATTCTGTAAAAGGAGAACGAATGAGCAACCGATCCTCTCCTCGCATGTTCCGACCTTTCTACTTACCGGGAAAGACGGGTGCGGGCTGCGCCAGCTTCATGGGGTTTGAGCCATCGACGATGGTCTTTGAAACATCATACTCCGCTTCGGCAGACTGCTTGTCATGGTCACTTTTCGGCGGCCCGAAAGCTGTTGGTGGCGCACGAGAAGGCGGGCGGGATTGAGGCCCAGGCGGTCGTGGCTGACCGGTCGAAGGGTGCACCCCGTGTCCGTAAGATGCTGTATAAGGCGGAGGGTAGTATGAAGCACCGTAGACAGGTGCCTGCCCCGGCCCCATGCTCTGCATTGACGGACCTGGGACAAAAGGGGGGTTAGTGGCCCCCAACGGGCTGGCCAGCCCCGTAGGATGAGTAGGTTGGCGCAAAAGGTACACCGTAAGGCATCCCACCTCCAGGATTCTGTCCGGGAAATGGGCCCATGGACGGTATGGGATACACGAGTCCCTGGGCATGAGCTGGAGACGGATACTGGTGAACGATATGCCGTTGGTCATAGGGCGACGGCTGTGTCTGATGAGCTGGCAGCGAATAGGCCATGTTCCCCATGTCTAAGGGAGACGAAGGCCCGTATAGCCTGGGGCCAGGATAGCCCGTCGAACCGGGCTGGTGGTTTCCATGTGCTGGTCGTGCGGGTTGGGTGACAGTGCCTGTAGCATCGAACCGTCGAGTCAGTGATTCCGTTCTTTGAGTGACGTTCTAGCGAAATCATTCATTGAGGGACTGACCGGAGGTTGACGAAGCTTTGGGCACTGGCGGAGGATTCTTTTCCCCTGCCCCGCGGCTTGAGCTGACCTTGCCTGAAGAAACATCGCCCATGGGGTCCGGTGTGTATTGGCGAGGATGGGAAAGTTGGAACGACGGATATCAGTCCCTACGGAGGATTCGGTTTAGTAACCTTGACAGAGTCGAGATGCTCGGGGCCGGACCAGCCTCTCGAAATCGCCCAGGTTCTGAAGTGGTGAGACCCTGCCAGGTCGACCTTCACAGATAATATTGACAAACGCAACACCTCTCCTTGTCACAAACGTTGACAAGACAGGGACCGCGAGATAGTGCGTACTGAAATGATACAGCCGTTAATGACGATTGCTCATCGAGGAAAGAGACAACAGGTCCAAGATGAGGAGGGATCACACTAATGACACTATGCAGAGGTATACTACAGTGCGTGCACAAAATCAGAGACGGAGACCAAAGATGAGGAACGATTTGAGGGAATCAACGGAGCGTAAAAGGGAAAAAGGACAGAGTGACAGAGCCGACAGTGCGCCGTTTACGCGCTTAACCAGGGCTCTGACAGATTCCCCGAGGACGAAAGCCACGGAAGTGGCTCATCCTTGAAGGAAAATAAAAAGAAGTCATCAGGTGGGACAAGAAGGGAAGTAAACAGGGAAAACATGAATAATATAAAGGATTGAAAGGAGCCGTAGTGGAGACGGGCTCGGGTGTCAATCAGTTGGGGGCCACAGAGTAAACAGGATGATTTAAGGGGGCCAAAAGACCGAGTATAGGTCCGCATCAGACGAAGCCTCCTCATCGGAAACTTAAGAAGGGGCAAGGCAGAGAGTACTAGATAGGGCCGAAGCATGGGGAAAGGGAAAGGGGCCCCGCCAATGGAATGATCCTCCATGTAGGGCTAGGCTTTCGCACAGAATTGGACAAGACGTGCAGAAGGCCAAAAAAAAAAAGTAGATCGCTTGGCTTACCTGAAACGACCGAAGATCCCTTTCACCTTCTGGAAGCAAACGAGACGGAATTGGCTGAAGGGCGGTGCTACCAAGTCAGAGTCCTGAAGATCGAGATGACAGTTGGACGGGAGGGGCCTTGGGTAGAGCTCGGATTCACCCGAAGAAAACAGTAGAGCAGATGTAGAAAGGAAGCCGAAACGGGGAGCTAGACGGAGGAGGAACGTACCTTAAGCCGAAAGGGGAGCTGGGAAAAAGAAACAGAGCCAACCCGGAGTCGGCGGGGCCTCGAAGAATTCCAGATATGCCCTGTTTTTGTTGCTGTCTGCTGGCCCACGGGCTTAAAAGGGACCCCAAAGTGGCGATTTCAAAACAGTTGACTCCCTTGGCAAGCTGTGGCTAAAGAACGAGAACGAGAAAAGGACCCAGCTCTTGCATCGGGGAAAACGTCAGCTGCAGGCGAATTTCTCCAGAACGGATGGAGCCGATGGGGAGGATCGGAGCCAGGGACGAGCTTGTACAATTGTACAGTATACCTGTGGCTCGGTGGGTCGCGCTGGGGTTGTGCGTGAGGATTTTCTGCGGACGGGCCCCGATTAAGCTTACCAGCCCCGAACGAGCAATAGCCTTGGGCTAGAATCTGTTATGCCCTGCCGCGCGCCACCGGATGATTGATGCTTTCCCCGTGACAAATACAGGAAACGTGGAGCAGTTGGCGGAGGAGGTCTAGATGTGTAGAGAAGAGACGCCACCGGGAAGTTGAGGCTCGATCGGCAAATGTATCTCGAGCCATCGATTGGAAGTCGACGAGCCAACCATGGATATTCAGAATAATTTGTCAAGTCAATCCCGGGCATAAGGCAGACGAATGTTTACGATGGGAATGGGAATCTGGACGGTGATCTCCAATTACCTACCGCAAGCGGGTAGTATTTGGAATCGGAACGGGCTTTTTTTTGGGCAGAGGAAAGGCAATTGGCAAGTGCATGGCCGGTTTGCCACTGTCAAGGATGTGGGTACAAGTTGGAGCTCGAGAAGACGTGGACCCGAGGGGGGTGAGTAACAATACGCAGCCGTTACCTTGGAGTCGTTTGTGTACGTAGACACATAGGGACCTTCTGTTCCACCCGAAATATTACCATGAGGCCCTTTACAGAAAGAGCCCCGGGCGTGCCATCGGCCTATCATGCGTGGAGCAAGAATTTGACTTTGCATCAACGGCCAACGCAAGGGGAGAGGGTGGGAACGCAGGACTGGCTACACTCCCACTAGGCTCGATCATGGATCATGAGGGCCTCCGGTGGGTCAATGAGTCTGTTGTTCCCATTAAAATCCTCCACGCTGTGGCGGCCCATGCGGATACCATGCGGATACCGGGTTAGGTGGTAGCAGACGTGGCCGAGGAAACCATGGTAGTATGTAGTATGTTCTGGTAGGATCAGAGACCCCCCCCCCCGATGAGCCGATGAACGGGAGGATGACGCCGGGAAAGTCCGTACGGGCTCGAACATTTACGTCCATTGCGACGGGATAGGGTTTTCGGGGATGACCCAAGGCACCAGGTCGATCAGACCAGACTGTCGGGTATGGCGGGAACCCGCTGCAGGTCACTCCAGGGCTGTATCTAGACCTCGACGAACCGGCAGTCCTGGACCTGGGGCCTGTCCCTTTCCGGTAGGAACCGTTCGGTAGGGAATAGGTCTCGACAAGGGCTTTGTTTCTGGGCCAATTGTACAGGAGGACAGGTCCACCAAGCCCACCGATTAATAAGGCGCGAAAGTCGAGAAAGTTGGCAGTTGCCAAGATCCACTTGACTTCTGGGCCGGCAACCGGACCCGACCAATCACGTGCCTGAACGGTGAACTACATCGCTTGCCCTAACTCCTTTTACATCTAGGGTGAGCCAAATATGTACTCTTTTTTGCGGTATGCTTAGTTGCTGCTCTCAAGGCAGGCCCCCATTCTACCGACCATGAGGCAACCCCGTTAACCTTTCCGGTGGCAATCGCATGTGTTGACGTTGACACAAACGCAGGGACACGCAGGGACCTCGTGTCATACACTCCTCCCCGATAGGAACTCATTGCTTCGTACATGATACTCCGTTGATGGAACTTATTTACAAATGCTACCCCCCTTGACGATTTATCATGTTTCTATTTCAATACATTCAGTCGATACCCCCTTCACATATCCTCTTTTCCAAAGATTTTAACCGGAATCTTTGATCATAAGGATCATTGATCCACGACTCGACTGGATAAACGTATTTGCCCTTCTGCAACGTCGATGACCGCAAAAAAAGGAGTGACTCATTCGCTCCTCGCCACCCGCATACCTACGGTGCCGTACCTCCATCCTTGTTCACCGTGTCATCCCTATAGGGGCCGTGCAGCCGAGTGCTGCCTGTGAGAGCTTCAGAGAAGATTCGGATCAACCAACCATCGGACGGAAGTGGAAGAGACTCCCAAGAGCCAGTACAGTACATGCAGGTACATCCAAGATTCGGCTGTGCCACCTGGTTTGGTCCTGAAAGCGCCACGGCTCCATACTCAACGTACTATCCACGGGCGTGGACCTCAGTGGAGGTCACTCTTAGGTCCCTGGGGCCCCTGCACGAGCCTGTACGCTTCGGGCGATCCGGGCCTCGTGAGTGGGCAACTTGCAAGTTGACTCCTTCTCGAAGCATCCGTCGTTATTTTGGTCGAAAGATCGGCGCCACCGACACCTGAGGCGCGTCACATCGTGGAGTACATGACGTCATGGGATGGTACCTCAACCCGTTCCTGACAAGAAAACGCTTTCCACCCGTCGTCATTCTGCATCTACCCATTGTTGATCCCGTGGGGACCGAAAATGTGATGCTCAAATGACAGAGTCCCTTTCTCTACCGGATAGGGCCCCTGTCGATGCCGATGATGCAAATATCTGAAACTCAACCCTTCCCCTTCGTGGAGCAGTGAGAGGAGCCTGATCCATTGGAGCCCCGCATAACTAACATAGGACAATGCGACCTACATGTACGCGTCGAGTGATTTATGTGCGCAGCCCTTCTCCGGCACTCGCAGCACCCGCAGCCCCGCCTCTGCCCCTGGGTCGAGAAGGGAGTCTCCAATCAGACATCCATCGTTTGATATGATCAGCCTTGGAGGGAGTATGGTACCATGTCCGCCCGTCCTGTGACAAAACATGCACAGCCTCCACGAACCATCAATGCCTGGAGGACAGTCGTATCGTTTAAAGGGAGATCAACGGAGATCAATTGGAGTTGGGCAGCTCACTGGCCGATCTCTCGCCATGGTGTGGTGGCAGTGAAACTTGGAAGGGTTAGCTGGATCCTCAATCAGGATTGAGTGGCTGGGCTGCGTAGATCAGCAAGGCTTCTGTGGAAAATACTCACTCATCCCTCGGCCCATATCTCTCGTTCCACCGCCACCCAGCCTGCTAAATCCCAACCGTTGCCCGAGTATCCCAGAGTAGTATTTCCGAGATGCTGCTGCGGGAGACTTGCTCACGCCACTTGGGTCTCGGCCTATGCCGAACGCCACAGACCCATGTCGTGATCTGCATTGGGCAGGTGGTTACTCATGTTTCTGTCAGCTGCCGGGCGTCGGTGAAGCACCGAGGCTGAAGGAATTGCCACTGGCAGACAACGAGACAGGCGACCCCCGTAGTGATACTAACCTACAATGTGTTCTGTATGATATCAATCTCGTGGCTGAGTACTTGCTACGTATCCTTTTGCTCTTTTCAGTCTAGCGTATGCTCGCCATTGTTGGATGGTAGAAGGAACAATACCATTCTGTTGGTTTATCCAACAGTTGGAATACGAATGGGTAAGAATCAACTAGAATCTCAAGAGATTCAGTTGAGCTATACCGCGAACTATACATCTGTGGCGCCAAGGCCCGTTCAAGAAGAAGTCATTCGTTAAAAGAAAGAAAAAGGTAGTGGGTATTGCGATACACGATGCGGTCCCGCCCATATTTAAATTCTTCACAAGAAGTAAAGTTGTAGAAGGGAAGCAAGCCTCAGAAATGCATCGCAATGCCATACAGGAAGAAGCCAAAGACCGGAGTCAGCAAGGGCACACAGAAAAGAAGCCCAAGAGTTTATCCTGGCAGATTGAACCAAGAGACATAGTAAAAAACAGAAGCCGGCCACCGATGGTCGCGGCAAATACTCAAGCCGTACAACCCACAGTAGTCATCAGATGGGGAATGTTCATGCAAATCTCATTACGAGGGATATAATTAGGTTGGTGAGTAACGTGCGATGAAGCAAGATTTATCGGTCGATCCCAAGGGACGCCACTTTTCCTGCAAATCGAGCACCGGCACTTCCTCGCTTGGAAAGCTTTTCCTTTTCTTTTTCCTTGCTGTCCGAGGAGCCGGGTGGCTGCGAGGAAGACGAGGAAGTATTATCCTTGCCCGATGCTCGGATGGTAGGTAAAGAGCCTAGGCTGTCGGTAACGCTGACCTTACCCGGGACAGGACCCGGTGGAGGAGATATGAATGCAGATGTCCGCGAAGTCCGCTGACTGAGATAGAGTTGGGCTGCCGAGGAGAGGGGGATGGAGGGCGGTTGCGGGGGAATATCCGCACCGTTCTGAACCAGCAGCTCGGCGATGGGGAAGGGGATCGCCTTAATGGTTGAGCGAGAGGAGATAGGTATGGTGGGTGTAGACCCAGGAGAGGCTGGGTCTGCAGCAGCAAGAGCCAGGAACACCGCATGGGTGTTGCGGGAGCGATCAGTCACATTCACGTTGGCACGCAGGGCAATACCGTAGAGCACTCCTTGGATATCATTTCTTTTTATCGAAGCAAGAAGGGTCTCGTTGGGGGTCGCAAATCGAGACCGCGGGGACGGCAGATGTTCAACATAGGCTCGATCAACATACTTGCCCGTAATGAACTTCAGTCGTTGCTCTCTCGTCGAGACTGCGCTCGGCTTGAGCGACTGGTCCAGGGTCGCCTCCCAAATCATGTTGCTGACTCGATTGCCAATCTGCAAGAGGATCTCAACAATGTCGTTCGAGAAAGAATGTACGTCGAGGGTGAGCGACCGGATCTTGGAGATGTGTGTTCCCAAAGACCGGTGGATGCCACTACACTCAATGCACAAGATGATTCCGAGGTTGATCGAGACCCATTCGACTTTGGAGGAAGAACCACAGTCGGCACACCACATGTTTCCCTCGTCCGCGTTACGTACGGCCTGGAGGAGACGTGACGGATTTTCTTCATAGCTATTGCTGTCGTGACGAACATAACTGGGTCGCGCTCCAACCGTAGTCCGGCGATTCACACCACTGCTGCTGGAGCTGTTTGAATAAGAGTGGTGGCCAGAGACCGACGAGCTCTTTCCTGTGAAAACGGAGCCGATATCACGTCCACTAGATTCGTTCTTAGACGGGACTGGAGGGGGTGGCATTCCTTGTCCTTCCACTGCACTCTGAAGTGCGTTATTGATAGACCGGATCCAGTTGGCCATGTCCTCCTCCGAAGTTGCTTGATAGATACGCTTGAATTGAGGTGTAATCACTTCGAAGCAGAATCGCCGTTCTGCATTTCGAGCTTCGCGAACGGATGCCATGCGGAGATCGATCGGTTCCATGTGAAGATCTAGCTTTTGTTTCCAATTGCTATATTCAGAAAGTTTTCCTTGATCTAGCACAATCCAGAACCTGTGGTTGAGAAATCATTAGCGTACGACATAGATTCAACGGCGTTTTTGCAATGACTTACTTATGCCATGCCTGTTTGTTAATTCCTTTTGGATCAATATGTGAACCCGGACGGGACAACGCCCACAGGAGACCCTCTTTCCGTTGCTGACCCGCAGCGCGATCGAACCAAAGAATGTCTCTTTCCTCGAGGTCTCGAATGCCTTTGAAGCGATTTTGGCCTGGGGCTCCACTAGCACCGGCGCTTGTTGTGGGCGCGGAGGTGCCAGCGGAAGTGCCAGCGGACCCTGCGTTGGCCTGAGACGAAACGGACGAAGTGTTGCTGATGACGCCGCGCAGCTGAGATCCAGTACTATCGGCTCGACCCAGTTCATTGTCGATGGAAGTAGGCCCGTTGGCAGCACCGGTAGATGTAGAAGTGGCGATCGTCGCGCCAGTCACCACGTCGGGCTCCAGATACGGTTTACTGTTCTTTTCCAAAGCCCTGCGCTTTTCCTCGCGCTCGGTCCGTTTGAACTGGAACTCCTTGTCTGCCTGGTTCACCTCATGAATGAGAGCGTCAAGCTGGGGGACCATCTCATCAACCTTCTTAGCAGCCGCCAAGAAGTTCTTGGCCTGAAAGTCGGCATACTTCGTCAGATGCGATAAGACCTCTTGCTCCTTGCGGCCTCCGTGGAGATCCTGCATAAAAGAAGAATAGTCGAAGCGCTTCAGCTCGAAATTTCGCCGCTTGACCTGATACTTCGAATCGCTCTCGGCACGTTTCTTCTCTTTAAGCGAGTCCTGTCTCTGGCCCAAATAGCGACTGACGTAGGCATAATAATCGCGACTTTCCTCATCAAACTCTTTCTTTTTCGATTCAGCCTGTTTGATGTCGTTGGTGTACAGCTTCACAAGAGGCTCAATCACGAGCTTCTGCAGCTGGAGTGTGTTGAGCTGTTCGTAATTCTGGATCTGTCGGGCGATCTTCTCAAAGTAGTGGTCTAGTGCCGGCTGGATAGCATTGGCGTTGGATGTAGAAGCATCGTTCAGCGAGCATAAAAAGGCTTCCATGGCCTCGTTGCAGCTTGCTTGCGCTTGCTGGGCAGCCTCGGCTTTCTTAAGGACCTTTTTGATTTTCGAGCGCATGTTCCCCGTTCTCTGCTCCAAAGCCTTCATGGTTGCTCGAAACAGTGGCCCATCTTCCACCACACTCATGTCATCCCCAGGTCGCGAATGTGGAAGGTCAACTTTGACCGGGGGCGGGGGCGGGGGCGGGGGCGCTGTTAGGGGAAGAGGGGGTGCACCATCTGCGCTTTCAGGTGGTGTGGTCGAAAAGTAATGTGAATTCGAGGTGAGTTCGGTGTCACTGAAGTGGGAAACGGTGGACTGGGTGGAGGGGACACGGCTGCGAGGCTGAGGGACAGGCAACTCCAGGTTCGGCGAGGATATTTGTGGACTGGGCAGCAGACGAATGGAGTTATGCACCCAGAAGGAGAAGTGAGCAAGGGTGTTCAGGCGGTTAGTCCTTTGATCATAATCTAAGAAGCTGCAGCTGTTTCGCCAGCCACCACCCTTGTCCTCCATTGCCTTCGGGGGCTTCCATCTCCAGGACCACTCAAATGAAACTGACGGGTTACCGCCGGTCGAAAAGTCTCCGATGAGCTGGACATTGGAGTTATTTTGCAAGTTCGGGTTCGCGTGAAACTCTCTCGTGATTAGATTATCTAGTTCCTTCGAGTTGGATGCGTGGGCAAACGTGAGTCCTGTAAGGTTGGTATCGGCCACTTCGGGGAGCGAGGTCGAGACGCCATTGACGGTTGATCCTGCAACGTTGCCGGTCTGTGTCTGGCGAAGGATGAATGTGAAGTTGAAAATGAGGTCGTCGTCGTTCGAAAGGCGTAGCAAGAACGTCGGGACCGGGGCGGACGAGGGGACATCCGGATCCTGCATTGTTGATCAAAGGTTAGCCCGCCAGCACCACCACGCGATTCCGAGTATCTGTACCTGGATATATTCGATAGGAGTTTCGTCGTTCGAGTCACGTTTTGCTATATACCGCACCGCAGGTAATGCGTTTGGGGACAGGGTCAGCAGGCGGCGGCGGGAGTTGCTTATTGTGACCGATGCGATCGAGACTGGAGGAAATATCGTATCAGCCCGAAGGGTCTTTTGGGAAGAAAAGAGCTCTTGACATACAGCGATTCTGGTCCTTGGAAAACAAGCTCCCCGCATCGTCCAGGCGGCTGGCGACATTGCCCATGATGGCGCAGGCAGAGGGATCAGATCACGGCGCGAGAAGGAGGTTGGCTAAGCACCGAGCCAATCGGCCATCGACAGGGTGCGCAGCAGTCGGATGGCCAGAGAGAGAAATCAAGCGAACGAGCTGAAGGATCCGTCATTCAGTCGTGCAAAGCTGAGGCTGGTGTTGTGGAGGGGAGGGGGGCGGAGGGTGGAGTCGAAGCTTGGGATCGGTGATCGCGTTCGATTTGAGGGGGCGGATTCTCGGGGTCTGCTGCCTCCCTCTGCTCACTTGACTCCTGCTAAACGGAGAACCGGGACCGGAAATATGTTCTATATGCTCTACGGGCCATATCCGCTTTCCTTTCCCCCACGCTATTGACCTCTCGAGTTCGCATTTCGCTAGGCTCCGAAAAATCGCAGGCGGGTGGTGCAGCCCGTCTTTGTTTCAGCCTCAGCGCTTCCGCGGGGACCCAACTATATAGCCCCAAAGGGACCCTCGCGGGGAAGAAATTAGACTTGTATTAATAGGCTGCACTTTATTACTACCTGGGTAGACCTGTACAACTGCATTATCATACATCGATGCCCCCTCAACTCGCATCGTGTCGCATTAGACCCAATCATGAACGTCGTGATGCTCGGTTCCGGACCGAGGTAAAGCAAAGGATGCAACGTGAAGAAGAAGGATTGTACTGTGAAAGAAGAGCCGTAGTGCAGTCTAAGCCGCTGGGCCTGCAGCGGAGGGTGTAGGGGTCGAGAACGCTCGTTCACGTCCGGAGGCATAGCGGTGCTTGGAGCGATTGGGATGCCCATCGGCTTCCACCCACCTCATCATTTGGCCTTTGACATCGCGCATCTCGTGAATCCTTCGGGTCGTATCTCCTCGTTTCTTGGCCTGGCCACTGTGCTCGTTGAGTTCTTCTTCTTCCGAGCTGGAAATGGATAGTGACGAGACACTGCTTTGCTGGAGGTACGCGGCGGGGTTGCCCTGCGCCTTCTTGAATTCCCGCTGTTCTTCCTTCATTTGGCCCATTCGCTCGGCGTCCTGTTGACAGTCCAGAGTAGTGACATGAAGGCCCGGGAAGTTGAGAACGAGGAACTCCCTCAACAGCGGCATTTTCTCGGCGTTGGGCCGATAAGTCCCGCTGTCGTTGTCAATGAAAAGCTCGTAGTCAGACGGATCTGTTGAAGCCTCTTGGGCTTCTTCAGACTCATCCCCTTCTTCCACGGGGATATCATTTTCAGTGTGCGAGGCCGGATGCGACGACGTGGAGTGCTGCCGGCGACGATGCTTGCGCCGGCGCAAGAAGAATTCACCCGAGTAAGCAATATAGATAGATACATCACTATGCATCGTGTGTTTGCTCAGCATATCAATTCCAAATTCTTTGCCCGTTTCGGTAAACCGAAGCTGGCCGTCCAACGTGAGCACATAGGTGAAGATCCGACCGCCTTGACCGTAATGGGCAAACTCGAGGAACTTCCGAGAAAATTCATCGCAAGGATGGGGGAAACTCCCGTTGACAGTGGAGCGGTCGAAATTGTAGATCCGCTGATGTTGATGGTGTAGCGCCTTGTGCAAGATTCGGCCCCTGAGGCTTTGCGCCTGAAACATGCCTGCCACAAACGGCTTAAACTCCACATAGCGATGGTAAAGTTCGCAGGGAACAGGGCCCATGAGCTGTATTTGAATGGCTTGGAAGCTAATTGGCAATGATTAGCATGTGGCAGCCCCGAAACAAACACCCACGTGTAACATACTTGTATCGACTAGGAGCCTTGCCGCTCCCATCGTCGCCTTGGACTTGATCTTTCGTTCCGATCAGTCGCCCGATGAGAGGTGAGAAGTGCTTGAACCAATGATTCGGGCCGACGGTATACATCTGGCCGCCATTGTCTCCCGCCGTTTTTCCTAGAACTTCAATGCTCATGACCAAGAAAGACTCCTTGTGGTGACCCGTGGCGAATGCAGAGACGTTGGTGAAAACGTAGACGCGCTTGCTCCCAAAGCGCTTCTTGACCTTGAACGACTGCTCTTTGATCCCCGGCCAGTTCTCCGAAAGATGAGGCACCTCGATAAATGCAATTCCCAGCTTGTCATCATGGTCGGCCGGGTCTTCGTCGTACACATATGCCTTGAGCGTAAAGCCAGATGCCGGCACGTTTGCGACAACCCATTCACAGTTCCACACGGGGTTCATGTCCTTACGCACGGTGGGGGTGCGAAAGCTCACGAGAGGGTCCTGCTTGTGGCGCCGAGGAAGGTCAACCAGGAGTTGTGCATACACGTACGGGTCCGAGGAGAAGCTGCCCCAGTCCGCGAAGGGTAGGTCGTCGCCGCGGTGAAAGGTGAACTTGACGGTGTAACCCGGTGGGGCACGCGCAATCGGAGTCGCATCAAACCCTCCAGCAGGTTTCGCATGGTCATTACCCATGCTCATCCGGTGCTGTATCTTGTCGGCCTTCTCGACAAGTTTGGGGCCATATCGGTCAACCGGGTGGGACGCCATGACTATATGGGGGCAGGATACAATAGGGAGATATTAAAGACCGAAACACGGGTGGGGGAGCATTATCTGATAAGAATAGACGAAAAATAGGGACGAGCAACGAGAAGGGGATTCCAGGGGAATATGGTGGGGAAAAGTCGAAGTTGCCGAGACGAGCCAAGCTTTAGCCCTACGAAAAGATCCAGCAGGCAACAGCGATAATTCATATATAGAATGATCGCCGTAAGGCATGATCTCATTTCGCGTCCCTGTTTATCTTCGATTTGAAACGTTCCGTTCTATGGTTCCGCCGTATACGGTACTGTACGCTCGAATCTATATGCACCAGGGACGCGCAACTCCCGTGATGAATGAACGCGTTGGCGGGAAGGTAAGAAGTTCGAATTCTATGTAAAATAATCGCATTGCAAGACATTAACGATGTTCGTGAGGTCATATCGCGAGGTGGGGATGTAGGGCGTGCGCAACGCCGTTTCGCGTGGTCGGTGACGTCGACTGTGGGGCAAGATCGGCATGATGGGCTGACAACTGTGGCGCACCATCTAAGAGCCGCGGAAAAGGAACTGCATATCTTCGGGGGTCAATTTCTCAAGTGCCTCGCCCTGATCTTTGTTAATAGTGCCCCGGATCAGGTTGGCCTTCTTTTCCTGGAGTTGAACGATTCGGGACTCGACCGAGTCTTCGATTGTCAGGCGGGTAATCACGCAGGGCCGTTGCTGGCCTATACGGTGACTGCGATCCGCACTCTGCCATTCTGCTGCAGGGTTCCACCAGCTGCATGGAGACGTTAGCGGAATTCTTTCGCTACTGGGTAACGATACACTTACGGGTCCACAATAAAGACTCTTGACGCTTCCGTCAAGTTAAGAGCCACACCGCCTGCTTTCAAGGAGACCAGGAACACCTCCACGTCCGCGTTGGTCATGAAGTGCTCGATCGACCTTTGTCGTTGAGCAGGCGTCATCGTACCGTCCAACATGACCGTGTTGAACCCTGCATGACGCAGGCGCCACTCCACGAGCTGGAGCATCGAGGTGAACTGCGAGAATATAATCGACTTCGGTGTATGACTTTTCGTTCTCTGAAGATAAAGCTCGTAAAGAAGCGTTTCAATCTTGGTCGACGAGGTCCAATCTTCCATGAAAATTCGATTGATAATCGAGTTTTTCTTCACGGACTCCTCCGACTGCTCAATCGTGGGCTGCTCCAAATCAATCGAGAGGGGAATGTGACACTGCGGACAATCCACCGTGGTGCCGTCCTCAAAGGACTGAATGTAATCCTTGGCACACTTGCGGCAGAACTCGTGATGACAGCGGGACCGAATGGCATCCTCTGCGGGCTCGTCACAGACGCGACAAACGAGAACATTGAATCCCGGCTGCACATGTTTCTTCAGGATAAGATCTGGGTGGTTCGCCACTTGTCGCATCTGCATGATGAGACCGAAAATATTGGCATAATTGTTCAGCATGACACCTCGACTGACGTAGGTGTCAAATTGCCGACTCGAGTTGGTCATGATACTGCGGGAGAAATCATGTTCGATCTCGCCAAAGAATTCATTGTGTATGGTGATTCTGAGACCCCACGTCAGCTAAAGAGTAAGGTAGAAAGGGACGTTATCGTACTCACCGTTTGGGCGGAAGTTCCATGGAAGAGGTATGCTCTTGCTTCAAACGTCGAAGCATGATGTGGTCCGTAATGAGACGAAGCTTTTGCAGACCTGTCTTGCGTTCCTCCGTCGTTCTTCCCTCCGTAACTAAAATCTGTATTAGATTGCCGAAGGAATAAACCTGTCTTCGTGAAGATTGACTTACTTGGATTGAGGATTTCCTTGTTGAAAATCGAGATATGGTTGAATCCCCTGAAGTGATTGTCAGTGTCAAGAAAATGCTCTGTTTTGAGTTAGAGACATACGTGTGGGAGCACTCAGTACAACGTCCCTGCTTGTTCGCGGTCCATTGTAGCTGCGAGCATGAACACTGCTTGCAAAAATAGCTGGCGAATGGGCGGACCTGCAAGAAGCGCAGAAGTGAAAAGAATTCACCGATGCGGTTTTGCACAGGAGTTCCAGACAGACACCATTTGTAGGAAGCGTTCAATGCGAAACAGGCCTTCGCTACACCCGTGGTACGTTGCTGTAGAAAAGTCAGGCGCCATGATAATAACGAGTTGAGTTGGAGATTCGGCATAATACATACCTTGATGCTGTGCGCTTCGTCAAGGATAAGTCGGTGGTAGTCAATGGAATGAATGACACCTTCGCCCAAAGTCAGCAAAGATTGTGTGAGCTAGATTATTTCGGCACTTACTGTCTTCTTTAACAGTTCCATTACCACGAGTCCATCCCTTTTCCTGTTTGCGATATATGGACTCCAAGCTCGAGTCTGTAACCCCCAGTCAGTTCAATGATTCTGGATAGATAAAGTAAATCGACCACGCACAGGATATCATAATCACGTCGTATTTTCGAAGGTCCGCCTGGGTAAGCTTTTTGACCTTGGAGTCTGAATTGTGATAAACAAGCACTTTCAACTTGCCATCGGTGTATTCCTAGAATCATGATGAGTTGAAAGAACAATAAAGATTCCCGGAGGCATCAAACCTTGATCTCAGACACCCACTGCATCAGAGCGACCGGGGGTACAAGGACTAGAGTCGGGTCGTGCTGAGGAAAATCGGACATGATCAAAGAAACGGCTTGAATTGTTTTGCCCATGCCCATTTCGTCTCCGAGCAAACCGCCGCGGTAGTCCGTTTTCTCTTGTTCCATCATCCAGTTCAAGCCTTCCAATTGGAAAGGTTTCAACTTGCGAGTGATGGACTCGGGTTGCTTAGCTTCCTTGGCGGGAATTATGGGTCTAGCTTTCAGATCATCCCACATGGTGGTAATGATCGGGTGGTTTTTTTCCAGCTTCTTCCGATCTGTTTGCATCTAGAAAGAAAGTCAATAGCTGTACAGGTCGGAGTCCAGGTATGCAGACTTACTCGGCGAATTTTGCGCTGTTCTTCCCAGGTTGGCAAGTCTTCGTCTTCTTCATCATAAAATTCGGCTGGGAAGGCGAGTCGACCGTGTGAAGGGTCGCTTTCTTCGACAGCAAAAACCAATTCATCCTCGGAATCTGAGGCACGAGGGGAAAACATTTCCTCCTCTTCCGAGTCCAAAGGTGTAATCCGGTCTGACAATTCACTCTCCGTCAATTCTCCGCCTGGGGGCATGGCGTCGAGTCTCTCTGCAAGACTTCGGGCTTGTTCGTGAACATCCTCGAAGACGGTCCGACGCTTTTTTGGACGCGGCTTTTCATACTCCTCTATCTGGAGCGCATGCGCCAATGCCGCGTCGGTGGTGTCTTGGTCCGTTTCGTCTACTGATATAGCAGCCGCAGACCGTTTCGTACCTCTTTGAGAGGTTCTTCTGGAGGCGGTGTTCGATTGGAGCCGTGCAGCACGCTCCGATGCATTGACTCGTGCCCGAGGCTTCTTCGTATTCTTCGTATCAGATTCCGCGCCGGCACCAACGCTGGTTGCTGGTGTGTTGAAGCCGGTGGTTCCATCGGCGGAAAAGATCCCCAGAGAGCTTCGAGAAGAATCAGTAGGGGTGTTATCTTTCGTCCCTGGTATCACGACCTCAAAATTCCCCGATGCACGAGTTCTTGTCCTTGTTGAAACCGGGTTGGGTCCATCGAAGGCATCGTCATCATCTTCACCTTCGGAATCCATGATGACGCGAGATGTTCGAGATCGGGCAAGGGATGACCCACCCCGTCGCAAGGGTTCCGGCTGACGGAGGGGCGAGGAATTCTTCAATGGCGTTGAACTGTGAGGTGCGTCATCCTCGGAGTCGGGGATCACGATGGTGTCGGGCCTCCTCATGATGAAGATGGTTGAGGACTATAGAGCAACGGGAACTTCACGGGATCGCCGAAGGATGGGTACCAAAAACTGGCCGAGTACGATCTAGGATAGTCAAGTTAGATAAGTCTCATCAAACCGGATATGAAAATAGAGTAGGAAGGCTGTACTGTACTGTGATGAGTTAACTCGGGATGAGTCCAAGGCGTGGCGACTGGTCGAGGTGACGGTAACCGAGGCGAAAGGTGAGAGAGATCGAGCCAACGAATGTAAGGCCCGAAATTATGAGCGATTAGAACTGAACGACAGTGAAGAAAGCGAGCAGGGAAGGATAGAAAGTGAAAGGGGAGAAGTCGGAGTCAGAGTTCGAGATCCGGAAAACGTGATTGATCCAGGTGCCTGGACCAGAAAAATTCTTCAGTCGGTTGACCCCGAACATTTGCCATCCCCAAGAGGGCCTGTCCTATCATTCCTATTCCCTTCCTTTACCCTTCCTGTTGCGCGATTTTGATCCTGATCGTGATCCTGAATCGCGTGGATCGTCATCGCCCACTTATCTCTCACGTCCTGATAAGAGCGTCGCGTTAAGTGCAACGCGAAACTGCCACGAAACCTGTGACTTGTTGACCAGTCACCACATCTATCTCGCCACCAGTTCCTTCTTATTCCCTGGTCATAATGTACGTTCTCTATTGATATATGAGATTCAGGGTGATACTAACATCCTGTTTCAGGGCTGATCGAAGGTCGGGGAGGAACATCCGGGGCCCGTATGACTTTTCCCAACTACTGATTTCGCCGGTACTAACAAGCCTCCGACAGACACTCTGCTCTAACTGATTTTCTTGCCGTGCGTATTTGACCAAAAGTGCCATTTATTTGCTGAAGCTAACCAGTGCATCCCTGTTTAGTCTAATAACATCTCCGCCGCTCAAATCCGCGATGAGTATGACCGCCGGGTGGCGGATGCGACGCGTCAGGCCGCCGAAGAGGAAGAAGCCGCTACACTTGACCGTGAAGAAGCTGAGTACGAGCCGACGCCTGACCCAGAGTCCCCCGAAGACAAAAGCAAGAAGCGCAAGAGACAGCAAGCCATCGAGAAAATCAAGAAGAGCAAGGAATTTGCCCGCCGCAAGGCCCGGCGAACCGGGGAGCCGGATGATGATGACGATGCCTTGGCAAATACAATGATAAGCGAGAAGCAGCGGCCTAACCCGGGTCAGCTGGATAATTGCGAAATCTGTGGCAAGCGTTTCACGGTCACTGCCTACAGTAAGACAGGTCCCAGTGGAGGCCTTCTCTGCGCAGACTGTTCTAAGAAACATGTCGATGGCGGTAAAAAGGGACCGGTCAAGAAGCGCAGCTCAGGAATCGGACGTCGTAAGAACCAGAGCAACTTGCTGGATGGCATGGCTTCCCATGGTACCCAGAGCTTGCTGGAGACATGTATCAAGGTTTGTTCTCGCATTACCTCTTGGAAGACATCGAACCCGGTATGACTAACTGTTTTATAGAAAGTTGCCGACAACATTGATGATGTGGAAGAATTCGGCGACCTTCCTCCCCCGGTGATGCATCGTTTGAGTCAAATTTTGTCCAGAAAACGCGCAGTGACCTCTAAGACCCTGGATCTCTTCTTACGACCCAGCCACAGGGAAATAAACATCTATGACTGTGCAAGTATGTGCCCTCTTGTTTTCCTTTTCTCCTCTCTTCCATATGGATGTTATATTGATCTGCGGCCTAGGGCTCGACACCGATGATTATCACAAGATTCTCGCGTCCATGCCCCGTTTGACTCGACTGAATCTGCGATTTGTAACTCCGATGAAGGATCGCGTTTTCCAGTACATGATAGATCGCGATATGAACATTCAAGACCTTCATTTGGACTCGCCGAATCTTGTGACCGACGATTGCTGGCGCCAAGTTTTCACGGAGTTAGGACCCAGGCTGCAGAGCCTGAAATTGTGGAACATTGATTCTGCGTTTGACGATGAAACCATGCAGATCATGTGCAAGAGCTGCACCGGTCTTCGGCGCCTAAAACTGAAGTATCTCTGGAAAATTGGCGACAAGGCGCTCGAATCGATAGCGACATTGAAGAATCTAGAGCACTTGTCACTACATTTTAGCCAGGAAACCAACCCCGAACCTCTGCTGCAGGTCATTACCGAGGTCGCTCCTAAGCTACGCTCTCTCTCTCTGGAGGAGTTTCGACTCGCAGATGACAGGCTGTTGCAACATATCCACGAGCATTGCCATCATCTGTCCAAGCTTCGTATCACCAAGAATGATCTATTCACGGATAAAGAACTGGCAGCGCTCTTCCGTGGATGGTCTAATCCGGCCTTGCGATTTGTGGATTTCAATAATCTTCGTGATGTGGATATGTCAAACCCCGCCGGGCCACCTGAGCCTGTTGGCCTTGCATCAGATGGATTCATCGCTCTGATGGAACACTCGGGCTCCAAGATCGAAACTTTGAACATTGCCTCTTGTCGCCACATTTCACATGCGGCATACGAGGAAGTCTTTTCCGAGCATAAACGATATCCCGAGCTCAAGTATCTGGACATCGCATTCCAAGGGGTTGTGGATGACTACCTGGCGCAGTGCATATTCCGTTGCTGTCCAGCTCTGACCAGACTCGTTGTATTCGGCTGTTTCAAAATTCGCGACTTGCGAGTTCCTAAGGGTGTTGCTGTGATCGGAACTATGGGGGCCAAGCTGAAAGTAGATGGGATCACTCAGAAAGAGATCGTTTGAACCTTTTGCGTGGGCTTCAGGTATAAATGTGACGCATTTTTCTGTGTTCAGGACGTGGTTTCCACCTTAGATGCTTATATAATGGCGCTGAAGGCTATGGTTTCTAGCGACTCAGTGGTTATCCTCATTTAATTTACTTCAAAGCTTGTCAAGGCAAATAATCATCATTCATTCAAATCACAACCTATCCAAACTCCAAAAGTCCCATGCTTTATACAACTGAATTGAAAATCCTCCATAAAACCATCGTTTAGTAGCCCATGCGCTTGCCAATCTCACTTTCCCATCCACGAGTTCTCTCGAACCCATTCGACGCTGTTTGGTAGTCGAGCATGGCTTGATAGACCTCTTCTTGGCTGTTCAGCACGAATGGGCCGTACTGGACGACCTTCTGGTCCAGAGGCTGACCTGCAACGATCATGAAACGAGCCTCGGAGTCTGCAGTGTCCGGAACGGATGCCTCGACCAGGTCTCCGGCCTGCTCAAAGACAACATTGTGGAACTCCTTGACAACGCGAGAAGAGTCATTTGAGCCAAAAATCGTGTCACCCGAGAGGGTATAAGCGAAAGCATTCCAACCCTGCGGCAGGGCCTGCGATATACGGCCACCGGGTTTAATAGTGATATCAAAAATCCAAACCGGGGTGTAGGCCAAGTCACGGACGGAGTCGACACCATGCGACTGGCCGGAGATGACCTTAACGGTGACACGACCATCATCAACCTTGGCGATGGGAATTTCGGTAGCACGAAGGTCACGGTAGCGCGGCTCGCACATCTTCAGCTTCTGGGGCAGATCCACCCACAGCTGCATACCGACGTTGGGGCTGCCGTCTTCATTCTCGTGGGGCATCTCGGCGTGCATGATACCACGACCGGCGGTCATGAACTGCAAATCACCGGGGCCAATGGTGCCCTTGTTGCCTGCAAAATCTTCGTGGTCTACACCGCCGGAGAGCAAGTAGGTGATGGTCTCTTGGCCGCGATGAGGGTGGTCTGGGAAACCAGCGCCCTTGCCAATGGTGAAGTGGTCGAGCATCAGGAATGGGCTGAAATTGCGCAGTTTGGCGGTACCGATTGAGCGGCGGACGCGTGCACCTGCACCCTCGGCCTGCTCAACGGCAAGGAAGACCTGACGAATAGCACGAGCAGTGGACATCTCGCTGACGGGAAGAATGACGGGGTTTGGGTATTCCGAGACGGATTGAGGAGCTGTAGAAGCAGCCGTGTTGTTGGTTGTCTTCGTCAATAAGCGTGATAAATTTGCTGGAGCTCGCTGCTGTATAAAAGAGACGACGGTATCCGGTATTGCGGGGCGATAGATCAGAAAGATTGCTACGATGCAAATTAAACAAGACAGAAACAGTCTCATGGGTGTGTTGGCAGCTATTTATACCCCGCCTATGAGTTATCGAAGATTCGAGCAGAGTGAAGCTAGAAGAAAAGATAAACTGTAAAGTCAGCGTTACTCAGTCTTCATAAATGTCATCCTCAACGACTGCTTTGCAAGACATCAGTCAGCAATTGTTCAGCGAGCGGCCAATCACGTTACAAATTTTAGATTTCCGGTCTGACCAAGACTCCTGTCAGCATTCTCGATGCCTGATGTGTCAGGTATACTGTATTATATCATCATCAAGCACGTGAGCTATGGACCAGATGGAAAAGTGTTGAGAATGAGCTCAGAATACTGTCTTTACAGGTGCTTGGCTATATTCTTGTTTAATTAGACATTTAGAGATCAAAATTTGATTGATTTGAAGTTGTATCCTTGGGATAAATTATGTTGAATACTGTACATTTTGATATCGATATATGTTTACAGACCAACACAGGTCCTGTTTGTGACAACCACATGATAGTCAATAATAAGCCCAAATGTGAAGTGTAACTAACAGGAGAAGTTATTATAGATGGGAAAGTAATTGACTGGACTAAAAGATCTCGAAATTTTACCTTTCAAGCGTTCGCAGTTGAGAGCCGTCCGACTTATAGTTCCGGATCGCTATCAGACAGATGAGGCCACGGAGCAGCTCCCGCTCTCCGCCCAATTCCTTCCGCGCGCTGGATTGCGTCTGTGTCCGCCGTTCTTCTTTGTCTTTGCATACCTTTCCGTTTGAGATACCCCTCTTGTTCTATATTCCACGCGATTCCCGTCGCTCAACTGTGTGAGAATCCGGGCGGGGAGTCGCCAGCAGAGCTTATACCCCATACCCGAACGTCATCCGTCTCTTGCGATCACCTCTAAACCGTCCGAGATATGGGACAGTCTAGGTGGACTGTCGCGCCATGGCTGATGCTGGCCTGCGCTGCAGCCACCGCATCGGCAGAAAAGCGGCCATTCAATATCCATGATGACCTTCTGGCCTATCCACAGGTATGCCGTGAGACACAGCGCAATGCCCGTTGAGTGACCACCCGTTCTAACCGTATTGATTGTGCACAGTACCAAGTTACCTACCCGGACGAATACATCCTCGATGCCCAAGCCCAAGAATTGCTTCGCGCACAAGCCCGCTCCCAAGATAACCCGTCCATCCACGTGCAGAACAACCCTCAAGTTTACACGCCGAAGGACACCGCTGAAGGTGCTACGCGGGATAGCGAAGAAGTCACCGGGCTAGAATATACATACGAGGAAATGATCCTGGATGACCGGCGACTCCTTTGCCGGATCCCACGCGTGGCAGAGGATTTCAACAAGACGAACGGTCAAGCGGATGAAGTAGACGAACAGAAGGAGCTGGCTCGCGCGACAGATCGCGGTCTCGAACTTTTACGCGAGATGGAGGACAAGTGCATGTACTACTTCTCCGGCTGGTGGTCCTACTCGTTCTGCTACCGAAAGCAAATCAAGCAATTTCATGCGCTCGCCGCTGGCCGTGGCATCCCAAGCTATCCACCCATGGAGGATCCAAGCACCCATTCCTTCATTCTGGGACAATTCCCGGCCGGCGCAAGTGACGAAGGGAAGGAAAACCAGGAGCACAAGCGGACATCCAGGACCGATATGGCAGAACTACACACTAAAGGCGGCTCCCGGTATCTTGTGCAACATTTACGTGGTGGCACCAAGTGTGACTTGACTGGACGCGACCGCAAAGTCGAAGTGCAGTTCCACTGCCATCCGCAGTCCACGGACCGGATTGGATGGATCAAAGAATTGACCACCTGTTCCTACCTTATGGTGATCTACACACCTCGACTCTGTGACGATGTTGCCTTTATGCCACCGCAGCAGGATGAAGTTCACGATATCGAATGTCGCGAGATCCTGATGCCCGAGGAGGTACCCGAGTGGGAAGCCGTGAAAGAGTGGTTTACGGCCCACCAATTGGAGGATGCAGCCGCTGCCGCCGCCCCATCCCAACCCGAGGTTCATATCGTCGGTGGGATCGAAGTGGGTGGGCAAAAGCTGGTGGGCATGGAAGGTAAACAGATCGAGAAGGGCCGAGTGGCATCCGCAGGCGAGGAGCGAGTCGTGGACGTGGTTGCAAAGCGCGAGAACGGCAAGGTGAAGCACATATCCAAGCAGGTTCTGAAGAAATACGACCTCGACCCGGAACGAGTCGAAGAAATGGGGAAGAGACTAGAGGACTTGGCCAAGGGCAAGGACTGGAGCTTGGAAGTGGTGGAAAGCGATGGAGTGATTAAATTCCAGGGCGTCGTTGTCCCCGAGGACGAGGAGGAGGCCACCCAGTCGCAACAGCAAAATGAAAAGGAGGCTGCGCCCCAAGCCAAACACACCGCAACTACGGAATCCACGGTGCCAGAACCCGAGGCTGATGACTCGAAATCACAGCCCACAACCTCAGGATTAAAGCCCGAGGACCAGGAAGGCAGTGAGGAAACCTTCAAAGATGAGCTGTGAAGGGTGGAACTTGTACAGTACACATCAACATGGGGCGTTTTCATCTCAAAAAGGCATATATCTTCGGACATGCATACTATCCCAATTCCCATCCGTCAATGTGTAGATGGAGATGTATGTAGGTGGCATCAAAGTTGCCAGGAACGGCCGGTTAGCTTCATGCCCAAAGACGTCAGTTGCCCCAGTTGCCGGCAGCCGAGTGGGGGCACCAGGCAATTGGTAAGGACACGCTTCGGTCCTCTCGGAGCAATTGGATTAAGTACATAGAGAGTCGGGGAAGATGGAAGTTGAACAACAGTGTACAGGGGGAACGTGCAAGTGAAAGTCGAAGTTGGGGAACCCGCAACGAAACGACGTAAGGAACGTGACCGTAAACCTTCCTAGCGATCGTCCGGCCCACCTTCCCACCTCCCTGATCCCAACCCTCACTTCTCTCCCAGCTCTCTTCTGCCCGCGCTCGGTTCGGTTCTTTTTGCGCGTGGCTTCTCTTCCTCCTTGACATACCCCTTGCCCGCCATAACACTCTCCGCGAAGGCTGACCGGCAACGGCCAGCGTCATCACCCGCATCCCCGACTACCGGTCAACCCTCTCCGGTGGACAATTGGCACCGCCCACAGACGCTGCCAACAGCAGCGCTAGGAGATCTGGTTATCGTGAGGCAGAGACCCGATTCATCCTGGGCTTCCTTCAGCGATGGGTTTCCTAGGCGTCTACTCGGCTGTGTATGATTACCAGCCTCAGGGCGAAGGTGAACTGGAGATCCGCGAGGGCGATCTACTCTACATCCTAGAGAAAAATCCCGAAGATGATTGGTGGAAGGCCAAAAAGAAGGCAGAGCCAGATGACGAGGATGAGCCCGAAGGTTTAGTTCCGAACAACTACGTCGAAGAGGTGAGCACTCCCGAAGTACTCGTGCGCTGTAAGGCGCACACTTCGAGTCTCCGATGACCGGAAATGCGCCGACCAGGACCTATTTTTGGCGCATTGAGTGCATTGTCGCGTCGGAATGCGAACAGTTGACTGATGATTACGACCCAATCTACAGGCGCAACCGATCCACAATGCCAAGGCTCTTTACGACTATACTCGACAAACAGACGAGGAGGTTTCGTTCTCGGAAGACGCTGAACTGGTGGTGTATGACACGTCGGATCCGGACTGGACCTTGGTTGGGACGGACGGGGACTGCGGATTTGCACCTTCAAATTACATCGAAATCCTCGAGGATATTGCGCCCACTGCCCAGGCCGCAACTCCCCCTCCTGCCCCAGTCGCCGAGCCTGAATATGAGCCTGAAGCTCCATCTCTCCCGCAACGATCGACGCGGGCTGCCCCGGAAGAACATGACGCGCCACCTTCGGCATCCCATATCGATACGATGCAGAACCCCGCCGCAGCCGCGATTGCGGATATTATTCACAAGCAGCATGCACCCGCTAGCGCACATGTGGAGCCCACCAGAGATGAGCCTCCGCCTCCTCAGCTACCTACTCGACCTTCCTATGATGACGGCGAAGAAGAAGCCCCTGCGCCTGCTCTGCCGCGTAGACCGCCGTCGGACCAATTGGAGAACTGGGCCACTCCACCTCTACAATCCCGCTCACCTGACCCTGCGCCAGCAGCGGCTCCTGCGATAGGTCGTCATGGAACCCATGTCAAAGCATCTCCTCCCTTTAACCGGGCTGGCGAGATGACACCTCGGTCCCCCTCGGGCTACCATATGTACAATATCAATGAAATGGTTGAGGTGATGGGCAAGCGAAAGAAGATGCCCACAACATTGGGTATCAACATGGTGACTGGAATCATCTTCATCTCTCCCGAGGGCGATGATCGCCAGCAAGAATGGACCGCAGAAAAGCTCAGTCACTACTCGATTGAAGGCAAACATGTCTTCGTTGACCTTGTTCGGCCTAGCAAGAGCGTGGACTTTCACGCCGGAGCCAAGGATACTGCCCAGGAGATTGTAGCCGCACTTGGCGAAATCGCTGGAGCCTACCGGGCTGAAGGGCTACGAGAGGTCCTTGCGGCAAGCGAGGGCGGTGGTAGCCAGAAGAAGGGCCAGATTTTGTATGACTTCATGGCCCAGGGCGATGATGAAGTGACGGTGGCCGTGGGCGATGAAGTCGTCGTTATCGATGATACCAAGTCGGAAGAATGGTGGATGGTGCGGCGAATGAAGAATGGCAAAGAAGGCGTGGTCCCCAGCAGTTACGTTGAAGTGACTGGGTTTGTGAGCACTCTGCCTACTGGAGTGGACTCTGGTCTATCGACAGTGGAAAAGAACCGCTTGGAGGAGGCCAGACTAGCCAAGGCAGCCCTTGGAAAGCCGAGGACGGACTCCATGGATTCCTCAGAACGTCACTCGAAGCGCGAGAGCAAGTCGAAGTCCAAGCCTGAACCGAGCAAGGTGAGGAAATGGACGGACCGGTCAAAGGCGTTTACGGTCGAGGCACAGTTTATTGGCCTACAGGATGGGAAGATTCACCTCCACAAGACCAACGGAATCAAGATCGCGGTTCCTGTGTCCAAGATGTCCGTTGAAGATTTGGAGTACGTGGAGAAGATTGCCGGTGTCTCCCTGGACGAGGACAAGCCCCTTTCGAGTATTCGGGCTCGTGCTTCTTCCGACGCCAAACGCGGCTCAGCGGGTGCTTCTGTGCAGCGTCCTGAGTACGATTGGTTCGATTTCTTCCTGAAGGCAGGCGTCGGACCCCACCAGTGTGAGCGTTATGCGCAGAACTTTCTTAAGGATTCTATGGATGAGTCCGTCTTGCCTGATATTTCTCCCGAGACCCTTCGCACTCTGGGCTTGAAGGAGGGCGATATTCTACGTGTCATGCGGCACCTGGATTCCACTCTTGGCCGCACCGGTGCCAAATCCAAACTTCGGAATGTGAGCTTTGGCGGAGAGGAAGTCATCGAGGAAGGCCAAGGCGGGCTCTTTGCCGGGCCTGGTGGCACGCTTCGCAACAACACTCGGAAGGGTAGACCAGCACCCGCCGTACAGGCTGGTGATGTCGTTGATCCGAAGGCATTTGAACAGGCCGATGAGTCTCAGGCAAAGGAAGAGCGAGCCACTAGTCCTGCAGCGCCAGCAGCACCCGAGAAGCCTGTCGCGCGTGGATTTGACGATGATGCTTGGGAGGTGAAGCAACCGAGGCAGACTACGACTCCCGCGCCGGCCAATTCTACTCCGTCCGGCACTGCATCGCCGCCAGCTCCTGTCCAGAAGCAGGTCACTGGCGCAATGGCTGACTTGTCATTGCTCCAAGCTCCGCTGCAGCCCGTCCCTGCGCAGCCTACTGCCACACAGCCAGTTTCTACGCTTCCCGCTCTTCAACCACAGCAGACTGCCGTGCAGACTCCGCCGGTGCAGCAGCCCCAGCAGACTGGTGCTACACCTAGCTTCTTTGCCCAGGTGGCACAACAGCAACCTCAGGGCTTCAGTCCTCAACAGACTGGTTTCCAACAGTCACAAGCCAGACAGCGCCCTCAGCCGCCGCAAAACTTGAACCAGAACTCGCTTCTTCCCCCTCCTCCGCAGCGCCCACTGTCAGCGCCGCAGAACTTCTCACAGCAGCAGAACTCCTTTGGTCCTCCTCCGTTGCAGCCTCAATTGACTGGAGTCCCTCAGGCAGGGCCACCAATTGCTCCCCAGGGTTACAGTTTGACCGAATTGAATCAGCAGCGCCTTCAGCACCAAATGCAGCCGCAAGCCACGGGATTCATGGGGCAGACACAGCCCCAGAACGGGTTGATGCCCCAGCCTACTGGCTTCATTCCACAGTCGCAATTTGGTATCCAGCAACAGCAACAACCCCCCTTCGCCAATGGCCAGCCAGGACCAAATCAATTCCAGGGCATGGCGCCGCAGCAAACCGGGTTTGGCGGGTTCGCTCAGCCCCAGCAGCCGATGCAGACCGGTATCAACTCCATGCTTCCTCCAGCTTTGCAGCCTCAGCCGACTGGCATCAACGGCTTTGGCAACGCAAACTACAGTGCATCACCGCCTCCTATGCCACCGATCCCACAGCAACCCACAGCCACGCCTCTGTCGCCTCAGAAGACTGGACCTCCTCCGTCCGTAAGATTTGGTGTCAAGCCAGATGCGCCCAAGCCGCTTGCTCCACAGCCAACGGGAATGAGGGCCAACCTTTCACAAGCTAGTAAGTGCTTCCCACATATCCAAATGGTGGACGATTGAGAAAGCTAACTAGCAAAACACAAATAGCGCCTACAAACCCTTTCGGCTTCTAACCGGAGTGACCTCTCGGGTAACCGTTAATTATCCTCTCGACTGGCATATATGATGCTGTCTTTCTGGCAATTGGCATCCCTTCTACCCTCTTGTTATTCTCTGCGAATTCTATCCGTAGTGATGGAAGCTCTACATATCTCACTTTGTCTTTTCAATCTCGAGCTCCTGGAATTGAAATGCGTACATATCATGGCTTACCGCATCCTAACGCAGCGCGTACAAATGCCATGAGTCTGGCTTCCTTTCAAAACTACCCCCCACTTAGCGAGCCACTGTCGATTTTTTCTCCCCCACGCGCCTTGATTGATTTGCTTACTTACGCCCTGCATTCTGTTGATTTGTCATAATTTTCATGTTACTGGCCATACATGTTATCTTTGGATGCCATCGTTTCTTTTATCATTTTCCTATGTTACTTGGACGGCTACGCTTCGTTTTCCTTTCCCCCGTCTGCTCTGCTATCTCCTAAGTAACCTGTTGGCAGCATATCTGATGTCTTTGCCATGTGGTTGAGATGTGATGCCCCTGGACAATGATATGGTACATGAAGGCTGTTATGCAAGCTGCATTATGATGCATAGCGTACTTCTTATTGGAGGAAGGCTGCCAATTAGAACTAGCAATTGATTTTGAAAAGATCTTGAATCCAGACGCCGTAGAAAGTAGAAGGTCACCAAAGTGTGTATGGAGGCATAAGGTCAGTCAACTCAATTTTGAAGTATATGGAAAGACAATGATTAGAAATAGAGTATGTTCGGAGTATATAGATGTCATAGGAGTATCATAAATCATAGAACGCCCGCTCTGGAATGGCCAAAGCCCTGGCGCCAAATTGCCAATCAAGTCTGTGCCGGGACACCCTGCTATCAACTACAAGTCTAAAAGGGGAAGGAAATTGAGACAGCCGGAGCTGACCCACCACGGAATAGTCCGAGATCATAGTGAAGGTTCAGAATCGTCCCAGATGCCGAAGACCGGGAGATCTTCAGCCATATACAGCAGGCCATTCTCCGGGAACATCATATCGGACAGAGGAGAGGGACCACCGGAGATCGGTGGCTGCCCCGAGGGAATGGTACCGCCAGGGGAGCAGCCGACAGGAATCCCAGACGTGGTCAATGCGGAGATAGCGGCATCATAGGATAAAGATCCTGTTTCATCTGGCCCGACACAGAGTGCATCCCAAACATCGCTACCAGGTTGTTGGGATCCGGCGACGGGCTGTGGCTGTGCGGAGAGAAAAGAGCCGCCGAGCGTATCGGGGGAGGTAGGAGATGGGACAGCAGGAGACTGGTGAGGATGTTGGCCCCGCGGACTGGCCAGGATGATGTCGCGACCAGGACCTGAGGGGAGAGATCCGGGTTCGCTGCTGCCGCCAACCTGGCCGAAAAGTTGATCAACCTGTCTGCTTCGGCGTTCCATCCATTGGCGGTTGCGGCGCTGGATGTATTCCACCACGGCACCGCGAAGATACTTGATGATCTGGAAGAAGCGGCATGCGTGAGGGTCGTGCGGAACGAATAACCCGAGGAACCGCTCAGCTTTGTTCATGCCCTCTTCGAGGGGGAGCAGATTATCATAATCGGCAAAGAACGCAGCACCGAGAACAACGGCAGAATTGAAGACCGAGTTAATCAGAAAGGGTAGTCGTCGAGGGAGAGATTCGAAGCGGCCTAGGTCGTCCACTACGTCCAGGCCTCGGAGGGCAGAATAGACACATGCATCGGCAAAAAGGGAGATACGAGAGCTGCCACTTTTCGCATCAGACGAAGCATTTGGATCAGCTTTGCTCTTGACATATTGCGCCACGCGGTAAACTAGGAATGGCCGCGTCAGGAGAATGATGGACCAATAATAAGACCCAAAGACATGTGCTGCAGCAAGGCTGTCTTCCATGGGTTTGTTATCGGATGGTTCCGTCTGCATTTTGAGTACCGTGGGTAGAGTGCGCACCCAAGCGCGGTGCTGATTTGAGATGGCTTCGGCAACGTTGATTGAGATGACTTGTTTCATGTAGACGTCGGTGAGAATGCGCTCGAAAATCCTACATAGCGAGGTGACGGCGGCTGAAAGCTGTTGATCCGGGGTCAGATCCCTCTGCTGATCCACGGACGCGGAAACATCGTCACGGATGTCATAGTCGTAGTCTGATGTTGCTGGAGGACGGCCTAGAGAAGCGCTGAGGAATAAGTCCATCATCCGGAGACTCTTCCACACTCGCTCTCTCGCCCGCCGTTCGCGGCCGCAGAAGAGCGCATTCGCATCCTTCCGATGTATACCGACTGCGTAAGCAGCTCGCAGAGCAATTCCCAGGTTCATAAAAGCGCCGTTTCGCCTGCATGCACCGAGCATGTACATCGACACTAAAATGTAGGACTGGATAGTGTGGATACTCGGAGTTTCCTGGAATGCGGCAAACGCCAATTGACGACCACTGCTGAAATACTGTTCCGCCTGTGTCTGGTTGATGTCGGAGACCTGAGCACCAATGGCGAGAACGAGGTAGAAGATAGAGCTGACGGTGTCTTCGTCACCGGTTGGATTCCCGACCCAATTGGCCAATCTCGGGTGAAATTCTTCCAGATCGAAGAGGTCCAGCAAAGGGCTCGTCGCCAGGACATACTGCCGGGCCAGCTGCTGCGCTTCGTCATTGCTGGGAGGCGGAATGAGGGGTCCAGGCTGGTTGTTGGGGTTACTTTGAAACGCCTCGAGCATGGAGTGTCGCGAATTGTCTTCGGTAAATTCGCATCGACCGATAGCGGAAGACACCACACGACGAACGCTTTGCAAGAACGAGAGACTCGCAGAGTCCCCAATATACATGAATTTGCCTTGCCCATCTCGGAGAAGTCGAGCCACTTTTGGGACAGGCGCGGCTCCTTCCTTTTCGTCTCTGACCTGTTGTTCCAAATGCATTCCACGGTCTTCGAGGGAATTTAACAAGCGGTCCATGGCCGTCTCCCGCTGTGGAGAAGGCATTATTCGTTCACTGAGCAGCATCGTCGAGTCTTTGGAATCGGGCTTGAGTAGGCGGGCGGGGCGGTCCGAGAAATGACATTCGGACTCCTTATGTCTCTGGACACAGATCGTGCATGGTTGCTCCCCGTTGCATTTTTGCTTCCGCCGCTTACAGCTATCGCAAGCTCGGCGACACCGGAGCCGCGCCCCAGGCGCCGTGCTTGCACGAGGCATCACGCACCCGCGCGGCTCTTCCGGTCAGTTGTGTCACTCGGCGATCTCGTGCGCAAGGGGGTTCATCGAGGCGCGGGGATTGTTCTCGGGGGTCTGTTTGCGTGAAAGAGGAGGATTCGGAGGATTTTATCCCATGGTGGTACGATGGTTGAACGGAAAGGCGCGCGAACTGCTTTGCTTTCCCCGGATTCTACGGACTGACTAAGCGCATTCCCGCCCACCATGACGCAGGCCTGCGCCGCCTGCGCACCGGAGGCATAATGTTAAATTTCTCCAATTTGTGAACAATTTGATTGCCAACAGGAAAACATCTTAAATTTACTCCGGGCGGAAGGAAACGATCTTGCCCCAAGTGTCCGCAGTGCCCCAGATGCCGGTCCGCAGACATGTGAGCTGTACAATCTGGCTGTGATCCACAAACAGGTTGACATCGATGCCAAACTCTCTAATGTACCAATTGAACACCTGGGGGTCAGCGGCCTCAAACATAACATTCTCCGAAGGGAGCTCTTTCATGATCTTGGACACGACGTCAGTCCGCCACGAATTGACGTTCTCGGTGATACCCTCGGACTCGATCATCAGGCGCTCGACGCCGGCGTCGAGGAACTTCTGGCCCAGGTTCACCAGCTTGCCTGGGTCTGAAGTGCCAATTGATTCCAGACCAGAGGTAGGGGTGTCTCCGCCTGCCCCAAACTGGATGCCTAGTTCAGGCTTGGGTTTAAGCTTGTACGAGTGCACTTTGTCGACGAGTCGGAGCCAATCATCTTCCGGGAATGACAGGAAGCCGGAGGACAATTCGATGACATCGAAACTTAGAGCCATGTCAGCAAAAGTGCGTTTATTGAGTCAGATACACATACCCTAGATCCTTGCACTTCGTGAGGTAGCGATCGAAAGCGGCGTTGGGATCAGGGTGTGTGAGAAGATGCTCAGCCCATCCGCCCTGGAAGTATAGTCAGAATGGGCAATCCACACTCGCTGCTTTGTGACTTACCGTGGAGACATATACACCGTACTCATGAGCAAGCTCGGTTAACTCACGCAGCGGCTTCTCTTCAAATAAAGAAAATGAACCTATTCGTTGTCTTAGTTCTGCGGATCTGCTTTGGCATCTGGTTGATATGGCTTACCGCCGGCAAACTTCAATCCATCGACATGATTACCCATTCTATAGCACCAAGTCAGTTCATTATTTGCTAAATTGCGAGATGGAGGGCACCATACGTTTCGAGCACATCTGCTAAGTAGCGTTTCCCCATAACCTAGGCCGGCGTAAGCTTGATCCAGCAACATGGGATGATTCGGTAGACATTCGTACCGAATAATATGGACCTCTGATCTCAGTCACTCCTTTCTTCCTGGGCTTAACTGGCCTGGGGTTTGATCTTGCGAAACCAAAGCCATTTTCCTTATCTTGTAAGAGGGTCACTCCTTGAGCCGATTGGGCCGGCGACGACGTCGACAAGCCCCTCACCGGCGAAGAGGCCGCGGCTTTGGCCATTCGAAGCGAGGCGCGGCTTGCCACCTGCTTGGGGATAGTTGCAGCGAAAGGCGTGATACCGAGCATCATTGTCAATACGGTAGAGTATGGTGGAGCCGACCAAGTCAATGTATTCGAAGAAGTAGTTGTTAAATTCTCAAAGCAGAACTCATCGTTTGTCATTAAATGGCGATCAAAGAGAGCATTGGAAGCTTTTATATTCTGTGTCCACGTTGCATATCCCGTGGTCGGAACCCCATCTGTCGGGATGGTGTGAGGCTTGACGTCAAATTTACTTCACACCGCGGCGAAATCTGCCAATCTACCCTGGGATGTAGTCCGGATGGCACGGGATGACATCAGATAACATATAATAACCTGGCCAAACCCTCGAGACGTCTAAGGCTTTGACAGGGGACCTTTCTATTCGCCGTGCGAAAATAGTTGTCAAGGTGGGCAGACAGGGACTACAGCCGAACTACAGATATAATAAAAAGCTAGGACCCGGTGATCAGCTCCGATCCGACCGTCTATATGTACCTACCTAGACCACCGAGACAGTGGTTTGAGAGATCCTAGTGGCTAGATGGGCAAGACAGAACCGGCAGAATCTAGTGGCGAATTTGTGGGTTTGATTACAGAACATTTGTACTGTAGTCCGGCTGTAAAACAAAGGACCGCGTAGAGGACAGCTCCCACTCGAACATGAGCAGAGTGGCCCACAGGAGAGTTTGACCGAGGTATAAACCATCTTAGAGGGCTGCGAGAAACGGAACAAACAATGAGTCCCATCGGGATCTCAGAAGAACCGTATCAAGGAACTCCGGTTTTTGTACGCGCCCCGATCGGAGCCATCGGTCTTGGAAGGGCCTGTTCCGCTGAGTAACGACCTCTTTGAAAGTTGACTAATCCATAATATTAACTAAATAATGAATAGTTACTGTATACAGTCTGACTTGTGCCCACATCCAAGTCTTGGCACCGGACCGCGCTAGACCTCCACGAGCATCGATCTACGGTATGCTCATCAGAAAGGGCTGAATCGTATTGGTCTCCGCCGTGACATTCCCACAGATCCTTAGTATCCGAATCCTGTCTGGTATCCGAGTTCATTATTTCGCCCAATATGATCCAAATATGCCGGGCTCGGTGTTTCCGCTGCGTACGACTACGAAGTACGAAAACGATTGGTGGGCACGCGACACCTAGACTCTTGGCGCCAACCATGAAGCCCCGATCATAATTAGTAGATTCCCTAGTTCCATCTACTGGGTCTCATCAAGAGCTCAAAATTTGGCATTCGGCATCCGATAGCCCCGAAAATCCGTCCCTGTCCCGCAAGTCCGTCCCTGCCCTGTAAGGCGGGCCCGCAACTGCTCTCTCGCATGTCCAAGTTACATCCCTAGATTTCAATCTCCGCTGGCCATGACGCTGTACCTAGTTCTCTCACATCACCATTCTTACGGTGTGTATATTATCCCCGGCCACCCCTACCTCCCGTTTCCCCCATGACTGCTGGCCCTTCTTTATCATGGGTGCCGGTGCAATTTTAGAGCCGTTGGTCGTCATTGTCCTGCTTTTTGGAGGCACGTGGATCAACCGGATTACTTCATCCGTTGTATCTCCCAGCCATCCTCGTCAAGGGTCTTCCCCTTACGCGCGAGGAACCTCTCCCGATTCTTTGGAGTCTGGATATTCCAGCCCGACAGTCAAAGATGGCCTTCTGAGCCCTCGGTGCCGTTCACCTGAGATTCTCGAAGAAAGTTGGCACAAACGGCACGTTGGAATCTTTGGCTTGTCCTTTTGCGTGACGACCCCAGCCACCGAGGTTTTCCAAGGTCGTCTGCTCAGTCGTCTGCTTCGAAAGCTGCCCTTTTTGGTGGAATGCTGGTACTGGGCTCTTGTATATTGGGTAAGTCGATTTGGCTCATTCTCATTCTCTTCGACGTATTGTCAGTTGTTTCAAGGTCACTCATCCACTTTCCCATACAGACGTATCAGCTTGGACGTGCATTCACCGCTGTGACCCTCAAGGAAGATACTGTTGATTTTGCCCGACGACATGCTCTCCAATTGATTCGGGTAGAGGAGAGACTGGGCATCTTCTGGGAGCTCCGAATCCAGCATTTCTTCCTCCGGCATCCTCCGGCTATGACTTGGATCAACTGGATATACTCGTTCATCCATATTCCCGGTACAATCGCGTTCCTCGTTTGGCTTTATTATTACACCATCACTCGGAACCGCATCGATGAGTCCCAGCCAGGGAAGCCTCGGGGTTCAGTGAGCGGATCACCTGCAGGGCCGTTGTTATATCAAGCACGGAGACGGACACTCGCCGTGTGCAATCTCCTGGCGTTTGTCGTATTCACCCTCTGGCCGTGTATGCCACCTCGACTGCTCAGTGACCCGAACGTGGAAGGCCCGGAGGGAGAGCTGGCCCGCAGCTATGGGTTTATTGACACTGTTCATGGAGTCAACGGAGCGGGAAGTGTGTGGACTGAAAACCGCTTTTGCAATCAGTATGGTAAGTGCATCCCATCGCATGTTCCAGTGAAAGCTCCATGTCTGACTCTGACCAGCTGCGATGCCGTCCTTGCATTTCGGATACTCGCTCATGATCGGCTTCACCATCATGACCATCCCCCTCCCCCGCCATCATCGCCGCACGATCCGGACTCGGTTGGTTCCCACTATTGGGCTGCGCCTACCCTCCTGGCACCGGATTCTTTGTCTTGTACTGGGTTTTCTTTATCCGTTCATGATTCTGGTAGCCATCGTGGCGACGACCAACCACTTTATACTGGATGCGATTGCGGGGGCCTTGGTCTGCGCCCTGGGCTGGTGGTTCAATGGTGTGCTTCTGAACTTGCTGCCAATGGAGGACTGCTTCCTCTGGATCGTACGGATCCACAAACCGGAGTCATCATCGGTCAGAATTGTCAATACGTCTGATGGCTGGGAATCAGAAGGGGTGGAACCCGGCCAGGCTGTTTTGACGCCCTGACGGCGCGCCATGCCTCTGAAATGGAGCAGCGTGCACCCTTGTTGTCGCTGGATTGGAACGCAGTGAGGCCTCTGAAGCCACCTAGATGTTGCCGGAACTCGTTCATATTGTTGTGTATATTGCGCGGGCGCTATCTTTACCTAGCATCCCTTACCCCGCTGTGTCGTGGCTCTGATGCGTATCCTTGCAGATCCGTACATGCCTCTGTAGATATTGTGTTAGTCCTTAATCCAGATAATCGTTCATCCGTGAGTTTTAATATACGAGAAATGGGAATTGGATTCTACAAACCGAGTGAAGTCAAATGGCCAAAGAGAAGTGACGTTGATAAGAGTTGACGGAGCTCAGGGTGGCGTTGTGCTTACCGAGCATGCGAGTATTCTCCCAATTGTTATTCTGAATGACTGCCTTCATCGCTGTTCAAAGCGCCTTTCTGCCTTCTGTGCCTCTTATGCCATCCGTATATATCTGTACTTCGTGGATTGAGCCTACAAGCTCTGCCAACTTCCCATAGCCATAGCACCCTGTCAGTCTCCCCTTTGGACTTTGGAACCCGAGTCTAGCTAGACCGAGAGACAAAAGGAACCAAGAACCAACAATGCTCCCTTGGCTGGCCTTTTAAGGGAATATCGTGTAAGCCTCAATCGAGTCTCCGCTGCAGCACACTACCCTCTATACTTGACATGGTCCCCAGTGAAGCTTCATTAAAAGAAGCTTTGGGGCACCCAGCGAGCACCTAGGTATATACCACCTTCTAGGGAAGTTAGGAAAAGGTCCAGAGCCGCGTCCAGAAGTCTCGATCTTCCACTTGGCCGTGACCTGTCGTGACAAGGGACCACAAAGTCATCGTGTGAATCAATCCCCAAGTTGGGTCCGATCAGCAGCCCGACAGACTCTTATCGGAGATCAAAAAGCCCAGTAATCGAAAAAAGAACCCTCCAGACTGAGAATTCTATCGCGGTCATCATCATCTCGCGTTATGCTCCTCCCTCGAAGACACCCACAACTTGACCGGCCTTGGAATCCACGGTTGAAGTCATAGAGTGGTGGTCCACCGAGGTGCAGAAGGTTGTGGCGTCATGGCGGTTTTTGCCGTTCTCAGACCCCAACGCGTCCTTCCCGCGCTCGGAGCTGCGCGACTCTGCCTTCTCCACAATCTCCACCTCCCCTACAACCTTTCCACCTTTTCACCTTCCCACTATTCCCTTACGTGAACCCTCGATCCCCTCTTGAAATCTGCCATTATGGCTGACGACAATCCCGTCACTGCGCCTGCCGAAGCTGAGAAGCCTGAGAACACCTCGGCCGACAGGCCGGACGAGGCGTCCGAGACTGTCGCTACCTCTGATCAGAAGACAACTGGTAAGAAAGATTCAATCTGCATACCCAAATCAGCTATAGAGCTTCGGTTTGAAGCAGCTCCTCGTTCAGGGTGATGGTGCCTCTGTGCGACCAACGTGCGCTGACCCACTCGCTCATCTGCAGAACCCGCTCACGCAACCGATGACAAGAAGGAGGCCGAAGCTGAGAACAAGGAATCAGCTGCATCTGGCGATGTGACGGAGTCCAAGAATGACGGCGAGAGCGCCGCTGCCCCTGCCGACGCTGAGGCTGCTGCCCCGGAGACGAACGGATCTGCGCCCGCCAAGAAGTCCGCGAAGGACCGTCGCCGCTCCAGCGGTGTCGGCGAGAAGTCTAAGCAACTGAGCCGCAAGAAGTCTCAGATTCGTACCACCCAGCTGAATGCGAAGCCAGGCGAGTATTACTTGGCGCGCCTCCGCAGCTATGCGCCTTGGCCCTCCATCATCTGCGACGAGGAGATCCTGCCCAATACGCTGCTCGACAATCGCCCTGTAACCGCGATGCAAAAGGATGGAACCTATCGCGCCGATTACGCCGACGATGGCAAGAGGGCACACGAGCGGACTTTCCCTGTGATGTTCTTTGGGACCAACGAATTGTGGGTGGACTCTCCTGGATTCTCCTCGGAAGCGGCTTTCCCATTATCGATTGATACTGACTCTCTTTGACAGTGCCTGGGTTCCCAACACCCAATTGACCCCCCCTCGACCCTGCTGACTGCAAGGATGTCTCCGAGAAGAACAAGGCTAAGGGCCTAATCGCCGCCTACAAAATTGCCGCAGAAGGCCATGACCTGCAATACTTCAAGAGCCTGTTGGCAGACCACCAGGCTGCCCTGCAGCAGGAGATCGATGAAGCGGAGGCTGAAGAGAATGCAAAGGCTGCGGCCAAAGCTGAGAAGGCGAAGAAGACCAAGCGCAAGAGCAAGGGCGCCGACACCGATGTGGATATGGAAGATGCGGATGAGAAGAAGCCCAAGAGCTCGAAGAAGCGGAAAAACGAGACTGAGGCTGAGGCGGAGAAAGTACGTTTCTTGAAATTGGTTCGGTGACGGACACACAATGACTAACTCATTTGCATCTATAGCCCGCCAAAACTCCCAAGACCTCGACCAAGCTGAAGTTGACCACCCCAAAGGCCCCCGCCGAGGAGAGCAGCAAGAAGACCCCTGCTAGCAAGACCAAGAAGGCCCCGGCCAAGAAGGGCAAGGCTGCTGCCAAGGACGAGGAGGATATTGCTGAGGCCAAGGAGCCAGAGAAGCAGATTGACCCGGAGGAGTTGAAGAAGAAGAAAGAAAAAGAGGGTATGTGTAACAGACTTTCTTACAACTACTCCACCGTGAACACCCAGGGCTAATTTCTCAGCAGTTCTCTTCCTTCGTCACAAGCTCCAGAAGGGGTTCATTTCCCGTGATCAACCACCCAAGGAGGACGAGATGGCCACGATGGGCACTTATTTCGACAAGCTGGAGAAGCACGCCGATCTGGAAGTTTCGATTATTCGCTCGACCAAGATCAACAAGGTCCTAAAGATGATCGTGAAGCTCAACTCGATTCCTCGTGATGAGGAATTCAACTTCCGCCACCGTGCCATGAACATTCTGTCGAGCTGGAAGGCTGTCCTGGATTCCGATACCCCCGCGGGAGACAAGGATTTCAAGCCCACTGCCAACGGAAGCTCCAAAGAGGATGAGGGCGCGGATACTCCCAAGCTAGAGACGGAGGAGGAGAAAGAGCCGGAGAGCAAGGCCGGCAATGACGATACCCCCATGCCTGACGCCGATGCAGACAAACCAGAAGAGACCGAGAAACACGAGGCCACCCAGGGTGACAAGCCCGCCGAGGAGAAGGCTGTGGAGACTAGCGCATAAGCGCCGTCCGGCATCTGCTGTTTCTATTTTATTGTTTTCTCTCTTATGAACAGGTTTGGGTGCTCTGCTTTGTGGCCGTTATTTCTGTCTTTTTTCCACCTGATCTGATGTTCCGTGATAATCCACTCGTCTTTCACCTTGTATTCGCAATTGGGGCTGGATCTATCTATCAAAGTGTTTGATCCAGGTCAATGAAAAATGCGCTTAGTGTTAATTTGTTTTCTACTTTTCCTTTCCCGGTTCTGTACATGGAAGTCGTTCCACGGTACAAGGGTTGCTTCTCGTTTTCTCGGGAGAGCTACTCGAGAAAAGTCGCGTTGCCTTGTTATGTTTCGAGTACCGAATTGAAGAAATTGAACATGTTCCACCCCCAACACTAGGTGACAGTAAATCGGACGCCGTTTTTGGCGCCCTTTGTAACCAGGATTTGAGTCATCATTGAATCTGTGCTCCGGGAGCCGATTGCTATCGAAGGCGGTAGTGTTACCGTCACATATACTACCGATGGAATTCTTTTATAATGAGTCGTAAAGTATAGAGTGGAATAGAACCACAAGAGAGGTTGACGGAGAAGGTAAAATACAAGCTCAATTGCAGCGATGTAAAATCTCTCTATCATCCCTGAAATGCATTTCGCAATGGCGGGATGTGTAACAAATTAACAAGGTATCAGGCCCAAGATCGAAAACTCAGATGGTGTATATGTATACCAGCCACTCCCAATCATCTAAATATCAAACAACCGGCGCCCCCAATGATGCAAAAGAGATGGAATTAGATGAGTCGAGAACCCAAATTTCCTATGACGACTATGACGACTGGCTTCCGTCCAGAGGAGGAGAGAACGAAGTTTACTCGGAGCCGCTGCAACCTGCCGGACTTTCGTCTACTGCGACGAGTACTAAGGCGCAGATGTCATCAACTTTGCCACCGCGGTAATAGTCGCCCGGGTAGTAGCGCTGGGCTTCTTTGGCGAAGGGTCCATCGCGGCGAAAATCGACACTAGCGAGCTTGGCTTCACCAGCAATAGAGGCTGCGAGGAGGGACTGGAGTGTCAAGGTAGTTTCTAAGCGTTTTGACAGTTCGTTCGAGCCCCCCTTCGATGTAAAATCGGATGACGAAGGAGGGTAGAAAGTCTCAGCAAGTCCGCCGGGTACAGTCAGTGCAGCCAGGCTATCTGAGACACTGACAGCAATATCGGGAGCAGCTGTCCATGCTCCCGTCAGGATCATCCGGCTGGTTACCAGCTTGAGGATGTCCTGGTTGTTGAGGTTGTCGAAGACGCCATCAGTAGCTAGCATGAGCACATCGCCGTGCTGCATTTGAACGTTGGTGACGACAGCGTCGCGAGGGAAGTCCTCGAGAAAGGCTCCACCAAAGACGGAGGCCTGAGCACGCATGCGAGGAGGAATAATGCTGAGCTGGTAGGGAGTGTTGAAGCCGTGGGTTTGCGGAATCGAGTAGTGGTGAACGGCCGCCCGGCGGAGCAGGACCGAACCCGAGTCGCCCAGGTTGGCCAGCTCGACGCGGCCATCCGGTAGCGCTACACCAACGGAGGCAGTACTGCCTCCGGCCTTGACAGCCGGATCGGCAACGATCTGATCGTAGCCGGTCTGCAATAGCTGCTTGGGTCGTAACTTGTCGGCGGGTTCGTCCCAAGCCAGCGCCGTGTCTGCCATGTACCCGCATAGACCGTGTGAGAAGTCCGCCGGATCGACGCGGGACTCGGTCCATCCGCCGACGCCATCTGCTACCGCGAAAGCGACTGCATCTTCCGAACCGGCATGCTCTCCGGAGCCGACCCGGCTCACGAAGAAAGCATCCTCGCCGCTGTCAGGCCGGCCACGCCGGCGAGTACTCGGGTTCTTGTCCTTAGTAACACCTATCACATTGGAAGTGCTGGGGTTGAAATTATATGCATTTTTGAGGGGGTGGAAGCGGCGTCCTTTGCCGGAGGACGAGACGGCAACCCGATAGGAGATCCGTGGGGACCGGGAGGTTGAAAAGCGTTCGGGGGTCGAGTGAAAGGACCTCCTGGAGTCAGGACTCAACGCATGACGACAAGTCGCGAGAAATGAAGGTCGGATTCGAGTGGAACGGAACACGGGGTGGGCGGCAGCCAGGGCTTGTAGGCTGCAGGTGGAACTGCAGGCTCTACAGGAAACAGTTGGCGGGAGCATCGGGAGTATGGCGACTCTCCCAAAAGCTGCACGCTTATAAGAGCATCGGAGTAGTAAAAGGAGAGAAGATTAGATTTAGACACATGTAAGGTTTAAGAAAGGATTGAAAATCAACGAATGGCGGCGGATAAGAACTGAACCCGCTGTGATCTTATCGCGATTGACCGCCTGGCGTCATACTTGGTGTTGGTGGAGTGCAAGTGATAGGGTGGAGGTGCTTGGTATTTTGGATTGACTGATGTAAGGTATTTCAGGCCGGATTTAGCACATGGCTTTCAAATATGAAGATCTATGATCTACGCAGTTCCGCTGGCTGTGATAGTCCTGGAGTAAAATATTTGCTGGGTTATCATTTCTGCCACCCGCGCAACTTCACCACCTCAAACCCGCGCGCGTCAACTTCGTACAACCCCCTTCTGGCCTCTCGTGCCTTGATTCGGTCTCCAATTGGCAGCTCCCGGAATAGAGAAGCACTTGCTTCCAAGCTTCCAAGATGATGCACCCCGCGCGACAGGCCTATGTCGAGGAGGCTGAGGACACCGACATGGGAATCAGCCTCGCCGACCTCCCCGTCGACCAGGACTACGATATGCCTGGCGCTGCAGCAGGCATCCCTACTGAGCGTGTGTCTGCCCTACAGGCTCAATTTGACCGAAAACGACGCGCAGCGGCAACAGTCGTACCGACAGATGATACCCGAGTGCGCATGCGGTTACGAGAGCTTGGAGAGCCCATTACACTATTCGGCGAAGGCCCGGGAGACCGACGAGACCGTCTGCGCGAGCTTTTAACCGACTTGGCAGAAAGACAGGGAGAGGGAGATGTGGAAATGGAAGAGCCAGAGGAGGAAGAGGCGGGGGAGCAACAGGAGGAATTTTACACAGAGGGTACGGACGAGCTATTGGAGGCCCGAAAGGCAATTGCACGCTTTTCTTTACCGAGAGCGAAGGCTCGTGTGGCCCGGCTCAAGGAGGAGTCGACAATTCCACTTCGCACGCACGTCAAGCACCGCAAAGCCATCAAAGAGAAGCTCCAGAACTTTGATTTATACGGGTCACAGATTGCTGGAGATCGTCCTGTTAGTATCTGCCGTTTTGCTCCAGATGGACAGACTATCGCAGCAGGAAATTGGTCTGGCGGTATCAAACTACTCTCAGTACCGAATCTGGAGGAAAAGGCCAACCTCAAGGGGCACACGGATCGGATCGGTGGATTAGCATGGCTCCCAGGAGCTACGCTTCCCTCGTCTAATGTTTCACCGTCGACCGTGAACCTGATGTCTGGGGGAGGCGAAGGAGACATCAACCTCTGGGCTCTCGATCAAGAGAAGCCACTCGCGACACTATCTGGCCATTCAGGACGTGTGTGCCGTACAGAATTCCACCCGTCTGGACGATATGCGGCATCTGCATCATTTGATACCACTTGGCGGCTGTGGGATGTCGAAACAACGGCGGAGCTTCAGTTGCAGGAGGGCCATTCACGAGAGGTCTACGCAGTGTCGTTCAACAATGACGGCTCACTTCTTGCCAGTGGTGGATTGGACAGTATCGGCCGCATCTGGGATCTTCGGACAGGGCGCACCGTGATGATTCTCGAGGGCCACATCCGAGAGATCTACGGTATGGACTGGGGTGCGGATGGGTACCGTGTGCTTTCAGGTTCCGGCGATGGATGGGTCAAATGCTGGGATCTCCGACAAGTGCGGAATACGGGTGGCATCGGTGCACACAAGAGCGTCGTGTCTGATCTCCGATGGTATAAGGGAGAGGAGGCGGCTTCCTATTTGCCTTCTACAGAAGGCTCGAATGGCCAAATGGATATCGACGGTGCTACACCGGCACAGACTGAGTCCTCGGGATCATCGGTCGAGCCCAAGAAATCAGGCACATTCTTTGTGTCCAGTGGCTTTGACAAGAACGTGAATATCTTCAGCGCCGATGACTGGTCATTGGTCAAGTCGTTGAGTGGGCACGCGGGCAACGTGCTGAGCACAGATGTGAGCAACGATGCGAAATGGATTGCAAGCTGTGGCCATGACCGGACAGTGAAGCTCTGGGGCATTGAATAATTGGTAGTCTGCCTTATCTCATCAACTTTTTCCACTGGCCCGCGGTTCAAGCTGCTCTCGAAGCTGGAGGCTATGCCATGTACTCTCACCCGACCATGGGAGAAAATTTTCAAAGATACACCTGTCAAAATAATCCACACAAGTATTTCGAACACCGGCCTTGAGCAACGTTAATAGCTTCAAACATATCTTGAATAAAGTCACGTGTGTTTTCCGGGGATGACGTAAGAGGATATGCTTTTTGCGGAGGAATCTCCGATGCTTCACACTCAACTTAACACTACACAATGGCGTTTCGCCCACCGAGCCTGGCCCGGCACTTTGGCCGCCAGACGACCTCTCGTTCCATCATCACACCTACACGATCTATCTCTACAAGCGCAAGCCATCGTTCTTTCATCCCGCGTAGCACAAATTCGGACCGCTGCCTGTGCTCCCGATTTCGCACCCAAGCTTCGGCCCAGATATTCACCTCAGCATCTCGTGGTGTCTTCACGGCTTCACCGGGTCTGGGCCGGCGCTATGCCTCTACAAATTCGTCTGCAGAACCAACAGGAGAGTCCGGAATAGTCGGAGCTCCTGATATCACCAACTATTACACCATCTTCCCTCAAACCATTCCTGCGGGCCCTCCTCCCGCTTCGCCCTTCTCCATCTCAATCGCGGATCTCCGCCGCGAGTTCCTACAATTGCAAAACAGGATTCACCCCGACAAATATCCCGCCGGTGATGCAAAGCAGCACGCCGAGGCGTTATCGGCCCGTATCAACGAGGCATACCGAACACTTGCCGACCCACTCCAGCGGGCACAGTACCTCCTCCGAGAATGGCACGGCATTGATGTGACGGCCGAAGACGCCGCGACGAAGCATGCCCTCGACCCGGAGACACTTATGGAGGTGATGGAGGTGCAGGAGACCATTGAGGAGGTGGGCGCAACGCCCGAAGGAGAAGCCGAGATCAACGCTCTCAAAATTGATAATGACGCGCGTATTGGTGTATGTGTCGGGGCGCTAGCGGGATTCTTTGACAAAGGCGACATTGAGGCGGCGCGGAAGGAATGCATTCGGCTGCGCTTCTGGTATAGCGTTGGCGAGGGATTGCGCGAGTGGGAGCCCGGCAACACGGAGATTCGGCTGGTGCACGGCAACTGATTATATTAAACAATCTCCCCTGTATTATGACTCGTTGGCATTTGGCATTTTTGGACATATGTTTCCATAGATTTGAGATATCTTCCTATCGAGATCCACTCTGATACCTTGATACACGGATCGGTATTGATGGGATTAAGTCGTAAGAGTGTGGAGGTAAAACCGATTTCGAAAACTACGTGAGTCGAAAAAGAAGATAGCAGTCGGAACCAGAACTTAAACCTAAATCGAAGTCTACCCTGGCTCAATCTAAGACCTCCGATATCTATATAACTCTCACGTTTGGGGACACGAGAATCTACCGGGCTACTTTTGTGGAGGTGCGCGTACTTGATATGCATAAGCTTCTTAGGGATCTTACTTGTATCGATGATAATCAGGCACTCTATGAAGAAGGCGAAGGTGAGGATGAAGCATCACGAACGCAATAGGCATTCCATTCCACTTGCATTTGATATTTTCTCTCATGTTAACTATTGTGCCTGCTTACAGGAAAAGCAACATGGGTAACGTCTTCAGAGCAGTTTATCTTGTTAGTAGAGGAGTATGTTCTTCCTGGTGGCTACAGATAGCAATTGAGGCGATCACAATTGGTGCACACAAATATAAAACTAGATAACAGCCACCTTATAGATGAGCTACAGGCTCTGCTAATAATGCCTTGACCACCTCTGCACCTCCACGCTGGCCAGACCGGACGGCGCCTTCCATATATCCACGCCAGTCACGGGAGGTCTCGGTGCCTACAAAATGCACCCGTCCAACAGGAGTGGCCAATTCATCGCCTACCTTTGTGAGCACCCCCGGGGTCGTGATCGGGCAAGGAGCACCAAAGAAGAAAGGCTCCTTGATCCACTCCATTTCCAACGTGTTTGTAGGTGCAGGGACGTGGACAAATGTGCCGAAGGCCCGGCAGAATTGTTCCCAAGCCCGTTGAAGGCGAACAGCCCGGGGCAACTTGGACCAGCTCCTACCTTTATCACCCACAATAAAACAAGTAATCGACCACTGATTGTCTGCGGGAATACTTGTGTCTCGGGTGAAAATGATCGGGCCCTTGTCGGAGTCCAGTACACCCGAGAAACCAGCTTTTTGCCACCAAGGCTCCTTAAACACGTAGATCACCTTAGTATAATATCCCGTTGCTGTGTTCTCGCTCAGAATAGCCTTCCTTTTCGGCAGCGCAGGATTGAAAGCAATTTGACGATATAGAGTCGTAGGGATGGAGACGATTACTCTTTTGCAGGGGAAGCTTATGCCGCCCTCTGTGTGAACCGCACAGCATCCATCTCGCAGCTGGTCAATAGAAGTGACCGGCATGCGGAGAAAGACGGAGTTCGGACCAAGTTCTTCTGCCATTCTTTGGGAGATTGTTTGATTTCCTGGTCTCGTCAGTTCACATGTCCATGATGATTAACAAACAATGCCTTTACCTTGCCGATTTCGTAGGTACTGCCCACCATTTTTCTGGTCCGAGATAATGTTGTCGATGCCAGCGCCACTCTTGAAGTAGAGCAGCATGAATAGGGCACTAACTTCGTCACTCTCCACCCCGACCAGGCATGTGGACAGCAAGTTGGCGATGTCCAATGCATCCTCCGACTGGGATTCTTGAATGCAAAATTCGCGGAAGGTGGGTTGATCGATCTCTCTGGCGCGGGCACTTTTGGTCGGGTTGTCCAAGTCGATCAGCGAGCATGTGGTTCGAAACACGTCAAGCAGTCCTAGCAACACATCTGGGTTTCCCTACGGTATGATCGATCAACATTCGTGCACACAAATTTGAACTCGCAAGACGTACTGGCAGCTGCCCGAATGGCACTTTGGTAATTGACCCGTCCGCGGACTGGATGACGGTGTCTCCATGGTCGCGTTGGATTTCGGTATCGACGCCATATCGCTTGCAGAGCTTGAACATCTCACTCTGATTGGTGTTATTGACCCAGGATGCACCTAGATCATTGAATCCCTTCTCACAAGACTGGACAGTCAAAGTCTTCCCGCCGACGCGGTTGGTAGCCTCCACCACGCAAACGTTGAAGCCCGTCGCCCGCACCGAGGGAGCGGCTTGGAGGCCACTGAACCCGGCGCCAACAACCACCACGTCGTAATGCTTTTCTGCTGTAGATGCCATCCTAATATGGGGGGATATAGACATGAGTTAACATTGGCCGCTGCAAATAGCATACTGTTATATACTTTTAAAAGCGGCAATTCCCATCTGGGAATGGTGATTCTCAAGGAACTTCCATCGTTCGCAAGTATCCCTCGCAAATCAAATCCGATCGCTAGGCCATTGCCCTCCTCCTCTGCCTCACGAAAGCCAGGAGCATAGTCATCCACTAGATCGACTTCCTCACCCTGGTAGATGTCCACAATCGGCTTCCGCATATCGACTCTAAGCACCGATTAGTATATAAAACCCCAAAATCAAGAGCAAGATGGCTCACGGCTCATCCTCTAAGATAAACTTCGGATCCCTATTCTCATTAAGATCAGGATATCTTTTCTCAATATACTGCAACGCGAGCGGTATCGACCTCTGATTGCCAGGACCAATGTCACGATAACATTCGGCATGTTCTGCCGACATAATTTGGGCCCGGTAGGCCGTTTCATAGATACCGTTCGTTTCGAACTGAACCCAAAGCCCCAGGCCTGTCTCCAGGGTTCGGTCATCAATAATCAGCTTGGGATAACAATCCCTGAAAAGCACCGTTCCATCAAGCGCCATATGCATATCGAGAAAATCGGGCCGGGCGACGCTTTGCTGGAGCTTGAAAGTTTCGAGAATATCTTGATTATCTTTCACGGGCAAAAACATCACAATTTCGTCCGCTAGAAATTCCTCGCCTTCCTCCCATGGAAATAAACCCAGGATAGCCTTGGCCAGTAGGGCTTGTTTCTCTTCGTTCAATTCGGTGATACAGATGTAGACCATGCATGAACCTTCAACGTCACTTTTAATGAAAGACTCGTCCTATTTTCGGATTAAAATCAGAAGCGGAAAAGCAGGGGATGTTTCGTACTTTAAGTTCGGGGCCTTCGAAAAAATTAGGCTCGTCCTCTGGTGCTCGGGATTGATAGCCCTATTGCGGGGTCGGTAGAAATTCAAAGAATATCTTATTTAATCAAGTCATACATCTCGAAATTCTTGGTCTGCTGTCGCCCATTCTTCTATCAGATCTCGTTTCTGTTGATCTGCGGTGTCGCCGCCGACCCACCGCTCACGAACAAAATGCCTCCATGCACGAGTGGCGGCACCGAGATTGTCCCAATCGACATGTTCTTCGTGTCGGCGAATAAATGAGGGGATAACTTCAGGCCACTGGCTATGCGACCTTTTGAGGGACATGTTTGAATGGTGTGGTGGGAGTTGTGAGGGTGAAAAGAGGTGAGGGACGCGAAGGAGGGGCGGGCGGGTCGATATTTAGGTGACGGACGCCCAAGTTTGATGGATGCACCCAATTGACACCCTTAGGCCTTTGGGACACGAAACGAATATTTCCCACCATCCCTATCTCTGGACTAATAGCGCGATATTAGTGGTCCGGAGCTCGGAGATACAGTGAGTCTTTGACTTCCAGGGTTTTCCTATGGATCCAGCCTTAGCGTGCTATACTATGTTACTCCCTCCAGCACTTGAGGGCTATATAGTAATACTTAGTATGTAATTTTCCGGTCTAGTAACCTGGGACATACTCGAAACATCCATTTGAAGGCTCAGCATATTTATGAGTATGTGTTACAAAACTACAAGGATTTGAAGGGAAATCAAACAGGCAACTCACGGCAATGAAATCTCCGATATAGTATGTATATCATGATCATGCATAGATCCCATGATCAAACTCATTTAAACATACAAGGTTGGAATTACATACTAAAGGGACTACTTCTACTAGCAGTATATACAGAATCAAATTACTAAACCTGCCCTCCAGAACTTTGTCGACACGGTATATGAGTAAGCTAATCCAAAAGCTTCAAATTTTGCAACATTGAAGCCGTAAAGGTTTAAACCCCAAGCCAAGATCATGAACAAGAGCCATACTCAGCGTTACAATTTACACTGGAACACCGACGAGCTACCACAATAGCCGTAGTTACTGCAGCAATCACCAAACTGAGATCTGAGACAAGTCCAGTCCGAGTTGTCCGGACCACACAGACCATTCTCCGAGATGGTACTTGTTGGAGTTGCAGCCGTGGTAGTAGAAGTTGCAGTAGTGGCCGTAGACGATGCGTGAGGGCTAGCTGTTTGACTAGAAGTAAACAACGTAGAGCTTCCAACACCCCCGTCATCTGTCAGTGTGATGCTGAAGTTGAATCCAACTGTTGGGAAGGTGTCGTTGATAGGAAGATTGCAGACGCGCTCATATTCTTCCAGCCAGGCTTCATCTGCCCACATATCGTCTGTTAAATCGTCGTCGGTGATGTTGTACACTGAGTTTACCTGGTCACAGAGCGTGTAGGCTGACAGAGATGCAAGCCATGCGGAATCAGATATCCAGGCTGAAGTGGTGGTTAGGTCGGAGGGATATGACCAGAACAAGTGTGTGGTGCTATGGTTTGCTGTCCGGGTAGCATTGGGATTGATGGTGCTAGCGAGAGTTGTATGAGTTCTGCTGCTGTTGGATGTGTAGCTGGTGTAGGTGTTGATGTTAGCCACTGCTTGTACGCACTGTGAAGGATTTGTTAGTTTCAAAGGAAGTGTGTCATTGTTTTTTCTGGTGTAAAAGGGCTTACGTAGCTGTTCCCTTTCCACAGACTGCCACAGGCTGAGGTCGTATTCAATGCGGCCTGGGGGTTTAGGAAATCGAAATCATATTGTGAGATGCTGAACTTGCTGCCTACAGCCTGGCAGGTATCGCCATCTTGGATCTGATACCAGTGACCGCAGTTGGTGTTGGAGGTAGTAACCGCGTCGGTGGGAACAGAGCTGTACATATGATTAGTATTATCACCTCAGAGAATAGACCAGTGGGAAACAAACACAGCTGTGGTTGCGGGTTTCAGAACCAGCGTATCAGGAAGGCAGATTTCTGCCCCAGCAACGATATGTGTGCATCCCATATCAAGGCTGTTCAAGTTGATCAAGGCCATGGTAGAGACATTTTGAGCTGCTGAAATAACAACACAGGTATCTCCAGATTCGACCTCGTAAACAGTTTGATCGGGGTCAGTCGTATTGCAGCGACTAGCAGCAAGAGTAGCAGAGGCAGAGGCCGTAGAAGAGGAAGTGGATGTCGCTGTATATGTCACAGAGTATCCGCTTGTGGAGCAAGAAGATACTTGTCTCTCCAGAGCAGAAGGACTGAGAAAAGTATCCTGACCCCATTGGGAGTTGACTATAGTTGAAATGTAGTTCAAATAGCATTCGCTACATTTGACATCCGTGGTGCCATTTGCGATTGCATCCTGAAAGAGAGTGTTGCAATAGATGCCCGAAGAAACATCAGTCGAGCAGGTCGCATTATAATGCCATTGTATTTCCTTTCCCCTATCAGAGGCAGTTTGCGAGATGCCAGAAATGTTGTACTGAGTATTTGCGCCGCAAGCTTCGTTCACAGAGGATAAATAGCTGGACAAAGCGGAGAAGCAATCAGTAGTGCAAATTTCTGAAAGTGCACTGGTTGACCATGATGTCGTGTCAGTGACTGCCTGGCTCAAGCCTGCATAGCACGAGGCATTGCTGGCCATAGCATTGACACAATCCTCGGAAGCTGAGATACCAGCCAAATTATCGGATGTGTAAATGTAAAGAGTATCGGCATTTCCCCAAACACCAGCATACTGAGCCTGCAGCGTCAATGCTACTGCAAATGCAGCCAAAGTCCTCAAAGGCGCCATCTTTCATGCCCAGAGGAGAGTTGTTACAGTAAAGCTTTTCATCTGCATATGAAACGTGGACAAGGCCATAGAAGGGGCGACCATCAATTGCGTGAATTAATGGCTCGGGCAATTCCCGACGTGCTCAAGGAACCTCCGGAACTTCGTATTGACTCGGTGTATGAATCGACATACAACTGCGCTAAGTCCAACAGAAGGGCAAATAAGTAACCCAACTGAATACCGGTCTTGTGGTGGAATTCCCGAAGGCCGAAGTCTTCTTCCCACAAGACGATCATGGCAAGGCCGCCAGCGTTCCCCCGTCCTCTCTCAGAAACCAAAATGATAAGGATGCTCCAAATCAATTTAGCGTCACCCCTCAATTCGAAGCTTCTGCATCAGCATCGGGTAACTTGGCTTTGACTCTCACCCCTCAGGTGAAGTTTGGTAATTTCTGTTCTCAGTGGTAAGCTGATGGAAGGTTACGTGACGGCAGGCGTGGAGAATACTGTCAGTTTGGGCGTTAGTGCTTCGGCATCCACAGGTCTGTCCAACGGGTCTTCAGCAGAATTCTGCTACTGGGCAGACTACGATTATTCGGTTTTCTTGCAAGCCAATGCTTCGTAAGTTGTTTTATTGGGTTACTTAAGTTGATTCCCTACTTAATGCTAACTTTGAATCTTCAGCTTCCTTGGTGACCTGGCATACTGGGGCGATCGGTATGATCTCGCCTCTCCAGAAGATCCGATCGTACTTGTTGAGCAAACCTGTTTGGCCTACTCGAGTGACGTGGATGTGAAAAGAAAGCGGGATTCCACAGACTCTGCTCTAGTCAAAAACACAACTGGCTCATCAATCTTTAGTGGATGGTGCCAGTGTGCCGACAAAACAACTTCAATTGGAAACGACACCTTGAGTTGTGAGAATTCCGAGGGCACCACTTTGACTACCAAGCGTAATGATGGCACAAGCACATATTGTTACCCCCCACCGGCGCTATTTTACAATTCCGACTGGTTCCAAGATGCTGAAATCGAGAACCCCAACACTGATACAAGGGAAGATACGCCTTATGTTGAACTCAGGGGTATTTGCAAAAATGTCAAGAAATACCTGGACCGAAACTCAGCAAAAGAACACGTTTCGCCTAACTCCATGCTCTTGACTTACAAGAAGGACGGTAATAATAATAACCGGAACGAAGCATGTACCCAAAAGGCCAAAGAATGCTCCAAGTTGAAGACATCCCTTTGGCCCTTGAATGGAGCTTCGCCACAAGCGGAGACGATGTCCTGTGATGAACTTCCTTGTATGTCAACATTCCAAACTGGATTCACTTGATTGAAAAATATCTACTAACACGACGCTCATCCAGTCCACTCAACAGTAGAGGGCGGCTCTGGCGCTGTAAATTAAATCTCCTTCTTTCCCAAAGAGATTGATCGGGAACTAACTTCATGTTGTCTAGGAGGTGGCATGTGTTCCGGAGGGACAACAGAGGTATCAAAGTAAGGTCAACAACCAGGTTTCCAACATCGTGTATAAAGTGAGTCAAGTCTCTCGGGCCCGCACAGCTGAGATCTCGTTTCAGCAAGTCATGGCCACGCTTACGAGTGGTTGGATTGAGGGTCGGATTGAGGACTATACCACTTCTAAGAAGGAACATGATATCTTTGCCAATCTTTGCCTTGGAGAAAATGCGACTTTGGTTAGACAACCCGACTTTCGACGACGATTAAGTGGGAAAATATTGATCTATGGAGCCTATCCGCCACATCGAGATAGCATAAGATCAAAAGGGCCGGTCGGCCTAAGTATTAGTGAGCGATTAGGCTGCTTAGGAGCAGCTCGGGGCGGGGTGACTAGCTCACCCTGTGCCTCCGGGAGTCGATAACTTCCCGAGGCGGCAGTTTTACCGTCATTTAGATTACAGTAAATGGAACACGGCACCTGCCCCCTTATCAGTGCCAGAGAAAGATGCAACTGCAGACCGCCACTATTCTAACGAAAAGGCGATTGGACAACCACAGCCGGAAGATCAGATGAACGAAGCCCGCAGTTGGGTCCTCGGCCGCGGATTGGGCACGAACCCGACATCGCCCTAGCACATTTCCCATCGAATGACTCTCGTCCACGGGGGTTCTCCCCGAAGAAAATCAAAGCTGCAGCATGCATGGCGATGCAAATGAACGGCTTCTCTGACCCTCTCGAGCTCGCCTCATCTCGTTCTGGTTGATAACGTTTTTCCATAAATTCAGCGTCCCAGTCGGTCTGGTCAACGTTGGCGTCTCTACTGTATTCACCCATCACAGCTGCACACGTAGCAGACTATTGACACCACCTGGGTCTGCCGTGCCCGAGGGTTCACACCTCGCACCTTGGTGCCCCGACTTGGCCCAAAGCCATATTTAAGCATCATATTTTATCGCGAGCTTAAGTTATTATTTCTCTGGGAAGCATCGTCAGAGCATCAGCTCCCATGGATCCCCCCGATTATAATAGGTGTGTGCTGACATGCCCCGCCCAAACACGACAGAAGTTGGCTGACGCGCGTGAGGGATTGTCCGAGCACAGCATCATTCACTCTCCTTCCTTTACCTTTCTCGTCGGTCCAAAACATACCAAATTAACGATCCAGTCGGCCCTCGCCCAGCATGTCTCCAAACCGCTTCATAACCTCATGAACAATGGGCATACCCGGGAATCGAAGCATCGTATCGCAGTTTTGGAGGATGAGGATGTCGAGACCTTTGTTGCCTTTTGTGAATATGCATACACGGGAGACTATACAGTGCCTCTGCTGCCGGCCCCGTGTGAGGATATCAGGAAAGGTGTAGTCGAAGCCGCACTGAGCCCTGCAAACTCCTGGAGGGAAACCTATCGTTCGAATTCAGTCTCATCGGCCGTTCCCCCACCGGCTCCATCGCCGCCAGAGTCTGTTAGATCCGCCGAACCAGCAGCCCCAGCTCCTACCGAGCCTGAACCAGAGCCTACGCCTGTGATTGAGGGTGACGGCGCTGGTGAAGAGGTGAAACAGGCAGCGACAACGGAACACGAACTTCTGGCAGAAGAGGATACAACAAAGAACGAACCGGCAGAGCCTCTCGAGGATGAAGAAACGTATCCACTCAATCCGGGCCAGAATGCCGATGTGCCTGCTGCAGACGAAGCCCCGATCCAGACAAATCCAGAGCCAGCAGCCGATGATGGGGATTCAGGAACCTGGGAAGAGACACCGGCCATGAGCAAGAGGAGCAAGAAGAAGACTTTGGAACAAGAACCGACATGGACCGAGGAGGCTGCTGCCAACTTGACACCGCCATCAACACCTCCACCGAAATATCCAGCAGAGGTGGTTGATACTCCGCAGAGCCCAGAGCCAGAGAGTCCGCCAGAGGGAGAGTCACAAAGAGAAGAAAAAGTAGTCGAAGCCGAGCCAACTGCCGAACCTGAAGAGGAGGACGCAAAGCCTGCAGAAGAGCAACCTGCAGACACGGAGGTAGAGCCCGCTCAGGAAGATTGGGAGCAGCCCTCTGCATATCCCACCGATGGCGATGTCCAGACCCACGGAGATTCATGGCCGGAAGATGAAGTGGAGGAGCAGCATGACGAATCCCAACCCCCCAAGCCTGTCATCGACATGTCCTTTGCCAAACAGCCCGACTCGTCACCGCGCACACCGGGTCTCAGCCTGTGGGACGAATTCTCCGCTCTGCAATACAACAACGAGCAGACCTCTCTGCCCACGGTCGAGGTCTCCAGTTCCAATGACCTTCCATACCTGACCTTCCACGCCAAAGTGTACGTCTTTGCCACACGCTATCTCATCCCCGCCTTGGCGCAGCTGTGCCTTCAAAAGTTGCACCGAAACCTTTTGCAACTCTCCATCGCAGACACAGAGAGTCTGGATCCATTTTCGGGTCAGAATTCGGGCGGCTTGGCTGCGCACCAAGCGCCGATGGTCCTTGATCTGTTGCGTTACGCCTACACCAAAACGACCCGGCTCGAGCCGATCAACCCCACATCGGCAACGCAGCTTCGGGAGAATGAGTTGCGACGGCTGGTGGTGCACTATGCAGCATGCAAAGTAAAGGATCTGGCGCGATATCACTCTCCCGGGGACAGTGAAGCAGCAACACCCACACTGCGGCCCGTCGACTCCAAAGTGGAGCGGGCCAAGGACTCTGCACCGAAGAGTCTCCGGGCCCTGTTAGACATGACGCCGGAGCTGGCCTCTGACCTTGTCTATCGCATGATGTGATTGAGGGAGAGTGCGTGATTGGGTCTCGAAGTTGGATGCCGAGAAGTGGTCCGGGTCTTGCACAACTCTGTTTTGCCTTTGATTTCTGCATTGCTACCTTGCGAGACCCGCTCTCTTGTGTTCTCCTATTACATCATTTCTTCATTGATCAGTTTCATTCACTCGCGGACTCAGAGTCTTGGCTGCGGCAATGCGCTTTCTGTTAATTCCAATCGTTTCCGCTCGAGGAGGAGAGGGAATCAAATATAAAGATCAGCGGTAAATGAATGCTCGATGACGTTTCCTTTTCTAAGAAAAACCATTTAAGAATTCCTCATAAATCAGTACATTGACTATAATTGCAGGAACCTGGGACAACACAGCGGAGTGGAACAGCAAGGTCTAGGCATCTTGGCAAAGGCGCAAAAATAAGAACGAAATCCCGGCGACGCATCTGTTCGGAAATGATGTTGGCTCTGACCCTGGCAACGTCTCGTAGTTCCAATAGAGCGCGTGAATTGGGGGCTGCGTTCAGATAAGGGTGACCAGGAAGCGAATGCCAACGTTCGATATTTTGATAGATCCAGAACGATCCACTTGGCATCCGCCGATCTTCGCCACGTCCACAACGACAATCCCCATTCCATCTGCCTGCACCCACTTTTCCCTTTTTTCCCTTTCTCTTTTTCCTTCTCACAGCCACCGAAAAGCTTGGCAGCGGTCCGCTCTTTCGATGCGGCGTCGATCATCTTTCTTGGCTGCCCTTTTCCGTTTGAGTGATCACCCCTCGCCGCTTTTTGATCGTTGAGTAGAATTGAGCACGCCATTGAGCAGCTCGCTGGGAGTGAATACTTTGCTTTGGAGCACATCTAATTTCATCAAGAATTGATTGCTCTCAACAGTTATTTTCGGAGTGATGCTCCCCTTCAGGTGGGAATGAGTAGTAGCTCATGTTCAGTTGACCAATCGATCCTCATCTTATACCATGTGCTCCGGGGAGTATATCGTTTATTGCTCGTAGAAAAGATCACTAAGACAGGTATGACTTGAGATATCCAATCCCAAATCCTCAAGGCCAAAGTCCAGAGGCCCAGGAAGACCTATCCAGGTATTGGAATGCAATCAATGAGGATAATCAGAATCACAAGGGCCGGTGATGGACACCTGCCAATCAATATCCGTCATTGGCGTGGTGCTGGCGCTGGCAGTAGAAGCAGTAGAAGCAGTAAAAGCAGTAAAAGCCCCACCGGCCAAACATCATCCTGTCTATTGCAAACTTTCCAAATACTTCTTGGCGTCACCGAACGCTTTTCCGCCTAGGCATCGAAGTTTCTTTATACAGACTCAATTATGCCCAGACAGCGGTGGAGCGTTGCCTTCGCACATCACCCCTGCGCCACCCAGAAACATCCGCGTTCTCCCCCTGATGTGAAAGCGCCAAGCCCGACGGGTCTGGGCTATTCTTATTTTTCTTGATTGCGGCCGCGACGTGTGATAGCTATGACGATGCTGGTAGGTCAGATCTTGACGAGAGCTTTACGAGGCCCTGCGCCGTGTTGAGAAGATAATACAAAGTCTTGGTATCTTGGCCTGATGGATCCTCAAGGCCTTCGATGATGATCAGGTCAATCAATGATGAATCCTGCCCAATGTGTATTGCCTTTGCCTAGAGTTTGACATTCATATGGACCACTTCCCCCATAGGTTGACTTTGAATTCATTACTTTCATATCACGTCGTTTTGACATTGGCTGTTTCTGAGCTGTTTTCTTCTTTCTGCATTTCAAGCCAAAGGACAACTCATAGTCCTTCGATTATTCTTCGATTATTCTTCTCTATTCGCTCCTTATCCAATTGATACCCTATACAAATATTCCATGTACCCGTCACGATGTCCAACCCAGCGTTACTACACACAGAATGCTACGAGCTTCCTCCACACTCCTCTAATTCTTCAACATCCAACGCACCCATTCTCGATACTCAAAAATCCGAAAAGCAATGCCGCCTGGGATTTGTCCCACGTCTTCGCCATTTCACCTGGGCCTGGTATACATTGACGATGAGTACCGGCGGTCTTGCGCTCCTGATAGCCAGTCAACCCAACCGCTTCAAAGGCCTGGATCAGATCGGCCTGGCTGTTTACGTGATTAACCTCGTCATGTTCGCTCTCGTCTGTTCTCTGATGGCAGCCAGATTCATCGTGCACGGCGGACTTCTCCAGTCCCTCAGCCACGACCGTGAGGGTCTTTTCTTCCCTACATTCTGGCTTTCCATTGCTACAATGATAACTGGTCTGGAACGCTACTTCGGCGACAACCCAGCACCGGCGTTTTCAAAAACCCTCCAAGTTCTCTTCTGGATCTACTGCGCCTGCACATTCGCCGTAGCCGTCTTCCAATACTCCTACCTCTTCACTTCAGTGACATACCCTCTACAAACCATGATGCCCTCCTGGATCCTACCAGCCTTCCCAATCATGCTCAGCGGCACCATTGCTTCGGTCATCGCAGAGCGCCAGCCCTCCCACTCCGCTATCCCAATCATCACAGCCGGGATAGCCTTCCAAGGCCTCGGCTTCAGCATCAGCTTCGTGATGTACTCACACTACATCGGCCGACTGATGGAATCCGGCCTTCCATCCCGCGAACACCGTCCAGGGATGTTCATCTGCGTCGGCCCACCGGCATTCACAGCCCTAGCCCTCATCGGCATGGCGCAAGGCCTGCCTACGACACTCAGTGTAATGGGGAGCGAAGATACCGAAGCCGACGTACGTATGCTCGCGATGCTGGCATTGGCTGCGGCCGTTTTCCTGTGGGCTCTTAGCCTCTGGTTCTTCTGCGTTGCGCTCCTTGCGGTGATTCGATCGCCGCCTACTGCGTTCCACCTTAGTTGGTGGGCGATGGTCTTCCCCAACACGGGATTTACTCTTGCTACCATCACGCTGGGCAAGTCATTTGAGAGTGCTGCTATCAATTGGTTCGGATCGGCTATGTCTCTGTGTGTTATTACTATGTGGTTGTATGTCTTCGTCAACCATATCCGAGCTGTTATTCGACAGGATATCATGTATCCTGGAAAGGATGAAGACTGCTCGGAGTAAGCCGTCCTGTTCCTCCTCACTATCGTTGCCGTTCTTTTCATTTGCATTTTTTGCGTTCTTCGACGAAGCCTTTCAGCCTCGGGGTTATTTCCTTCTTTTTCAGCCCGTGTCATCTTCCATGGCGTCCCCGTATTTTCCTTTTCAGTGTTACATGTTTGCGGTGGGTAGATATCGGCATGTCTTCGGCGTTGGCGCATTTGTCAATTTCCCTTTTCCTCTTCGACTTTAGTCTTGAGTATATGCGAGCGTCCTTACAAGCAACTTAATATCATACACTGTTTTTGTTTCACCAGGACTTCTCATTTCTCCAAAGGTGTAGGCTTGAGATCCCTGTACCGCCCGCCTTGAACTACCAATGAACATATGAAACCAACTGGGCAACGAGTTTGAAGAGGCTTTCAGAATTGTCGTATTCATACAACTGAAAAAATTTTTTGCAAGTATAGAAAAAATCATCTCAATATTTTGTTCTCTAGTATATACACCAAACACCTTATATAATGCAACAGACCAAATACAAAGCTTGATCTCAGATAGACAGATGAGACATCGGGTATCATGATATTTTAGACCGAAGATGGCCAGATGCAGGCATGTGGTCCCCTGCGTGAGACAACACCTTCTCGAGGCAAGCAGTCCCGGATGTGCCGTGCATGTTGACTGGAAAGCTTGAAAGCGCCAGCCAAAATGCCCGCGATTAAAGGCTGAACTCCCCGAGGGGTGCCCAGGCTCATTTGACGGAGGATGTCATGCAACTCAGGAGTCGCCTCTGAGAGAACTTCCATCCAACGAGGCACGTGGGTTTCAAGCCCAGGCCGAAACTGAAAGGTAGATTCTGGTCCGTGAAAGAACCAAGAGCTAACGATGCGTCGGGAGCTATGAGAAATAGTTCTAAGCGACCTTTCGGCCGACGTTGCCAATTCCACGACCGACCACACTGACGATCACATCACCGTCCTCATTCTCGCCCGCAGCATCTCGAATACCCCAGCCAGGGGCACCGAACTTGGACAGGTCTCGCGCCAGCTGGATCAGATTGGGGTCCGCAATGACATCACGGCCAACCTGCAACCGGCCCACATCCTCAGATCCCATAGTCATGAGAATCAGCATGGTTGTCGCAGCCGCAGGAGACACACAGCCGCTCTTGGAAACAGTCTCGAGCAATTGGAAGGCACATTGCTTGCCAATATCTTCCGGAGGTTGGCCACCGGAAGGCGGCGAGGCCACATCAGCCGAGTAAAGACAGCCGGTAGAAGACTCAGCGACCAAAGAAAGACCGAAACCAAGACCGATCTTCTTCTTCGCATTAGGGTTGTTCTTATCGGGAGCCGGGAGCAAAGGCGCAGACGAGACGTCGGAGAAAATGTAAGTGTCGGGACTAAGAGGATTCAAGATACCACGAGCAATTTCGATCATACGGGCATTATTGGAACCCGACACACCGACGGAGTAGGCGACACCACGAATACGCTTTATGCGGCCGGGGTTCATCAGATGCAGAGTCTTCGGCAGACGGACCTGATGACCGAAAGTGAGCTGGACTTCACCGCCGCCACCCCTGCCATTGGGGCCAGGGTTCGATCGTCTCAGGATTCGGAGCTCAACGTTATTGAAGATGCCGAATTGGTTGTACAAGGGAAGAATGGCGGTTCGGACACTGTCGACGGACATATCGCCCGTCTGGGTGGAGGATGTGATCACACCAGGACCGGTGAAGAGGATCTTGATCGGGGCTTTGGAGAACGGCGCCAGGAGACAGAGTGGAATGAGATAGTAGCTCAGGCCGCGATTGCAGTTTGAAGGAAGCTCATGTCTGATCACGCCGCCGGTGGCACCAGATCCAGCCGTGCTGCCGGTAACGAGACCAGGTTTGTACACGAGAATTGTACCGGTGTACGAGATTTCCATTTGGGAGCCATTGGTGACTGCTTCGAGGAGACGCAGGAAGGAAATTTCATGAGGAGACAAGCCGGGGTTCGTGGGCGAGGAAGAGCGAATTTGCGAGATGTGCACGGTGCGGCCGGTGAGGGTCGAGAGAACCAGGCGGTAGACCAGGTTATGGTGCGAGGTGAACCGCAGAGGCGGTTGAGAAGTTGTGGCCATTTTTGGGGGATGTGACGCTCTCGCAAAAAGTCGCGGTGATGCGGCATCTCCAATCGAAAAAAGAAAAATCGGCGGGACGAAGTTGATCCGCTCCGGGACATCGGCTTAAGTCCGGTGGATATCTCCATCATAAGATAATCGCGAGGTGGATACGTACCCTTAGCTTCTTGTTCTTTCTTTACCTTCATTCCACCTTCATTTTACATCGGCAAGATCGGACGTCATTTAAAGTCATAGTTGGAGTCATAATGCTTCCCCCGGCACTTAACATCCCAAAATGGTACGTTTGCTCTCCTTCCGAACCTGCCCCTCCATGAATCATCGCGGGGTCGTTCACCATAGTATTGACCGGGAGCCCACTAATGCGCGCTTATGCAGGCTCGAAGCCAACTCGCACCTTCTGAAACCACCAGTAAATAACTACTGTGTCTACCACCCCTCGTCACCGGCGACAGCCGGGTACACGGTGATGATCGTCGGCGGGCCCAACGCGCGAACAGACTACCACATCAACTCGACACCCGAGTTTTTCTACCAGTACCGGGGATCAATGCTTCTCAAGACTGTGGACGCTTCGACCTCACCACCCACGTTCCAAGACATCCCTATCCACGAAGGCTCGATTTTCCTGCTTCCGGCGAATACACCCCACTGCCCGGTGAGATTTAAGGATACAGTGGGTGTGGTAATGGAGCAGCCGCGGGTGGAGGGCGCAGAGGATATTATGAGGTGGTATTGTAGAAAGTGCAATGGGGTTGTATGGGAAAAGCGTTTTGTGTGTACCGACCTTGGGACGCAGGTCAAGGACGTTGTGGAGGAGTTCGGTGCCGATGAGGAAAAGCGGCGATGCAAGGCGTGTGGTGAGGTTGCGGCAACCAGGTACGCGGAAGGAGAGTTGGTACAACCTCCTTCGTGCCCCGAATGAAGCGATTCGATGACTTGAAGCAAGGAGTTCGGGGATAGATGGGGCGTTGCAATTGTATGTGTCTCATGGAATCTGATGATAGATTGGAGTATCAAGATTGATTCGATCAACATTCTTTGTATCGGCTGACTTGCACCCTTGCTCAGTGGGAAGTATGGGATAAGACAGAAGAGTTATGATTGGGGTATGATGGATTAGATTCTATATTAACTTCCAGCAGGGCCGGATATGTATATGATACGGCCCTTAAGACCCGAGTCGGGTCCATGGGGAATACATCAGCAGATGATGGACACCCAGCACAAGTAAAGAGGGGGAAAGGCAAGGGTGGAGATAAAGAGTAAGACAATTGGCAAACGAAGGCCGGGTCAATGTCCCAAGAAGGAAAGAAAAGGTATGGACACGGCTCGGAAAGAATGATGGTGATCCGAAATGTCGAGGGAATAATACACAAGGTGAAGAATAGCAGCACATCAAAACATGACTAGAACGATTGCTTCATATCGGATATCATATTCAGTGCAAGAAAAAAGTGCTGAAGGGGAGGAAAAAGAAGCATGTACTAGAAAAGAAAATGCATGCAACCACAAAAATCACCATGGAACATTATTCATCAAATGGACAGTCGATGCTCTCATGGCCATCTCGCTCACACAGAGCACACCACTTCGACTCGTCGATGACTCCGGACGACTTGCCGGCAATGGGGGACATGGAATTTCCCAGACCCCCAATGCCCTTGAGTCCTTCAAGGACGACATCCCGGCCGGTCTTCTGGGCAGGAGCATCGTCTGCGTGATCGTTGAAGTCATCAGTCTCCTTGGGGTCTGTGTGATCATCTGCCGGCGCCTCTGTAGCGGGCTGCTCGGCGGAAGGCTTCGCGGGCCCGGAGCCAAACATGCTGGTGCAGTTCAGGATGTCGTGACCACCTGTCTCGCATATCTCACACCATAAAGCATCATCATCGGAAGAGCGTTCCGACTCAGGCATCGATTCCAGTCGGCGCTGGGAGGAGTTAGAAATTCCACGTTGGTGATACTGACGAGGCTCCGACGGAGCATCGTGCCAATCATTGGGGACCACGGTGCGGTCAGAGAGACGGTGTGCATGGTTGACATCATTTACAGAAATATTGCCCGAGCTAGACGGCTTGTGCAGTTTGGGCGGCGAGAGAGTCACGGTTGAGCTGCGGTTGCGACTTCCATTGCTAGAGCTTACTCGTAGCTCTTCCAACTGCCGTTCGAGTTCCTCGATTCGGCCATTTTTGTGCTCGGAGGTCCCCTCAGCCTCTTGCAGACGTTGTTCTAGCTGAGCAACGCGCTCATGATGCTCATTTTGGTGATCCAAAGAACCATTCTGATTCGCATGGACGGCATTGGGGTTTCCGTGACTCAGAGAGTGGATGATGGCTTTCAGACCCCGAATCTCGTCATCCTTCTGGTCCAACTGGTGCTGGTTGTTTGGATTATCGGATGAAGAGTGCGCATCCTTCAGCGCCGCGGCCGAATTGTCACGCTCCTTCTTCAGTTCAAGCTTGGTTCTTTCCACTTCACCCCGAAGGAATTCAACCTCGGCCCTGGCCTCGGCCTCTCCTCGTCTGGCATCTTCGAGACCTTCTTCCAGCTCAGAGACCAGCTCCTCCAGCTGCTTAAGCTGCTGTGCAACAATCTCTACATCCTCGCCACGGTCTTGCAACTCTTTGTTCTGCTGCATGAGCTCATCGAGGCGCTGCTCGTAGACACGCTCCGTCTCCGAGGCAGCAATCTCCAAAGTATCGAGAGTGCTTCGGAAATCTGCCCGGTGGCCATCGAATTCCGCGGTCAATTGATTGATCCGTTCGTTCCTTTCACGCAGCTGGGTACGGATGGAAAGAGAATCGCTTCCCTCCATATCCTCCAACGTCCTTTGTACCTCACTAAGCATATTGGATTGCTCATTCAGCTGCTTGTCCCGGTCCAGCAACTGCTTTTCTAAACTCTTGATCTGGTCCTTCAAGTCTTGAGTCTCCGATGATGAAGGCCGCTGAATATCCGACGGTCTGCCATATGAGGAGCCGTCATCATCCAAGCTAATTCGTGACAGGGGTCGATCCGACAGCCTAGACGGCGCCTTGACGGGGCTTCTTTGGAATCCATTGGAGATAGATGTCTTGGATGCGGTAGATGGTGTGCGGAGTCCACCGAGGCTCAGTTTCGGAGGGGCGATACGAGGCGACTCGGGACGTGGAAGAGACGGACGTCGCATTCGTGGACGGGGCGTAGTCAGGGCAGGACCGACTGATTTGCTGAAATTGACCCCCCCGCGCGAAGGAGTTGTCGGAGGCCCGAAGGTGCTGGCCGACGCGGATGTAGATCGGCGTGTGACATACTTGCTGTTATTCATAGGCACGAAGATTCCCGAGCCTGGCACGGAGGTCGCAAAGTATTTCCTTCCATCGACATCGCCGTTATTCTTTCCCCGAGCGGCAAACTCGGAGCTCAGCTCGATGCCCGCGAAGCGACCAGGCTTGCCCGCAACTGATCCCAAGAATTTGACTGTCCCATACATGCCACCGGGCACATTAACCAGGTCACCAACCTGGACATCTTCGAGTGGCGCCATGATGAGGGGTTCGGCGTTTTGAGATGTGAAGTTGGGAAATTTAGTAAACGGGCCGAAGGAGGGTCAAAGGGCACGATTAGGCACAAAAACGTCAAGAGAAAGTTAGGTGGCGAGCCCAGTGTCGATCATGGTTCGTCAGGCAAAAGCAATGCCCTCAGCAACACAAAAATAGAAACTCGTATGTACAGAGGCACCGAGATATAAAGCTGGGGAGAAAGGGGGAGGGATAACAAATAAATCCATGGATCCCAAGGATCCGGCTTCTCCACCCTGCGTAATCCATTCCCGCCTTCTCTCTCCCGGTCCCCTTGCCTTTTGCATCTTACACTCCCTTCTTTTTTACTGTCTTTGCGTCGATCGCACTACCGTGGCGAGTTTCACATCATACCTGTCCAATCCTTCGGCCCTACCCTGTTCGGACAGTCTGACGCCACCGATCCCGATCGGACATAGGGAGCTCCGTACACCATGGCGCAATACTTCTTCGATCTCCTCTATAACTTCACAGATTGCATGTGCTGCTTCCCCAGCACACCGCAACTGAAGATCAACAACCGCAGTTTCAAGCTGCTGCGACTCTTGGGCGAGGTATGAGACCGATGCGCGCGTCCCCGAAAAGATAACAATCAACCGTGGCCTGAGCTGACAACGAAACCAACAGGGCGGTTTCTCCTACGTCTACCTCGTTCAAGATAAAGCAACCTCCGAACTATTTGCCCTCAAGAAGATCCGCTGTCCTTTCGGTCAGGAGTCCGTGTCGCAAGCTCTGAAGGAAGTCGAAGCGTACACCCTGTTCACATCCCAAGACAACATCATCCATTCCATCGATCACAGTGTCTCAACGGAATCGGGGTCGAAGTTCCGTTCCGATGGCGGCGATCCTGGATCAAAGACCGTTTACATTCTGCTTCCGTACTACCAACGCGGTAACCTTCAGGATGCCATCAACGCCAACTTGGTCAATCACACTCGGTTCCCGGAGAAGCGCTTGATGATGCTCATGCTTGGCGTTGCTAATGCGCTTCAAGCCATGCATCAATATCGCGTCAAAAGTGGGACATCATCCACGCGCAATGCAAAGGCCGTGCGGCGAGAGGGCGAGGAGGCGGACGCCGAGAGAACAATGCAGATGAAGCCCAAGCGGCGCGCGAGCCATCGCGCGGATGACGAGGACGAGGAGAACGAGCCATTGATGGATGATGAGGTTACTCGCAGTCAGGAGGGTGTTCAAGATGGTGCCCTTCGCCCCTACGCGCACCGTGACATCAAGCCTGGTGAGTCTCTCATTAAATGGTCAATTGGGAAATCTCTAATACCTAATTTGCAGGCAATATCATGATTGACGATGACGGTCAGTCGCCCATTCTGATGGACCTCGGCTCCCTAGCCCCCAGTCCCATTGCCATTACCTCTCGTTCCCTGGCTCTGGCAGTGCAGGACACCGCTGCCGAGCACAGCACGATGCCATACCGAGCCCCAGAGCTCTTCGACGTGAAGACCGGGTCTATCATCGATACCAAGGTCGACATCTGGTCACTGGGCTGCACCCTCTATGCCTGCCTGGTCGGCAAGAGCCCCTTCGAGGCTCGCAGTGACGAGACAGGCGGTAGTTTGAGCATGTGTATATTGGGAGGAGACTGGCGTTTCCCCGACGAAAAGACCACCACGACTAAGGGCAAGGGTAAAGCCAGTGTCGACAAGGACGACGCATCTAGCAGCAGCGGCAACTCGATCAGCGCACCGGTCAAGGAGGTGGTCCGCAAGTGTCTCCAAGTCGAGCCTTCCGAACGACCCGACATCGACGAGTTGATCCAAATCATCAAGGATACCATCAAAGAGCTGCCGGATGACGATAACGTTGCCGGCCCATCTCACTGAGCATTTTCTAATTTTCTCATTCCCACAACTTTTTCATTCTCTTCTTGTGTTTTTACTTCATTTCTTTCCATGGTACTCGGCCGGTTCCGGACTGTCTTTGTGCGTGATATGTGAATTGGCGATGTTCAGTACTCCTTCCGTAAATTGTCTCTAATTTACGCATTCAAGGCCGGGATCCTAAATCCTCGCTCTTTGCTCCTGTCTACCTTTCTTTGTCTCCTTCACTTCATGTAATACAGCGAATTTTGCACCCGTCTTTCTTACGACAGCGCTTTTTCGGTGACCCATGTTGATTCTTCGGGTTTGTCATTTCAAGGCCGTGCACTTTGTGATTTTCAATTCAAGAACATTGCACACGGGATTTCCATCATTCCTGTCGGAATGTGTACTGAATGGGGATATTTCGACGTAGGAATATGTAGTCTCTAAGGTTCAATCAGAATCATCATGACGAAACGAGCAAACCCAGATACAATCAGAACCATCTCAATAAGCATCAAAATCTCCTTCCCAAATCTCCAACTTCCTATTCCAACATGAGTGAGCACTTTAAACCCGAAACGCATGGATCACAGGTCGTCGAATGGTTCGCAGAGCGAGTAAAGTTCAAAATATGTACGATAACCCCAACATCCCCACAGGACTCCCATGCTGAAGTAACCAAGTCCTTCTATCAGGGCTCATCCGCGGTGGTCACGCCGCATGCCTCGCCGATGCCCTAGCCCACGGCGGCGCAAGCTGCATTATCTTTACCGGCCACTCGCAGGCAGAACTACAATCCATCATCGACCACCTCCACCGCAAGTACCACCAGACCAAGATAATATTCATCACGGCAGACAGCGGCAGTCTGGCATCGATGCGGGAGGCGGCGGATACCATCAAAGAGCTTGGTGTGCCCATCGACGGGATCGTTGGTTTTCCAACAGTGACGGCTGCGGCGTGGGAGCTCACAACTGATGGAATTGAAGGCCATTTTCAAAGGAATTATCTGTGTTACTTTGTTCTTGTCAAGACACTGCTGGAAAGGATGTCTGCTAGGGCGCGGGTTGTTATGGTGACGACTAGTGTTCGACAGGAGGCACCTGCGCCAACGTGGGAGGATGTGAGCTTTTCGGTGAGTTCGTTGTCAGCAAAGGCACCTTGTATATGTTTGAGGCCGTGCTGATATATAAGTTGTAGAATGGCGAGACTTATCATCCACTTGATGGATACGCGCAGTCTATGTTTGCGAACATTATCTTCGCGAAGTCATTGGCGCGGCGATCAATTGCAGCCTTCTCCGCCAATCCAGGAAGTGAGTATGATTCATGTCCTTTGGATTGCCTTCTAATGATTGCAGATACCAAAAACAACATCCAAACCTACGTCTCGACGGACGAAGTAGCCTCGTGGCTGCAACGCAAGAAAGAAGGTAAGTAGTTGCGCCGCGCATATCAGTCAGCGTTGACAACGTCCCAGCCGGCGAGGACCTGCCAATTCTACTGCAGCAAGCCCCCAAGTCCATGACACAGGGCAGCGCCACCGTACTTCGCGGGCTCCTCGATCCGGATCTCGAAGGTAAGACACCCCTCCTCGTATGCGAGTGGAGTAGCGACTAAGCCTCGGCTACTAGAACAATCTGGGGCCTTTTTGGATAACTGTCAAGTTCTCCCTTTACCGCGAGTTGACTTTCCTGCGGGAGAACAAAGCGCCGCAGCACTATGGAGACCGAGTGAAGAGTTGGTTGAGATGAAAGAGGTGACAACAGAAGAGTAGACGAAAAGAGCAAGGAATCAACGGGTGATAAGGGTAGATTGCCTTCCTATTTGGAGTCGAGTATCTAGCAAGTCGATTGAGTTTGACGATAAGAGTTGGAATTGGGGTAGCGGTGTCAAGTCCGCCAGCTTTCCGCTATGGTCTGTGTCTCGACCTGCCCGGGCCGTTGCTTTGCCTGACTTGGCTTGGCTGATACGCCATGGCGTCGTGGGCTTTGGGATGGGTCCTGGAATGCCTCATAATGCTTGGTTAGTGGCGAATTGATCTATCATAGAGCTTAAGTTTTGTGATTTGTTCCGAGTTTCCGAGTTAGACAAACGGGGTGGCAGGTGAACTTGTCATACTCAGCGATACACCTATCCGCGACATGGGTTTGACTGATTAACAGATGCCATGTCACTGGCAGAGTCCCATCGTCTTATCATTCGAGCTTCGATACCTAGGTTCTGGGTTGGATTGCTATCGATATGTTTACAAGCCGTGCACTGGAAACCTGCCACGAATATAGAAGGCGAACACAAAGAAAACGAGGCACTAAATCATAGAAATTCTATCTCACCCAGCCAGACACCCCTCAGTCTCTAACTGTCCAAACGTGGCAACTCGGCTTTTGTTTTGGTGACCGAGCGAGGCAACGATCTCCAAGTTGTGCGGGGAAGGTTTCAAGGTTGTCAGGCTCCACACCAGGCGGCTTATCGCGGCGAGTGCTGCATTCCACGCTGCAATTGGAGTCCTGGCCCAGCGGAACTTCTCCGTTTTTTCTCCCCTTGACAACTCTATCTGACTGTCTGCCGACGCGGGGGCATTTCGGCAACGAAGAGCGCTTATCATACTGTGACGTGCGGGTCGTTTACTCCTCAAATAGGCCTCGATCTGCTGCTGCTGCACGTCCCAGGGTTCCCGCATCTTCCACTATGGCGCCCGTTATTGATAGCTCGGCCATCCCTGGCACGGTCACGCTTGTTGACGTGCAACACATTCTGAATACACGTCACGTGGATGGTGGAAATGGTGATATTGTTCTTATTCCGAGTCCGTCGGCGGACCCGAATGATCCCCTGAATTGGAGTTCGAAAAGGAAGCTCCTGTCAACAGTCTGCGTGAGCGTGTTAGTCCTGGCCCCGGCATCTGGGATAGTTCCATTATTGACATATTTGGACATTTTAGGTATACATTGTTCGCTGGTATTGCCTGTTCGGTTGTTTACTCCGTTGAAACCGAACTGTCCAAGCAGACCGGATTGCCGGTCAGCACGATCAATGAAGGCACGGGGTATATGTTCTTGCTGGCGGGATGGGGACTTCTTTTCTGGCAGCCATTTTCGATGCAATATGGCAAGCGACTGACATACATCCTGTCGCTGGCAGGCATTTTGGTATGTTCCCCTGGTGAATCTAAGAAGGCCGTGTGCTAACGAACACTAGGGCACGACCATGTGGGGGTACGGAATCTTGCATCCTCGAAAGGAAATAGAATGCTAATGAATTCAACAGACCCTATGCAAACACTAACGGTCAATGGATCGCCCGAAACGTCCTATCGGGCTTTTTCACTGCCCCCATCGAAGCCCTCCCGGAGATTACGGTAACAGACGTCGTAAGTCTTCGTCCTTAACCGCGGATGAAATCCAAACGCTGACGGCATCAGTACTTCACACACGAACGAGGAACATACATGGGTCTATACGCCTTCTTCCTGGCTGGCAGCAACTACTTTGCACCTGTCATCTGCGGTTTCATCGCCCAGTACCAAGGCTGGCAGTGGGTATTCTACTGGCCCAGTGTCTTTGTCGGCTGCGCCATGGTCTTCCTATTCTTTTTCATGGAAGAGACCAACTATGTGCGGGAACAAACCGAAGATGCCATCATTGCCAATGTGCGGCTCGGCTCTTCCCACGACTTTCAAAGCAGCGACCCGGAGAAGGCTGAGCCGAAGACTGAGCCCGTTTCACCCGGAACTGGGCAAATCTACACAAAGAAGACTTATGTGCAGAAGCTCGCACTTTTGGGTCCGAAGCAGAAGCAGAATAACATGTTCCGACAGTTTTGGCAGACTTTATATTATCTTTCTTGGCCGGTCATTTTCTACGCCGGGTATGTTGCTCCTTTTTTGCGATGGGTATTTCACCGCTGACTCTCTCAGATTCTCTTACGGGTCGTATTTGATTTTATTCAATATCTTGAATGGAACTGCCTCGATCATTCTGGGCGGACCACCATATAACTTCGGGTGAGCGCAAAGGACCCCCGACCATTGTCAATCCCCAGCTAACTAGTTATAGTTCTTCTATGGTCGGTCTGAGCTATCTAGCGTGCTGCCTAGGTGTGGCTATGGGGTAAGTTTTTCCGATCTTGATTTTACACAGTATCTAACCCGACGCAGATCCCTCTTCACAGGTCGATTCAGTGACTGGCTGACCATTAAACTGGCCCGTCGTAACGGAGGCATCATGGAGGCCGAGCACCGTCTATGGCCATTCCTTGCAAATCTACTCCTGGTGCCCGGGTCCCTACTTCTCTGGGGCGTGGGCGCTGCACACGACGTACACTGGTTCGGGCTGATTGTGGCCATGTGTATACTGGCCTTCACCAATACCTGCGGTATTACCCTGAGTGTCAACTACATGGTAGACAGTTACCGGGAGCTGAGTGGAGTAGCGATGGCGAGCGTGATTTTGGTGCGCAACACCATGGCCTTTGCGATTGGCTACGGTATTACGCCGTGGATCGAGGGCATGGGCTACCAGAACTGCTTCATCTCTGCAGCCTTCGTCGGTATGGCATGTGCGGCGGTCTTCCTTGTGATGATCAAGTATGGCAAGGCATGCCGAGTGCGGAGTCGGGAGAAGTACTGGCAGATTGTGCAGGAGAACTGGGAGAAGGGGATGGGCCATTAGGGATGGTAAGGGTAGAAATGAATGACGAATCGGAATATAATTGATTTAAGAATTTAATTGATTTAATTGCCTTACAACCTAGATCACGTCGATATTCCAAGCTTAGTGAGCGGAGACTCGGGACCCCCGCAATTGTAGGCTGCACACGTCCGAGCATCTTCGGTGTGAGCCATTGCCCGGCAACATCTCGGGTTAACATGAATATCGAGATCAAGCCAAACTGATCTTTCCCTCTTCATCATAAAGTATCTCACGAACCTTGACAGACCTCAGATGATCCACACCCCCAGAAAGCTCACAGTCATGATAAAACAAGTACCAGCGTCCCTGGAATTCAACAATGGAATGATGCGTCGTCCAACCGAGGACCGGCTCCAGGATACGTCCCTGATAGGTAAAAGGACCAAAAGGCGAATCTCCCGTAGCATAGACGAGATAATGCGAGTCACCGGTCGAATATGAGAAGTAGTACTTTCCACGATAGCGATGCATCCACGCAGCTTCAAAGAACCGTCTTTCATGATCATCCGCCGCAATCGGCTCGCCAGATTCCGTCAGGATTTGAAGATCGCGAGGTGGTGAGACAAAGCTCAACATATCATCGGAAAGCTGAGCGACGCGAGGACAGAGCGCCTTCACCCCAGAACCAGACGGTTCATTAGGACCAGACAACGAAGCATCAAAGGCCAGACCATCCACCCCATCCTCTCCAACCCCCTCGCCGCCTTTCCAACATTGCAACTGCCCGCCCCAAAGCCCCCCGAAATACAAATACGCCTTATCGTCCTCGTCCACAAAAACGGCCGGGTCAATGCTATAACTCCCCTTTATGAAGTTATCCTCGGGAACAAACGGACCCTCGGGAGCGGTGGAAACAGCAACGCCGATCCGAAATATACCCTTCTTGTCGCGTGCGGGGAAGAAAAGATAATATTTCCCATTCTTGAATGCTGCATCGGGAGCCCACATCTGCTTTGAGACCCAGGGAACGTCGTTGGCAGAGAGTGCGATGCCGTGGTCGGTGACGGGGCCGTCGATTGAGTCCATGGAAAAGACGTGGTAGTCTGTCATATCGTATTGGTCGCCATTGTCGTTGAAGGCGATGGTGGTTTCCCGGTCGTGGGATGGGTAGATGTATAGTGTGTTGTTGAAGACGTGAGCAGAGGGGTCTGCGGTGTAGAGGTGTGTTATGAGAGGGCTGGGCATTTTGGATAGGTTGTTGATTTGGCGATGGGGTGGTAGTCGGCGTGGTATAGCTCAGGTTGTATAACGTATTGAGCGGTGGGGTATACAATTGGTTGTAAAGGCACGACACAACCCGGCGGTAATTAAAAAGAGCTATAGAAGCCTCTCTTCAATTCGGGCACTTGGAAGTATTTATTCACTCCGATAAACCGCCGAATGACACGGGTTTAACCGTAGCGGCTAAACTGGGGTAATGCGGGGCCAATTCCGAATGAAATAGGCAAAGCGGCTGTACTCACCATTCATCCCCCAAAGTTACAAAAGCTCCCGCGTTTGATGCACTCAATTATAGCCTTATACCAATTTCGAGCTAGAACCTGATTCGGATGAGATCATTGATATTATCCATGATGTCCAAACTACTCTCTCGGTCTGCGGGAATTCTTCCTGGACTACTATTTTCACAAATAATGGCCAGCGTCTCTTCCACCGTGCATACCTTGCCTGCACCGGCCAATTCTTTCAGCAGATGTGCGGCGTGAATTTGATTACCTACTACGCGGCCCGTAGTTATCTTCCAGGTGAGTCCGTGCTGTTGAGTTCTCGTTTTATATACGCCTGGCTACACTTAATTCGCAGATGTAGCTGATACTTTTCGATCTAGTATTGGATGACGGCGCTCTAGGAATATCTTGGCATGGACGATGTGAAGTCCCGTATCCTCGCTGCGGCAATAGGTATGATGCAACCATTGGGCGGCCTCCTCGCCTTTTTCACTAACGATAGACTCGGTCGCCGACTGCTCATGACATGGAGCGCAGGAGCCATGACTACTAGTATGGCTATGCTTGCCGGTAAAACATCGCCAAAGGCCCAAGGCAATACTGCTGCTCTGGTGGTGGCCGTCATTGCGCTTTTCTGCTTCCACTTTATCTTCTCAGTCGGATACTCCCGCCTGTTCTTTCTCTACGCTGCCGAATTGGCTCCTCTACAGGCCCGTGCTACCGTCAGTTCCTTCTCCATTGCGACCGTGTGGGTCTTCAACTTCCTGCTTGCTGAAGTGACTCCCATCGGCTTCAACACTATTCACAATAAGTACTACATTGTCTTCGCGGTCACCAATGCCATCAGTGTCACATCCGTGTACATTCCCCCCCCCCCGAAACCAAGGGGCGGTCGCTTGAGGAGATCGATGAAATCTTTGCCCATTCGAAGAACATCTTTGACCCGCCTGGCGTGGAACGCCGCATGCAAAAGACTCTCCGGGTCAGTAACCTTGTTAATCGTCCGTGCTCGGATAGCTGTGGTGAGGATAACAAATACGTCAAGGAAGAGGTCAAGGCTTGAGCCTGGACCCAGCGGCATTCTAATCAGCACTTACGATGCCTGATACAGTAATATTCGAAATCAGCTCTACCCCTAAGAGAGAGAAAAAAATAAAGGTCACCTGTTTCTAGAAATTTATAGTACCCGCAATTATTATGTCAACATGCACTGCGTGGTATTGGAACATGCTCAAGCCTGCCACGTGTATTTGTGGTTGGCTGCATGCATAAACAACGGGATTTGAAATATAGCGGGATAAACAGCGGGATTTGATTAAGATACACATACCGTTATCTTGCAAATGAGTACACAGAGTCCAATACTACTGCATATAGACCAGGTTTTATCTGGCGGTCGCTTTGTTCACCCTTTTGCTCAATGAGCCTGAGCAAGGTCGAAGAAACTTTTGATCGTAGGTCTTGGGGTTCGTGAGTATACCCAAATACATGTGACCTGGAGCTAATGCGCAGTGCCTGGAATTAGTTGGCCCATCCTCGGCTGAACAGCCCCTCAAATAGTTCAGTTGCTGCAGGAGTCGTATGCAGGAGTCGTAACACCGGCCTTTGATATCTTGATGGTGCTTGCCCTATTCCAAAACAGTGAAGTTGCAGTTCCACTACTGCTAGCTATCTGCAAGAAGCTATCTCGAGTAGATTATGATGTTAAATAACAAAAATACCACCGTACAGACCAGCAAAACCTACCGTGTCTGCTTGATCTGCTTACACAGATCATCAAAAATGACGTTGCAGGTTACATAACATCCCTGCATTGCCTAGAACAGGTTATTACGTTTGTTTTCTTTTGCCTTGTTTTCTACTTGACAGCGTATTAACCCGTGGAAAGGCTTGCATGTTGCAACTATGTAGCGGTCTAGGTCATGTGGCGGAGTGAACTCCTAGAAGGTGGATGAAATGGCTGGATGGATGGATTTCCCTGTGGGGAAATGTGTATGCCAAAGCCCCCGAATTAGGCATTACATGCATAGTTAGTGCGTATCTGGGAAGTAGGGATTGCCTTTCACTTCAGGTTTGAGACTACCCAAATGAGGATAATGAATTTTTTATATAAAATGCCCGGAGTCGAAGCTCAAGAACCCATGCATTGACCCATTATCTTTTACAAACACCCAAACAGACCTCAATTTTACAACTGAGAAACCTGCGTGGAATTTCTACCGCCAAATGGACGAAAGCAGTGTCATAATACAGGCTAATAGCCTTCTCCAAGAGCTGATTTCCGCACACGACGAGAAGTATCATATTGGTACTGTGGTAAGCGGTATTTATGACACAGCATGGATATCTATGGTCTTGAAGAAGCCCAACCCTTCCACGGCCCAAGAATGGGCCTTTCCTGCGTGTTTTGACTTTCTACTCCAAAACCAAGCTGAAGATGGAGGGTGGGGGCATGAACATTCGCTTGTGGAGCGTGTCACATGTACCCTTGTCTCTCTCTTATCCATTTTGAGGCACCTTGGTGTATCGGAAGGTGCTTCAGTGAAAGACCAAGTGGACTTACAGTACCAAGCAGATAAAGCCATTCAATTTGTCAAGTCAAGCCTGCCAAATTGGGAGCTCGCGTCATTAGACACTGGCATTCCAATAGGTCTGGAACTTTGGTTGCCCGTTGTTATTGAAAAATTGGAAGAAGAAGGAGTGTCATTCGATATTCCTGGTAAAGACCGTGTAATCAGGTTGCGCCTGGAAAACCTCTCCCGGTTTCCAGTGGAGGTACTCTACAGACCTAGCGGCTTGTTTCAGCCTTCGCCCTTGTTCACCCTCGAAGGGTTGATCGGAATTATCGACTTCGGCAAACTTAGACATCAAACGGTCTTCGGATCTATGTTCTCATCTCCATCATCCACCGCTGTTTATCTGATGGAGTCGCCTGATTGGGACCCTGCCTCAGAAGCTTACCTAAACCATGTGGTGGAACACAGCATTATCAAGCATAATCGCGCGGTGCCCGGGATGTTCCCAACGTCAGTGTTTGATATTGACTGGGTATGTCATAACCAATTTATTTTCGTGAGTGTAACTTGCGCTGATTGCTTCTCAAGGTTCTCAACATCTTTGTCGAGGGTGGTTTCAACCTGAACAAGCTCGATGCCAACGCTGTAAAGGTCCTAGGAAACATGATCCTCCAACGTCTGGAAAAGCAGGATGGAATTATTGGGTCCGGTGAAGACACTGCGATTTTAGGATTCAAGTCCCCTTTTTTTGCTGATCGCTCCTTCCCTAGATTTACTCATTTGTCCCGATTCCGACTCTACAGCGATGGCACTCAAAACAGTTTATCACTCCCCTGGAACGCGCCTTTCAGCTCAGAATATGATTAATGCATTTGAGGGCGAGAAGAACTATTTCACATATAGCGGCGAACGTGACCCCAGCATTAGCAGCAATGCCCACGTTTTGCAAGCACTAGTGCTTGATTCAGCTGCAATGAAACATACCGCCTCCATTGAAAAGTGCGCTCGATATCTCTGTGAAACATGGAGGAACGCAAACAAGCTTGTTCGGGATAAATGGGTGAGTTGCCGCATGAGTGGCTACACCGAATGTACAATGTCTCATTTTTGCACTGGTTAGAGCCATTCCGAGTATTATGCTACCTCTACCACGACTCAGGCCCTAGTGGACTACATGCTCCGCTTTGAGTGAAAAGCGCGTGGAGCCTTTATCAGAAACCCTACTCAAGACCCTTATCCCTCTGACCCTTTTCCAAGCCGTGCTACGGATCCTTCTCACGCAGAACCCTAACGGGTCTTGGGGACAAACAAGTCTTCGAGAGAATACTTCGCTTGCGGTCATCACGTTGAAGAGTACATGGTCTCTTCCCTTCGTGTCTGCCACTCTAAGCCAGGTAATGGATCAGGCCATCAAGGAAGGCCAAGCCTTTATCTCTGCAAATATGGACGCACCATTCAACGATTACTCCTGGAATGGAAAATGTGCTTACGGACTGCTATCTATCTCTCGTGCTGCTGCATTGAGCGCACTACTGGGAACACGACCGGCAAGAGAATATTCAAAAGATGTAAAGTCTTTATTTCATATTGAAATGGGTTTGATTGCTAAGCAAGCCAAGCTGCTGTAAATAGTAAGATCCTTCGCAGACCTACCCAATTGGGTCATTGAGGCCACCGCTTTTGAAGCGGTTTTTATTTTGAGGGGAACTCAAAAATCACTACCTTTGAAGAGAGAAATGGCTTCGACGAAGGATTTTCAATGAGGCTAGCCGTCATTTGCATCACTCTGAACTACCACAAGAAGTATTTCCTTAGCAACCGCTTCATTTATGGTATGCTCGAGCTTATGCACTTCGTATACCACATCGATAACCTTATCGATACGGATCTGAGTGACCGTTCGCCGGACACTCTCCAGTTGATTGAAGATTCACTTCATCAAATGTTCGCATTTGGGGACATTTCCATCTTTCGAAATGAAAACGGGATGAGCGAGTCCATCCTGGGTTATCAGGGCAAAACAATTGCTATGAAAACCCCGCCATGTAGCCCGGGATAGTGCCGCCGCGTGGCCATGCTAAAATGCTAAAATCATCGGGATACAAACAACATCCGACTCCTCTTGAAAATGCCGACTTATCTCTATACAGGACTCTGGAGAAACCCCCCCTCCCCTTTTTGTAACCCTGTGGCTGCCAAAAGTTAAAACTATAATAATAATGCTCTCCTTTCCTCATGTTGGCGCCCTTGTTGTGCTACATGATTCCCGAGATCCTCATCTAAGAGACGATCTGAGTATGAGTAGCACACAATGCCAAGCCCCATTTCTGAGCCAAAGTGTCCAGACTAGTCCACATTTGCCTTCGCAAAGTCGACTTGCCGATTCTGAAGCAGCTAAAGAAAGGCATCGACTACAAAACAAAAATGCTCAACGCAAGCACCGTATGCGTTTTTTACACTTTTAATACATTTACTGCCTCGATTCCAGAGTAACGCGTTTTTCCACGGTTCTGGGTCTGCGAAAAGCGGCGCAAAATGCTCTACACTCAAGAGACCAGGGTTCCCCGCAGGAGAGTTCGGTGAGTTGTCAGTGTGAAACCGAAGCCATTTGGTCTTCTCGAGTTGCGCCTGTCAATGCATTGCCAACCCCACTCAACAGTCAGTACGAAGCCTCTCCAAGCCACAACATTGATACTGGGCTTGACGACCGCATAAATATCGACCCGCTCCCTCTAAAAGACATTCCGTTCAATATCGATGGCTCAGACCAAGCAGATGTCGGCTTTCTCGAAGGACACGCTTCAGATCTCTTTTCAAACGACACACCGGGGCTTAGAGTTGAGTCTAGAATATCACCTTTGTCCCTTGAACTTTCAGGTTCTAGACTACAAAATTCTACCCCCACGACAAAAACAAACAAGCAGTGGACTGCTTGCAATACATATAGCCTCTAAACTGGGATTCACTTCCATTATACAGGTGCTACTCAAGAATGGAGCCGACCTCAATCTCACCGACAATCGAGGGTGGACTGCGTTGAATTATGCCGTTGAAGGCCGCCATATTGAGTCCATTAAGGTGCTGCTCCATTGGGGTGCGGATCCTTTAGTGGCTGACCGGTCTGGCCTAAAAACTCTTCACTTGGCAGTTAGCAAGAGACACTGTAGCGTGGTGTACCTCTTGATGGATCATGGTGTAGATCCAAATCTCGCAATAATAGGCGCATAATACAGAGACAATTTCAAGCTGATGGTAGATGTCAACTTAAATTGTTGACGCTCTGGTATAAAGGCCCGTTCCATATACTGCGTTGTTACGTAGCTGTCTGGTCTGCCGTTCTGTTTCGCTCTGTCCCATCTTTACTGTCTCCATCTGTCTGTCATTTCTAGTCTTGCGACGAATCCACGGTAGGCAGGCGGTCGGTTGGAGGTAAATGGTGGGTCTTGATTACATCTGCAGTCAGGCTGTAGAGCTGGGAAATTAAACTCAAAGAGTGTGGGAGTGAATCTGATTTCGAATATCACTCTAAATTACAGTTTTTCAAGTCATAGAGAAATCGGCGTCTATTATTGGAAGACGGGGATCTGCAGCTAATCCCAATATAGACTAGGTATTTCAGCATATGGTTCGGGCCGTGAGTGTAAGGCGGGGAATCTATTTTCGAATATAGCAGTATCACACAGAAATTGCGCAACTCTCTCTCTCACTTATAGCCTAAAAATAGGCCTAGCCGGTTCTCATCCTCCTGTGCCAACGCCAACGCTTCCTCCCACTCCCGCTCCATGCGTTCAAGCATCTGATCAACAGCCTCAGTCTTAGCCATCAAAGGCGGATCTATCACTCCCTCATCAAGGAATGATTCACTGTGATCTAACGTCGGGTCATATACCCATGGCATACCCTGCGCTTCAACAGGGGACTCGCAGCCCTGTAGCCCGATGAAGCGGCCGAAGCGACGACGCTTTGTTTCTAGGTCAATGGTTCGTCCCTTTTTGCCTTGGCTGCCGAGCCAGGGGTGACTTGGATGGGGTAGCACGCGGATTCTGGGACTGGGGGTGAGATTTGGTGGTAATGACAGGCGAGATTGTCGAGTTGGGTTGCGGTGAGGAGGTGGTATTGGAGGAGGGTGTTTGGGAAGTCCGGGTGGGCTCGGCCTTCGATGCAGGATACGAGGGGCTGGAGGCGTGTTGAGAGGTGGTCGAGGTAGGGTTGGAGTTCTGGGGATATGCCGGATTTTAGAGATTCTTGATTGGGCGGTTGGAGAAGCAGTTGAGGTTCTGGCTTCCGGGGGCCGAATTTTTTAAGATTCCAGAAATGAGGGCTCGAAGGCATGATGAAAGTCTAAAGTATGAGTGAGATAGAGACGGAGTGAGTAGAGTTGATTAACCGATGATCTTAAATGTCGAGACCGAGGTCTCATTATGTGTAATTCCAAAATCCAATTATCCTAACAATGGCGAAGAAATAGACAACGGGCTGAAACGTCCCGAAATAGCGCTCTTTGCAGTTTCGATCAACACAAACACATCGTGCCCTTTGTGTCAATCATAAACGACATAAACAAATGCATCCTAAAACACTAAAACACCAGGATCTCGCGATCCCTTTGTTTTCAACCAAAATAAAACCGAATCATGTTGATCGTATCCTGAAATAGCCATGGCGACAATGACTAAACAGCCAGGCTGTTCATGCCTGACGAAAGATCTGGTTCGTCTGCCACAGGCGGCAACCCGACGTATTTGTTAATCCAGTTAAGCACTGTCCGGTGCCACAGGAGTGAGTTCTCAGGGTTCAGAACCCAATGGTTCTCGTCGGGGAATGTGAGGAAAGCGCTATCAATACCGCGCATTTGAAGCACATTGAAAGCTGCAAGACCCTCGGCGATTGTAAGACGGTAGTCCAGTTCATTGTGGATGATAAGGTGGGGTGTCTGCCATTCTCCAGTGAATCGAGAAGGATCCCATTCAGCCCAGTTTTCTGGAACTTTCCAAATGGGGCCCTTCAAGTCGTGCAGAGGGAAGTACTGCTCTTCACTAGCCAGCTGCGAAGTCATGCTGAATACTCCGTCGTGGGTGACGAGGGCCTTGAATTTGCGGCCAAGATCGTGTCCTTGGATCCAGTTCATCATGTAGCCGCCGTACGAGGCGCCAAGCGCGACGGCCCGTTCGGTATCAACGTAGTCCAGGTTTTGCTCGATATATGCAAAGCCCTTAACAAGGTCTTCATAGGGACGTCCGCCCCACTGGCCGCGGATGGCATCGGTGAATGGCTGCCCGTATCCAGTACTTCCTGTCGGGTTAGGCGTAATAACGACATAGCCCTGTTCAGCGAAGACAGCGGGGTTCCACCGAGTGCTCCACTGGTCATTCCATGCGCCTTGAGGGCCACCATGGATCAGGTAGGCCAAGGGGTATTTCTCGCCGGGCTTGAAGTAGGAAGGCTTCACCACAAAAGCATGCACAGGGTGGTCCTCCGCACCACGGAACCAAATCTCATCCACTTGAGCCGGCGATAGACCAAACGATACTCCACCGCGACCATTTGAAGAGACTATTTGGACCTCATCGGGGTTGGCTGGGTCAAGAATAGACCATATGCTGTTGTCGACAAGGCTGCTGCTGGAAAGGAACAGCTTTGAAGAGCCAACAGCGGCGGGAGCTACATCATTGACAAATCCTGAACGGGTGAGTCTCTTCAATACATCAGGCTTAGCCTCCTTGATGTGTTCCAGAGGAAGCTGGAAGAGCAGTCCGCGTCCGAGTTCTTCGGCCTGAATGAGCAACGACTTGTCGTCGTAAGCGAAGGAAATAGACGAAGGACTCAGATCCCACTGTCCCTTGCCATCGGCAGACTCGAAGACCTCAATCATATCTCCATTCCATGGGTTAGGCACGTAGAGAATGCGATTTTTGTCTGACTCGTAGCCATCCGTAGCCATAGCTAGAAGGGCAATAGAGCCACCGTCCGAAGACAGAACAGGAGACGACATTGCGCCCCTGAGAGCATTCACCTTGCACACTTTCGCATCGGATGCACTCATGCTAGTCCAGGAGAACATAGGGGCATAGTAGCACGAACAGGCGGTGTGTGTGGCCGGGTTCACATCCGGGTCTTTGGCAATGAATACGATAGCGGACGGGCTGATATCAAAGTCGCCCGTGCCTCCAAATGGAGGGATAGGAGACTCAACAGCACCCAAACCCGAGACCGAGATCAAGTTCGTCAGACCCGAAACGGAGAACTTGCCTGCTTGTCTACGAGCCGGGGCCAACGGTGCCTGCTGCAGCAGACCGTACCAAATAGCATTCTTCTGAGGCTCAATGTAGGAATCCCAGTGTCGAACAAAAAGCGACGTGTACAGACGTCCAGACGTGTACGGCTTCTTGGCATCATGGGGGTTATACAAGGAGCCGTCGGGGTTGGCCTTGCCGCTGACGGCGAAACCGATCTTGCCAGGCTCGATGACAGTGACTTTCAAGTCGGAAACAGGGCCTGGGACGGTGCCTGCAGTGTAAGTCTTATCGACCGCACGGGCATCGCCGATGATGAAGCTGGTGTTGCCGTTGGCCTTGGTCTTCAGCCAGACGAGCTGGTCGCCCGCGCCGAGCCATTGCGGGTTGCTGGCACCGGGGTCGTTAGTGATGAGGGCTGATCGGCCGGATTCGATGTCGAGGACGCGGATCTCGTTCGTCTTGGAATGCGACTCGAAGGAATACGAGGTCTGGGTATAAACGGCGAGGCTACCCGCTGCGTTGGGGGCAGCTGAGGACCGCCTGGGGGCACCGAGGAGAACCCTGTATCTGGTCAATTGAGATGCCCCAAAAAACAGCTCTGATAACACCAGATTGTATCATGCTTTTAAATAGGAAAAATACTCACTCGGGTGTGAACTTCATGGGGCGAATGGCCATAACAGCTTAGCTAGCTCGAGATGAGGAGATAAGATAGCCAGCAAGGACCTTTCTGGAGACTGGAGCTCTAGCCTAGCCGACAAGGATGCGACCGAGAAAAGGCAAACCCTTAAACGCGGAGAGGAAGAGAGAGCAGCGGAGAGCAGTAACGAGACGAAGAGGGACTGAGAGTCTGAGGAAGGAATCCACGAGGTCCCCGGAGTTGGGGATGCAACGTGACCCATGCGGGGTTTATCGACGGGTCCACTTCACCGGTGAACCTTAGCGTTGGAGCTACTGACCACTCTGTAGCTACCTAGCCACTAGGCACTTGGGCTGATGAACAGAAAGAAAACACCTTTTGTATCCTATGAGCTCCAAATAACTATTATTACACAAAAATCAACAGATAATCATGATCTACTCTTCCTCCTCACTCTCATCCTCTTCCATTCCTTCAGCCGCAGTCACCGAGAACGTAGGTGCTTGATCAACACCGACGTAGCTGTCACTCATGAGGTAAAGAGTCAGCTCGTGCTCACCAGGAGACGGCACCACATATTCCAAGCGTAGCTCCAGCTTGCGACCGATAGTAACACGCTTGATGGCCAACAGGCTCTTGGTTTGCTCTTCGCCGACCACTAGCCACCAGTTCTCCATCTTCTGGCTGGGGTAGAAGGGCGCGTGAACGACCGTGTCCGGCTCCTCGTCATCTTCCAGTTCCCGCTCGATCTTGATCTTAAGATAAGCAGGCTCGCCAGAGGTGACGCTTTCGGGGTCCTCAACCTCAAAGTCCATCTCAAGGTTGGGGTACTTCTCGTTCGTGAAGGCGGCTGCTTGCGCCAACTGCTTGTTGTTCAAGTTAAGACGCTTGACGAGGGCAGCGTAGTCCTTGTTCTCGGTGGGGTCCATTGCATCCATGAATTCAAAGATATCGTTGATCCTGAGAATATTGTTAATGTCTGTATTTTCATCACAATTCGTAAGAACGTACTTGTACTCATTGGCCGCCTGGATGACCTCCGACGTGAAGTGAGGAATCTGCTTGAGAGGACTATCACGGTCCCACATAGCTTGCACAACCATCTGTGACAGCTCCATGGCGTTCATGGCGTTAATGTGACCCTCGGAGGAAAGCACATCAACGCAGGCGCTGAGCAGGTTGAGGACCTTGCGGATGATGTCTTCTTGATCCTTGGCGAGATCAATAGGCAGCTGCATACGCGAGAAGTGTGCCTGGAGAAGGACAAAGGCTTTGAAGTGGGGCGAGTCGAATGCCGGCTCCGACATCTTGACAGGAACGCGATCATACACGCGGCGGAGGATGTGGTCCTCGTGGCGACGCATCTGGACCGACTCGAACTCAGTGGCCGAGGTGACAATCTCCAAGATACCCTTGAGCTTGGTGCGTGCCGACAGAGAGAGCAAGAAGGTCTGCATGGTGATGAAGGAGATGTTGTAGTACGCGCTGATCATGGCGGCGTTAAGAGGAGAGACACTGTCATCTTCCTCGTCCAAGTCGATGATCTTAGCCTCCGACAACTCCTTCAATGTGTTCTCGACCAACTCTGACAGGAAAGTACTCAGGCCCTCGTGGCTAACATCGCTAAGACCGTAGAAGCTGGGGTTGGCAAGGAGACGGCGGTAGAAGTAGGTGTATGTCATCCAGTCAACTGCATCCTGAGTCGAGGAGACGGTTCTTGTGCTGGTCTCAGTCACAAAGGCATCGTGCAGATAGACCTGGAGATGACTCTCCACCGGCATAGCCTCATTCAGGAACTTCTTGTAGTACTCGCGCTTCACAGCGGGCACCATCAAAACACCCCGACCGAGCTTGTCCTGACCGGGACGAGAAGCCTTGCCGAACATCTGGAGGATCTCGCTGATGGGGTAGTCAATGTAGCGGTGCTCACGACCATCAAAGAATTGGGTGTTCATGACAATCACCAGATGGGCGGTCACGTTCAATTCCCAGCAGACATCACGCGAGGCCAAAAGGACCTGGATGGCACCAATGCTGAAGAGATGCGACACAATGCGCTTGTCGGACAAGCTCAGCGCCTCGTGATAGTAGCCAACGCCGTGGCTCAGCGAGGTGGCAAGAGTCTGCTCTTGGACACGAGCCAGTAGTGGTGCTAACTCCTTCGCATCTGCGTTCAGGAAACGATCTTCGTCATCATCCATGGCGCACGCCGCCAATAGATCCATGGCGGTCGACCGGGTCTGCTTGCGACTGGGCACAAAGACCAGAGCAGGCTTGTCGGGTGAAAGCGTCAGGATGGATTGGTAAGCAGGACGAGACATGGCAAGCATGAGGGAGGGGAAGTGAGGGATGGTGAAGGACTGGATGTGAAGCTCCAAGGGCACGGGGCGAGCATGCGGGCTGAAGTTATAGATGGTGTGCTTGTTGGCGCCAATCCATTCGCCGATGTCTCGGGCATTGGAGAGCGGCACACTCAAACCAAGAATCCGCATGTCGTTCTCAGTCTGAAGCGCAACGTAGTGCATACGAGAAACGACCACCTCGTACACATATCCACCGAAGCCACCAAGCATGTGGAGCTCGTCGGCGATGAACAATTGCACGGTCTGCACGTTCTTGCGCCGTTGCCACTGGCGAGACAAAACATCCCACTGGGCAGGAGTGGCAAGGACAAGGTCAGCCCGCTCCAGAAGCTTCAAGTCCGCGGTTGTCTCGCCCGTAAGTTTGACAATAGTTTTTCCACCCGCGATATTGCCCAATCGCTTCTCCCAGTCAGCCAAACGCAGGTCAACCAGCTCTTGGAAAGGAGCAATGTAGACGGCACGGCCACTGCTCTCCTTTGACCAGTGGCGAAGCAAGGCCAGTTCGGCGCATACAGTCTTGCCGCTCCCAGTAGGAGCACCGATGAAAACATTGTCGTCTGAGTCGAACACGGACTTAAAGACCTGGGTCTGAATCTTGTTGAAGTGCTCCCAGTTAGGATAGAGCTGCTGGTACTCCTCACGCTTCAGCGCCTTGATTGGCGCACGCTGCATATCAAGAAGAGGAGTGTGAGGGGGGAAGCGCTCTGGTAGGATCAGCTTCTGGAAAGAGACAGCGATCTTGGTCTCAGAGTGCATCCAGCGGTCAGATACCAAGGAAATGAAGTAATTCGGAGGCATCGGCTCAGTGATCGGGACCGTGAACTCGACGAGGTGCTCGTTCATCTCAGCCTGAGCAAACTCACGGCGCAGCAAGAAGCGATCGTGGAACAAGATCTCCTCGCCATCACAGTCTTCAACAAGGATCCAGAAGTCCTGCGCATTGCCATGAATAGCATCATCCCAGACAAAGTTGGGGGTGATGGTCAGCTCAACGCGAAGCATAGAACGAGTGATAGGCTGCACTTGAGCCTGAACCTCAAGTCGAGGGAACTTGGAGACCAGATCGCACACAACACGTCCAGCCTTTGGCATGCCAAGGAGCTCACCCATACGAGGAGGGTCCAAATCGAAGTAGCTGGCCCATGGCACATCAATGCGCTCAGCTTTCTGCAGGATGTCCCTGGGGCAGTGTGGGAACTGGCGCAGCGGGGACATGGTTGGCCACATGCGTTTCTCAGCCATCTTGCACAAGTCAAGAGCAGTCTTGGCCACTGCTGACCAACCCTTCTTCAAGCAAATCTCGAAGAGAGCTCGAATGATACGACCGGCAGATTGAGTAACGTAAACCAGATCTGCCATCAGGGCAAGGCCATCCAGCCGGAGGCGAGAAATGTAGGCCTGGAGAAGCACGTTGATCTTGGCGTGAGGCTCGTCAATCGTCTCCTTGACAGGCACTGGCACTCGGCCCAGCAGCTTTCCAAGTTCCAGCTTCTCGTCTTGACGAACTGGGATGTACTTAAACTCATCACTCAGCGCGAAAATGCGGAACAATTCGATGGTGGTGATGGACGGCTGGAGGTGCTGGGCGTAGGTGAGCATCGAGTTGTGGCCAATGTAGTAGTGAGAAGCAATTCGGCCAAGCTCAGTTGCTTGCAGACGGCCCGTCTTCTTCTCATACTTGACAAGACCAGATCTTTCCAGTATGATAGCAGCGGAATGGACGAGATCAACTCGCTTTTGCTCCAAAGCATCATCGTTCTCGTAGTCTGCACCGACACTGTACAAGCCTGGCGAGCGAAGCATACGGACATAGAGGTAAGTGTAGCCCAGCCATTCCACGCCTTCGTCACGGTCTCTAACGTTGCCTAGTACAATTTCAGCGTTCAAGTTGTCCGCAAGCTTGCTCACAAGCTGGGATTCAATTGGCAATTGCTGGTTCAGGAGCGAAAGGTAGTACTGAATTTCGGTTTGAGTCGTGATGATGATACCCTCACCGAAGGTGTCGTATTGAGGTCGACCAGCACGTCCAAGCATTTGCAGAACATCCTGAGGACTCAATTCGACCCAGCTACCCTTCTCGGGGGAGTAGACCTGGGTACCCTTGATGATGACAGTGTGCGCGGGAAGGTTGACACCCCAAGCAAGGGTTGCAGTACACACAAGGACCTGGATACTACCATCGGCAAAGAGTGCCTGGACGGAATCACGATCCGCAAGACTCAGACCTGCATGGTGAATACCAAGACCATAAGGCATGAGGTCTTTCAGGGAAGCATCGTCAACAGACTCGGCCTCCTCGGTTAGAATTTGACGACTAGCGGCATCACTGCGCAGGATCTGACCAATCGTCTCATTCTCAATAGCCTTGTCTCGAATATACTTGGCCGTCTTTGCCGTCTCCTTTCTTGAGTGGACGAAGATAAGCATTTGGTTTCGACGCTGACCAACCTGCTCCAGAACTTTGTTGTAGCAGATGTCGTTCATGGTCTTCAATTGCTTGATGGCTTTTTTGTCGGTGACACCAATGAACTCCTGCTTCAGAGGGCACGGACGGTAAGAGCCATCGAAATGGAATACGCCCTTCTCGGGGTCGGCGCGGAGGAAGCTTGCGACATCGCGGTAATTGGGAAGAGTAGCACTGAGGCCAACAATCCGCACCGGATCACCAGTCCGCTCGACGCGACGAATGATACGGCTCACGATGCTCTCAATGACAGGACCACGGTCATCGTGGAGAAGGTGGATCTCGTCAATAACCACGAGACGAACAAGGTTGGTGTAACTGGTCTCAGATGCTTTTCTGGTGATAACATCAAACTTCTCGGGGGTGGTGACAATGATCTGAGTATCGGCGATTTGCTGCTTGTTGAGTTGGCGATCACCGCTGAGTTCTGCTACTTTAATGCCGTATGGCTCCAGACGTTTACCCAGGTTTCCAACCTGCTCTTGGACCAGGGCCTTGAGCGGGGAAATGTAAATGATCTTGAAGTCGTCCAGCATGATCTCTCCTGTCTCCGGGTTACGGTTCTTGCCAATCTCGCGGAGGATGGTGAGCATAGCGACGTTGGTCTTTCCAGAACCAGTCGGAGCACAGACAAGCATGTTACCATCGTCATGGAAAGCCGAAGGGAAACACTTAGTTTGCACTCGGTTCAGCTCTTTCGAGCTTCCGAAGCCAACACGAGCCCACTCAGGCAACTCGGTAGTTGGAATGTTCTTCTCGCCGGCATCCCTCTTGGCCTTTGGGGGCGGAACGTGGATCTCTTCGTAGCCCTTGAAGGTGCGCTTTGTCGAACCTTGAGGCAGCTTAACGTTGGGGTTGGTCATGAGATGGTTACCCTGGTGGAAGACCAAGTTCTCGAGATTGATGAGTCGCTTGGGCTGAAGACCGCCCACCAGTCCACCTTCGGTAGTAGGCTTCTTCTCGTCTTCTGTGGGTGCTGACGGGACGTCGACGTCCATCAGATCAAGCTTCATCTTCTTCTCGGAGCGACCGCCGAGATCATCACGGGCAGTCTTTCCACGGATCTCATCCAAAATGGCACGATGTCCAGCCTCGACCATCTGGCTTTCAACAAGGTTACGCGCATCGGGATCTTCAGCAACTCGTCTCCAGCGAGTTACCCAGACAACCTTGTCTCGGTTGGTGACCAATTTAGCGACAATTTCGGGATGGTCGTAGTCGAAGAGTTCCATGAGGTCGTTTTCAACATCACGGAGAGGTCGTTCCGATCCGTCCTCGGTTTGGCCACCCATGAGGTCGTTTTCAACATCACGGAGAGGTCGTTCCGATCCGTCCTCGGTTTGGCCACCCATGAGGTCGAGCGCCTCTTGGGTCTTTTCTTGCTGAATATGGGCATCCGAATACAAGGCACCGATCTGTCGTTGGAGCCAATATGCGTCGATCTCACGTACGAGGACGTCCATTCCTGCCTTATCCTTGGCCTTCGTATCCTGGCCCATACCGCCATCGATGACCATCTCGTCATCTTCGCCCAGACCTTCGCTTGTGGGTTGGTCGACCTCGGGTCGGTCTTGTTCGTCGGCTTCATCCTCGTCGGAAAGTTCGTCTTCGTCTCGGATTTCGTCCACGGTGCCCATACGCTCATCGTCCTCGTCCTCATCGAAAACAACAGCGACACCTTGACGCTCGTCGAGCTCTCCATCCGCTTGATCCAGACCATCCTCCATATCTTCGTCTTCATCCTGGGCATCGTAGTCGGTAATTTTCTTACCCAGGTTCACAAGCTCATTAAACTCCTTCGGATTCATGGATGTGCCCAAAAGGTCGTCGATTTCCTTCTTTTTGTCGAAATCTTTCATTTCCTCGTCCTTGAGAAGCTCCAATACGGCATCGGCGGCACTTCGAACGACTTCGTGGGGAACATCGCCAAGGTTTGTACCGGTAATCGTAAGGATAAGGTCGTAAGTCGCTCGCGTCGCAGGTGTTCGTGGACGATATTTTAAGCCTTCGACGAGGGCATCGGCTGCTGAAAGAATACCTTGACCCCTTAGTTGTGCTGGTTGGCCACGCTGGCGCTTCTTCTGTTCTCGCATGAGGACGTCTTCACCCTCGTGAATTGCACCCCGTTCGACTTCTGGCCCGGCGGCCTTCTTAGTCTTCGGCGCATGATCGGGAGCCACCCGCGAGCCCATCTCTCGAATACCGATGCGGCCTGCGAGAGACTCGGGGTCTCCAGAGGCTTCGTCATTGGAGCGGCTGATAAAACGACGGTCCGCCTGGAGAACCAGGTTGGACATCGCCGAGTATTTATACTGTGAAATGTTTTGGTCCGCCATCTTGGTTGTGAAGTGACCGTGTCACGAAAGCGATCCGAGAAAGAAAAAATGAATGAGTCGCGACGGGGATCGGCTTGGATGCGCCGATCAAAGTCGTCCACGCCGCGTGTCTAATGACAACAATTGAGTAGATTCAGAAGGTCTCACAAACCTGACTCATCCTCCTGGCACAAGCGAACTGACTTGAAGGGGGAGAAATAGAGATCAAGGTTGATGAGAATGGTGGTTGTAGCCAAGGAGAAGAAGCTCGGGAAGATTTCGGTGGCGAAGGCGGAAGGAGGGGAGCTTTTGCGGTTCTGCCGCTCCGCCAGCGACGGTGCTCTCGACGTCGCGACGATGCGCTTCAATGGGCGCCCGATGTTGTTGGCGTCTTCCTTACATTCATCTCGGGTCTCACTGGTTCCACCCTACCGTTGCCATGTCCACCGGACCAACTGTCACCATGCGCGTCGCGCTACAATCCGCCCACACGTGCCCAGCGCGGTGCTGCCAGTCGAACTACGGAGGAGCGCCAAAACAAAGACGACTATGAATCTGAAAGATCTCCCCCAGGGTGTTGTCAAGCTCGAAACATATGATGACGGGGTGGATGATGCTCCTCGATATCCAACTGTGGTACAGGGACACCGTAATAACATGCAGAAATTCAAGAACTGTGTCATTCTCACAAGAGTCGGGGGGTTCTATGAGGTACGGGCGATTGATGCATAACATTAAATACATTTGGCTAATGTCTATTCCTTAGCTTTACTTCGAACAAGCCGAGGAGCTCGCCCCATTGCTCAGTTTGAAGCTCGCAAGTAAAAAGACCAGTGCTGGGCCGGTGCCGATGGCTGGCTTCCCCTTCTTCCAACTCGATCGATTCCTAAAGGTTCTTGTTCAAGACCTCAATAGATACGTTGCTATTAGTGAAGAGTTTGCCATCAAGGAAGAGGAGAAAATGCGCTCTGGAGGCCTCCTATTTGATCGGAAAGTGGCCAGGATTATTAGTCCCGGTACATTGATTGATGAGAAATTCATCGACCCTTCCGAAAACAACTTCTTACTGGCCATATACCTGGATGTTCCTGCCCTGGAGGCACAATCAAGACAACATGTTGACGATCCGTCTTCGCAGCACGTATTGTCCACTGGTCCTCAAAACGTAGGACTGTCGTGGCTGGATCTTTCCACGGGGGATTTTTTTACCCAGCTCACAACGACACAAATGCTTCCATCTGCCATTGCCCGAATTGGAGCTCGGGAGATCCTTGTGGACCAGAATGCCCAGGACATTATTGGGCAAGAGTTGCAACTTCTGGTTGGGCAGGAACACCGACTTGTTACCTTTTTTCGATTTCCCAGCACGATCGCACCGATGTTAGAATGGGAGACAATGCTGGATGGCCCTATCCCTCAGGAAAGCCATGCCTCCTTCACGCCCGAGGAAGTGGCTGCTGGGTACAGTTTGCTCGAATACATTCGGGTGCAATTGCAGCGATCTGACCTCAAGCTCCAGCCTCCACGCCGGCGACATTTGGATGAATCAATGAGCATCGATCGCAATAGCCTGAGGGGACTTGAAATTTTAGAGACTGCACGAGATGGGTTTGGAAAGGGCAGCTTGCTTCACGCGGTTCGCAGAACAAGCACCAAAAGTGGCGCACGTCTTTTGCGAGACAGGCTTACCTCTCCCTCTACTTCACTTCAGGCCATTAATGAGCGCCTCGATTTGGTCTCGGTTTTTATTGAAAATGAAGATCTCCGTGAGAGCGTGGTGCAACTATTGAAACGAAGCTATGATTCCCAGCGTCTGGTTCAGAAATTTGCTCTCGGCAAAGGAGACCCAGATGACTTGATCTGTCTTTCTCGAGCCACAGAAGCGGCCAAGGGGGTTAAACAAGTCCTTTCAGACCATGTGAGGCTATTATCTTCTATCGGTATCTCGGATGCTCAAAGCAGCCTCGCCTCTATGGTTGCACGACTTCAACTTGACGGGCCCATCGCTCTAGCAGAGCGGATTCTTGCGGCCATTGACGAAGAGGGCCTACTTCAAAAACAGCGCATCGAGGATAGCACGGCCGCCGAAGCGGCTAGCTTGGCTCAAGAGGTTACTATGAATGAAGGAACGTCGAGTGACATGGAGTCGTTGCCCAAGAAAGTGAGGACGAAAGGGGCCGAGCGGGCCCCAGCAACAGACTCCGAGTCGGGGCCAGGTGAGACGTGGATCATGAGACGTGATGCAAGCAAAGTTCTGAATGCACTTCACGAAGAGTTGGAGCAGCTTGTCAATGACAAGTCCGAACTCACTCAGCGACTCCGAGATTCGGTGGGGTCGACGTCCTTGAACCTCAAATGGACCCCTGGTCTGGGTCATATTTGCCACGTCAAAGGTGCCAAAATCTCCCAGCAGTCCCTTGAGGAGCTGGGAGTGACTCGAAATGTCTCTTCTACCAAGTCGACTCGCTCATTCTACCTTCCTACATGGACAGCACTGGGCAACAAAATGGACCACATCAAGGTTCGGATTCGTCAGGAAGAACAAGCCATTTTTGAACGCCTGCGCCGTGAGGTCATCATAAACTTGGTCAAGATCCGCCGCAACGCAGCCGTCATGGACGAGTTGGATGTCGCTTGTTCATTCGCGACTCTAGCCCAGGAGCAGCAGATGGTCCGACCTGTCCTCAATGATGGGACAATGCACAAGATAGTGGGAGGAAGACACCCTACCGTCAAGCTGGGTCTCGAAGAGCAGGGACGGTCTTTTGTGAGCAACGACTGCTTCCTCGGTGACAAGGAACAGATCTGGCTTATCACTGGTCCCAACATGGCAGGCAAAAGTACATTTCTGCGTCAAAACGCTTTGATTACCATCCTTGCACAGATCGGCTCCTATGTACCTGCAGCTTATGCCGAGCTCGGCATCGTCGATCAGATTTTCAGCCGTATTGGCGCGGCCGATGATCTGTTCCGCGATCAGTCGACGTTTATGGTGGAAATGCTCGAGACAGCTGCCATCCTGAAGCAAGCCACGCCGCGTTCCTTTGTGATCATGGACGAAGTCGGCCGAGGCACGACGCCTGAGGATGGCACTGCCATCAGTTTCGCCTGTCTACACCATTTGCATTATCACAACCAGAGTCGAACGCTCTTTGCCACTCACTTCCACGGGCTCGCGGATATGACACAGAACTTTGAACACCTCGAGAGGTACTGTACCGATGTGAAAGAAACGGTTTCCGGCTCTTTCTCTTTCATCCATCGCCTCCGAAAAGGTGTCAATCGGGAGTCACATGCCCTTAAGGTTGCTCAACTAGCAGGTCTACCCCGGGAAACTATCGACCTAGCAACCCGTGTTCGACAGGAGATGAGGGATGAGGTGGCTTCACTTCAGGCCTCAGATGACGATCAGCATGTCTCGCATGGAGCCTAAAGGGCCAAATAAGTCTATTTGCTCCAAATCATGCTCCAAACTTTTGTTATCTTCCGGGTGTAAATCATTTGCCATCTATGTATAATATTCTATGTACAATACCCAGGCTTCTTTTATGCATAATGCCACCCAAGCCGAATATACATCGAGATCATATCTCGTAAATCAGAGCTTAGCCCTCCACAACTGCGGACCCTTCTCCCTCCGACCATGCTGACCTTTACGACCCAAGTCAACAACAACCCCTTCACCAAACGCAGCCTCCTGACAATCCTCATCAGCAACACCATTCACATGCTGCACGACGACAAAATCAACCCTCCTCCTCCCCAAAACCACCATAGGCGCATGCCACGTACCAACACCGTACGTAACAGCCTGACCACCATGAGCAATGAAAGCCTTCACGTTCTTCAAATCTGGTGGATCACGAATAGTAATCGTCTCGCCGGCCTCATTCGTCGCCGTAGCAGTCTCACCCTTCAGCGTCGGCGCAACAACAACCAAGAAAATGGGCTCATCCTCGCCATCGCCGACCTTCGAATGACTTGACAAATCCATAGGAACAAAAGTCTGGTTTGTGAACGGGTGGCGCTCGAGAATGCGCACGTCGAAGACTTCCTTCTCGGGCGAGGCAGTCGTTCGCAGTTTGCGCGGGAAGCAGCAGAACATGGTCATGCGAGCTTCGGATGCTGTGCCGCTGGGGCCATTGGCGTAGCGGTCGATGAGCGGAGAGATGGGGCTGTACTTCAAGGCAGAGTTTTGGTTTGCCAGGACCGGGGCTGGGTTGTAAGGTGGGAGGTTTGAGGGCTGCGGAGCGACATTGAGATCGCGGGGAATGGGCGAGCAGATGGCTGTGCCGAATTGTGCGAAGTTTTCCGGGGTTAGAGGTTCAGGAACGAGCGTCAATGATGGGTTGGTGGTGAGGATGGGCGCCATGGCTGGTTGGTGTAGCAGGTAGGTTCTGCAAGCTCCGAGTTCTTGAAGCTGGTTGTTTCGCGTGAGAACCTGCCTCTGACCACTGTTTTATTTGACGTAGAAGATACAAGAGAGAAGAGAGGAAGAATTGAGAGTTATAGGAAATGCGGGGAGCTCGTCGGCGCTCTCCGGCGATGCGACGCGATAACGATAAGCGGCCGGGGCCGACGGGAAAGATTCTCCCGGATTGGTTGGGAGGGAAGTACATTTGATCTCGGGGAACTTTTTATTCACTATCTAGTTCTATAAAGATAAGTTCTTTCGCTGTATTCACAATTACCGGACTCTAAATATTTATCGTCATCGTTATGAATTATTATGCACATCTTCCATTATATATTCGTTGTCCACCTTCCAGGAGGCTGCTTATTTGCATGTGGAAGTACATTAAACTGGCGTAAGCATCTCACAGGAGTACCTGTAGTCTCGCTAGCTCCAATTTAGCATGGCAAGTTAATCGTTCCCAGCCAGTACATCTAGATGGATGCCCAACAGCAAAAGCATCCTTGGTAGATGGAGTTGCAGGTCGATCTCGGATATCATTTCGGTCCAAGGAAGTACATAGTATACCAGAGCAAAAAGTAAAACCTACCGCATCTGCGGGAAGAATCATGGAATACGATAATTGTTGTACAGGGTTACAGGATCTTGGAGTAGATATGTAGGCTAATGTCGAGATGCTCAAACGCTATAGGGAGCTTCTCCGCGTCTGTGCATATCCCTGAGCGGCACGTTGCCTCCACCGAGGGGTCACCGACCAACGAGAATGGAACAGAAATCTCGAGCATGGAAATGAGGGGGTTCGCTCTTGGTCCGCATTTACATTGGCAAGGCAACCGGGTATATCCTAGGCTTGACTTGCACAAATGAGGCTCTAGTTCGGACTTTTGGGCACAGAGATCTGGGAGTCTCGGGATGGCCGAGCACGGAGAACCTGCGATTGGCTCCATTGCCGTTGGAGTGTATCATCAGCGGCACATATCGTTTCATTCGAGCTTTTTCGTGCCCAATTCCTTGCATTCGATATCGATCCGAATCAACACCGTCTCCAAATGGCGTTTGATTGCGGTTGAAGTGTTGCTCATCGCTGGTTCTTGGAGATGCGCTGGACATAAAAGAAGGGCATTTCCCGGCCAGGTTGAATAGTGGCCGTGGCCTTGAGCATGTGCTTGTTGTTCTGGTACTACCATCCTCCCTGAATTGCTCTAGGTCTTGCATGCTGCAACCACATAACTTCTCTCGAACCATTGATATCGATCGTTCGCGCTTAACTATGGCGGAACCAACGAAGACACCGCAGAATAGTCCTCCCTCCAAACAGGGTTCAACTCCCCGGGGTGCAACTGCTTCAACCAGCCAGGCACCTGGCAGGTCAGCTACAAGGTATACAGAGATTGCCACTAAGATCAATAAATATGCCAGTGAGATCTGACTATTAACAGCGGTCCGTCCAGTATACAGCTGGATACAGTGGGAATTGGCAGTTGGGTAATCAATCCCAGACTCCATCAGTCAAAAGGTTCAACTCACTAAGATCGTGAAGACGGATGATTCCCAGAGCAGAACAAATTGACAACGGCCACATCAGCACAACGGCCATGCGGGGCCAACAAAGGAGAAGCGAGGAAGTCGACCGAGCCACGCCACGCATATCCGACAACACCCGAGGATAACCTCAGTTCGCACAAGCTATGACGTTCATTCTGAAGGGATGCGAGGTATAGGTACCTACACAGGAAGATAGACCGACAGCGGAGCGGCTACAGTTGTTGGAAAGAACCTTGGGGTCACAGGAAGATAGTCGGGAACACGGAATACGGAACCCGAAACAGATGAGCAGATGACCATTACTTTCCTTCAATCTCACAAGTCAAGAGGCGCAATTCATGAAGCCGAGGAGCGAACGGGAGCAGGAATCTCCACAAGCCCGCATTTACATTTCCCCTCTTTTCATTTCTTATCTCGGGTATTTTGCCAGTTTATTTGCTCATTGCAATTGATCCACCCTTATCCATACGTGATCGACAGTTTGAATGGCTATTAATCTTGTATTTGACAAATCGTTGTGAGTTGCGTTGCGTCGGTAGTACTCTGAAGTTGCATTCGATGCTGCACCTGTGCCCAAGCGGTTGTGTAAACCACCTTGCGGCTCTTCGATCGTAGTTGATCCAGGATTAGAGCCAGCAAGAAAACTTGACCGAGGAAAAACAATTCCAATTCCACCTAAAATGAGAACGTCTGATGTAGGGCTGAGGGTGGATACATCTGTCTCCTGGAAGTGGGGACCAGCACCATGCGCCTGCATTTGCCATCTCTAGATAGCCGCCACTAGGATATCAAAAGTACCGGAGATGCTAATTCTGTGTCAGCATGGAAATGCAGATATTATCACTTCTTGTCTAGAGATATGGCTATGCCCAAGCGATACATCTGCGATATTCCATTAGCCCCAAAGAAACGGGACTTGGACACCATACCTGAGAAAAGAATAGGTAGAGTATCTTATGGTTTATTGTCTCGACCTTGTAAAACTGCCAGTAGTATTTGACGAATAACACTGCGATAGAACAGCACCCTATCCTCTGTTCCCTGTCTTTTATGTTAGAAGTTTTCTTATTTTCTTTTTTTTTTGAAAAAAAAGGGAATCTCCATGTAGATGTCCTGTTGAACGACTTTGTATACATATTCTAAGGACCTATTTATAAGTGTCGAACTACTATTGTATTTTATCATTTGGAAACTCTTTTTTCCCTAGTGGCCACTATTAATACCAGTAGACTATGTAGGATCATATAACGTCATGTGTCAATTGAGTTTAGAAGATGAGTTTTACCACTATTTCTTATAGCCCTATAGGGAAATCAGATATCAAAATCTAATAGATAAGCTTGCCTAGAGCCATACACCGCCACAATGGTCGCTCTGGATCATATTCAAATCGTCACCCGTTTGGGTTCCTTCGAGCGATTGGTCCAACCAGGTCCGACATCCCGTCGGCTGTTATTCAGCATCGTGAGGCACAGCCCAAGGTATCCGAGGACAGCTGTGATACCGCTATGGCACGAGGCTAGAAAATGGGTGCTTGGGGATCTCTAGGTGTTCGTACCTGACACAGATGCAAAAATGGGAGGGTCGTTTGTCCCGAGGATAGTATTTTAGCAACGCTAAGTAAGATGCTGATGAGCTTTGGTCTGCTTTGGCATTTCAATTCAATAAATTGGTTGCTTTTTATTCTCAGGTGTATTTGTAAAGAATTCTAGAAAGCTATATATACGAGGAAGCCAGGCCTCGACCGAAGTGGAGGGAGCCCGCCATTCGGATCTCCAGCCAAGTGGAGAATTTCAGGGGCGAAGACCTCGCGCGTCTATCTTTTCCTTTTCGCGATTGCTAGGTATATTGCCTCTTTACAGGGACGCAATGACGGTATTTGCACTCTACGAAAGCACCTATAGTCATAGTGGCTACGCTAGGAATTCAATACAATATATACGCATATTTAACAGTTTACTCAAAGCGGTCTAGTCGAGGACTAGAATCATCAACTTGACCGTTGATTGTCGTCATCGGCAGGCGGTGCGCAACGCAGATCCACCTGCGCCCGTGTTTCAGCAGTCAATTCGTCCACAGGCGGCCCCCGCGATATATTTACGAGCTCCCTTTTCTCGGCGGGTGTTCTTCCCTTCCCCTTCTTGTCCCTTCTTGTCTCTCCTTTTACTCCAATCACATTCCTCCTCTATTCTTTATTCCCTGGCGCATTTGGCTCGAGTCTACGCCAGATGCCCTGCCATGAGCGCCCCTTGACCACCGAGTACGTCCTGACACCCGAAGCCCTATTGCAGCCAATCCTTCGAATGGCAGACCCAAAGCCTCGTTTCTCATCCCACGCGCTGATACAACGACCTCCCTTCGAACAAGCCTCATGACTAACATTGCCTCTGTGCGACAGACCAATTCTCTGTTTATAATTGTACCACCGGCCCTCTTCCATGCTTCTCTCACGGCGATCGGTCCTCTTCCTCGGCTTCTGCTTCTTTTTCGGCTTCTATCTTACGGCCCGAAGCCTGTCACAGCCATGGCATAAAGCCTCGCAAGTCGTGGGTCTGGGCGACTTTTATGCCGGTTACCCGTCTAGCAACTGGACGGGGACGTTCAATCACAGCTACAATCATGATGAGAAAACGCTGTACGCCCCTCAGCCGAATTTTGTCCCTGGAATCGCCAAACCACCTGGCTCGGAATATACAAAGATGCTGGTGGTCCCGCGGACCAAAAATGAGGACATCAGTTGGATTGAGAAGGAGCTTCCAGGGTGGAAGACCGCTATTTACGTCGCCGACGATCCCAAGGCGCCTCTCCACCCGCCGAAGAACAAGGGCCATGAAGTGATGATCTACTTGACCTACTGCATCGACTTTTACGACGAACTCCCCGACGTGGCGGTGTTTATCCACTCGCACCAAGAAGCCTGGCACAATGAGGAAATCTTTGGCGGCGACACGGCTGAAATGCTCCGTCGTCTCAGCCTGGACCGTGTCACCCGAGAAGGTTACATGAACACTCGCTGTAGCCACGGTCCTGGGTGCCCCGATTGGATGCACCCGGGTGCTATTATTGAAGACGAGTCCAAGCAGGAGGAGGTGATGCTTGCCCGGGCCTGGGGCGAACTGTTCCCCGACGAGCCGGTCCCGTCGGTCCTGGCGCAGCCGTGCTGCGCCCAGTTCGCTCTATCACGGGATCGCATCCGTACTATCCCACGTTCGCGCTTCATCTTTTATCGCGACTGGCTTCTGCAGACAGACCTAAGTGACTACATTGCCGGCCGTATCTGGGAATACCTCTGGCAGTACGTGTTCACCGGCGAGCCGGTGGTCTGTGTTGATGAAAGCGTGTGTCTTTGTGATGGCTACGGATTCTGTTTCGGCGGTCCCGCCGAATACCAGAACTGGAGGGTGCTCGACGACGAGAAGAAGGATTTGCAGAAAGAGCTCGAGGACTGGATCTTTTTGGAAGAGGATTTCCAGTTTGCACAGGCCAGCGACGAATTAGATGAAACCCAGGACCTCAAAGTCCCACCGCCTGGCCGCAAGAGTCAACTCCAGGATATGGTGATGGAAAAGGACACCGAGGTCTCGCAGATCTTAGCTGCTGCAATAGATCGCGGTAAGAACCCTAAATACCGCGCCGAGGAGGCTGGCCGGCCTTGGAACGCCGGTGATAGCTTCTAGAACCGCCGATTTGACATATATATGCTATTTTGCCCATCTGTTGGCGTTGGAGTGTGAATTTTGCACCAACATGCTCCCGAATGTCCCTGGATTTGTCCCATGACGCCTAGGGCGCTGCATCAATTCTGAATTTACTGGAGGCGATTTAGAACATTTGTATACCTCGTTTTTGTTTTTGATGTATTATACCACCATCTATTGTGTGATTTCAAGAGCTGCTCGAGCAGACCGATAGAACAAGATATGCAATTCATCTAGCTCAAAATGATATTTGAGTGTAATAAGATCATATAGTAGGTTATGGACGTGTTGATGAATGCGACCCGGGATGCATCCGTGTAGATCACGTGATCCGATGCAAGGTTTGCATTGTCTGCTCCCCCTTCAAACCGCGCAAACATCATCTTCGTCGCGTTGCCTTATCAGCTCCGAGCTCAAGAGCTCCATCAAAAAATCCGATCAGCTTTGATTTCCTCTAAATTTCAGCACGCTTCTCACCCCTACAGGGGTGTGGCGTTGCGAGGTTCCCGGGGTCCTTCCAACCCACGAATTCTCACGCACGCGTGAATCATTCGCGAAAAGTAACAACATCCAAAGTCCGACGCTGGCCGCTACATTTGGAGGCACATTTGTTCTTGAAGCGGATCGAAGTCTGCAACGGATATTTCGTGACGTCTGAATATATCTGTTCTCAGCGCATGAGAAGCGCTCGATATCGACCGAATTTCTCCACATCTTACGGAAACCCGGAATACTGCGCATCGCGCCACGCTCCAGACTTGATCTTTCACCATGTCCTCAAACTCCAACAACCACCAGCCTGCAGCCTCGTCAGGTGATCAGGGTGTCTCAAACGCTCATCTCGACCCGAACAACGGATACGTGCACAATGACAGCCAGCTCGCAGGCCTTGTGGAAGCGGCAACCGCAGCTGCCGACCAAGATCACAATGTCTCTCAGTGGGCAGTGGAGGCCACTGCTGCTGCCGCACATCATCAACTAGATGGCTATGGTGCAGATATGCAACTCGGAGATGATGGCTTCGGCGATGCCAGCTTCGTTGCAAGCATGGCAAGTGGGAGACACCTGAGACATCTGAATGATCAATCCGGGTTTTCTGGCCTGTCTCGTACCGTGTCGAAGAAACGAAAGAGAAATGACGACAATCTTGATCCTGCGCTGGCTGGAGCTGGTCTCGGGTCGCAGCACCATTCGCAATCTCAACAAAATAACCACGGATTTTCTGGTGAAAACATGGACATTCGTTCTGCACCGCCGTCGTCTCTTTCAGAGGCTCGCGCGGTTGGTGTGCATTCCGCTGCGGCGCTATTCCGTCAACCTTCTAGCAACAAGAAGTATACTCGGCCCCCGATGTCCAAGCTGTTTTCATCACTTGAGTTGTCGCCTGAGAATTTCCTTCATCTTCAGGCTGCGGCTAAGGGGTATATGCTGGATGATGACCATCCTGATAGAAGGGAATGTGTTGGTCAGCGGGGCAAGGGAGATACGGAGATGGTGAAACTACGTTTATGGAACTGCGTGCGCCATTTCCTCGAGGCCGAGGGCAATGGTGAACGGTTCTTTGGAGAGAACGTGGTCAACGAGGGCATGGGTCCCCGGACTTATATCTGGCCCCGTGATCAACAGAAGATCATCTCGTTGGTCATTCCTCTCCTGAGACGAATGGTTACCAATGAACGGCAACGCCAGTATGCAATTGAAACCCGCAAAGGAGGCGGCACGGACGAGCGCCGCCGCCGAAAGACCGATGATAGCTTCCCAGATCTGAAGGGCTCGCACTTCTCTCCCGATCAACAGCTTCAAATGCATGACCAGGGTCAGCGAACAGAGGATCTGAGGCAGTCGATGGCACCACCACCACCACCACCTCCGCCTCAGGCACAGGCGCCAATGGATTCCAATCACGCAATGGAACTTGGACTTACAAACCTCTTATTAGACGGATATCAGCCGGACTGGAATGAAATTTCCAGATACTACGACGCCTATAACCACGATTTTGAACTGGATAATCTGTGGTCCATCTCCGGTCTACAGCAGCCTGACTGGCGCGGCTTAGTCGCGGCTGTTGATAGCCATTATCACGTTGTCCATCACGGTAATTACGACTGTCCGCCCGCTTGTGAAAACCAAAACATCAATCGCATTATTCACGACAACTCGGTCTCGAATTTGCCTTGGCGGGTCGGCGGAGGCCGTAACATTCCAGCACGAGACGATTTGTAAGTCCCCTCTCCTACAGAGCACAAACTTGATAACTGACCCCCGAACAGCGCAAGCAGTATCACCCGAGACGTCTCGCGAATCATCCGCGAGAACATCGCCACCAGACAAGGTGCACCACCGCCTCAAGAAGACCAAGAATTCCACCAGCAACCATTCACCCCCGCACCGTCAAATAGCGACGCCTCCCCCTGCACAAGCAATACCCATACATACCTCCGTATCAACATCCTCTCTCAAGGCAAGCGCATCTTCCCTCGTCTAGACCTCCCAGCTAGCCAATGCCCCAACGTCGACTACGTCAAATCATCCATCCTCCGCCGATACCCAGGCCTAGATGACAATGATGCATCGAGAGACCCTGCAACTTGGAAAGTCAAAGCTTGGCTCCCAGATGGCTTGGTCCCAGTACAGACCGAGAAGGATTGGGTATTGGCGCTTTTGTCGGCGGACACTGTTGACTGGATGGATGGTGAAGTCAAGCTTTTGGTTGAGATTGATGGCGCGAATACCCAGCAGTAATTTCTTGCGGCGCTTAGTGTTTTGATTTATTTCTTGTGGATCCCGTTATGGGTTCTGTGTATTACTGATAATTTTTAAGGAGTTTTGAGGATGATATTCTGTGCAAGTTTTCTATATCTTTCTCTTGTTTCTGCCCTCCATCTTATCGCAGCCTGCAGGTTGCTTCTACGTTAATGAGAAAGCTCTTAAAATACTACACGATGCCAACACGCTGGACTTTATCTGTATGGTTCGGAAATAAATTGACTACCGCTCTATAACACATCAAGACTACCTGTACCAAATATGAGAAAAAAGATAAATGGTCCATGGCTCATAATACAAGGTAGAAACATCTCGGACATGGCCCTGCAAAGGGTGTCTGCGCACCACAAGCATCGTATAGAAGCGGCACTGTCCTCAACCCAGATAAATTGAAAAAAGAAGAAGGAAAAACGCCAATCTATGCGCCAACGTCCAAAACCAGTTGGAAGGGAATGAGACGGGACCGGTCTCTGATCGGAACCCTACAAAGAGCGAATTGCTCATTTATTGTGTAAGAACAGCGTTCGGAGGGAGTCCCAGTGGTCGGAATCCGCATAGCTGGTTATTATAATTAGTATCATGCCGTGAAGAGGTACGGAGGTTATAGGGGAAACTTACATGTATACCATGCTGCTCCGCAGACTCGATACCAGGGTCTCGGGGTACCAGCGGAAGATGTACATGACGAAGGCCCAAGTCATGCTGGCGAAGACGGGCCATGCGTGATCGGTGATTTGGGTGCGGGCTTCAGGGGAGATAAGGGAGGAGAGAGGGTGCATGTTGGGTTGGATGGCGAGTTTGGCGAGGGAGAGCATCACACGCGCAAAGACGTAGATGACGATCTAGGTTGTTGTTAGTATTTTGGAGTATTCCAGCTTCCTTTACGAGGCCACGATTGGCCTTGAAATGACCAAGGATCTGTATGGAGTGTTCGTACCTGCTGGCTAACACTTCCCGGCTGTCGGCCGAAGACCGCATAGCCGCCCAACAAGCCCGCAAAGAAGCTGTCGTAACGGCCTTCCTTCCCAGCGCCGGTGGGGTTAATGTTCCGGAGAACGATCATGGATGCCTTGTAGATCACGGCGAAGGTGGAGAGGTTTCGAGCGTGCTGGCGCGTTGCCTTGAGGACGAGCTTGATCTTTTCCCGGAATCTATACGTCGTCTCCGTTAGCCCGGAAAGGGAACTCAGAGGGTATCGGAGGTGGAAGGAGTACACTTACGTCCCCGATCGGAATAATAAGATCATGCTGTAACCAACCGACACACGTCAGCTTATATCCATCGCAACTATGCTTCAAACAAGAGACACCGAGGTCCAACGTACACCAGCGCATGCGGAAAGCGCACTTTCGATCCGTAGACGATACCATTGCGTGCACCCTTCAGTAAGGACAGTAAAGGCGCGAGCTCAGGCTTGAGGACGATTTCGTCCAGGCGAGACTGAAGGGGTCAGCAGCTGCATCTTTCATGTGCTTGCGGAACTTGGAGTTCTGAGGTACTCACCAGGAGCGCATCCATGGCAGCGCGGGACCTCGAATGGAGGTCGGACTTGTAGGAGAGCTACTAGAGTGCAGCACGAGGAGTTGGCAGGTCGAAGTTCATTCAGGAAGAATAGAGAGTAGGAAGAGGGGACGGCAGTTTGCATCGGCGTTCCGCAGTTGAGGGCCTCGGCATGTGAGATGATGCCGAAGGCCGACGTCATGGTCACGTGGTGCTATACAAACCCATCTACGCCGGCTATGGACTGTAGCTGTGCTTCATTTAGCAAAGGTGAGGTGGAAAGAGTATTGTCATTTAGGGAGCACTATGTAGATGCAACTTTTATTCCATGCCGGCATATCAACTCTAGTGCAGGCATCAAAAAAGCACAAAACCCAACCGGCCCAAACGCCTAAACAATATAATAAGACGCAACTAATGCAGGTAGCTCAAACATCTAGTCTGTCCGAGCCCGCTTGTGGCTCTCGTCATCTTCAGAGACCTCATCCACCTCCATCGCATCCACCTCCTCATCAGACTCCCGACCAGCCCGGCGCTTCAGACCCTTCATCTTACGGGTCTGAAGACCCTTAAGATCCTGCTTGCCCAGGTGCACACGACCGACCTTGTCACCGATAGTGTCCATACTGATGTTCTTCTTCATCTTGATGTCCACGTTGGGCCGCTTGCCCTGCTTCATGGCCTCCTTCATGGCCTCGGCCGACGCGGGACGCATACGGCCAATCTTGAAATCGAACTTGGGGCCGATCTCCTCCAGCTCCACGCGCGGAAGCTTGTGGCCACTGCGCTTGGTCACCACCTTGTACCACCGCAGGTGAACAATGGGGCTCAGGTTGTCACGCGGCTCTTCGGCACCCACCATAAGCACGTACTGCAGACCCTCGACGTCGATCTTGTCTGTCTCCTCGCCCTTGAACATGTCGAGGAAGAAGCTCTTGAGCATGACATGCGATGAGGAGGTCGGGTCCTCCCAGGGGCTACCGGCGAAGAGCATCATGGGACGGAGGCCGAGACCAACGTGCATGACCAGCTCGTTGATGGGAGGAATGGCGTCACCGTCGGTGCCGGGCAGAAGGAGGAGTTCACACATGTCGAGCATTTGAGAGTTGAAAATTCGAGTAAGAGTCACGGCATTGGGGCGCTTCTTGTTACTGCTACCGAACACAACCAGTCCGCACTCGTTCTTGTTGGCCAGGAACTCGACGCTCTCGACGCTCTCAAATGGGTGGAGGTTTTCATTCTTCTTGTGGAACAGGACCGAGTTGGGCTTTGTCAATGAATGGAAGGTCTTCAGAACGGTGTCGAGGGCCTGCGGGCATTTTGTGCCGTGCAGGATGAGAGTCCGCTTCGGGCCTTCGATGAGTTGGGGCTCGCGCGCCTTGAGGATGCGCGCGGTGCGGGGATTCTTTGCTTTGCTGGAAAGGAACTGTTAGCTGGGTGCGATATATCGAGAAATTTTCAGGCACGTACACTTCGCGCAACATGATGGCGGTAGGTTGATATGTTGTGGTTGCTCGGAGTAAAAAACGCAGAAAACTTTTGGGGGCAAGGCTTGGCACGCTTATCGATAAGAACTCACTCAACTCCACCTAAACTACAAAATTGACAGTACAACTCGACAGTACAACTTGACAGGAAAAATTAAAAGAAAAATAAATGAACAATGAGAAATTTACTTTATTTTATATCTGTACTCAGAAACAGGTTTAAGCACCCGCCATTTACTCCAAGCGCAGCTTCTCAAATTCCTTGATCTGCTCCTCCAAACGAGCCGCCTCGCTCTGATTATCGCGAAGTCGCTTCTCCTCGGCCTCCCAGACCTCAGCCTTGACCTTGTCCTTCCAGTTGGGGGCAGCCATGATACCCTGCGATTTGCGCACGGCCTCGCGGGCCCGCTCAAGGCCGGCCTTGGCCTTCTCTTCCTGCTCGAGGGCGACCTCCTTGGAGACACGAAGGTAGACGGCAGCCTCGGCGCCGACAGCGGCGACCACACAGCCGGAGGGAGGGGTCTTGTTTTCAAGACCGAGCTGAGACAACTCGCCCAGGTTCTTGCCACCAAGAGACTTGATACTGGTCATCTCCTCCGAAACGGTCTTCTGGCTGGTCGCATCGTAGGTTTGGATGATAATGTCGCCCTTGGTCTTGACATCGTATTGAGCCAAGATGGAACGGATAGCCTTGGAGGTGTTCAAGACAAGCTCGTAGGCAGTCTCCGCGGCGGGGTCGTGGAACTCAGCCCGGAACTCGGGGTACTTGGCCTTCATGATGGAGATGGTCTTGTCGTCGGGGCGGCGGGGAAGGCGCTGCCACAGGTGCTCGGTGATGAAGGGCATGATGGGGTGGACCAGGCACAAGGCTCCCTCAAGAGCAGTGTAGAGGGTCTGTTTGGCGGACTCCTGCATCTCGGGCGAAGAATCTTCGGCCAGCAGGAACTTGGAGTTCTCGATGAACACGTCGCACAGCTGGGCGTACCAGTACTGGTAGACAGTGATGGCGGTGGGGGAGAACTCGCGAGCCTCGAGAGACTCGTTCATCTCCTTGGCAGCGGTGTTGAACTTGTGCAAAATCCAACGCTCTGACAGAGACTCATTGCCATTCTTGGTAGCAATAGCCTGGGGCTTGAAGTCATCACCTAGTTTGCCAAGGACGAACTTGGTGGCCTGGTAGATCTTGTTGCAGAAACGACGGTATCCGTGGATAACCTGGATGTCGAAAGCAATATCACCACCTGCGAAATAAAATTAGTAATTGTAGACACCATGAAAAAAGAAAACACATACCGCCAGTGGTGTAGGAGACAAGGGCAAAGCGGAGAGCGTCAGCACCGCACTCGGGAATACCCTTGGGGAACGCCTTCTTCTGGTACTTGGTAGCAGCAGCGATCTCCTTATCGGCAAGGTTACCAGTCAGCAGCTTATCGTGAAGAGTTTGCAGCTGGATACCCTCCATGACATCCAGAGGGTCAACGACATTGCCCAGGGACTTGGACATCTTGCGGCCCTCGGAGTCACGGATCAGAGAATGGCAGTACACTTCGCGGAAAGGGATCTGGCCTGTCAACTTGATACCCATCATGATCATACGGGCGACCCAGAAGAAGAGAATATCCCAACCAGTCTCCAGCACGGAGGTGGGGTACAGGTTCTCGAAGTCGTGGGTCTTGTTGGGCCAGCCAAGGGTAGAGAAGGGCCACAGGGCGGAGGAGAACCAAGTGTCGAGTACGTCGGGGTCACGCTCCAGCGAGAACTTCTTGCCAGGGAACTTGATCTCGGCCTTCTTCTTGGCATCCTCCTCGGTGCGGCCGGTCACCCAGTACTCACCATCACTCTCGGAGTTGTTCTCGCCTTCGATCTTGACGAAGTAAGCCGGGGCCTGGTGACCCCACCAGAGCTGACGGGATAGACACCAGTCGTTGATGTTCCGCATCCAGCGGAAGTAGCTCTTCTCAGCGCTCTCGGGGCGGATGATGATATCACCGTTCTCAACGGCCTTGATGGCGGGCTCAGCGAGACTCTCCATCTTCATCCACCACTGGGGCTTGAGGATGGGCTCGATGACATCGTTGGACTTGGCACAGCGGGGAATCTTCATGGGGTTATGCTCCCATTTGACGTACAATCCAGCCTCCTTCAGGGCCTCAATGACGGCGTAACGGGCATCGAAGCGTTTCATGCCAGCGAATGGTCCACCGTGCTTGTTGAAGGTACCGTCGTCGTTCATGACGGAGATGAACTCCAAATTGTGAGCCTTGCCACGGTTGAAATCGTTGAAGTCGTGGGCGGGGGTGATCTTCACGGCACCAGTACCAAACTCGGGGTCGACTTCCTCGTCGGCAACAATGGGCATGAGACGATCAATGAAGGGGTGACGAGCATTCTTGCCGATCAAGTGCTGGTAGCGCTTGTCACTGGGGTGGACGGCGATACCGGTATCACCGACCATGGTCTCAGGACGAGTGGTAGCGATCTCGATGCGCTCCTTGGAGCCATCAATCTCATAGCAGAAGTGAGTAAGAACACCGAATTCGACCTTGCGCTCGTAACCGGGCACATCCATAAGGGTGCGGCCCTCAATCTCCTTGTTCTCGACCTCCAGGTTAGACAGCGAAGTGTTCAAGGCCACACACCAGTTGACCAAACGGTTGGCACGGTAGATGATGCCCTCCTCGTGGAGGCGGACGAATGTCTCGGTCACGGCAGCGGACAGATTGGGGTCCATGGTGAAGGCCTCACGGGACCAGTCGAACGAGCCGCCAACTCTCCGCAGTGCGTTCTTGATATTGGCGTGGTAAACATCCTTCCAGTCCCAAATCATCTTTGTCATAGCTGGCCGTCCAATATCGTGGCGGGTCTTCTTCTCCTTCTTCCACAACTGCTTCTCAACAACGCTCTGAGTCGAGATACCGGCGTGGTCCATACCGGGAAGCCACAGAGTGGTCTTACCCTTCATTCTCTGCCAGCGAATCATAGTATCTTGGAGGGCATTGGTCAGGGCGTGACCCATGTGAAGGGAACCGGTAACGTTGGGAGGCGGGATAGGAATGACGAAAGAGCCCTCGGGCTTGACCTTGCCATCAGGGCCCCATTCGGGCTTGAAGAGGTCACGCTCCTCCCACCACTCGAGTCGGCCGGCCTCGATCACCTGGGGGTCGTATGCATCGGCAGTCTTGTCCTTCTCGACCTTGGGCGCCTTCTTCTCGGCTTTGGGTGCAGCGGCAGGCTTAGTGGCCTGCTTGGCCTGCTTCTCTGCGAACTTCTTGGCCTTTTCAGCCTTCTTGCGCTCACGCTCCACTGTACAAGAACCACAATGTCAGCCAATGCTACTCGAGCCACTCCAATCCAGTTATTCCAGGTATCGGATATGGGCAGGGGTTTCCTTTGGGTCGACGTACACTCCTTCTCGGACTTCACCTTAGGAGCCGCAGAGGCATCCTGTCCAGCTTGGGGCTGGGCGACGGGTTCCCCAACTATTCAATGTTATGAGCTTCTGTTCTGCACGGAGTGAGTCACCGGGGTACGCACTGGGGGTTTGGGAGGCAGGGTTCTGAGCCATCCTGGAGAATGATCGATATTGCGGAGTGAATCTCCAAGGCGCCGATCGCGCCACGAATCGCCGGATGAGTATCTTGAGAGAGTGGGATGCGACGAGGAGGGGTGGTTGTGCGAAATGCGGGCAAATTAAATTTCCCACGAAGAGGCAACGAATGAGAGGGCGGGGCGCAGGAGAGGATCGGTGGAGAACGCGGGCGCTGGGCTATGGACTTGCTGTCTTGTCTCATATGAGTCACTATTTACACCGGTTGTTCACTAGCCGTGTTTTTTAACGTTTGGACATGCCAATCACAGGCTCGCGATTGTTAGCTGATGCTAAAAGGGCGTCGAGATTGACCTCACGTGATGACGCCGGTGCCAACGGGCGATCGGCGCGCGATAAGCTTCTATATACGGCTGAACTCATGAATACATCTACTAAATCTACGGGAATTTCTTCTTCAAAGTTCAGTTGGAAAATGGAATTGCATGCATTGTCTCTTCAGAACCCTCGTAATGATCACCAAGCAACATGTGTACCTCACCAATATCATCACTCCTGGAATGTGCACGAAAAAACATGAGCCGCATAAAAAGCAAGGGGAATTACGAAAGCAAGGGAAGAGAGAAATCCAGAACACCGGACCAAGGACGAGGGGCGAAGGAAGAGAAATGGCAGAAGCAGCGCTATACATTAAGGGAGACACAAGACGGTTCCTCCGCTCTAAGACGTCAACTGATTTATTTCGCTCACTAACACGTCCGCAGAACTGAGGCGATGCAGGGCTGCTCGGCCCAGAAAGATTAGATGTCATGTCTTGTCATCAACGTCGTCTCCGAACGGGATTCGGTCACTCATCGTAGCCACTCTTCATCCGGGGTACTCAGAGAAGAGATGGCTAGGGGTTTGCGTCAATCGTTCTCCTTCCAGTTTCGCGATCATGCACCGCTCATATCGGCATAAGTAAAACTCAGATAGAAAAAGGGAATACCAGGATGCCGAGCGTTGTGTTGACCATCGGGCAGTGTGGGAAGGAAGAACAGGAGATTTGTGCAGATAGGAGGAGAGGTAGAGAAGATAGAAAAGCCGCGGTTGTCAACCAGTGCGAGAAGCAACTCACGACTGGGTGTTGCTGTTGGCATCGGCTCGAACGGGGTCAAAGTAAGGGTGTGCCATAGCCTCCTGGGCGGTCAAACGTTCCTATCTCGGGGTCAGTACGAGGTGGAAACAAAATACAAGGTGGAAAGCAACATACGGCGTGGTCGTAGCGCAGAAGCTTGTCAAGGAAATCGATAGCCTCATCACTGACAAAGCGCTGATTCTCGGCAGTGACGAAAGAGCGCCATGGCTTGCGGGGGAAGCGAGAGAGGATCTCATCGTACTGCGGGTCGAGTTCGATATCGTACTTGTCCAGGTACTCGAAGAGCTCCTCGGTACCGAGAACCTTAGCAATCTTTACCAGCTGGTCCGAATTGCTGTTGCCGTGGAAGAAAGGCTCCTTGCGGAAGATCATAGACGCAAACATCGCGCCCAGGGACCACATGTCCAGGGAATAATCGTATTCCTGGAAATCGACGAGCAGCTCAGGGCCTTTGAAATAGCGTGATGCAACACGGACGTTATATTCGGTGCCCTTATGGTAGAACTCGGCCAGACCCCAGTCAATCAACCGCAGCTGAAAAAGAAAAAGTCAGAACAAAAAATCACGCAACGTACAGCAATTATGACGAACCTTGCGCTTTTCGTGGTCAATCATGACATTGTGAGGCTTGACATCTCGATGCATGATGCCCTTACTGTGACAGAAGTCGAGCGCCTTGAGTAGCTCGTAGACATAGAAACGAACGTCGTAGTCGGAGAAGCGAGGGTAGAGTGTTCGGAAATCGGTGTTGTTGACAGCCTCAAAGACCAGACTGGGAGTTTTGCTCTGATTGTCGCGGACCACATCCAGCAGTGCGACGACATTAGGTCCACCGGCAAGATTTTGCAAAATCTTGATCTCACGCTTGATCTTTTTCTTCTTAACAGGCTTGAGAACCTTGATGACACACTTCTGATAGTTGACGACGTTGATGCCTTCGAAAACTTCGGAGTATTTTCCACGACCTAAAGCAGATAGTGTTAGCATGGATTCGATCGGACAGCATTTCCACCTTGCAGGGACAGCCGCAGATGATACAGCCATTCTCCAGGTCGGATGGCTTCAATCAGGTGTTAAGTACCTATCTTGCGAACGATCTCATAGTTCTCCAAAACACCCCAGGAAATGTTCACACTGTCGTAGTCCCAGTAGGACCGAGGCATGTGCTCATTGACATCAGCGTATACGCGCGCCATGGTGATTGTAGACGGCTTCCGAGCCCGCCCACAAATGGAAGATGCGGCGGGGTCACGCGGGGTGCGACGATTTAGGGGAAAAAAGGGAGGGTTGGGAGGGAACAAGACGGAGGAAGTCAGCAGCAGCAGCAGGCCCAGCAACTGACAGCCCGAATGCAGCCGTGCTATCGATCGTCCTGGAACAATGGGGTTGGAGGGGGGATATCTTTGCGTGAGAGCGAGATCTGTTCCGCCTTGTCACGGGATCGCTGTGGAGAGCAGTCCCGATGCGGCTAGGCCCGGGTATAGGTTGTTCCGGATGATTTCTGGTTTCCTCTTTCGGACAGTTTCGTGACTCGGGCTTTTCTTTTCTGTACCTTGGCCTGTGGACCGAGTACTGTCCTTTTAAACCAGGCAGACAGGCAGGATGTTCTATGACCTGAATGTCCCTTACAGCCCCGATGACCCGGAGGCCCCGCACACCCTGAATTTCCTGGCGGAACGTAAGTCATTTTCGCGCGGCCGGCACACGATCTGCGCATGATAGATCGTGACCACATGAGGTACTGACCTGACCCTCAGTCGGTTACACTACCGTGGCCTTGTCCCAGTCCGTCACCGGCAAGCTTCCTCCGAACCTCACTCCGCCAGCTCTCCCGTCGAATCCGCCGAAATCTCTCCAACTACTGACCCGCTTGAACCTGACCTTGTCCGACCCCGCGCAGAACCAGCGCCTGAACAGCCTGACCCAGTTCTACGATATCGTTGCTCTCCGTCCGACGAACGAAAAGGCCCTTCTCAGTGCCTGTACGAACCTGGAATGCGACGTGATCTCGCTGGATCTGTCTGTGCGACTTCCGTATCATTTCAAATTCAAAATGCTGTCGGCTGCGATATCACGTGGTGTTCGTCTCGAGATTTGCTATGGACCGGGTGTCACGGGAAGCGGTCTGGATGCTCGACGGAATCTTATTGGAAATGCCATGTCTTTGATCCGAGCTACACGCGGCCGCGGCATTATCGTGTCAAGTGAGGCGCGGCAAGCCCTCGGCCTACGAGCTCCTTGGGATGTGATCAATTTGACTTGTGTCTGGGGTCTGTCACAAGAGCGGGGGAAGGAAGCTATTTGTGAGGAGACGAGGAAAGTTGTGGCGCTTGCCAAATTGAAGCGGACCAGCTGGCGCGGCATCGTCGACATTGTTCATGGGGGCGAGAGAGCCAAATCTGGTAAACCCTCACAAAACCAGAAAGGCAAAGAACATGCTTCGGTTTCGGCACAGCCGGGAGCCATTGGCGATACTTTAAAACGAAAGGCCTCCCTCGGTTCGGAGACCGTGACCGAGGAACCCGAGAAGGCCTTGTCGAAGAGAGAGATGAAACGACGAGCCAAAAAGGCCAAGTTTGAGTCACGAGGAGCAGACGCAAGCTGATTTCCTACAATGATTCCCATCTATGGTCTCTCGATACAGAGACTATTATTCCTTGAATGTGGGACCCACTGCCCTACCCCATCTGTGCATTTGTGCTCAAATGGGCGATAATTTTTGAGCTTCTGCACATCAGCCAGAAGGTCACAAACTATGTCGCTTTCATCTAATGGACATTCCACCGTGGAGCCTCCTCATCATGCCTTACGACTAGCAGCCGAAGTGAACTGATCACCTTGGTCGCCGTCCACCGCCGGTCGGTGTGACCACGAAGCGAATCGAAAGAATTCGTCATGTCCAACGGCCTGTGTCCTAATGATCACACTGCGTTTAGCCCGCAAGTTTGATCTTCGGTTTCAGCCTCCATGGCCGTCCGTTGCATTGATCTACTTGCCGCAAGGGCAGTGTAACCATAACCATACCTCGTACCCTCGATCATATATACCCTTTACTCAGTGATCGAGTCTGAAAAAAAAATTAAATCAAGTCTGTACGCACTATCGTCGGCCGTGATTCCGTACAGTCACGGCGCTCATCCTGAGCTCATCGTAGCCCGCATATATCCGTAGTTCGAGCTTTGCCAGGATGTAGCTACCACAGTCCTGCGGTGGGCACTTATACCACAATTTTTTTATAGCTATCAATCGTCCTCCTTAAAAAATCATTCAGGGAATCTCTGGTTGTCTGGTACGGAAGAAAGCTTTGGCGTGATAGTCAATTCTCCTGACAGGGTGGCTTGGGGTCATGAGGAACTTCCTTTATTTATCACCAGTGATATTGTGATACTGCTATCGATGTGGAAACTTACGACTAATATATCATTTCAGGTCCCTATGTCGACGGCACTGCGAGTTACGAGAATCACAGAATCATGCTGCCGGTTAAGAGCTACGCAGACGTTATCATCAAGCTCATGTTACTTACAGCATCCCCCTAGAAACTGAAAGAAATAAAGACCAAAATCCATGTAAACTCCTGGATAAGTCCAAAAATTCCTTTGAAATATTCTGAAACAATCTCATGACTGATAAGACGTGAATGACAAACCGCCCTATAGTTAAATGCACGAATCAGGCATCAAGAATGGTGCCTTAATACCTGGGCATCTTATGAGAAGACACTAATTCTACGACAAAGCGACGACCGGTAGGAAATGCCATGCGCTCAATTACAGAAAACAGAACTAGAACAAATGGATGTGGATTTTAGTAGAAAATTTGAGAATACTAAACTTGGGTAGAGAGACGTGAGAGAGGGAAGTGTGCGTACATATCGATACCTGACGATGCAGGCATCCAGGAACCTTCCTCGGCGTGTCCGTCACAGGAAATGGAGATTCAAATATTTCCCACCGATTGGTCACCATAGTATCTGGGATCCGCTAATTTTCTGACTGTAAGGCAATGCTTCTTGTATGTGGCCGTGTCAGGCAATGCTTCTTGCATGTGGCCGTGTCGTCTCTGGTAGACCCGCCCTCCGCAGTGGACAAATTTCGCAACCATGTGGCCAGTCCCAGTTCTTCAGTCTACCGTCTCCGCAATAGAACCTTTGCCACGAGAGCATTCAGCCATGGATGGGTTTGGCAAAAACTTCAGAGTGGCTTTGTTGGTAATAAGGAACCTTTGGAAATGATAGATTTCATCTACCTAGACTAGGCCTCCTAAGAAAAGGCAAGGCTGCTACGTACTCTTTTCTTGGCCATTCTAATATTATTATTTTCTGCCCGCTTGCATTTCATTTCCCGAAAAGCTAATTTAAAAAATCTCACTCGACTGATACGGCTTTTTAAATTTATCACAAGTAATGTTTCTGGCCCAAGAAGAGTCTCTTGAAATCGTAGGCTAGGGCTTCCCCTGAGCACCAGCCCGAAATCGCTTATAATTTACTTGCTTACACAAATCTGTAAAAGTGATCACTCGGATTAGGTGCGAGAGGGCCAACTACAATGCCACAATTTGTTAGAATCGTAAAAACCCCCGTAATCGCCAACTGTGCGGCAATACTCTAGGAGAGATTATTAAGGGGGCCCTGTACGGTGGATCAGGGACGTGCCTAAACCTAGCACAAGAACCTCACCAAGAAAGGAGAGAGGTTACCCTAAGTTAGAGTACTACCGCAGTAGTACGTGCCCAGGGGCCCTCAATTTGTGGCCCCCTAGGTGTGAGCGGGTCTGGAACGGCAAAATCTACATGGAGAAGTACCTTGGCAGATCTATTCGCCTCTTAGTGTCTCACCGTCGGTTCAGTGGGAGCGAATTGGTTTTAAGTGGTCCCTCGTACCTCGTACCAGATTTATTAAAATCGCTTCTTAGGGGTACGCCAAGAGTTTTGCCACCGTTCCCTACCTAAGGCTGAACTCCGATTTCAACGCGGGATAGATACGAAGGCCCAGAAGTAATTTCAATCGGCTGGATACACAATGGCACCTGTCACTGGGGGTCACCAGAGCACATGGATAGGGTGAGGCTAGTTTAGCGATCGGGTATTTTCAATCTCTGACAGGGGAAAAGTCTCAAGGTTTAAGCTTGTTCTAACCCAGCGAATAATGATTCACATGATCTGGAGACGCGTATGGCATGGGCCCACTTAGCGATCCATATTTATCTTGTGTGTCACTCGCTGTGACCTCCCATGCCGTAGCCTCCAGTGCTCGCCAATATACGCCACGTAGTACACGCCTCTCCACCATTCCTCCTGTACCATATTCTCCTCAACCTCCCCACGGGACTCTCTCCTTGTCCCACATTTCTCCTGGGGTGACCCACTACACTGCCCCTTTCAAAATTAGACCGAGAGGAAGGATATTTTGCGCTATGGCGCTAAGTCTAGGTAGCCGAGTAAATGGATCCTTTTGTAGAGGTGGCCCGTAATTCCCGTCTTTATAACTTATAACGCCTGTCCTCCAAATCCCTGACCATAATCTCCGACAATATCAGTCTTGATATCTCCAGGGATCTTGTCAACCATCGCAGATGAGCAAGACGACTACCCGGGCTTTGGCCAGGGAAAATGTTCTTTCGAGACGTGAGATTGAAGGCATGATTGCCGACAACAAATCGATCATCATCATTGACGGTAAAGTGCTTAGACTGGATTGCTGGATCAAATTCCACCCCGGCGGCGCCTTGGCTATCAAGCACATGATAGGCAAAGATGCCACAGACGAAGTGAACGCGTAAGTTTTCAATTTGTCTTATTACTTGCCAATGTATTAACAACAAGTCCATAGACTACATTCACAGGAAGCACGTCAGCGCATGAACAAATTCCAGATCGGATCAATCGAGGGAAGATGGACCAACTTTCTTCCTCCTATCCAAGGTGGCCACTTCCGCCACTATAACGGAGATGAGGTAGAAGAGGAGGACATTTCGACTTCAGACCTATCAAATGACGACGAGGAGCTTTCACCCCCGCCATCGCCAATTTTTGAAGCAGAAGACGTTGGGTTAAGACGCCGACGATCGATATCGACCATATCCTCAGCGGTCAGCATCATTCCTCCGCCACCAGCAGAAACCAAAGGAGGGTATGTGATGGATGCGCGGACCCAGGACGAGATTCAGTTGGATTCATCCAAGTACCCTCCTCTCACTGCCGAACACCAAGAAAACATCACCCAAAAATACCGTCAGCTCAACGAGCGCATCCGTGCAGCCGGACTTTACAATTGCAACTACTCTGCCTACGCCATCGAAATATGTCGATACAGCCTCCTGTTCGGTCTCTTCGTTTTCTTTTTGAAACGGTCTTGGTTCTGCCTGTCCGGCTTCTTCCTGGGATGCTTTTGGCATCAACTAGTCTTCTCGGCCCATGATGCCGGCCACATGGGTATCACTCACAACTTCCAAGTCGATACTGTCATCGGGATGATCATTGCGGACTACCTAGGTGGACTTAGTCTAGGGTGGTGGAAGCGAAGCCATAATGTCCACCATATCGTGACGAATGCCCCAGAACACGATCCCGACATTGAATTGATGCCCTTCTTCGCTCTATCACACCGCTTTTTTGGTAGCCTGCGCAGCACCTACTACGATCGGATCATGGAATACGATGCGGTGGCTCAGCTTACCGTCAAGTATCAACACTATCTATATTACCCAATTCTCCTCTTCGGCCGCTTCAACCTCTACTTCTTGAGCTGGGAACATATCTATGTCGGCCGTGGCCCTCGGCACGGTGCTGGCTGGTGGCACCGTTGGTTTGAGCTGGCTGGTCAGATTTTCTTCTGGACCTGGTTTGGCTATGGGGTTGTCTATCTCAGCATTCCGGACTGGTGGAGTCGGATCGCCTTCGTCCTGATTTCTCACATTGTTACTGCACCGCTGCATGTGCAGATTACTCTTTCTCACTACGCAATGTCCACTGCCGATCTCGGTCCTCTCGAGTCCTTTCCGCAAAAGATGCTCCGGACAACCATGGACGTGGACTGTCCATCCTGGTTGGACTTCTTCCACGGCGGACTCCAATTCCAGGCCATTCATCATTTATATCCCCGCATTCCTCGCCATAACCTGCGCAAGACGCAGCAATTTGTGAAGGAGTTCTGTGAGGATGTGAAGATTCCGTACGCTGTCTTTACCTTTTACGATGGTAACAAGGAAGTTATCGGTCGACTCGGACATGTCGCCAAGCAGGCAAGGATCTTGGAAGAGTGCCGAAAGGCGTGTGCAGAGCAAGGTGTCTTTGCTGACCACCACCATTCACACTGAAGAGGCCCGCTCGACGCGAGTTAAGTTCATAAGGCGAGGGGCGTTCAATTGATATCCCACGTGTTTAGACCTATAGACATATAGATATATTCTTTCAACGGATTTTTTACTCTACCAACGAGCTCCCCACTGCAGATCAATTCTTATGTCTACCAGTTGAATAATTGGAACTTAATCTCTGATTGCGATCTACGATAATTTAGTTCATAGATCTATATCCCCGAGGCGGCAGGGTTACCGTCGCTTAGATTGTAAATAAGGCTCTTGTAATTGTTACATTATCTTGATGAACGAAGACACAACCGAGGGATTGCAGGGTGGACACGCATTCTTCGGGGAATTCTGTCAACACTAATAAAGATGGTTGGATCACATCCACGACCGACATCTCTAATACTCCTATGCGACTAGACGTAAAACAAAATTATGCATTGGTCAATCTACAAATCACTCTGCTTATTGCAAAATTTATCGGCTTCCTATGACCCTGATGAATCATTCAGTACAATCTAACAAGCCAGTCAAAGTAACAAATCACATTCTAGGAATCCCATCTGATGAGTAAAGGAGAGTGTGGCGGTGGCGCCTATCAGAAAACTGGGATTTGTTATCTCACGTGATAGCGCGAAAACTGCGGCGCCGACGTATCCCAAACTGGAAATTTCCCGGGGCCTCGACTTGTCTTCTTTTCCCCAGCATGCGCTGTCACGATGCAGCAAAGCCCCAAAGTCCACGGTCAGCACGCTGACGAGACCCGGTCCGCCCGGGTCCCAGTGACAACCCAGAAGAAGTCCCACGACCCATTGGTACACCTGCTCGCCGGCGCGTAAGTTTTTCTCATCGTCATCCTGTCGATCTTTCTAACCCGACTCCAGGAGCGGCGGCTTCGCAACAGCAATTGTCACATCACCCCTCGATGTTCTTCGAACACGTCTTCAATCCGATTTCTACCAACATCCTCCCTCTTCCTCCGACGCACCTCTCCGCACAAGCCATAAAACCGCCCGAATAGTCAGCAACATCTACCGCGCAGAAGGATGGCGAGCATTCTTCCGCGGCCTAGGACCCAGCCTTGCAGGCGTGGTCCCGGCGACCGCTATTAAATTTTACGTCTACGGAAACTGCAAACGAATCGGTGCCCAAGTGACAGGCCTCGGCGAAGACTCGACCATCATCCACGCGCAAGCCGCCATCTCCGCGGGAATAGCCACGGCGACTGCGACGAATCCCATCTGGCTCGTCAAGACCCGCTTGCAATTGGATAAGTCGCAGGCAGCCACCGGAGGCCGCCGGTACAAGAACAGTCTCGACTGTGTGCAGCAAGTTCTCCGCCAGGAAGGTGTCCGGGGTCTGTACAAGGGCCTCAGTGCAAGCTACCTAGGCTCCGTCGAAACAGCGCTCCATCTAGTCCTGTACGAGCGCTTGAAGAAGATGCTGAACAAATCACTCGGATCACCGGATGGGAAAGAAACGGCTACGCAGCGGGAAATCACAAGCTGGGTGAGCACGACAGGGGCGGCGGGTTCTGCCAAGTTTGCTGCTGCTCTACTGGCTTATCCCCACGAGGTATGTATTCCAGGATCGACGACTTCGTATCGGCAACATCTAACGTTTTAATCTTCGCAGGTCATCCGAACAAGACTCCGTCAAGCACCCCTCGAAAACGGCATCCCCAAATATACCGGCCTGGTACAGTGCTTCCGACTCATCGCCAAAGAAGAGGGAATGGCAGGCCTGTACGGAGGCCTGATGCCTCACATGGTGCGATCCATTCCCTCGGCCATCATCACGCTGGGCGTATACGAGTTCGTTCTGCGGTTTGTCGGCACATCGCCGTAAAATGTGCCACATTCACATTTGTACATTATCATCGAAAAGCGGCCTGTTTCTTGCATTGCTAGAGCGGCCGTGACTTAATTGCATGTATTCTACCCTGGGCGTTGGCTGGTTTGAAATTTGGGAGCTGTGAATAGAATCTCCTGTCTGGGAATGTACCATATATCAATCACTTTTCATCAATATATTGGCTCTTGAGAGGATTCACCGTACAGTGACTACTTTTTACTTGTTACTCAAAAAGAATAACCCTAAACTTGGAGGGCAAGGATGTATAGAAAAGAGTAGAAACCGGGTATGATATTTTGCTCAAAGAAACGCCATGCAACGCTGATCCAATGATATGTAGAGAATGCGATCAGGGAGCCAAGGGGAAAGAAAGTACAGAGGGGTATGAGACTAAGGACAAGGTTTATAGTCTGCTTCAGGCGCCTCTTCGTCGGCCTCTTCCACAGTGGCTGCGCGGGCTTTGCCCTTGGAGGGGTCCTCGGTTTGTTCACCTTCGACGGAGGCTTCTTGAGCTTGGCTGTTGGTGCCCCATGTTGGGATTGTGGATGAACCAGCTTCGGACTGGACCTCCGTCCACTCTTGGGACGGGGACTCTGTGCGGTGGTCTGTTGATGGAGATGTGGCGAGCGTTGACCAGTCAAACACGGTTTGGAGTTGTCTACTTGGTGCGGTGCTGTTTGAAGCTGCACCGGTTGTAGCTGATACATTACCCCCCGCAGTCCCATTTTGGACGGTGGTCTCAGAGGGTGCTGGGGTTTGAGAAGAGGTAGTATCATTTGAGGGATGGTTGGCTGGTGAGACAGCTGATGTCGCGGGCATTTCGTTGATACCTTGCGCCGCGTTGTCAGCACCCCATTCGGTGGGATGAAGAGGCATGAGAGTCCAGCCTGCTGGGAGATTGAAGCCGTCCGGCAGACGGGTATCTCCAGGTCCCATGGCATTATCGCCCGGGGTCATAGCGTATCGCTGGCCGGTCGAGGACGTGAACGTTCCAGGTAGTATGGGCGAAGAGGTGGCAGGTCTCGTAGTTTGATGGAAGGGGTTGGCTTGCTGGAGACGAAGTCGATCCAGCTCCATTTGAAGATGACGCACGCGGTGTAGTTGCTCCGTGGCGAGCCGCAGAGAATTTATCTCTTCCGTAATGCGCTGCTCAATCTGCTGTAATTGGGTATGGACATCGGTGAAGTTAGAGTGCGCAGCGGCGTGAGGATTCTGGACCTGCTGAGCAGGTACTGGTGGACGGCGTCCAAAACCAAAGCCGAATCCAATCTGCCGCCCATTTGGTTGATTGGGGTTCACAGCAGGCTGGGGTGCGTTGCCCTGGTGGATTTGCTGGTGCAGGTTATGGAGCATGTCGCCCCGCACAGCTCCAAAGCCGAGTCGGAAAGGACCGAATTGATAAACACGGGCTCTGGGCGCTCCATCGCCTTGAGCACCTGGCTGACCAGGAGCCAGATCTCCAGCAAAATTCTGCTGCCCACCAGGTGCGTTGTTGCCATTGCGGCGAGCAGCTGCTTCCGCGCCTACCACTGGACGCCGGCAGGTAGGGCAATTCTGTTGCCGCTCCAGCCAGCTACGCAGGCAGGCGAAATGCAGAATATGGCCACATGGAAGCTTCTTGGGGCGTAGACGATCAGGAACACGTTGCGCACCGGCAGCGGGTTGCGGTTGTTCACCACCTTCAGCGGCGGCATCAGCAGCTGGCAGGACCGAGACCATCTCCTCGCGGCAGATGATACAAACTTCCTCTCTAGCCACTTCTTCGGGGGTCGCATCTGGATAGCGCTCGTTCATGTCCCGGGTGGCGTTTCGGTACCGAACGAAATCCATGATTCGCCGAGCAAATGACCGGATGGTGACAACGACGTCGCGAAGGATATGAATCGGCAAGCCATAGAACGTGAGCAGAATGGCAAAGAAAGTGATGTAGACCAGGAGTTTCACAAAGTCCGTCAAGAGGTCCAAGTAGAAAACCCAGCGACCTTTCTCCTCCCACCCAGGAACATCGATCTCCAGCTCATTCACGTCGTTCTCGTCAGGAAGGTCGGTAGGAGGTGACGTAGCCCCTGCACGAGCGTGCGCTTGGATAGCCTCCACTCGAGCAGCCCGAATCTCAGCTCTGCGTTCGTCCATCTTCGCCTTCACCTGCTGGCGAGTAATATAGATCTCCACCAGCGCGATGCAGTAACGAGCGGCCGTCGAGGTTGAGAGGATAGTCAAAATGGCAAATTCGAATCCAAACATGACCATCATATCTGGCCTGGCCTGAGAAATCACGGTATCGACACAATACTGCAGCATAAACGCATTGAAGAGAGTCGTTAGAAGTAGCGACAGCGCCAAGCGGATATGGAACAACCGAGGGTTTGCGGGGGGTTGTTGCTCCAAGAACTCCACGCGCCCTTCTCCAATCCAGCCCCAGACTTTTCCGGCCAAAAGGGAAATGAACATGACCAGAAACCAACCCCCGAGTTCACCCCGGAAGATGGTCATAGCCAGACATGTTTCCGTAACCGCGAACCACGCTCGCTCATAGAGTTGTTCTGTTTCGATAGGGCGTAGTCGTCCATAGAGAAGCCGCTGGAGCCAGAAGAGGACGAAGCCGGTGATAAGGAGACACAAATTCGTAAGGATCTAGTTGGCGCGATAGTCAGCCATAAGCGGACAGAGGAACGGGTCTCTTGACGAGCAAAGCGCGCAAGTAGAGGGTGGACTCACCATGAGGTTCGCACTACTCTGCGAAAGATATACACAAGCCGCGTAGAAATTGGCTCTTTGATGGAGAGCTTTCAGGAACACACCGGTGGCCAGGGCCACGGAGACCTTGAATCGAGTCAGCGGAAATTGGGGACACGGCTGAGGGGCATGGGATACTCACCCCAGTGTACGCGGCCAGCCTCATGACGGATTGACTGAGACTCGCGGGCCGAAGGTCATCAGAAGAGAAAGGGGGAAATCAACGTCAGGACATCGGGGAGACGTGGAGTATGTCTCGATCTGGACAGCTTTCCAGAATAACGGGGCCTCCGCATCTTACGTCAGCGTTCTGGGTCTGCACGTGCCTACGTCAGTGCTTTCAAACGAAGGGTCAAATGAAGCCGGTGCTTTTATTTGAGAATGGTGTGATTGTATGAGGGTCAATTCAATTGTCAATGAGTTCTTTGAAGTATAATCGTGCCGTGGACTCTCGGGGCACACGTAGGTTGATACCGACTTGCATATACACCGGATAATGCTGGGTGGCTAGCGCACAGCTAGCCATGGCGTTTCAGCTCTGTATGCAAAATTGAAGCCATGTCCTTCTCGAGACATGGAAATACATGATCTGACCTTTCAATAATATCCACTTGAAGCCCTAGTTTCTGGAGGGTTTCCGCCGTCTCGAGGCCAATGAAGCCCTCGCCGCGGCAGACTTGCATTCGTGCTGGGTGATGTAGTTTCGGATTTCCCGAAGTTCAAGGATGGTTTGTAAAGCGAATACGTGCGGTAGGTTGATTCCAGGAATGGGCGCGAGGATAGACCCTGCTTCTCGTGCAAGGATGAGCTTATCGTACGAGAGTTTATAAGTGGTGTCAGTCTGAAGATCACAAACTTCCACCTTGCTTTCAGCCCTATCAATGGCATTTAGCTCTGAGTGGAGGCATATGTCCAAATTAAATCGGTCTTCCGGGTTTTGCTTATCAAGAACCAAAGAGCTCTCCGATTGGATGATACCCGCTAAACTGTATAGAAGGCCACAAGTTGCGTAACTGATAAATTCCCCTCGTTCAAGAACAATAATCATGGCTTCTTCACTTAAGCGACGAGCTCAATGGCTGCAGACATACTGCCGGCTACCCCGCTAAAGATTAGGATCTTCAAAGGCTTATCTAACTACATGTTGTTGATTATTTTGAGTTTAGAGAAATGTGGTGTATGGTAAGCTTTTTATAGGCCGGAAGACCCAAATAATGCCGAGATTGTGAGATGTTTTTGATCAAGAAAGGTTGAGTGGCAATCTTCAAGTTTATCGTCCGTAGTGTGACCTCTATATAAGCCAGCAAATCCCATAAATGCATTTCGTTAATTTTCGCTAATTTTATTCTCCGCCAAACCAGTAGGATCAATGTTAGCGTCATCAGTCGTGGAATATTTACCACGATCGTTGCTGGAGTGCTGAGTAGGAATTACATCACAACTGAGTTCATAGCACCGCTCTAGACCACATCATCACACGTCAAGTATCGCATGACTGTCCCGACTTTTATGACTAATTTTCTTTTCATTCTATGTGGAAGGTGTACTGACAATGAATGACGTGAGATAGGATTGTTATATTGATTCACCGATCGCCGTGAAGCAGTGTAGTATGCGCGAGGCCCCCGGATCGATGGGGGCGTCGGATTTATTTTCAAACGAGAATTTAATTGGCTCGGGGACTTGATCGGCAGGGAAACATGTGTCGCCGGGCGGTGTGTTCTAAACCCCGAGAGCCCGGGAACATTCGCACGAGCGGGCTGTATTAAAGAATGAATTGTCAGAGCCCTTCCTGCTGTTGCTCTAATCTAAGTGCCCGTGAACTTTGGCCAACAGCATATAAGCCTGATGACGCTACATCAATCCTCAAAAGGTCGCGTCTCGTTGAACTCATGTCGTTATGGCAAAGCAACGAGACAAAATATAGTAAATCAGATTGTATACAACATGCAAATCACGGTCTCAAGAAATTCAATTGCCTGCTAGGTTGGTGTTCTATGTTAGTACGACAGGGAAGAAAATACCGAAATATGCGGGTTTAGCTTCCCTGACCCCGATCCTAACATATATCACTTGAAGAAGTCACTCGCTTTTTAAATCGAGGGCCGAAGCCTCTCTATATCGGGTTCGGTTCTATAGTAGTTTGACAATCCGCTTCTCCAACACATATACTCTTGAAGGCGCTCAGAAAGACTGGCCAGCGAGATATAATTTCTCGTGGATGGAGCAACTTCGGAAGCGAACACTTTGATGTTCCTGATGAGATTCTCTTCATCGGAAATGTCTCACATGATTGCCTTTTTCGACAGGTATCATGTGTCGTACACCATGGTGGAGGCGGTACAATCGCCACGGGCCTTGCATGCGGCTGTCCTACAATCATAATACACTTTTTTGGTGACCGGAGATTCTGGGGTAAGATTGTTTTTCGAGCAGGTTGCGGTCCCAACCCGATACCCATCAAGCAGTTGACTGTTGGCAATTTATCTAAGGCTATTATTCGCCCTCATGCCAGAGGCTCATAGGAAATCAAGGAGATTCAGCGTTGCATACGCACTGAATCTGGGAGCCGCGATAGCGCGAAGAGCTTTCACCGGCATCTCAATTTGAGAAAATTACGATGCACAATTTGCGCATCTCAACCAGCAGTTTGGCAAATCAAGGACACCGATATAACTCTAAGTGCTTTTTCTGCCGCTGTTCTAGTAAAGGCCAAGAGAATTGACCCATCAAACATCGTGCTGTGAGTTGCCGACAGTCTCTCCATCACTATTCTGCCCCTGATTATGGATTAGGCATCGCAACATTCATTACGATACCAGTCGCAATCCTTCGAGTCCGATAAGTGCAATAACCGAGGTTTTAATGACCACCATGGCGAATTTGATCGTTTTCCTGGTCGGCCTTCCAGCAAATACGCTCCTGAAGATTGGGTCTGCGACTCACTCATTCAGCCGTCATGAGCATTTGGACGCATACTCGAGTTGTCAACGGACAAAATAGAAAGCGCGTACCCGTGCTGAGTACGTTAATTGTCATAGTTCACGTGGTCAGGATTGTTGAGAAGACTGGAAAAGGCATATGTGGTGCTTTTCTCAAACCCCTTGCAGGTATGTGCTCCCAATCTGATCCTTTTTATGGCTGATCAAAGGCCAACGGAAATTCCGCCTAGGCTCTTGCGGGATTTTAGGGTATCCTCTTAGTGGTTTGAGAAAAGAGCTCAACCGATCGCTTGGAAAGGATGTCGACCGACATATTATTCGAGCTCGAATGGCACAAGGCGAGGATGAAATGCACGCGTCCTCAATAGAGGAGATACTTGATGTATTGAAAGAATGGGATACCCGATGGCACATTGATTGAATGAGAGAAATTCAAACTATATATAGGTCATATTCTAGGGCGTAGTATGGTTTTTTATCACAAGAGTATCTATTCAAGTCATTGCACCGATTTAATCATGGTAATCTTAGGTGTCGCATATAATTATCTGATTTCCAGGAACGCATGATTATTCATAGCGAATGCCAGTAAATGTAAAAAGGTCCCGAATGGTGAGACAGAAGTCTCCTTGTATAAGAACCCCGTCATAAAAAACTGCCAGACCACAGAGAAAGTGAAAAAGACGATCGGTCTTGAGTTAAGATAATTCGTCATATATGGCATGTACATGATTGGATTATGGAGAATCTGGAAGGGCAAGAGTCTCAACACACGTGGTAACCCTGGCACAGAGCCTCTGGGACGTATACGGCAGCACTAGCACAACGAAACTTCGCCAGCGTTACTACCATTAGTGCGATGGCCCCTCGCCTCATATAGGCAAAGGGGTAGGTACAGGGCGTCACCGAGCAAAGAGATGAACGTCACTGGTCGTTGTATCAAAAGCAAAGATCTAAAATTTCAGGATTCAGCCTAGATTCTATTTCTGGCTCATCAAAACAGTTCATGTTGAAATTCGCAGTATAGTGTGGATCTCTCGGATTGTATGGGTCGATATGAGTCTTTTCCGCACAATCTGTTGGTTTCTCATATCTTGCGTTTGGAGTCCATGGATTATTAGGAACTGAGGCTAGGCTCGGCGATAGGAGTGAGTCATGTGAGTCAGGTGAGGAAATGGCTTGTATGTTGCGGCAAAGTGCGCTTTTGGAGTCCGAGGGTAACAGGTCGTTACGCCATTTATCGCTCACTGAGACCTCCGCATCTGTTTCAAACTTCTCTTCTTTTGTTGGATCGATGATCCCAAGCCAAACAAGGAGATCATGGGTGAGCGGATATCCGTTGCAGTCAATGCTCAAACGGTTATCGTTCCAGCGCTCACCCAATACCATACGGCGGTATAGTTCTCGAAGACCCTCAACCAGCCAAATATGTTGCTGCTCTAGCATTTCAATATATCTGTTCAAAAAGGTCAGCAAGTTACTCTATCAGATGAAAACGATCAGTAGTCCTGTTATCAACTGACTCTTGTCGGTATACAATCCGCGTTTTTTTTCGCTCCCCGTACATGCAAATTGCGTCGTCTGATTGACAGCGCAAACATGGAGCTTCTCCGTCGCACTAGGAAGTCAGTAAATTCGTTGCAGGCTTGGATATAGACTAACCTTGGCCTTTTTAAGCCTGCAGCGATCGCAAGCCTTGGATACCTTTTGATGCGTCTTATGGAGCTTGGAGTTCATAGTTTTACCAATGACTGTTCTTCGTGGCACCAAATCACTTTATGCTGAAGCAGGCGAAAATGTTATCAATACTTCGAGGTATGATTAAGTAATGTTGGGGACACCAATGGTCCGTTGATGTATAAGCAGAATCAGGGTGTTTTGATATCGCCCTGGTTAAACCCCTTGCATATGGGATTTCGGGGACCAAAAAGTATGACGTTGATCCCCGGATTTAGGGAAGACATGTCCTCCTCAAGAACAGTGGGGCTAGTGTAACTGCGGCAGAGTGAACTGGTAATTCAAATGCCAACATCTGGCCATATGGGCTTAGTCGTATTCAGTCTACTCAACAGTAATGCATCTTCTTAAACTTATGCTCCACATGGTTCCCGAGTCGGTTGGAGATCCCCGCGGACTGAATTCTCAGTCACAGCACACAATGAGATGCAAAGCATTAGGGCGACGAGGCTTGCGTAGGTGAAACTTGCTGTCAATTTTTGCCCACAGCAGAGGTTGCTCTGAGGGATGTCCAGTCTGATCTATGAGTTGTGTAAAATCGATAACTCTTCCTGTAGGATCTTGTCGGGAATGCAGAGATCTTTACTTTGACATTACGAACTCAGTATTGATTCCTGATACGTTCATATCTTCGGAGTCTGCCTTTGACACCTTCAGTTACATTTTCATTTGATCTACTAGCAGCTTTCCATTCTGCTAAGTCGTCTCTCCCGCCACTTGTCCTACCCTAAGTTCATATATCACTTCGTACACTCGATAAGAGAGCGTCTCCCTTTGCATCAGAAAGCCCTTCCTTCATATATCAATATGCTTCGGGCTTTTTCGGCGCCGTCAGTCTAATTTCGGCAATGAGTCTGCTTGTATTGAACCTCAGGATGGAAAAGTTCGGCTCACAGTGATTAAATCTGTCGCTAATTGTTGTCGAGCTTGGTGTTGGCCTTAGATAACCAACATTTAGACTTGTCTAATTACAACCTATCAAGAAGTTTAAGGGTGCGCCTGCTCGGTTTTCTAGCTCAAACACTCTCTTATCCGACTAAGATAATTTGGACAGCAATGAAAGGCTCCCCGTCCAAAAGTCAAAATATGTTCGGTCGTTGGAGTTTCTGGCATACCAGGCGATCTTGTGGTATGCTTATGCGTTCCCCGACTAACAAAGGTGTCGGCGTTTCGTGGTTGATCGCCGAATTGCACGAATCTGGAATAGCCCAACCCCCCCACCTTTTCGGAATAGTGGGACCGTCGGGGAGCATCCAGCCGTAAGCCCAAGGTATGTACCCTGCTCTAGTTCACCTTCCAAGAATTTTCCGACTAAGCGACGATCAGGGGCTCGATTGTGTAAAAATAATGCTCACCGAAATGGTCCCCGAAAAAATCAACGACTTACCTGTTTAACTTTTTATAAAAGCTCTAGGGCATAAAGTGATTTTAATTGCCGAAATTTAAACAGTCGTACTGCGTGAAGATCTCATTTCTCGTTTTTCCGGCGAACCTTTGACACTGTATACGCATTTACCTCGCTTCAAAATAGACGAAATGACACCTCCAACGCCTGAGGTGGACCACTCGAAAGAGGAATCCTTTGATACCATGGCGTCCCCTGATTTGGAAATGAATGGAACCCAAACAGGCTATCTTGCGAATGACTTCGTCAAGTCCTTTGGCTGGAAGGATCTCCAGGTTAAAGTGAAAGACCGGAAAACCAAGGCTCCCCTTTCTATCCTATCCGAGGCGGCTGGTATTGTTGAGGCCGGTGAGATGCTGGCTATCATGGGCCCTAGTGGATCAGGAAAGACAACGCTGCTCAATGCACTGGCACACCGAGTGGCTGCTGCTGGAGCCACAACCACTGGCAATATTCTTGCCAATGGACAGAAGCTTTCTTTGCAGCTAGTACGCGACTTGTCCAGCTATGTCGAGCAAGAAGACGCTTTGATCGGCAGCTTGACTGTTAGGGAAACTATGGTCTTCGCAGCTCGACTTGCTCTTCCGAGGTATTTCTTCCCAGTTTCATGCATACTATATGACAGTTTCTAACAGCTTAAAGTACTGTCACCAAGAAAGAGGCTTTTCAGCGCGTCGACGACTTGATCAAGAGCTTTGGTCTTCAGTCACAGTCAGACACTATTGTCGGTACGCCAATCAAGAAAGGATTGAGTGGAGGTCAAAAGAAACGATTAGGGGTTGCGAGTCGGCTGGTTACCAACCCTAAGATTCTATTCCTTGATGAACCCACCAGTGGACTCGACTCTGCTTTGAGTCTAGAAGTTTGCAGCTACATCAAGGGTATTGGAAGACGCAACAATGTGAGAAAACAGAGCCATCCAAGGGACAAGATTATAACGCTAATTTGGTTTAGCTCGTGATTGTCGCATCCATTCACCAGCCTTCCTCGTCTACTTTCCAGCAATTTGACAAGCTTTGCTTATTGTCCCAGGGAAAGACCTGCTATTTTGGACCCGTCGCAGATGCAACCGCATACTTCGGACGTATCGGTTATGCTATCCCTCCAGAGACAAACTCTGCTGAGTTCTTCCTTGATCTCATTAACACTGATCTCGATAAGACGGGTGAGATTGTTCGTCGGACCGAACACATTTGCGAAGCCTGGACCAACTCGCCAGAGCATACTCAGCTGGAGGAAACTATCCAGAAGTCTGTGCAAGAGCCAGATAACGATCTTGCCCACTATAAGTCAGTCAAGCCCAGCGTATGGATGCCACCTGCTGTGCTCCTTCGCCGATCTTTCATTAAATCATACCGCGATATAATGGCATATGGCATTCGCATTGCCATGTATTTCGGTCTGGCTATCCTGATGGGTACCGTCTTCCTTCGCTTCAGTACCGACCAGAAGTACATTCAGCCTTTCATCAACGCTATTTTCTTCAGCAGCGCTTTTATGTCCTTCATGGCAGTCGCGTATGTCCCTGCCTTCCTTGAAGACCTCAACACTTTCCGCCAGGAACGTGCCAACGGCCTTGTCGGGCCACTTTCCTTTATGGTGTCCAACTTTATAATCGGTCTACCTTTCCTATTCGCCATCACCGTGCTCTTCTCGGTTATTGAATACTTCATGTCGAACTTCCGTCCCAGTGGCACCGCCTTCTTCACCTGGGTCGCGTGGCTTTTCCTTGACCTTGTCGCTGCCGAGTCTCTCGTCGTTTTGGTTTCATCCTTTTTCAACGTCTTCGTTGTCGCTCTTGCTATTACCGCATTTGCTAATGGTCTCTGGATGTGCGTTGATGGCTTCTTGGTGCCGATGACAATTCTCAACGTTTTCTGGAAGTATGTTTTCCACTACATCGACTACCAGGCCTATGTCTTCCAAGGTATGATGGTCAATGAGTTCAAGTATCGTACCTACGACTGTGCCAAGGCAGGCAGTGGTTACCAATGCAACTACCCTAGTGACCTCAACTCCGTCGGAAAAATCCGCGGAACTGATGTTCTTAGCGAGTACAGCATCAGCACTGGCCTAGAGGGAGAGTGGTTTGGTATCATGATTGGCATCATTGCCGGATACAGAATTCTTGCCTACATTGTGTTGGTACTTCGGAAGTAAACTGCTTGCTATCATCCTCCGATGACCCTAGCGATGAAATGCTTCGCTTTTCTCCTACGCCACAACCAAAGGGCTCTCGGCATAAAGGAGTACACCAGATACTTTCCCCTTCGCTCCCTGATAAATCTTTTAATTAGATCTGAAATTTTCCATTTACTTCCTTCCGAATAGTTACAAAGACAGTTCGTTCCATCAATACTTTAGACATTCTTACTGTAGCTAAGATTGGCAGCTTGTTTCTGTCTTCCGTGAACTTTCCGTGCGTCTTATGCTTTCCGTCGACTGCATGCGAGCCCGACAGCTGGTTTTGATGGAATCTTTGGCGAAGTTTGGACGCCAAGTATATGCTACTTTACATGATTGACAGTTGAGTAATGGCACACACACTTATAAAATGCGCAACAATGGGCGACTGTAGATATTCCTTCATTTAGCCAAAAATGTCTTGATCGGGTTTCTGTCAAGGGGTATCGACCAACAAGTCTGTCTTATCCGAACAGGCAGTATAATGGATTAGAATTCTAGATGGCGGAGAATAGGAAAGTGCAAATGCAGTGCACTGTATTCAGTGATGCAATATGATCGTCGAAAACGAAACGACGAGGTCTATATTGGCGGTTCGGTTCTTCATTTCGGGGACTCAATGAACGACCCGGTTGACTCGAAAATAGATGAATATCGCGAGCATTTACTACGTATTAGAAAGGTAATCTCTCAACCCATTCCCATTGCAGAACTAGAAAATGGAACCAGGTCGCCTTGTCGAGAGCAGTAGCAAAGAACATCATCTCCCAGGCCTCAATATCTTCTGGCTCAAAATCGATGAAAGAAACAGTAGCCGGCTGAAGATCACACAAGGCAATGCACTAGATATAAGGATCTGGGTATTGAACTTGACTTTCCACCCTTTCCCGCTTACTTAACACGGCTCGCGTTCAATTGATGACCCCATCCATGAAAAACTGACCATTCATGTCAAGAAACGTGGTGAAATCGAATAAGTCCTTAGGGGTGCCAATCCCCAGATCTAGTACATCACGCGCAACTGCTTTGACTTGGTGCATAATCATCTGTGAGAGGGCCCAGTTTTGGCCCATTGATTTCAACACCCCAAGACTCAGTGCGATGTGGTCACGAGTTGCATCCAACGTCTGACCTGCCTTGTCAGAGCAAGCTGCGAGCTGAACAACACAGCTAAGTGCAAGCGCACAAACAAGGAATGGGGTATGTTTTTCGACTGGCAAACTGATTGCAGCTAATGAAGATAGCTCAGTGGCTGCTTTGATTGCTTTCATAGCATGAGTGTGAGAGGAGAAAGGGGTGTCCCCAGTGGATCCCTGGTGACTGCAGATGACGTCCGAGATGGCCGCCGGAGACGACAGGAGGTCAGAATGAGAGAAATTTATGTGAATAGAGGCACTGTTCACGATCATGACAGCCTGGAACATAATCTCATCCACTGACCCATCCGGCCGTAGAAGCTCTGCCTTAGCGCTGGGTAAATGGTGGAACCAACTGGCGATACGAGCGTCAACAGCCTCTGTAAGTTTTTGTTGGCACCCGACCATCTCACGATTCGTCAATGTCCAATTAAGGATGCGCACAGCGTCAATCCGATAGGCATACGATGAAAATTCACGTTCCTCATCGGAAAATATACGCGCATCAAATTGAGTGATCGTCTGCGGAATTGGTAAAGTCAGACCCTCCTGATAAGTAGACTCTTCGCATGGAAGCGGCACTTCAAGAGGTACGAGGGCGGTGCGACAGATTCGCTGCTTCCCGAAAAAGACCAGGAGGCCCTCGATAACGAAAACTTCCCACCATGTGCGCCGTAAGCATTCTGCTCGGATTGAATCATTGGGGCTCGCGGTCTCAGCATAAGTAGCTCGGTGCAGGCCGAGCTCAAGGGCCAGGTCAACAGCTGCGGCCAAGCAAATCTCAGACTCCACGTGCTCAGTGCGCGAATGCAGTGCGATAGACAATAACAAAAGCGCTTGAACCTTTTCGACTGCTGGTGCTTGCTTGAGTACTGTTTCAACAATTGTGTTGCGGTAAGTGTCACCAGACGCGCCAGTGGTGAAGTGAGTAGCGACAAATTCCACGACTTGCTTTAAATATGAAGGCAACTGAGCCTGTTTAAACAATTGCCATGGTAGGAGAATAGGATGAGCTGGGTGGAAATAGGCATAGTAGATAGAAAAGAGGTAACTCTCGTTTCTGGCTAACGAAGAACCTGGAGTCTGAGAACCGAAGGCTGGTCGCGTCGCGTGTGCCATTTTCCCCTCTGGGCCTATCAGATTGACGCTAGATGCCCTGGATTCTGTAGATTGGGAACCGCATGGTAGATGTTGCTCTCTAGGGAGGTCGACAATGTTCACAGTGAGTTCGTCGGGCTGCTCCAGAGGGACGTTGGATCGGGCACGGCGCTTCCTCGTTGAGCTCTTAGAGCGCCTTTGCGACTTGGTGTATGAGCATTCGGTCCCTGTTTGCGCACAGTGGCCGCAGGCCGGGGTAAGTGCATCGCACTTTAAACGCTCCTGACGGCAGGCAAGGCAGGCCAGAAACGAAACGCGTGACGTCATCGTAGACCTCAAAAGTGTTGGTTAGAGGCTTTGGTGCAGTCACGATGACGGTGCACGGGTCTCGATGGATAATCAAGGGGGACAGAAGAATTTCGTTCGGCCTCTAAAGATTATGGGCCCACGCGCAAAAGGTTTTCCTCAATTTCGCAGAAGACGTTTAGCCATGAACCCTCTCCAGAACATTCAGCAAGCTATATCTAACTAACTTGAATTTAAAAATCTGGATACACTGCTCGTACGGCCGGTTTATGCGGATGATAATTAGATCCCTGTTTAAGAACAGTTCAGATTATAGACTTTATTTTGCATTTCACGTTTGCCCCAGGTCGCTTTGAGAGCCACGAAGAATGAGCAACCGAAAAGTCCGGGATGGTGCCCGAATGTCGGGGATCATCATGGACCCCGACCCGAACCCACTCCAGTCAATTGTTTCCGGAACCCCTTGTTTCTGTCGGTACCAATTTTTTGGATTGGTCCTGAGGTGGTCTCAGCAATTTAACGTTAGTTATTTGTTCTCCTCAAAAACACCCTAGGACATGGCGTATACATAGTATATTGAGCATCCTAACCGCACCAAGTTGATGACTCTAGTCCCATACTCATAGCTATAAATTATCGGAGTATCTTGGCCTACGGGGTTTAAGAGTTTCCGGCGTTCCACGTTACGTCTATCGCTTTAATAGCCACCTCTGCCTTGTCTGTTACTTGCTGGGTACTATATAGCCACGCTTTGAGTACATATAACTTTATCAACAATCAAAGACAACGAGTTCCAAATTAATTTTATATGCCGTGAGGTTACTGATATATTTTGGGTGATATGGGCAAGTGATAAATCTTGAGAAGGCCACACTATACATCAGCGGAAGGTTTGAGTCTCTAGCCAAGAAGCATTGGTCGGAAATGGAGATCAATACTCAAGTGTTCCAGATCCGCACATGAAAAAAAGAGTATATAGTGGACAGTAATCAGAGACATTATCCCTCGGGCTTACTTTGAATGTCAAGACTAATCTTGATGAATTAAACTTGATAAAGTAAAAAGAACTCTTCATAACAAACGTGGACACGCTGATATACAACCTTTTCTACAATATCCGAGTATTAGGTGCCTTGGTGCCGCGGCACACTCGGGAGTATTTCCGAACTTGTCATGGGAAATAGAGAAAACAAATCACCGCAAGTTGGATCGACGAATTCTGATAAGAGCCTTGAAGAGAATGAATTGTTCATGGCATCATTACCCATGGGTGGAAAGACGGCGGCAGCCTCATCAGAAGCCATATTGGGTCGTTGGTTCCCTTGACCTGGTGTCGTTGGGCCTTCGAACGGTGAATATTCCGTGAAATTCGTGGCTATTCGAGCAGCTGTCTTTCTGAGATGAAATTGAGCTTCTTGTGCTAGAGACCACTTGGCCGTGAGAAGTCTCAGACATCCAAGAACGAGCACTACCCGATTTTGGTGGTGGTCGTAGCATTCGGATCCATGTACCGCGGTGGCAACAAGCTGAACGAGGCCACATAGTATTGAGCCAAACACGACAGTAGGACTGTAGCCTTTCGCATCGGAACGCACAGATAAAAGATCAGACAGCTTCTTGGAAGCCTCTATGGCTTTAACATCGTGTACGTGGCGTGTCAAGGAAGGCGAAAGACGGAAAGGAGTCACTGGGCATATTGAAAAGATCGAATCGGGAAATGCCGGTCGAATATTGCTTCGGGGTAAATGCAGGAGCATGGCAGCATATTGGATTGTGAAATGAGCCTGGAATAACATCTCATCGATGTTTCCATACATGTCCACAATGTCAATCTTTTCTTGCGGAAGGTGGTGAACCCAACTGACAAGAGTGTTTGCGACGGCTTGCAAGTGATCATGTTGAGTCTCGGGCAGGCTATTGAGAACCAAAACCCTGGCCAGAATACGGACTGCTTCAATACGATAAGCAAACGACGAGAAATGAATGACTTCCTCATCTGTCGCAAAAACTCTGGCTCTAAAAGACGCAAGACATTGAGGTTTTGGAATGGAGCGAAGAGATGCATATGTCGACTCTTCGCATGGCAATGAAACAGAAGAAAAAACGTCGCTACATCGCAGGATGCTCTTTTCATGTAGGGAGGCCATGTAGATTTCCCAAATAGAGAGTTCCCACCACGTTCGTCGCAAGCTCTCGGCCTCATATTCTCTCTCTTCAGAGTATTTCGTCGCAAAGTCTTCTTGATGCATTCCAAGGTCCAAAGCAATGTCGATTGCCTGAGTAAGAGAGGACTGGGCTCTGGCGACGTCATTACGGGCCCGCATAATGATGGAGTATAGAAGAAGAGCCTTGACCATGTGAGACGTTTTCTCTGAAGAGCCGTTCAGGGTAACCCAGGTGGACTCATGCAAGATATCATTATCGAGGACAACCGAGTAGTGGCTCCCTATGAATTTCACAACCTGGCGCAAATAGAACGGATAGTTCCACTTTTCGAATAGAGAAGCAGGAACCAAGATTGGATGAGCTGAATGGAGATTTTCATAGAAAAGGCGGATGAGACGGCTTTCAGGCACAATTGACGCAGACGACATTCCTTGAGCTAGAGGACCAGTTGAATGCTCCAACGGAGAAATTTGAGGAATCACATATTCGCTTGTTGATATGATCTCATTTATTGCGTCAGGACAAGTGTGACTCGACGGACTTGTATCGGCGCCTGCGTCGGTTATTGAGCGCGCGGTATTCTTGAGCTTTCGTTTGGCGCCTCGACGAGAGGGGAGAAAAACGCAATTAATTTGTGCATTTAAGCATCTTGAGCATGAAGGTTTTTGAGCGTCGCATTTGAGGTGGTGTTTCCGGCATTCAGTGCAGGCAAGAGACGAGGGACGCGTTTGCGAGTGCGCAGACAGTGATGGGGGCATTTCTGAGTCGGGTAACCAGAAATGCCTTCTTTTCTGCGAACTTCCCTTTTCCGCCAAAGAAAGCAAGGTGATTTGACAAATTTAGCTTATATCTCGAAGAAGAGTGATGGTTACGGTAAGACCTCGGAGTTGCCACCGGAACGAAGGCCTGCTGGCGCACCGCGAGGTTGGCGGAGGAGCGTCAAGTCACGTGACACTTATCTCATGTCGCCGTGAAGCCTTCATTGCTGGATAGATAATTGTTGTTCCATTTCATATTTCTATCGTTTGCGTGTTCTTCTCATGAATAAATTGGTATTTAAATCATTAGATAATAGAGGCTCCGGTACCCTTAAATAGTGCATGGGATCACGTATTCCGACATATTGCGGAAGTCCCCGTGCCAGTTTGTGGCATTTCTCTTCAAATACATCAATAATAATAGGCCTGGCTTCAGACCTGTCCGGAGAACATTTAAGATGATATTAGCCAGGTCAACCTTTTATTTTTATATTAGATGGAGATCTTGATACACGGTATAGATTATATAGAGTTCTTTCTGAGCTCGCTCTTTGATGGACGCCGTAGGCGCCATAGAAAAGAGATGATTATGCGTGTTCTTTCTGCTTTTCGATCTTTGTCTGCTCCGGATCACGAAGATTCTTTAAACAAGGGGCCACAAATAGGCTTCGGTTAACTATTCCCTTGACCGTGAAAATAGAAACTAGGATCCAAAGAAGCAAAACGCAGACGGACAGGATCTAGTTGATGTCAAAATGTGCGATTCCAAAGTTTTGAAGTAGAAAACTCACTGTACCTAGCACTCGGAAGAACCTTGAGGGCATTTCCCGACCCAGTTGAGTGGTACACGTAGTAAATACACCTAGAGGGAAAGTAAATGCCCACCAGCCGAGGTTGAAGGGGAACTTTCTTGAGCGAATAATGGCGGATGTGGCGAAGAATAGCCAAAGGCATCCAAAGGACCATAGTAGAAGACCCATGAGGAAACCGATATCATAAAAGACTTCGCCAGAACCCGCTCGAAGCGTATTCGTCATAGGGAATATCTTTTGCGCTACAAGTCCCAACTTTTGAATCCTAGAAGCACCGAAATGAGCATCTGGTTAGACTAGTCAAAGGCCCATAGGGTGATGCACTTACCCAAAGCCGCCTTGTCCAAGTGGTCCTAGGGGGAGGAATGAGCTGACAATTAGCCCTACGGGGGGCAATTTGTGTAGCATCAGGCGCATGAAATAGATGACAATCACAACCATTGCAAGCGGCACCCCAACGCCCCACAAAATAAAACTTGTCAAAATGGTTCCTAAGGCATATTGCGGGTTCGGCAACACATCTGCGACAATAGCTCCTGTCGCAGCTGCGACGACGCAGGATACGATTGGAAGGAGCCAAGCAGCACCCATTTCTTGTAACTCCACTTTAGATGATCGGGTCATGCTGTGTGGCGAGTCAGTAACAGCACATTGATTTGAGGAGGTTGTGACGAACAAAATGAAAGGTACCCCGAAGCATGTCAAAATGGAAACAATAGCATCCACAATCCACATCCCCCAGGCAAAATAAGCCGCCCAAGGCCCCCATGCCGGCACACAAACAAAACAGAACATGTTGATGATTGTAGCGAATCCCATGGGAAATGTTCCAAGAAACATCGATTGGGCCGGGTGGGTGATCATGACCTTGAATATTTCTGGATAAAGGAGATAGCGCAAAACTGTTATGGTGAGGAAGATGCCGAAAATGAGTACATTCAGGCAGAAAATCACAACTGATATCCAGTAGAGCCATCTTCCGTTATAAGGCAACGTATTCAAGAGAATTGAGGTGATTCCTGTCCCCATGTTCACAGAAAACCAGCTTTGAAACCAGGCTTAGCGCAACTGGAAAAAAAAAAGCGTATTTATGTGTTAGGTACTTACGCTGGGGTGAAATTCCTCACGATGTAGCGCCACCCGGTTTCATGCTTCGACTTGTTCGCTTTTTGCTTTGCAGAGTCCTCGTTTCCATGAGATCTGGCGGTCTCAATAATATTTTCACGGCTACTCCCTTCTCTATTGCCAGAAGGTGCGTTGCCAGTGACGTAGCCCGGACTTTCCACTTCGTGCATGGGCTCCATGATAGGCGGCGCGAGGTGCAGGGAAAATTCAAGTCGAGTCTTGAAAGGTTGCGCTCGGGTTGAGATGACTTATCGTTCCGCAAATAAACCCATGGCATGTGCCAGACAAGTTCAAGCTATATGACCTTATGACCCATACTTGGGAAGTAGAACCAAACTCTGGTATGTCGGGGATCAGAGTGGAGACAGAAAGCATATTTCAAACCAATGATCGGTACGCCTTGACCACGTATAGGAGGAATGAAGATAATTGAATCGCCGTCTACTTCTTTTCTGTCTCGTTGCATCGGGAGCATCGGCGTTCATTTTTAGTGAGCTTATGAATGCTTTGATGCACTCGGCCTGCACTCCTGTCCACATACCTTTCGTATTCTCTCGGCCGAACTAAGTACTCCCCGAGGGCGCTGCAATAAGTAGGGTTAGAGTGGGTCGGGGAATGCAAAGGGGCAATTACGTCCGAAGTATTCCGGGGTCCATGAGCTAGCTGTAAGCATAAAGTATTGTGGCTGATTTCCACTGTTCCACTTCACCATCAATTTTATTCCCATTTCCTAGATATCAGCAGCCACATCAGCAACCATGGAGCCTGTTGTGCATCCCATCTTTGAAAAACAAACAGGGACTTGGCAGTACATCATTGCTTGCCCGAAAACCCGTCAGGCCGTCATTGTCGATCCGGTCCTCAACCTGGACCTAGCCGAGCGAGAAATCACAACCACGTCAGCGGACGAACTTTTGACTGTTGTCGCATCCAACAAATACACTGTTATCCGTCTCCTAGAGACGCACGCTCACGCCGATCATCTAACAGCTGCTTATTACATTCAACAAAAGCTGTTGGTATCCGGTCAACCCAAGATTCCTATTTGTACTGGCCATCGGATTAGACTGGTGCAGGAAAACTTTGCCAACAAGTACGGCGTACCAAAAACCGAATGGGATCATGCCTTCGACTACCTCTTTGGTGACAACGAGATTTTCAATATTGGCGACATCACTGCGGAAGTGCTCCACTTACCCGGTCACACCCCTGATCACAGTGGATACTTGATTGGTAGTAACGTTTTCACCGGTGATTCGATATTTAACCCTGACGTGGGTAGCGCTCGATGCGACTTCCCGAATGGTGATGCCAGTGTCTTGTATCATACCATGCAAAGGCTACTGGCTTTGCCATCTCACTACAAGCTCTACACAGGCCACGACTACCCTCCGGCAGATGCCGGTCGGGAACCAATGCCCTTCGTGACAGTGGCAGAGCAGCTGAAGAGCAACAAACACATCAAGGAGGGAACCCAGGAGCACGAGTTTGTGAACTGGCGACGAGAACGCGACTCCAGCCTGAACGAGCCAAAACTCCTGCACCAAGCCTTGCAAGTCAACATTCGAGGAGGACGTTTGCCACCAAGCCACGATGGGAGTCAACGTATCTTCCTCCAAGTGCCTTTCCGCGCTCCCCAGGCTCTCTGCTAAAGCGAGGTTTCGCTTTTTAAAGCCATTTCTTTTTTTCTCTTGAAAGGATTCTGTTATTTGCACAATTAGCATCAAACGATAAATTGACAGTCTTTCGGAAATTGACGGTATTTTGATCAGTATGGAAACGAATGGCCATAGAGCGGATTGTTCGTGTACGACAGTAACACATCCTTCAGTTCCCTGTAGCGAACTTCCGTCATTCTCTCAATGGACTCTTATATCCGAAAGGTTTGCGCCGGATAAGAATGTAGCCTTTGTTGTGATGAAATCGAAAAGGAAAGCAAGCAATGAAGTCTGGGCCACAACTATATACGTCTTGTCTAGTTGATTAGTTGATTAAAATCTTATTCACCGACAAGCATTCCGGTCTAATATTTGAGATGTTTTATAACCTTTCTCTGAAACCTATCACTATATTTAAAAGCCATAGCTGCAACAAGCACCAAGACTGCATTTGATAAAGACCTCTCGGCCACTACTCTTCATGGAACAACCTGCTTATTGCAAGGAAAATGCCTCAATCAGTGACGATCATGCCATGATCACCCGCCCTCTTTGCCCACTCACTCCAACTTCCGTCGTAAAGCCTGGGTTTGATTTGTAGGCCGCTTGTGCTCAACGCCAAATCAAGCGCCGCAGCAGTGACACCAGAATTACAAGTTAGGACGGTCGGAATATTCTCCTTCACACCAGCTTTTGTGAACACTGCTTTGAGATCCGTCGGTGGCAGTAAAGTTTTATCTGAACCCAAAATCGAAGAAAAGGGGACGTTGATGGCGGACGGCATATGGCCCGATGGCAGAGAGGCGCCCGAACCGTCATTTGAGCCAGAGAATCGATCGCTGGGTCTAGCATCGATAATCTGGTATTTCTGCTCGAGATCATGAGACATGATACTATCACGCAATTCTTCGAAGGAAATCACATCCAAGCCTAGTGGTTTTTGCTCTGGATAATCCACTCGGGGGGCGAAGCTTGAAGGTATCGACAGGTTTCCCGCTGAGACAGGAAAACCTTCTTGCACATAGCGCGAGAAGTTATCCAGTACGTGAACTGCATTGTGCCCAAAATGGCGGCATGTCCACGCAACTCGCGGGGAGGAATGGAGTCCGATTTCGAAAGTGTCATAGACGACAATAACATCGTCAGGTCGTATCTCAAGCTCCGTCAGATAGTTGGCAAACTGAGTCGATGTGGGAAGCATCATTGGGTATGGGGATGTAGTGTCTCTGACCAAGTCCATGTTGAAAAAGCTTGTTATTCAATCAGAATGGGTTCATAGACTATCGAAACGGGGTGGGATATCATACACAGAGCCTGGAACATGTCGAGATTCATACGATCGCAGTGATGACGCATTTCCAGCTGCTAAAGGAATTATGCGGATGCTCTTCGAGGAATTGGACAAGGCATGATGAAGGTCAGCCGGCGAGACAAAAAGAGAAGAGAATGGACTGGGAAGCTTCATGTTGGTTGGGGCAAATTATCTTGGTGATCGCTAATGAATAATATTTATGAATCGACGGCGTATCTTTTTGAGATTTTCCGGAATACGCACCGTGACTAGCCGCTAATTCGCCGTCTTGTGGGAAGGGCAGAACGGCGACTTAGAGTCACTCAAATGTGCCGGCTGGCTCTGAGCTATTCTGGCCTAGTTTTCTTTATACTACATGGTAACCACATTGCTAGCTCTATAATTTGACCACAAACACACAAAGAAATACCTCAATTTCGGAGGGGGAGGTCCGAACCCAAATTTGGGTCTTGAAACATTTCCGCATTTGCGTACCAATCCGATCCCCGAAGTACGCCCCACATGGTCGCCGAGTGCCCCACAGCTTACTTCAATTATATCGCCGATTACAAGATAGACGTGTCACCAGGCCATTTGCACTTCCAAGCGTCATAATTGACTTTCGCGCTCGACAGAAAGCACATTGAAAATATGCAGCTGTTACTGGATGTCCCAATAGAAGTAGTGTAGGATTTATAGCTCAACCCAAATCCTGGCGTTTATCTATCGGCATTTATCTCCCATGGCGTCTCTTTCCTTTCAAGCTAAAAATTTGCTGGTAAAAGGAAGCCAAGCTCGTCAATATTTGTTCACAACGTGGAGAAAGCGAATCCTGTCACTTGCTACGTCAAGTTCCTCCTCTGCGGCACAAGGCGATATTTTACAAAGAAAAGGGAGCCGATTTTGCTCTATTGCCCCCGGCCGTACAGTCCCTCTAGTGATAAGCCAAGTTGAAAGCCGGCGTACATCCACGATGACACCGACTATTTACGGCATGTTCGAACCTAACACTGGCAGCTGGCAGTATGTTATTGCTGATACAGCTACCATGATGGCTGCTATCGTTGATCCAGTTCTAGACTATGATCCCGTCACTCAGACCTTGACCGACCGCGCCGCCAACTCTTTGGTCATTTTTATCAAAGAGCTTGGCTTAAGAGTCGACAAGATCCTTGAAACCCACATCCCCGAAGATCATGTATCGGCAGCGCCCTATCTTCAGCGTTGGTTTGCCTGCGATCAAGGGTATATACCACCCATTTATTTGTCGCGCCGTGTGAAAGAACATTTAAATGCGGTCAAGCCTAATGAGAAACCCTGTCGAGAGGAATACCGCGGCTCCTGCCTGAAGTTTTTGACGGACGAAGAAACATTCAATATTGGTGAGCTCGAAGTTGTGGCTGTTCCCCTTCAAGGACATAGCCCTCATCACCTTGGCTATAAGATTGGTGGTATGCTCTCAAGAGACCTACAGTAAATATGATGATGGTTAATGCTCTCCGATAGATAATGTCCTTTGTGGAGATACCGTCCTCCACCCTGATATTGGCACTGCACGTGGTGACCTCCCTGGCGGCAATGCCCACGAACTTTTCGAATCATGTCAGTGGCTCTTAGGTTTGCCAGACCATGTGAGAATCTGGCCTGGTCATGATAGTCTTCCGGGAGGGCGCGAGCCTGTAGCTTGGATGACAGTCCGGGATCATAAAGAGCACAATAAACACTTGAGATCTGGTATTGCCGAAGGAGAGTTTGTGGCTCTACGGAATCAAGAAGACGCGGGCTTAGTGAAGCCAAATATGTTGCATCAACAGTTACAGACGGGCTTGCTACAGGGAAGGTCTTCAATGTCGCTAATCAGCGGGCTTCAGAAACCCTTCCTTTCACTCAATCTTGAAAGTCCGCATATCTGATCAGGTCAAGTTGCGCGTGTTAATGAATTCAAATTGATATCAAGAATCAGTACTTGGTATGTTGCGCCTGGAGCTGATATACCATAGCGTCACAAACTGCTGCTAGGACTTTGTCGTTGTGGCCCTCCAAACACGATTTACGTTTCGTATTGTAGAATGAGGATTCGGCGGTATTCTTTATGAGATAGGATAGGTAGTCTTAACTTCGGACCTGGCCAGCATAAATAATGACATCAAGCAAAAGGACCATGGTGGACTTCAGACTTCCTAATTCATTCTTAAAGGATCCAAACTCGGCTCAAGTAGGAGGAGCCGAACTCTACCGGTTCTTTGTTGTAGACGAGTTTTTCCTAAGCCACCGGTATGGTTTATGGTGTTGTGGATTTTCTGAAAGACACCTTTACACTGATATATGATAGCTCTTAGAACTTGGAAAGCTTCTTTTGAATAGAGCTTTGATTGGTCATCCGTCCTCAGTGTCTCCCCTAGCTCACGCGAAGGGCACATGTAAGTGCAACATCACTCGAGAGGTTCTGGATAGTCTGGCCGGCATTCTTAATTTGTCGATAGAAGGAAAATAGCTTGACTGATATTTTGGTGCCTATGTCTGCGACCTGGATGATCCTGGTAGCAATACCGAGGGCCTCAAGGCCGGACATGGAGAGGGGGAAGAGAAGTACGTTCAACGTTCAACATAAATGAGGAAATCTAGTCAGATGGCAGCGTCGCAGAGGTAGTGCTTTAATGTAGGCTTAGATATTTCCCTCAGCTAACGTGGCTGTGTCGACGAACCCCTAAATTGTGGAGTATTAGCGCCCGACCACCCCACACTCCCTGGACCTAGGGACTACTGCTCTATAGACAACAAAGTTATTGTCTGGTGTACATACACCTGGAGCCACAGCCGACCTTCCCTACTTGTGCATTCCCAGCTACTGTCAGTTGGAATGCTCTGATATGGCTTATGACTTTGAAATGACAAAGTCAATTTATTTCCATCCGTCACAAACCGAATACAAGCCGAACGTGGAGGCAAACTTGTTTATCAGATGGCACGTGACCACGTGCCCCATCGGTGACACAATCAGCTGGGACTCCCCGCCGATCTCCGATCCATCCTTGATTCTCAACAAAAGCAATGCACCACCACCGGAGATGGCTTCATCACCGGCATTGTTCACAGCTTCACGGAGACAAACACTTACATATCTATTAGCGGTGTGCCCTTTTTCCATCGCGTTCCTCGTATTTATCAATTCATCCGTCTCCTTTGTGGTCACCGATCTCATTGGGCTCCACGATGGCGAAGGCGATGCAGTTGGAACTCTGGGATTCGCCGATGAGCTACTGGCATTAGCCGCGTGTCCCCTTTGGGGGGTTCTTTCAGATCGTATAGGTGTACGACATGTATGTTGGCCCTGCATACCATTTGACTAAACATTCTGACCTGGAATAGGTCTGTACGTTGGGCTATGGGGTTATTGCCGTTGCATTGGTTGTTTTCGTGCAGGCCACGAATATATACCCGCAGCTTCTTTTGGGTAGATTGCTCTTCAGTGTTGGCGGGTCGGCGGTATCGACTATGGTCACGGCCGTCTTACCTACAGTGACGGCCAAGGCACTAAGGAGACAGGCGTATCGGGCGTCCGTTTCGTCAGAGCTGACTATCACTCCCGACCGTGCCCGCCGTCATCCAGCAAATCAGGGAGATGGCAATTCCGAGGCATCGCCCTCGGCCCGACTCTCTGGATTTGTTGGGTTGTTCGCGGGATGCGGTGCTCTGGTCTCGCTGGGCGTCTTTCTTCCTCTCCCGGCCCGTTTCGAGAAATTGGGTCTCTCCCCAGTTGAAGCTCTGCAGCGCAGCTACTATCTGGTTGCTGTGGTGGCCGTTCTCATCAGCTTGATCAGCTTTATCGGTCTTCGTAATCTCCCCGGAGAGGAGGAGAAAGGGTGGAGCGCATTGTGGAAGGCTGATCCTTCATATGAATCGGATAATGAAGGGGAAGGGGACATGGATCCAATCCGACTGCCATACTGGAAACAGTTGACCACCGCCATGCTTCTGGGCTTCCGAAATCGCAGCATCGGACTGGGATACGTGGGAGGGTTTGTAGCTCGGGCATCCTCAGTCGGCATCTCACTGTTCATTCCTTTGGCCGTCAACCATTACTACCACGAGTCGGGACTATGTGACGAGACTCGCGAACCGGTGTCGGGTTCAGGACTGGGCGATATCAAGAAAGCGTGTCCGCGCGCATACATCGTGGCGTCGATACTGACCGGGGTATCCCAACTCGTTGCACTAGTTGCAGCGCCGGCGTTTGGCTACCTCACGGACAAGTCCCGCCGATACAATTTCCCCCTTCTCTTTGCAGCGCTCGTTGGAGTGGTGGGGTACTTGGCATTTGCGCTGCTGCCCAGCCCCCAGTTCCAAGGCCCGGACGGTAACGCCGGTGTGTTCGTCATCATGGGTCTCGTTGGCATCAGCCAAATCGGCGCGATCGTCTGCAGCTTAGCCGTGCTCAGCAACGGCATCTTGCGAGTCAGCATCGACGACGAGACGCTAGGGAAGATCCACGATCAAAACGAGCGGGAGGGTAGTGGAGAGGGCGAGAACCGGCCGCTCCTAGCGGGGTCTGCCCACCGGCTACAGCACCTGGCACACCTCAAGGGATCCATCGCCGGGGTATACTCGCTCTACGGTGGGGCTGGCATCCTACTTCTCACAAAAGTGGGCGGGCTATTGTTTGACGTATTATCATCCAGCACGCCATTCTACATCATGGCGGGGTTCAACGGAATCCTCTTGGCGACGGGTATCGTGTGTGGAGTTATGAATCATGTGGCTCCAACGATGGAGGTCACAGTGTAAGAACGGGGAAACCAAAATGTCACACGATGTTTCTACATAGATCCAAAATGGGAAGATCTAAAACGGGAGACCTGCGTTCGGTGTTTCAGCCTGAGTCGGGTGCATCGGGACCATGCAGCTATATTTTAGCCTCCGAGTCCAGCGTCAAATTTTGGGGCCAAACCGAGGCGGTTACGTCGGGCAAAATGGACGTTTTCTAGGTTAAGGCACCAAGTGAAATTGCGCTCGGTTAACCGGACCCCGTGGCTTTCCGAAGGTTCCCTTTGCCTTTTCACCAGGCCAAAGGGGTAAAGGGTCAAGGGATCCCGTTTCCATATTCCATAGTGAGAGCAAAATACGAAATACGATAGACGATCGCATAGATCTGGACTCGATCTTTTTTATCCCAGAGGTCCAATTTTCATCGCTCTCGCCCTGACGGACGACTTTTGCGCCCAGCTAGCGCGGGCCGTGGCGCTGTGTTTATGACGAGCGGCCAGCAAGTTGCCGGATTGGGGGAGGCGCGAGCAATAATCAGTCGAGCCCTGGCTCAGTGCCGGAGCCTAAACCATCCCCAGGTTAGTGGAGGAACTAGCGTGGCCCCTTTTTCGCCTGCACGGCCGCTGACTGGGGAACCCCTGGGGCCTGTTCCTGACCCGTTCTTTGCTAGCCGCCCGCTATCTCCAGTGTTCCCCAATCAGCGCTTTCCCGGTCGTCCAAAATGGTCCTCCGTGACCCTCATGCCCCTCTTGGCGCCCTAAGGGTGCACGAGTTTGACCGACGTTTTGTCAGAGCCGACTACTGCGCGGACTCGCTTTTATGGGCGATACGCCCCCATGGCCCCCGCCCCATCACGATCTGGCTTCACTCTTTCATCCCTCTAGGCGCGTCGCTGCCATTCCGTTCTTTACAGTCCTTCGTTAAAATCCAGTCCTTCGTTTCTACCAGTAGTTGATTCTACTTCAAGTACCGTGCACCCTCCTTTGAAGCCATTTCCACTCTTTATTCGTCAGAATCTCAAACATCAACATGCGTTTCCACGCCGCCGCTCTCTTGACTGGCGCTACTGCCGTCGCCGCTAACACCGCGACTCTCCTGCTGCCTGGTTTCCAAGGTCACGACCTCCAGGCGGGTATCTTGAACACTGTACGTGCCCAATCGCGTCGCGCGATCGACTTTGCCGAAATGTGTGGATGGAAGAGAATGTCTCGGCTAACGACGATATCAGAACGGCGAGACCACCACCTACCTGGTGACCTGCCCCACGACCGTGGCTGCCGCTGACTGCGGTATCCTCGGCACCGGCATGACCGCCATGGCCGCGCCTACCACCATGTCGCTAGTCAACGCAGACAGCAAGGGAAAGTAAGGGACCAAACTCGTGGAAATGCGTATACCGAACCTTGTACTAATATGACACCTCACAGCACCGCATCCATCGGCTGCAATGTCGCCGGCACCACCTACGCCTCCTGCGTCGCCAAGGAGGGCACCGTGACCGTCTCGTCGACCTTGAACGGCAAGAACCTGAACTTCATGCCCGTGACCGTGACCGGACTCTGCTCGACCAGCACCCCGACTCCCACTTCCACTCCCACTTCCACTCCCACCCCGACTTCGACCCCGACCTCGACGGTCACTCCCATCTCGACCAGCACCCCGATGTCGAGCCCCAAGAAGTCCATGACCCGCCCTGCCTCGTCCACCCGCCTGGTGACCAGCTCCGCCTCCGTCCCCACCAGCTCCGCCATCACCGGCACCCCTCTGCCCGCCGAGTCCACCGCGCCCGCCAAGGCCACTCCCTCCGCCGCCGGCGCCGTCGCTCTGGCAGGAAACGGCTGGGCATTCGGTGGCGCCGCGCTGGCGATGTTCTACGCCCTCGCATAAGCGATGCTCATTTTTTGTTTCCTATTAATTGTGCAGGAATCCAGTACCCACGCGGGGCTTATGAGTTACCTTGTCTACTTCCTCGGTTTACTTCCTTGGGGTGGCGGTAACGCTAATTCTAATTGGATGTTTTGTCATATATCCCCTATATGTAACACATCTACTATTGTTTAATGATTGATACCTTTCTACACGACAGCATGATCCAGCGCCGGCTCTTGTATTATTTTCGAGTGTATATACGGTTTTGAGGACCTGGATATACCTTTTTTTTTTTTTTTAATTGATTCCTGCCTTTGCGACTATTTTATACATAACCAATCGCCTATTTGATGATTGGGTGGCCCACTGGAGCACTGGAAATACTGCACTTCCATTGAAAGTACTGTTGTCTACGTGAAACTTGGAGCTGAGATTTATCAAATGTCAAAGATCGACGTAAATATCAAGAATCAGCGTAAATATCAAAGATCAGCGTAAAATGAGCGACTTGTCCCAATTTGGAACATGTATAAAGCAACTACCAAAAACATAATGACGATGTTGAATCGCCCGCCTCCCAGCGTCCGAGGTTGTTGAAGCCCATGCAGCCCCAGACCACCCAAGAAAGACACGATATGATCCTCCACCGAGCTAGTTGGTAGATGCAATCATAAAGAAGCAAGATAGCCCTTTGGCAAGCGAAACCCGAAGAAGTAGGATTTTATCATCCTACGCCACCGGGTTTCCCTATTCCAAAGTCTATCCTCCTTCTTTACCAGTGCATGTAGCAGCCACTCCAGACAGAGTCATATTCGAGTACCCCGGGAGGTAGTCGGTGTCTTGTTTAGTTCTCAGGTTAGCTTTCAACTGACGTTGGGGTTCTAAGACGAGAATTCTCACCTGCATATTGACACTACTCCTCCTCCAGAAGACCCAGCTTAATGATCAGCTGTCGGACGACAGCAATATCATATCTGCTGTCCAAGAAGACAGCTCCGATGATGGCTTCGACAGTGGTTGCCATAAGATTATCGGGGACATGGCCCCTGGCAGAGGGATTCAGATGCAAAAATCGAGCGAGGCCTACGAGGAACCCCTTCTTTGCCAGATTTTCTTTTTGATCTGATTGGCGGCATAGTTAAATTATGACCCAAATACCCCGATGCAAGCCGGACAAAGGTAACGAGATGTGTATTGTGACGTGTTACTCTGGTACTGTAATCTAGTTATCAAGGATCAATGTCGATGAAATCTACTTGCGTCCGGGGAATCAATCAGAGAGTTGTGAAACAAACAGGACAGATGGCAAATTGATACATTCGGCCTTTGGCACGAACTCTTGTTCTTTGTCAAGCGTGAATATGTTTAGCACTAGATTATGCGAGAGGCTGTGGAAAAGTCATCCATCCCTTGAACCACTTCCACAGTAGAATCCACTATCTCGAAAACTGGCAATTCAGCCAAGCGGTTGACTATCGGGTAAAGCGTGGGCAGTTCCTGTTCACCCCGGGCTGTAATCTTGAATCTTGCTGCTGATGTTCGCAGGCGCCGCTTAACAACTGGAGGGGACATCTTCACAAGCACAGCGTAGTCCGCATCCGCCATTTCTCGACACGGTTGATCTGTAGTCGTGGGGATATATTTGTGCACTAAGAGGCAGTCTCTGCCTGGAAGGGCTGTGTCATTGACCTTTCTTGGCCCCTCCACGGCCTGTTCCTGCAGCGTAGTCATTGAGACCGAGGCCCATTGAACCCTGTTCCAACTGACCACAGCATGATATTCAGCATCTGAAGGCTGTTGGACCACAATATCCGAAAATAACTTAGGCCACCCGAGCTCCTCACGACCGGTGAGGATAGGATCCGTGAGATTTTCGAAGAGAACAGGACAGTACGATCCCTGAATCGTCGAGCCGTCCTGCCGACAATATTGCACCCCGTGGAAACGAAAAGTAATTAGTTCGTAGCCCTTACCACTGAGCCATGGTAATCCCTGAATTGACTGAACGGAAACACTTGCTTCTGCAACCGTGTCTGGCGAAATTAGGCTGTAGGCAGGTGAGGGGAGAAGGTTGCGCAAAAGTGTCCCGCTCGTCTTGAATGTAATGGTGGCCACTGTGGAGAGTGCTCCTGATAGCCCGTTAGGGCGAGGGTAGCTCCAACCATCTTGCCTTGGTCCAGGTAGAGGTCCAAATACAATCGGCTGGCGCCAGTAACAACGTGCCCTTCGTTGCCACTGATATTCACGTAGCCGCTGGGACGAAGCGTGAATTTCATCGTGGCTAAATCCATACTCAAGATAATTGGATACTAGAAGAACTGGGTCAACTTCTTCCATTATTGTATATGTGTTTGTTACAATTACCTTTCCACTTCTCCACGCTCTCACCGTTGCTGACACTGTTGTTCTCGTGGCCCACAAGCCGGCTGAAGTTTTGTATGTCAGTAGCTCTCCGGTACCGAGATTCGCTGTATAGACGCAGGCGTTCGGGAACTTCGTCGGTGCTGTGAAGCTGAGATAACAAAATCCCCAAACTAACACCATCTTCCATGGCCATAGCGCCCCCTTGGGCTAGGTGAGGAGTAAATGGGTGCGCAGCATCCCCAACGAGAGCTAACCGGCCGCTCACATAGTCAGGAAGCGTAGCCATGTCCAGGAGCGGGTATAGCTTCAGGTCCTTTTCATCACATTTACGCATCGTATCCACGAGTGGTAAAGCAAAGTCGTGGAAAATCTGCAACAGCATCTGCTTCGATCCGGCCATGGAGTAATTGTCGCTCACACAAGATGATAGCTCAGCGGGGTAAATGCACACAAAATTGAGCAATGTGTTTCGAACACATGGGTATATGACAACCTTGCGGTTATCTTGGTAATACATGTCCATTGACCCGGAAGTCTCCATGATTGACGCGGTACGCGAGTCTGCATGAACCTCAGAGATGGGTACCAGGAACCGGAATGCGTTGAATAATGCAGGAGCTGGAGCAATGGTATGGTTTGGGATGGCCAACCGACACCGAGAATGAACCCCATCAGCGCCTATAATGACATCTGCTTGGACCGACCGACCGTTCTCCAGTAATATAACTCCGTTAAGAGAATCTACTGAAATTACAGGCACACCTGTATGTAGCCGGGTGGATACGCCACCGCTATCCTCAGAGAGAGCTTTTTTCTTCAGTTGATTGTGGAGGTGGGCTCGGTGGGCAAGGATCCAGGGCTAATAAAAGAGGGTGAGTAAGATTGTAAGTAAAGAACGGGATGAAGGTCTAACCTTCTGCCATCGATGACTATTTGCTGCGATATCGATGCGTTTCAGAAGTCCGCCAGACGCGGAGTAAAATCGAATCTATTTGCCAACTCCGGAGTTAGCATTGTCGTGTAGAAACAGTGAGCCTAGACACTGAGTAATTGAGACTAATCAGACCTGCTCTAGCCGGGTACCTCCTTGCTCCTCATGGTCTACTCCCAATTGGCTCAAGATACTGTTGGCATTGGGCGTGATATGGATTGCGGCTCCAATCTCATTGGCTAGCTGGGATCGTTCATAAATCTGCGTGGGTTTTTTTAGTAAGTTGACACAGACATTTTGGGTCTACCGTATATGAGACGAAGGCAGTGGTGAAAATAACTAACATCCACATGGTGACCTGCTCGTCGCAAGGCGATGGCAGCTGTAAGGCCTCCGATCCCGGCTCCCACAACCGCTATGCGCAATGATACTCCACGTGAATTTTCCATCCTCACCGCTGGCGTGGTCACTCGAGAGTTTTCGTGAAAGAAAATCTAGAATGTTTAGGTAGGCTCATCTTACTACTTCGGTGTGACAACCAACCTTTTTATGATGCTGATCTTGACCCCGGGCTCGTATGGGGGTCCCTTCCGGGGTTCCCTTGGGGTGCCGCGGAAGAAGATGGGGAACGGCAGGAGTCCCGGAACGGCGGGAGTTGCCAGCAATCCGTCTGGGTGATGTTATGGCATCAGATATGCTGCTGCGTAGACGAAGTCACTGAGCATCATGGGGTGGTTATCCTAACTTTGCGCGCTCACAGCCAACAACACCTTGACATTGCGGCGCAGCTTGCGAAGCGATTTGGTTATTAAGAACTGTAGTACAGTACGGCTGGGAAAACCAAGTTCCCCGGTCCCCCGCCTCGAATGTTACAAGGTACATATGTATTCAAAGACCATGTTCATTGATACCAAATCTCTTTGATATGTTTTATCTTAGGACAACGTTGAGCCACCAATATCGCTGCCTTTTTCTGGTTCTTGCGTTGCATTCCCCAGCCTGTTTTACTCATAATAAACTTGAACTCTTTATGGACATGTACATATAGCACATAGCCATGTAGTAAATTTGAAGTTCTACCAATAAGTAATTGCGATTCAGTACTGAAGCGATGGACAAAATGACTAGAAGGAATATATATTGGCTCCAGACGAAGGCAGTAACAAGTCTACCTGTCTGAGTGTTCAATCAGACTTCTTGGGAATGATTGGAAGCTGAATGTAGTTCTCGGTGTCGGGACCAAAACAAATATGATTGATTCCCGACAACTTATCGCTGCTTCTGTCGATAGGGCTGTCGTGGAGGAAGAGTCCACTTCCCTCCGTGTCACCGGAGGATATCTCAAACACAAGTCGATCTCCTATCTCCATCACCACATTAGTGGGCCAGATCTCGACATCAACCTCGTAAATCTGGTCACAGACTAGAGTATCACAGTCCGTGGAGAAATATTCCCGGTGTGGCAAGTATTCACGCTGCTTAGGGTGGTTTCCACGAATTTTGCGAAGACTGCAACGCAGCCAGCCCTTCGTGATGGGAACTGGATCCCCAACAGTTCCAGTGTACAAAATTTCCTTACCCTGCGGGTCGAAGTGGCGGAGCGTCACGAACAAATCCATCTCGTGTGGCTGAGTTGTGCTCGATCCGGCTGCTGAGATAGAGACACTCAGATGTGCCAATGGATGCCCGGTAATCTCCACTTCTTGCTCAAATGGGTCAGATGAGAATTGAACCAGCTGCGGGTTCTTGATGGAGCCGTTCGCCTCATAGCTAATTTTCGAGCTGCTGGAAAAGATCGGTTTCGTGAGAGACATCTTGTGGTCGGTTGCAAGGTGAAACTTCTGATACTGGGTCCGCGCAATAGGCCATTCTAATTCATCTCGCCTCATGAATAGTTTCTCGGCTGTAGCGTTGTTGTACCCGACGTTTCCCTTCCGAAGTAGGAGACTCACCGGAGCCACCGCTCCGGGTCGAGTCCAGCCGACACGATCTTCACCCTTCAGCCAGGCATCCAGGAAGCTTTGCTGCATCTCGACCTCCTCTTTATAGTAGAAGGGAAGGTCATGACGTCCGACTATGAAACGCAAATACTTGAACCGAGACGAAGCGTGCATGTAGCCTAGCACATTACCCCGTAGATGTAGGCTAATGCCGCCCCAGTTGGCCACGGACAGGAGAGGAACCTTTATATCCTCTAACTTAAAGTCGCGAGAAGCATAGTAGGGATCGTCACGATAGCAGTGCTCTTCGTTATCTTTAGTCTGATCTCGTCGATTCCGTTGGAGTTCAGCGGGAGACAGTGACCCCTCGATCGTATCCTCTCCCCATTTCGAAGCTGCTCGGCCCGGACGACCGTACTGGTTTGTGTCGACCTGTCGGTTCCACCAAAAGCGGATAAATTGGTTGGAGAGAATACCGCCATGGCGGCATCGATCGCGATAATAGTCAGACATTCCTTCCCACGGGATAATACACGTGAGACCACGAGGTGCCCTGGCTGCCGCTCGCCACTGCGTACCGGCGTAATAGCTAATTCCAAGCAATCCGACCCGGCCTGTTGACCAGGACTGGTCAGCTGCCCACTCAATGGCTTGGCAGAAAGCATCACAGGTCTCCGAAGACATGGTATCAAGCATTCCTGGCGACTGCCCTGCACCCCGCTCATCGACTCGAACAACGACATAGCCCTGACTGGTCCAATATACTGGGTCTGGAGTCTCCCATGCCGAATAGCACGACCTCTGATCCGGGTTAAGTTCGGCAAACGACGATGGATGGAAGCTTTAGGCGAGTGTTAGAGCCGCACCTCTCAATGGATACACGGACTACTTACTCTCTGTAAGGGATGTCCTTGCCATACGGGCCGTATGTCATGATGACAGGAGCCTTTGTGCCATTTAGCGTCGCTAGGGGGCGGTAGACGTTGCAACGAATTGGAAGATAGGAGTCCTTGATGGCAATGGAAACATTTTTCTCGACAAACAAATCATTTTCAAGATCTTCCAAGTTCACTTGAATATCTTTCACGTTGAAGGGCATGATTTCGCGTGTTTTCCTCAATGATCGGCTTTGGCAAGGAAGATAGGGCAAGACAACACCTTTTGTTCAGGCCCGAGAGAAAGGCTTTATGGCTTTTAGCAGCATGCTAATCTATGATAATCTGGGGTACCGCTTTCAAATAGTTGAATAACAAGGGGACCCACTGCCGGAAGTCGTCTCCAACGGCTGCCTTTGGGGTTCCGGTGGATTGGGATGACCACCATGAAGACCGCCCATAGAGGGGCACGTCCTTGATGTTCCTTAGAGAGAGAGGGGAGTAATAGAGTCATTACCTTAGCCAGTTAATACAGCTCAAGAGTGGCAGGTTGAGAAAGACTGACTTGGTCAACAGATGATGATAGCTATGGGGATTGAACGAGGTCCGGCTAAGCTGCTTTGCTTATTGCATGGCATAGAGTTCCACCTTTCCCCCTAACCCCGTAAACTTCCGAGCTTTGAGCTCCTGTACCCCATCGGAACTTTCTTCTGCCACGAATTCCCGGATTTGAGAATCATGTGAATTGGATGGGCCGGTCGGCGATATAGCGCCCACTACCCCCGCATGACCCGGGACATGTTACAAGGGTCAGGTGTACGTAATGTGGCCCGAATAAGACCGAGCGGATGGTCATAAAGAGATTCTGACAAGCGGAAGCTATTGCAGGTCGCTCAAGGTATGCACTGTTCAAGTTAAAAAAGGTCTGGTGTTGGTTAAGGTTAGGTAATACTCGGGAGGGTGCTCTCCCATATAATTCTTCGCTTCTTGAAGAAGTGCATCACAGTACATATTGATCCTTCATGGCGTATTATTTGCTGTTCATTCGGGCCGTGACGAAGACCAGTCCTCTAGCAGTATTGGGGAGGGGGGAGTAGTAGGAGAAATTTTGGAGTGAGTTGTCTCATATCAGCCCTGCCTAGGCTTGTGAAGCTGCCAGGTACAGTATTTTGGACACGTTATTTCGTTTATGTTCAAGAACGTAATCAGACTGATAGGGCGATAGCAGCCGGTCTGGCTCCTCTATTATCAATATTCTCTTCTTCACATAGCAGAAGGTGACTCATAGCTATTGGTATTGACTATTTTCACCACATTTTATCTTTGTAGGCTTAACTACTAGTCTGCGAACCGCCCCATATCGCAGGAACAGGAGGCCCCCAGACAGCCATATTTCCTGCTGCAGCTCGTGTGACCTGAGCGTCATCGTTCACCATATCGCCATCTGCATAATGCTCGACAATGAACTCGCTGGTATCATACCAATAATCGAAAACTTGCGAGCCATGGAAATGGCGGCCGATTCCCCAGACAAGCCGATACTTCTGGTCCTCCAGCCACTTATGACCCATGAATTGTGTGTCCAAATCCTCAACTTCAAAGGATGAGTGATGCGGTTTGGTATCAGGTGTGCCCCCCCTTGCGACGAGAAAGCAATGGTGATCAACGTATCGTTTTCCCAAGTCAAGGCGGAAGAAAGTAGCCACGTCCACAGATGCGTTTTCCTGAGCGTGCAAGATGTCTGTTGGGATAAAATTGAACCGGTCCGCATACCAGGCACACGTAGCTTCATAGTTGCCCGTGGTGTACCCGAAATGGCCCAACTTGTGGATTTTCGCCGGGCCTGGTGCAAGCCGCACAAATTGGCCTATTGTCGTGAGTACATCGCATGACATGCTGATATGGAGAATGCCCATTTGAACTTACCCTTCCGTTTCTTCTCAAAGGCACCGTTCACGGGAGTCCTTCCATCAATACACGCTGATTCAGGCCGCGCCGGGACATCTTTTGGTCTCTGGCCCCAGATGACGTGTATTTCGTACCCATTTGGGTCTTTGAGGATGGCAACTTCTCCGCCTCCAGGCACTCCTTCAACGTTCTTAATCCTGACTCCCTCTAACTTACATGCAAGGGCGAAGTCATCTTCAGACTTCGCCACAAATCCAGCCCCGATGAATCGTTTCGGATTTCCAGCTGGTGCTTGAGTGGCAATGTAGCTGTAATGATCGATGCCGTAACCGTTCAGATACATCGAGCCATCCACTTCACCTGCGAGTTCAAAGCCGAAATCGTGAGCAAATTTCATGAATTTCTCGAGGTCAGGATGCTCATAGATCACATATGCCAAATGATCGAGGATAATCTTGCGAGCCATGATGAAGTCACTTGGTAAAGGTGATTCACTATCGGATTGATGGTGCTGTATTGGATATTTTAAGGCTTGATGTTTTTTGATTGACAGGGAGAGTGAGTGAGAGTGAGAGAGACAGAGGCATTAAATATAGGCGCAACGATATAGTAGATGCTGCCTTTAATCTTGACCATGCCCCAGATGCGAGCGTGGTTGATGAAACAATATTATGGGGCACTAGTGGGATACCCGTTGGGGTACCGTTGGAGGAAACTGGGGGTGGCGTTGCGCCGAACTTGCTTCTGATATTACAAAATTTGCCTCGTGCTTCTTGTCAGATTTTTGCGCTTTCTCGTATTGTAACGGCCTACGGTTTTGGCTGCCTAGCCTGGTGCTGGGAGTAAGATACCAAAAGTTTACTCGTTTCTTGTTTTTCTTTACCCAAGAGTGCCTTCAGAAACTAACTGCTTTCCATGTTAGGAACTGCCCCCTTTGTGATCGGAAACATCTCTTGTTGCGATGTGGTGCATCTATACGAATTGCTCAAGTGCATTGATAGGGGGCTATGTCTCTTCTGGCGATATTGAACGGTCAAGATAGTCACGTCGATATGTCAACTATATGAAACATGGACCCATTGGCATTGGTTTCTACATGCAGTGTTTGTAATAACACTCAACTCAACTATTATATTTTCTTTTAACGGTGGGAGTCTGCGAGAAACATGTCAAGTCTGAAGGGGCGATGTGAATGGAGTAAATCGGGAGGACATCTATGGGCTAGCCGGCCAAAATTAACGTAGAACATAGTATGTTATTTATGTCTATTCAGCATTATGAGCGTAGTGCGTTGAGTCCTTCGTATGTACGACGTGTGCATGCATTGGACTGCGGCGGATCTTAGGTGTAGATGCAGGCAGCAGGACCCTTAATTCTCCCTGCAATTCACACAGCTTTTCAATTGGCGCACTCACTCGCTGGTATGTCCCCTGTACTGTGACCCAAATCCTCTTTCAGTGGCTCTCCATTGACCAGCACAGGTTGAGCATCCTGTAAAACATATGCCATCCGACACCACCGGGTAAGATCAGGATTTCTCCAGGCGTGATTTGTCCCTCGTTGGACGGAGACATCCCCGCGGTGCAGAAAGCGCTTTTCTCCAGACGCAAGAATAAGCTCAATCGTGCCCTCAATGACAATCCCAAAATCTAGACTGCGGGTCCGATGCATCATGGATTCAAATCCCGGCGCGAAGTCCACTATCCTCCAAACTGTCCCACCCGGATTCACAAGGCCCAGTTTCTTGGATGCGGTGATTTGGTCATGTTTGGCCAAATCATGGCCGTCGTTTAAAGAGACAGGAAACTCTGACGTCGTGTAGAGCACCGAGAACGCCATGCTATTGTTGTCATAGGCTTGCCAGTTTCCTGGGCGGGCTGGCAGGAAGGCTTCATTGCCGAATTCATCATGATCGGTGATATTGATATTGACGCCGGGGAGATCTGGCGCTAATTGGCCCTCGTTGGGGCGATTTTCGCTCATTGTGATTTTTAATTTCTGCAAGAAGATGGGATACTCAAAGATATAGCGAATGAGGCGCCTTTGGAAAATCTTTGGCGATTTAAATGTGGAAACGAATACCAGGGAAAATAGTTGTCTCGCACTGGGCTACTATCCGCTGCTTTAAAGTTCGCGGTATGGATGGCGACTGAAGCCTGTAATTATGTTGGCTCTACAGGACTCAATCCGTACCCGTCATCGGTCTCGGAACCCCATCGGAACCCCATCGGAACCCCATTAATACTCCGGCGTTGCCGGGAACTACACATGTTTTCGTAGTATGTTTTCTTCCGCCCCTCCCCTTTTGTTTTTAACCTATTTGGCAAAATAGATGACATTAGTGACTCTTCCCTAGAACACAGAGACGTCCTGTAAATTAGCACACACATATTGCTATTTCGGAAAATCTATCTTGGTGCGTGCCATCCTCCTGATGATGGACAAGACGCTGTTTGAACGTAGCTTGTGCATGGTCACTTCCTACAGTATAGCTCCCCAACGGAGGTGGATGAATGCAATAGCAGCTACAGGGTCTCAGACTGTGGGCTCTCAGTCAAAAAAAAAATAATGTTCATTAAAATAAACCGGATGAGCAGGAGGGGAACTATCCTACGATAGACCATGAGGCAATGTCGAAGAAAAAAGGTTAAGCCAGACATGCACGGATTCATGGCCTAAGAACGCAGAAAAAGAATCCTTCAGGTGGAGGCTTCCACACTTAGTCGCTGTAGAACAGAGGACATCACCTGGCAACAACCCCACGGGAGTTGGTTCAACTCATGGATAAACGTCCTCAGAACCTTAAGACTCCCGTACTGCCTGCTAGATGAAGAGTGTGCCCGTAAGTTCTGCCAAACGACGAGCGCGGATGAAAAAAGAGTAATTGGTAGCCAGATAGGGAGCTGACTGTCCAACGATCTCTGAGAAACATCAACATGGTCCAGAACCTTCCAAGCATAATTCACGGGATCGCCTGATACAGAAACTTGATCAGAACCAGACGCTAGCACCATGTCCTGTGATGGTAGCCCACTGCCCGGGAAGACTGCGTATCCAGCTATGCAGGACAAAAGCGGGAGGATGGGGCAAGAGAGCACAAGTTTGCAGAAAAAGAAGAGTGCCAGAATGTTCTGGTCGGCGTTATCCCCGAAATGTCGATGCCAGCAGTCAAGTGCGCCCGACAACAACTTTTGTTGCCTCTCCCTCTCTCTGGAACGAGAAAGAGGGGTGAACGGGTTGATAGGCGGATCCTTTGAGCGCATCCGGTGAGCTAAATCATTGCGCTGGATATAAATAATGTCGCACAGCAAAGCGACAAGTAGGAGTAAAATATCCTCTCGACTATGGATGTTGCTCGGCAGTGGTTCATAGCTGTTGAGCAGTTGCCGATAGACCTGCTGAAACTGGTATCCCGAGGAAGGAAGTTCTAGAAAAAGCTCTGTTGTTGACAGACTGGGTAAAGTTTGGAAGTGGGCGGCAGAAAGGACGTCGACCATAAATGTGTAGCTGATATGAAGGCTAGAGGAGACATATAGTTAGAAGGCATTATGAGCGCGTACTCAGATGTCTTACCTCCTTGGGCTACTAAGACATGATCCGAGTTTTGGGCTCATTTGCAACCGCTTCAGGATCTGCCCAGTCAGTATGAGTTAGAAGTTCAGGTTTTCTGAGTGAGTCTTTTTCTCCAACGCTTCTTACCGTTGTTCCATATGCTAACAAGGCGCGCGATGCATCCCATATTGTTGGATTTGCGCTCAGAAGACCGTAAGTTGCGAGCAAGGAACTCTAGTTTCGCACGCAAGTAAGCTCCTGATGAGCAATTGAGTTGGAAAATATGAAGGCAATATCACGAGAGGCTTCTTACCGCTAAAAGCATTTCATCATTGCGTGACTCGCGGTTGTCCATTTCCACCGTTACAATCCAAAGTTTAACACCAAGTACGAACAGGTTTACCGACTCAGCGAGCGGTGAGCTTGAATAATCGTCATGTATGAAAGAACTTGCGTTCCTTGACACGAGGGAAGACATGCACGCTTGTGCGTATACGAGAGGCGTGGGGTGCCGTATACCCTTGCGAGAAAAGCTGAAGAGATCAAGCTCGTTGAGATACACATGACGCTTGAATGTCTCAGAAAAGGAACATTTCAAACGTTCTAATACGTCGTCCCAGCCACTAGCATTGACCAGATCGGACAAAAGAGACAGGGGATAAGTGGCCTGGCCAGTTGGCATCTGCTCAGCGCATTAACCACCATGGAACACTTATGGTAAGGGGCAATTGGAGTCGACTAACGTCCTGCCTGCTTTGCAAATAGCCAATCCCCGGTAATGGATCATCCGTAGCTGGAAGCAGGGGTTTGCAGTCCTGCGCATCCTGACTTTGCAATAGTGCTACTTTGAAGCACTGGATATTCTCGCGATCGGGTACTTGGTTGGCCTCGGATATATCCCACTGAGTCGGTTTCCATTCGGAAGGTAGCGGTGTACAAGATCTTGAGGCATTGCTGGTTTCTTCCATGCACGACATCTTGGGGAAGACCACAAAAGAAGGACCACGCATTAAATTTCTTGGTATGATATGGCGGAGTGCGGAGTGCAGGAGGCTACGGATCTCTTTTCGCTATTCGCCACTACTGTCTGGATTTAAAGCGGGGAAAATTTAGGTTAAGACGTGAACGAGGGCTTTGTACGAAGCCGGTTTCCGGCCTTCGGACCAACTGATTACTTTTGGCCCGGAGTAGGTAGGCGGTCAGTCTGGTGCAAGGCGTATAAATTGCTGGCAAAGGTCACTGAGTGCGATTCAGAAGCGGCTGCAATACTGCCCTACCAGTGTTCACCACGAATATTAACATGGAGGAGCAGCACACACCAGGTTCGCAAATGAACAAGGAGGTAGGTCGATTCTTCATGGCTTATATTACTCGCATGTTCTTGACTAGTGAGAAGTGCGATGTCTGCTATCGGCGCTTCACAAGATCTGAACACCTGGTCCGACACCGCCGTACTCGTGTGTACCCTAAGGCCCCGGTTCCATCATGATGTCTTGACATTAATTATTCCAGATACAAAAGAGAGGCCATTCACCTGTAATGACTGTGGTCGGAAGTTTCCTAGGCTCGATGTCAAAAACCTGCACATGAAGCGGTTCCATCCCGACAGCTTGCAACAACAACAAGACCCACCTCCAGGAACTTTCGGTCTGTCAGCTTTGAAGAGAAGCCGGGTGCGGGTAGCATGCGACAACTGCCGCAGACGAAAAATTAAGTGTAATAACAGCATGCCATGCGCACAGTGTACATCATCGGCTTTGCTGTGCACAAACTCCTATTTAGCGGCGCGTTCCGAGGACATATCGCACATAGCTGGGCCCACCTCTACTTTAACCCAACCTATGCCGACAACTTCTGAGATCTTCACGAATCGGGCGGATTACATGACTCCGCCGTCGGCCCAGGCGGGATGGGACGATGATCCTTCAGTAAACACTGGGGCCGGAGTAGGCCTATTGAGCCCTTTCGGGCCAGTAATGGCAGGAGGGGAAGCCAACTTACCCGACGAAGTGACAAGGACAGTTGAATCTCCCAAAGATTTGTTTCGCTTGGATGAAACGGATCTGGACGACATATCTTGGTTCGCGACCCCTATGGTACGTTTCTCCTTCATCTGGTTTCTCACCCGTATCCATTGTTAAATAAGGCATAGGACAACGCCTTTTGGCTGGGCTCTTCCTACGAAGGGTTTAGCAGCACATTTGGCATGCCTCCAGTGTCCAATGGGGGCTCCAGCCGTACTCTTGGGACGCCAGCTGCAATGCCCCAAGTGACCTCAGCATCGAGCGGCTGTTCTGGTCAAGTGCATGGTCCGATACTACAGCTCCAAAATCACCAACCCCCGAAACCGCTGGACCTAGAAGTCTATGATCGAGAGGTAGTTAATGTCTTCCTGAACATTTTCTACGACCACGTTCCCGCTTCTTTCCCCGTCTTCAGTAGGTCTGCACCCCCCAGAGCAGGCAGACCCGATTATTACCTATCCATGGCGGCTGTTGGCGGGCTGTACTGCTCTGTGGTAGGAAGCTATCAGATTGCGAAAGCGATGTATAATGACGCCCGAAGAACGATCCTTGGGACAGTAAGTCCATCTGGATTACTTGACGTTATTCCTTTCTCCGCAATCCCTCACCCTGCCCCATTAGAGGCCGACGCAATAACAAGTGATAGACCAGTTCCCTTTTTCGAGATGCTGGGACATTGGCGAACTTAGATGATGCCCTGATTGATATTAAAACTGTAAGTTAATGTAACTTCCCTTAGACTCAACCTAATCTTTCATCTGTAGCTCCTTCTACTCGAGATATATGGTCTCTGTAGCGGTGACAGACGAAGCTACGAATTGACAGAGGCCCATCATCTGGACTTGCAGCTAGTAAGTTCTATCTGCCCGGGAGTTCACTACTCTCAAACTCTACAATGCATTATCTTATGTTTTATTCGTTAACCAACACTTCTACTGGCTGTCAAACGGTTCAATGAACAGCAGGCTCACTCCGCGCGAATTGGCGCCCCTGAAGAAGAGGTCAAGTAAACTTGTATCTACCTTCTACTTGTGAGCAGCTACTGATCGCTATGTCTAGCCTACTGGAGTCCTTGTACGCGCTCGACTTGTACCGGGTGGTCATCGTGCAACGTCCTCCAATGAATCAAAGCTACCGGACGGACAACTGGAATTCTAGTATAAAGAGCTCCGAAATGGCGGGTTTTCTTGATCTTGCGGACGCCCTCTCTACTCCTGGGGCCGCCATAGAGAATCCAATTATGAGAAAGCATCATTTTGGAGCTCTCGCATCGCTCAGCGCTTTTGTCTGGCCTGCCCTCAGGACGAGGTCAGAGCTGGGCCACCCAGAAAACCCACTATGGAATGTGGATTTTGCAGTGGCATGTTGCGACAAATGGCTTCGCGGTCAGGGCTCCAATAATGGCTCGTCATCTTTGGTCATGTATCATACTACTTCTCTCATGCTTCATGTTGATATATTGCTATTACAGAGATTCGCTACCCGACATTCGGACATCGAATCTCAGGGGCAGGATTTGAGTGGCCCGTTCAAGGCGCTGCGGACCTGGGCTCACAGCGAAGCCCACCAAGCTGCCCTGTGGCATGCGCGGTCCATTTTCCACTATATTGAGACCATATATGACCGCACTCTCCACAGAAACAGCCAGGCCCTCCCGGTTGACTCATCCACTGCTCGAATTGTCGGGATCGAGGGGTCCTCGGTGTCTCGACGTCTAACCATCGCCGAAGCTCCCCATGTACCATATGCAACGTATTTTGCTACGATTGTCTTGTGCACCAGCGCTGCCTTGATGCAAGGCCCGGACCCTGAGTTCACGGCATACCTAACCAAGGGAAAGCATTTTCTATCACAGAGTCGACTGTGCATTGCAAAGCTACTGAGCCGAGTGCTAGACGGGGCTCGATGGCCCTCTGCCTTCACTGAAGCTCGATCAGAAACGGCGATGCAATCATAGGGAGGGCACGTCGATTCGCCCGCCTGAATTAGAATCAATGTAACTAATTAGAAGCAATGTAACTGTTATGCATATAATCGCAAAAACCAGTTCCCTCATACGGCCAGAGGTCAGCGGTCAGTGTATCACTTTTATTCCTGCTAATATTACCAATAGCCAAACCAACATCAGTAAAAACGCATCTTGCGAGGGAAATATAATGGTAGGGCATGCGAAGTCCAGTCCGGCATTTGAAAGGTCATAATTTCTCTTTCACATCCTGGCATAGTGTTAATCGGCATTTGAATAATGACAGTCTGTCACGAGCAGAACATGCACCAAGATTTGAGGAACCATTCAAGATATAGTACAGACCATTACGTATTGTACATATTTTTATGTCGGGCTCTTTTATCTCCCGTTTTGGAATATGAACAGAATGAAAGGCTAACTTGCAGTACCGGTGGGGTAACTACTGATGGCGTGGGGTTCCGGTGGGGTACCGATGGGGTACCGTCAACAACAACAGCTCTGAACCTGGAGCCATGGCGGCTTCTGTGTACTGGATTGAGGCAATGGAACACGTCCGTCATAAGCCGGGCACATCGCCCTTTTTAGGGTTGGCTTGATTATGGCCCTACGCACCCCCCGGCCGACTATGGCCCGTCCCGTTTATTTGCGAGTGTCTCTCCTATTGGGATTTAGTGGTTATAGGGGTCCCAGAATTTCAAAAGGTTAAAAATACGATTTATTTAGAATGCTACCAATTTTTCGAGGTTTCAGGCAAGTAGAAGATTGATTTTGGCACGGTCAAGTTAGCCGGTTTGTTTTTGATAGGGTGCTACCCATAGACCCTAACGGGAGCTAGGATTTTGGTGCCAACCACCATAGGTAAATATATTCTCACAGCTTTCAGCTATATAGCTATTAGAGGTGATTAAGATATTTAGGGGTAGAGTTTATAGGCTAAAGAATCGCCCTGTCGTGGTTTGAACTTAATATATAATTTTGCGCCCGGCTTATGACGAACGTGTTCCATTGGAGTCCTTGAGATACTTTTTTTATCGAAAGAGCTCTCACTAAGGTCGTTTTGATATCACCGTTTACCCTGCTTCTCCATTTAAGATGGTTGAATAAGCGTTGTATTGAAGCCGCGTCACTATACTCCACTCTAAACAGCAAGATAACAGCCGAGATAATGATTTGAATCTATCTAAATTTCAATTATAAAAGCCAAGCCCAAATGAGACCGCACAAAACGCTACAAAAAGCCAAATGATACTTCCACAACGCCAATCCAATGATTACCCAAACAAAATCCAATTCCATCTCAGGCCCCCCAACCTGAATGCCACTTTACCTGTCGTGAATGCCAAAAAGCCCCCAATTTTAATGTTTGCAGAAACGAGACTTAACTAGTTTGAAACATCCTTGCCTTTTTGAAAGCGATCTTGCAGCGCCACCATAAGCGGCGGCTTATCCCAAAGGAAATAGACCTTCTGGTTGGCCCAGTCAGCGCTTTCGTGACACAGAGCAATATCGAAACGGTACAGCAGTTTGCAGAGAATGAGGCGGATTTCGCAGTATGCCAGGCTATGGAAGAGGATGTTAATATGCAACTTCCGTTTCCGGTTGGGAAATAATCACTTTTTCCCTAGACAGTTCCGTGGCCCCAGGCTGAAGGGCTGCAAGACATCTTTTCTGTCGTCAGCAAAACGGGGATCGTGCCCGAGCCATCGCTCTGGGAGGAAGACATCTGGGAAGGCAAAATTGGACGAAGAGTGGTACGAGGCGTAGTGGTGGCAGGCGGCAACAGTCTAGTAGAGAGGTGAGTGTGGTTTTCGGTTTAGAGAGATAGGAGACGTACCCCGCCAGGTACATAGTGACCATCAACCATTGATCCACCTGGTGGCATGATACGTGCGAGACTTGTGACGAAGGGCGGGTGCATGCGCAGGGACTCTTCGATGACGGCTGCCAGATATGGCAAGGTGGCAGCAGTGCGGAATGTGATCTCGTCTTCTGTAGCGAATGTAGTTCTAATCTCAGAGACGAGCTGGCTCATGATAGGTGGGCTGGTACAAAGGTAGAATATGCAGCCGGAAAGGAACGTTGCAGCGGTTTCACTGCCAGCGACGATGAGGATAAATGCATTCGAATGGATTTCTGCTCGGCTCATGATCCGCCCTCCGTCTAGATACTGGCCCTTCGCCTCGCTCAGTCCATTCTGCAGAATAGCAGAAATAAAGTCCGGCCTGGTCATGTTTGTCTCGAGACGTCGATCGACCTTCTGGGCTGCCAAGTCGAAGTGCTCAATGGCCTTTCGTTTGACTTCTTTTGGAATGAGAGCATGGAATATTGTTCCGACAATTGGAAATTGGTTTGCAACGCCTGCAATAGCAAGTGCTTTGATAGAGCTGAAGATTAATTGAATCCACGGGTGCAGCCGGCTGTCCTTGAGGCAATCGAATGACTCGCCAAACATCAAGTCGCCTGTGATGTCAAATGTAGTGTAATTCATCCAACTGCTGATGTCGACATGAGGAAAATTCTTCTTAGTTATCTCTGCACGTAGCTTTCCAATCATAGTATCGACATAACCCTTGATGAGTCCCTCCTGATCTCTTAGGGCTCGATCTGAAAATGCATGTGCCAATAGACGCCGCTGGCGCGCATGCACAGCATTGTCCACGGCACACACCAAGTGGTCAACGCCATTTGCCGGCGGCAGATAATGACTTTGATCTTTGGCAAAGCAACCTCCGGGCCTGGCACCGTAGATATCCCGAAAGGCCTGCGGGGTGTTGAAAGCCAACTCTTTAGGGCTGATCCGGATAACAGGGCCATACTGTTCATGTAAGGCCAAAATATCCAAGTGATGCCGACCCCGTAAGACAGAAAGCTGTCCGGGGATGCGTGAGATAGCCCAGAGATTAGGGCCTGGAAAACGACTGAGAGGCGACAAGTAAAGCTCGTAGATGATGCTACCAGCATACGCAACCAAAAGCTAGTTTTAGCGCCATATTAGTGCAGCCTAGATGAAAGCGGAGTAGGCTATAGGCTCGAGGAATAACAGCCAGGGAGGAGTTGGTAGGGCAGGATTCTGATGTGGGGTCCTGCAGCTGCAACAAACGAGGGCGTACGGGGATGGAACTTACCAGGACTGCTGCAGACAGGCTCCAGAACGGGATACTGGAGGTAGTCCATATTGTCCAAGATGAGACCATTGTGAAAAAGCGTAATGAAATGGGGATGAAGCCCAGGGTTTTGCAGATCAACGAGGCCATATTATTTACTCGTTTGGGGCCATCTGGTCGTCCTTCGCTGGGCGAGTGACTGAGGGAGAGGGTTCCCTGTATTCACAGAAGAGTTCCGTCTGTTGGGGCACCAAGTCCAAAGCAGAAGCCGAAGTGACACTACTTTTCCCGGCGGAATGGCGGAAGGTGACAGGTTTGGAAGCCGCTATAACTGGAAGTGACACAAGGCAAAAACAATCTCCTATGATTCTTTGTTCTGCGCTAAGGTCCAAACCAACTCTACATTGGTCTCCGAATAGGAGATTTCAGCCCAATTGACGACTCAGCTAGCCCGATGCCACGGCTTCCGACCGTATACAATATGCAGATTGCAATATGTGTGAACATCCGGGTTTCTCAGATCCCTCCGTACGCCAGCCAGGAACACCTGGGTCTCGTTGTTGGACCATCCCAGCACACGAGTGAACAGAGCCAGCGAGTAAGACTCAACAGCCATCAAAAGGGAACACAGGTTATATCGACCGATCTGCTTTTGTACAGGATCCCTCGACCAAGCACTCGACGGAACCTACAAAGCCCAAGGATTAGTTCAAAGCTCCAAAAGCAAATAACATCCCGAATAAACCGAACAAGACGAATAAAAGCAGGGCAGATGGTCGTACCTTGTACACCTCGTCACTGACATCTTCAAAACCGGCCTCTACCATTCGTTGACGGTGTCCTTCGGCGATATTCATGGGTCGGTGAAACGCCTCGCTGGCCTCATGCAGGCGGCCGAGGAATTCGCACAACGTCGGTGCCAGACGCAGTGAGTCGTCATCCGACCGGAGAGTCACCTCGAATTCCTGCAATTCGACCCAGCCTCCCGGACGCAGATGCTCGTAGGCCTGGCGCAGCAGCCGCGGCCAGTTAGCGATTGCTCCGCCCAGGTCGCGCGCGTGGATGAAGTCAAATGGCCGGCTAGAGCTGTAGAGCCATGGGGATTCGGCGTCGTCGACCAAGAATCGGAGGTTGGGCGGTACCCAGGATGGTTGGATAGGGCTTAGGTCGGTGCCGATTACTTCGGCGCTGGGGAAGCTGTCGGCGAAATCGATGGCCCAGATTCCTGTCCCTGTCCCGATGTCTAGGACTCGTTGGATTTCTTTGCCCACTGGGGCTCGGAGTAAGGCGCCGTTTAGGACGAGGTTGCGGACGTGGTGGAGGAGGTCTTGTCGGTCTTGTTCCTGCTCGTCGTTTGGGAGGACGTAGTGGCCTTCACGGTAGGAGTGGTATCTTCGTCCGTTCTCGTAGGCGTAGTTTTTGACATCTGAGAGGAGCGATGCGGTATAACTGGAGGTGTCGGAGTAGTAGTCGTCGTCGAAAACAGAGCTTGCCTCGCCGGTTGTTGATGCTGTGGAGGATGCATCTCCTGAATCTTCTGGGTATAAAGGGTGATTGAAAAGTGTAGGTGGAACAGAATTGGAAGCAGATTGGGTCTCAATGAAGCTCTGTGGTGCTGTATGAGCTTGTGTCGGGGCTTCTATTGGTATTGAAGGTGCTAGAGGTGTCCACGCCACCGGCTCTGTTGCGTATTCCACGGCTGGAAATGTTGCTGGAGCTGACAATGGTACCGAATTTGGTTCTAGAGGTGAGGGTATTGCTCCGGCCTCCTCTTCTGCATCATCCTCAGTCGTTTCTTCGGGTATTGAGTCCAGCTGAGGATGTACTGCCAGAATATGCTCTTCCAAGGCCTCTCCTGCGTTCATTGAAGCCTCCAGGTCAGAAATGGATGCATGATTGGATAACACCGTGACATGATTGTTTTCCCCTATGATGTCTGGAAATTGCTCCAAGATCGGTATTGGACTTGAGGATGATAGGGTTGTCGATTCTGCTTCGTTGACCATGGATTCGTGCCCTGAAAGTTGAATAGACTGCAGTGCTAGAGGCGACGGGGACGAAGGCACACCCTCTAGCCGATCTTCCCCTACTGCATGATTGAGGTTCGATGCTGGTTGCAATCGTGGCTCTGTCCCAACATGATGGTCCTCTCCACCAGCATCGATCTCGGACCTCGGCGAAGGCACCTCCATATCGCCACCCAAGCCTGTCACGAAAGCAAAAAAGGGAAAATCAGAACACATAGTGGGATAAAAGCCCAAAAAGTTGAACATGATCGTCATTCATGAGGGCCCGCTCCTGTCGGACGGTAACGCCTGTAACGTTTTCCTGTTGAACAAGCCGATGGTGAAAAAGACCTGTGTAGCAATCTGAGTTATCACCCGTCCACTCAGACGACCCGATCAACCGAGGAGGATAGGACTAAGTGAGTGTCGTGCTGGCGAAGGAGCTGGCGAAAGTGCAGGCCTTACGCCTCGAGTTGAGGGCTGTAATTTTGGAAAGTGGCGAGTTGGGAGAGTGTGTAGCACAAGAAGGGAAATGCCCCGAATTATATCAGCTTCAGGATGAAATAGAGAGCCGGTGTGGTTGCTGTCACAAGACATGCAGCAATCCAGCAGCCCTAATCCGGGCATTGTTGAAATTGCTGCATTCTGCGTCCGACTATGCAAGCCGTACAATCAGATTGATTATTTTGCATAAAACTGATGAGACAGTAGTTTACTAATCTGTAAATTGTGCTGTGGTTTGCTATATTGTCGTGTTGCACAAGACACCACTCGTTCCTGGCAATGCCAAAGATCTTCGGAAGCTCTAGCGAACTCTACGGCATAAAGTTTAGAAAGAATCATTGGAGGACTATAGCCCTATCTAAAGGCAGATATTTCGCAGCATGAGAGCACTGAATGCTTGATATATATTGAATTTAACAATAAGCACCAAATGGACGATCCGGGGTCAAGGTAGTAGAACGTTTTTGACCACGACAATTTAGCAATGTTTATTCAAGTTGATTCTAGTGGACCAAACTTTTCTCCTGGTGGTGCTGCTCAATACTATGCATAACGTTCACTAAATTTTGTGCGTCGTCTCGAGTTCGTTCCATCAGCTCAGTCTGTTCACTAATCCATTGTAGGCGCACTTTCCAAAAGTCCCAACGCTCCCTTGAGAATAAAGAATCTCCGTTCCATAAATTCCAATGTGCTTTTTTGTTTGCTTCAGCTAGGGAGAGGTGCTTCTTCCCTACAAATTCGAAAATAATAGATCCAGCAATCTCAAAAAAAGGAACCATAGCATGAACATCAGTCTATAAGCCGAAGTCAGTTATCTCAAGTATAGTGGTTATATTCTTTTGTAACCCATATTTAGCATAAGGATATAATTTGTAGCCACGCGGCGATCTACAAGGTGATGGCGCCGTAAGAACGACGGCGAGCGTGGCAAAGATGGCACCGGCCCATGATTCCACGGGTCTTGTTCTAGTGCAAAGACGGGGATTTGTAATGCCATATTTAGTTCGCGTGAACTAGGGCTATCCGGTGGATATGCGGAAAGATGATGCGCGCAAAAAGTGCTACCACTGAGAAAAGGGTACCACCCTTCAAAGGGGTATGTACCGTATCGCATTTCCCAGTAACCTATAATCGGAATATTAGTCTATATATTAAATCAAAAAAAAAAAACGACTCTCTAAAATGAATTAATGGGAGGGCGAGGGAGGGGTGCGAAGGAGAAGAAGTAAGTCACGTACGGTCATGAGTAGCTTCCCAAAGATCCTGAAATGCGGCCAAGTTCCTCCAGTGTTCCAGCCTATCTTGGAAGCGTGACGTGCGAACCTGTTCATCGGTTCTATCAAGCTCCGGAAGAGCTCTTATTGCCTCCACCAACTTCAAAATAGCGGGTTGATAGTTCGGCATCTCAATAGCAGCATCCCACAGTAGCCATGAAACGCGCTCCCCTTTATCCACAGCTTCGCCCTGGCGCTCTTGAATTAGGTCATCTTCGTTACGAAGGGACATAAAGCGACGAGCAGCATCATCTACTGGAATTGCATTGGCAGTGCCGTAACGTTCAACGAATTCCTGCAATATTTGAATCTCATCCCAGGTTGGGGGATCTGTGTCGCCGTCCACTGGGTTTGGATAAAAGAAGAGGTTCCATTCGGCTTTTTGCTCTTCCATCGTTGTGATGGAAGTTGTGGTGCTTTGATCTGGGGTTGCTCTAGTCGGTGACGACAACAAAGGCGTACTTTGAAACGGAAGTGCTTAGGAACAGATCGCTTTTTCGGGGAAGTATGTGTCATATAAGAGACAAGCAAAGGAAGCTTTGCTGGTGGTCAGACCTTTAGAAATAAGCCATGGTCTAACTTTTCAGGAACATCCGCTGCTTCGATTCGATCCTACGTTGCTCCACACGGGATGCTCTTGGCATCCTTGTAGTGTCTTACATGTGACGTGGGCCGTCTGTCGAACTGGGTGGTAAGTAGGGGAGAAAAGCAGGATCTCGGAATGTTCAAGCTTCCGGTGAACAATCTACATTACTCGCCCGTCGGTTGCTCCCTGCGATTAGCTTACCATTCTCGCTCCGCTACTACTCTTACTCCATACCTGGCTTTTCGACGAGTCGTAGTAGCCGATTGCTTTTGACAATCTGCATCGGTCGGGAAGTCAAACTCCATGGGAATTGGTAAACAACGACTGAGAAGGAGCAGAAGTACTAGCAATCTGCCCAATGTTTCAATTGCCACAGAATAGTTCCTTCCGACCAGTCTACGGCGGCACGAAAAGGGATCCTCCTTCCGTTGACTGTGAGCGCGTGCGTCTAGGCCGTAAATAGCCACCGTAAACCTTTTTGTTGGGAGACTTACTTTCCTATTGTAGGTCTTCTTTACCATGCTCTAAACCGGTGACTCATAATTGCATAATAGCGGCATGTCTCGTCAAGGTCTTTCGGACGAGCTCGGTAAGAACGATCTCCACGGTATACAAATTAAAGAAGAAAGTTTTATGGAGCAATTGTATTCTCTACTAGGAGGCCATATCATGGCCGTATGCCCAGTAATGCTCGCAGATCGGGTATTATCTCATGCCTCATTTACACATCCCGTTTCCACTCGCACCTCTTGAGGTAAAGTGCCGGTAAGTCCTAAGCCAGAGTCGACGATGCATTCAAGCACACGACTAGAAGTTCCCTACGTCTCCCTTTCCATCACGGTGGTCCATCCGTGGACGGCGCCCCTCTTTAGGAGCGGCCGGCACTTGCAGCCCAGCTTGAAGAACGGCAGCATGCAGAAGGCGAATGTGAGCTTCTTCGTTGAAGGCCATCATGCTTTCCAGGGTATTGTTCTGCACTTCCTCCCGTAGATCGGTCTGGTTTGAGACGAGCACACCCTTCTCGAGGTCAATGCGAGCGTCCAAGACGCCGGCCTTGATCAGTTTGATAAGTTCCTGCACAAATGGCGACTTGAAGCCGGTTGGCTGGGCCTCTCCGCCTACGACGTTGGGAGCAAAGATTGTTGCCATGGAGTCGAGAGTGACACGGCTGAATGGAACAAGGTACTGCTTGATGGACTTTGTGCGGATGAGAGAGTAGAGCTCAGCGACATGACGTTGAAGATGGATGTCAAGAAGGTAGTCGACACGGTAGGCTTCCAGAATATCGAGGCAAGGACGAAACTTGGAGTTGCAGAAAAAGCCAATCGCACGACGGATGTGCGGCTCTAGCTCGAGGAAGTTCCGGAAGGAATTGTTTTCCAGCACGCGACGTTGCAATTCGTTGCGATCCATGGATGCAAGAGCACAAAGACCACCGTAGACGGCGATGTCGTTGGGTGTAATCACTTCGGTGAAGGTGTCAGCCAAGGTAGGTTCGACCGAAAGAAAGCTGTTAGCTGCGTCGAGATATGAGCGTGCATGCATCAGTGATAGGCCCATAGCTGCCATCATCTTGGGCTGGTCTCTGGCTTGATCCTCCGGTTTTGATAAAGCGTTGCGCAGACGGTGAACGTTGGATTGCACGTTCAGCCAATCCTCGCGTTCAACAGACACGTTGATGAGTTTGAACAGCATGGAAGCGATGTGGTTTGGCGTCGTGCAGTAGTCTCTCATGCGAGAATAAGCCTTTGCCGCGGCAACCAGGTCACCAGTTTCATAATAGTGATTTCCCAGATCCTCATTGCCCATCTAAATAGGGTTAGTTTTGGTCTATTGATGTCGTTGTAACGGTCCTTACCCGAATGCTTTCTTTAATCAGGTTATTCTTGTACCCCCGGAGCTCTTGCTCCAAGCGGTCGGTCTGTGCTCGGACTGAGCGCTGAACTTCTTGTACCCATGACGAGTCAAGGAAGGCTTCCGGTTCGGTTGGTGCAACCTCTGAGAGCGCGCGCACAGCTTTTTCATACAGCTCAACATTCTTCCCAGATTTTGCTTCGGCAACTGCGGCTTTGAGGACATCGGTGGAGAGCAACGTGGAGGTGGTTCCGATGAGGTAGAGGCGGTGAAACCGGGTCCGGCCTGAGATAGCAGTGTTAGCACGATTGCTATGGAGTATGGCTCATGCATTTTTCACTGACCGGTGTAATTCGCTATGTATGATTCGACCTCGAACTTGGGCGGTTCTGTAAATTGGATCGTCAGTTAGCCCTCATATGGCTTAAGCTATCGGCGGCGCGGGTCCGGAGCCTCAAGGCCCCGCAGAGGTTCAACATACCGTCAACTTTGATCCTCGGAGCAGCCACCCCTGTTCCGTTCGTAGCTTCGTTTGGCACAATACCGACACCTTGGGCTGCAGACGAGCTTGCCTGAGCTGGACCAGCGTCCGGCAGTGTGGTATCCATTGTGCTGCACCAGCCTTGTGGCGCACCACCAGCTCCAGAAAGCAACCCGAGAGCGACGGTAGGATAGGGGAGCTGTATCAAGGTAGGGCAGGTCGGTTCCTCAAAGTTGTCGATAGGAGCTAGGGCCAAGGTAATGTGGAGGGACTGAGTTGATCAACGGTCATCACAATGATGGCGGGCTGGGGTTGATAGGCAGTATCACACCGCCCCTGTCACCGCCATTTGAATATCTCGTGAGCCTCATTCTCTTTGCACTCTGTTTGCTGTAATTGATTTAGTGATCATTCAGTTTGATTACTCATTAGCACACAATCTTAAATAATGGTCCCTAGACCTCTAGACTAAAATATAGTTGATGCCTGAGGCGCTCAATATGACGTCCCGAGTGCCGAGGAAGCGTGAATAATCACGAAATCATCGGCATCGGCCCCCACATTACCTTCCTTGATACAATCAAAGTCGATTACAATTTTCGGAAATGCATTTAAAGCTTGGGTGATCAATTAAAAAAGCGATTCGGTGATCTCGGGCCTTGGTAGTTTGTGTTCAACCAGGAGAGGTTGAATATATAATTCAGCGTCCCTTCATACTCAACCCCAAGCTTCTCCGCATCTACAATTTCCCAACCGCTTTCATTAACCACCACATCATGTCCTCACAACCGGTCGCCCTGATCATGGGCGCCTCTCGAGGCATCGGCCGCCAAGTAGCCATCGACATGTCCAAAAACGGCTACGCTGGTACGCAATAGCCCATTACCCCATTACCTTACACTTCAACAAATTAACAGCCATCCAGTGATGCTCGCAGCAAAAACAACTTCGGACGCGAGCAAAACAACTCCATTCCCACCAGACCCAAACTCCTCAAAATCAACAATCAGCACCGTAGAGCGCGAGATCCACGAGAGCGGCAATCGCGCCGCATCAGTCGCTGTGGATGTGCGCGACGCAACCCAGATCCAGCACGCAGTCGACGAGACAGTGCGGGTCTTCGGCAAGCTAGACGTCCTGGTGTACAACTCCGGAGCAATCTGGTGGGCATCAGTTGAGAACACGCCATTGAAGCGATTCAAGCTTATGCAGCAGATTAATCCGGAGGGTCTGTACGCGACCGTTCAGGCAACGCTGCCTCAGTTTGAGAAGAACGGGTGGAAGGGACGGATCATTGTTGTGTCGCCGCCTATTTATTCGCGGTTTTTTAGAGGGAAGACTGCTTATGCGATGGGTGAGTGTTATTTTTTTGGATCCTGTGTAGGCTTTGTTACTGACGGCGGTATAGGGAAGGTTGGAATGAGTGTTCTTGTCAAGGGCCTTGCTATGGATTTCGTGAGACAGGGTCGTGAGGAGATGGCTATTACGAGTATTTGGCCAGCTTCGGTATGTTGGATGTGCCTGCGTATCATTGGATAGAAAAACTAACCATTTGCAGTCTATTGAATCCGCCGCTACGGAGTTCAACAAGTCCGAGGATAAGTCCTACAAGAAGGATTTGAGAAAACCAGTACGTCTTTTATCCTGGGGTATATCGGATTAGAAGCTTACAATCCTTTTAGACAATCTTCTCCAATGCTATCCTGGAGATGCTTCGGGCTCCACATGCCACGGTCAACGGACTCTTGGACACAGACGAGGACTTCCTTCGAGAAAAATGCGGCGTGACCGACTTCTCCAAGTACTCAGTTATCCCAGGCTCAACACCGCGACGGATCATGCCTGAGAAGTTCCCCGTGCTGGAGGTTGCAGAGCAGAATGACGAGGGTCAGAGAATGGATAGCGTGAAGCTGCGCACTAACAAGCTATAAGTGGGAGCAGTGAGAGAAGGAGAGAAGGATTTCCAAGATCGACTACTTGCAAGAAGCCTAGAGAATAAGGCAATTAAGGTCCCCTAAGCTAATACTCAGATAATGCATAGGGCGTCACATCTCAAACCAAATGTCAAGCTATGAAGAGAGAAAAGGCATCGCTTCCCATTAATGCAAGTAAATGTCAGAAAAACACGCTCAGTAAATGCAATAGCACAATGAAGCCGACCGAAACTCCCGTACAACCAGAGCAGATAAATTCAAAATCATGATCCCGCTAGATCATATGTATGAGGGGAAATTACAGCAGAACTGCGAAGCCGGCAATGAACGCACCCACAAGCAGACACAATCCGTATACATGGCCAAGGTCCGAGGACATGCGGACTGCGCCACCAGTAGCAGCGTTGGTGCCGAGGGGGTTGGCCGTATTGGTATTGGAGGCCGTGGCCGACGCAGCAGCAACAGCAGAGCTGGTTGTGGTCACGTTGACACGGATAGGGTGCTGAGCTCCGCATGGGTGGTCCACACGGCAATCGCTCTGGCAGGAGGAGTCGCCCTGGGCGCAATTACTGACGCATTGGTTGCCGGCCTCAGTGCAGATGTAATAGGCCATTGTCTCGGAGTACTCGGATGCGTTGGGGGTGATGCCGTTGTTGCAAATGCAGGAGTAGGCCAGTGTGTTCTGGTATGTGTCAGTTTGCATACCGGAGGATGTGGGGATGTGGAGACGTACGGGGTCGCAGTCATTCACTGAAGCACCGGTGGACCCGTTGAGCTGCAGGCAGATGAGGGGGCACGAGTGCTTCTGGTTAAAGCACCAGGTCTCTGTTGGCTGGTCAGTAACGTATGATGATATCGGTTGATATGGCACTCACGTCTGAGAGACAGAGACACCGAGTCCGGGTTGATGGTAGCCGAGTACTGGCTGCTCACCATGACGACGGCCGAAGCCAGGACCAACAGCAGCCTGGACAGCATGGCGAATTATGGGGAACTGAACGAGTGACAGGAGGGGAAGTATCTAGATAAAAGTGTCAGAGACGGAGTATCAAATCCGGACATACGGCCGAGTGCGGGAAGGAAAAATAGAATTGAAGTCGGGAATGAAGGGAGGCCGCCACAATGTCTAGGGACATACCGTCGAGGACGAGAACAGCGAACGAAGAGTACAATGCAATGAAAACAGATGGCAGCGACAGGTGAACAGAACGTGCGAAAGGCGTGACGAGTGAAGAATAAAAAGCAAAGAAAGAGAAAGGGGAACGGAGATAAAAATAAAAAAGAAACCCTTGGAAGGGCAAGATCACGCGAGTATACAGAATGTGCTTAGTGGCACCGGCATTTGTTGTGGCTCGGCGTGATACCGCATTTGCTCAAGTGTTGTCCTTGAACTGCTTAGGGGATTTAGGGGCTCAAGGTTGAAGCTAGTGTCCTTTATTGACACCTAGATGGCTGTCAAGGGGTATACAGTCCGGACACGTCAATCCGGGGATAGAACACCATTTCTTGACAGTAGACGAGAACCTCATGAAGCTGAGAACACGCCAGTTACACCCGCCATTTCCTTTGAGACCGGTCCCCGCTGCAACGAAGCGAACGTCGACAACGATAAGAAGCGATGTCTCACTTTAGCACAACGCCGATCAGTAACGCTTGCCGTTCTGGGTTTAGTGCGTCCTGTCTGGCTTGAAGGCCTCGGATACAGTTCCTAACCCTTGGAAAGTTCCTTCAATTGCCAAGCAGAGGAAATGAATGCAGTGAAGCAACTCGGACTTAACTGTATACCTCAATAAATACCCGTTGTTCGGTGACATTTACACTCCCCGTCGAAACTCGACCCCAGAATGACAGCTTACATAACACCCTCGGTCCCCCAAGCTGCGGATCCCGGAGATCGACTGATTGACTTCAAGTCATCTCGAGCGTAAGCACCTCTACGCACTGGCACTTGGAGACCCGTTCCAAGGTACGTCTGTCATGCCCCTCTACCCCTCTATCTTACCCCTCGACCCAAGCCTCTCCCGTTTTGGACTTTCCTCCCCGCCGCACCTCGCTTCTATAATTGTCCCTTCGCCTCCCCCGCATGGGCCCTCACCTCCGCGGAATCCCATTGAAACATTACCAAAAGAAACCAAACCCAATGGAAAAAGCTAACCCATCCTAGCACCAGCACCCCATCACAGGACCAAACCACCCACAGTCTAATGGATGGAGGGAGCTCCTGAGGAGGCCTCCACGGCACCTCGGCCGCCCTTCTCCCCGCCTGCGGACCTCGCGGCTCGCCCCGCAGTGCATCCCAGCGTACATCACTCACCCACCGAAACACCCAGCCCGGCCCCGTCTTCGAAATCCCGCCCCGTCTCAGCCGTCGTGCCGCCCTACTGGCACCGCCACGAGCGCAATGCCTCGCGCGCATCGCAAAGCTCGCTCGTGCCCGCGATAACGCTCGAAGACCATGCCGCAGACCCGGAGTGCGAGACGAGCAGGGGCTTATGGGCGCGCAGTGTTTCGATTGAAGATCACTGTGTCGTGCAGGGGAAGACGGGGGTTGGGGCGTATGTGGTGTGGAACTGCACGGTGCATACTTTGGATGTGAGTTGAGTTCTTCCGTGGATATGATGTGGTTTTTTTTTTTCTAAACGGATGGTTGGCAGGGAGGACCGATTGTCGTTCGACTGAGATACTCGGAGTTCGACGATCTACGGCAGAGACTCGTTTCTTCATTCCCGCACGCGAGGAGTGCGCTTCCAGCTCTTCCGCCGAAAAGTGTTCTCTTCAGGTTCCGGCCTAATTTTCTGGAGAATCGGCGGGTTGGGCTGGAATATTTTCTCAAGTGAGTCGGACTTGGACTCTCACATCTCACGTAACTGGGTGTGATGCTGACGGTGGCTAGTTGCATCCTTCTGAATCCGGAGTTTTCGAGCTCGCCTATCGTCAAGGACTTTCTCTTTGGGCGAATGTCATAATCCATGACTTTCTGAACACGGTGCCCTCGGTGTTTTGTAATATATTGTGGATTTGACATACATTGGAGTTTTGCGTATCAGCATATGAGACGATTTGAAATTGAAATGGAATTCATTTGCATAACTTCAAAGTCGACTAGATTGTGCTGGTCACAGGACTCTCGATACTCCTTTCGCAAAACAGGAATAGCCGAAAGAAAAGAAAAGAAAAGAAAAGGGAGGAATTAGTATGCAGTCTGACAAAAGGAAACAGATGAGAGAATGAATCGACCTGCAGCGGACAAAAAGAACAACAAACACCGACAACGCCTGGCTATGATACAAATTCCATCTTGCATATGGTACAGCAACCGGAGACAATGAACACAACGTGTCTCGACAGGTTTGAATGCAGCCCCGAATAACATCACTTTTTCAGATCGTTCTCAACCGTCTCCGGGGCATCAGACTCGACCTTGCTTTCGGACTTGGTTTTGTGTTTTGTCATCCACGACCGCACGTCGGCCCACACGATCTTGCGCAGGCTGATATTCGCCATGTGAAGCATGGCCATCAAGTGCCGAGGGCTTGGTACGCCGCGAGGGAAAACAATATACAGCCCCGAGTCCTGCAAGGAATTGGGCCTGAACTTATCATGGTACGCTTTCTTGCCTTGAATTGGGAGACGATGGAAAGTGTGCCCGTACAGATCTCGCGTGAGACTAGCAACGAGGCCCGGCATGCCCGTGATATCCTCCGGGCGGAGAGCATGGCAAGGTTCGAAACCGAAACCCAGGTAGGAGACACCGGCCCGATGCAGTAGAGCCATGGCAGCGACGATGAGCAAATCACTGATCCCCTTTGGACTCCCAGGAGCAGCGATGCAGGGGTCGACGTGGTAGCCGCCGCAGCCTAGCCGCCGTAGGGCAGCGAAGCCATTGATTTCGCCGTCTGGGCCGCGACTGTATACGAAGGTCATGAGATCTGGTAGAGCGAAGGGGTCGTAGACCGTGATGAAGGCCTGCGGACCCGTGGAGTGGTTGCGTTCTGCGCGCCAGGCATCATAGATGGCGATCAGGTCTGTCTGCAACTGAGTGTCTGTGCCGTGGACGGCGGGTGCATATACGCCGAGGGTTACGCCTCCTTTCTGCGGGTTCAACAACTGGCGGTTTTGCACGGCGATACGTTTCCCGCCGCGTTCGAAAAGGATTTCATTTGTCTGTGGGTTGAGGACGCGTTCGGTGCCAAATCGGATGGTCGTCCAGCCTCGGGGTTGGGCGTATTCTTGTACGAAAGACTCGCTTGCTCCCATGAAGGCTATGCCCCAGTGGCGTTGGCGTCGGTACGTTGCGAATTCTTCCAAGAGGCCGGCGACCATGTCTGTTTCGCAGAGCGGGTCGCCACCAACAACGGCTACCCCGGCTTGGACTTTGAAGGATATAGCAGCATTTCGGGCTTTGTTCACAAAGAAGCGGTAGCTGTGATCGAGGATGCCCATGTGTGCTACTCGGCCGTAGCGGGCCGTGAGGCGCTGGATGGCTGTCATGGTGGAGAAGTCGTCGAGACAGAATACATCGCCCTGCTCTGCTTTGCTGGCCGTTGCGCGGAGAGACTCGGTGCTGGGGTATGGATGGCTGTCGACCGTCAGGGCTAAAGAGGTGGTGTCGTTGGAGTCACGGTCATCGAGGCTGGTGGGTGGTGTACTCTCGACCCCCGTGAGCGTGCGACTGCTGCTGCTTCGTGAGCTGGCACAAGAGGATGCCGTGAGAGCCGTGGTAAAATTGCTGCGCAGGTGATCGACGACAGAGATCCCCGAGGTATCCAGCCGGTCTTCGAGCCTGGGGCAAGTGTAGAGCTGGTCGACCAAGGCATCGCCCAACTCATCCAACAACAGGGTCTTCTTCGGCTTCGCGCCCACGATGTCGACGGTATTCCTCTTGCGCCCGCGGCGCTGCTTCTTCTTCCTCTCGGACGGAGATAGATTCATGGTCGGATGGGAATCTGGCGCTGCGGTGATCATGATGGGTGGTACAGTATTAGCAGAGAAAGTCGCGCAGGGATCCATGACGGGCAGAGCAGAGACGGTTGAGCTCGACACGCGACACCGGGAAAACAGGAGTGTCAAGCAAGGGAGGAAGCAGAAGGCAATTTGGCGCGACAACAAAAATGCAAATGGAAAAAGGCAGGAAGGACAACACGGAAAGAGCACGGGACGACCAAATGACAGGATGACGGAACCCTGGGGTGACAATGACACCTTCGCCAAACCCTGTATATGCTGCATGTGTGTCTGATCTATACGTTTCCACGTCTCCAGGCAGAGGTATTCTGTATTCCCAATACTAGACTAGCCCCAAGCTCCGCCTCCACTTATAATCTTGGAATACAGTAAGTGCATCGATGATCGTCAGAGACCCTGAACGAGAACACCAATCATCACGCCCGGCGCCTTCGTCAAGGCGTTACGCCAAGCCCCATTATGGCGCCGTCGTCTGGGGGTAGAAAAGGGGGCTAACCCGGTAGTCCAAAAATGCTGGTGCCTGAGCCCGATTTAAACTTCAATTGGGTTTGGGTCAAGCAACTCGGGTGGTGGGTCCAGGGTTCTCGGCCCTTCCTGCACCACTGGCCCCTTCCTTGGTGGACCCTCGATGTCATGGCCTGACCTGCTGCTGCTGCTGCTGCTGCTGCCTGCTACGGAACTCGGTGAGCTTTGGAGATCCGGCTGTGTTGGCTTCCCGCTCCGTTGATGCGGTCCGCGGGCACCGAGCGCACTGGGCAGCTTTCTTTGAACGATGAGGTCGTCCGGTCGGTTTTCATCGTGGACGGATGGAGTGGGTGCACTACCAACGTATTGGTGAACACGGTACCGTAGGGTACATACCGGCTATGTACTGCGATACGGATTACCCGAGAGGACGTGAGATTCAGGCGTTCCGTTCAGCCGCTCGTGTCCGCTGAAACGAAACTCGCGGACCGAAGCCGATTCTGCATTCCGCAGCCGGAAAAGGCGTGCCCAGGCGATCCACGTGAGCAAGACTGGAGGTTGGATGAAACAAACGATCCATGGTCCACCGTTCGCTGTCCACGGTCAACGTGCGAATGTCATTTCGATGCTGGAGAAGCGGAGCGTGGGAAAGCAAGTTGGTCCACATATTGCCCCATGCAGAAAATTTCTTTCGGATCCACGTTGATAAAAGAGACCGGTCGGGACAGCACCGAGAACCAAGCTTGCTATTTTACGTCCGTCTTGGAAGTATTTACTACGTAGCCTTTTAAGTATTATAAGAAATGGCCCAGCGAAGACTATATGTTCAGAAGCCCAAGTAAAGCTAGTCTTTTCGCCCCTACATTCTCCAGACTTGAATCCTATTAAGGAGATCTTTGCGGAATTGAAAGCCTTCATTCGGCGAAATTAGCAGTGCTGCGAAGAAAATCCGGACCGAGGATTAGATATTTTCCTCGAATGGTGTGTTATCATCGTCGATGCAAGGCGGAAGTGCGCAGAGGGCACTTCCGGCACGCAGGCCTGACTATAGAGGGGATATGAAGTAGCTACTTCAACTATATTCGAATCATTTTCGGCGGTTGACTCCTCGCTACATTTTGGGTCTTGATAGTATGTATTAATGAATTCAACGTCATAAATTTCCAGGGACATAAATGTTATCGCACCAACGAAAACCATGCTAGTCTGTACGAGGTCAATTTTAGAACCAGCCCCTGGTTAGCCGTATTGTGGTATTAAATTTATTTAGGCTTTAATGTCAATCCAGCCATTGTAACTTACTGTATTTCCCTATGGAATCTTCTATGCAGGGATCTAGAAAGGTGGGGGAGATCTGGCAATCTCTCTTAACCCAAGCCCTTTCCGTTTCTTCGTTTCCCTAACCTTCGTCTTCATTTACCTCTTACATTACCAAGGCTGCAAGGCTGCAACAAATAGGCAATGAGGTGCTTACAGAGCAATAATCGGTGTGATATTCATTAACAGCTTGGTGAGATGGGATAGCTATTCTGAAAATCGTCGGAAGGGGGATGGGAATGTTTGTTGAAAACACATAAATAGGTGAGTAATTCGGTAGAAGCACGTTGAATGCCCCAAACCCTTCAAACCAGAAGGGTTCCAGACTTACACCGGATGTGGAAGTGACATGTACCCCAAACTAGATCTGGGTCCATCGCAGGAGCACTGCGGCGATAATGACAGGCAACACGCTGACGAGTTCACCCAGCCCGGCAAATTCAGGAGGAATCCTAGCTTTCACGAATGCCCCGGCAGCAAGAAGCACGGCAAATGTGTTGTAAACGAAGCTCCAACCGAAGTTGAATTTGATCCGCCGTACAGACACTTTGCTTGTATCCATCACGGTAAGAATCCCGGATAGAGCTGGCCTCATTAACACCACGTCGGCAGCAGCCTGCGCAAGGTCGCTGCCTGCATTCATGTGAATGCCGACAGTTGCCTGCGCCAGCGCGACGGCATCGTTGGTTCCATCTCCGCAAAATATGACAACGGGCTCCTGAACATTCGATGCATCTTCCAAAAGATTCTTAATATAGGACTGCTTGTCGGATGGAGAGCTGTGGGCTTGTACATTCCTCTCTGAGATCCCCAGAGTTGATGCCACTTTTTGAACGGGTTCGACATCGTCACCCGATACCACATGGACCGACACACCCCGTCTCAGTAAAGCGGTGACAACCTGAGAAGCGTCATCCCTGAGAGAGTCCTCAAGGCCAAAAACCGCCCACGGTACCCCGTCAATGGTAAAACAGAACGCAGTATAGCCTTGCAGAAGGACTGGCTGTACCAGGGGGTGGGTTTGAACATTGAGCCAGCGAGCATTTCCTCCCCGCACCGTTTGCCCAGTCACCTCACCTTCCATGCCTCGGCCGGTCAAACTTTTGGCTCCTGGGAAAGCCGCTGCAATCACTCCTTTCCGCCTCAGGTGGTCAGCAACAGCAACAGAGACCGGGTGCTTATTGTTGCTGACGAGGCCTAGGAGAAGGGGCAGTCGTGATTCACCACCCTCGGGACAGTCTTCGACGATTACGCTTAGCTTACCATGCGTCAGAGTTCCTGTTTTGTCAAAAACCACGTGAGACGCCTTATAGGCCACTTCGATCGCATCAGCGGACTTGAAGATCACCCCATGCTCTGCCGCAATACCGCTAGCAAAAACAACCACCATCGGAACAGCGAGGCCAATAGCACAGGGACAGGAGACAATCAGCACGGTAATGGCGTAGGTGATAGACTGAACGGCTGCTTCTGATCCGGTCTTGCCTTGGGCCGCCACACCAACTGCAATCCAGACGACAAACGTAGCGGTGGCCAGGGCCACAATGACAGGAACAAAGTAAGAAGCCACTTTATCTGCCAGCTCTTGCATCTTTGGTTTGGATAGCTTGGCTTCATCCACCATTGCAGCGATAGCGGTGATGGTGTTGTCGCCGGGCAGTCGAGTGACCCGGACAAGTAAAGTTCCTGAGCCATTGATTGTCCCAGCAATAACGCGGGATTGAGGGCCCTTCTCGACAGGACGAGACTCCCCAGTGAGCATTGACTCGTTCACTTCAGATGAGCCAGACACAATGGTACCATCGGTCGGAATCCTCGTATCAGGGGCCACCATAAACATGTCACCGTACTGCAAAAGCCTGACGTCAATCTCCCTACCCTCGAACGAGTTCAAACCGTCCACTAGGACAGCATGTTGGCTCTGAAGTGATCGAATAGAGATCGATTCGACTGCTTTCTGACGGGCGAGAGCGGCAACATAACGCCCAACCATGATCAAGGTGACCAAGAGCGTGCTGGTCTCGAAAAACTGGCCTGTCGACAACGGGTTGCCAGCAACGAGGTAGCCAAACGAGACGAGGGAAAAGATGTAAGCTGCACTGGTGCTCAGAACAATAAGAAGGTCCATCTCAATGACCTTCGAAAAGATAAGAGCCTTCAGCGCCTTGGGGTAAAATGGCCCCGCGACGATAACTTGAACCAGCGTTGCCAGTGCCAATGACGCAGAGCTGTAGGGTATTTCTCGCTCGGGGATTGGAGCCCACGCTAAGACCAAGACCGGGATGGTAAGAATCAGAGAAAGAAGTGTGATATATCCGACATGACGGACATGCTTTTTTCCAGCCCCGAGTGCTGGATCGTTGCGGGCAGGCGCTAGCCTTGCAATCCCTGCCCAATGTTTCTCTACGAGGTCGCGCGCTCCAACAACCTCTGGATCGAAAGATACGCGAATTTCGTCCTTGTTGACCGGAGACAGGCCTGTCACTCCTTCAGGCCATGGCCGATTGACGAACGTCGACAGATCCTCGGACGTAATAATATCCACACTCGATCCACTGCTGGTGATCACTTCAAATTGAAACTCTGTAGTACGCTCCAGATGTTTCATCACATGCTTGACACTCGACATATTGAGATCCACGTCGAAATCAGCACGTGACAAGATGAGGCTCGTCTTAAGATTCCTGACACCTGACACTGTCGCTAGAGTTCTGTTGAGTTTCGTCTCGCAACCAGTGCAAGTCATGCCAGAAACCGAGAGAACGACATGCTCGATGCCCGTGTTCTGTCTCTCCAGATCAGGGGCCATAGTAATCTTGTCGCTGGCTTTGCCCCCAATCTCGGTGCATGCTCTGTTGTCTAGCTTTGAGTATTTGTTGCTGGCCCGAAATGAATTTTCAGGAGTGCAAAGATCTGGGAGATTATCCCTAGAAGAAGCGCTCTTAGGTTTGCAACAAGACTTACCCGAGCAGCTCTCCACAGCACGTTTCTCAGAGCCACACGCATTGCGACGCTTTGGGCTGGCTTCAACGTCTCTAGCGGTGGACGTGCCCTTTGCGCAACAGGAGTCAACCGAGATACGCGAGGGTACCCTTTTCAGCGATTCTTTGGACCTTTTTTCCCTTATAGGCGACGGGATTCCTCGAGGAAGGCAGCATGACTCTTTGCCTAGAGCAATAAGAGCACGGCAGATACATCCTAGGGTTGCGAGTCTGGTGGCATACTGTTCGCGAACAGAATGTCGATGATGCTCGCAGGCTCTACGTTGGGGTGCTTCACCTTTCTTTGGTCCCGATTTCAATGACCCATCTGCATTGACGCCCAGGTTAATAAAGCCCAATATAGAATACGCTAACTCCAGTCAACGTACCTTGTTGGGTGGTTTCACCCCGCGGGGTATCCGTCCAAGTACCACACTCGCGTAGAGCCAAACGATCTAGACAAGACTCGTCGCAGCAGGGAGAAGGCATACCACTGCAACATTCTGACGCTTTCGATTCGGTAGGAGCAAAGGTCTTTGATGGAAGGATGTGCGAGCAGCGTTTTGGGAGATGCGCGCGCAAACAAGTATCGCTCTTTCCCTCACCACCTTCGATGACGAGACCTTCTTCGCAATTTCCATGGGCCAGCTCAACAGGGAGTGAGACAGCCGTGTCGCAAGAGGTCCCTGCGGACTGATCATCGCAGCAGCTTCTTCCACTTGCCTGCGGACCACGCTTTTGTTTGAAAGATCCAGAGGAATCGTTGTCACAGCAAGCATTTGCCGAACATTTGATGGTGGGGAGAGAATGATTATTGTCATTTTCAACATCCTCGATTTTGGTGATGGCCGAGACGCTGCCGCAGCAATCATCTTGACAACTCGTGTCTGGTTGTGCGTCGTCCATATCACACCCGTCTTTTACAGTCACACCCAAGCCGTTGGCTTCAACGGTCTCGGGGCTGCCTCGTACTGTACTGACTACATCATTCACTTGCGAGGGGGGTCGACCCAGATCAATCTGCGTTGTTGCTCCGGGCGGAGATTCATTTGGTTGAGGGAGCGTAGCAGGCTGGCAGCAGGAGCAACTCATAGTAACCGTTTCACAACTTCGTTTCAAAGATTTCTAACAGAATTGCGATGGCTTCGCTTGTGGTTTTTGTGGTCGCTGTGGTCGGCGGTTGGCCACCATGTCAACATGGAAGCGTCCTTTCTGCCATCCCTGACCGCTTCTTTATCTGAATGTCCAACTACAGCTCACTCTTTACCTGTCATACGGCTATGATTTTCTCTCAACAAACCTGCATTACCTCGGGCATCAGGTCTATCTTTCTCTGTCAGAATTATTAGATGACAAGCACCCGCGACGGATTCAAAGTGGACCTATTAATGGATGACCCCTTCAAGACCGGTTTTTTCAGCGCCTCTGCCCAGCAGTGTAAAGAATGGGCACTGGAAAGCAGTTCGAGATGAACTTTACTCAACAAAATATCATCGCTATTACTGATGAGCGAAGTGCCAGAAACGGGACTCTCCATTAGTATGTTACTACGACGAAGAAATCGATCCCGAGAAGCCGGCACTTGAATTCCCAGAATGGGGTTCTCTGCCTCAACAGATCAACACCCGGTACGATTTGAGATTCTGTGCAAGGAACTGTGAATTTCGTCATTTCTTTAAATTATGGCCCGCCGGGTTCCTCCCACCTGCCCTATTTTGGAAGGAGGTAATAGCTTGTGGATGAGCAGGTAGGCTTTGTTAGTAATCTGGCGCATCAATATTTCATTGGTGAACTTGATAGACATCGCAAAACACGTGGGACTGGATCGGAACCTTGAGCCGTTGGGGAATCCTGGAAAACCCCCGGAGGAATCCTGGAGACAACCTTTTGAGAGTCTGGAGCAAGCCTCAAGAAGTATCGTCCGGAATCGAACATTTCCCGATTTGCTGACGCGGGACGTAGGGAGGGGCAGACTAGGACCGGGTTGGAGGAGATGCAAAAGATCAGCACGTCTCATATCACACTCGGCACGTGGAATGATGCATGGGCAGAAAGGCGACGATGATTGGCGATGCCCGGTCGGTCATGGCCTGTGCCGAAGCAGGTAATTAGTCCGTCGTCCGCGGTAAGACCCATCGGCCCCACATGTCGTCAGGTACGATGCTTAGCTCCGGTCAACATTCGCACGAATCGGTGCTTGCCTTTTAATAACACTCCTTGGAATAATCGATGCGAACATTCGGTGCAGACGGGAGTATTGCCGATATGCTAGTTCTACTCCACACCGGCTGTCCGGCTTGACGGGCGCCGTTCACTTTCCTAGGCCTATTACGATCAACTTACCCAGCATGTGCCGGAGAAATCACTCCTCATTTGCTCTATCTCTGATGAGATGAAATTATCTGCTTGGGAAGCTGATGGACCGAGCAAGGAATGGTGCGTTGTCGGGACCCCATCTCGCAGCTAGAAAGAATATTCGTCGGTCGTCTAGAGTAATGATTCTCGCATTTCCATCCGCCAAGCTTCTTCTCCTTCAGCCTCATTTCAATCATGAAGTCCAACACTCTCCTTCCCATTCTGGGCCTGTCGGGCAGTGCTCTGGGTGCCGTTGTTGCCCGGAACGCCCAGGAGCCCTTTGGCTACAAGTCGGGCTCCAAGGAGTCCATTGCCAACCTGAAGGACAAGATTGAGAATGTTGTTTGGATCCTGCTGGAAAACCGTGCATTCGACAACGTCCTGGGTGGTGTTCACAAGGAGGGCCTGGACAATGTTGTCAACAATGGTCCCTTCTGGAACCCTCAGCTGGTGAATGAGACCGATAGCAAGAAGTGGTACAATGTCTACAAGGATTTTGACTCGGTCCTTCATGACCCTGACCACTCTGTTACGGGTAACAACTTTGAGTTCTACGGAACTTATAACCCGGACAACAAGGCTATTTCCAATGGCTCTCTGAAGCCCGACCTGAAGGGCTTTGTTGAGCACCAGATGGCCTCCTACCCCTCCATCTCGGCCAAGCTTGCCACCGAGGAGGTCATGGGATACTATTCCGAGAGCGAGATCCCGACTCTCGTGGACCTAGTTGACGAGTTCACCACCTTCAACTACTGGCACTCGTGTATTCCCGGCGTAAGTTCATTCCAAAGAAAATAGCTTTTGTTTCCAAAAAACTAACGAGCGCATAGCCCACCAACCCGAACCGTCTCTGCGCTGTCGCCGGTACATCCGACGGCCATGGCTCAAACGACGAGAGCTTCGATGTATCCGGCATCGACACCACCAGTATCTTCGAGGTCGCTTCGAAGAAGGGCATCTCGTGGCTGAACTACGACGGCACCAACGGCGACTTCCTGCCCGATGCCCTGTTCTTCAACTGGACCGCGCAGAACGCCAAGGACAACGTTGTCCCTCTGGAGAACTTCTACCAGGATGCCTACCTGGGCCTCCTCCCCCAGCTCTCCTACATCAACCCATCCTGCTGCGGCCTGAACACCAACTCCATGCACCCGTCCGGCAACGTCTCCTTCGGCCAGGTTCTCGTTAAGCAAGTCTACGAGTCCATCCGTGCCGGCCCCCAGTGGGACAAGACCCTCCTTCTCCTCACCTTTGATGAGTCTGGTGGATTCTTCGACCACGTTGCTCCCCCTCTTGCTGTCCGTCCTGACGACAAGACGTACACCGAGACCGCTCCCGATGGAACCAACTATACTCTGACCTTCGACCGTCTTGGTGGCCGTATCTCTACCTGGTTGATCTCTCCCTATGCTCCCCAGGGCCATATTGAGAACTACGGTGTTGACCCCGTTACTGGCCAATCTCAGTCTTACAGTGCGACTTCGGTCCTGAAGACTCTGGGTTATCTGTGGGATCTTGAGGACTTGACTCCTCGTGTCGCGCACTCTCCTGCCTTTGATCACTTGATTGGTCCTAACGCTCGTTCTTCGGCTCCTGAGACTTTGGCTGTTCCTAAGCCATTCCCTGATGCCGTTTAAGCTTTGGAATTAAGGGATATGAGTTTGGATGCGATATAGTGGTTCTATATTATGCTTAAGGGTTGATGTACAAAGGATGCCATGATACGATCAAAAATCTTAATTTCGACTGTTTCATGTGAAAATTTGCTGGAACTTTTCATAAAGTAGTAGTCAATATGAACCTCTTAAGATGACCGAAAGAGAGCATGTACGATTATCTACAAGAAATGTGGTGAGCTGACCAGTCGTAGATGGCCTTTATGGCCTGACAAATAAGGCTAAAACTGGATCGAACCTCCACACACCTCCGCCTGTCCATCTCCAACTTGAACTATCAAGCGTGGATACCGCTACCACTGCGAGTCTGGGTACTGCCGTGACGCCCGTTTACAACGCGCAGGATGCCTGGCAGAGCCTGGGGGTGAAGAATGGCGCGGTGGATCATCTGTGCGAGGAAAATCAGGACATTGATGCCCCTGTCCGGGTCCAGAATATTATTGCCATCATGGCAGTGGACCTGGAGGGCAAGGACGAAGGCGAGGCTCTGAAGCGATGGTACATCAAACGTGGCTTTGAAGAAAGCAGTCGATTGGAGAATGTTGGTTATAAAAGACACTGGTAAGTTGACAGGCGGTTCCTTAGATCATAATGATTTGATGCTATCATCTATAGCCAAATAATTTTAATTGAAGGAATGGTAATTATCTCGTGATACGATTCATTTTCATTCCCTGCCCTCTACACTATAATCAAGTGACCCGACAACCTAGAAGATCACACTCAAAACCAAGAGTTCGACTTTAAGCCGGACCAAATTGACGGGCAATATCTCAAACCCGCCCAGACGGCCACTCCGAAAGTCGGCACAGCTACCAAACTGAGTCTGAACACACTAACTATGACTTTTGACTTCAGGAAGCCTTCAACCCGGGCTTTGAACTTCTCTGGCTCATTCCGATCGGGATACTCCTCCGTTGGAATCGGCAGATCAAGGAAAGGGCAGATCTTTTCCCAGTTGAGTCCGTCACTGAGTTGAATGTGACAAAGACGGTCAGCGGGGACGATGGCTTTAACTGTTTTCACGCTAGAAAGAAATGTTAGTCTGATCTATCCAGCCTCATCCGAGCGGGTACTCACTAGTCGGTATACCACTTCTGAAGCAGGCGTTCATTGTCCGGATGTCCAGGCATAGTACAACCAGTGAGTGCGCCATACATGACCTTATTGAGAGTGAAGAATTCGTAGAGAGTGGTGTCGAAATATTTGAGGATAGAAAATGGGAAACGGTCGCCCGCAGCCACGACTCCCGCGACTGTGTTGTTGACAGAAACTGCCCACTTCTCAGGCGGCCTCTCGGTAAAGATGAATTTGACATCCGGGTCTTGGGCGTAAGCTTGAATAAGATCCGGTCCCACGTAAGACGGGATCTCGACCACGCACTAGCTCGTATAATTCAGAATTAAGTTTCTTTTCCTTCCTGGGTGCGGATGAAATGCAATAGGAACTCACGTCGTAGTCAGCTAACCACTTATCGTAATCGGCTTTTGTGTATTTCTTGATTCCAGACAGTCGATTGTGTTCAGAGGTGACCGCTTCCTTCAAAACCTTCATATGGGGCACGCCACCTATGGCACAGCACTCGTACATATGGTATGGCTTGTAACCCAAGATTTTCATCGCCTTGTAAAGACCGAGGGTTCCTGACCTAAGAAAACAAGATTTTGGTTAGTTGAACAGAATGAAGTGGAGAACGGGTCTAGCCTTACCGACTAGCGCTCGCAATAATCACTTTCAACTTCTTACTTTCCCGCGGCGCGGGCCACTGATCGATGTTTCGCGACATATCGCCGAGTTGACTTGCAGAGATGAAAAAGAAAAGACGGAAGTAAAAATTTGCTTTTTGGAACCAGTGTTCACGGAAAAGCCTCCTTTCCTTAAATACTGCAGAGTGGATCTGTTGTCAGACTATACGAGCGGCTGAAGCCAGCCACTCAGCAAGGTCTTAGCGCCAGAGGTGCGTGCCCTACTGTCGGGTTTCATTTATTGCCGGGCCAATCATATACAAACATTAAAGTTCATGTTGAACGCCCGAGCAAATTACAATTCGTGGCACCAATAATCGGTCGGGCTCGAGATTAAGCACTTCCTACATATGGACTTGAATACTCTCTCGGAGCACGGTTCAATTTTGCCTTATATGTTGATGGTATTTGCTTAGAGTCTCTATTTCATATGCATCAACACGTGGTTAAAATCCATACAAGCAATGGGGAAATTTGATTCCCGAGGAGAGCCAGCCAGGCTTCGGCGGAAGAAGTAGCCAGATTGAGAATGGTACGGAGCTATGTGGAACTGAATATGTAGGCTACAGATACTAACAGAGAGCACGAGTATATAATATCATTTAGATCTAACACACAAACAGAACCTTGGGCTCGTGGCCAGTGCGAAGCTTTGCAACCGCACAAGTCCAGCAGAACTGCCTATCCACTGGCAGGCAGATGCATTCATATTTCCGGGAGGATGCAATGCCTACTGTGGCTAGTCTGACCATCCACTGCCAGTATCGACTTCTGTCACATGAGCCTGGTGTTGAACGGAGCACCAGGAAGCCCTCCGGAGGATCAAGGATTTCCTCCCAACAATCAATGGAAATCATGCCCACGCCTGCCGCTGTGAAGCTCGGATCATGTGAGCACTGTGAGTTGGTCGACTCGTATCTTCCCATTTTCAAGTCCGCCAGACCCTTCAAAATATCCAAATCGCCCACCCATTCACCGCCGTCATTGACAGAGACTACTGTTTCCACATAATAAGCTTCCATCTCCCGGTAGCTGGATGAGCCTACGCTGAGAGGTCCTTGCCAGCCCGTGAAAGACGGATGCAGAGATGTGCCCTCAAACTGGCCTTCAGCAAGCTCTCCATCAAATGGATTATGGTTGACAAAATGCCACCGCTCAAGGTCATGTTTGCGAATGTCGAGCTCCGGCGGAGAAATCAAAAGGGCTATTCCCGGCTTCCCAATATTTCCTAATGCGTGAGAGACTGCGCATGACGATGAGTCTGCGGGAGGAGTTGGATCCTGAAGAATTTCGTCGGCAATGAACAGAGAGTTGCAACTCGATATTGCCAGCACCGCGTTGAGATCAGACACATCCACGCTAATAGTACCCGACTCGAATTGTAAAATTGCCGCAAATGCATATCCGCGCGATAACTGGCTGGGATAGATAGTTTCTGGTATCATACCCTCGCGTGCTTGCTGGTCTGCAAGTGGACTCAAAAGTTCAAGTTCTTCGACCATCGGCAGTGTCCATTTCCAAGTGTTAAGGGGACTTTTGATCACTCCCATCGAAACTGTGGCTTGAGGTAGATGACTCTTATAAAAGTCTATAACCCGCCCAAGTGCAAGGAGAGAATTCCCGTGAGCTGGCTGGTTTGTCTCGATCTGGTGCAGAACGTACTCTGCCACAATATCGAGCCTCAGCAGGTTCCTAGCCAAAAGGCCCTGGACCATTTTGAGGGAAACCTCACTAGAAAACTTTCGTTCCTGAGATGCCGAGGGACTTGTTTGCTTCGTATAAACGGCCGCAAGGCTGTGATCCCCAAAGGCAAAATTAAAAATAACAGTCTGACTAGTCTGAGGGTCATCTTCTAAAAGGTCTGTGAAGATATCATCCTGCAAGCCCGAGTGGAAAGACTGCGGACCGTGCCATTTTGACGCTTCAAGGGTAGCAATGCAGGCCCAGTTTTCTCCAGGCGGAATTTCGAGGGGCCGGATATACTCGATGTCCTGTGCTTCAAAGTATTCCCGTTTTCTTTTCATTCCTCCATGGACAACCCCGGAACTATCAGCTGCTATTGAGGCATAGGCCCAGAGATGGTTCGCGTCTTTGAAGCGAATCACATAGTCCGAGGGCGGGAGCTCCAATTGCGCACATATTTCACGAAGTACTCGAACCCGTGCATCCGAAGTCGTGACCGTGTGAAGCAAGGATGAAAAGTTGGCTATAGAAAAATTGGAAGTGGAACTATTCGTATTTCCAATCCATGACCTGCCGTAGTTACTGCCGTACCGCATGAGCTGCCTTGCCATCTTGACCTCACTGGGGTCACTGGAGAGTAGGAGCTCTATACCGCCTTTCAATGGAAAAATAAGTTGCAAGATTTTCATGAGCTCTCTCAGCGACTGCCGGCCGTCTTGTAGCAAGTCTACCACGTTAAAGCAAGACACGTCATCCGACAGGTCCAAGGGCTTTTCGGCCATTTGAAACAATTTCGCTTGATAGAGATTGTAGTACACCTTCCAGAGACTCTGTAGGATTTCGGCGGCGGTACATGCACCATCATCCGCACCCAAAGACGCACCAAGTAACAATGCTTGAAATTGCGCCACAGATATTCTGGAGTCGCGCATGGTTGACCGCTCTCGCTGGACTGTTCCATAATACCGGAGACTGGATAATGGCAAAGACCAGTATACTCCATCCCCACGATTGGCCTGAGGGGCTATTGAAATAGTGACAATTCCACCCGGTTTAACCAACGGGTCTTGTTGCTGAATTTCCATTGTATTTGAACCCAGAACAACAAGGTCCGGATATAAGTGCCACGAGATCAGACCAAGCAGAATTCCCCCGTCAGTTATCCTCTGGGGCTCGCCTTTGATCAATTTGTCCAGAGTGGTCAAGGCACGGTTGAGGTTCAGCAACACGCTATCATAGGAACTTGGTTTGGAACCAACGTTCTGATCCAAAGAAACCTGAGATTTCACAGCAACGGAGAGATTATTGACAATTAGTTGAGCTTGAACTTGCTCTTTTCTCCGCCCCTGGTCGGCAACTTGTAGCCACGCGCGTGCGCTTGCATCCCAACTTCCTAGTGAGGATCTGTCAATTTCGTGGGCGGCAGCTAGTTGAGCCAGATAGTTGTCGGCAATTTCGGCAGACTGGGCATGTTTCTTGATAATCCTTTGTCGTTGGCTAACAAGCTCTACCCAAATGGCCGTCGCTTCTTGAGGAGACCAGATGCGAGCCAGGATACACGCAAGAAGATGGATGCGGAGTACAGATTTGCCGCTCGTCGCACTTGCCCAAATTGTAGTGCAGTCAATACCAAGATGTGATCCGAAGAACGCATCGACAATGACTTTGGGGCGGTCCATGCTCTGCATGGTCTCCTGTACAATCTCGCTAGCACGGGTTCCATATGCCTCAAGGAGTGTTGGCACATCTGGTAGGACATCGTCAAACAACACACCGAGTCGCCGGGCGAGAATGTGAAATGATCCGTCCTCTGCAGATTCTCGTCTGGCTTTTGAAAGTTGTTTTCCAAGCGGGTGAAGTTCAAGTGGAGCTTCAAATTTGGCCAGGGAGAAATCGAAATTTAGATGAGCGAGGGCAATGTTGGATTCAGCGACTGCATGCAAGGGGGTAGCTATTATGTTTTGAACCGAGGCCGACGTATCGATTGCAAAAATTCACTTTCAATGACAGTTTGTCAAAACCCGGCTTGAACTTCTAGAATTGCCGCTTGGATCGTGCCGTATCGGCGGCACCTACCCCTCAATCTCCACGTGGATCACATATGTTTATCTTCTGCCATACTGTAATGACTCATCTGTTATGTAACGATCCAACTAGAGTACGTGTTATATAACGTTACGAAAATATGTACCTCCAGCACAGGCTTTTCTTAAACAAATTAGCAGTTCTTGGCATTATAATTCATGTTCAAGAATGAAGTCCTGGGAAAAGCGTTGGCACTACATATAGCTTTGAAGCGGTAATTCTATACGAGACCCCGATGACTGTTCTCGTGCAATGTTTACTGTGGATTTACGCAGTAAAATCGACACGAATAGATACAGAAAAGCAAGCTCAAATCATGTACATTCATGCTTCCGTTATTGATCCACCGTGTAACAAAGTTTCTGACTTTGTAACGATACATGTAACGTCGATGCTTAAAGGTCACAACGGAGCTCATAACTTCCATAGCTCTTGTCACCAGCAAGGCACTCGCGAACTTTGACAACATGGTCGTTGAGATGGCAAGTAATATCGTTGTAGACGTGCACTAACAGTGTGTTAGACCATATTTCAGCAAAGAGGTATATCGATGGGAAAACTTACAGGTGCATCCAGGAGTATTCATTTCAAATGAGACAGATCTGATAACGTCGGTGTCACCAAAACTCTGGCACTTGTTGATATCGTAGATACCAAGCTCGCCCAGGTTCTGAGCTGAGCAGCCGGGTTCGCCGTAGAGGCGGAGTTGAGCATATCGGTTGTATGTTCCGGGTGCGGGTGCGGCGTTGGCGCCCATGCCGAGGGCGGCAATAGAGGCAATGATGGTGCTGAAGTGCATTTTGGTGGTGGTTGGGATGTTTGAATGTTGGACTGATCTTGTTGTTGGGTGCTCAAATGTCGTGAGATGGAGCCCTTTAAGTAGTTGCTCTATAGACTTGGCGAGGATCGAGGTGAGCAGTGAGGCAGCAGGCTTAGTCGTCGCCTGAGCATGTATCACGCATAGGCAAAGTGCTCTGAAGTATGACTGCGTCAAGTTTTGAGGCCGGGATGCTACTCTTCGGCGTTGACCTGTGTTCCATTCACGGGTTGTCTCAGTTGGTTACCTCAGTTGGATGTCTAGGCAGTGAGTTGTACCTTGGATATTCGGGAACTAAGGAGCTTTATACTTACAGAGCACTTTTAGTGTATGTTTCAACGTATTCAGTCACGCATAGTGGCCAATCTACGTCATTCCCGAGCGGACCTATGCGACCGATTTGGTTACACTGGAAGTACTCCGGGCCATTCTTGATCTGATTGTGCATACCCTATTCTCTTATTGTCACAACGGATGACCCGTTAGCTCCCCGGCCTCTTCTGTCTGGAAAGGACGAACCATATGTGTTCTATCCTTCCATTGGGGTTGTGTACGAGAACATGCAATACAAGGATCTACGTGAGCGGGGAAAGTACACCGCCAAGTCCAGGGTGAGACAAGTGATCTAATGACACACTATGGAATTCACCAGGCCCCCAGCTTAGAGGCGTCTTAGCACCGGCCCGAATCGAGATCTTGGCGCAGAGTTTCGCCACCCATATTAGGTTATCCAAGGTCGTGTTTTGAGACATCTGTTGATCGAAATGTGGGAGCCTGTAGATCAGGCGATCGGTAGAATATTGTAGCAAATCAAAACACATTTCCTTGATGATTACTGTCTCGTATACCTGTTATTGACTCAAGGCTTTGGATCAGTTTCGTCCACAATCATCGGTGCTTTGCGCTCTTCCTCTCGAGCCCGCTGCACCGTTTCCGAGTATTTCTTGCCCGCGATTATCCACCAGGCGAGCTCGATAGCCAGGAATCCACCAATAACAACACAGGTATAGTTCATGTTAGATGCTAAGATGGGTGTTAGTATTCATCAATATTTGGATCGGAGGTTTCACATACAAGTTGCAGGCATTTCGAACGGGAAAGAGAAGAAAACAATAGCAAAGATCAGCCATAGGACGGAGATGATATTGACCGTCATTCCAGTGAACTGGTTCATAGAGAATGGACCCTTTTGCATGGTCTTGTGGAACAGCAAAACATTGGTCAGGATGGGAACGAGGTAGGCGAGATTGTTAATGGTACTAGCGACAGGTCAGCGTTAGATCTATGGAAGCACGGTCAGGGAATCATTTTCATACACGGCTGAACTCATCATTGCATTGAATGCGGTGCTGGACCCCAGATAGATAAGGCCAAGTAGAGCGATGATTACCCCGACACAAAGTTGGGCATTAAAGGGGGATCCAAGGCGGGGGTGGACACGCGCCCATCTGGAGATAATTCAGTAAAATCCTCGGACGGCTGATAAGTTGTAATTCTTACACTCGAGAAAGTGGGAGACCATCATCTCGGGAAAAGGCCCAGAAGGCTCGCCCAGTACCTAAAATTGGTCAGAAGAAAACCAATCTCCAAAATGATGGTACAACTTACTCAATTGTGACCCGATCACACAGGGTCCCAAGGCGACCCATACCATGAACACCAGGCCAAAGGCTCCGCCCTTGGTAGATGTCGCCTGGAAGAATATCTCAGCTAAAGGTAGTCCCGTCTGTGTATCTACCAGTGAGTTGTAGTTCTGGACAGAAAACATCAAGCTGAGCAAATATGCCAAGCCAGTGACGAGAGCAATGGAAAGAGTGATAGCTGCCAATTATTAACGTTGATGTCAAACTGGAAAGTCGAGATGGGCTTACCTAACCCCAAAGGCGCGTTTTTGCCAGGCTGTGATAATGTTAGAAGATATCGCGTGTGTTCATTTATCGACTTGACTCACATTTGGCATTTCTTCGGTGATGTGCTAGAGCTTGATTAGTATTTCCCCAAGTTGAAGAACAGGGATGGATTTCATACCGAAATGCCGTCCAGTCCACCCAGGGAATATAACGGATTCACCAAGCCCGTGATGAAACACATGACGTTGTTATCCCACCCGGTATTATTGATCCAAGTTCGGAAAACAAATTTGCTATCGTTGTGTACTGGTGCTGAAGCGGCGACAGTGACCATGGTGATGAACCAGGCCAGCTGGAGGTAAATCACTGTTTTCAACGCGATTAGACACTCAAGGTAGATCGATAGACACATGAATGCTCACATGAGAACTTGTTAATCGCAGGAATGAAGCGATTTCCAAACATAACAATACCGGAAGTGACGATGTTCAAGATCTGATACGCCACAAAAGTCATCCACGGCTGAACAACGAGATCTTCATGATAAAGCGCGATCAGTGCCATTGCAGTGGTGGCATAGATCAAGATTGTGGAGGCGGTTGTGAAGATCCCTGAACACTATCAGTATAATTACCGGCGTCCGGCAAGCAGGAATCTCACATCCGAAGACAGTCGACCATCCGGTTGCAAAGCTCAATAAACTATTATAGCGTTTCGGGGCGATTGCGGCGATCCAGTGGTACATGCCACCCTCGGTTGGATATGCAAACACGAATTCGGCGAGGGAGGCGCCGACGAAGGATTGGAGAATCCAAACAAAGATGAAGCCGTAAATCACTGCTACTCGGTCAATTGATGGCGCTTGAGCAAATGGCAAGTTGAAGGCTTACGGGCACCAGGGCCACCGCCATTAATAGCGGTGATCAATCCCAGACCCAGGCCCGTCCAGGAGATGTTACAGTTGGCTGCGAGTCCGATCAAACTCCACACGGAAAAATGTCGCACGAGCTCCTGTTTGTGGCCTATCACTCATTAAAAAGGTTCAATTCATCCAGGTCGCCTATACTCACCCATCTGGGCCAGACGCAACTCGTCCTCATTCTGAACCTTGATTAAATCAGCATCGCGGCTCTTAGAGACCGTCGCCCGCCCGGCGCCAGTAATCTCGGGGGTGCCTATGGTCGCTCAAGTAAGGGGTTAAAACGAAACAACCCGATGAAACGAAAGAAAGAGCACGCGCCGATCGGCCCCGGTCGCACGAGCTTTTTAAATAAGGTCAAGCCATATCTTTATCGTCGTTCCTATAGCTCTTATCGGTCCACAGCGGGCATCCCGGTTGAATTCGCCGGTTTCGCTGGACTGATAGCCGGGGAGGGAGAAGCGGGGACAAATGAGCGTTCAGGAGGCCCGGATCTTAGGTGTGAACAGCAAGGCGACCACCGGTGATCAGTGGGCTTTCCCAGGGCCAACTGTGGAGGTGGCGGGAGAGACTGAGAGTTGCATTTGGCAGTTTACTATTTGGAAGTAACCTTGATCAGTAACTGCGTTTCTGAAATTTGATCACGAGGGTGAACTTCCTGCTTTATATTCACCAGCCCAAGGGTCTAGAGCGCCATCTCCACTGGAGGACATTCTGCATAGCTGTGTATCCTTTCGAGTATACTTGCATGATAACGGATATTCTTTATCTCGAAATGTACATCACCGGGTCTATATTATGAAAGCAACTATCGGTACATTCACGGAGTGCTCTTCATTCGTTGAATCGTGCCACCACCTCAAGCCGCAGCAATTATCTTCAATGGCGTTCTAGTTTGGAACGCGTGTGACTCTCCTACAACAGAAACACAGATCTTCAGCTCCAAAAAATGCGTATGTCGAATGCTGCAGGAGTTGAAGTCGGGGTATATTGTGGTCGCTACCCACGAACACAGATCACGCTTGCCAGCACTCAAACCGTTCGAATGAAGAACAAGTTGGATGGCATTTCCGACATCAATGGATCCGCTGCCTTTCTCAGTACAAACGGCTAAGGGGGTCTCGAGATCCTGAAAAACCTTCCATAAACCCAAGTCATGAGATCGTTCCTGGTGATCGCCGCGAGGTGAATCGCTCAAGTGACCGGGCGCGAGTACTTCTGTTTCGAATAGAAGAACCGCTGAGATCGAGTCGATGTGGACCGTCTGCGGAACTTCTCGAATAGATAGACTGGTTTTTTCGCGAAGCGATTTGATCGCCAGAATCAGTGGGAAGGGCTCGGGATGATCGAGCTGGATGACACTTGGTGCGGATACAATGAGGTTGTAATGAAATTCAGGCACCTTGGATGAGCCGACTAGCTTGAGTGTCTTCTGTTTGAATGAGAGTTCAGAGGTTTCCATCCCTGGTTGTAATCTCTGGCTTTGGACTTTGAGATCCGGGGAAGTGCGAGTGACCAGGCTGCGGAGCTGGGAATAATCGAAATTCCTCGCAAGATGCCGGAGGATAATAGGACAGTTCGCACGATGGACTATATGAGAGCCTCCGCGCTTGTAGTGTATTCGGGCATCGAGAGTATATCTGATGCTGCCCTCGGCGGAAAGACCGATGCTTTGGCCCGACGAGAAGAATGAACCTGGTAGGCTGACTGGCGGTGGGAAGCCATGTTTGGAGATGTAAGGTCTCTTTGGGGGATCAGCAATCTGAATTGGTATTTCGATTGAGAATGGCCAGCTGAGTGATTGGTCGCTATTTTTTGGAAGATGAAGAGGTCCTTGGAAGATGATCTCTTGGATAGGCTCAAGTATGTCGAATTCGTCGGTCCATTTATTACTATCGGACATCTGGGTACTGTTGCGGCCATTTTGTGCGATCGTAGTTTTGATGCGTCCAGAGAATGTAAGTCTTAAAGTGGCTTCGGTAGCTACTATAGGGGCCTTCCGTATTAGATGCCCGATGATGGTGTCGCCGGGAGAGAATTCCCACCGTGGAGGCGCTGCCAGCTCGATCTTCAAGTCTTTATCGTTAGTGTTGTGGCAGTCGAACATTTCGCGTCAAATTTCAAAGAAGAAAGATCCCAGTCGAGAGCACTTGCAAGACCTGTTATAGTCGAACTGGGTTGACGTCAGGTGTTTATGGGGACAAAATCGATTTACATGGGTAGTGGGCACTGCCACTGATGCCATGCCTCGCCAATCCCGCCGAGCAGCAAGGCAGTGCTCATCGCGGAGAAAGCATACGATACTACTGCGCCCCGGTCTAAAAATATTAGCTCAGCGATCTATTCAAAGGATTATTGGGGTCCAAAAAGTACGACAAGAGCCAACGCATTTTGTGGCTGTGTAATACACCAGATGCCCGTGGGCCGGGGCCCCTAACTGGTCGTGTTGACAAAGAGCACATCACAGAGATGCTACCTGCCCTAAACGAAGGATTTAACGCGCCACGTCAAGCGCCAAATTATACCCCTAAGTTATCTATCTATCCTTGGTGATAGAAAACCATGTCGGCCAAGTGATGATCTTGCTGCAGAAGCGATGACTGGAGTGGCTTCTCCGGCCCACGAAACGAGGTACGACCGAGCAGCGGAACAAATCCTCTGTAGATAAAACCAGAGTGAATGAAGGACTCGAGAAACTACCGATCCTCAACACGTCTGGAGAACTGCTCGAGTTGAGAGCAAGTGGTACACATCACGTGCTCGCTTCTGCTCAGAAGGGAAAGGGAGTTGATGCGGTTTAAGCTTGGGATGTCCGCTCCCCCGCTTCGCCGTTTCGAGTTACGTACGTGCATATAGCTCTCCGAGCTTCCCCGCACTAATACTGAATTCGCGGTTCTAATCCCCTCTGCAATTGTTTTCTCGTTGCAGTTATCGCGGGCACAATGCCTAGAGTCATTCAATCACCCCGCCGTGTTCGATTTGCCCCTTTCCCTCAGGTGTCACTCAGTCCCAGCAATGCAAATCCAATATTGCCTTTAGATGATTTTGCATCCAATTTGGGTGATGTAAGCTGTGATTCCGAGGAGCTTGGCAAATCTGATGTTTAGTTGGTATGGTGTGCTCATTATTTGCAGGTTGATCAGTCGGTAGTTCTAGCCGCACTATCTGATATCGAGCAACTAAGCCCTCCCCACAACCGATCTCGATCTACAAGATGTCAAAGCGGCCAAGGCGAAGCTGATGCAAATGTTGCAAATGTGATACCACCGCGTCCGAGCATTGCACATATTTTTATCAATAATGAATGTTTCATGTCCCGGTCGAAAGAATGGACGAGAGTCCTTGACCCGGTGAGATATTGTTAAAACTTCCGACCCGCTTCTTCCTGGAATGCTGATACTAAACATGGAAAAGGGTACGCAAGCCCTGTTTTCTAAAGTGCCGAATTGTACACACCAGGAAGTGCAAAGCGCAGTAAGCGCAGCCCAGGCGGCCCAGCCGGACTGGGAGGCATTGGGATTTCAATGCCGAAGGGATTATCTTCTGAAACTCATTGATGTTTTGAGAGAGATGTCAAGTGAGATCGTGAGACTTACAATCTCCTTACTCAGATGAAGTCACTGACAATCTTTTCTATGCTCTTCACAGATGGCAATTTTATCGCGTGAAGTTGGAAAAACAGCCGGAGAGGCAGAGTCCGAAATATTCCGAGGTCTTGATTGCATCCATGCAGCATGTTCAATAGGCGCTGAGATGGCGGGCATGTTCCTCGGCTCTGATCCCACTCTTCTTCAGACTTTCTATGAGCCACTAGTAGGTCCTGCGAATACTCCTCCTGGTCAATTGCTGATGATGCCTAGGGTGTCTGTGTTACAATCACGCCGTTTAGTTTCCCATTCATGACGCCACTCTGGTCCATTCCATACGCCCTTATAACTGGAAATACAGTGGTTCTCAAGCCATCAGAAAAGGCCCCTTCCGTATCATGCCTCATGAGCGAAGCGGTGCTCCGCGCCGGACTCCCACCCGGAGTATTCAATCTTGTCCACGGAGGCCATTCAGTTGTTCAGATGCTTATCCTGCAGCCTATGGTCCAAGCAGTTAGCTTCGTTGGCTCGGAGTCAGCAGCAAAACAGGTCCACGATATCTCACGCAAAGCTGGAAAGCGGATCCAAGCGGAGTGTGGAGGAAAAAATCACGGTGTTATTCTGGATGATGCGAGCATGATGCCGACGTTATTTGCGATCGCTGGGAGTGCATTTGGAGCTGCAGGACAGCGATGCATGTCTCTAAGTGTTGTTGTGTTCGTTGGTGAAACGCGAGAATGGATACCGAAGCTGGTTGAGATAGCTCAATCCATGATCGTGGGGTATAGCGGTGATGAAGAAACCAAAGTTGGCCCGCTTATTGATCGGTTCGCGAAGGAGAAAGTCACGGGTTTCATTGATCGTGCGGCCGAGGAAGGTGCTACTCTTCTATGTGATGGGCGGGATGCACTCGTTCCTGGTTACCCGGATGGAAATTTCGTTGGCCCCACGATTATCACGGACGTGGAGACCTATATGGAGTGTTATCAAAGCGAGATATATGGGCCCGTCCTCATCTGCATGCAGGTTGACACGCTCGATGAAGCTATTGATTTGATCAATCAAAATAAATGTAAGCGATTTCCTGATGAGATATGTCCGGTCCACATGTTGACGCGTTCAGATGGAAATGGATGCTCTTTGTTCACCACCAGTGGCAAGCATGCAAAGACCTTCCAACGGGGAGTCAATGTTGGACAGATTGGAATCAACATTCCCTTAATCGGTAGGATCCCAAAACATCCGGCTCTCGGTACAATTAACTTACTCTGCTAGCTCCGTATGGAACCGCCGTGAGAACAAGTAACAAAGGGTCCTTCATGGGAGGTAAGCGCCGACCCTGTTTTGATCCGAATTCAGATCACCATATATCCTGGAGTGCAGCTCACATTCAGCAGATCGACACGTTCCGGGGAAAACGTACTGGCCATTTTTTACAACCACCAAAACAGTGTCCGCCCGGTGGGATCAATAATGAACACCGGAGAAGGGTGTAGATGCCGCTCTTAAGGATCAATAAAGATCAAATAAACTATATGAAACATGTTAGGCATCCAATAAGACATCATCGAGCCTCATCCATTGAATCGACATGTAAAAAGTGTGTATACTGGAATAAACCAGAGTTATCATAAGTGTGGATGGATAAGGAAAAACAATGCAGACTCGGCAGTTTTCGACACGCTCTGATTCCGCCATCATGTCACTATGATGGAACAACCCGACTGTTTGACAGTTAAAGTGTTCAACTGGCGTCCTGTGGTGGATGGATTGGTGTGAACGAGCTGAGCCTCAGATATCGGTATGATATGATAGAGAAGGAAGACCGAGGTATTTCCGGTAGACATTGAGGGCATCATATGAATGTTGTCCGGGGGTTCTTCATGGTGAATATTTGGACAGATGTTGGCTTACTGGGATTAAGGTAGCTGCCCACAAATTACTTAAAGGAAACACAATCCATGACAGAAGCGGGGTTAAGTTGGCGCGGATACTTGGCGTCACCCGAACGCCTATCTCTGATACCAGTCGCGGTCTGATAGAGATAAATGGCTTATCACCCTGCTTATCTTTTTTGATTGCTTGGATAAATTCTTGTCCTGGTCCTAGGTTACAACGAGGCGAAAAGTACATTGGATAGTACTCAACTACTAACTCCCCCGCAGCTACATAACAGAAGCTCCCACCTCTCGACAAGGCTAGCAAAGATGACAGAAACACATCTCCTGTGGATGGCTGGTGAAGAGCTCCCAGGTCAAGGTGAATTGTACGTCATCCATGAGATCACTCTTCTATCGACTATTGCTGATGGGTCTAGAATCCCTGTACAGGATCCTGCGACGGGCGAGACCTTTGCCCTGTAAGACCACTCCTGGCCAAAGCTGTTTATGATCTCTGACACTGGACAGATGCCATGCAGCGGCTGCGGTTGATATCTCCCAAGCAGTAGGAGCCGGCCATTCAGCTTTCCTGTCGGGCGTCTGGTCCCGTGCAAGTCGCCATCATCGTGCCGACGTGCTCGACAAATGCGCGACTCTTCTTGCAGACGCCCTGCCCCAACTCATTTCTCTGGAGACGAGACAAACAGGCCGTGTAATTCGTGAGATGAATGCTCAGGTTCCGTCGCTCGTGAAATGGTTCAAATACTACGCCTCCATTCTTCGCGTTGAGGAACGCGCTGTTCTCCCCGACCAGCGGCAAGTTGCACAACTTTGTTGACCGTCGTCCTTTGGGAGTGGTGGTCCAAATTACCCCCTTCAATCATCCTCTACTTATCGCGGTCAAGAAGCTAGCTCCAGCCCTTGCCGCTGGTAATAGTGTCATCATCAAACCGAGCGAATTGACTCCCTTGAGCACCCTTCTTCTGGCGAAGATTCTTCATCAAGCTGGACTCCCTAAAGGCGTTCTCAGTGTGCTCCCTGGCTATGGCGCCACGACTGGAAAGACTTTAGTGTCGCATCCTCTCGTGAGGAAGGTTGACGTCACGGGCGGCACTGGGGCTGGGAAGGCCATCGGGTCGATTGTCGGTGGAAACCTTGCAAAATACACTGCAGAGCTCGGTGGCAAAGCGCCATTGGTCGTCTTTGAGAAGGCAAATATCGACGCTGCGGTGAATGGTGTTGCATTTGGAAGCTTTATTGCAAGTGGACAAACCTGCGTCGCCAGCACGAGAATTATAGTGCAGAACTCAATCATGAGCCAAGTCGTGGAGAAGTTGAAGATAAAGGTACAAGGCATCGCGAGTCGAATCGGAGCTCCAACGAATACCGATTCCATGATGGGATCTCTTATCTCCGAAAAGCAGCTTAGAAATGTGGAAAGGCTGGTCAACGGAGCACTGGCGAGTGGGAACGCAATCAATATCTTCGGGGCAACGCGCATGACCGGAAAGAGTCCACTCGATGGATTTGATTTCGACAGGGGCTCATTCTACTATCCAACCGTCCTTCTTTCTAAAGAAGGACAAAGTGTTCTGAATGACCCTATCTGGTACGAAGAGGTCTTTGGACCTGTGATTGTTGTGGTCGGGTTTGATATCGAAGAGGAAGCTATCAATTTGGCAAATCGCAGCGAATTCGGATTAGGAGCCGGTATCTGGACTCAAGACCTCTCACAAGCATTTCGGGTCTCCGAGCAAATCGACGCCGGAATTGTGTGGGTAAATACCCATCATCGGAATGATCCCAGTAGCCCTTGGGGAGGCTCCAAATCTGCCAGCGGCGTGGGAAGTGAGAATGGAATTGATGCATATCACGCCTACACCACGACGAAGAGCACTATCATAAACTTTGCGACCGCGGAAGAGTCTTTGGAAACAGAGGACTGGTTTGCGTCCGCTTCAACGAATGTCAGATATGGATGAAGCTGGAGCTCTAGAAAGGAAGAGTGCGTACTTAAAGCCTCTCTTTCACACCTTTCGAGGAAAGTCACTACCTAGGTAGAAACTGAGGCCAATCCCGCCCTAAGATCAAGCACGAACAGGATTAGCAGCCTGCTTGGGCTGCAACTTCGGAATCTTCAAAGAATGGAATTTCCTTTATGATTACTTTATACTTTAAAGCAAACTAGTGCGCCACGTCTTCCCAGTTCTGCCATCCACGGCCCTTCACTTGTGACAATTCCTCATCTGTATATTTCTTGCCAACTGTAAAGTACCCAGCGTTGATCTTAGCATCAATTTCAACGCGGGAGTCTGAAGGAATCATGTCTGTTCCAGAGTCAGTTAAACCGTGCAACACAAAAAGGCAGTTTGGCTGCCACTTACGGTCTGGGATAGGAATTCGTTCCAAAATAGGGATACCCTGCTCCACAATGGCATCATGTTTCATGTTAGACATAGATAGCATGCGATCAATCTTCTTGATCCCCAACCACTGAAGAATATCTGGCATGAGAGCCTGGAAGCGCATCTGTTTCAAATACTGTTAGTTTCGGGCCCACGAAGGCTTGAGAATAGGTCACTCACGTCTCTGACACCTGCAATATTCTCCGTTCGAGTGAAGTATTTATCCGCAGTATCGCCACCACGCTTGCGGGCATTATAGACAAGATATTTGACGACTTCACCAAGCGCCCTCCCCTCTTTTCGGAAGTAGATCACAACTCCTGATCCACCATTCTGCGCCTCTTTAATAGCCTCTTCAATACCAAAGGCCAAATAAGGTCTGCAGGTGCAAATATCAGACTGGAAGACATCCGACCCATTACATTCATCATGAATACGGAGAGCGAGCTTGACATCCGGATTGGACACCTTGTCGGGGGATCCGAAAATATACACCGTCAGGCCACCAATAGGAGGGAGAAAGACTTTGATATCCGGTCGAGTAATCAGTTCCGGGAAACTTCCACCACACTGTTCGAAGAGTGTTCGGCGAAGGTCACCCTCGTCAATACCGAATCTCTCAGCGACTCCCGGCAGATACCAAACAGGCTCAACAGCAGCTTTCGTGACGCGCACATCACCTTCTTTACTGATGACAATATCTCCATCAACTTCGAGGCGACCTTCTCTGATGGAATCCGTAATCTCAGCCAAGCGCATCGTAGCCTTCGTGACCGCGATTGTAGGACGGACATCGAGTCCTGCATCGAGGTGCTTCTTATAATGCCGCACAATGTCGTGACCAAATGGATCCATTGAGACAATTTTGGTCTTGTCTCCCCATGCCGGCTGGGCTGGGAAGTTGAAGATGGGTTGGGTGTTTTCAAAACTTGGCTTGAAATTCCGGGGAAGATCACCGGCGGCGATTGCTAGTGCGTTGTAGACGGAGTAACTCCCACCATGTGCGCCTATGGCATTTCGTCGAGTGATTGTCTTTGTTTCACGCGAGACTAGAACGGGACCTCGCTCTTCGGGGTTTCCGTTGCCCCAGTCTAAGGGAATGGGATCGACGACGCTCTGGCCCGGGTATGTTGTCAACTATTCTATATTAGCTGAACGATCAATGGTAACAGGATGAAGGCGAGGCATTTGACCTACAATGATGCGATCACCATTTGAGTGACTTGATTTGCCATTTTTTTGTTCGACGGCCATGGCGAAGAAATCGATGGACACGCTTAAAAAGGAGACGTGGAATTGGATGACGGTGACTTTTGGAGAGTTATGACAGGAGATCTTTAAATAAAAGTGAATGGGATTCCCCTCACTTCGATCGCAGGCGCAGTATGCAGTCTACATTGTTTGGTGTCTATCTGCATCGTATCTCATGATAGGGGCGATAAGATTGGATCAATGCCGATAAGTCTTGAGTTGAGTCTTATCGGCTTATCCTGTCGACCTTTATCGTCTTATCAGTCTATCTTCGTCCGTGCTAATCAATCGGTCTATCTAGCCTTGGGGTCCAGCCTGGACTGACACCATAATTGCGGGGTAGGCCTTGGCTGCATCTAATGAAATCACACCGATCGCTAGCTACTCCTGGTCTTATCGTTCATCTCGAAGTGTGAAGGACACCCAAGAAGTTGAAAATATATACCAACAGACATTACAAGAAACATGACGCGGGAATCGGAGTCAACCGTGGGAAAGGTTGTTTTGGAGACTACCGCAACATCTTTCCCCTCCTCTCACAGAAAGATAGCCGAACCAAATGATACACCTTACTTCGTTGAAAATGAATTCCGGCTCTCGACTGCTGAAAGCTTCATCGACGTCCATGACCCTGCAACCAACAACGTGGTGACAAGAGTTCCCCAAATGACCAAGCAAGAACTGCAAGATGTAATCAGCTCTGCACAGAAAGCATTCCCGTCATGGAAACGTACATCTGTGATTGCCCGGCAGCAAATCATGTTCCGTTTTGTCGCTCTCATTCGCGAGAACTGGGACCGGCTGGCAGCTGTAATCACCCTGGAGCAAGGAAAGACTGTCGCAGATGCCAAGGGTGATGTGTTGCGCGGTTTACAGGTCGCTGAGGCTGCTTGTTCTGGACCCGAATATATGAAAGGCGAGATTCTCGAGGTGGCCAAGGATATGGAAACGCGGACCTATAGAGAGCCTCTCGGCGTTGTTAGTGTTATCTGCCCTTTCAGTAAGTAGCTTGACTTCCCCTCTCCCATCTCTATCACTTTTTGCTGATCCAACGAGCAGACTTTCCTGCCATGATCCCCTTGTGGTGCATTCCGATTGCCACCATCACAGGGAATACGGTAGTCTTGAAGCCCTCAGAGAGAGCTCCCGGGGCTGCAATGATCCTAGCGGAGTTAGCTGAGAAAGCTGGATTTCCCAAGGGCGTGATCAACGTGGTTCACGGTGCCCACGACACGGTCAACATTCTGCTCGACGCACCCGAAATCAAAGCAATCAGTTTTGTCGGTAGCAATAAAGCTGGAGAATACATATACGAAAGGGGATCCGCCAATGGCAAGAGAGTACAAGCAAACCTGGGTGCCAAAAATCATGCTCTGATTCTTCCTGATGCGGATAAGGAGCAGACCCTTGACGCAATAATCGCTGCAGCATTCGGTGCAGCCGGACAGCGTTGCATGGCACTTTCCGTCGCTGTTTTTGTTGGAGAGACAGCCAGCTGGCTTCCCCAACTCGTGAGACGTGCCAAGGCCCTCAGCGTCAATGGAGGATTTGAAAGCGAAGCGGATCTCGGGCCAGTCGTGACGCCGCAGAGCAAGGCACGTATTGAGAAACTTGTTGGGAGCGCCGCGAGCGAAGGTGCCAATATCCTTCTCGACGGTCGTGGCATCAAGCCGACATACTATCCTAATGGCAACTGGGTCGGTCCGACAATCATCACGGATGTTAAGCCTTCTATGGAATGCTACAGAGAGGAGATATTCGGTCCGGTTCTATCGTGCATTACAGTGGATTCTCTTGACGAGGGTATTGACTTGATCAATCAGAACGAGTATGGTAATGGGGCGGCTCTGTTCACGTCGTCGGGGATTCATGCCGAGAGATTCAGGAACAATATCGAGGCAGGGCAGGTAGGTGTCAATGTGCCGATTCCTGTGCCGCTCCCCATGTTCTCGTTTAGTGGAAACAAAAGGAGTGTTGCTGGTGGAGGGTCTAATACGTTTTATGGGAAACCGGGTGTTAATTTCTATACCCAGTTGAAGACTGTCACGTCGAAGTGGACAAGAAGGGATGTCGAGCCCTCAACAATGGGGCTGTCAATGCCGACGCATAGTTAAATTTCTATTTCAACGATGATAGCTGTATTTAAATGTTTTGGGTTTGATTCAAATTCAACTACTAGGCAAATGGTCATTTATTTCATTGCCCTTTCATCAAAAATCGCCTTTAAGTTGGCATGGGGAGCCAAACTGAAGTATCCATTCAGCAAGGCAAGAGGTGCTCCCACTTTATGAGCCTTCAAAGTACATAGAGATTCCCTACACTCCGGGGAGGGCTATGATTACTTTTGATATTTAAACTCAAGCCGATTTCTTGTTTTATAGCAACTACGCATTCTTGCGGGAGAGGAATTCCTAAAAATATACAAAGACGGCTCGACAGACACGGGTAATTCGCTCGCGCGCTCTTTCTGCTCAAATTGTGGCTCGCTTATGTTCGTCACCAGCTAGAGAACACACAGAAAAGCCATGTCATGGAGTAAATAGAGACGAATAGGTAGATGGGTGGTTTCATTTACCCCGGCCCCTCGCCGAAATTGATTTTACCACTAGACCAAAATACGAATCCGCCGCACTTAGTCTGCTGGATGGTGGTGGAGTGGGTGCTTGTTAGGCTGTCACTCCGGTAGGCAATAGGGAGATGAGCTACTGATGCTCTGAGACTTCGGATTGTGGTGGTGCGAGCTGTATTCCGGCTGTAATCTTGCCGAGCAATCGCTTATCAGATTACATATCTTATCGCCAGGGACGATAAGTTTCTCAATGTAAGAAAGTTTATCGGTAAATGCGGGGTCTAGGAAGATAATCAGGCTGGGGTTGCAGTCTTCAGTGGGGACTCCAAACCTGAAATTTGCACTTAGGTCATGAGACCAGCTGCAGATAGTGGCAAAAGCCTGATTACGAGGGTCCAGGTACCTTGTTTTATACCGAAGCATCAACAAATCGAAGTTTGTTTGATTTTGCCTCCCAAACGAAATTGTCTGCATCTATTGAAACGCATATAGTCCTAGTTGTTCCGATTGAAGCACTCTATCATGCACAACGGCCGCAAGAAAGATAGTTGTGACAGATCCGTCACCAACAATCCGGCATTCGAAAATGAGCGAATGTTTGTGTTGCCCCAGGGCAGTCATCTTTTGAGTCTGATGACGATACTCCGGGACGCGAACACCAACAGCACATTATTTGCGGAAACAACCGAAAGGGTGGGCGATCAGCTTATTGCCGCGGGTAAGCCATCTCCTTCCCATTCGATAAGGAACGCCCCAAGCAGTGTCTAACGGAAAAATCAATGCAGCTCTTGACTTTGTACCAGCTGAGAGCACAAATGTTGTCAGTCCCACAGGCACTACATATGAGGGAATACGGCACATGACTCCTGTATGTGGCGTGAGCATACTCCGAGCAGGAGCGAGCCTGGAAAATGCCATGCGCCGCGGATATACGTATGGCCACTCCACCTTGCCCTGATCGACCACGACTGACGGTGTCAGGTAGTGGCCCTCTCAGCTTTGGCAAGATTTTGATTCAACGTGACGAAGAGACATGTCTCCCGACTCTTTTTTACTCCAAGTTTCCACCGAACATTGCATCTCAGAGTACGCCATTTCCAAAGTTCTTCTGACTAGGTAGATATGTTGAGTATTTGGATCCGCTGACCATGATACTTGTTATTAGAAGTCATAATACTTGAGCCTATGGTGGCAACAGGAGGCTCTGCATGCGCCGCAATCGATGTGATAACCGAAAAGGGCGTTCCAGAAGAAAACATTATGTTCGTCAATATTTTAGCATCCCGTCGCGGAGTCAAGAGTCTTTTCAATCGGTTTCCTGGAATACGCCTTGTTACTGCTGCTGTCGATGAGGACCTGACCTCGAATAAGTGAGTAACAAAGAGTCGGATGGTGTAGTATTGACATTGAAGCTAATACCCGCTAGTCATATTAATCCTGGACTGGGGGATTTTGGAGATCGGTTTTATGGCACGAATGATCCATAGCTCCTAGGAAATGTCTTGTCAAATTATGAATTGTCTGTACTGCAACATAGTGCCGATTGGATATCTGGATTATTATTTTCTCTCCTCTTTAGATGTCACTTGGGGCAGGAGTGTATTAGTGAGAACTGCTAACTTAAGATGGCTACTGCTCTTTACACTGTTTATATCAGTCTGTTAACATTGACTTGGTGAAGTTGATGTTCTTGCTTATCTTTGATAGAACCACGGGCAGATATTTTCGTTGTATTTTATTCTGAAAAATAGAGGTAAAAATAAGGGAACTTATAAAAACCTCACTTTTCCTCCTTTTATGAAAGCGTTCCCATAACTCAGAATAAAGTACCATCGCCTTCAATCAAAATAGGGCTAGACTTCGACTGAGGTCTGAATTTAGCAGCAAGCTCCCTGCCACCTTTCCAAGTCCCAGCTTCTAGCATTTGCGCCATATTCAGCGAAACCCCTTGCCCGAAAAAGTGATCGCTAAGAAGCTCATGAAGCTTGTCAAGAAGAGCGACCGTCATCGCTCGCCATTCAACGATCACATCACTAGTCGCATCAAAGCTCGGCAGCTCCTTCTTAGAAGACTCCAGTCCCTGCTTCAATGTGGCTTCTTTCAGCTTCAGAATCCCGAGGTCGACAAAAAGCCCACCGTTTCTATACTCTGGAAGCCCGGTGCCGAGTTCTAAATTCTTCCACTCGCGTTGCAAGACTCTCATGAATGGCACTGTTAGTGAATAGGCCATCCATTGGGTTAGTTTGTGGAATGGTTGGATGTTGAGGGTGTTGTTCTCGCTTTCGCTGCCGGTGTTGACGCGTGCCAGAACTTGGAGGGGCCACGCATCTCCAATTGGAACACCGGCAATGTGAGTGCGATCCTTGGGCCAGGCCGGAAGAAGTGTCTTTTGCAAGACTGACCATAAAGTCTCAAAGTCCAGTGACTCTGAGCTGCTGCGGTCATTGGTCAAGTAGTCTACAGCGCTCAGTCAGAGAATTCAATTCCAGCAAGGTGAGGTGCCTTCTCAAACTTACCAACGAGGTTTCCTGGTCGGCCATTTGGTCCAAAGATATCCGGTAAAGCCAGCAAAGACGTACCAACGGCCTTGAGCAACTTGACGCGTGAAGACTCACCCACAATCATATTGTTCGATTGGAGTTGGAAGTGATGATGGAAAGTCTCAAATTCCAAGCCTGCCAATGCATGCCCTGAAAGATAATCAGTTTCAACCTTGGAACCAGATCAATTTCCATTACTCACCATCGACTGACTCGGCCTTCGCGCCTTGGTTGCTCGAGAACGCACCGGCTTTGAACATATACAAGGCCGCGACCGCAATGCCCTCGCTGCGCCCATAGACGTTTCCCGTCTCAGGCTCGGTAAAAGACCAAGTATCACCGGCACCGGCATCAAGTAGCACAGCGACAAAGAAAAGATCAATCAAGCGTCGAGTCGTTTCTTGTTTATTCAATCCCTGGATTTTCCACTCGTGGACGAGACGATCAATCCGCGCGACGCCGCCAACATCAAAATGTTGCCATCGTCCATGAGGTGGGATCTGGTCAAATCTATCGGGGCCAAAGTCTCTCTAGTCTGTTTTAGCATGGAGCCTTGTTTCGGATCAAGGTTGGTCGCGTACAGTTATAATACCGGCAACATACTCAGCCGCCTGTGGCATGAGCGAAGCATCGTAGGCAAAATGAGTGAGTTCGTCCTTTTCGGCAGCTTTCAGGACTAAGTGAGCTCTTTCACGCACTGCCTGTAGGCTCTTGAGGTACTCGATATCAGTCATGGTAGATCGAGGTATGTACAGCGGTCTCGCTTCGTTCAAACTCTCTGTGGTAGGGGGTTGGCCGGTGCTTGCTCTTCCAAGGTCTCTTTTCAATATCTCGCTTTATTTTCCCTTACGTAGCAAGAACTGGATGGCCTGGTGACGCAAGTTGCACTGCAGCTTCCCCGCCGGATGGCCCCGACCGCTTATCAGGCAGCAAACCGCGATATGCGATAAGATACCTCAGGGTTTACGATAAGCGATAAGATCAGAAGACAGGCGGCGTCACCGGTGACCCTAGAGGTCGCGTCACCGATAAGATTGGCCTTATCGGCTCCAAGATTGAAGTTTATCGGTTTATCAGTGTATCGCTTGCTTATCGCTGTCCATAGTGTTTGTACTTGTAGGGTGAGGGGTATATTACTTTGAGTGAATCAGACATATATTATTGAGATCCTTGGATCCCATTTTGAACTGAATATCCCTTACCTGACGTATTCCCAACCTTGGACCTAATCAATCGTCCCGCCAGAATGTCAATCTCAAATATCACATCCATAAGTGACAACGAAGCATCAAAAATCCTCACCCAGCTTCGTGACCAGACTCTCAAGCCCATAGCAGTCCGCCGCCTCGTTGCCAAGCTCACCGCCACATTGACAAAATATGTTCTGAAGACACCAGAACCAGGAGAGCAAATCGCAGTGGTTGTCGTTCTCCGATCCGGACTCGCAATGGCCGAGCCATTCCTAGACGCATTCCCGGAAGACTCGGACGTCGTGACATACCACCTTGGATTATTTCGCGAGAAACAATCCCTCCGTCCTGTTGAATACTATAACAAGCTTCCCCGGAAGAGCCCCCTGATCAAAAGGGCATACATTCTAGATCCACTCGTGGCTACTGGCGGAACTGCGAGGGCCGCAATTGATATCTTGAAGTGAGTACACAGAGGATGGAGGTGAGCAGCAGCAGCTAATTCATCGTGCAGGGACTGGGGAGTGGACCACATCACGTTATTTTCCTTGCTTGGGAGTGCCGCGGGCCTTGAGAACGTTGCCAGTGCATACCCCGAGACTACAGAAATATTCGTGGGTGGAATAGACCCGGACTTGGATGCCAAGGGATATGTGAAACCGGGATTGGGAGATATTGGAGACCGTCTGTTTGGTACAAGCTTGGAGTGATGATGTAGCATAAGCGACGAAAATCCCCGACAAAGTCTTGGTGTAGCTATTTTGAGGTTCAAGGGGCCAACCCATTCCCAGATCGCTACCTGCTCTTGGGACGAAAAGTGCATAGGGTTTTAGATTCTCCACGGAAGGATTCCCAGATGAGGCGATTTCAATGCAACCTAACACCAACTGTTGCGCTATATATGCAGGCAGTAATCTGCGGCTGAGCGGGGGACGATCCGGTAGCCCCCAAAAGGGGAGTCTGACACGTGCAGGCCAATGCGTCACGCCGTTTGAAAACGAGTTCGTGGAACTACTACTTTTAGACACACCGATGGCCGTTAGTTGAGACCTGCTCCGAGACAAGTTTTGAACTCAGCTTCTACGGTGGGTTCTAGAAAGTCCACTCGACATTAGTCCATCTCACACGGTGTTTGGTCGAGAGTGAAACCGTTGTCTTGCTCGTGCACAAAGTATAATATTAATGCCAACTAGCATGGCGTCGAGCGGGTAGAGATACTTGGCTATGATTGGTTGAGGTGGGACATACTGTACATGTGCGCTGCAAATACTTTCACCCCCTAAGATGCCAAGAGGTCTTTGGACCCCAATCCATAGGAACCAACAGAGCCCCGAGAGCTTTTACTGCAGCTAAGCCTCATGGGCCAAGAATAACATGTCTGCCAGAGTCCAACGTCTAAATATCTTTTTAAGGGAGCTGAGCACGCGATGAAATCAGCACGTATGCGGGGGCCGTTGCCCTAGCCTTTCCTATACGAGGCATTGACTCACGGGAAACTCAAGACTACCGTCGGGCGCCCTGTCATAGGCCACAGGCAATGGAATCGTTTCCTGGGAGGGTACCAAACCGGGGGATCCGGAAGGCGGTGGCACCCGTAAATGCAGGGTCCACAGAATCCCAAGTCACAGAAAAAATCCGTGTCTCCTTTGAGCCGCATACCCCCTTTTCCAAGTACCCTTGGGGAAACTGATCTTGTGCCCGATGCTAACCCACATGGCATCTGGGCTGAGAACTATCGAATTCTAGCGGCCCCGAATAAAATTAGGCACGGATTGAGCAGTCCACGAAGCTAGGCCCAAAGTATCGACGGCTTCGGATCCATCGGACCGCCCGCCTGAGGGGCAACATGATGAAATGATCGAAAATCCCTCTCTATCGTGTCCGGTTCAGATCCTGTAGATCGCCGTGCACCATTAGGCACTTGAGCTTCGATGTACACAGTACACGGGCGAAAGTCAAAAGACCCCAACACCGCCATCGCCACGTTACCGTGCATGGGACAGGTGAGACTCACGGGTGGAGAAGTCTCGCACGGAGACTCGGCAAGAAAGCATCGTCCGAGACTGCAGTGGCCCTGACACGAGTCGGCTAATGAAAAACGAGGGCGCTGAACGGGCTTCGGTGGATTGTCTCCACATCCTCGTTTAGGAAATGGCCCGCATGACCCTGAAGGCTAAGCCCGAGGATGAAACCCTGTCGCGCTCCACCAGCAATTGTGATGCCTTTGGGACCAGAGAATGGAGAGAATGGCGGCTCGGGTTTGGCTGTGGCTCACTGTAGTCCATCTTGGCGATTAATCCTGTCCCTAGGTGGCTTTTCCCCATATTCTATTTATTGTCCTTTCGCTTGCCAGGCTTCAGGGTTTTTTTTCGAGTCCCTTTTTTTTGATCTTGCTGCATCTGCGAATCTATGCGCTGCTATATTCTACTCTCATGACGGCGTGGATAGTCTCTGATTATGTTGCCTCATTCTAACCCGGCCTGGGCCACTTCGGGCACTTCTTCCAAGATGCTCGCGAGCCGGGCATTGGCCTGCCTCACTTTTGTCTGCTGTGCTCTGCCTGCGCGCGGCTTGTATGCCACCATTCATTGGGAAACGTCGCGCAAATTTTGGTTCGGCTTTCTCTTCGTTGCGGTGATTTGCGCGAAGCTTCTGCATATTTACGCCCATTACGACTCTGTGCCGCTCGGAAAATTATTACTTTGGGGCTCAACATTCTTCGGACAGGATGCGCTTTTCCTATTTTTTGGGCATCTTTTGACTCGCAACTTCCAGTGGTTATGGGTGCGCATTTTGGCGGGGGCAGTGGTGATTTGTGCCAGGTAGGTCCATTTTTTGCCTCGGCCGAGTGAGTTCGCACTAACATTGGTGTTTTCCGATAGCCTCATCCTCTCCGTTATGGCCGCCGCGAATACCTCCTTCTTTTTCACAACCGGTGCTGAGATCCACTGGCGCCAAGCTGGTGGCTTCAATCGCGATCCCGCATCGATCCATACCCTACTCACCGGTTTGACCGGACTCATCATTGTCGAAATTCTATACATTATCACGGCTGCGTTGACGACGCCTTATATTTACAACGTCGTGGATTATATCATCGGAACCTGGGCCACGGTTCTCGGGGCTGTCTGCAAGCCTCTGGTCAACATGGTGGTCAACATGGTGGCTAAGCGATCGGGCCGAGGAAGGAAGGTTTTCGAGCGGCTGAAGATCTACGAGCCTGTACCACTCGGCGACTACGATGAAGAAGAGGATAAGGCTGGACTGCATGCCGCGCCTCTTCTTGACCACCCGCCTCTGCCTCCGCCTCCCGTCGAGAATAACCGTTCCAAAATTTGGCTCAAACGTGCCCTGGTCATGATCCCAACCGGCCTGATCTTCTTCCTTCGCCTCGTTCGCCCCTACGACGAATCATACTGGTTCCTTTCCCAAACGATCGTCGCTTCTCCATTTGCCGGAGTGGACTCTCGAGGCAAGCTTGCGGGCATGGCCGAACATTGCGAAATCGACGGCAAGACTACGGCTTTGACTGCGACTCCTCAATTCGACTGGCTTCCCGAAGGCGAATGGCCTGGATTCAGAGATTGGCAGGATGACAAGTACCAGCACTACAACGCTACCGAAGATCCCCTCCACATTTCCAACCTCGATCAGGATATCCTCGAGCCTCTGCGCGACGTGCTTGCGAAGGGAGACGTCAAGATCAAGCACGTTCTAGTGTTCAAAATGGAAAGCACTCGTCAGGATGTGTTCCCTTTCAAGAATGGCAGTTACTTCCACGACCGAATCAAGCAGTCATACAGTGACGAAAAAATCCCTAAGAGGGTCCAGAAGCGCTTGACGCAATTGACTCCTACTGCGGAACGCTTGACCGGTGCCCAGTCGGGCTTGAACCCCAAGCACCCTGTCAAGCCGTACGGTGGTATCAGTATGACCAACTCCTACACCTCGGGAACCTTTACCTTGAAGAGTATCGAGGGCACTACTTGTGGTCTTTCCCCTCTGGTTGTCGATTTCAACCACGAATACGAGCACCACATCTACCAGCCTTGCATGCCGCACGTCCTCGATGTCTTGAGCGCCGGCACCAACAACAGCAAGAGCAAGAATTTCATCGACTGGCCGTGGCGCCCCCGATTCATGCAGACTATCACCGATACGTATGACCACCAGGATCGTCTTACTCCAGCCCTGGGTTTCAAGGATGAGAACATCCTCACGTCGGAGAGAATCGATGTGCAACACGCCAACGATACCACCTGGAAGGCCGAAAAGTACAACTTCTGGGGCTATGCCGATAAGGAAATGGGCAGCTATCTCAAGGACGCCATCATTAAAGCCGAGAAAAACCACGAGCGCCTTTTCATTACTCACCTCACTGGTATCACTCACCACCCCTGGGACCTCCCTCCGGGTGTTGAATACCGCGAAATGATGGGATCCGCGACGAACTCTTTCGGCGGCAAGAATGACGGACTGAACCGGTACCTCAACACGATCAACTTTAACGATAAATGGTACGCGAGAGTTCTGGAGATCCTCGAGGAGACCGGCATCGCCGACGAGACCCTCTTCATCCTGACCGGTGACCACGGAATTTCCCTTCTCGAAGATGGCAACGTCACCCCCTACGACAACCCTCTCGTCACGAACTTCCACGTCCCTCTCGTCTTTGCACACCCCAAGCTTCCAGCCATCGAACTGAACTCCTCCGTGACATCCGTTCAAATTCTGCCAACCATCCTTGACCTGCTCAAGGAATCCGGATCTCTCGACGAGCACAGCACCCGAGCTATCAGCGACCTCCTCCCCATGTACGAAGGCCAGTCCATCATCCGACCGATCATCGAAAAGCAAGATGGCAAGTCCTACTGGCAGTTCACAGTCATGAACACCGGAGGCTCGATGGTCGCCATGCGTTCAGCCGATAAAAAATACCGCCTCATCGTCCCTCTTGTCCCCGAAGTGGAGTGGCGCTTCACCGACGTTGGGAAGGACCCTCGAGAGGAAGAAGCCATCAAGTCGTTCTCGTTGAACGTTCTCGTCTCCGCCATCGCCACAAGACATGGCAAGGAGGCCGTTGAGTGGACGCATGACGCCGCTCGCGCGGCTCAATGGTGGGTTAGCGATAACTGGCGCCGGTACGAGTTTGATCCGTCGACATGATCACGAAGCATGTTGTTTCAAAAAAAAAAAAAAAACACTTTTTTTCGGGATTTATGTCCCCTTTTGTATAATTATGGACTGTCAGAATTTCTGAATGTTCCACTAGCATGGCGCACGGCATATCTTGGGGGTTTGTATATAGCTTTGCATATTTGGGAGTTTATATCCAATTAACGGCCTTTTCTTATTCTAATCCTGTCTTGTATGTTTATGCGTATCTAGTAGACGCAAACGTAGATATCTGGCCTAAGTATCACGCTAAGAATCTGATAGGTGGAATTTGGAAAAGCCACGTAGGATTCGCCTTTCTTGGGCAGCCTGAGGGATTTAAGAAGGCGGTAGAATTCTGCTCTGTCCATGTTGACAAGCGGTTAAAACAGTGCTCTCAACCGTCGTCTAACAACCAGGAGATCCATATGAACCTGAAGCCCATTTCACAAATGCCTACGTTACTGTGGATATTATATCTATCATCTCACTGTGTGCTATCAGTCAACGCCTTGTATGATTGTCCTCGCGCCGTCTGTGCATCGTGCCTGCCTACGGAGATTCACGATGCTCCGGGGGTCGGCTTCGATCTAACTCCATCTTACGGGTGAGCGCCTTGCTTCCCTTTTCAATCCTTGGATTTTTCTCATTATCAAGACAGAACAGCCGTGGCTCATTACTATAGTGGAAGTGTTGTCGAGATCGCCCGTGTTCAGGGAAATCCAGAATACCTCGAGTATATGGCGCGTCTTGTCAGCTCACCTGAGCCAGAAGATGAAACTAAGACTCTCTTTAAACACATCGCTCAGTGGCTTCCTATCTCTGATGTATGGTCGCGAAAGTGTGGCCGCTGGCTTTACAAACTTGGGTACTCGGCAAAAGATGGCATTGAGATTATCAGCGATTTGCTCCGAGAGCTCAAGGATTTAACTGAGAGGGAAATACTCTGTGCCCTTGATAGAGTTGCCGTCACGATTCCCGACATATCGTCACTTGAACATCAAACAATAAATGCCGCTCTCGAGGACTTAGGTCTAAGGACATGGCTAGGCGACAGTCTCTACTACCCTAGCCGTCTGATCGAGGCAGACGCTGTTTACGTTGCAAATGGCTACGGGCTTTGCAAAAACTATCAGAATATCTTCGAGTGTACAGACGAGTTTTACGACCAATTGTCCTACCCCGCCGTCTTGCTCGTTTCTTTTTCTCGCCATCTGCTCTATACAGCTATCTCAACCCCAATTAATGGCGAGGCTTTGGCTAGAGTAACCAATGATGAGGCGCAGGTCTTTGATTTTGAGGTCGGTCTAGATCGTCTTCTCCAAAACGATTCCCAGGCACAGCGGGACCGCCTCCGCCAACAATTATTAGTGCTACCGCAGGAATCCGAATTTATCGTGACTCACGTTCTTCTGGCTGGCGAGAGCGCAACAAATCCTCAATTCTTGGCTGTTCTAAAAGATGCCCTTTCAGAATTATCTCCTATAATGTCTCCGGATTTGAAAATGACGATCGCGAATTCTTCCAAGGCATTGAATCCTACATTTGCGGCTGCGAGGGGTGCGGCACTTTATGCTCGAAGGCGACAAGAGGTCCAGGCCGACTGCCAGGAACCTCCGGAATGCGAAATTATAAGACGGCAAGAGCAAACGCGCTCTTCCGGGAAACAGGACCTTTGATAAAGTCAATGATGTGAGATCGATGAGACACGAATTGCTCGACTGGCTCGGCAATCTTGAAGTCAGCCAATACGTACTTCGCACCCCAAGCAAGGAATGACGAATGAATAAACTCATGAATAAACTCATTACTATTTAGAAACATTCTGATCTTGTGATGACGCGTAGTTCCTACAAATCAAGCCGGTCAAGACCCCCTCGGTAAGGTAGAAGCCACTAACAAATGCAGAATTGAATAAATTTCCGATTGAACGAGATTATGTCCGAAAGCATACATTAACTAATAAGTAAGGCTCCATAAAGCACAATCTTTCATGGCGTATCTTTCCCTGTCGAATGGTTTGATGCCCACACTCTGACACCCCATCAGTTCGATATCACAGGAGTGCTTCGATCCCAAGTGCTCTTCTCAACAGCATCCACCAGACACGCTGCCACACTAGCCCTCGAAATCCCTCCCAGGCCCGCGAACATCCCGAGTCCTTTCCCATCGTCGCCAAGGAACCGAACGGGCGCTTTTTTTCCCATAGTCAGTCTCACTGGCCTCAACAGCACGAAGTTCAATTCGCTCTTCTTGAGTATCCCATCGACTTGAGTATGGTCCGCGAATGAATACCCAAGGCTGGTGTTGGAAATTGCCCATTTCATAATCACGGTGATATTTGCGAGAGAAGATCCAACTCCAAATGAAGATACTGTCGCAATTTTGGAAATGCCATGTCTTTTCATAGCAGCGACGAGGTTTTCGTGCGTCTGAGACATGACTCGAGTCCCCTTTTCTTTTGCGGATCCAAGAGCGACGATGACAGCAGTTGGGAGGTCGCCTGGGACTGCGGTGAAAGCGCTTTCAATGTCCGAAGGTTCCACTGGTGTGCCCTTCACGATAGTCAGACCTTCCATAACTGGAAGTGCAGACGGATTACGAATCAAGGCTGTAATCTTGTGGCCGCGCTGCAATGCTTCATCGATGACGAGACGACCAGTCTGTCCACTGCCACCAAGAACGAGAACACGCATAATTGAAGATGCTGTTGCGCTGTTGGTAGGATGCTGACTTTATTCCGAATTGTTATGGGGTGGTTTGGATAGACACGTGGTACAATGATTTCGGTGAAACTTTTGTCTCTGTTGAGATCAAAACGGATGATGAGCTGGAGGTTGTAGAACGACGAATAAATAATGGGCTTCCATCAAGTATATATAGCTGCAGCATAAACTCTATCGAGGATGTCAGGGATATAGCTGCAGCTATCAAGGGTGTCAGGGCTGATTGGACCTGGGGACTGCCTACGACGCGGCCCGGCTTCTGCCTACAACGCGGCCCTGCATCTGCCTAGTTAGCTAAGTGCTTGCCCAGCTACCGCAAGTAAGTGACGAGCAGGCTTATCAATCTCGTCATCAACTGTAGTCCGAAGCCCGTGCGGTCGCATATGCCGACTTAGCTGAGAGTCCCGCAGCATTACAAATCCTGTTGCTTAGAAAGCGGTGTAAAGTTTGTGAGACCACCGATGAACCAAGAAATAGGCTATAGAGAACCTATGGGCAATCTATTCTGGTTAGACTAATCAGAAGCACGTATACTATTTTCAAAGTGGACAGTTTAAGAGCCTCTTAAGAATAGGACACTATCCTATCCTATTATAGGGAATTGGTACCACCAACCCCCTAGGCATCTTCTTCCTGCCAAATTAGTCATCTCGGGGTTTGAAGTGTCAGGTTTCATAGCTGCAGAGATTTTAATTCTAGTTTGGGGGTATACATCCAATTAACGGCCTTTCCTTATTCTACATAGTCCTGTCTTGTATGTTTATGCGTATCTAGTAGACGCAAGGGTACGTTGTCACAAGGATCCGTGAGCGGGAGTAATCTGTTAGAGTTCGATGGACCCGATCGGCGCGGGAGAGATCGTCCACGTCCACGAAAGTAATGTCACACAGCATTGAAACAAAAGCAATTTCTATGAGGGGATTCCATTCAAGATTAAAACACGAACACCATGAAAGACTACCAGTCAATGATCTGCAGCCAAAACAAGTTATGAACATGCATGATCAGCCACCTGCGCTTCGGCGAGGGGCGGATAGGCCGATCGCGAAGCTGATCATGTTCATGCACCCGGAAACCCCCACCTGCTTCTCCCCCCAGCTGAGCTGAGCTCTTCCTATCATTCCCACCTCAGTTCAACATGGAGGACAGACGCAATGAGCCATGGCTACGGAAATTCCGCTCCTCGGAGACATTTATCGTCGTCGTCGTGTCAATCGCCATATTTACAGTAAGAAATTTTCCACGGGGTCAGTGCGGTCGCTAACATTCCCAGGATGTATTCCTTTATGGCATGGTAAGTTCACGAACCTTGTCAACCTTCACGAAGCCACAAGCTGATTCAGATGTCAGATTGTTCCGATTATTCCTATTGCGCTTGTTGAACGTGCTGGTGCTCGTGAGGAAGATGGTAACCCCTATCCCCAACCCCCTCGGTATTCCCCTAGCTAATCAATGACACAGCTCAATCGTGGGTTTCGGTTTTGCTCGCTGTATACGGAGGGACGCTTCTTGTCGGATCGCGTGAGTTTTGCGTTACCCTTCTTGCTGGGTCGAGCTAATTGAAACTTAAATAGCTTTGTTTGGGTACTTCGCCGACAAATGTCGATTCAGGAGGGTGCCTTTTGTCGTCGGACTGGTTGCGCTGGGAGCGTCGACGCTTCTTTTCGTCTTGGCATCTTCCATGACGGTCCTGATTATTGCGCGCGGTTTGCAGGGCCTCTCTGCGGCTGCGGTATGGGTGGTCGGGCTTGCTATCGTGGCGGACAATGTTCCACGGGAGCGCGTTGGGGAGGCAATGGGTCATACGACTATTGCGCTGACGTGGGGTTTTCTACTTGGTCCAACCATTGGGGGGATCATGTATGAGAAGCTTGGATTTGAAGGAACATTTGCGATTCCTGCGGGGTTGATTGTTGTGGATGTTGTGTTGCGGTTCGCGATGATTGAACGGTCAGGTAAGTCTTGTCCTTAAGGCCCGATGTCTGTGAACTATTGACTGATAATTGTGAAGCAACGATGGATAAGGGCAAGCCCAGTCTCTTTGAACAGGAGCCGAATTGTCACCATAATGGCTACAACACCTTTGGTGACCGCAGTGAGATTAATTCCGAATATTCGACATCAACGTGCCGCGATGTCCACAGTGAATCCGCTACTCTCCTGGCGTCCACCCCTTCCGTGGACCGCTGGCTGGAAACGAATCAGCGAAAAGCAACTGTTTTCGATCTTCTCCGAACTCCACGTCTTCCCCTTGCGCTGGCCTCAACCGTCGTCATGGCTGTCACATTTGCTGCCCTCGAGACTGTATGCGATTCATACCCCTCAATTTACCCACTAACCCATACTAATCCCAAACCAACAGACCCTCCCACTATACGTCATGGAAACATTCCACTGGTCCTCCGGTGGTGCCGGCCTAATCTTCGTCGCCTCCTCCGTACCCAGCTTCACAGGAGTCTACATTGGCAAAGCAATCCCCCGTCTCGGGATACGCCCATTAGGCACAGCGGCTTTTTTACTAGCATCGGCCTGCTGGATCCTAATGCGCTTCGTTGAAGACTACACAATCGCCCACATAATTCTGCTCATCAGTCTCCTCCTTCTCCTTGGACTAGCAGTCGTGACTATCGAGGTTGTGTCCATGACTGAAGTATTCCAGGTAATAGAGGATTTTGAGCTTGAATTTCCAGGGGCATTTGGTGAGAAGAGTCCGGTTGCGCAGGCTTATGCGCTTTTTAATATGGCGTTTGCGGGAGGTCAATTGCTGGGACCGATTTTGGCAGGTTGGATCATGGTTCATGCGGGCTGGGGTGTTATGACTCTTGTTACTGGGACTTTGTGTGGTGTCATGGCCCTTCCGATCGCGTTATTTGGGGATGTGAAGCGCAGGACTGGATTGGTAGAGTCGGAGGTTGATGCTTGAAAAATATACATGGGAGAAATATAAACTGGAAGGGGTTGAGCTGCGCTATGAAGTCAGCATAGTGTAGCTCGTTCTTTCGGTATACTCTAGTCTTTTGAAACTGTTTACTCAATATATACAGTCATGGCTTTTTATGAGTTCTGTTTTGACTCCAAGATATTGACCGTCAGGAGTATGCTGAGCTCGACAAGGATGCGGAAATTGATAAATACTACAATCCAAGGCCTAGATAATTATCTTCAGTTCAGTAATCTCGCAAAGATCCATGTCATGTTTCATGAATCTGATTCATGGATGAGACAGGCTCGATACACGTGATTTGACCAACAACTCAGTCTTTGTGTTAATTCACCTTCTTCTTCTTTCGACGTACCTGCTACTGGCAATAAACTACTACTTGCACCACCTTTTTGATCATTCACTCTCGTTACCGGCGTTGTCGAGTGCTCTTTCCACACATCTCATCCAGGCACCGAGCCGCCCCACAGACGTTGGTCCATACGAGTGCCATCGTGTCGACGCGTCTTCCCATTGACATCTTCACAGTTCCATCAACATGCCCAGGTTTGATGTTTACTGTGTCATCTGCGGTGCACCACACTCAGTGCGATGGTTCTGTCCGGAGGGGTGGGTTACTGAGGAGGATTTACCTTTTCTCTCGCAGATGAGTTGGCTTGGTAATACTTCTCGCATTTTGGGCGAAAACCATCATGCATCGTCCACAAACAAGTGAGTCCACCGCGAGTTCGAGAAGTCTGTTCTCCAAACAATATCTGAGGGAGCTGACTGCGTGTTGTTATTCCAGGGTGTTTATCTCCGGCCCAGCGACCTATGTCGATGCTGGTGTTTTCAAGGTCGAGCCTGGTACCGACCCCAACTTTCCAACTGAGAATCAAGTGCAGTACCGAAATGGCCGAGCACGTATCAAAGTGTATGTTATGGAAATATTTGCAAGCGGAGCCCAGGTTGTAACTAAGTGATGTCTGGCAGGTTCGACTATGAGCGATCAATTGATTTTGCGATCCCAATCCATGAGCCATGCTATCAACTCCTGAAGAAGGTCCTCATCCAATGGGGCTTACAGCGCACAGCTCATGATGTCGACAATGGAATTCTCTACAAGACTTTGATGAAGTTCGCAGACGAGGCATCAGATGACAGAACAAGGCTAACTCGCATGAACTACGGTGAGAATTCCGGCGAGTTCGATGCTGTGTTGTCGAGATCTGCTGATAGCGAACACATTTTGCTGAATCCGATGGAATCGAGCAAATTAGTGGAGTACTTTCAACAGCCTTTACTGCCAATGAGAGATCAACAGAACAGATACCCCCCTAGGACTGGATCAGAAGACTTCAGTGGCTGCGGCGACCCGTTTGCCAATTTGGCTCCGGAACTGTTATTTTTGATCATGATCCGTTTACCAGTGGTCTCTCTTGAAGCTCTCAGACACGCCAGTCCAGCCGCAGCTCGGCTCGACCTCGATAGTGGATTCTGGAAACAGAAAGTGAGACACAACATGCCCTGGATCTTTGACTTACCTGAAGAAGCAAATGATCGCCCTGGGCATAAAATAGACTGGCTTCGAGTGTACACAGACTTGGAAAACGCGAGTGAACTTGACGGCGAAGGGGCATACATTGGGGTATTGAAAAATCGCCGAAGAATCTGGGAAACATGCGAAGACATTGCCGGAGCTTTCGAGAAGCTACAAAAGGAAAACTCAAATCACAAAAATCGAGAAAAAGACTCCATCGTTGAGAATGCTGTCACGTCGTTGATGCAGCCTTTTGCCCGCCCTTTACCGGCTTGCCTGGAAACAGTCTCATTGCCGTTTGTCAAGAACATATCAGATATCCAGCAGAACCTCCCACTCCTATCCTTTTTCTGGTCGAAAGAGGGCATCCTTTCGGGTCTCGGAAGATGCGACAATCTTGAGAAGGAAAAAAGGCCAGAGCAAACCATAGGTCACGAAGACCGCTTTGACGTCCGCGACGATGTTAAAATTAAACATGGAGACTGGATTGCTGGATTTGTTCTAAGCTTCCGTGATGAATACAAGGGCGAAGGAACCGTGGAAAAGGAAATAGTGGGAGTCAAAATCCATTTCCTCAGTGGGATGTCTCACCAGCTTGGTAATCCCACACCGATTCTGAAGATATTTCATGCCAGAGACAACCTTCTTCTTGTCGGCATCATGGCGCAACTCACCATGGAGGGCCAGATAGTCTCTTTGTCGTTGCTGCAGGCACCTGCCTCGAATCTTTGCCCGCACTCGGAAGAACTGGGTAGGCGACAATCCCAGATTCTCTATGCGCACTCGAACATCGGATCAAAGATGTGGAAGAACGAGCTGCCCCCACAAGATATCATCGCCGGAGAAGTGTCCCTTGTTCAATTTACTCCATCTTTGCCTGTACCAACTGACCCTGTCGCAATGGAAGCGCTTGTGTTCGGCAAAGATGAGAGCGAGCTTGCCGCCATCACCGAAATAATCGGCGATACTCAATTACAGGGGATCAAAATCCGCTATTCAGACCGACCGCCGAAATCAATTGGCCCCCATAGCGGTTCGCTACTCGATTCGCAACCGCAGTCCATTAAGATTGACGGCCAGGGTGGGGAGCGCATAATTGCCCTTGAAGGAGTTTTCGGAATCGAATGGTTGAATGCTCTCCGCTTTGTGACAAACCGAAATCGCTCCCTTGTCCTTGGACATAACCATATTGCAATGCAGAATAAGCTCTACCCTCCTGGCGAAGGAATGGTTTTACGGGGTGTCTATGGCGCTTGGGCGGAAACAATGTATGAGGAAGTCCTGTTCGAGGCCGTCGGAGGGCTGTTCTCCCTTGCATCACCGCAGTTTCCTTCACTTGATGTTCATGAGCCGGAAGTTCTTGGTTTTGGTCTGGATGGCTAGTTGGTTGATTGGGATGGAAACCCTGTCGGCGAGATTGAGGAATGGTGGATTGACAAGGCTTTTGGCTCTATGCTGGCTGCGAGGCCCAAGCTTACAACGATACTGGAAAGTAAATTCTACCATGGACGTCCATCCACTCAGGTGTTCCTGAGCCTAATCTGTGTCTGGTTCAGTCGTAAAGGAGTCTTTTCCAAACTGGTATTCTAAGTGGACTTGGTTGTAGAGCTATGACGTGAAATACTGCACTGTTTGTCTTCAGGATAGATGCCCCTATCCGTTGTGTGGAAATCAGCCAAACCAAAATCCGTACAACGCGGCTTCGAGATCTTGACTAGCGATGCTCTGGTTTACATCGTGGGGTGTGTTTCAAGGTTCCGGGTGACCATCAAGCGACCCACAGTGACTTTCCAGCTTTCTGTAATATTTTCACGAAGTCAGAACGAATAAATTTGGTAGGTACCTGGGTATTTCGTCATCAAGAATGGGTTCAAGATACGCAAATGACCTAAGCATCTAACGATGCCAGGGGGAGGGGGTGTACCCCGCAGTGGAGGCACCCGCAATCCATTTAAGTATTACGTCAAGCCCGTCTCCATTTCTTCTTCCATCTATACTACCTTGTCACACTCGATGTCTTCTAGAGCCATCTATCTCATCGCATCTCGAAATGCCGAAGCGCAACGAGCGCACTTTGCGATCTTTGTTCCTGCCGCCGGGCAGACCGATCGCGGAACCTTGATACAAGCCGTCGGAGCACCCATGACAGGCTACATCCTAGAATTCAAGCGCAACTACTCACCGCGCGAAGATTCGACTGAGAAATACGCTATGATCGAGATCGGTCATGTCGAGTCTGAGAACATCGTCGATTCTACATCTACAGTTAAGTGTAGCGACGGGGTCCCGAAAGGCAACCTCGAGATTGCGGCTTCTCAGATACCCACTCCCGGGATCAGTGATAACTTTTTAGCACCCGTTAATGACGTGAGGATGCGTCACCTTCGTTCCCGTTCTATACTGACTTGATTTGGTGGATAGATGACGAATAAACGGTGCCAGGAATGGACGATGGAGTATATCCGACACCTCGTCAGTAAACACCTTATCGAAGCTGAAGCCATCCGAACGGTTCAGTCAAGGCGCGACTCTCCGACCCACGGCATTCGGTTACAGCCCACTATTCCACGTTGATACCGGGTCCCAAGGAGTTCGGGGCCTGGCACGTACTGGCTGGGCTTACGCGGCTCGGTCAAGTTAACTGCGGACCGACATGTCCAGTTCATTTTTTGCTTGATGAATGTTGCTCGGAATTGCATTGGCCTGGTGTTAATTCCTGCTTTTTGATAGTTTATTTGGGCGTTTTTGACCTAGGCGTTCGGTCAGTTTTCGCGATTCTCATTCCCGACAAGTGCTGTCAAAGGGATAATTTGGTTGGCGCAATGCGGAATTCAATCACGAAGAAGACCGTCTCGAATCATTCTCCTTGGATCCGAAACCAGTCAATCCGTCCTGCCATACGCTCGCAGAACATCACCGTACAAAAGATAGAAATGGAGGGTATAGGATAAAGACGTGTTCTCGACGTGACGCCACACGTGAGGTCATTTTGGCAGCGCGTGTCCACGTGACCGTTCAACAGGGCTGAACAGACTGAACCATTCTTCAGTCCGGCAGAAATGGCTAGTATAATTTGGGTAATAGATTCGTGCTCGGCATATTAGATTAACTCTCCACTTTCGCTTAATAGAATTCCAAGAATTTTGCCCCAGTTTCTAAAAACAGTAGGACCTCGTTGCGCGGCCCATAAAACTTGATTTGCACCGTTAGCACTAGGGCAAACCTTGTTACCCTGTCGGGGATTTCCCAGCGGGTAAACCCACGCCAACGGTCGCGGATCGATCGATGCCTCCGACGCCTTCAAGATCGTGCCACAGGGAAAACAACTTCTCGACATATTTCCACTTGGAGGGAGAAATGCCTGTAATTCCCTGAAGAACAATCTAAGTGAACATACCATTTCTACCTTGATTTGCCCCGATGATATCAGCTCGGACTCGGGATCATTTGTGTGGCTGACGGCTCCACTATAATTATATTAAAAATGATGAATCGTCCGATCGATCATGATCTCATCCGGCCGACGCCCCGGTGGCTTGTGCTCCGCTCGACCCTCTCCTTCGCACGTGCGATAGTGTGCAAGGCGGTCCCCTGGTCACTGCTGTATGTTTCAAGTTGGCCTGGTGGAAATTATCAGCACTATAACAAGAATTTATTGTATCGTCATCGTAGGCCTAGACCGGAGAAAATGTCTGCTATTCAAGTTATTCTCCGGTCTATCTGTCCAGAACACTTTGGGGCAGGCAACAAGGTAAACCAGCACGTGAAATCTGGCTGTATAGTTGCACCGTCCAACCTAGCGCCCAACTTTGAACTGTAACACCTGCACATCTGATGTAATGATGATTACCGCTCTCTAATGGGAAGCTATCGGCAATCAAGGATGCACAGTGTACATCGAGGTTGGCACTGAACCACACTTCTTGACAATGAGCCACAGTGACTTTGACAGGGGGTGGCAGGTTGACAGGCTGACAGGCAGTCGGAGCGGGGCCAAATCAAGGCTGAAAGACTGGACCCCTGGCAGTAGGCCAATTCGTATCGTGATTGGGTCCCCGTTGTTTCGAAAGGGCCAGACGTGAGAGCTTCCATGGCTCGCTACGTGCCGATACCCAGTCACTGACAGCTGCGGAGATTTTTCAAACTTGAAACTTGAGCAAGTACGCGTGTACAGCAGACTCGCACAGGTAGTATCCGGCTCACTCTGAACATTCTGAAGGCGTCTGAACATTCATGGAGACTAATTTTACTCTAGATTCTGAGCGCCGGAGAATTGCATCGTAGTACAGACACATTGCACCGTGCAAATCATAAGCAAGATCCTCGATCGGGTAATCTATCGCAAATGTGCGCCACAGGCAAAGAGTGGTACGGCATTGAAAGACCCGCGTCATGTTAGACTCCATACCACCACGTTGTACTCCACCTCGCCATCCTGCCACACCTCGATTCAGCCACACCTCCGACCTCCGTTCATGATTCGTCCGCGCCCATGCTACATACCCTCATCGGCTAGGTGCATATCCATTCATCTGCAGAGCTGGGCGACCCGCTATTATGATGCCAGCGATGCTAGCAACGGCCACCATGTGGCTTTGTGGCCACTTCCCGTATTTCTAAACCCTGAACACCCCCGCAGACGATGGACCCATCGACACGGACAACAGGGATTGGAGTGGTGTTCGAAGCTCGCGATGATATCAACAGCCCATGACGTAGTAGGCTCTGTGGCAGTCGTGCCTGGGGTATAGCTTGCTGTGGCTGTAGCTTTGCTATGATATCAGAACCCCCTGAATGTTCATTTAAGCAGTCGATTCTCTCGGGGATTCTAGGATTTCATTAAAAATTTTGAACTCTTTTTCTTCTTATCAAAATAACTCTGCATTAGTCTCGAACTTTACCTTCGGCCTAATTGTACATTACTTTATTGAACCTGCCGAAGATACCTCAAGATACTTCATGACTGTTACGACGTCACTTAACCTGACGACTGTTGAATATCAAATTACGAAAGATACTTGTGTATAACTATTCCTTGGAAGTCTTATCAACCTACCACCACCTTTTATCCGATCTACACAACACATCGACCTCGACTCCGACTCTCCAAAAAAAAAAGCTTACAACCATGTCTTCCCCCGCCACGAGCAAAGCTCCTCCCAAGCTCGGCTCGAAAGCCGGCACCCCCGCCAAACTTCGCAAGGGCTCTGGATCCAGTGCCGCCTCCAAGCCCTCCAGTGTCGCTGACAGCCCGAAGCCGGTGAAGAAGACACCCGGAAAGCAGACCCCAAAGAAACTCACTCCCAAGGCTCCCCAGCCTATCGACGACGACGAAGAGCAATCTATCCCCGAGACCCCTTCGCCCAAGTCTAAGAAGAAGACCGGCTCTTCCGAGCAGCGCCGACCTGCTTCTCCTCATGATGATGCTGTCTCCCAGGCTTCCGGCTCCGCTGCCCCTCTTGGCGGTTTCTCTGGAGCTGCGGGTAAGGCTAAGGGTCAGGCTGGACAGGCTAAGGATGATGTGACGCAGGGTGCGCAGAGCGCTAAGAACAACTTGCCTAACGCTCCTCTTGATTTGTCTGCCCTCAAGGGTCTTTCTGTCTCTGATGGTGGTCAGATTCTTGGTGAAGATGGAAACCCCGTTGGACAGGTCGTCGAGGGAGATCCTGAAGACCTCGCTGGCCAGACTGTTGGTGATGATGGTGAGATTGTCGATGAGGATGGTGACCTGATTGGTCGCGTTGACATCCTCCATGATGTCGAAGACCAGGCCCAGGATCTTCCCGAGGATGCTCAGAACCTTCCCAATGGTGTGAAATCCAAGGCCGATGAATTGAAGGAAGTTGTCACCGACCTCTCGCAGCTCGAGGGCTTGCCCGTTTCTGACGGCGGTGTTATCAAGAATGCCGCTGGCCAGGTTGTTGGTAAGATCACCGAGGGAGACCCCGAGGATCTCATCGGATATACCCTCAATGACGACGGTGAGATCGTTGATGATGATGGCGACGCCATCGGTCGCGTTGAGCTCGTTCCCGTCGAAGAGCAGAAGAAGGCCATTGAAGAGGCTGCCGGTGGTGACACTGAGCAGACCGATGGTGGCAAAGAGGATGTCGAGGATACCTTCGAAGACGCTGAAGATAATCTCGACGCTGGTGAGACCAAGGACGCTGTTGATGGCGGTGCTGAGGGTGCTCAGCATACTGCCGAAGACGCTGGCGAGGAGGCTGGCGATGTTGCCGATAAGGCCCAGGAGGGTGTCCCCGATGTCGACGCCGATGAGGCCAAGGAAACCGCCGAGGGTGCCGCCGACAACGCCCAGGATGTCGCCGAGGATGCTGGCGAGGAAGCCCAAGAGCGCATTCCGGACCTGGATACCCTCGAGGGTCTGACCTGCAACAAGCGCGGCTGGATCATCGGCCGGGATACCGGCAAGCCCGTCGGTGAGCTCATCGAAGGTGACCCCAAGAAGATCTCCCGTCTTGGAGCTACCTTGGACGATAAGGGTCAGTTCTGGGACAACAAGGGCAACGTTCTTGGCAAGGTCAAGGCTCTCCCCATCGAAGACGACAATGATGAGGAGGGTCCCTTCTCCGGACTTGAAGGCCTCGTCGTCGGTCAGGACGGCTGGATCGAGGACGAGAACGGAACCCGAGTTGGCAAGCTTGTTGAAGGTGACGCCAAGAAGCTTCTCGGCCGCGGTGTTGACGAGGATGGTGAAATCCTGGATCGCCACGGCAGCGTCATCGGACGCGCCGACCGCTACGAGGAGCCCGAGGCCGAGCCTGAAGCCGAGGAGGAGCGTCCTGACTTCTCTGTTCTGAACGGCCTCACCTGCAACAAGGCCGGCTACGTGATCGGGTCCGAGGGCTTCCCCATCGCTCGCGTCGTCGAGGGCAACCCGAAGGAACTCGCCGGCAAGAAGATCGAAGATGGAGAGATCTACGACGGCAAGAAGGTCGTTGGCCGCGTTGAGCTCATTCCCGAAGACGAGCGCGAGAGCAAGCCCGAGGGCCCCTTCGCCGGCATGGAGAACCTGTTTGTGAACAAGGATGGCTTCGTCGAGGACGACGAGGGTTCCATCGTTGGTCAACTTGTTGAGGGTGACCCCAAGAAGCTCCGTGGTCGCGCCGTTGACGAGGATGGCGAGATCACTGACAAGTACGGCAATGTGAAGGGCCGCGCTGAGCCCTATGAGGCCCCGGAGGAGGAGGCTCCTGCCGAGGCTGACCTCTCTATTCTTGAGGGCAAGGTTGTCAACAAGAGCGGCAATGTCGTCGATCCCGCTACCGGTGCTGTCGTCGGTCGCATTGTCGAGGGTGACAAGCGCCTCGCTGGCCGCAAGGTTGACGGCAAGGGCCAGATCTGGGGTGACAACGGTCAGATTGTCGGCCGTGCTGAGCTCGTTCCCGGTTCTGAGGAGGAGAAGGCTGAGGGTCCTTTCTACGGCTTCGACAACGCCGTTGTCGGCAAGGATGGTGTCGTCATGTCCGGCGAGCAGATCATTGGCCGACTGATTGAAGGCGATGCGAAGCGTCTTGTTGGCCGCAAGGTCGATGAGGATGGCGATGTCGCCGATAAGAATGGCAACACCATCGGCAAAGCCGAGCGCTGGGAGCCCGAGGAGAAGAAGCGGGATATCAACCCCATGTCTGGTCGCAAGGTCAACAAGGAGGGTGATGTCCGCGATGCTGATGGCAACCTCATCGGCAAGCTGACCGAGGGCAAACTTGCTACCCTTATCGGTAAAGCTATTGATGACAACGGCTACGTTGTTGACAATGAGGGCAACAAGATTGGCGAGTGCACTCTCCTCGAAAACATTCCCGAGCCCGAGGCCGAGGACGAGGGTCCTACTGCTGAGGAGCAGGAGGCTACGGCCAAGACTGAGCAGGACCGCCAGCTGGCCGAGCGAATGTGCCACATCCTACGCCAGACTCTGGAGCAGGTCAAGCCTATTTGCAAAATGATCCAGGAGGTAAGTCGAGATGTTCCAGAATCCTCCAGAATTTCACTGACATGTCAACAGAAACTGGCATCCGCCGAGCGCAAGTCCAAAGAAGATCTCGATGAGGAGAAGCTGGTCAAGGACGTGAAGCCTCTCCTCGAGGAGGGAGGCCGCATGCTCCAAGAGTGCAACGGCTCCATCCGCGCACTCGACCCCGATGGCCGCATCGCCGCAACCGCCAAGGCGCGCGCCCAGACTCGCGATGCGACTCCTGAGGAGTACCAGCTCGCCGATATGCTCAAGGAGCTGACCGAGACCGTAGTCAAGACCATTGACAACGGCAAGAAGGCTATCGCCGACATGCCCCACGCCAAGAAGAAGCTCAACCCTCTCTTCGGTCTCCTTTCCGAGCCTCTCTTCCAGATCATTGCTGCCGTTGGCTTGCTGCTGAGCGGTGTTCTCGGTCTGGTTGGTCGTCTTCTCGATGGTCTCGGTCTTGGTGGTTTGTTGAATGGTATCCTTGGTGGCCTTGGACTCGACAAATTGATCGACGGCCTTGGTCTCGGAAGCCTGACTGGTGCTCTGGGACTGGGCGGCGGTGATAAGAAATAAGGACTTTCCTTGATTCACTGTTTTGACAACGCTGGCTTCGTTGACAATGTTATCTCAGTTTTGATTTAATTTCGGTTTGTTGGTTTGACGCGATGGTTTCTAGCTTTTGTATACGCGTGGCCTTGGAAAACGTTTGCGCTTTCATTTTGTCTCTTCTCTTACTGTCTCAGTGTACGGGATTAATAATTGATTCGACCTTTTAACGTTTAACATTGTGTTCAACTGAGTAAACTCTCTAAGACCATCCATCAAGCATCCCCCAGAACGGAAGTATTATGCAATGTCCTTTCGCATGAATATGGCCTTCGTGTCCCATCTCTTGCCGGTTTTATCCCTGACATCGAAGAAGTTCTCCACAATCTTGATAGACCTGTAACCCCGTCTACTATACCAGTCCTGGTTGATAATCTTAAAAATGTTAGTCAAGTCCACTTCAAACTGACTGATGCTCTTACCTTGGGGGAAGCTCCAAACGCAACCTTAGCATATTCCCCTCGCATCTGATCTTCTCTTACAAGTGTGGACAGCAGCAAAGTCTTAGCACATAGAGGCTCTCGAGCAGCCAGGCCCTCAACTTCATCCATAGCTGCTCGTCCGATTCCCTTGCCTTGCCTGGAACGCGAGACAAAGAAAGTCTTGATCCAGAAGACACCTTCGGTGGGAATTTCGAGTTCGATACGGTCGGATTCTTGACATTTCGAGTCCAAAGAGATATGCCCAATAGGAACAAACTCTATTTGTGAAGGTTGGCGTGGAACTGCATTGATAGATGCAGCCGTGTCAACCAGCTTGTCACTTCCAACTCCCTCCAAGTCACTGGGTGGGAGGACCTGTTACCTCGCGTTAATGTTCCACTGCTTTCAATACCCGGGATAACATCAGATATTCGTCTTGTTGCGAAGACTTACAATCCAATAGATGCATTTCTCGCCTTTAATCTGCGCATCTCTCCATATCTCTTCGACCTTGTCCATATCCCAAGAACATTCCACACGCTGTTTATAAAGCCATTCTCGGTGGGACTCAGACAGCGGATCCCAAGGGATCAATGTCACTTCTGATTTTGAGATCATTCTGAAAAACCGAATAAGTTGCGAGATATGAAAAGAGAATACTTTATTAAGGGTTTTTTTTTTAAGTTTTAAAGTGTCAAGGTGTCAACAGCAGGGCGTACCTTAGGATGAGGTTAAGCCTAATCGGGAAGGCGGAATGTATAGAAATCACATGGATGCAACCGTAGAAAGCCTTGAGAAACATGACTTCTCTCGAGTCTATTTACGGGAAAGTTTATTTTCACTAGTAGTATAAAAGCCAAATTACAGTGACCTCCTGTTTTGGATGCTTATCAAAATGATATCTAGGAGCTCAAATTTATGCTGATAATATCTTGCATCGTTGATAATTGCACAATTAACGACGTTATCGACTAAGAACAAAATTTATGCAACGTACTCCTTGTCGGGGCCAACGGGACTAGACCAACTCTTAAAATCCGCACAACGAAGCTTAGCCTCAAACATCGCATCAATCTCCAGGACTGTGCGTCCTTTCATCTCAGGGATCATCAACCATGTAACTGTCCAAGCAAAGAAGCAAAAGCCAGCGTAGACAAAACCGGTCTTTCCTTTCAGATCACCTGAACCCGTGTTGTAAATGTATGGCAAGACAAGGCAAAAAACCACATTTGAAATCATATAGCACAACACACCAATGCCCTGGGTTTTAGCTCGGAGGCGCAGCGATGATGTTTCGCCGTTGACCGCGTAAGACGCTGGCCACACGCCCATACCGCAGACTACTACCACGAGTATCAAGCAAACCGCGGTGTACCTAGAGTTACAGTCAGCAAGTGATACGATAGAATTTCCTGTGTGACAACACGTACCAAACAACAACGTTGCCAGTCCAGCAACCAGCAATCCCCATACTCAGCCATATCACGGTCGCAACTGCCAGGGTCCAAAGCATCAGTGGACGCCGTCCGGCCCGACTCATAAGCCAAATACCAACAGCATTAGCCAACAGACCCAGCACAATACCCAGAATCAAGATAATGATACTAAGGCTCGGCGACATCCCAACTACCTGCATGAAGTAACTAGCACTCGCAAGAAGCGGGACTCCAAAGAGACTAGGAACCATGAACGAGAATGCCACGATCATCGTCCGGCGCCGATTGGTTCCCCTGAAGCAATCCACATACGCCAGCTCGCGAGACAATTCCTCCTCGCTGGCAATTGACAAGCGCATTTGAGCCAAAAGCGGTGCCACGTCCACTTTTTCAGTATGCAAAGCCTTCATCGCACTTTGTGCCTTGTCATAATCTCCTTTGCGAACCAAATAAGACGGACTTTCAGGTATAACAAACGCCACAACGAAGGGCAAAAGCGTGAAAATCCACTGAGTCGCAAATGGAATCAAGAATGCAGCCGATGTCGTCTTCTTCTCACACGCGAGGATGACACCAGCTCCAATCAATTCCCCAATCAACATAAATGTTGGTGAAAGCGCCATAGTCGAACCTCTCAAACTCGTCGGAACAGTCTCCGACAAATAAGTCTGCGCACCGGTCATGGCACCACCAACACCCCACCCCTGCACAAACCTCCCAACGAGAAAGGCTCCTCGTCTGGAGTTTATATCACTGGGTAGATTGGAACAAAATGCAATAGCGATTCCAACACCGCAGACGAAACAGCTTAGACCCAGTGACCAGCGACGGCCAATACGGTCTTGAAGCCAGCCCGCAGCGGGTGCGCTAATTATAGATCCTAACGGGCTCATTGCACTCCAGACAGAAAGCCATGACGAGGGGATGATGTAGGTGTCGTTGTATAGTTCGCCGAATTCGAGCCTGAAGTAGGGGACTGCTGTTATTGTTCCCAGGATGACGGTGTCGTAGCCAGTTAAGAGGTAGGCGAAGGCAATGCCAATGCAGTAGGCTACTAGCTTGGGGTAGCGGCGGATTTCGTGTGATAGGGAGGTGTTGTCGAGACTGGGTTGTATCAAGGCAGATACAGGCTCACGACTCTGTTCCTCGTTCTCGCCGAACCGAGAGAGTTCCAGTGTTCCCATTCTAGATGAGTGTAGTGTTTATCAAACGATGGTAAAAGGTCTGGGCATGTGCTTTTTTGAAATAAACGGCTGAGAATCCGGGGTCTATTTAAATGTGCCTGGCGACGGTTCTTACGCGTTTCCTGGAGGATCAATTGGTTGTGGCATCAAGGCGCAAGAATGGGTTTCCAATCACAATCTTCCGTCGGGATGTTGTGCTCAATTTCCTCGCATACTCGTCATCCGTTGCGACATATACGGATGCTAAGAGCTCGCTAACGATAATCCGGGGGGGAGATCTATGGAGCCCGATAAATCTCGCTATGCTTGCCGAAGTAGCCAATCAAATTGCGTGCTCTGTCGGGGGATTTCAATTGCGATTGGCTGGGTCGGCAGAAACAGGATCCACTTGGGACGACGCGAGATATGATTTTGGTTCTATCCTTGTCCTCGCTTCTGCGGAAATATGCTGTCGGGATTCGGATATGGGCTGTTATACGCGGCCCCATACGGAGTAGTCACAGCATAGAAGTAGCCTAGTGGAGGGTTGCTGATTTAAATACGCAAGGTGGCCCTCCCGCTGTAAATATATCCGTCACTTTCCACACCAAGGTTCGTTCCATCCATGAAACACATTGGCCTCCTTTTTTTTAGCCTAATTGCTGACACAGAGTCATTATAACAGCAAAATGGACGTCTCTCGAATCATCAAGCCCTGGAAGCTCAATTCGCACCGAAGCCTAGTTTTCGTGAACACGACCATCATCGACCCCGTTGAAGGAAAGCTCATCCAAGACGCCACAGTTCGCATCTCTAATGGCCAAATCACTGAAGTGAAAACCTCCGACTTGGCAACCGTGAGTGAAGATGACTCTTCCTCCGTGATCGACCTCAACGGGAAATACCTGTGCCCAGGCCTAATCGATTGCCACGTCCACATCGCCGTGGTCCCCGGCGAAGCCGACCTACGTGCCTACAAAGACATGACAGAGCGGAAATCTCTCCTGCGCCAGCCCCACGTCCTGAAGACGATGCTCTCACGCGGCTTCACCTCGATCCGCGACTGCGGTGGCGCAAGCCTGGCCGTGAAAGAAGCCGTTGAAGAAGGCGTCCTCCCCGGACCCCGTCTTTTCATGGCCGGCTACGCACTCTCCCAAACTGGAGGCCATGGCGACATGCGCGGTCGCCACGAAGAGCAGCTATGCTGTGGTGGGTCGATATCTGGTATTAGCAGGATCGTCGACGGGCCTGCGGAATGCTACAAGTACGCGCGTGAGGAACTCCGCCAGGGTGCGGATTTCATCAAGATCATGGGCGGTGGCGGAGTCGCGAGTCCGACAGATCGCATTGAGCATGTGCAGTTCTCTGATGAGGAGATTAAGGCTATTGTAACCGTTGCGCGGAATGCTGGTACCTATGTTACGAGTCATAGTTATACGCCGCAAGCTATTCAGCAGGCGATCAATCTAGGTGTGCGTGGGATTGAGCATGGGAATTTGATTGATCTCGAGACTGCGACGATGATGGCTGAGAAGGGGGTGTTCCTTACGCCTACTCTGATTGCGCATGTCATGTCTAAGCAGATGAATTTCTTGCCGGCGGATGGCGCGGCGAAGAACGATGAAGTTCTTGAGAAGGGGCTTAGGGCTATGAAGATGGCTGTTGATGCCGGTGTGACTGTTTGCTTTGGGACGGATCTTTTGGGACCCATGCATTTTGCCCAGAGTAAGGAGTTCTCTGTTCGGAGTAAGGTTCTTACTCCGATTCAGATTCTGCGCAGTGCTACGGTCAATGCGGCTCGTTTGCTGATGCAAGAGGAGAGACTGGGACAGGTGAAAGAGGGCTTCGTGGCGGATTTGTTGGTTCTTGATCGGAATCCGTTGGAGGATATTACAGTTTTGGATAGAGTGGAGGAGAGTATTTTGGGTGTTATTAAGGACGGAAGGGTTATGACTTCTCGGTGGGAGAAGTTGAGCGTTGAGGCCTAGGTTGTAGATGGGACGTGAACGGACTTCACCAGTGTCAAGATTATCGAGTTGAGTTACGAGTATGCAAGTGCTACCTGCTACGTTGAGAAGAATGATTGAACAAACTTGACGTTTAATTGCATAGTACATATGTGCAGGTTAAAATGGCCGTAATATACCCCAGGACAGAATCTGGTGATGCTGTCATGCGAGTCTGATCAGCCGCTATGATCGAATGCAATGGCATAGCGTCGAAGGCTGTAGTGTCGTAATTACAAATGCTTATAGGCGTATAGACAACAAGGCTACCAACTGTCGCCATAGTTGAAGACCTTGAGAGGAAGGCGATTTTGACGTGATTAGGCCTAGCTCCCCGTGGTAAATTGACGTAGGACGAAATGATTTAGTGATCCTTGGGACGGTCGTCCTCACTCTCAGGGCTGAGAGGAAGAGATGCCTCACCACCGAATTCACGGTAGGCTCTATCACGAGCAGCGGACTTGTCCTTGCGGATAGTGAGGCAGTTGATGCCGAGGAAGGTGGTGATGCGATTGATGACCAGAACGGCCCAGTGTGAGTATATCACGAAGGCGAAGAGGAAGTACAGACGCAGGTACCAGAGCTCCAACGAGGAGCCAAGCTGCGGGAGACCGATGTAAGGCAGGTTCACCAGAACCGCACCGATGACGAGAGGAGCTTGCAGGATAGTCCAGTAGGGGAAGGGCTGCCTCAACAGGTGGGCCAGAATGATCATGGTGGTCATACGTCCGAAGACGAAGGTGATGGTCGTGCAGAACAGGACGAGGTGGTTGTCAGACAGAAGGGTCGAGTAGGGCGAGAAGAGCCAGGCCATGTTGCACAGGGTGAACACGATCATAGGAACCCATTCCTTCAGCAGAGGGGTAAAGGGCAGGCCCTGCTTATTACGAGCAGAATACACGTTCAAAACACATCCGGGCAGATGGCCGAGGAAGAAGCCGACGACTAGAATTGGCACCCAGATGTCCTTGACCGAGTTGGTTCCGAACAGTGCGGGAATGTTGATCAGATCGGTAATAGGGCGCGACCAGATGCCAGGGCCCCAGATTCCAGAGGCGATCATAATGCTGATGGCAATGAGAAGGCCCTCAGTGGGGCCGTTGAAGTAGCCCAGGTACAAAGTGTGGGTGTGGAAGGTCTCCCAAGTAGAGAAGTACATGGCAAGACACGGAATGAGCGCAGTGTAAGCACCCAGAGTCGAGGCACCGAAGCCCATAGCAGCAGTCTCTAAAAGACTGGCGAGGGTGCAGTTCAAAGAGTCGATTCCGTGACTATAGTTCGTCAGTGACTGGTCCACGGATGGCGCCGGGATGGTACGAACTCAAACAACTCTCCCAGCCCGCTGGAAGTTCCGGTTCGGCGTGCTTGTTTACCGTCGACATTATCCAGAGTTGAGTACCTGCGCGTCGTTAGTTTTCGTTGTTCGTCGGGAGATATTCACGGGAGGTATTTGACTGACATCCACAAGCCCAATGCGAAGCTAAAGTACAACCACCAAGGGCCCTGTACGAGCCTTCAGTAAATGCAGACTATAATGTATGATAGGCAATCTTACCGGACCCTCAAGATCGGGCATGAAGATCTCAATCAATAAGACATTGCCCACGATCCACATGAACCCGAGCAGGGTGACCATGTTCGGGGCCATCCACATGGGCAAAAACTCAACAAAAGCATTCCACTATATAGAGTAGAATGTCAGCCAATAGCTCTCTCACTGCCGCGGGTTGATTTCAGGGGCCGTACGTAGTGCTTGAGAATATAGTTCGAGATAGGGGACTTGTCGACGGCCGAGTACTTATACGACTTTAGGGGAAGGAGGGCATCGTCGGAGAGCGAGTCTTGGGTCTCTGGAGAAGAGAAAGTAAAAATCAGTATTTCATGCTATAGACAACATTTCCAGCAAGCTCCGAGTCAACACACCTTGGACCATGCGGAGGATCGCGTTCATAGTGACGGTTGAGCCGCGTCGCGTGGGCACGTTCAGGAACCGTTAGGAGGTCAAGAAAGTATATCTCACCACCACAAGGGACCAGGGACGTAAGGAAAAGGAGTCGAAAGGTATACTCGCACGGTCTTGGCCAGGACACGCCCAAGCAATAGTACAGTAACCCAAAAATAGAAAGAAGGCAGAAGCCCGGAATGTTTCACAGGGATTTTCAGCCCACGGTCACGTGATGGTCTCCGCATCGGGACGCGAGGGCCTTGCCGTGGAGCGTCGCAAGGTTAACTCGGCCTGTTTTGGTGTCTCGACATCGCATTGCCAGGTCTCAGATCTCGGGTTTATTCGCTCTTATCCCTCGCTGTCACCGACCCCATTTCTCCCCCCACATCGACCTGTTAGGCCGCCTGTTGTTCTGTCCCAGGAGCTCAGTCGCGCCGGGATCTCGGTTCACGCCAATCATCGCGCCTAGTCAATCGCCGCTCCCGCTTCTGCTATGGTCGCCCACTGAGTTGGACATGACGGTTGATGGTTCTGGCAGCGCCCCCCGCGCATTTCGTTAGTGAGCATCCTTCGCGATGCCGGGCGTTGTCGAAGCGCCCGCCGCGGCGGATCCGTTGGACCTGGGATACAGTGTCGGGCACCAGAAGGTTGACCTAGACATTGATTTTGCTAGCAAGAGCTTGAAGGGACATGCGGAAATCACCATTCACCCTCATTACAAAACTTTGAAGGAAATTCGTTTGAACTTTCGACAGGGCGAGATCAAGCGTCTGAGTGTCAACGGAAAAGTCGCGACGGCGAATTATAGGGACCCTTACGACAGTCTCCATCTCTACGGAGCGCATTACCACGAGAGACTCACCGCGCATATCGACAAAAACCTCCTCACAACACTCCCGAAGCCCGAGGTATCGATCGCGATTCCGAAGAGCGTGCGGATTGACGAGTTGGACCCATCCTCGGCGGAAGCTCAGGAGCAAATTGCGCTGCAGGGCGCCGGTGGTGATGTCGATGGACCTGTTACTATCAAGCCCGAGGCAAATTTGCCACAGTTTACGGCTGTGACGGTCAGTATTGATTTTACGATTGATCGGATTCGGGATGGACTGCAGTTCGTAGGGGTGGACAGCGGAGACCGTCGATACCCCCATGCTTATACCACGAATTCACTGGAGTCCAGCGTTGGATGCCCTCTTTTCCCTTGTGTGGACAACCCGTCCTCCCGGTGCACTTGGGAAATTTCGATCTCATGTCCTTCATCTCTGGGAGACGTGTTCAACGGCAAAGGACGCGACGTTGGATCCAATACAACCTCTCGATCGCGAGCGCAGAACCGCTATATCTCCTCGGACGATGAAGGTCTGGATATGTCCGTGGTATGCTCCGGCGAGCTGACAGATGATATCACGGATCCAAACGACCCGACTCGGAAGACAGTCTCGTTTGCATCGTACTCGCCGCTCTCCGCTCAACAAATTGGATTCGCTGTTGGTCCCTTCGAATATGTGAATCTGGCGGACTTCCGTGAAAGTGATCAGGATGAACAACTTGGACAAAACGCTATTCCTCTGCATGCATTCTGTCTTCCAGGACGCGGTGACGAGGTTCAAAATACCGCCTTCCCTATGGCACAAGCCATCGACTTCTTTTCTTTGTCCTATGGGTCGTATCCATTCTCCAGTTACAAAATCTGCTTTGTTGATGACGTCGCAGTGGATACATTGCCGACAGCGTGCATGGCTATATGCAGTAGTCATCTTCTTTTCCCGCCTGAGATCATCGATCCCATGTACGACTCAACCAGAGCGCTTGTACATGCGCTGGCTTGCCAATGGTCTGGAATCAACATCATTCCTGACGAGCCCGCAGACACCTGGGTTACCGTCGGCGTGGCATGGTATATCACAGACACGTTCATGAAAAAGCTTTGCGGCAACAACGAATACCGATTCCGACTCAAGCAGATGTCTGACAGGATCTGCGAGCTGGACTACGAGCGTCCTTCGATCTACGACATGGGCAACTTCTTGAAGATTGACCCATCCGAATATCGTTTCATTGCGCTGAAGGCACCCTTGGTCCTGTTCATTCTCGACCGTCGCCTAACCAAGGCTAGTGGAAAGGCGACCATGCCCCGAATCATTTCTCGACTTTTCTTAAACTCCCGAATGGGTGACATCCCCAACGGAGCTGTCACCTCTTCATTGTTCCAGAAGACATGCGAGCGCCTCGGGCATGCCAAGCTTGATGTTTTCTTCGGGCAATGGGTCTATGGAGCTGGATGCCCGCGATTCCAGGCCACACAGCGATTCAACAAGAAGAAACTTGTGGTTGAAATGATGATCAGGCAAGTCCAGTCCGATCAGACGGCCGCTCGTGATCTTGAAAAGAATGCGTTCTTGCGCGATCTCAAGGAAGAAGTTCGACAAGTCTATGCCGGTGCCATCCAGCCTGTCTTCACTGGCTCCATGACGCTTCGTATTCACGAGGCCGATGGTACCCCGTACGAACATATCGTCGAGATCAAGGAGGGCGTGACAAAGTTTGACATCCCCTACAATACGAAATACAAGCGACTCAAGCGCAACAAGAAGCAAAGAGAACGTGCTGTCGCATCGGGTGAAGCCGATGCCCAGGAAGAAGTCCTCCTTTACTGCCTTGGAGATGTTCTACAAACAGAGGAAGAGACAGCCCAGTGGCGCCTAGCCGACTGGACCAAGGAGGATGAAGAAAGGATGGGACAGGAGTCTTACGAGTGGATCCGCATGGATGCGGATTTCGAATGGGTCTGCAAGCTGTCCCTCGGCATGCCTGGATACATGTACCTCTCGCAACTCCAGCAAGACCGCGATGTCGTTGCTCAATTGGAGTCCCTTCAGTACATGGCAGCGCAGCGAGAGCATCCTTTGATCTCGACCATCTTTGTTCGCACACTCATGGATAGTCGATACTTCCACGGTATACGAGTGACGGCGGCAGAGGCGTTGATCAAACATGCCAAAGATGAAGTTGATTGGATTGGGCTGTTCCATCTTGAAAAGGCCTTCCAAGAACTTTTCTGTCTCCCGGACTCGCCCATGACACGATCCAATGATTTCTCGGATCGCGCTGCCTATATCTTGCAGAAGGTGATTCCGGAGTCCATCTCGAAGGTGCGGGATAATAGTGGCAAGACACCTCTTAGGGTGAAGCAGTTTTTGTTCGACAAGCTCAAATTCAACGACAACTCCAACAATGAGGTATGTGTGAGTCTTCTGTCTTGCTTGAACCTATGCTAATCAGGACATAGTACTCGGACAATTTCTACGTCGCTTCCCTGATGCGTTCACTCTGCCATGCGATGCTCGGTAGAACGGACCCTCGACCGGAGGAGGAGCTGGCCCATTTCGACATGCAGCGCGTTCTCGAGAGTCAAGCTGAGGAACAACTCGAGAAAGACACCCTCGCAGAATTTGACCGCTACAGGAGAATGGACGAATGGTCCGGCTCATTCCAGAACATATACTCGCGAGCTGCATTGCACTGCCAGATGCAGATGATGCAAGCCAAGATACAAGAGCTCGATCTAATGCTCTTTGTTCCTTATACCCGGTCTGGTACCTACGATCTGCTTCGTTTGGAGGCGTTTGAATGCCTTGTCGAGCTCGACATCTCCCAAAGTCCCGAGCTCCTGCGCTGGCTCATCTTCACCATGACCAGTGACACATCCGCTTACGTTCGTCACCACTGCCAACGCCTTTTCGGTCGAGCTTTGGCGCAGATTGCCTTTGGGCGACCTGGGCAAATAGAGCCGAACCAGACAGGGGGATTGATTATCGAGCAAGAGTCTTCAACGGAAGTTCGCCAAGCTGATCTTGCACGTCGTCAAACCGTCCCTGGTGCCATTGAAGCGTTGAAGAAGGAAATCTCAGGTGATCCATCTCTCAAAGAGTATATGTGGGCTGCATGCAACTCGATGTCAATCGGGGTCCTCGAACTGGCCGAGCTGCTAGATGTCTGCCGCGTCTTATTCGACCCCGTCACATCGAAGCGTATCACATTGCGGCTCGGACGCCACTGGAGGGTGAAGAACCTAGGAAATGGCAAACTCCACTTCTCCCGAACGGGATCCTTCCGGGGCAGCCTCCATCCCAAACGGAAACGCGACGAGTCTGGAATGCTCCCGCCAGCCCCGCGCATCACCTTCAAGCAGTCCAAGACCGGCACAACTCCAAGCACGCCATCCTCGACAGCCCTCCCCAAACTACACATTCCCCACCCATCATCCACTCCGACTGCGGGCACCGGCACACCCACTGCTTCTACGCCCGCAACTCCTGCCAGCGGCGGCGGCTTGAAGCTAAAGCTCAAGTTCGGGCACAAAAAATAAACCCGCACGGCTAGACTTAAATCTGTTCATGTACTCTACTTTCTATTCACGTCGACCTGATTGGAAAGCTACATTGCGAGGAGGAAATCACGCATGGTTTTAGGCGCGCAGGCGATGCATTGCTTTGGTCAATAAGAGATAATATCACATAAGTTGTGCTTCGAACCCGCATGTGTCATTTCATAGCTACCCACGGCACCAGTGTAGTCCAAGCCACACATAAAAACAAAGTGTAATCTAAGCCACACGCAAAAACAAGGTGCCATGGCTAGTGTAGTCGAAGCTACACAAAAACGCAGAAAAAAGGTTTTGATTGTCCCCATACGAGCAACCGACCCAAACTCCCTGACCCGTTATAAACTTGAACGTCCCCACGCGCGCGCCGCGCACTTTTGTGCCTCGAGCAGAAACAGGAAAAGTCGTAGATGCATGTTGTTTATTTGGTGTCGATGCGCTCAAGGGCTTCGATCATGATCAGCGAGTTACCGCGGATGCACTGTGCTTGTTAGCTCCGTTGATGGCACGGGTTTGGTGGGGGGAGGTACGTACACACATGCCCATGGGGACTTTCTCGCCACCATCCTTCTCCTCGAAGGCTTCGTCGAGGACGATGTTCATGAAGACCTAATGAGGGGTGGTTAGTCAGTTTTGTATGTGGACGCGGGCGAACAGAGTGGAGGCAGAGGGGGTGTCGGAGCGAAGCCAGAAGGGCCGACGTCCCACGCGGTGTAGGATTCGCTCTATGGAGCTCTGGTGCCATAGTGAAGGGATTTTGAATGGCCCGCAGGCTTCAATTCGCGGTTCATGGACGACCCGAGACTGAATGCATGCACGGCGCGAGCCTTGAAACAAAGCATGGTCCGTATGCATGAGGGGAACAAGCGCGGGGGGGACGAGCGTGAGAGGAACGAGTCATTGAGGGGGGACGAAGCGACAAGGAAGACTCACATCGTATCCGCGGAGGATACCAATGACCTTGCGGTTGCCGTTGATCTGGCAGAAGACCCGCTTCTCCATGTACTGGAGAGGATTGTCAGCAAAAGAACGGGGAGGGGGACAAGCAGAGACAAGACCAACCTTCTTGAGTTCAGGCTGTGCTTGAGGCATCTTGGAACGTTTGGAACGAGCCGGGGGAAAGAGAATGTGGAGTTGCTGAGTTCATCGGCTTCATCTTCATCTTGATCAACGGAGGATTCGTCCGGGCCCGGGAAAATATTCCCCCGGATAAGCGATAAGAGCTCTTGAATCGAGAGCCGCCCAACTTCGTGAAGCAGTTGTTGCACAACTTCTTCCACTACCGCATCCACGCCTTCGGTTATCACTTCACCGTGAGAAACATTGTTCAAGTTATCGCTCATTGCATGATCGCACGTCACATCGTCGTCCTGCTTCAGCACATCCGTCGCATAAAATGAGCTTCGCAAATCGCAGAAAACCACGGAAGATCGGGGACGATGAGGGAGATGACGAGGGGAATGGTGGGGAGCCAGGTTAGTCTCTAATATTTACGACGAACGCGGCGTTGGGCACCGTGAAAGTCGACTGATACGCGGACTTTTTCACTAACGCGCTGCAGAAACCATAGTCAAGCGTCCAATCAAGTCGAAGTCTAAACCCAAATCTAAATTGAACCTTTCCTTTGGCTCCGGCGAGACCTCAATGGCAGACGATGGTGATCAAAGCGAGGTCATCATTCCCAAACGACATGGCCTCGGCCGCAAGGCCGTCGAGCGCAGCGCGGCGCAGCGCAACCTGACGCCTTCCGGCGCATCGCAGACAATACCCGCCCGCGTCGGACATGATCAGGACCGGCCTAGCTACAGCAATGATTATTTAAAGGAGCTTCGTGACTCAACGCCCTCCACGCCAAAGGCCAGCACAGACGACGAGAAAGATCGGACGATTGATGTGGCAGCGAAGTTTGGAGAGGTTATGAGAGTCTCCGGCCCTTCTGCCATCCCCAGTGAAGCTGAGATCCGTGAGAAGAAAGCACGGCGCGCTCGCCTGGCATTAGAAAAAGGTGCGAAGGAGGAAGACTTCATCTCATTGGATGATCATATGACGGAACATGACGACGACTGGGACGCCGTTGCTCGTGGCGAGAAGGAAACGGTCTCGGATACTCGACTGGTCCGAGATGATGAGGACTTTGCCGAGGGCTTCGACGAATATGTCGAGGATGGGAAGATATCCCTAGGTAGAAAGGCAGAACGTGAACAGAAGCGAAAGGATCGCGATGCGATGCGCGAGCTCATCAACGACGCTGAGGGACTTTCTGATGATGAGGATTCCGACATCGAGGAGAAGGCGGCATATGAGGCCACCCAGACCAGAGCTGCTATGGGTCATGGCAAGTCTTCCGGCATCGATCGTCCGAGGACTCCCCCCAAGATGACCTCCCTTCCCAAGCTGTCCAGCAGTCTCGAGAGACTTCGCATGTCCCTGGCATCGATGGAGACTGCTAAAACGCAGATGATCAGTCGAATGGAGGATCTACGGAAGGAGAAGGAGGACATTGCCGTCAGGGAAGTGGAGATTCAAGGGATGATTAAGGAGGCCGGCGATAACTACGAACGCCTCAAAAAGGAAGCCGGTATTGAGCCAGCAGCCGACGCAGATGCATCGGCAGGAGCGTTGGAGCAGTCGCGAGGTCTGGAAAGCATCGGTGCACCCATGGCACCTTCGGATTCCAGCTCTGGCGAGACTGAGATATGAGCTCATCGTCTGCTCCTTCCCTTTATTTAACGTTTCCCTCGGCCTTTTGTGCACGTTCGGAATCTGAGCATCTCGGAGTCAAACTGTTCTTGTGATACCCTTTACATATTCTCATCCAATCTACATACCTTATATTAATCATGGCGCCTCACTTCCATCTGCCCACATTTCGTCTTCATCTTCGTAAGACCGTGGGTCCCGATGAATATCCGGCGTGAGTCCTACATGGCCCCCGTTGACGACAGTACGGCCGTTCAATATGTACTGACGATTTCAGCCGTCATAGCCTGCCGTGGATAGCCAGCCCCGTTGATAAAATGACCGAATGTCCTCGTCTATACAGGCACTCAGAGGCAACACCCATCGAACTCTTCTTTGACCTCTTCTTCGTTGCCAATCTCTCCACTTTTACTGCTACACACGAAATCAACAACATGAAAGGTATGCCTTATCACTGCGTTGGCCTGCCTTTGCTTATCCGTGTACAAGCTCTGGGAGCATACATTGGCTTCCTCGGCGTGATCTGGTTCACATGGCTCCAAGTCACCCTGTTTGATATACGATTCGCCCGAGACTCCGTCTTCGAACGGATTTGCAAGGCCATCCAGCTCGGGGTGATGGTCGGTTTCGCGTCTGCTGGCACACGCTTCACCACCCACGTTCAGGGCGAGAATGTTTGGGCATTTCAGTCTCTGACGGCGATTCTTGCGGGTAGTCGACTGCTCCTGGCTACTCAGTATACCATAAACATTGCGTTTATGCGGAAATCGATGAAACACTCCTCGGTAGGGGTGAGCTTCACGGCGACTGTTCTCTGGTTCGCTGGCTCAGTCTACGGCTGGGTAAGATTCTTTCTCTTTCTCCGCATCGGAGGCCTCTAACGCACCTGTCAGATGTATTTTTCGTTCAGCCCAGCCAACCGGCTTCGAGGCCAAATCTGGACCATTTGGTTTGTTTTGTTCGCGCTCGAAATGTGGGCAGTGATGCTGTTGTCTTGCCTGTACTCCGGGATCGGATTCCAGGACACCCACCTCAACGTCCGAATGGGTCTTTTGACATTGATTATCATTGGAGAAGGTGTTATTGCGATCACTCGAATTGTCAACAAGACGGTGCGGCCCGGCGGATGGACCAAATGGTCGTTTGTCCACATCCTGGGAGTGACAACCAATGTGGTAAGCGTTTCTCCTAGGTCTTGCCGATGAGCCGCCCTGACCAAACGAAGTATCTTCTCTGGCAGGTCTACTTTGACATGTCCCCGCGGCACCGACTCGGCAAGCTGACCCAGCAGATCTGGGCCCAGTTGCATTTCCCGTTTCACGTCGCACTGATTCTTCTCCTCGAGGGCTCTCAAATCCTCGCACTGAGTCTAGATGTGACCTTGAAGTTGAAATATCTGAAACAGACTCTGTCTTTCATCTGCGAGGAACCGATTCCCACTCCGATCAGCGGTGTTGCGCTCATTCGAAGCACGATTACGGACATGGAGATTCCTTTCAGTCGAGGAGCAACGCAAGAATGGATTGCCATCTCGAGCATCCTGGACGAATTAGTCCACCAGCCACTTTGTCCTGAAACTGAAACCTTCAGCTGGGTCCACACGGAGGAGCTCTTTAGCGACCTGCTGGGGAATGTCACGGCGGCGCTGTTCTCGAGTATGGATATTACACCATCGAACAAGGTAGACATCAATCTCCTCGACAACCAACAACTCTTACAGATGTACATGAAAGTCCTCGCATTCGTGTATATGTATTTCTTCGCCGTCACCAGCATTTCATTGACCCTATTCGCTGCATTCCTAATTCTATCACGCCGCCACAACCTCCGCCTCCACCTCATCCTCTCAACGGCGGTCCACATACTCCTCGCCATCTCTCTAGCAAGCCAAGTCTCATTCGTTACCCACTTTCCGCTAGCCTATTCATATATGACCTCGCCCCTAATCCTCTACGCCTTCAGCCTAACCCTACTAACTGGTCAGTCTTCTTCCCATGCTCTGACAGATCGATTCTCATTGGCTGTAGTCCTCCTCGTTGACCGACTTTTGGACTTTCTGGCATCGCGGAGCAACGCAGCTGGCCGACGGAAGCGGGAATCCATCGATGCCAAGCATCTGGGCCGGGGTATTGTGGCGATAGGGCCGCCTCCTGTGGAGATGTCTGACCGACGTGTCTCATTGTCCACTGTGGGGGAGAAAGAAAAGATTACTGGAGAAGTTCGTGAAGCTGGGACTGTGGATAGGGGTCGGCATTGGAGTGGTTCCCCTTGGAGTTCGAAAGCTGTGGTTATGACTGGTGCCGCTTTGCCTGGGTCGACAGTTGTGACTGGTTAAGGTTGTCTCTCTATTCATACCCATTGGTATTGTTTCCGGTAGATTTAAACTTTGGATACGTTGTATAGAGTCTGTTCAATAAGAACCTTGAGCCCATTCATTCTTGAACGTTGAAACATTCTGCCGGATGTTAAAATCATCAGAGACAGGATCTGCTCTCGTCATCTCCAACTGGTGAAATGCCCCCGATAGCGCGTAGCTACATATCACCGAAACCGTTGTAGGATGCAGGATCTGCAGCAAACCACAGCCGCAGGTTGGGATGATCGATCTCCAGATTCGAGTGCTTTAATTTAGGATCATAGTCATGTCTCTGAGCTGATGACATTCTTTGTCTTCTGGCAGGCTCTACCTATACTAAGTCAGTGATCGTATGATGAGATCAGAGCCCGGCCTGATTTGGAGTCTACAACTAGATTTTCAAGGGCTACTTGGAGAAGTCTCGAGTTCACAAAGAGAGAGACCTACGCGTCAAGAGGGTCCCTAATCTCATCTAGCCCAAAAAGCCCGGACTGATACCTTCCAACCAACACAACCCCGACAACCCTGCCAGTCCGACTTCCCCAGATTTGCCTCAAGCCCGAAAAGTCCAGGATCCAGCCACTCCTACTTCCATAATAAAAACATACCAAATGAACTGTCATAAAAGTGACCTGCATATGCAGTCAATATCCTCATCCCGGCGATCCAGACCATCTTGAAGACCCTGTCCAAGACATCCTCCACATCAAAAAGGCAGCAGAGGCAGTGGATCATGGATTGATGCTACAGGGAGTCTTCCGAGTGGATCGCTGCGCTCCCTTGGTCAGAATGCAGAGGAGAATACAATTACAACCGTTAAGTGTTCGCATTGCTGCGGGAAGTTACCGGTTTCAACGCCACCCAGGCCATCCCAAGCAGGTGGGAGAAGTTTCTTTGAAACGGGGCTAAAATTTGGGATGTGTTGTTCCGGGGGTGGTTAAGCTTTGGGCGGGATATATTCAGGGGATGGAGATGGGGACTTTTCAACCTGGGGAATTCAATGACAACCTTGAAACAGAGCGTTAGAGTAGTCAAATTTACCTTTTATCGGAGTTTATTCCAATTGACTTCTAGGGTTGTCTTGGTTTATACCTATTTTGCCCTTTACCTGCACCTAGCCAGGCATTATACTTTCGGTAAATCGCAGAAGTAGAAATAGACAGGTCTCCCCAGCCGCCAAGCCAAAGCCAACCCAGATGGCCGTGCATACCGCCATTGCTCAGCTTTTGCTTTTTCTCGGCAGGTTGGATCGATCCGGTGGATCCCCATTGGCGCGGTGATCGGGGAGGGTCTCCAGCGAGCCCTATGTGGGTATCCGCCAGGATGGACCATTGTCAAACTGGCTGAACCGATGCCGAATGGAGGTGGACAGTGGAGGGATGACAAGTGTTTCATATTATGCTTGGATTGATCTAGATCAAGGCGGTTTGGTAAACCTTGGAATAGTGTGGGTTGGGGTTGCTACAGTCCGGCTTTAGATTGTTTCTTTTGAGTGCTAAGAAAGTACCAGACAGGTTTGGAAAAGCTAAAGCAGGACATAGATAAAAGTCTGTAGGCTTAACTGAAGAGATAGAAGAAAAGGTTTAGCCCAAGGACCGAGCCGTCCAAGACTCAACCCTCTACCCGCAACCTGTCTCACTGCCAAACACGAACACAATTCCATTCCACATCGAGGCCCGGGGCATTGCGGACAATAGAGAAGAGATCTGAAACGCACGGCAAGTGGATCAACACCTAGATCAAAGCCCGGAGATTTTCCCCTGGGCTAGGGTTGAGGATCATTTCGGCAAGGCTTTTTGAGGTCCAGACCACTACTCTAAGTGGAATCGGAAGTTCTTCTTTGATTCCGCGAAACGGCGCAACGGTTTTCAGGACCGGGCCGAGCGGCTGTAATGAGCTGGGTGGGATATCAAGACGGATAAGGGGATAGGAGACTTTTATTAAAAGAGCGGGCTCTGATCCTGGGGGGGTTTGAGTTTCACACTTGGGTTGATTCATTGCCCTCGATCTTTTCCCCGTCTTGCTGCACGCCATTTGGATCTCAGAGCCGCACTGCATGTCATTTCACCGTGGCTGCCAGTTTTCAACCTCAACGGCCGATTTTAGGACAGATCCGAGACAGTATTGCATTGGATGATCTGGCCGTGATCCATATTACTCTACACAACCCAGGACTCAGAGGCGATAGTCCAATTGTTCAAAGAACTTTCTCAGGGTTTCAGGCTGTCACTCCCACCTTCGAACCGGTCATACTTCAGTGAGAACACTCATCTGGATTGAACTACTATTCCGTCAAGGTCAGCACTATAACGCGTGAGACAACGGGTAAACCCCAGATTGATGAGACACGCGCCTAATATAACGGTCAACCCTGCAGGCGTCCCGACCACAGCAGCCCAACCGTTACGCATTGACAAGGCTGCATCAGAGACACAAAAAGAGCCTGTACCAGCCGTAGTCCACACGCGACAACCCGCGTACAACCAGCAATTGCGGTGAATCTACGGAGATTGCCAGCTCTATCTCTAGCAACAGACAGTCATGGCCGATGTGATGGTCAGTCCTGGGGTCCCGGAACCATGGCACCGCCAGAAAGAAATCCCTGTCTTGAGTGAATTTATGTCCGCTCATCTTTCTTTAAACCTGAAAAGGCCCTTTCCTTTCAATGAAGGCTGTCGTGGGAACCGGAAATCTATCTTTGAATCTTCTACGCCTCGTCAGTCCAAGAGACACTTGACCACACGCCGAGAGTCAACGAAATTATCTCGAGAACGCAGCGAGATGTCTCACTCCTCTTTATCCATCAACCATCCCCCTATCACAAGGGACAAGCTCTGTTGTTCCTTCGACCATATTGACAACCCACGATCATATGCAGACTTCATCAACACGGCAGTCATGAAGAGAACAGCTTTGAGTGACAGTTACCCACGTCAGGAGATGACCCACGGGTCACTGAATCATATCTATGCCCCTCCGATGACTACAACAGCTGACAACTATGGCGGATTCGTTTCTTATGCTCACTGGGCGAAGACTCCATCTTTTGCATCTGGCAATGAGGAATCACCATCAGTATCATCATCCTTTGATTTTACCGACATTGGAGAATACGAGTCTTCTGTTTTCAACAGCCCGCCTTACTCCACGGCTGGCACTGCCACAGAAAAGCCTCTCTCTTTCCAAAGCCCCAGTCTGCAATTCGGAGACTCTCGTACAGAACCAGGACAAGCAGCCCAATGGCTCCCCTGGCCAACCAGTGAAGCCGAGCTATCAAGCCAACCATACTTTCCAGACAACTTAATCGAAACCCAAAGCTGGGCAAGTGCACCACCTGTGCCTCAATTCGATGGCTTCGACTCTATCCTCCCCTCAACAGCAGCCACGATTCCAGGAGCGAATCTCTTGCTCGACACCTCACCACCCCAAGACGACCACACCATTCCTACACCAACTATTCCACCACAATATCAACTCACAACCCCCATCTTCCCCCAACCCACACCTCCATCCATACCCCAATCTCAAACCCAGACCCAGACCCCCTCCCCCAGCTCTTCAGAGGCCATAAAGCCAAACATCCACTACACCGACTCCCGAAACGCCCTCCTAATCGATTGGAAACGCCGCGGTCTCTCCTACAAAGACATAAAACGCATCGGAGGGTTCAAAGAAGCCGAATCAACCCTCCGAGGTCGGTTCCGAACGCTCACGAAGACCAAGGAGCAGCGTGTGAGGAAGCCAAAGTGGACTGAGAGAGATGTGAGCTTCCCTACTCCCATCATACAAACTGCAACTACATGGCCTTTTATGCAAAGTTATTGTGGAAAGGAAGACGGCTGATTCTAATGAATGCAGGTCCAACTTCTCTGCGAAGCGGTCACCATTTGCTCGGATCCGTCGCTGGGTTTGAGTGGGCCGCCTAAGGTCTCGTGGAAGAAGGTTGCGCAGTACATCTGGGCGCATGGGGGGAGTTATCAGTTTGGGAATGCGACTTGTAAGAAGAAGTGGTGTGAGATTCATGATTTTAAGGCTTGAGCTACTGGAGGGATGGCGGGGTTGGAAAGTGTTTCAAAAGGGTTTGGGGTTGTGTATCTTAGCTGGTTTGGGGAGATGTTTCTTTTAGCGATCAGGGTTTGTTTTTAGGTTGGTGACAAGGTTGTATCAAGCAAGTCTTTATCTAGTCTTTAAAGTTCGGATCTTGCCTAGGTGGTGTATTACAAACCGACCGTGTCCAATCTAGGTAGGAATATAAAATGTTCGATGCATTCAGCCCAGAGATGCTTGAGATCTCAATGGCAGTTCTTAGTATATAAAATCAACAAACCCAACCAGGTATTCTACCTGGTTCGAGTAACACTATTTACAACACCGCCATCCCCTCCCTCTCTCGCGGAAACCCCACATCCCTCAACATCTTGACCAGAACCTCCGGCTGATCCCTCAAAACATCCCACTCCGCCTCTGCCTTCACCATAAGCGTACCCGCCAGAATCGTCCCGTTCAATGAAACAACCCCCGGGTCCACAATATCCCCCGCCTTCTCGATATCAACTGGGACATGCGCCGTCTCCGCCTTCCTCGGAACAATCATCATGGTCGATAGCGTCATCGCCAGGTTATAACTAATATTTGCCGGACCGGACGTCGCAGTCGTATTCCTGACACCCGCGGCCGAGACGGCGGCGCGGTAGAGAGATATATAGATATTGTGTAATGTCTCCGGTGATGGCGCCGGCGGTATCGGGAGGGCGAAGTGTGCGAAGGAAAGGTGGGGAAGGTGTTGGTACGGAGTCTGAGGTTGGGATGCGAAGCCGTCGATTAGAGGGGCCCAGGCTCCATCAGCCGGATTCTGGTCGGCCATGGCTTCAACGGGGAGGAATTGAAGGTGGCGGTGGGGTTGGCTTGCGCCGCTGTCGTCGCCGGAGTTGAAGAATGCGAAGAGGCGGCCATTGTGGTTTTGGCTCCAGGAGGAGATGCAGGCGTAGGTTGCTTCTAGGTCGGAGAGCTCTAAGAGGTCGGTTTGGGATTTCAAGGCTGTTGTGGAGAGGATGAAATGGTTTGGAATGACGGGGAATTTGTTTAGGACGAGGGCGTGGGTCGGGTTTGATGGGGGAAAGGTGGCTATTAGGAGGTCCGGGGAGGGGTTTTCGAAGGGGTCAGGTTTGGGGGTTTTGGAGCCGGTGGGTTTGAGGCCGTTGGGTTTCTTTGCGAGGGCCGGGCAGTAGCGGAGTTGGTACTGCGTTGTGGTTAGAGTGGTCTGGAGCATGGGACGGGGTGGGATGTACTGGAATGCCGGCGTTGATGATGGATAGTTGTGTGGGTGAGAAGACGAGATGGCCGCCTTCTTTGGCGGCTTTGAAGCGCCGGGCCACGAGGGCCGATAGGTTTTCGGAAAGGCCGAGTTGCATTCTGTTTGTTGGAGAGGTGATGTCGTGGGGATTAACGCGGGGAGATCGAGGCGGTGCCGAGGTGCGGCAAGGTGCCAAGCACCGTATCAGCCTTATCAAAGCCCACCACAACAGAGAGCTACTTTCAGAGGTGGAAATCTACAGAGCATACGAGGACAGTGGATAATAGATAATACACAGAGGAGTGGTTATCCTATTAATCGTATTTCATGCCAAACAGCTCCCGGTTAATCACCCGGCCAGCAGGACGGGAAATGCAAGGCTCATTGAGCAAAGAAACAATGTAAAATCTCATAAAATCGAGCCCAAGGTATCATCCGTAGTCCGCATTCGGAAAAATTTCGACGCCACTGCTATACGGAAAGAAGGCTCAAAAAAAAAAAACAGAGGAAAATCGATCAAGAAAATACAACGGGTCCGTGAGAACCGATTTCGAAGAGAGAAGGGCGAGTAAAGATTCGTAACCGTCATGCCATGAGTTCGTTGATGGATAATCCATCGTCCTGGGGGCACAGCTCGGGCAGTAGCATTGCCGGTTGGCCCATGAGGTGCGGCGAGGGTCCGTCCATCCAGGGACCGCGCTCTTCATCATTCGCGCTGAGGACGCCTTCGGCGCGCTTCATCGTTTCCACGTCCAGGTCTGTGATATAGGCGTCGCGGTTTGTGCCGTCGCCTGCGCCGCCGGGAAGATGCAGACGAACCTCGAACTCATTGTTGAGCATCATCTCATCCTTCCACAGACGGCGCTGGCCGTCAAAGACGCACAGCACGCGCTTCTTAGTCTTCATGCCGCTGTTGGGACAGCCCCAGGACTGCGGGTAGTTACCGCGGTTGTTGCGGCGGCGGGTTGCGACAGCGCGAGCCTTGCCCGCGGTGTTCTTGGAGACGGCGTTGCCAGAGCCGATGATGGGGCGCGAACTGGGGACACCCTTAGATTTGGGACGGCCGGCGCGCCAGTTGGCTAGGTCGTGGGAATCGTCGTCGTCGTAAGAGTCGTTATCATCAAAGTCGACGGGGCCGGCCGCGTCGAGGAGTTGATGTTTCTCCATCGTCTTCTTTACCTCTTCGTCTGCGGCGACTTCGGTGAGTCGCTGCTGGTTGATGGCCTCTGAGGGCTCTTCTTGCTGCACCACGCGCAGGACACAGTCGTCCAGATGTTCATAGAAGTCCTGAGCATTGCTGAATGTCGCCGAGCAAGTCGAGCACTTGCCGGTGGCATCGCTGCTGTAGTTGGTGCCCCGCTTGGCGGAGGACGGGGTGCGCTTGCGGCAGTTCGGCGGTGTCTGCTCGACTCCGTGGACGGAAGTCAGGTGGCGCTTAAAGACGTCGGCGCGGTTGAAGCTCTTCTCCGCGGGAGAGCCGGAGCCATGGCAGAAGCCGCACACCATTGTCCCCTTGTAGTGGGTCAAGGTGTGGCGGTTCTTGTCATATTTGCGCGCGAAGCCCTTAGTGTGGTACTCGCAAGTGACGATCGGGCACTTTTCTGGCCGCTCGGACTGGTGAGTGAGCATGTGGGCCTTCAGGTCTTTGAAGACTCGGCCGCAATCAGGATGAGGGCACCGGCCTTTCTCCCTGGCCTCGTCATCCGCTTCAATGCTGCTCAGAGCGGGACTCTGCTGGGAGCGACGGGATCGGATGGAGGAGATGGAAGATCTTCGGTCATAAACCGAGACGGGTCGCGAGTGCGAGTCGGGCATCATCATTGGCGAGTGTTGTGGTACGGGGTAGAGCAATGGCTGAGACTCGACATTTTCACTGTATGGGACAGGGGATGCGGCGGGAGAGTGAGAGATAAAGTTGTGCGGGGCGGTAGTGTAAGTGGAGTTGGAGTGGTCGGGATAGGAGATGGTGGGAGTGAACTCGGGGCCATTTTGTACCGGCTGGATCAGGTAAGGATCTTTGATTCCTTGTTAGCGCGGATCCGCAGGAGAATCTCCGATTGAGCACATACCGATATGTGTATACGGCAACTTTTCATGGTAGATCCCGTCCATGTCCACGGCGCTCGCGGCGTATTCATTGGGGAAGAATTCGTTCATCACTGCAGCGGAAAGACCGAGACCGTGGCCCGTGTTGACCCACTGATCTTGGAGGACCTGCTGGTGGCCAGCGTATGGAGAGCCGATGGCGGATGAAGGTGCGCTGGCGATCGAAGGGCCAGAGGCCGCGGAGCCGGTAGGGATTCGGGGATCGGAGTGGGATGCGGAGACGGAGGGAGGAGTCGTAGGCATGGAAGGGAGGTTGGAGGACTTGTGGATATGCGAGTCGAACAAGGTGGAATCATTCAAGTATTGGAAACGGGAGTAGTCGGCCGTCTGGGCATATGGAGAAACATTGTCGACGGGATAAAACATGTCGCCGAAGTTGGGATCCATCGTCATCGGTTGGAAGAAAGACTGCTTGGATCTGGCAGACTCGAGGGCCATCATCATGGAGAGAGAGAAACGGGTCTGGAGTCAATGACTCTGGGCAGTCGTCAGCTTTTTTGTCTCATGAATTTCCCATGGAGCAGCATACCAATCCAATAAGGTTAGGATTGCGGCCCGGTCAAACCCAACGTGCGAACCTCGGGGACAAGAAGGCAACGTGCGACACCCGGGTGAAGTAATCATGCAAGGGAGGAAGGGTCGCATTCAGGTTTGCAGCGTACAGCCTATGGAGTCTCCTTGCGTAGGGTGCAGGTGAGGGTATAGGGTGTTGGAGGAGGTATGGGGTGCAGAGGTCCGGGATGTTGGGAAAGAGTCATGTCAGAGAGGGGGAAAGAGGAGTATTATAGACGCATCGTCAGTACATTCCGGAGTGTGCAGTGTCTAGTTCGGGATGATGGTTAAATATTATTAAACCAAAATAGAAAATCGAGAAATCGACAAAATCGACTAATTGGGAATTACGTGAATTACGGTAATATTGCGCCGCGAACCAGACCCTCGAACCACAGCGCTGGGGCAGTGCGCAACAGGGACAGGGAGGCCGGGCTTAGCGCCAATGCGGACTCCACAGGGTATGTTTTTGGGTATTTGGCTCATGAGTATTTTCATCAGTTCGTCTGGGGGCCGGTGGATTACTCGCATTGGCCCATCCCAGCACTCCGCCTCCTGTCAGGCGTCCAGTTCTAGCCTTAGGAGTTTACCGTCCCTTAGCGAGCGTGCCGTTGTGCCACGCCGTCCTCTGCCCTACGAGGCCACGGCCACGGTCATGGTTATGGTCATGGTCATAGCTGCCCCCACAGGGCCGGAAGGATCCCGCGTCATACTGTCAAGACCTGCACCGTCTTCAATAGCGTGGAAGATCGCGGAACAAAAAACGGATAGATCAGAATGGAGATGCTCGGGGATATCTAGACTCCGAAAAAGGGGGTGTCGGGCAACACCATTAAGTCATGCATGGATCGACTCCTCCGAAATGTCAAGCAACGGCCGCAAGACGGAGGTCTGTCAGTCCTTGCACGGGAAGGAATCCATAATTCCATTCCCTAAAAATCGGGCATCGGCAAGTCCGTGTACATTTAACACCCCGGTCCAACCATTTGTCAACTCCCCTTTCGCTTGGGACATGCCATTGTAGATCTGACAGGGTTACAACGGTAAAATTCGTGTATGTCCCGACAAGCCGGGTCGGAGGGCTCGCACGAGATCGTATCAAACCACAGGGATAAAGAGAGAGGAAGAAACACAAAAACAAAAAAACAAGTGGAGCAGATCTCGGCCGCGTCCGTCCAATTTCCGCAAAAACAGCGTAATCCCACGGCTTCGGTTGACGATCCCTGGCGGGGCCAATCGAGCTTTCCCCACGCCAGCCAGCCATTTCGGCAGCCCTGTACAAGTCGTCATTGGACCGGGGGCGGGCAGGCCAAATGAAAGGTGAAATGAAGCCCAGAGCCCTTCGTCCCAATCACGGCCGCTGGCCTCCGAGCCTGGACCCGGTGGGTTCGCGACACTCCTCTGCGCTATGCTGTGCCGGGTGTAGTTTTCCGGCGATCCTCTCTGCCCGAGTTTTGATTACCCTCTCTGCTCTCCCTTTTTGCCCTAGAGCCGCATGGTTCGAACTGTTGGCATTTGGGCCCCCATAATGATGTCGATTATTACGGAATCGGGATGCTAACTGACCCCCACTTCGCATGTCCCATTCACCCGAAACAAACCAAAAATCCACATGTTAAATCCGATCAGGAAGTTCATTCGGGCCTGGAAATCGGTGGGTCAGACCACGCGAGAAGAGGAAAGCTAAGGCTGTCAGAAAGGTTGCCCTCGGGGATCCCGCACGTACAGTGCTGACACGTCCTTAATTGTCCCTGGTTTTTCCCGGCTTTTGGACATGGCTCGTAAACACCGACGTAACAGCGGACCGGAAAGAGGGCCATGGCCAATCCGGTTGCGCACGTCGCGACCGGGCTCGCATCGGTGCGCCACACTGTAGCCCTAGCGGGTGCAGGGGAACTGGGGGCACTCGGAGTGGCCGTCAGAATTGCGACGGAGATCCGCATCGGTAAGCAGACCACGCCAACCAGGAACCTGGCGCCACGATTCTGGCCCTAGCCACAGTTCGAGTGGGCGGTGATCCAATCGTGCATCGCGCGGTGGAGTGTTTCATCAGGTCCACCGTATCGAGGCGCAGCAGGACCGCTTTTCACCGCTGGGATCCGTCGGCGATCCCGGCGCCAACGCTGCGTGACGCCTTGAGGTCACTCGGATCTCGTATTGGTGTATACGTATGACGGGGGTGACCGATAGTTTCACCCCCATATTGGGAAAAGTACCTTGCTAGATCGCCAGCACTAGCGGTCGGCCGCTGGCCCTACGGTGAAATGCGTGTACACGGTCAAGTCCAGTCCCGCACCTGCACCTGCAACCCACCACCCGGTGTCAGTGCACTTGAGTAACGTCTTTTCCCGTCAGTGTCCCGTTCTAGATGGACCTTTGAAACACAAAGGTGAGAACGAGCGGCCACTCAGCGCCGAGAACTGGACATTCGCGAACTGCACGTCCTGCTGGAGTCATTTCTCTCCATCCAATCAGTGCCCTCCAATGGCGCCTCTCTTCCGGCCCCCAACAGCCTCATTTGCCTGATAGGGCGGAACATGGCACGACAAAGGATGAATAGGGTGGCCCGCCGAACTTCGCTCCGCCCCCCCGTCACCATGGACTCGGGAATGTCACGTACCGCGCCGTTCCCTGGGATCGGTGACTCCGACACCGGTGTTTTCAGGCTAGAGTCGAGTAGATAAGATGTCAAATCCGTGCACGGGTCGAGTCGAGGTCCATGTGATAATCCGATAGATTACTTTATTCCCCAAGTGAACCATGAACGGAGCCCGCCTTTCGGGCCAAACATGATACCAAAAGCAGACAACGCGCAGCCCAATGGAACCATCTCAACCACGGATGACACCCGGGTGATTCCCAGGGTTCCAGCGCAGAACTCCTGCCTACTTCAGAAGATAGAGTACAATACATTTACGCTGTGACCATACTGCATGTGCAGTGCGCGTGGAGTGCATTCCCGATGTCTCAAAACCCTCTTCATCAGAATGCAAGATCTAAGAATATCGAGGCTTGAAAGCCAAACCAACCTTGGCGGGGGCCGAATTCAACCAACAATGGACAAGCAATAGACGCCGTCACTAATAATATCATTGCCGCAAGGCAGGACGGTGCACTGCCAGCAACCAAAGCCAATACCGGCTGACACACACGCCGATCCCAACACCAAATTGACTCGTAACTAACAAGCAAACGTTATTATTCATCCACTTGACACTCACTCTCTAGCCCTATCACCTCCTTCCCATTCGACGCCCGGCCCCTGTCACCCACATGGCCGCCGCGAAACGTGCTTCTATTTTCAGACACGCCAAGCAACCCGTCGGTGATCGACCCTTGGCCCCGGGGATCCCAGAGCAGGATCCCCCTGTCCGTTTCAAAGTCGAACCTTGGACCCGTGGAGAATAGAGAATGGAAGAACGAGACTTTCGTAATCTTTAGGTTTGCTCCAGAATAGTCACACATCTCATCCGGGGGTGGCAAACCACCGATCTGAAATTTGGCTTTGAAACCGGTTCGCACCTGTTTCAAGCCCCCATGCATACTCCTTTCCATCCTGACAGGGGCCTCACCATCGGCCCCCATGCACATAACCCTCGAACAGGGATGTACCACGTTGCCCCCCGGTCTCTTCACCCCTTTGTTTATTGCATTTCAAATTTTTGGCCCCCATCTCCAGTGGAGATATTCCGTCTGACAGACAACGTGGCCCGGGGGTCTAGGACCGGCATGCCAACACCCGGGCGTTACCAAAAAGCAGGTAATGTCTTCACCTCGGTATTTCTAGCCCCCTATGTACATGTACCTGCCTAGACACCCGGGCCGAAAGGTATCATCACATGAATTAACAGAAATAATTAATAAACCTTACGAAAAACCTAGAGCCGCATATCCACCCAAGGCAATCAAAATAAAATAGCCTTTTCCTAAACGATCAACCCCATCACCAAAATGACCCGCGTTTCAAGAAGCGATCATTGTGTCGCTCTACCGCGCGCCACCATTCGTCAAGTGGCCCTTGTCTAGCAGCACCAAATTTAATTTTTTTTTGCCAGAATCTGTGTGCGACGAAAATTACCGCCCACGTATGGACATCTGTACAATCTGTCAGATGTGTTGTGTCCGAGCTCTGCGTCTCTGGATTCGTGCCCATTTCCGTCTCCGCGTCGGGCCCTGGAAATACCCCGACACGTATGCTGACGCCCGACGATCAGTCGCTCTAGACTTGTCTAGAGGCTTTCTACACTGGTACGGTAGTTGGGTCGGGCAGGAAACGAAGTGTTGGTTTTTTTTGCTTTGTTTATCTGGCCATATGGATAAGAAGTAAACTTACACCGTTCATTTGTCATCTGCAACCCTGGCTCCGAGCTCCTGAGCCCGATCGCAGTTACATGTCGATGCCCTCCACATGATTCGCTTCTACGAAGCGACCGCTGGTATTTAGATTTGGCTCTAACCTCCTTCGATGGATGATAGGCGAATTCCACAACCCCCATGTCTCAAATGGTCGCATGAGACCAAGGCGCCTTGACACTCTGTGGAAGTGCTAGGGTCGGCTGTAATGTGTCCGCTAGAACCTAAAGTTAAGGGCGGTCGGTTGTTCGTTGTGGATTGAGGAAATAAGGACTGATTACTTGGGGGCCATGGACGGATCGGATCCTCCTTGGGTTAGCGGGGACCGCGGCTCACCTGGACCAGCCATTGGCGTAAAGTACGGGCGGGAAATGGGTCAGAGGATATGACAGGCGAGTTCCTACTCCGTACTGTAGTTCTTGTGCCAAGGCTCCGGGCTAGTACTATAGAACAGACCACATGTGTTATTCTCCGCCTGGTGGGCTGGGCTAGCGATTGAAATACCAGATCGGGATGGATAGGGGGCCACTTTTGGCCGACTATTGGCTCCAGGGTACTGAGTTGATTTGCCCGGGCAAAGGGAAACCTTACCACGAGGCTTTGAACTATCTGTCGATCGTGTCTCGATCCTCGACGATCTTAATTGCCGTTTTCCTGATTCCTGGTTCATAATTCTCGGCGCATTGATCGCGTATTCGGGTAGGTTTTCCCCTACCCCCTGCATACAAGCGAAACACGTTGTCAACAGGGCCCTTCCCTGCATCAGGCAAATCAAGAGTCCGGCGGAAGAGGAAGCCGTGGATCGCGGTCCGATCCTTGAAGCTCACCATGTGGGAAACCACCATGTGGAAAGGGGGCACCAGGGCTTCCAACCGCGTCCTGCGCCCCGAGCAAGAAAACTGAAACCACGCGGGACATTGTGTAGCATCGCAGACGTGTCCTGCCTAGAGGTCTACGGTACACGCTGCCCGCGCGCTCCTGTTGGCCCGAGCAGGGAGAACAGGTGCCTGAACCTGGTTGAGGACAGGGCGAACCCTACTTCCCACCCACGAGGCAAAACAAGACCAACCAGTGACAGACTGTCCTGTGACGGGCGGGCATTATTGGTGCGAGATAAGCAGGTGTGGAATTGTCGTTCTGGGATCTCCAGATCAACGGGCGACTCGGTCGAGATCTGTTCTGTGGCAAACCATGACTCGGGGACCTATGGGATCTTGGCGAAAGCCAAACAGCGCCAACATTGGATACTAGCTTTGTTTGTACCGATGCAATGACGTTGGTTTCGCTGGTGCTCCTTTTGGGCCTATAAACAAAGGAAAATGCAGAAAGAGAAGACTAACTCCAATCTAACGTTGGCTTTGACGCCTTCGCTTCCATGAACGTCATAAATGCATGACGAGCCTACCCAAGTAATGCAAGGTAACTCGGGTAAATCTAGCCTGGAGAAAGGCAGCCATCGCCGATCATTTGAGATGATCTTTGATTTGCCCCCTTTCCGGGCTGTGTAACGTATAACCGAAGGAATGTCGTGGTTCTGGCGGATTCGGACGGGAGGGGTCAGGCGTTGCACAGCTGCGCCAAACCATCTGTCCACAGCAAGGTCCGTGAGTTAATTTGGGAAGATATCTCTGGCATTCGAGCCCGAAGGCCCCCAAGATACACTTCCCGAAAAGGCAGTTACTCGGATCAACGTACGTTGGGACGTGCATTGCATAACGCGGGTGATGAGCGCTCAGTGATGAATGATAGGTGATGACGCTTGACAGACCATTATTTGCGGGTGCGCATAACTGGTGGAAGATCCCCGGCGAATCGCATGTTCTAATGGAGGGAAAAGGATCTAGCCCTAGGGAGTATGTAGTTCCAGGTGGAATCCATGTGCAGATAAACTAGTGACTCTGCTGCTGTCACATTGCAACGATGCCATCACATAAATGATCTACAGCGGGATCTCGGGAGGCAGATTGCATAAGCGCGAGATTCACGATTGTCGGATCGACATAACTCGACGCGTCGATGTGACCAGTCACTTCTGCAGAGGTTCCTGCCTAGTCTGGACAGGCACAAAACCCGCAAAACTCAAATTGAGACAAGCACGGGAAATCGGGTTAATCGCCAAGAAATCGGAACAGCGCCAGATCCATAAGCTCCTGATCGGATCTGCAACTCTACATTTGTGGGGGACACCACTCAAGGAGCTCGTAGCCTGCACCCGACTTGGAATCGCCTTTTTACACTGTATGTAACTCCGTACTGCGACACAGTAAACAGGAAACAAGGCCCCGACCCACTCTACACCGCGGCACGCACTGATCAGCCTATAGCGGTCCGAGGTCGTCTTCCCCGAGATGGAGCGGAGCGCCCTCCGATTGCCCTAAATCGACTATCTTCGTGCCGTGCATCCACCCTTGCCCGAGAGGATCCTGCCGATGCCCAATGGTATCGGATGAGCCACACAGCAGTTTCTTTCGCCGCTGTGGGTCAATTTGGGGTGCGCCGGTGCGATGGGTTTGGGATTCGGGGGCTTTACCGGTGCTTTGGCTGGGCTTTGAGGTCTGAAAATTGAGTGGATGGGCGTGAGCAGGTGAATGGATCACTCGTTCATTGGAACGGACTCGGATCTTGAATCTTGCTCGAGAGCAGGGAATGCGCTTTGCGTCTGCTTTAGGTTCTCTAGTTCCGGTGGTCGCGTTCGTGCTACAGGCGGTTTGCAAGTTCTCCAGGGTCTGATCGCTTCTTGATTGGGGTGTCATAGGACAGACGCGGGGTGACGGGGTTATGGTGGTATTTGGCAGCATTAGTTCGGTAGCCTTCCGGCATAAATTACGACTCGGTTATGCCGGGTCACTTTTGCCTAAGTTGAGAGATCGTCGACACTGATTTTCTTCGTGATGACGTCGTTGGGTGTTAACCTGCGTCGATGGCATCCTGCAGTCCGGGGCTTACGATGACATGAGACAAGGTCCTCCCGGTTAGAATAGTGGCGATCTCACTGTCATTCTCCGATGGCTGCACTGTTGGCTTTCCGGGGTTGGCCATGCGGGTGAGATATCTTCCACGTCCGAGTGTTCGCACAAGTACCTAATGAAATAAAGAAAATGATTACAGAGTTCATAGGTACTGGGGCATTCATTCCAAGTCGGCCTTTCACCATGTTTCCTAATGCTGGCTATGTCACGTCGTTCTACAACATGATCCTTTCCCGCATACTCCAGGGATATATAATGAGTTCGAATCTTCATGTCCTAACATTTACTCAACCTTGGTATACCTGGACCGATAGCACCAACATGTCTCAACTTGATACAAAGCTCGCGAACGTCTCCAACAAGACCAGTACGTCCCTATTTAGTGGTGGCCCTGGATCAGATGCCATCTCACAATTCACAGTCTTCCAGGACTGGTGACAATGCGTGCAACCAAATCATACGGTCAGTATCAAAATTAACGTATAGGAAAACAACACCCTGCCCAGTTTCCAAAATATCAGATACCAACCAATAACCAAGGTCCCTTCCTGCAAAAATCTCGTCCAACCCGGACCTCTCGCGTCCCAACCAGAAGCCCACGAAACAGCATCAACCCCTGCCTGTAGTCAAAGTGAAACTCCTAGTTATACAACTTCAAAGCCAATGAATTCAATTCCTGACCTCTCTCCAAACGCCGCTCAATCCACAGCAGACGAGCAGGTTACGCAGGATCACCGCGTGGACAACGCACAAGATGAGATCCCGAGATGTTCGGGTAGTACCCGACCACCGCCGAGGTGGTTCCCTGCATTCGTGAGACTGCGGAGTGGTTTGAAGTAAATACATACGGGCAAGAAAGGTAAAAGACCGATGGTCAAGCGAGGTGTAAATACCGAAGGACCCGGACATAAAGCAAGATATATCCTGCCCCGGCATCTGTAAATCCAGGTATCTAGGTATCAATCTTAGAATCTTACAGGGAGTTGATGACCAGGGACGACAAAAGAAGCATGTTGAATCGTAGAACCCAATCATGGCATCGGGTTACTACCTAGGAAATAACTCATCCACATTCAGATAGGCATGGATTGGCAATTCCACGTGTGCTACTGCCGGATTACAATCTGTGCTGAGAACAACTCGCTTGCCATATACACATCTGGCCCCAGGAAGCACTGTCTAACGATCGATTACCTGATTACAAACATCTGACAAATCCCGCCTTCAATGCGAGTCACTCATCTCACCCGCATAAATGACTGTATCGCGGAATCACGGGATGAGCATGCTTCACCATGTCGCACAGCATGACTCGAACGGGCTGGATGGATTCTGAAACGGCGGGGCCGTGCTTGGTCGCGTGATGTGTAGTGGTACGCGGAATGGACATCCGGGGGGATTTGGGGGAGTAAACGACTACTTACGAGCTCGAGGTATGTAGAATTATTTGTACTCGAGTAGGTTGAATTTGGTGAACCTAGATACCATCAAGCAGCGAGAGAACTCTTCCAATCGAATCTCAAAGACTGGTAATTGTATTGGGTATCAAATCCCCGCCGAGGCCGAAAGTATGTACAGATAAGTAAAGAATGGGGCAGTTATGAATGGGAAAGCCAAAAGCTAACGCTGCAGGATGCCAAATCATCAATGCATGTGATGCATACAATGTTAAGAGCATGGACTCGCTGAAACGAGCTACTTAAGTGATGACTGATTGGTTGTAGTAGAGGTCGCAAGTATGGGGATGCTGCGCACAATACCTCGGCACGAGGACAGTTGCCATAACGCCGTTGGCAACGAGGTACTCACGGAAGTTGATAATACGCTGGGTGAGATCGGTAGTACGCTTTTGGCCATCCTTGTCGCGGTTACCAGACCACACCAGCTCAGCGAGGGCAGCGGCACGGGGCCAGAACCCGCTGGAGATGGTCACGTCGTCGACCTGCTCGGACCACAGGGGAGCCTCAGCACCGAGGATGTGGCTTTTTTGGGCGTCGGTGAGGTTGGTAGTAAAGTCGAAGTCGTAGATGCGCTGCCAGGTCTTGTAGGGTGCGCACCAAGAACCGCCGTTTCCGCCGTAGTTGAAGGTGACAGCGCCGGAGGGGTCAGACATCACGTCGTATCGGGGGTCGTTGGTGACGAAGCCGCCGTGGCCGCAGTCCAGGTACAGGAAGTCTGAGGAGGAAACGACGACGTCGAAGCCACGGGCGGTGAGGTTGGCGATGTTTGTGAGGCCGTTGTTCCAGCTCTGCAAGACGATGTCCTTGGGGACGTTGTTGGCGGCTTCGGCGGAGAGGGCAATGTCTTCCCACATCATGATCCGGCGGTTGGGGCCGGAGCTACGGAAGATTGGCACAGCATGGTCGACCCAGTGTTGGGCGAGGTCGTTGTAGGTGCGCGAGGGGTCCTCGATAAACCACTCCGTGACGTACTTGCTGAAGTTGTAGCAGCCAGGCTGGATCTCGTCGGCGCCAACGTGGAAGAAGTTGTCCGTGAAGATGTCGGACAGCTCGGAGTATACGTTCTTGACAACCTCGTATGTCCCGGGGTAGATGATATCCAGCTGGCCGGGGTTCGGCTCGACCGCGGTGTGGTACTCCCAGACATCATTGGACCACCACGAGTTGCTGCAAGCGACGATTTCTGGATTCACCTGTTGCCAACCAGAAACGGCGTGGCCCGGCATGTCGACTTCGGGAATGATACGAACACCCTGGGACCGGGCGTAGGCAATGATACGGAGTATGTCGGAACGGGAATATTGCTCGCGAGCAGAGTACGCATCCTTGGTCATCTCGGGGTACGTACGCATCTGCACAGGCCACGACTGGGCATCATCCAAGTGCCAGTGCAGCACGTTCATCTTGGACAGGGCCATGCCGTCGATCTGCTCGAGGATCTTAGGGACAGAAATGAAGTTGCGGCCCGTATCTATCATGATACCACGGTGCGGGTACAGGGGCGCGTCTTGGATCATGACCGGCTGCTCAATGATCAAACCACCCTGTCCGTCGGAGATGATCAGCTGCTGCAAAGTGGTAAACGCGTGCATCGCGCCCCAGATTGTCTGGGCATTGATCTTGACGGAGCCGGCAGACGCCGTTACCTCCAGTGTGTATGATTCGTCAACCCCATGCTGCAGATCGGCATCGCCGTCAACCACGGAGACGTCGACGGTGTAGAGGGCACTGGCTGCGCGCTTGGTCATGCCCGCACCGGTCGGGAAAGGCTGGAAATGGGGAATCGGAGCTTCAGTGGCTGCGGGGACCCATCGAAGAGTGTGGATCGACTGCCAGGCGCGCTCCCAGGCGCGATTGAGAGTCTCCTGCTGGCGACAGGATTCGGTGGTGCGTAGCTCGAGCCATTTGACGGGGATGGCTCCTGAATTGCCCCAAGTGATGTTCCGGGGGGCTGGAAGTGGGTTCACCTTGACCGCGGAGACAGTGGTCAAGGCCGCCAACGCGCCGAGGACGGTGGAGAACTTCATCGTGACGATGTAGGTGGAAAAGAGAAGTGCAGCTTGACAGAGAAGGAGGCGACGGGTTTTATTTATGTTGAAGAGGTGCATGCCGATCGCATGCGGATCTCCTCATCGGCCTTGGAATGTGCCCTCGAAAACGGGATCACTTAGATCAAGCTCCGTCCAAACAAATCCCTTGATGTTTCAGTTTCATCCGGCAGCAAACGTTACATTTGATCTAACCTTCCTTATCTTAGTCCTGGTCCACACGGCTAGCCTAGGCCGATGTCCCGGCCTGTGTTCGGGCCTGCTAAGTCAAGTGCGACCTCCACATGCTACATCGGTTATTTACTTCCCCAGGAAACAACAATCAACGGTAATCTCCACGGTTGCGTCAAGGCTTAAGTTACCTTAATCCAACTCTTTAAGTAACTCATACTAAGTGATAAATGATCTCCGAATAAGGTCGATGGCACGCGATTACCGAGAAATGGCACGGTCACATTCCAATCTGCCGTCTGAGCAATCAAAAGCTGCGCTTCTCCCTGGCTTGCTGCAAGATACGGAGATACAATACGAGCACCACTTGCGGGGTTATAAGGTACCATGACTTCATTTCCACATCTTATCCTATGTGGACTTCTCCAACGCACGCTCCGTCTCCATGCCCTCATGGAACTCCTCCCTGATGGTCGCTATGGTCGCGTCAGAGGGAACAACACACGGGCGTCGAGGAGGACCACCGTATCCGTGGTATGACTGCAATCCGCTCTTGACCGCAACGAAGCCACGGTTGATCGCGACCCAGTCGGCACGAGCAACCACTGCCTGGAGCCTCTGAGCCTCTTGGATCTTGCCGCTACGGTAAAGGTCCATGAGCCGAACACATGACCGGGGAATCAGGTTGGCAGTACCCCCAATAATCCCGTTACCTCCAGCAATGAGGGTTTGCAGAGTAAAGTCGGCCGAGCCACCAAAGGTCAAGAACTCGGGCTTGGACTCGGCAGCAATGCGGGCTAGCTTGCCAGTGTTACCGCAGGTGAGCTTGCAGCCGATGATGTTTGGGTGCTTGGACAGCGCCAAGATATCGTCTGAAGAAAGGTCAAGTCCCGATGAAGCACCGGGGAAGTTATAGATGAGAACGGGAACGGGCGAGGCGTCAGCCACGGCAAGGAAGTGTGCGTGCAGGGCCTCGGTGTTGACCAGGCCCTTATAGTAACTCGGAGGGAGAACCAAGACGGCGTCGGCACCGCTGGCACCGGCGTCCTTGGACAACTGGATGGTCTCGCGAGTCGATGCAGCGCCGGTACCAGCAATCACGGGCATGGCTGGGTACCCCGCGGCATCCACTGCGCGACGTGTGGCAGCGGTGATAGCTTTGCGCTCTTCGCGGTCCAGGTGGACGGCCTCACCATTGCTGCCTTGCGCGACCAGACCGGTGACGCCGCTGCGCGCCAGGTAAGCTGCATGCATCTCGGTGACAGCCAGATCAATCTCCTCATCGGGCTTAAAGAATGCCACAGTGGGCACATAGACGCCCTGGAGGAGGGGGTTGCGCTTGGTGGTTCCGTTGGCCGTCATGGCGAAATTGGGAGTATCTACACTATCAGCGTGTGAATCAAGATGGAGATCAGCTCCACTTACCAAAACCAGAGGAGGAAATAATGGAGCAGCGCATTCTGGGCGTTGAGCAGCTAAATAACCTCCGGGTAATGTATGTAATCCTGATCTTCACCCCCACGTCCCCCACAAGCTCCAATCTAATTAGCCGTTTACAACGCGTTCAATGTCATCGTGTACATGTACAACACTGCCCCGCGTGGGAGGTGGAGGTCTCCCGGCGTATTCCCGGTGATTCGTTTTAACCCCCACGCTTCGCCCTACGCGGGGTTGAAGTTGTGGCCGTGAGGGGACTGCCTGACATGTCAGAGTAATGTCCGTCCTGCTGAGTGTACTGTCTCGCCGAAGATACTGCATCGCCGTCGGGTTTGGTCTTGTAGAGTAGGCTCTCCCCCACTCCGGTTGAGCGTGGGGGTCGGGCAAAGAGTTTCTGGCGCACTGCTCTGTGGAATAATTGTGACTACCTGCCTCGAGGCGATCTCTGAAGGCATATGTAATGGTGCATATCTCTTCGTCGAAGTGGTGGAGTTGCAGACGCACCTGCACAGCGGGGACACTGCCATGCATGAAGCCTCCTCACTGTCCACCTCACGACATCGGGGTCTCACAACACAGTAAATAGAAGAGAAACAGCATGAAATGGAATTAAGCTATAGATCTTACTTTCCTTCATCACAGCCAATGCATCAAGTAAATCGCGTGTGTCGCTGCCAAGAAGCAACTCTCGCATCGCAGCGTTGTGTCTGTGACCCTTCGGACCAACTTTGCTATCCCCGACGTCCTGCCCGAACTCCCTAGAATCGACACCCAAACAGAACCACCAAAACCTCCCTCCCATCCCTCGGATATTCCCAGCATGGCACAAGTCTGAAGCCTCTCCACCTCTCCAGCGTCGAGCAATGGCTCTCCTGCCGCGGCCGTCCCTCCGCGGCTCTGTGCGACGGACGCCCGACGAGCCCTTCGACGACGGTCTCGCACCACCGGCCAAGAAACAGCGCACCTTGTGGGAGACCGGCTTGCGCCGCCGAAAGAGTTCTCCTGATTGCCTCGACACAACCCAGAATGATGGCTCGACCGCCGACGCACAACACGCCAATCCTCCCTTGAAGGCCGCGCGACCGAGGACGTCCACCCGTCGCACTCGCAGAGCCTCCGTTTCCTCCATCGATACGGTCGCATCAGACACCCAATTAAATGCCTTGGGAAATTCCCATACGAACGGCAATTGCGCCGTCGCGGCCTCCCATGCGCCCGACCGAGATACGCCTTCCGGAAAAGCCTCTGCCAATTTGTCACGCGGCGCTCGCGAGTCCCCAGACCCATTGGACACAATTTCACCGGCAGCGAGTAGGACACCCGCTAAGTCGCGCCTTCGGGCATCGTCTGGCGCTGCGGAGGCAGAGAACAAGCCCAATAAGTCACCTAGTACAATGCGCACCACCCGGCACACAGAACACAAGGCAGAGACAGCCGATACCGTCAAATCAGAGCACAAGGAGGACGCACCAGACGCACATGTAGGTGATGCGACTCAGTCGCAGCAAAGCCGCAAGAGCGATGCCGTTGAGAGCGAACAGCCTGACCCTGCACACACAGCGGACGGCAGGCGTTCATTGCGCTCGGCAGATACTGGTTCGCGATGTAAGAGTGAGCTGGCGCAATATTTCTACAACTACGAGCAGATTGTCAGTCTCGAGACTCCCAAGCCCGGTAAGTCTCAGCAATGTCCCTTGGCGAACTCGTGGGCTAATGAAGGTCTTAGAAATGCTTGGTGCGACCACGACTATCACGCTCATAAATAATTTGTCTGAACCATTACCTTTGGCATCTACACCGGACCCCATGCCTTTTGGTAATCCACTTCACAAGCTCTATAATTGTGAGGTTATTACTCTACCCAAGCCAACATCAAAGTCTACTGGCGTGGACCCTCTGAGCGAAGAGCTATACTTTCGTGCACATCGTAAATTCGAGCGTCAGGAAAAGCAGCTCCGAAACATCGAGCGCGACCGTGCTCAGCATAAAGAACAGCAAATCGAACAACTTCTCGAGGACCTACGCGGTCACGACTGGTTGCGCGTGATGGGTCTACCGGGAGTCCATGAAAGTGAGAAGAAGCTCTACGAGCCAAAGCGGAAGATTCTCATTCAAGAAATGGTAGCGCTGGTAAACAAATTCCAGGCCTGGAGGGATGAAGAAAGACGTCGCAAACTCGCCAAAGACAAACCATTACCAACCGCAGACGACGCGGAGTCCCGGCGCTCACGAAAACGCTCAAGGCCCGCAGAGGACAACGAAGAAAGCTCTTCCCTCCCAGAAACACCCAGCACACCAGACCTGAACGACGTCGACGCATTAGCCGCGCACCAGCTCCACCAAGAAGCTCGCTCTGCTTCGGATGCCAAGCGCCGCAAATCCGTGTCTGAAGCTCGCAAACCCAAAGCTCGCTCTGACGCAGATGACACTCCATCTAATGAAAAGGGCCATGCAAAACGCCCAAAGCCTCAACCCTCCAACCCTCCTATCCATGCTCCTTTCTATTACCCTGTCCCTGACAAACCATTTACCTCGTTCTTCCGAGACCGTCACGCTCGCGACGTCGCCGTGGCCGCTATCACTGGCAATCGCCGTGGCCGATCACGTAATGTCCTCGCATTTGGTCAGCCCATTCCGGAAGTCGAAAAGTCTGAGTTTGGGCCAGATCCAGAACTTCTCACTGAAGAGGCTATCCAGGCTTCGCGGCGGCAGCGGCGTCGGTTGACGAGGCGGAGTGCGGCTGGTTAAGCCAGCTTCGGTGCCCGTGATTTGGATCAAAACCGCACACGAATCTGGTTGTGTGTTCTTGTTTTTTTTTATTGCATTGCCGTGTATTATTTTTGTATGATAGCATCGAGGCGTTGGGCATGGCATGTTGTATTTTGTGGCTTAAGGGCCTTGTTTCTGGCGCTGGGTTTTGGAAAGGGGGTTGGAAATCCATTTGTGCATTTTAGTAGGTGTGTGATATGGAACGGAGATACCTATTTCTCTACAGTTGATCGAATGGTAAATTATTGCCGACGAAGATCGCTGACGAAGTACTTTATTGGGCTACGGAGAAACACCACCTCGGGAACCTCAGCCCGGTCTGACGCTCCCACATCCAGGGATTCAAGGTAAACATTAGATATCCCTGCACAAGCCTCCTTCGAGGCAGCATCCAAAGCTACGCAGCAGATGCAAGACACCTCACCATGACAATTTCACCCACTTTCACGACCTGGCTCCTAGCCGCAACAATCCAACACCTGATCCCAACAACCCTTATCCTGACAACACCCAAACGCGCACCAATACGCTATATCGCCATAATTTTCATGATCTGGCTCGCCAGCCTGTTCATAGAACCCATTACTGCCCCTAGCCCGGCTCGAGTAACGGTCATCTCCTTGGTAGTCGTGGCCATACCCCAAGCGGTCAACCTACTACTGATCAACCCCCTGGATGACGACGAGCTCTGTCGTGAACAGCCACGACGCGCAATATTTCTATCCGATCGAATCTGGTCGGCGCTTTCGGCTGTTAGCCAGTCCCGAGCTATTGGGACGTCTAGGCAGGTTAAGAATGTGCCTCCCCAGCCAGCTTATTTTGGCTGCGGCGAGAAAATCCCACGTGGAATGTTTCTGATGCGTCAGGGACTTGTCCTGGTGTGGCAGTATCTTGCATGCGATATCGTCCAGGCCCTTGCTAGACAACAGGGATTGAAACAGGAAGGGGTTCTGGTCTTTGAGCCGATTCAGTGGCAAGTCCCGCTTGATGTCTGGGTTGGGCGTGGTGTTCAGCATTTGATTACTTGGTTTGTGGTTATGCGGTTGGCTATTGATTCCTGTTACCGTGTTGCATCGATTGTGTTGGTTGGGTTGGGGTTGGATGAGCCCGAGCATTGGCCGCCAGTTTTTGGACGGATGCTTGATGCGTTTACGTTGAGGAATTTCTGGGGGTGAGTTTTCTTTTCCGAGGTGGTTGGTGTTTTATTTGGGCATTTATACTGATATATTGAGCAGGAAATTCTGGCATCAATTCTTGCGCCAGCCGTTTACGGCTGTTAGCAGTTTCGTTGCGCGTGATGTGCTACATTTTTCCAGGCCATCTATCTTGGAGCAGTATACGAATATCTTCTTCGTCTTTCTCCTTTCGGGTGTTTTGCACCTTATGGCAAATTTAGTGGACGGGGTCCCAGTTGAGCGTTCTGGAGCGATGCCTTTCTTCCTTTCTATGGTGCTTGGTATTATGATTGAAGATGGGTTCCAAGCTTTTTGGACCCGGGTACACCCCGCAGCTGATAGCACTGAAGATACCACACCGTGGTGGAAGAGAGTTGTCGGACTGGCCTGGGTATTTCTTTGGTTGGGTGTTACTTCGACGTGGTATCTTCACCCGTTGTCGCAGTTGCCGAAGGATGAAATTACAATGGTGCCGTTCAGCGTTGTTGAAAGATTTGGTTTGAAGCTGATCGGAGGAGTTGTCTTGGCTGGTGGTGCTGTTCTAAGCCTTATGTTAAGGTGTGAGGTCTAAGTGAAGGTATCTGCGTCGGCATAGATGGCGGGCAATTTGCGGGTGGATTCGGCGATGGTCAATACTCCCTACATGTAATGGAAATATAGATTGAACTGTACTTTATGGGGGTCCACTCACATACAGCGTTGCCTGAGACCGGCACTTGCCGGGAAACCTGTACACTATGGTGGACCACTATCACAATGGTCGGTCAACGTCGAGAACTTCGAAAAGGAAGTTGTGGCCTATATCCAAGGGTTCTATGCTGCCCAGAGAGGAGAGCATGCAACAATGGTTCCGACTGCGAGTTCACATCTGCCCCTTTTATGTATATTGCTTCCGTAGGTCTCTACTGAACCTGTCCTATCAAAGCGGCATCTACAGCTTCGGTTCATCCTTTAGACAGTGGGGATTTGTTATCTTAAGGGGCACTTGCAGAGTGAGCAGCGCGGCGATCTCGTATGAAGTGGAGATCGCCGTGAATAAGGACAGGACAAAGTACACCAAGGTACTCGGTACTCGACACTTTAAAGTCAGCCCCGGGTATGCCTTAATAGTCGACTCCGGACTTTCATTTCTGCTTTTAGCTTCTAGCTGCCAGACCATTTCGCTTCATTCGAAAATGTGATTTTTCAGTTGTGCTATGACCACCGCGTGTCCCGATGGTGGATCCGGGGCCCAGTGCGACGAGTGAAGATTGGATTGGACGATGAGCGCCGATCCACGGCTTGTAAACAAACCATTGCGAACCCAGAGCTGAAAAGCTGCACCAATACGTCATGCCTTCTCAACTATTCTTTAAATTCCGTTTTTACTCCTCCCCCTGGGATTTGGGTTATCCTGAAGTCCAAGCAGAGCGGCGACGATGCAGGCCGTGGTACGCGGCAACGTCCCCGTGGGGACGGACCCTGTCATAAACGAACAACTTGCCGAGGCTTGGAAAGATATGGGAGAGTGCATGAGCCAGCTTGCCAAGATGTCGAATGGGAAAAATTACGACGAGAATCTGAAGCCCAGCGATGTGATGGAGAACCTGAATGCGGTCCAGAATCTCCGCAAACAAACTTCGGCGCAGTGGAAGAAGATTAAAAATGGCTTCAACAATACGCTCACAATGATTGGAATCGTTGGAGGCATGGTCGCTGATGCTGCGTCCCAGGTAAGCTCGTCAAGTTTTAGCAAAGAATGTCGCTAATCCAAGACAGGTGTTCGCTCCGGCCGGTCAGTGTTATAATGCCCTGAACTTCGTCATCAATGCGTATAAGGGCTACCAGAGCATCTTTGAAACGTTGAATACTCTGTTCGAGAAGTGCGCTGAGTTTCTGCAACGTTTGCCGAAATATGTCAAGGGCAAAATGAGCCCCGAGTTGAGCGTCATCTCCTGCAAAGTTCTACGCCATTTCGTGACGGTGTGTGAGGACGCGTTGAAGATCCGAAGTTCGGCTCGCTTCAAGGCCAAAACTATGTTCAAAATTGCGTTGTTTTCGCAGAATGACTTCTCGGACTCGTTGGCCCAGATGGACGAGCTCACCAAGAAAGAAGCTTTGGAGGTCGCGGCTGATACATACGTCAACGCTGCTGAGGCGGCAGACCATTCTCGATACGCGAGGAACATCTTGGAGGAAGAACAGTCGGAACGAAAAGAGGAAAAGCAAGAAAAGAAGGACAAAAACATTCTTCTGGATACCCTGATGTTCAACAAGAGCGCGGATACATGGGATGGCAATGCTCAAGCACCCATTGCTACCTGGGGGTCGACCTACCAACGCATTCGCCAGAACCATGTCGAAGGAACAGGCAACTGGCTGCTCCAGGATCGATTATTCAAGGCCTGGAAGAACAAAGACGGAGGCTCGCCCATTCTAGCAATCGTCGGCGGCGAGGCTTCGGGCAAGAGTTATCTGGCTTCCACCGTCATCAGTCACCTACGAACTGAAGGTTTCGATACGGAGCTTACAACCAGAAATCTGGTTGCTTTTTACTTTATGAACAAAAAAAATGCAAACGCTGGTGTTGATTCTCTCGGAAAATCCATCATCTGGCAGTTCGCACAGAGCGATCCTTCCTACATGCAATCCGTGGCTTTGACGTGTGAAAAAGCTCGCTACATCGACCCGAAAGAATTCCTGACCCAGCTCCTCCTCGCAAACCGCAAGGAGCTAGAGGGTATTGATGCAACGTTCTACATCGTCATCAACAAGATTGGTGATGATCATGACAACGTTCATGATGGGGTCTTGAACTTCCTAAGAAACCTCTTGCAGTCCAAGAACAGATCAGTTCGCGTCTTGTTTACCGCCACCCAGGGGACTGCTGATAAGCTCAAGAGGAATGGTGTGACCTGTCCTACCATCTCAATGAGCGAGAATACGGATGACGTTCGCAAGTACATCAATGCGCGGATGGATAAGATTGATGTTCTCACGGAGACCTCCGATAGCGAAGATGATGCCGTCGATGATCTCCGGAAATCGATCCAGTCCAAGCTTCTCGCCCAAACTGGCGGCAACTACTACATGATAGATACAATTCTGACCCAGATCAGCGGTTTGGATTACGACAAAGACATCCAGAGTGCCCTTGACGGTGCCGGTAAAAGCATGGCGCAGCACATCGACGATGATGTTCGCAAACTCAATGATACCTCCACGATCAAAGACCTGGAGGAAATCAACGAAGTTATTCTGTGGATTACTTTCGCGCAAGAGAGGATGACTGTCGAGATGATGAAAGCCGTGTTGCAGTTCAAAAACAAAGCGACCTCCCTACGTCCCCTGGAAGAGCGACTCCAGAAATTCCTGCTGTTCGAAATTGACAACGAGGGTTATGTCAACTTCCGATCAAATAAAATCCTGGCTACTATTCCCGAGAGAGCCCTCACTGCCGAAAAACGCCAGAAGAACGACGAGGTGGTAAAGAAGAGCGAAGTCGACATCATCCGACACTTCCTCGGCACCGTGTGCCCTCCACATTTGGTTCAAAAACTAGAGTTGGAGCAGCACTTCCAGCAGAAGCTGAGTCCACGCCAAGAACAGATTTATCAGGAGGATAAGAATACGGCCCATTTCCAGTTGGCCAGGGCTTGTATCTTTGTGCTCGCCAATGAGGACAGTGACAGGCTGAGAGTGTTGCGAGGATACGCAGCCCGGCAGCTGTTGCACCATATGAACGAGGTGGATTTGGCTGCCATAGGCCGTGATGTAAAGGCTCAGATTGGACGTGATCTGGTCAAATTGTTCTTCAAGGGCGAGTCCATTGACAATCTTCTCTGGGCGAACAGGCCTCTGCCGCGGCTCCCAGTGTGGATCTTCGATGATGGTGCAGTGGGTGTTATCTACAGGTGGCTCAAGGACACTGCTATTGTGGTAAATGTCGACGATCAGGAGAAGAAGTGGCTTGAAACCATTCTGGATGGTGAACAACATCCCGCCAGGACACTGAGTGAACCCTCTGCCGTTCGACTGGCGTGGTATTGTTTCCAGGATCCGTCATCTGAGGACCTTACCCACGCTGCCTTTGAGATCGTTTCTCTTTTCCTTTCTCAGGTAGGTCTTTCCACGGCTTTGATTGCTGTAAATGCTGATAACTTTCTTGTTTAGTTCCCCGAGGAGACCCCTTCTACCGCCGACAACACACGACCAACTTTATCACCAGACGTGATTGAAAGTTGGTGCCAGAGAAAGCTTCAAGTTGAAATCAGAGACTCGCTATGGCACACGCAGATGGCGATTGTGTTGAATCGTCTCTCTGACAGATTCAACGCGGAAGAGAATTGCCGCGAGGCACTCAATCTTGACAAAAAGAATTGGCGAGCATCGTTTCTTCTGAGCAAGATCGTCATCTCTGACTCCGAGGCGACCGAGATCTTGAATAGGCTTGTCCGTCATTGTGAAGGCGACACAATCTGGATGAAAGAGCATCAAAAGGACCTCGCCGAGATGCTCTACATTCTTGGAAACCGATACTGGGAAAAAGGCAAATTCGAGAAGGCAATCAACAACTACACGGCATGCATTGATCATGATCCCACAATGTACCAATCTGCGCTGAACATCCTATCTCAATACGACGGATCTCAAAATTGGAACTGCATGGTTGCTCTGATCGAGCAAATCCGCTCCAAATCCAAGCTCAAATCCATGGCCATTGCACTGGCCATACACGACGAGTTCCACGTCTACCTACGACACGCAGTGGTCAATACCGGGAGATTCGACGTCCTGGACCAAGTTTACACAGACGCAATTCAAACTGCCACAAGTCATAAGAATTATGTCGTGTCTTTCACTCTTCGCCGGTCCTTCGCTCGCGCCCTCACCGTGAAACTCCCTGTTCCCCTTGGTCAGATTACAGGACTGTTGGAGGATGCCGCCAGAGATGTCCCATACACAAACCTGGACCTTGCCGCTGCCTTCTTCCTGGTCGGATATAGATTGGGAGCAATCTATCTCGGCAACGCCAGGGAAGCCAGAGAGGCGGGCAAAGAAGACGAGGCAAACGCATGGCTGCGCCAAATGGCCGATATCATCCCCGAACAAGTCACTGAAGACCAAATGCGTCTCCCTCTTCGCCTATTTGCTGCACGGTACCACCACATCTACGGCAATCATGAAGCAGCCCGGAGTGCAGCGCACAATACATTGAAGATCGCCATGGAACTTCTCGGCGACAACGATTCCACGAACGATATCTTTGCCTACACGAAGATCCTCTACGCCGTCATTCCATTCGAGGATATTGACAATGCGACCGCGGCTCTGGCAATGATGAAACTTGAGGCGCCGGAAGGCCGCTTTAGTATGTCCTGTTCTTGTCAGTGTGGGCATGCGTGGGATGTCCCGGGTGATATGTGGTGGTGTATGGACTGCATCAACGTGGTTTTGACTTCTAAGTGCAAGAACGAGGTTAAGGATCCTAAGTTTGTTACAAGCGTTTGCCATCAGAGGCATGATCACCTCTACATTCCGAAGTGGGATGAGGAGAAGATGAAGACGGTCCCTAAGGACCTTGTGCCGTGGAGAGATGAGGTTATTGACATGAAGAAGTGGAAGGGCAAGATTACCAAAACTTATAATTTGACTAAGTAATGGGTGGCGGATAATCTGGTTGATAGCAAGAGGTAGAAGGTATAGCAATCTAGTTTTCTATACATAATATCTTCAGCGTATCTGCCATATTGCTCCAGTGATAGGGGAGAGATCCCCTCCAGCCAGAGGGAAATTAAATGAGAATGTATCTAAGTATTGTGCCTGTGTCTATGTAGCTGAGCCTCCGTAAGAGAATAAGCAAAGCCTATCTCATCATGCCATTTTCCCCCGACGAGGATTTGATCAAAAGACTGTACGCATCAGTCACATCCCCAACAGCGTCATACCCATAACACCAATCGCGAGTCTTCTTATTCGCAAGCCCACCGAGCGCGCAATCGATATCATCCCGCCCATTGCGGCCTTTATCAAGGCAATCTTCTTCAACCTCAAAGTCTTCATTTGCATGCCGCATTAGTCGATACATCGCTTCCCTCTCCTTGCCGTCAGCCACATGGAAAGAATTTCCAGCTCGAAGGCTTGCTCTTTGCACATCTCCAGCTCTGCGCTTCCGAACTTCTTCAAACACGGCGAGTGCATCTTTGAGCTTCTTTCTGTCTGATGGAGTGCCAGAATCAGGACATGCAAGATTGAGGATTGTTGCCAGCGAGACCGCATCCTCGACGGCGAGACTGACACCCATCGACATATAAAATGCCATAGCGTGGGCAGCATCCCCAACTAGGGTGAAGCGACCGGATGAATGTGTCCAATGGGGTAGAGGTGGAACTGCGTAAACAGGGTAATTCACGATTCTCGGCAGTGAGAGGTCGAGTAGTTGTTGCACACTAAGAAATTGTCAGAAGTTTCATCAAGGTATTTGGGATGCGACATACGGATGCTCAAAGTCACCAAACAGCTCATCTACAAGTTTCTTGTGATCTTCATAGCTGAGCTCTGTCATGTCAATATCGTCGTGGTGGGATAGGACTATGTTCAGGATCGAGGCATCTTTGATCAGATATGTCATGCATGACCTATCTGGTGCGATCCAGAGGTTGGAATTGTACGAATTGAGGTCGACAAGGTCTGCCGTTGCGGGGTTCTGTTGGATTTTGGATACTTCGGCCATCATTCTCAAGGCAGCCCATCCGGTAGGCTGAGACCCTGGGTCCGAGGGTCCGAGAAGTTGTGAGCGGGCAAATGAGTTGATGCCTATACTGGTTAGCATCCAACTCAACCGCAATGAGAAACCCGCAACACACCATCTGCAGCTATAACAAGATCTCCTTCAAGCCGCTTCCCACTCTTCAGCTCAACCGCGCCATTTTCAAAGTCATATCGAACGACCTTGCTCTCCAACAGGAGTTGCGTGCCAGCACGGACAGCATGGCGATGGAGGATATCATGGAGCGACGCACGGTGAATAACAATATATGGCGCACGATACAGCTCCTCTATCTTATCCATCTGCATCACCCCTAGCATAGTTCCATCTTTGTCCTTGATATTTATTCTCTCCGGTATGATGCACTGTGCCAGAATGTCCTCCTTGAGACCCCATTGGAAGAAGTACTTGATAGCCTGAGGAGTCATTTGGACACCGGCGCCTATCTCGGCTAGCTGGGAAGCTGTTTCAAGGACCAATACTTCGTGCTTGTCCTGTGCGAGGGCGATCGCGAGGGACAGCCCGGCTATACCTGCCCCGACGATAATAACGCGCATGATGCTGTGAAAATGATTGCCAAGTTAAAGGACCAGGAAGAGCTTAGAACACTTGATTCAATGATAGTAAAGCTTGTCAGGAAAAGGTGAAATAAGGTGCATGGTAAGGGCGAGGGCGTTTGGTGGAAGATCGGGTTCAGCCGCAAGAGGCCAAGTCACTCGATTCCGCTACCCCGCGGTTGGTGTTCCGAGGGGTTTCGAAGACCAATTGGAAGACTAATTGAATGCGAGCTCAAATGCAATGACTTAGAGCAAGATCTCCCGCGCCCGTGTCAAACCATTTCTGCTTGTGAGACCATGTCACATCATTGCATGGCCTAAGGCCGCCGGGCACCTTAAGGTAGTGATCCCAAACATCTTTTCTGGGAGGTCTGGTCATTTAGTAAATATCGCGGGTTACCTGAGGACATCTCCCCCAAGCTCTGCTCTCCCATGCACCGGAGTAGAGGGTTTTGGCATGGCGAGAGAAATATAGTGTTCAGCTAAGTATTTAAACAGTTTCCGAATTTCAAGCAATAACTAGCACGTGGGTTTGGAAAGGGAGATCTCGACGTGCCACTACTTTTCCTTAATCAAAATGCGATTACGTGTGCCGTGCAAAAGAATGCAAGCCGTATGATTTAATCAAATCGGTGGCGAGCCAAATCTGTCCACCGAAAGCTCGGAGGTGGTCGCCAAGTCCGACGTTGGGTTCGAGGCAGATCTGCGCCCAGATTCCGCAGGGAACAGAAGTAGAGCCACAATAAGAGTCATCCCTACGCGCTATGAATGGTAGATTGTGTGGCTGAGGTAAGAAAAAAAATCAAGCCGAACCCTGAAAAGATCGACACTACCCGCGCGCAAAATTCCATCGATATTTTTGCTACTGTACATTCCAGGGGTAATAAAAGGTAAGGCTCGCACCATGAACAAATCAGCCACGCCGGCATCGGCGACGAAACTTTTTTCTTCTGTGTTTCCCCAGTTTTTCAAGGAGTTTCAGGCTCCATTGCGGTGCCCTGTTTGCTGATTTTTATTACGTCTCGGGAGCGTGATTTGTTACTTCGGTCCGATGGCCGGGTCCATCTGTGGCCCGCGACCCACTTTGGCGCCGTTCCGCTTTGGCTCGCCGAGACTTTATTCACGCGCGGATTGAGTCAAGTTCTTTTTTTTTTGGGCGTAAGGGTTTTGCTTTTCATTCTCTGTCATATTCGGTCTTGCATTTGCCTTTTCACCTTTGCTTGTTGCTGCGCAGCTTCAGATACATTGCGCGATCGAAGCTTTCGACATAATATACGACTCGCGACTGCATATTCGAGCTTGATATACAACTTTTGAGCACTGAAAAGTCGGTGTCGTCATGAGCACTCAGGCCGAAGATATGGAGGCTTCATCGCGCCCGAAAAGCATAGACCTCGACCCCGTTGATCTGGAAAGCGACGAGAAGTCAAATATCGCGCCGGCATACAAGCAGGACGCTTTCGGCAACGAGGAGTTCGCCGAGGTCAAATATAAGGTATTGAAGTGGTGGTATGTACTCAACACGAGGATTTGATGAGCTTCTAAAGCTAACTTATGATGTGCATAGGCAATGCGGATGCCGTACGTTCTCCTTCCCGTTCTCAACTTTTCGTCAACTTGATCCTTATATGTTTTAGTGATGGTCGCCGAAACCGTTTCGCTGGGTGTTCTGTCGCTGCCCGCTGCCATCGCAGGCCTGGGCTTTGTCCCGTAGGTCGTTTGAAATAATGAGTGTGGAAGCCGAACTAATGCTTGGGAACAGTGCGCTCATTATCCTTGTTGGTCTCGGCCTGCTCGCAACCTACACCGGATACGTCATGGGCCAAATGAAATTGAGATACCCACAAATTACGACTATGGCGGATGCTGGTGAAGTTCTGGCGGGCAAATGGGGCCGTGAATTCCTCGGCGCGTGCTATATCATCTTCCTCATTTTCATCATGTCGAGTCACTTGTTGACATTCACCGTTGCGATGAACACCATCACCGACCACGGTACCTGCTCGATTGTCTTTGGTATCATGGGCATGATCATTTCATTCTTCTGCTCGCTTCCACGAACTCTCGTCAACATGTCCTGGTTGTCCCTTGTCTGTAAGTTGGAGGCTGCTCTCAAGCCGTTTTGACAGGACTCTGACATATTTCCAGCATTTGCCAGTATCATCATCGCTGTGCTGGTCGGCATGATTGGCGTTGGCATCGAGAAGCCCGGTAGTGGGGTCGTAGCTGTTCTCGACACCGATCTCTACCATGGGTTCTCGGCCGTGTGTAACATCGTCTTCGCCTTCTGCGGTCATGCCGCGTTTTTCGGCTTGATGGCGGAGCTCAAGGATCCGCGCGACTTCACCAAGTCTCTTTGCCTCTTGCAGGGGTTCGACATCTCTCTTTACCTTGTGGCATCCGTCGTCATCTACCGCTATGCCGGTGATGGTGTTACCTCGCCTGCTCTTGGCTCGGCTTCTCCGGTCGTTGCCAAGGTCGCCTACGGCCTTGCATTGCCTACTGTTCGTCTCCGAAAGCCTTAGACTTACCGTTGTGGCTGCTAACTTGCTCTCCATAGATTATCATCGCAGGTGTAATCAACGGCCACGTCGCATTCAAGTATGTCTACGTCCGTATCTTTCGTGGCACAGATCGCATGCACAAACGCGACTGGGTGGCTGTGAGCTCCTGGGTTGGCATCGCCTTGAGTCTTTGGATTATTGCATGGATCATCTCGTCCGCTATCCCGGTTTTCAGCGACCTCTTGAGCTTGATAGTAAGTCACTCTTGGTTTTCTGAGACCATTTCTAGTGTTAACTTGAGATTCAGACTGCCTTGTTCGCCAGCTGGTTTACCTTCGGTCTGAGCGGCATGTTCTGGCTGTTCATGAACTGGGGCAAATGGTTCTCGTCGCCTCGCAAGATCGCACTTACCGTGCTTAATATAATTATCATCGGTATTGGTGCAGCACTGGTGGGTATACTTCAGATTCCTTTCGTTGATATCCTACTAACTCCCTGCCTTAGTGCGGTCTCGGCCTTTGGGTGTCCAGCAAGGCCATCCATGATAATTCCAGCAGTGCGAGCTTTTCGTGTGCGAATAATGCTTAATTCTAAAAATCCATTCCACCCTCCATTTTTTATAGCTTTTGGGGTTATTGGCGTTCTTCTTTTGGGTTTTCACAGGTTCAATTTGTCTTGCATCTGCCTGGCTTCTTCAATAACCATACTCCTTGGTTTTGCATTATTAATCTGTACGACTTTGAAAAGAACGCATGTTACTTTTTTTGGCTCGTTGCTAAGCCCAAATATGACTAGCGGCGTGAATGACTGCATTTCCTCCTCCATTCTCTAAACTACGTATCCGGCATGAATCAAAATCTCGAACAGTGCAGCTCTTGAGCAGGCTTCAGATGAACGATAATATGATCTTCGAGAACTTGGACCGTAAACTTAACAATATCGTCAGTCCGAGGTTTCATGAAGTAGAAGCGGAGACTACGTAATGCTTGATTATTTACTTTAGCGCCCAGTTTGAATTAGGAGGCGGACGCCTTCGTAGAGAAAACCACGGATCCTAGGCGTCGCGCGGCTGGTATTTGCTACAATTAGCATCGTATGAGGTACATGCTCTGAGTCCTTGCATCCTCGAGCCACTAACGCTGACTGAGCATATAAAACTTATGTTCATTCATGTTCTCCCAATCAAATGATAGCCCGTCCCCATCACGCTCTCCGATCCAGGATTGCGACTAGGGCTGGTGGGAGCGCAGTGGAGATTTGCCCGTTAGACTGGATGTCAGATAGGGAGACCATCGTGAACCAGAAGAGGGCTAGGTGTACGGCTTGGCAGGGGCCTACTACGGCTATATCATGATGAACAAGTCTGGTAAGGTTTTATCAGGGTGATTGGAAGCCGCTAGGGCAACGTGCGATAGATCTATGGGCACGATGCAGAGGACGGCGCGAGCCCCTTACGTCATGGAAACAGTCTGGAGGTGGTGAAACATGCGGGATGCCCTTTATCATAAGGTCCTATTCGCTGGATCATCACCCTTTTGACCTATTGAATCAGTTGTCTGCAGAAACTATCCAACCTTTCAAGAGACTTGACTAAATCATTTAATTTTCTTCTTCAAAGGGATATCCCTAATCTAACCGTAATACGCGACGCTAGCCAAATTGGAATAGCTACACCGATCAATCAACTAGTTCCGGGTCGTTGAACGCTTCCACCGATCTGTCAACCGTCGCTGTTTATCACCCCTCCTAATCTGCAGAAGCCCGAGCCGACACAACTGCAGGTTACATGCTTTTATTAAGAGGCGTATGCCAGGGTATCCCTAGTTATGTCTACTATCAGTGCAAATCCCTTACTTCCCAGAATCTGAAAGATCAAGCTTAAGACTTGATTCTAATTCCAGGGGTAGATGCCCCTGAAACAAGGAGAGGAATCTTCTGTCCAGATCACCAGAAAATGAAACAGGTAAACAAAACTCCGGCTCTTCACCTTCCCGTGAAAGAATGACGGCTTGCCCCTTCTTTCAGATCAAGGCATCCGCAGTAAACAAATAGTAACCAAGGCTGACTAAAGCCCTCCTGAAACAATAAAGGCGCTCAATGTTTTAGATATTGAGTCTTGAAGGCCCTAAAAAAAGCTCCAGGCCCCAGACAAACCCACGCCAAGCCATTCAATTTAAGTTCAGAGTTCAATGATCGGCGAAGATCACCCTTCTATTCCACATTCTGTCATCGCGCGTTGCGCGCGTTCCACTTGAAACCCCCTGGAGTAAATATACGCGGGGCTTCGTCCTACGTAGTGAGTGGTCACGTTCGAAATTTTTGACTTCGCATGCAGCGATGGCTACGAACTCTGTCACCACCTACACCCGAACCACCCAGGATTGTTGAGAGGTCTGTCAGCTATGTCTGGCCACATAAAGTTTGCAGAGCCGATCTCGAAGAAGGTTGGGACCGCCGGCAGGATCGGAAGGGACAACAATGAAAAGGGGTCGGGTCAAAGAGCTTCTTCGCCTGGCAATGAGATTGTTTATCTCTCGGGATGGAGGCTTATTCTTACTACGATAGGGTACATACGAAGCTGAGTGAACTGCGAATATTGCGTGATGAAGACTTACCGGTGATTTGACAGACTTTTGATCGGATTCTTTCTTTCCAATCTGGACGTCACGATTGTCAGCTCATCTTTGACGAGTATTACCGATAGCCTGGAGGGATTTGAGAAGAGAAGCTGGATTATTACGGGATACTTGGCTACCTACACAGGTATGGCCATCATGTGGCTCTTGAACGTCGGGCCCTTTGCTATTGCCTATGCTGTGGCTGACTTGGCACTCTCCTAGGGTCTATGTCAATATGGACAAAAGTTAGCGATATCGTCGGGAGAAAGCTCACGACAATTGCCACCCTCGTTATTCTGCTCGCGTTCTCTATCGGGTGCGGATGTGCCCAAACAGTCAACCAACTGTAAGTTCTATTGTATCCCTATCCCTGTGCATTGCTCAGAAGCTGACTCTGACGAAACAGCATAATCTTTCGAGCACTCCAAGGAATAGGAGGTGCGGGAGCCTATGCACTGGCAATCCTGTGCATCTACGAAATAGCCCCTAAAACGAAACTTCCGATCTACAGTGGTCTCATGTCATTCTGCCTCGCCCTGGCGTCTTTGATAGGTCCCATCATTGGAGGTGCTCTTGCACAAGCCTCAGCCTGGAGATGGGTTTTTCTCATCAAGTATGTGAACTCCCAATGCCATATTGATCCATCTACTTATGCTTATCAGCGGTCCGTTGTGCGTTATTGCAATCGTTATTATCACTTTTGCGATGCCTAAGCACTTCGGCCTTGATCAACACACTCCGTCATTCAGAACACGAGCATCGTATCGCTCATTTGCCAATCTCGATCTCGTGGGATCGCTTCTCGTGATGGCTGGCTCATTTTTGATGGTCACTGTCTTGAACGAAGCTAATCTGGCGTTTCCATGGGGCTCTAAAGGCGGAATTCTGCTCATTGTGCTTACGGCGGTTTCCTGGGTTGCCTTTTTTTCCTGGGAATGCTACATTTCCGACACCCCCGGTAAAGATCCTATATTTCCCAAGCGATGGCTTTTTGAGCGTCCTTGGATGGGTATACTTCTGTGAGTCAACAAGAAGATGGGGTTTTAGGGCAGTTCATTCTGACTGGACATCTATAGTTGCTCCTTTGTTATTGGGGCCCCCTTCAACGTCGTCCTCGTATACGTTCCACAGCAAGCACAGCTCCTATTGGGCAAGTCACCTCTGGATTCTGGTATCTATTTGATTGGATATTCAGCCGTTGCAGCTGTTGCCGCGGCTATTGTCAATTTCGCCAGCGCGAGGGGTCGTATCCCATTCGTTTATTCTCTGCTTGTGGGTTGTACAATTCACACAGTCGGTATTGGGCTGCTATCGACTATTGCCACTTCGAAGGGCTTCCATGCGACGGATATCGTTTACGGTGTTATTGCCGGCGCAGGGCTCGGGTTGACGATGGGCATCCTGGTTCTCTCAATACCCTACATAGTCGAGGATAGAGATCTCGGTATGAGTTTCCCAAAGCATCTCTTTGATCACCAAAGTGGACATTGACTAACTTGTCCTCTCATTATAGCAATTGCAACTGGTGCGGTAGTACAGTTCCGGTTCCTTGGAGGTGCTCTTGGTCTCGCCATTGCGTCCAATATTCTCAATGGTCGTCTGGTGCATCATTTACAGGGCATCCTCACACCGCATCAACTCCACCTATTCCTTGAGAATGTGAAAGCGATAAACCATCTATCTCCCCACCTACAGGAGGAGGTAAAACGCGTTTTTGCGGATAGTTTCACTACGCAACTAAGAGTTATGATAGGATTCGCTGCTGCTTCGGTACCAGCAGCTCTGCTACTGTTGAAGCGAGGCCGACAGCTTGCGGCTGATAGACATTCATGTCTATTTTAGGCTTGGCTATCTCCACGCTCCCGTTCCATCTCGCATGGTCCATAGGCGTATATTCTTAACACATACTTTCAAGGTTCCCCGGAGAATCCATTTGGGTTATTTGAAGCTGTACCACGTGTAGGTAGTAAAGGTAACATTAGTAACGCTAAGTCGACACATGCAGACGTTCGAACTACATGGATCATTCAATTGATACCAAACCATGGATTGATTTTCGAAAGTTGAACATTCAAACCTAGCAAAGTATCAAAAAATTCATAGATCAACTAGCTCATCGATGCTGTAATGAGAAATTAAAGTACCCTCGCTTGCCTGGCGCATTTTACTCTCCACGACGGCGTCAATATTCAGTCGCTCCTCTGCACTGAGCAGACTAAGTCGATCCTCAGTCGTTGTAAAAGGACCATAAAATCTCGAATCAATAAAATCCCAGTATATCTCATCGAACATAGAGCTGTGTCGTAAAGCAAGGCAAATCCAAAATAGTCCGGTCTCTAGCGACTTCTCCATGGCAATTGATAGCCGTTGAGATTCGGACAAAGACCCACCTTGAATTTTTCTGGTCTCACAATGTTTGAGAACTTCAAGGAAAACGCGGAATTTTGGCATATAACGCGTTAGGAATTGATCGAGATTAGGTTCCCAATCCTCTGGACTTTCTAGTAAGAGCCACCAAGGAGCGGCAAGTGTATATTCAACAGGAGCAGCATACGAAAACTCCCAATCAACCACTCCCGTGATATTAAGGCTTGATGCATCAACAAGGACGTTGTCTGGACGGAAATCATCGCAATAAAGGCGGAATGGACCACTGCAGTGTTCTTTAGGTATTTCACGTGCTAACTTCCGAAAAAGACAACGCGCAATATACTTCTTTCGGCAGTCGGCCTCATCCGTAATTGCATTATTGCATTGAAACTCCAGATGATAAAATTGTTGACGGGCAAGCTCCTCAAAATAGTCCGCTGCATTGTTGAAACGTCCTCGTTCAAAGACTTTAAGGGGAATATTTGAGAATTGAGTAAGTCGATTCATGTTGAAAGTGAGCGGTCGCTTCTGCACAGTCCATTCGTCTGACTCGGTCCTTCTAATAGCTCCAATAAAGGGAAATCCTGCCTTGGATAGCTCTAGGAGGACCTCGGCCATGCCAAAATAAGCTCTCCTCAAGATAGGTATAGAAATACCCAAGTTAAGGGTGACTGTAATCTGGGACGAGTCTCTAAGGTACCCACTCAACGGGTTTCCTTCAATATAACTCATCACTATATACGGGCCAACCGCGCACTTTCCCGATCCTAGGACGATTGGAACAGGGATCGTTGTGTGCTGCCCAACGTATTGCATGATAGCAACCTCATCTTCGACCTTTTCATTGCGAGCAACAACCCGACCAAGGGCCACAAAGCGAACCACAACGCGACGGCCATTCTCAAATGTGACTCGGTAACAAACGTTGAAAGCACCATTCGAAAGCCGCGAAGCTGTCGCAGGTGTACTACCAGGGTAATGCCTGGAAGCAAGCTTGCCCGCCAAATCTTCTGGGGAATTTCCTAGCAGGTTTTGTAACCACACCTGAAAAATTCGATCAGACTGTTGCTTTGCAAGATCGTCGAAGTCCATTTCGCATGGGTTGGGAGGTAGGGGGGAAGAAACACATCTCTGGGAAAGACTGCCACTAAGCTTCACCGCTGAAGGCCAAAAGTCCGCGGTCATGTGGTGTCGAGCTGAAGTGCCAAGATCCAATTATCTGTATTCGTAAAAGTATCTCAATTAATCTACTGCGCTACATTGCAGAGGATTGAACAAAAAGAAATTGACTATGAAGACTTAACAAAATCTGAACCCACATTCTAAACCCTCTGACGACCAAAACTAATGAACCTGCTTAAAGCCCCTCTGGGCAGCCATACCATATTTGTAAAACAACCACTTCTTCCCAGTGGAATGACCAAAACCGATACGCTCATGCGAAAAGTTGAAAACAGGCTCAAAGCGAGGGATACTGACCCGGTCATACGAAGCAGCCGCAGCATCCATGGAGGTGTTGCGACAAATCTGCTCCGCCAAGTCCCACCCATCCTTCAGCGCCAAGTTTGCACCAACTAACTCAAAGGGACTGAGGATATGGTTGGCATCACCGATGAACATAACACCCTTGAGACTGCCATCGTGCTGGAAAGCGAATTTCTCCTTGGCGGGTCGGATGAACACAGTACCTGGCATTGTGGCCTCGACGACCGTCTTGAAGGGTTCTTGGAACATGTGAGTCGTCTCCAGGGCCTCTTTCTTCAAGGCTTCGAATTCCTCTGTACTGAAGTTGGTTTTGGGTTCCCGTTCAGGACCCATCGCGCTGACGGCCCAGGCAACAGTTTCCTTGTCAAAGGGGTTGTAGATGCAACAGACACCTTCACCGGAGGACATTTGGAGGCCGAAATCCTTGTCGATGGGCTTGGGGACTCCGGCGGGGAGACGCGAGATGCCGCCAATCTGGGTTGCGCCGGCATATTCTGTCCTCATGTCGTTGGGTCGGAAGCAGGCTCGCATGTTGCTGTTTGCGCCGTCCGCGGCGACGAGGAGGTCGCAGTCCTGTATTGTGCCGTCCGAGATCGTGACTTGGATCTTTCCACTGGAAAGTCTTTCGGCCGACGTGCAGGACAATCCCCAGATCAAGGTTGTCTTAGTTGTTTCGGCTCTTTCAACGAGGATGCGCTTTAGGTTTCCGCGTGTGATACGCATGGTGGCTGCGGGGAGATTGCCGTAGGCAGTTGGGTTGATGGATGAGAGCCACTTCCAGTTGGCGGACCACACGCGAATGTCGCCACCGTTGAGTGTCGCGTGCTTACGAACCTCATCCAGTAGGCCTAGTTGTTGAATCGCGACCAGCCCATCATCGCGGCTGGCGCCATTGATGTTAAGGGTGTAGGTGTCTTTTTCGATGGACTTGTCGCGATCATCTCGCTCGTATACGATGACTTCGGGGCGTTCGAGGGAGGGGTTCCATAAAAGCTCTAAAGCAAGTATGAAGGATAGCGCTGCGAAACTTCCCCCGGCGACAACAATGCGCTTACCAGCGAGGAACTGGCCTGGATGTGCTGTCATTTTGGAAAGACGATGCTGCATTTGCTACCTGGGGACATTGCGCCCAAGATAGAATTTAAAGGGTTGAAATATTCAGGCAGCCCTGAGCTAAGCTCTGGGAGCTGTGGCCATCCGAATAGCTATTTCTCTGTGCGTATAGATACCGTCGGGATCTATTCTGCTTCGGAGTTTCTTTTGCGGCTATCGGAGAAACTATTTCAAAGAGCAGGTTGCCTATTGGCGAACACGAACCGCATCCCAGGTTGCCTAGGTAGCTATAGATGAGATGAGAAATCTGAAGTCCGAATATCATGGTTCTGCGACGATCTTCATGAATTATTTGTTAGAATAGCATCCATCTTATCTCCTTGCATAACAATAAAATTGGCGGGTAATGACTGCCAAGCAGGAGTGGAGCGGACCACCCGCAATCCAAGTGGACCGTCGGAATGTCGGGGACCGTGGATCTCCCGATCTCGATCTACTCTGATTCGGCCCTATTTCTGCCTCGAGTCAGCACTAATCAGGAAGAATGGACCGCCTAGACTTGCGCAGTCTCAGTTATAAGATTGTACTTGGGAAATGAGGACCCTATCTTCTACTTAGCTACTCCCTCCTGGGCTTCTATTCTGGATACGTGTGAGGCACAAGTCTAGATCTAGAATAAACATCATCCCAACAAGGGAATCGGCAACGCATACGCTAAACCCGAGCGCTTATTAATGACGCAGCATTGACGCTCAAACAAAGAAAGCGGGCCACCGTAAGACTGCAGGGAAAACTCCCCTTTGACCCCTCTCACTCTCTTCCCTGTACAACCCCCACCTCATGGGAAAAGATAATCCGTCATATTCTCCGATATCCATTGCTGTGGATACCGATATGGACCCAGATAGGGCTACTGCACCACGCGGCCGACAGCGTCCAGGGGCTGCTTGCGACGAATGCAGACGACGCAAGCTGCGCTGCGACGGGCAGCAGCCTCAATGCGGCATTTGTCAGGATACAGGGGCTGCGTGTGAGGTGACGCAGCGTGGTGTCCGAGGCCCGAAGAAGGGTCACCTAAAAGCGCTGAAAAATCGTATCATTCACCTCGAAGCTATGCTCGAGAGCCTGTCGGTTAACGGGCGACAGGATCACCAGGGAGGTTCTAGCAATGATCTGGCGCTCTCTGTGTCGCCCATTGATGGCAGCGATAGCGGGACACATTCAGAGCCATGGATACCAAAAGGAATTGTGTCATCGGGATCGGATCACGAAGACTTCGTGTCGAATGCCACTGGTCTTGCCCCTGTTCTGGTCCCTCATCTGGGCCTTCTCCCCAATCAATGGGCTTTCTCATCAGCGATCCCTGCAAACCCCCGCTTTCCCCCGTCGGAAATAATCCAGGCCGAACTGTAAGCAGATTTACTATTCGCGACTAATTACTTGATCTAACACCGCTAACCAGGGATCAACTTTATCTGGATCGGGTGCATCAGTCCATTCCCATTCTCCATCCAAGGCGATACCTGTCATGGTCCAATTCAACCAACAAGACGGCCCCGCGTCGATGTCTGCAGTATGCCATGTGGATGTTGGCATCACTTCTATCAGCCCAATTCCGCGATATGATAGAGCCGCTCTACCAAGAGACGAAACAGATGCTTGAGTATCTCAGTGTAGAGGGCGCCGAGCATAGCAGTGTCAGTACTGAACTTGGCCAAGCGTGGGTTCTTGTCGTCACTTTTGAGTATATGCGAAGCTATCACCTTATAGCATGGATGAGCGCCGGTCGGGCTTTTCGGCTGGTTCAGGTTATGCGCTACCATCAGATCGATAACCCCAGCGACAAGCAAGGCCCGTCATCTCCTCAATGTGGCGACCTTATCGAAGTAGAGGAGAGACGCCGAGTGTTTTGGATGGCTTATTTCCTTGATCATATCATTAGCATGCGGGGTGACTGGCCTATCACTCTGAATGAGCATGTGGTAAGACCTACCTTGCGTACTTGATTAAAGGTAGATTTTTGATGGTGTTTTTGAATACAGATCTGCACTCGACTTCCCGCCTCAGATGGAGAGTTCCAGACTGGCACCTTCGAACTGGGTCCTTTCCTGTCTGAAGCTATGACCGAACCCAACGTCAAGGTCCAGTCTCCATTCAACGAGTGTCTTATTCTAGTCACCATTTGCGGCCGTAGCCTTCTTCAAAGCCAACGATATCGTATTTCTAAAGCTTATGGAGACATGGCAATGGATGGCACGGAGCAGCGGCGGTGGCTCGATACCATTCTCACGAACAGGCTTCAGATACTATCGCAGTACTACCCGTCACCGACCGAGTCGTATGACCCGCTGCTTCTCTTTGCCAACATACTGGGTCAAGCAACAGTCATCTACTTCTGTAAAAATATGACCAACACAGTTGCGGAATCGAGCAGTTCAATGGACGGAAATGCCGAAATCCTGAACTACAAAAACAGAGCGCTGGAAGCTTCGTCAGCAATTATTCGACTGGCCTCGACATTACGCGAGCTTCACTTCTCTAAGGTAAGCATCAACCCAGTTTCGAATCCGGGCGTGCTAACCCTTCCGTTCTAGGTTCATCCAATGATGCCTATCCCATTGTTCCTCTGTGCCGAGTTCCTCTACGACGACATGCACAATGAAGCCTTCCAAATGAACGTGCAAGAACTATTTCATATCCTTCGAGAGCTGAAGAACGTGAACAATCCCGACCAAACCTACTTGGATCTACTCCCACGATCATGCATTTCCAAAACAGCCGATCTATTCAGCCATAGTATGGAGGAAAATACTCCAATTAGTAGATGAAACCCAGCTATGCCGAGAAACTATGAAAATGCAATATTTCGGTTGAAAACCTGACTCAGTCAAGTTTTGTTCTCTTTCACTTGACTTTGAACCTGAACCTGTACATACCCTTCTAAGACATGTTTCACTTCTTGCTCACATCGGACGTCGCCATAGTCCGCTCAATCATAAGCTCCTCCACAATAGGTGCATTTCCCCTACCAGCCCCCTCCCCATACACTGTATCCAACCTATACAACTTGAAATCGATATTCTCATCAATGAAATACACAACACTGGTTCGGTCCATCGTATTCTTATTTATAACCCGGTGGACATTGCTCTTGTAAAGACGGATGGAAAGCGAGCTTCACCGTCGAATACCTGTTTTATATATACCCTGGCTACTCGTATTGCTAAGCCTCTCTGACCGTAAATCCAAACCTATCCCCTCGATCTAGATACAAAACCTTTCCCTCCAACCCGGCCTTCTCTACCTCTTTCTTAAAATCATCCAGTGGACTCGCAAACACCTCGTAATCATCATAATGAATCGGAATCGTGAGATCCGCCTGTATCAGCCGAATCATCTGCACCCCTTGCTTGGCGTCCATAGTGACCATCAGCGCGAGCGGTGCCAGCGCCGGCGACGGCACCATTGTGCCGCCTAAATGTGCTAGCATGAGGTCGATGCGCTTGTTGGCGTAGCGTTTCGGGATCTCTTTTAGTTCGTCGACCATGAGCGTGTCACCTGTTATGTAGATTCTGTAGCCATAGACAAAGTCAGTCGCGTCGTCAGCGTCCCCTACACCGAGTTCAAGCATCCAACCGTTTGTTGGAGGGATCTGGGAGTCGTCAGTGGTTGTAAATATAGGTATAGGATCTTGTACTGACAGCATTGACTAATTCGTTTAAACTTTCCACAGCGGAATGGCTTGGTACGTGCTTCCCTGGCATGGCCGTTACACGTAGTCGACGTCGTTTCGGCCCCGCGGTGCCCTTAACCTCGACCATAACTGACGTAAAAGGGTCCAGTGCGGAAACATTGGTGAACGAATCGGCGTCTTTGTTTGTGAGATGGGACTGGGCGTGGGGCGTGGTGATTATAGGTAGATCACGTCGGAGTGAAGTTTCCACTTTCTGGTCAAAGTGGTCCCTATTACATATTAATGCTGCCCATAATATACATAAAGACGTTAGCTCCTCGCTAATAAAAAAGGATGCTTACCCGTGGTAATGAGATAACAAAACCAAGTCAATGCGAGGTAGGTTGTGGAGATCGACGGCTGGGTTGGTTCGCCGGGTACTTGAAACACCGGGGCCGAGATGAACATGGTCGCCGGCGTGGAGGAAATTGGGCTAGAATCATTGGAAGTTTAGCCAACGGACCATCTCTAAGAATAGGTTTGTAAATACTGACATCTGTCATTATTCGGATGCCAGCCCATTCGCTGTTTAATTCAGATTTTGTTTGTTATTGTCTAACGAGGGAACCCACATGATGGTCGTCGCCGTCCCCACGAAAAAGATTGATGCATCTTCACTGCCGTACTCGGACGGATGGAACTTCACTTCCTTTGGAGGTGGTAGGTCACCCGGCATCGTGACTCCGCTGGGGAGATCCCGCGTTGCAGGCCGATCATTTTCTGGGTCTATAAAGATACGCTGCATGGAGTCGGTATTTATCCAGGTACTAGCCTTAGAAGTATTGTCTGTTGTAGTGCTAGTACTCTCGGTGATGAATGATTGAAAGTAGTCGCGGCCGTTGTTCGCCTGCTGATATATGAATCAAAGCGAGCCCATCACGGCGTCGACATGACGTCAGAACTAGTATATACAAAATTCAATCAAGAACCATGAAAATAATTCATATCATGTACTTGGCAATAATTACCCTTAATCCGAGATTCCCAGTTTTCTATTCTCTGCTTTCCGCCGTTTCAGGGCCGCTGCGTGCTATGCGCGCGTCTTCCGGTGAGCAGATCTTGCCCTGAGCGAACGAATTGAGAGGAGGGGTTTCCCGTTGTGAGCAGGGACCACTCTTGTTTGTGAAAAACTTGATCTATGCCAGTGCTATTAGCCAATTTCAGGCTTCTAATTTGCCAGTACTGTCTAAAACCGTCGCCTCGTTGGTCCATTCCTGTCCACGCCCTCTTCTGCTCGGGGTTTGGACCTTACTCGGTGGTTCTTTCCTCTTAAATTCTGTTCGTCTCATGTTCGTACTCCATACGCCGCCCCGTATTCCACATTTCCATCAATCTTTTTTCTGGTTGGTTGCGCTCATGCGTTATACATTCACTTCGATCCTCTCAAAGGTTGGCAGACACTTTTTCACCGCCAATGTTCACGCCTCCCTTCGGAACAAGACTGTAGACCTGCGAAGTCATGGCCATTCGTCGCCGAAGGGAATCGCGAAACTGCAGCCGCCGTTGCATGTTGGCTATATTGTGCGCTTGGATCAACACCAACAACAGAAATCCTTCGATAATCATTGTGGGCGTATTGCAGAGCAGCTGTCCTGTTTCTGACCACTTTAAAGCGGAAGCAATGACCAGGAGCGCCACTATGGTCACGAAGGCACCTAGCACGGCGCTTGAGCGAGAACACCACTCGCCGACTTTGCTAGCGATGCGAGTCTGCAGGGAGTCGATCTCGATGCTTTCTGTGGATGATTCTGTCATCCCAAGCAAGGTGCCTAGCCGGGCGTCCTCCTTGGCCAACACTTCGAACTGCTCGTCGACAATCCGGGATCCGCGATAATAGACGTTACGTAGCACGAATCCGTCGATGAACCCGACGAGTCCCGTGTACGTGCCGATGATGAGCCACCAGTTCGAATTCCATTGCATTAGCGACCCGACGCCGATCCACACCGCGAACACAATTGACGATATAACCAGTCCGACACCCGTGCCGACGATCGTAGCATAGTAGTCGATCACCCGCTGGCCGCGCGTGGTTTCTTTCTTATAGTCGTACTCAAATTCCACTGTCGGGTTTGGGTCCATATCGCCCGTGATCTCACGCAGTCGGCACTCTAGACGTGTACCCTCGTGCGCGATCGACTCGAAGCACTCCTCAAGATATCTCATGTGGCGTTGTCGAGTATTTTGCAAGAAAACACTGATAAAAGTGAGTTCAACGGCTGTTGCACTATTGATATATAACTGCCAGTTGTTGCCCCACTGTTGGGAGTTGCCGAAACCTAGCCAGACGAAGATCCCGGCCCAGAAGACGATCCAGGCGTACAGAGAGCTGAATGCCCATACGAGGGGATCGCAGATCCGATCGTAGAGAGTATGGGGCGGAAGGTGGGCGCCGTCATCGGTTGGTTGGATGTTTAGTTCGACCGATTTCTTCTGGTCGATCTCTTCCTGAATCTGAGAGTCGAAGTAACTGGGATGTTCCTGGCGCAATCGTTCTATCATGCGCCGGCAGGTCTCATTCCGCGAGCGAAGCTCACAGACAAAACTCAACAGGTCGTGAGAGTTGTTCCGCTGCTGCCGCATGAGGAGAGTATCGGAGGCATAGCACTGGATAGAGCTAGTGTTCTGTATCACAATCTGCCACGTTTGGGAGGGACCTAGCACAATGCCGATGATCATCCACGCCAGTAACAATGCAATCATGAAAAGGAAAACGAAAGGCGTGCCCGCAAAGGAAACAATCTTGTCGAAGAGGTTCACGGACGCAGATGGCTCGTCCAGCTTGTGGTTGCTCTCTAGGTCGTCATTATTTTCGTATTTGGCACTATCATGTGTCCACGCTTCCTGGGACTGGCCGGGTCGTCGAATGGGGGCGGTTCCCTGGATATTTTCGTAGGCATTGCAGGTAACAACTTCCCATGGTCTGCGTAATATACTGAGGGCACGTGGGACGAACCCCGATCCTTCAGTTGCTGCCATAGCAGAGATAATAGAAATAGCGAATGATGGCTCGAGTAGATGAGTCAATCTAATCTGATCAGGGAGATGGAAACATCTATTAATCTAATCTGATCGAGGCGAAGTTAAGCTAATAAGTATTCGCTTGGCAAAGGTCTGTGCGCAACTTTCGGGATCTCTCGTAGCAATTTAACATTCGAGCACGTAATTTCCTGCGTTAGTCCGAGCAAATAAGCGAACCTACCGTTGTCCACAAAGGCCCGCACGGTCTCCGCTTTGCTAGAACCAATAACAGCACCGTCTCTGTTACGATTCCTATGTGGTAAGTAGGTCCGGGTCCACGAGCTGACGAAGCTCGTGAGTACTTTATCTTGCTGCCTAGCGTATCCCGGGCGGCCCTGGCGGCCCTGGAAATTTTAGAGAGAACAACCGAAAGAAGGCGGCCCAACCTGCGCCTGGCAGCGGCACCATATAAGTTAGTTACGGTAGAGATCAGAGTTGGGCCTACCGATGATTCTTATCTCACAATCTGATCATGATTATTTATCTTCGTGCAGCTTTGGAGCAGGGAGGCATCACTCCCACTCGGAAGAGCCGGACAGCAAAAATTATTGAGCCGAAAATTCATTCCGCATCATCCCGATGGGGAACATAGTTTATGAGAAAAGCTTGTCTTTTCAACGTTTACCTATCAAAATCATACCCGTGCTCTAGCCCCACACGCCCTTCGCTTAAACGGCAACGCAGTGAGGGAAAGGGTCGAAAGTAATGGCGCCCCTTTTATCTTGGAACTAGTTGCCTTAACTCAAATCCACCTTCTTCTACGGCTTCAGGCGTGCACCAGTGTGCGTCCCTGGTATAATAAATCCGACCGCGTGGTCCGCAAAAAGGTTGCTTTATACGTAGGAGGTTTTTGGCACGTCCGTTTCTCATTCGTCGTGTACTAACTGCTTTTATGGCGTGTTTGAAATATTGTTTCGGGAGCTTCTGCTGCATCGTACTTATAATTAAATCTGTCTTCATTGCTTGTGTACGAACTGTGAATTTCACCGCTACTATTCTCATACTCATGCGCCTGCATTACCTCTGCTGAATTCCTTCCAGAATAGCATTCTTCATTGTCTCAGGGCCGACGCGAGCAATGCGCGCGATGCGCGCTTTCCCAGTTAAACACAGGAATAACCATATCTGGATTAGCGTACCATGTGATTAGGGTTTGAAGGAGCATCTCTGTTTCCGGTGTGGAAGGCACTTGTTGAACCGGATGTGGATGAAGAGTAGACGGTTAGAGAACTGTAGGATTGAAGCTGCTATGGAGCTATATGGAACTGTACATGTAGGCGATATGTTCTAACAGCAGTATCGGTGGCCTCTGTACAGGGAACATGTTGATTCCACGCCCATGGGGAGATAGGCTGCTCCGCGGTCTGCCTCGAGCCCCTGATGGAGGAAAGGGCCTACCTAGGCCATGAACGGCACCATAATGTGTATGCCTCCGAACTCGCGGGATTGGTGCTGGCCCTACGACTCTCTAGACGGCCCGGCAGACCTAGTGATCCGCGCTTCCAGCGAGATATGGAAATCTACACAGATATGGGGGACTGATCGTATGCTAGAGTAATTTACACCGATTTTTCACCCTCTCTACGAACCACTACCCATTAATTTTCACGGGCACTGAAATGCTAATGCGAGCTGCGAGGACGGGAGATAAGTAGCAAACGGGCCGCACGAAGCGCCTATAAAGGCAACGACGAGACGGTGAAATGAGCTTAGCAAAGGGGCTACTAAGATAGACAGAGTTTGGCAAAAGATAGAATTGGACAACTAGCGGGAACTACTATGGATATAAAACTACTCATCTTCCGGCCTCACGGCCGTTAGCGACCCGGGAAGAGCCCCGCAGACGGGATCTATACTCGGGGATAATGCGGGGATAATGCAACTCTCTCTCTCTCTCTCTCTCTGTGTGTGTTGATTTCACGCTGGGCTGATCAACCATATTGGGATTTGTGTGGCGAGCTAGTCAGGCACTACGACATATTTTGCGGATGTGGTGGCCAGGATGCACATATCTATTCAAATAAAGAATCAGATGCTAGGAGTAGTGATTACGGGCCGAACCTCTGATCGGCTAGGAGATACAGTCGGAGAAATAATACAGTGCCCAGGGGCCATACCGGTCCGCTCACGAACAAAAAATAATTTACCGAGCCGATATCTGGAATCCTAGGGATTCGGGTGCAATAATCAATAATTTGTCTATATCCTGGTGAACTAGCTATAGGGGGGCTAAAATAGTAAGGTGAGTATACTTAACTGCACCCTAAATAGCGCCCTATGCAGAACTAGATAATGATTACGATCTTTCGCCATACATCTCTCTCTGGTCGAAATTAGCCACACATGATCTTTACGTGTAATGTACAGATAAGGAACATTTTGTTCATACAAATTTATATAAGTGACGAGGTCTATTCTTATTCGTAAAACGCTCCGCCCCATAACCTTACAAAGGTGCCTTGGCATTTGACAGCTCGCACCTATGAAGAAGAGCTAGAGTGTTCTGATATGCTACTATAATTAGCTTTCTAGCCGTACAATAAGCTCAATTACCCTAATAATTCCGTAAGAGGGAGCATTAGCCAAGTTAGAGTAATGACGCCCAAGGAGAAGCAGAGGATGGGTGTATCAGGTGAGTTTGCTAGCAACTGCACAAGAACTATCCATTGCGTTGTAGTGTGTCAATGTTCTCAATGCTTGAGCTAGCTGAAAAGCTCCTTCCTTCGCAGATTGCCAGCATCTGGGAGCCACATCGGTTGCGAGGACTGTTCGACACTTCTGCCGCTGGCACAATGCAGTATATGTCAATTTCAGGAAAGGGTTTATCTAGCTATCCAGAGGATACTTGGTTTTTAAGTGCTGTGAGCTTAATGGATTGTGAAGGAATGTAGATCGGCCAATGAAAAGTAAGTATATAGAAGAAACGGAGATAATAGTTCATGGTTGTCGTCCTACTTCATTAAAAAAAAAAAGTTAATTTATAGTCAAAAGCGTCAGAGGTCAACGCATCACTCTCTTCGCCATTCACATAAGGAATCGGCTTAAACACATCAAAGATGCCATCCTCATCTGTAAAATTTTCTGGGCGTCCAAAATAGGTCGGATAGGCCGTATCCTGTGGGGCCCACATGAGAGCGCCGTAGATCCTGTACATGATGGGAAAGGAAAGCCAGCAACACGCTGACTGCCTATGTCGGGTGAGAGGAATATCGAAATACCTCACTGAAGGGTGAGACGAAGTGGGTCCACAAGGCATGCTTTTCAGCTGAAGCGGGATCAAAGTAAATGAGATCTGAATATGTGAATCCAATCGACATGAACGGTGTCTTCATTCACAGTATGGAGATTGCTGGCCATTTCAGACCAGAACCTAAGCATATATTAGCAAGTTTGCTTTCAAACCTTTTTTTGTGAATTATAAGCTGAGGGTATGGTTTCAGAGAGAAGATTAAAGTCGTCAAAGCCTTACACATCGGAAGAAGCATGATGGTATGGCATTCCGGCTAAGGATGACTTGAAAAGATTTCATCATGTCGAGGGGTGCGAGGGAATGAAAGAACAAGGTAACTCACCAGGAATATCTATGTGTTGATCGAGATCTACAGCGCAGATGATCCTGTTACCGGATTTCACCTGGAAGCTGAGATTTTGCATAGACAACTCAGTCGGCGTAAGAGACGATCTTCCGACCGGGGTAAGCCATAGGTTTCTTCACATGGGGCTTGTGAGAATCCTGGGCTGATTCTTCATAGTCGAGGGGCTCGGATGGAGTATCGTGCGAACACTGTTGGGGGTTGGGCTTTCGCCCAGTGGATCGCCGCCTCTTGGAACCAGCGGTCTTCAAGTTTGCAGTGCCGGGTGCATCGTCCTCAGGGCCATTTTCAGCCTCCGACTCATCCTTCTCGGCGACCTGCCGACGCGCCTCGTACTCCGCATCGTCTTCCTCGAGCTGTCTCGCGCGTAGCAGCGCGTGGATCTCGCTGTGTCGAAATATCCGGATTTGTTCATCTGTGAGCGTGCGCTTTACTCCATCAGGATAGTACCCCAGGTCCTCCTCTGCATCGTAGTTGTAGTTGTCTTCATGTGCAGTCTCTGCTGCCGGCGGGATCAGTGGTTTGTGGCAGCCTGGGAAGTGGGCCGCTTGGAAGGCTTGCAGGTCTTCCTAAGGGAAAGTATAATGTTACTGAGAGTCCCAGTAGGGCTAGGGGTGAGCTGACAAGACTTACCAAGGTGACACTTGGAACTTGCATCATTGATGCTGTGGTGATACGGATGTCAGATTTGGCGACGCGGCGGCGGCGCGTGTAATATGGCGTCACGTGATCTTTTTGGTTCAATGACTGGGTTCAATCCATGAGCACTAGAACCATGATAAATCCTTAATAAATAGTATTTATTCTTCTCGATCAACTCTACGATAATATCGAAACTTCCCGGGTCATGGAAAGGAGTAGAATTGCAGGTATCCAGCGGAAGGGACACCTACGTCCAGCGCTTTACCGAAATAATGAACATACACACACTGCGAAAGAGTAAAAATGAGTCTATGCAATTATTCCATCGTTATTCTATAGTTGAAACTCCATTTAAATGCCCTCATTATAACAACGCCATCAAGTCGCAGGGAGGGATATACTCTCAACATGGTTCCCAATCTTAGCCTTGACACTATCAAAGCGCACCTCGAGGTCCTGTGCTGGTTTCAGATCAATAGCCGCAACGCGCTCCACATCCCCGACTGCAGGCGCATCCAAGCTCCACGCAATCGATATATGGAAACAGTCTGAGTAATCTGTGCGCCGATCATGCGCGACTGACGCACGGGCGCGAGAATCACGCGAGGGCGCATAAAGCGGCGGCTGACCGAAGCTGGCCAGGGCGCTATTGGACAAGTGCAGTAGGTAGTTCAGTTCGTCATTGAGCGGCTTCGCGACATGCAGGACCAGAAACCAGCGGGTTTTTTCGTAATTGGAGACCCATTTTAGTATGTCAGGGAGGACTGAGAACCTGGACTTTGTAAGTAGAGTTTGAGACGCATTGATGTAGGCATACATACGGAGCGATGTGCGAATCGCGGATGGATTTCTGTAAGAGGTCTGTGAACGAGCCCCGCTGCTCGGTGCGAAGAACTACAGGGCGTGAGAGGCTGATGTGCAACGGGAGCTGGGCGCCCAGGTCGCTGTGCAAGAGGCTGTGTATACTATGCTCTTTTGGATCGTGGCCTTGAGCTTGGGCGATGAGATCTGCAAGGAGAGCTAGCTCATTTTTAGCCGGATACCCTGTATCCAAAATTAGCAGTGGAACAACCAACGCGAGGGCTACACACATTCCAGATAGAGATGACTCGGCCAGTTGCCTTCCACATGAGGAATGGCGCGCTTGCGGCCGCCGTGTAGGTTCGGGTCATCTTTTACGCTGACCCGCGTGCTGGACGCGTAGAGGTCATGAAAGGCCGCTGGCAGCGGGGGCAATCCGGGCCGGGGCTCGACGCGGGGCTTTTTAGCTGGAGGCGATGCGGATTCTGCCTCTGACTCCGAGTCGGAGTATTGTACCAGGGACATTAATTGGGGTTGACGGGTAAGCTTGAGTGGTGGTTGAGGCCATGGTGGGGGAGCCGAGTTTGGCGGATGCGGACGCTAAAGGTGCGCCCGGTCCAAGTGAGGGTGATCACCTGCAGGTGATGGGACCTTGCAGGACTGACAGACGTTTAGGGTATAGAGCTGCGTGGGATGACCGTGCGGTGCAGATTTATTTAAATTTTTTCTGCAGTACATTCCTCGTGGTGTAAACCTTGCTGCGGCGCCAGTACATTCAAAGACACGCGCTGGGTATCCACGAGCGAAACATCGAGTGGTGCTTCAGAAAAATGGCATCTTACAGACCTTTCATGTGGGAATACACCCGTAACACGAACTCCATATCGTATTAGGCTAGGTTAGTCTCTTGAAAGCTCGGGTTTGCACCAGTGTAAGCTCATCCCTGTTTTGCAGGGGCATGCAGTGTGATACTAGTCAAAATCAGAAAGGCCGTGGTACCGAAATTCTGCTTAGTCGATGACATCGGAGAAATGACTGGAACGCAAGTGATTGGCGTGACCAATCCTCCGTCGAGGATCCAATGGAACGCAAATGACAGCGACAGGCTTTCGGGCCTGGCTCAGGTCAAGGACCCAGGCCAGGTCCCAGGTGATCAAGAAACTCAAAGGGCATGAATCATCATACTGGCTTCATTTTCTGATAATTCATGGATGATAGGCAACTAAATGATGCTTGATACCAGAGGAGCCCTCGGTTCCGACGGGTCTGACCATGTGAACCAATGATTGGAGACATATGCAAGGGCAACTACAGACGGGCGAACTGGCTTCGAGGCTGGAACATGATCTAGGCCCGTGGGTATGTGTCACTAATTGAACTAGTTCCCTTACAGGTCGCGAAAGGTGGCTGGGAAAACCCATCGGCACGACCGGGACTAGTCAATAAGCTTAATCTAGTGGACGGGCCATGGCGCCTCGACGGTCAACCTAGAATCTGGGATCTGGAATCTAAAGATCTTCACAGAACAAGATTTTCTACGAGTTATATGTAGCTGTACCCATGAATCATCACATAAATTGGCAGCTGATTGAAGGAGAAGTGCGTCATCGGTAAATCGCGTGGAAGTCTCGGAAGTGGTGGATGCAACAGTGAATCCCCCGGTCGCGCGGTCGCGGTGACTAAGCCCGGACCATCCGCGGATGTCGGCGTACTGCACGGCAAGGCCTTAACCGTTTCTATTCTGGAAAGCAAGGCTAGGGGGGTATGATAGCATATGAGAGCATGAGGTGGACCTGGGACGCCGTTTTGCCTCCCGGATGATATCACAAGGTCGATCGGCATCGGTACATTGGGCATAGCGCTCTCTGTCGGGTCCTGAGCTAAACCGAAAAGGGCAGAAAGAAAAGTCTAGCGCGTGTACTTGGCCCCACTGTGGACACGGTGGATCCCACCGTCTATCGATAAGCATGGGATGCGCAAGTCGTCACGTCACCTTGGAACTGTGCGGTTGCCTCGGATGCTTAAGAGGCCCTCCTTCCTATCATCCATCCCCTGCGTCCGTTCTACCCTACACAACCCCAGCTCTGTACGATCTACCGTGCATATTATATTCGTGGTCAGCCCCGCCGGTTCCAAATCGGGTCTATACTTTATATACCGCGTGATCCTTCCCCCAAGGCCCGATCACCCTCTCTCGCACCTTTTTCTCCCCATAACCCTTGGAGTTCACCTCATAATCTGAACTCAGCTACCATGGCCGCTGTCGAGTGCATGCCGATGGCTTCGCTCCATCATCCTCACCATCCCTACAACCAGCCGTCCAGTCGTCGGACCAGCTTCAGCAGCAACAACCCTTATGCTCGCTTCGCATCGCCTTCGGGCTCCTATGCCCCATCACGGCGCTCGTTCTCTGAATCCGTGCGTTCCGCGCCATCCATGTGGTGGGACGGCACTGCCGAGCACTATCCGGTGGAGCCAAAAAGGCGACGAGACAGCCAAAGTTCCGTGCCGCGCCGGACCAAGTCTCAGCGCATCTACTCCCGCAACTCCATGCTTGTGAACCCCGATATCATTGACCAGCTGGATAATGTGACCCCCTTCTCTTACCACCACGAGGGTCCCTACGATGCCGTCTGTGCCGAGCGCAACCACGTCACCCAGCACAGCCCTCTTGAGGCACTCCGGGAATCCAACGAAGAGGCACTGCGCGCGACACCTCAGGACAAAATCACCGACTGTCTGAACAGTCACCGGCCACTCGATGGCACGGCATTTTTCCCACCCGGCCACACAGATATCAACGGCCAGACGTACGACTACGAAGAAGGATCGAACGAGATCCGCAGCGACTACGGCCTGGGTGGCTACATGCGCCAAATAGGCAAGGTAAGCATCTTCTGACCCGTCCCCTATTTCTTCGGATTCTAAATTTCCTCTACAGAGATACTCCGACCAAGAGATCAAGAGTGACCCATTCTACCTCCGACCCCTCTCCAACCCCTTTAGCCAGCTCAAGAAGAAGCTGAGCCTCCGTCGGGAGAGGAAGCGTCGCAGCACTGCTTAATCCGTTACTCGCGGACTTGACTCTTTACGACCTAATGATTACTATGCGCACTTGTTTTGATACTTTTTTACCATGAGACCAGGATAATGAGTTTTGTATGAAATACTTGGTATGAGAACGGGATTCGCGTCTTTTCTACGTTATTCTTGGGACGGCTTTTGCCTCCCCTTGCTCCGGAGTTTTATAATGGATACGGCGTTATAGATATGGATACAATCAGCCTTGTATTTAGGCCTGGCAGGAATGGATTTTTTCGGTTATTCACTGTTCACCCTTCCATAAATATACCCAACGAAAGTACCAATCCCGTCCCATAGATAGCCATGCCGAGGACATCAATAGCTGGCGCAAACACTAAACCCGTGTTAGCCAATTAGCCAGCCCTCTCGATACACACTTTGGGAGCGGGTTAACTCATAGACTGAAACAAGTGAAAACGAATCACCCGTACAGTTCCGTGTACGTCGATATCCCAGTAATGTCTCAACACTCCTAAAGCGAGTGGAATGGCGCTTAGAACAGCCGTTACGATAGACAGACATTCTATATCCTGCTTTTTCGCTTCTTTCAATGCTAGTATTAGGCTTGTTTTGATACCGCCGACGAGGAGGGAGACTATTGCGGTGACAAATTTCGCCTCGGGATACTTCTAAATTATCAAATGTTTTAACATTTCCATGCACCCAATAGGTTAGGGCAAGGAATAGAGGGATGAAATTTTTTTACCATAATACAAATACTAAGCCTAGGTAACAAGTCCAAGTGTCGTATATGCGGCTCAATACCTAGAGCGATATTGAATTATTTGACGATGCTGTACACGCCGAGAGCAACCCTTGCTGTAGCCCAGAAGAGCATCATTGAGGCCTGTAAGCTTTCTTTGTCATCGCGCCTGTATTTTATTATTACTTGGGGGAGGGACTGCGCCTAGTATGCCGAAAACATTTCCCGCTTTGAAATATCCGTGTTTTTATGGTCTGGAGTTGACTTGTTAGGGTCGAGGCCTCCATCTTGTAGATAGGATGAGGACACGTGGGTCTGTTTCTGTGGATTCTGATTGGGTTGTTTTGCTGGATGCTTGAAGACTGAGAGGTTTATATGCTTCTTTCGAGGTGTTATACATGCCATACTGGGTTTCGAACCTTGACTTTTTAGGGACTGGTTTGGGTGAGTGTTTCGATGTGGTGGTGCTCATACTAGCTATACGGAGAATCATCGCTAAGTACCATGGGTCTCATCAAAGTCCAGCCATTCGGACGTTGTCTCTTCAAAGGAGTGAATACTAAAAATGAAGATGGTGATAACATCTCGCCCGTCGTGAGGTCTAACAAGGGGTCATCTTTCATTATGAAACCTGTTTGGTTGTTTATTGATGTACATACCAGGAATGGGGTAGGGAGGTACACCCAGCCAAGTATACCACGACTTGTCAACAGCATCTGTGTGACAACGCAAGCGGGTTGCTATGAGGTAACCGAGGCTACAAATGCCGCATCCCGTCCATCGAGATCGCAAGTCGTACGACGGTTCGACACGAGAGACCAAAATAGGGTGTGTGGCCGACCAATCAGCGACAGCCGAAGAGCATCAGCCCATTGAAGTCTTGGCGGCGATCGATCGCCGCCACCGCGTGGAAAAGGGCCAGTCTGGCTTCTTTCGTTGTAGTCTCCCCTTACATTTCTGCGTTTTCCACTGTCCTTCTCGACATATGTGCTGATTTCATTCCTACCCCCGCATTGCCCCTATATTTTGCATTGCGGCCACCGGAGACCTTGCGATTCTGTGGCAAAGACGCCACCTCGCATCTCCGGCTTGTCGCGTTCTCTTCATCCGACCTTCTCTATCCCCACACTCCCTGATAGTTAGCAAGATGCGCTCAGCAGCGGGGCTGTTCTACACGGCCGTCTTTGCCTTTATGGGCTTGGCCGACGCCGAAAGCCATGGGACCAAAACAACTGACATGGCCAACAAGTGCGCAGTAAGTGAATCCGGGAGCTCCGGATCGCCACCGTGGCAGCGATGCAACGACTAACATATTTGGCCTTGACAACAGATCGAGCCCTCGGCTATGGTATCAGATGCCTGTATCTCCTATGGCACCGTCAACAAACTCAACGACGAGATCTACTCCCTCCTTCAGGGCCTCACCCATGAAACCGACTTCTTTTCCTACTACCGATTAAACCTCTTCAACAAAGAATGCCCCTTCTGGAACGATGCGAACAGCATGTGTGGGAATATCGCCTGCTCTGTGAACACTATCGAGTCCGAGGAAGATATCCCGCCTATCTGGCGTGCGGAAGAGCTGAGCAAGCTGGAGGGTCCCAAGGCTAAGCACCCACCCCGCAAAGTTCAAGCTGAGCGTCCCAAGGAGCGTCCGCTTCAGGGAAAGCTTGGCGAGGGTGTCGGTGAGAGTTGCGTGGTCGAGTACGACGACGAGTGTGACGACCGTGACTACTGTGTCCCCGAGGACGAGGGCTCAGCGGGTAAAGGTGACTACGTGAGCTTGGTGGATAACCCCGAGCGGTTCACGGGATACTCCGGCGCTGGCGCACACATGGTCTGGGACGCCATCTACCGAGAGAACTGCTTCATGAAGACCATTGCCGATCAGCTGGAGGACCAGTCGCTCAACGCGCCGATAGGCGGGCTCCAGGCCTTTTCGGACTTCCGCGATGTGATCCAGAAGGAGGCACGTCTGGAAGGGTTGCCTTTGGATAATGAGTGTTTGGAGAAGCGAGTCTTCCACCGGCTCATCAGCGGTATGCACGCGTCCATCTCGACGCATCTCTGCTGGGACTACCTCAACCAGACGACCGGACAGTGGCACCCCAACATGCAGTGCTTCAAGGAGCGCCTGTACGACCACCCGGAGCGAATCTCCAACATGTACTTCAACTACGCGCTTGTCTCGCGCGCCGTCGCCAAGTTGCGCAAGCACCTGCAAAGCTACACCTTTTGTACCAGCGACCCTGAACAGGATGCCGACACCAAGGAGCGGGTCAACCAGCTCGCGGAGATTCTGTCGCGGCCGCCTCAGATCTTCGACGAGAACCTTATGTTCCAAGATCCCAGCGCAGTGGTCCTGAAGGAGGACTTCCGCAACCGCTTCCGCAACGTCAGCCGACTGATGGACTGTGTGGGCTGCGACAAGTGCCGGCTCTGGGGCAAGGTGCAGGTCAACGGATACGGGACCGCGCTGAAGGTGCTATTCGAGTACGACGAGACCAAAAACGGCGAGAACCCACCCATGCGCCGTACCGAGCTGGTGGCTCTGATCAACACGCTCGGCCGTATCTCGCACAGTCTGGCAGCCGCGCGCAGCTTCCACGAAGCGATTGAGGCTGGTGAGGAATACCCGGCACCTATTCGATTTAACGCGCCTGTGACAGGAGACCCAATCGAAGCGAAGGAAAGAGAACAGAAACAGGCAACGAGGCGTTTAAGACGTGACGAATCTGGCAATATCTACTGGGAAACGATAGATTCCGAATTCGTCTACGGACGCGAGAAAATGGACCGCTATCCATGGGAACACCCGCCACGAAATGAAGACGCAACTTTTCTTGACGATATCAAGGCCGAGTTCGGCGTTGTATGGGACACGACGGTGTATGTCCTGAAGAGCTGGATTGATATTCCGCGGACGCTGTAAGTTTTTCCAACACGCCGTCCACGATATTTTTACTGACTTTTATCTGCAGCTTCGAAATTTCTCTTTGGGAAGGCCAGCGTCTGTATGCTTTCTGGCTCGGTCTGCCTATGCCACCTCGCCCATGGAAGCTCCAGGCTCCAGGGTCCAAGTCGGCCCCTCGCCCCCAGAGCCAGCACAGCGAACTGTGATAGATCATTGCATTACATTTCTTATACATAGCGATTGTATGGCGTTGGACGGTTTTGGGAATCAGGGAGTGGCATTTTCTACTTTCTGTGCTATACAAGTATAGATTATTTTCTAGATCATATTTCAGTTATTGCTCTTCGACATGAACGCATGGAATCCGTGGACTAGCCAGCACCCGGGGTCGCCCTATAAAGTGTACTGGGTTGTACTTGTAGATGTCAGCATCTGCGGAAAACGCGAGCACAGACAACTGCCGCGGTCGGGAAACGGCAGCAGGTACTGGTTCGCCACCGAAGAGATTTCGCCGTGTCGGGGTTTTTGGGGAATAAAAGAGATGGCATTCGATGGCATTTGAATCAGAGAAAAGAACCAGAACCATTGTCGCTACCGGGATCCATTAGTATCGTGTTCTTGCCGTGTTGCTGGTCTTGGTGTGCACAAAGTGTTGATCAACGCCGAGCGGCAAACGCCGACATCCTCGGCTTCTCCACCTCCGGCCACATGCGAGTCGACCACTTTTCACTCTTCCCCGTCATCGCTCCACCTCCACTCTCCTCCCCAGACCATCTCTTTTCATCTGCCGGGTCTCGATGCTAGGTTATTGAACCCGATAATGGCGTCGGTATCGCCGCCAAAACCTTGGGAAAGAGCAGGCGCAGGTGGTAAGTCGTTCCCAGCCTCGTGCGGTCCGGTCGGCACGATGTGCATCTACCGTCGAAGGCATCGCGTTTCGTCTCGTCTTCCCCAGATTCTAACTCTCCTCCCAGGAAACACACTACCGACTGCGCAAACTGCTGGCAATCCAGTGACTTCGACTGCCATGACTACAACTTCACCTTCAGCGGAGAACCTCGCAACTTCATCCTCCGCACCCATACTCCCATCCCGCCCCGACACGCTCAACTCCGTTGTCAACAACACGGCCTCTAACTACTCACCGTACGGCGCCTCGCGTTTGGGATCCAGTCCTTACGGAGGGTACGGTGGTTACGGTGGTTACGGCGGCATGGGTGGCATGGGTGGCATGGGCGGCATGGGTGGCTACTCGCGCTTCGGCTCTATGGGGTCGATGTACGGCGGGTACGGCGGCATGGGTAGCATGTATGGAGGCATGGGAGGGATGTACGGCGGCATGCCTGGGCAGGATCCCAATGACCCGAACAGCCTGACCAACTCGTTCAGCCAAAGTACGCAGGCGACGTTCCAGATGATCGAGAGTATCGTCGGGGCCTTTGGCGGTTTTGCGCAAATGCTCGAGAGCACGTATATGGCCACTCACAGTTCATTTTTCGGTACGTTATCACTGATTTCAGGGAGCGATGCACATTCTGACTTGCCTCGGTAGCAATGGTCTCGGTCGCAGAGCAATTCGGAAATCTGCGCAACACCCTCGGCTCGGCACTGGGCATCTTCACTATCATTCGCTGGTTCCGAACCCTTATCGCCAAACTCACCGGCCGCCCTCCCCCGGCCGATGCGGCCTCTTTGACGCCTGCTTCCTTTGCAGCTTTCATGGGCGGTCGCTCTGCACCCTCTACTCTTCCCGATGGCTCCCCGGCCCCAGCCAAGCCATCAAAGAAGCCATTCTTCATGTTCCTCGTCGCCGTCTTCGGCCTCCCCTACCTGATGGGCAAACTCATCAAGGCCCTCGCCCGCTCACAAGAAGAAGAGGCCAAGCGCCGGCAACAGCTCGCCGGTCCAAACGGCGAGAATGCCTCCATGGACCCATCTAAGCTGGACTTCTGCCGCGTCATGTACGACTACTCCCCCGAGACACAGGAGAGCAACGGCATCGACCTCGCCGTGAAGAAGGGCGATATCGTCGCCGTCCTCAGCAAATCCGACCCCACAGGCAACGCCTCAGAATGGTGGCGCTGCCGTGCCCGCGATGGCCGCGTCGGCTACCTCCCCGGTCCGTACCTGGAAACCATCCAGCGTCGACCAGCCCAGCAGGCCATCGCCGGCGGCAGCGAGCCTGTAACCCGCACCAGCACGATGAAGGGCGACGACAACCGCACCCAGAGCCTGTCTTCCCTCTCGAAGCCTTATGCTGACCAGCCGCCGGAACTCAAGGGCAAGATGGGTGACATCTCGCCGGAGAGTTTCCAAAAGAGCACTTTCTATTCATGAACTGTGTAGGTTTTTCCGCGGCTGGTATTAGACAGGCACGTGTTGGATGAGTTTTTCTGTGGATAAGCCAAAAGCTCCCCCCCCTCTTTATACATTATTTTCCCCCGGAGTATGGTTTTGATTTCCATCTCTTTACTATCTGCTGGGTGGTCCGCTTCTTTTCCTGTTTATGGATAGGACCTGGGTTTTTTCCTTTTCTTTTTTCTTTTTCAATATTTTTCTCTTTTCAGTATTTGACTGGGACTGGTTTTAGCGTGGGCTGTGCTTTGGTTTATATGTATCTAGTATCTCGCAATTGCATGCATGGATGGATCCATGGACATATCTTTATCAGAATCTTTTTCGTCTTTATTTGTCGTATCCCAAGGTTGTACCCTCCCAAAGTCGTACCCTCCCAAGGTCTGGAGCTTGATGGTGTAGACGTATGTTATTTCATAGGAAAGGTCCCGTTGCAGGTGTTCCCTGTTCCATCTGAGCAAGAGAGGTTTAAAGCACCAGACTTGGGCTTTGACTATTGTAGGGATTTCTTTCTTCCTAATGGGGCAGGTACTGTAAACGAAAGTAATACATGGTTGATTCATGAATAGAATGTACATTTATTTGTCTCTTGCCTTCGGCAAAGACTGATCTAGACAAGTTCTCCACGTCACCGCTGCATCATGGACACGGACAAAACCTTGCCGACGTTTCTGACATAAGCAGGCGGTGCCGGTGTCGTGTCTCGCTGGGGTTCTGTAGGCTTTGGATGGCAGAGTGGCGATGTTCTTGATCGCGGGCTTCCGTTCATGGTGAGGTTGCTTGTAACTTGAGGGCGACATAATAGGAGAGTGTGGCGTAGAGCCCAGTTTCGTATCGCACATGTTGGGAGCATCGTGGAGATCGAGGGTGGTGCAGTGAGTATGCTGAGTCGAGTTCGACAATGTGTAGTGGAGGGTGAACAGTGTTGTACAAGCGAGCAGAGATGATTGAAATAGATGGACAGAATCGATGTATCGATCGATCGCTGAAAGTGATTCACGGCAAGCTGAAAGTTAACTCCCAACGCCCAAGACACGATCTACCTACACAGGATCTCAATGCAAAAAAAAAAAACAGATGAGTTAATATAAACAGCGAAGACCAGTCCAGCCCTCTAGAAAGAACACAAAACAGCAGAACGCCCTAGCTATGAATTTTCGATCTCCCTGATTGATGCGTATGAAAGAAGAAAAGGCTCAAGAACATGCTCCAGAGGGAAAACATAAAAGGGTGAGGCCATGTACACAGACACATTGAGAAAAAGAAAGGGAAATCACAGTCCCAGTCCCTCGTGGTGACTGATCTCTTGGTTTGGATCCTGCTCACGCGCCCACTTGGACATGGTCCGATCGAGCGTGTACTGCAGGCCCTCGAGGCGGGTTTGGAAGGTGTCGAGTCTGTTCCAGTCGTCCGAGTGCGCGACTACCTCGCCTGGAGCGTCGACGTCGTCTCGGTGGTGGGCGTGGTGGTGGTGATGATGATGATGTTGATGATGATGATGATGCGGATGTGCAGGACCCGGGGCTGCGATGGAGTGTGGTCCTGGGTGTGATACTGGGTGGGGAAGACCTGTGACTGGATGAGTTGCCGGGTCTGTTGGGTGGTAGGGTCGACGTTGAGGGTGAGAAGGATTGGAGTGAAGATCCATAGAGTAGGGAGAGTCGTCGTCGATGACGAGGTCGGGGAGGGTGTGGATTTGATTTGGGTCTGACGCGGTTAGTATAGTTCGATGATACCGAGTGAAATGCGACGTTGGTAAAGGCGTACCGAAATTCATCTGATAATTAGGCGTCTCGCGCGACGGAGACTGTACTTCTGGCGGGGAGCTCGGCGTCACCACTGAGGCTTCTTCAGCTGGTTCGGGGGTGTAGCAGGTCATATCGGAGGGAGTTGCTATAGCTAGTTGCGTTAGATATGATCGGGAATAGATCGAAGTCGACGAACGTGGCTCGGGGCTTTGTAGTTCGGCATCCTTATCTCGTTTCTGATTCCAGGATGAACCGTAGCGACGGACGAAGCGAGCGATGCGCTTCTGGTCGACTTCCTGGCCGCTGCGACGAAAGGCAGTCTGTTTGCCACGGGCGGCACGCTTTTTCTGCTTGCGGATCATGACGTGGACTTCTTCGGCCTTGATGTTTTTTCGCACATGCCAGGCAGCAAGACGGTCTTTGTATTGTTTTTCTCTGGTGGACGTTAGTGGCGATGGTGATGACGGTGGTGATGAGGGGGGTGTGGACGGTTATAGAGAGAGAGAGAGAGGGGGGGGGGAGGGGGAACGGAGGAAGTATAAAAAGGGCTAGATCTCCGAAGCAAAGAAAAGGAAGAAATACGAAGCGAAGAACTTATAGTCCCTTTCCATGATACGTTTCACATCGCGTAACTTCAGCTGGTCGGTGCGGTAGAGTTGCTCGATGATTTCGCGATACTCGTGCCAGTCGTCGGATCGGCGGGGCCGGAAGACGTTGGACGGCGGCGTCACGGGCGATTGAGGGCTGAGGATGGGCGGAAAGGGATCCATCATGGAGGCCAAACATCAAATGTGATGGAGCAGAAAAGGAGAAGAGCGTAGGTTATGAACAGCCAGACCGAGAAGAATGCGATCACCAGGCAACTTCGTCCTCCAGGGCCGGGGCCAAGGAATCTCTCTACTACTCTTTGCGGCGAGCTGCGGCGAGCTGCGGCGCGCGGACGCACGACCCCCTGCTTCCCCGGCCAAATCAGCGGCGCCGTTGGTGCATGGCGTGGGCTCCATCACCGTGCAGCTCTCAGTGTCATGGATCGTCAACGGTGACGGTTACGCAATCGCGGGAGGAGAAGATCTCCGAGCCGGGATTTGAAATCAGGAGAAAGTACGACTTCAGCTGCCTTTCCTTCCTCCGTGCACCAGGAAAGTCAAAAAGCAAAAGAAAAGAGGGAATTCCGGGTGGAGCTGGAATCGCGTACTTTTGCCCGGGGCTACTGTACAAGCTAACCGAACTATTACATGCAGTGCACTGGCCGCAAACTGGATGCATTTTCCGCTGCCTCATCGTGCTTGGTCGGTGCAAGCCGCTGCTTTATCATTTGCACCTCCGCCATGATCCACCCGTGATCGGCTGTATACTCTACTTGCGACCTGGCAAGTACGTGAATAGCTCACGAAATACACATGCTCGATTTAAGAGTACGGGACTATGGACTCTGGACTCTGACCCATGGAAACCGGGAGCGGCCCGAAACTTCCCTGGCAATTGTTTCTGCCGACACTAAAAAAGAACCCTACGCGACCCACCCAGCCACCCTTACCATACCAGGAAATGAATACAGGCCTTGGGTATTTTCTTTTTTTTCTATCTCTTGCCTGTTTCAGGTCCTCCCCTCGTGTCTTTCCTAAATCGGCACCTGCGAGAAGAATGAATCGAAAAAGCAAGGGTGGCCGTTGGAACATGCCTCGCCGTTGAGAGACAAGTGTCATCGGCCAGAATGTGGACAGAAATGGCCGATCAAGGGAGGTCACGGCAGGTAACGGTTTCCCCACGCGCGCATTCTCTGCTTTGCACCGTCCTGTGCGCTCGGGGCCCTTGTCAGGTTCGTCGTTCGTGTTCACGGAGACGCTCATTTGGGGGCATACGTTTCCGCCCCAAACTCAGGCCTCTTTTCGTGGGTCTGGCTGACGCTGCGATTACGCCGTTTGGGTCATCTGGGGAGGCGGTTTGTACCGTTGTACCGTTGTACCGTTGTACCGTTGTACCGTTGTACCGTTGTACCGTTGTACCGTTGTACCATTGTACCGTTGTACCGTTGTAGCGTGGTACCGTTGTACCGTTGTACATTTGTACATTTGTACCTTTTTACCGTTGTCCCTTGTACTCGAGAACTACTGACGGGCGCGATGCAAGATGAAAGCCAACGGCCCTGGAGCAGATGCCGACCCTTAGTACATACATGGCACGGCACGCACGGATGACGATGGTATCAGGTGGCAAGGCATCGATCGCTGCAGTGATCGCCCTCGGGGAGAGGGGTCCCAGTCTCCCGAGATGAGTCGAGGTACAAGGTACTGGGCATCGTGGCGAGTGAGGCAGGACAAATGTACCTCGGGCAGCTGTCCCAGCCCTAGCCCCGGAGGCTAGTCGAACGGGCATCGATCTGAGCGTTCCCCAGATGCGGGGCGCTGTTCTTAGGTTCCCGTCCGTACCCGCCTTCCGTGACGAGGTCCAGTCAGAACACTTCGAGGAGGAGGGGTCGCTTACTCGAATCGGGAGTCGTGAATCGGGAATATCACTGGAGTCCGGGGGCCACGGTGAAATCAGCCGCGCCTGTGGACCACCGTTCACCGGCTCGGATCGCATGCAGGTACTAGGATGTAGCGCGTAGACGGGAAAATCGATGAGGAGCGGCGTATCGGATCAGGGATCCGGCAAGCCAAGAGAAGTGGCCCGTTGGGAATGGAACGGATCCCGTCCACGAGCACGCTGCATGTATCCGATGACAGGCGGAGATGGACGTGAGTGCAGACGGCCAATAGACGTGCGGGGGTCGACCGTGACGTGGATGGGCTGGGCTAGACTCGATGGAGTAGGGTGCTGTGTGATATCACTTCTGGAGTATGCGAGTGTTTGAAAGGGATCACGGTGAAGGGCGATCCTGTCAAAGTCTTCATCCGGTATCAAGCCCGCATACCTCGGACGCATGGCAGCGTGAAACATCAACGGTTTGCTTTGTAGATCCTTGCCGAGCTCGTGGTTTCAAATCCTTCATGGCACCCCCTTCGGTTCACCAGCTACTGACCTCACCTCTCTGTCTCTTCTTCTGGCTGCCTGCGGACAGTATCGCGCTTGTCAACCCTGCAATCCTTGCACGTATGAATGTATGCTGCAAGGGTGACTCGCAAGCGTGCCGGTGTGCTGGTAACGTGGCGCTGACTCCTTCCTACTGCGGCTGAATGAAGAACGGAATGACCCCTTTTTACAGAGTAACACGCGGTAAGAATCTAAGAGAGCGTATTCATTTCACCTGGACAATCACCAAAAATTGGGTCTCATCCAATGCCATTCTTCAATCAGCTCCGTAGGAATAGCATAATTAATAATAATTTTATAACCGGCTCTCCAAGGGTCTGCCCAGCCGTCATCATTGGCCGAGGGGGCATTGGCAGATAGGGCTGATGTATGGCCGGACATCACAACCGTTTGAAGTAGAGTTCAATCGAGTTTGATGACTTGCGTTCTGCACTAGTCATGCTCCATGGTTAATTTTAGCATCTGCAAATCCTATCAAGGCACGGGAAGGGAGCGACCCCCTGTTATACACGCTTATTGGTCACCCAAGTTCTTGGATCTTACTCATTTCGAAACGAAAGGGAAGACAAAGAAGATAGTAATCAAAAGCCCAGTGCGCGCTGGAGCTACTGCCGAATTGGTTAGTGAAGGATACGTCCCTTTTCTACTGCCGCCCATCTACCATGGACTCGGGAGGCGAACCAAACTAGGCGTCCTCGGAGTGGCTATTCCAGCCACGTTGGTCTGGGCCATCTAGATTCGAGACTGGTTGTGGCGGCAAATGACATACGCAGGGATCTCGCCCCGTCCACCCGTCAATATTGATATATCATCATCCACCATGCTGTCTTCGGCAATAGACCTTGCGTCTCCTGCTGGCCCCTCCTGTTCATGATCTGACCATCGCTTATTTTGGCTGCCTTTGCTCTTTCCTTGGGCCATTGGATAAGGTTTACCTATTATTCTACCAATGCCAATGTGAGATGTAAGCGACGGTGGCAGTGGCGCGAAACCCTAAAAACCTCGTGGCCGCCTTCCGCGTGAGGGAGCCTCTTTTCCAATCACTAAGGATACCACCGTGACTCGGATTTAAGGGATTTAGAGACTACGGGGCTGTGAGCTGAAAATCTCACATGTTGTATCACTAGTTTATTCTAGTATCAATTTGGAATATGCCGGTTTCATCAAGTGGGGGTGGTACATTAGGGTATAGTTCATCGAGTCATTGCTAAATAGTACACCAATGAAAGAAAGAAGCGCTTCGTCCCATGTCACCAGAAATATGAGATTCATCGCGTGATCATCACCGCACCCTTTCAGGGTCATTTCTTGGCAGGACTGGGAGCTGCGTGACGGGTCTGGTCGGCGGCAGCGACGGCCGCGGCCGCTACGGCAGCGGAGTTGCTGGATCCAGCACCGGCGACGTTACTAGCGTGCGCCAGGAGGAATTTACAGCATGTCAGCGTGTATTTGCAGGCCCTTGTCCAAGTCTCGTCGTTCTGGTTGAAGCCAAGCTTGATGCTGGCATCACCGATGCGATCCCGTCTGATCTCATAGGGCAGTCTCAAACCCGGCGCGGTGGCGCCGGTCTGGCCACGACGGGGCGATGACACGGGCGCAGGGGTTGTTTCAACGAACTGCCCCAGCTGGCGCAGACACTCGAGGAACGCCACCATGCCTGCGTCAAAGCGGCGATGCAGCCAGGGTAGATTGAGTGGAAGATCTCCGGACGAAAACAGGTCCAAGGGCGTTGTCTTGGGTGTGCCCCGCTCGCTGACAGCTGTGCCGGCTGGCTGCGGCGGATACTCAATCTTGTCGACCCGCGAGGTGGACCCTAATGGCCGCAGCCGATATCCCTGGAACTGAAACCCTAGACGTTCTGCAATCGTGGCCAGGAGCAGACATGTCTGGCCCCATGCTGCGTTGATCTCCGGCCACTCGACCGAGGGGTTAGCGAGGCGGCCCAGCCGCAGTCCATTGATTGTGCCGAAATATCCATCGTGACCGATGCAAAACGCGTCGTTGTAGACATTCGTCCTTTGCAGCCGTTCCAGCTGCTGAGAGTCATGGTCGTAGCGCATGTTCAACGCATCCCGCTCGGTTTGAAACTGTGCTAGTGTCAAAGAAAAGCTGTTTCGGGCCCGCCAGAATGTATCTTCGTCTGCATCTAGCTGTCGAGACTCTTCTTCCAGTTTGGCGATCTCGTCATCCAGCGTAGCCTTCTCTCCCTCTAGTTTTTCAAGTTCTGCAAATGCCGCTTCTTCCGCCTTCAAGCTTTCTTTGAGGGATGTTTCAGCTGCCTCTAGCTCTTCCGCAGTTGGGACTGATGCATTCAAGTTCCGGAGGAATGAGATATATGCATCGCGCTCTTTCGTCGCCCCCGTCAGTCGTTTTTGTAGCTCTTCTACCAGCATCTCCGTACATTCCACACAAATAGGATGGTCTATATCTGAGCGCGCAGAGACAACCTCAAACAACCGGGTGGTCTTTTCGACTTGGTTGGCAAAGGACGCATCCTCTTGCCCAGGATCCTGGCTCTGGCCGATACTTTTCTGCTTAGGTCGAGATGGCAAGGCAGTTTCCGCAGATGGAGGCACAATTTGCGACTCCGTAAGCATCACAAAGGACATGTTTCCACTATCACCATGCGGCAGACCCGGCGGGTGCGACTGGCCACCCGACCGCGGGGCCGGTATGGACCTCCTGTAAACCGGCGATGTAGCATTTCGAGAGGCTCGATCGTAGAGTTCGCGTCGCTCCGAAGGGTAGGAAGCTCGTGTGGATGAAGATACGGCGCCGTGTTCCGAAAGCGTCTTGCCTGTTGAGTCTGGAGCTGGGTTAGGATCCACATGCAGCTCTGCGAGCGAGGAGAAGCTTACTGACGAGAAGCTCAAACGCAGCCGGGTTAAGTGACTCTAGTGAGCCATCCAGCTTCAGCGGCGTTCGGCATTTCTGGCAATACATGGTTGAGCGATCAGTTCATTGTGGAGATGCCGGGATGTCGAGATGTGGGGTGTCGAGAAGTTGGAGGTTGGAGCTTCGGGAACGTCACGCCCGTTTGTTTTTGAACTCCTACTTGGCCTCTGCGCCTGCCCACGCGCCTGCTCTTCGCGCTCGATCTCTGCTTTCCTTTTCCTCGCTGATTGTACGGAGCTATTGCTCTCATTCTCAGCCCCTCACTATGCGATATTAGGCCCGTTTTACAGCTTGAGTTCCCCCGTCCGGTCTACGCGTTGGACATCTTCCGCGATTGTGACCGAACATGGACACCAACACGGGCGACTTCAATATCGACACGATGGAGAGACTTGCAAAGCGACCGCGCCTGTCGTTCTCTCCTGACTCCGTGGAGGAAGTGCCGGAGGGGTGGGACCTCCAGACAGCACGCGCGCAGAATGACATGAAGCTCAAGTCGATCTTCGAGGGCATATTTTCAAAATACGGAAAGGACTTTACGGAAGTCGGCGACGAGATTGATCTACAGACTGGGAAGATCGTGGTCAACAATGGACATCTGCTGGGCCTGCGCGAGGAAACCGACGCCGGAGATGGATCACCACCATGGCTCTACGAGGATGAGGATGCCAATACAGACAACGGAGATAATCCAGGGGCGGAAGAACCGGTCGAAGCTCGTGAGCTGGCGATAAATGATGACTGGGATGATATCCAGAGAGAATCCGACCTGGATAGCAACGACTCATTACTCGATTCAGCACTGGCCTACAAGGACGCTGGAAATACAGAATGTCCTAAACAAATCACGTGGAAAGAGATCGAAGACTCAGGCCCGAAAGACCCTCTTTGGCAAGCCCCTGAACTGCCAAAATTATTCTCGACGCCTACGGTCGAACGTCAGCCCAAGGTGGCTGTCACTCCACAACTTCCAAGATTCACTAGACGGCCATCTCCGCCTGGGTCGGGATCATTATGGACAATTCCGCGACGCGGTCGACCCCCCGGTCGACCACGCACTGACGTGAAGCCCAAAGCGTCACCAAATAAACTCCGCACTCGTGCGGTACGAAACTATCATTCAAGCCCTGTGGCGCATGACTGGTCCTTTTCTCAAATACCCGACGACGACGAATCAGACGACCCACTCCAGGAGTGTCAGCCCTCACCTACGCCTTCTAGAGTGTCGAGCGTCCGGGGGAAGCGGATACTGGGTCCGATTTTTTCAAACCGGTATTGGGAATCAACTCGGCCACCTACTCAGGGCGCTGTTCCGCGGGACCAATCGGATACGGCGACCGATTCTGGTTCTGATAGTGACGCCTCGGAACAGGATGATACACAAAACAACGTGGCCCTTGATACTCCTTTACAATACCATTCTTCTGCACAGCCCCAGGTGCAGGCTGTCTCCAAGCCAGAACCTAGGCATAAAGTGCCGAGGAGATCGTATGCTAGTATAACGCCCGATGAAGGGAGGTTGATAATCCGCTTGCGACATGTCCAGCGCAAAGATTTCAGGGAGATTCAAAATTTCTTACCAAATCGCAAGATGATGCAGATTTATCATTGGGATTACAACCACTGGAATAGGACCCGATTAAACCCTCCGCAGCTCTCGGCTCCATGGACTAAGCGTGAATTGGACCTTCTTGAGAAAATCAAGGACAAGAAAGGTCTTTCGTGGCCTGGCATCAAGGCCGAGGTGCCCGGTCGCTCCCGAAAAGAGATCGAGTATGAGTTGATTCGTCTCTGGGCTGGCGATGAAGTGTGGAACGATGGAGAGTGGGATGGGAATGAGGAAGGAGACGAGGAGTCAGGCCATCCTTCCAGGCCTCCTAAACGACCGCTGGACACCGGGACTCCGGAGGTCGATCCAGAAAGCGATAATAAAACTTCGCGTGGCTTCGAAATGCTCATTGACGACGATTCCGACAGTGTCAAAAGCGAGAATTCTGGATTTTCCAAGTTATCTGCGATAGACGTCAACAGCCCAGCTTACAGCCGACAAGGCTCCAGGACGCCGAGCAGAGCCTCGCCGGCCAAGCGTCTCAAGCTAACAACCTTATGGTCCTAGATGGCTGTTAGCAACCTTGTTCGGAATTCGCGAGCAAGTTACCATGTATCTTACCTTGTATAAATCTACTGAAAGTCCTCATCACGAGCATTGAGAACATCTTCAAGCTTCGTATCAACCGCGCCTCCCACATCACCAGCCTTGGCCCAGAACCGCGACAGATGCCGCGACCCAGAATCAGACAGCACCGTAACAATTCGGTGTCCAGGGCCCATCTTCATCGCTGTCTTGACTGCAGCGAAGCCTTGAAAACGTCAGTAGATGATTCCGGTCGATACAAGATGAAACTCACAGTTGACAGCACTGCTGCTTCCCAGGAAAATCCCATCCTTCTCAACCAACCACCTCGCCATGGCCAGCGCCTGAGCATCCGTCACACGCACCGCATCATCAACAAGCTCCTTCCCAGCCTCAAAGTTCGCAGTCACTCGATTGATCCCAATACCCTCAACAATGGTATCGATCTGCCGCCGGCGCCGCGTACCCTCCCTCTCCTTAACATCAAACATCACACCATATCGGACACGGTTATACAAACCACTTCCCTGTGGATCCGCAAGTACAACAGTGAGGTTAGGCAGCAGAGGCTTCAAATACCTCGCCACACCAGAGATTGTCCCACCGGTCCCAGCACCAGCAACGAACGCATCCATCTTCCCCTCACACTGGGCATAGAGTTCTGGTCCTGTGCCATAGTAATGAGCGCGCCAGTTGGCTTCGTTCTCGAACTGATCGGCGAAGAAGCCACGGCCTCGGACCATGCGGTCTAGCGTTTCTTGCTCGGGCTGTTCGCCTTCCTCTGCTGTGAGGGATACGGTCGTAGATGATGCTGTGTGTGCTTGGGCTAGTGCCCGTGCACGGTTGACAAAGTTGTCCTTTTCGACGATTGGTGCTGGGGGCACGCGGTCGACTATTGCGCCAAGTTTTAGAAGGAGGTTGGATTTTTCAATTGCTTGGTCTGAGGGCAGGCAGCTGGGGCCGGGTTAGTAGGGATCTTTGAAAGAGGCATTGACCGCGTACATGTGAGCCAGATAGCCTTTTGCTCGTGCGAGTGTTGCTAGTGAGATTCCAGTTGATCCCGAAGTGCCCTCGTAGATGGTGTCGCCTGAATGGGGCGCCAGGATGCCATGTTCTTCGGCCTGATATGTGGTCAGTCTCGCTACTAGCATGGATTATGTTCAAGTAATGTACCATTTCAATCATACTCAGTGCTACTCTGTCTTTCGAGCTCTGTCCTGCACCATTCAGGAACTGGAACACATTCGTTAGATCATTGTCTTCAAGTCAAGTGCGGTTTGCATACTTCGGCCTTGCCCAGGATCTCACACCCGGTTGCGTCTGACAGGGACTTGATTCGGAATAGTGGTGTATTTCCAATACATCCTTCAATGCCCTCCACGATCGCTGGGGGCCCCGGGTGCGCGACAAACGCATTTGAATGTGGTTCTTGGGAATTCGATTTTTCCTGGCGGTGCTTAGGATACAGCACATCTTTGCATACTAGAGCCAGACCGACACCTGCAATGAATGCAGTGCCAATATACACCGCAGATTGGTCCGGCATTGTGTGCTAGTTATTGCTCCTTTTTTTTCTCTTAATTGAAGGTTGGCGGAACACCCATCGAGAAATGATATTGCGCTCGGATGACCCGCTTGATCTTGTAGTCAACTGCTACTCCAGGCAGAATTGGCACGGTGTGGTGGGATTGTAGATGAGAGATAATTTGGAAGGAATTGTAACAGTGAGATGCGTATGAGATTCCAATGAAACTTGGACATGCAGAAGATACGACCCGTCGCCTCAGGCACGTGCCTCCTGCCTGAGGCCAAGATTCACCCGTCATCTGCGAACTTCGTGTCTCCGACCTACGGTTTGCTCCAAACACCATGGACTCGCCCGTCCTCAACCAGCTGTTCCGGCAGCTTTTCCGGCATCCGGCATGCCAATCACTACGCCGCCCACCATCTTCACTGTCTCGACAGACCCGCACGTTCCTCACCCGGCGAACGCCCGCCAAGCGCAAATCACAAGATGATGCGATGCTCTGGGCGAAACGGGGCGATTACCCCAAGAACATCGAGGAGGAGTACAAACTATACCCAACGGTGACAGCAAAGGAGCTGCGGAACCGGCGTGAGCGACCGCGGCAGGTGAAAATGTTGACACGCGAGTTCGTCGACGGTGAGTTTCTGCAACGCAGCTCGACGAGAGCACACATCCTGACATTGTCGCTGTAGACAGTCTCTACAACCCACATTACGGCTATTTCTCCAAGCACGCAACCATTTTCAGCCCTGGCGAGCCATTCGACTTCAACAACATCGAAGACGGCCCCGCGTTCCACCGACTCCTGGGCCAGCGCTACACCGAGTTCGAAGACCTGCTGGATGAGGTGAAGCCTGATATCGCGCGGCAGCTGTGGCATACGCCGACGGAACTCTTCCGGCCGTATTACGGCGAGACTATTGCGCGGTACCTGGTGTCCAATTACAAGCTCACGCTGTACCCCTACCACGACCTAATTATCTACGAGATGGGCGCTGGTAACGGTACGATGATGTTGAATATTTTGGACTTTATCCGTGATACGGATTATGAGGTATACCAACGAACCAAGTTCAAGATCATTGAGATTTCACCAGCTCTGGCAGATGTGCAGATGAAGAACTTGACGGATACGCTCAATTCCAAGGGCCATCGGGATCGCGTTGAGATTGTTAACCGATCTATCTTTGACTGGGACACTTATGTGCACTCGCCTTGTTTCTTCTTGGCGTTGGAGGTGTTTGATAACTTCGGACACGATACTATCCGGTATGATTCCAAAACCGAGCTTCCTCAGCAAGGTGGCGTCCTGGTTGATGCGGACGGCGAGTTCCATGAGTTCTACAACACTCAACTTGATCCTGTTGCGGCACGCTTCTTGCGCGTGCGTCAGGCTGCCGCGCGCCGTCCTTACCCAAGTCCTCTTGGGCCGCGTCTTCTCCGTGGCTTGCGCTCTGCACCGCCATTCGGCAAGGATTACTCTCTGCCGGAGTACATTCCTACTCGTCTGATGCAGTTCTTTGACGTATTGAACCAATATTTCCCAGCTCACCGGCTTGTAGCCAGTGACTTCAGCTCCTTGCCAGATGCGGTGCCTGGGTTGAACGCGCCGGTCGTGCAGACTCGGTACCAAAGGCAGACGGTGCCGGTATCCACTCCATTTGTAAGTTCTTCCACTCATGAATCTCTTGACTACTGGCTAATATGTCCGACAGGTCCACCAAGGATACTTTGATATCTTCTTCCCCACAGACTTTAATGTCATTGAAGATGTCTACCGCGCGGTGACTGGAAAACTGACCCAGATCACGAGCCATGAGGACTTTGTGAACCGCTGGGCGTACATTGAAGATACTGAGACGCGGAATGGGGAAAACCCGTTGTTGAGCTGGTATAAGAATGCCAGCATGTTGATGACGGTGTAGGTAGATATCGAGCTGAAACATAATGTACAATAAGTATCCCATTTCACTTGACAATTAACAACCTTTCATGGCGACGAGTCGGACCGGACAACCAACCCACCACCAATCGATCTAGTGTTCGTGAATAATATGGAAGTTGACTATACAGGTTCTTTTCCTACAAAGTTTACTCTATGCTTCCAATCCTCATCTTTCAGTAAACGTCCCTACTCCGTTTCATCCTGTCGTGTAGGTCTTTCGCCATGGTAGGTTCTACAGGTAATTAGATAACAAGAGTTATGTTAGTTAGAGAGTGAATCAGTCATGAGATATCTAATCGAGGCCCAATGCTCGACACTTTAAAGATCCCCCACCAGCAAACCCAAAGCAATGCAGCCAGACCCCGCCGGCATCAATACAAACAAGAAAGAAGACATGAGAAAGAAAACGATGGGAAGAAAATGCAGTTCCATCGGGGAATATAACTAGAACTCAAATTCCTTGCGGAAAACATTCACATCCATACCCGACACCACCTGATCCGCCAGATCGCGTCTTCCCATCTGGCTGAACACGCGGCGCAGCGTGTCATACAGATTCGTGCTCTGGTTCTGGCTGATATGCAACATCCGCTCCAGACGCTCATCGTCTAGGCCGTCGGGGGCGCCACCGCCACCGATAATCTCCTTGGCGCGTTCGCGGCCTTCTTCTTCGACGACGCGGTGCATGGATAGAGCGCCGAGGAGGTGCTGTGCGGCTTCGGGGTAGCAGCCAATGTTGATGCAGGAGACGCCCAGGTTGTAGCGAGCGCGCACGAAGTTAGGGTTGATTGTGAGAGCTTGCTCGTAGGCTTCAATTGCTTCCTCGGAGCGGCCGGAGTTGGCGAGTGTGGCGCCAAGGCGATTCCAAAGGAGATGCAGTTGTTCCTGCTGGTTGGTGGAGCCGGATTCGGTAGAGGCTAGGGCGGCGGAGAAGCAATCGACGGCCTTTTCATATTCTTCAGCGCAGTAGAAGAGGACTCCCAGGCCGACTTGGACGTCAGGGTCCATTTGGGCGCCGGAGGGGGAGAGCTGCGCGGCTCGGATGAAGAGTTCGGTCACGCGGTCGTGGAGCAGCTGTCGATCTGTGAAGCCCAGGTCGGCATCGCCGGATATTTCGGTCGGGTCAATGATTGATGGGTACTTGTTCGACAGCCAGCGTTCCAGGGTGCGATAGGCGGTCGAATCGTAGCCTTCGTTGGTATATGAGACCGCCAGGCCCATCAATGCGTCCAGGTTACCGGGCTCGATCTTGAGGGCCTGCTCCAAAGCTCGGATGGCGGGCAACTCCTTCTCGTTCTGCGCCTGCGCAGAACCCAGCATCGTCCAGGCCCGCACATGCTGCGGGTCCTTCTGAACAGCAGCCTCGAAGGCCAATGCCGCCAGCGACAGGTTACCACCCTCACGCATGATCTTGACACCCTCCTCGAAGGGGTTATTCACCGACTGGTAAACGTTGTCCTCCTCAAACATGTAGTCGCCCAGCTGGGGGTCACGGAACCGGGTGTTGAGACTGTCGAAGCCATCCCAGTCGCCGAGATCACCCACATGCACGCTATCGGTAACTTCAAAATCACCACCTTCTTCCTCAACCAGTTTTCTGCTCGACGCAGTCTCAGCTTGGGCCCGCTCCCATACGGACTCAAAGGCGTCATCGGAGAAGGGCACTGACCTGTCCAGCTCATTCAGCTCCGCCTCCATGGCCGCGTTGGCCTCCTCATCCGTCCGGGTCTCATTACCCGCCGTCTCCATCTCCGCAAACTGCGCCTCCCAGTTCTCATCATCCAACTCCACCATTCGGCCCTTGCCCTTATCCTGTGTCTGGCCCTCCATCGGCTGCTGCATCATAGGACTCTGCATACCCATAGGTCGCATCATTCCCATTCCGCCCATTCCACCCATTCCACCCATGTAGCCACCCATCCCCATCGGCCGCTGGTACCCCGCCATCTGAGGCGGGGGGTCGCCGTGGTCTGGGGGCTAGATGTCTGCGGCATACCCATATGGCTCTGCTGCTGGAAGCGAGCAAACTCCGCAGGCGTAAACCCGGACCCGTTGTTCATCATGCCCTGCTGCGCACCGGGGAACGCAGCCTCCATGCGTGCCTGCTCGCCACCGTCGAATTCCGCGGCCCAGCCCGGCGACCCCGTGCGAGGCGGGGCGGTCTGGAAGTTCTCCAGCTCGCGGCGCATGTGCTCCATGGCGAAGGGCTGCGGCGAAGGTCCGTTTATTTGTTGTCCCTGTTGCTGCATGAAATCGTCCATCATCTGCGGGTTTGCCGATGTCCGGTTAGTCTCCGCCAATGGTATGATTCTGTCTCGGAGAATGCATGAACTCGGCATTCCAACTCACCTGGTCCTGTCCGCCCATCATACCCCGCGACCGCATGCCTTCTTGCATGCCCGGGCCGCGGCCGACGAGCCGGTCTCGCTGGAGCGACTTGTCATCTTGGACGTGCTTGGTGAATTGTGTTAGAGGGTTTCCCGCCGTGGAGCATTCTGCGCCACCGAGGAACGACATGATGTATTGTGAATTGTGTACTGTGTTGGGGTTGGGAAATGTGAAGTTAAGGTGCCGAAAAAAAGCACCGAGTCATATGAAGGAGAGAGAACCCCGGATGTTCCCTGACGTGGGGTTTGGATCGCTCACTAATGCGCTTTCCGGCAGCCGAGGTTCCCCGCGGGTCACGTGGATTTATACTGTCGATCTATCGTACAACACTGTTCACTTTATACCTAAGGTACTCGATGGAAACGATCCTCCAGCTGACTCTCCATTCTCTCCAACTCTTTCTCTCGCTCGTCCCGTTCCCGTTCCCGGTGCGCTTCAAGTGCTCGGTTCCGATCACTCTCCCCAACCATCACACCCACCCTCTTGTGCTCGGCAAAGTGAACCTGCAAACGCTTGCCATACGGCGCCAGGTTTTTGAGAAGCGGCTTTGCTATTTCAGCAGACTGGACGTTGAGGAATTCCGCGTGCGCAAAGCCGCGGATCTGACCCGAACGACGGTCCACGGGGATGCGTACGTCCACGACGTTTTGAATATCCTTGAACATGTCCTGCAGGTCGCGATCTGAACATTCGTAGGGGATTCCGCCGATATAAAGGGTATTGGATGGTGCTGTTTTATACGTGCGTTTCTTCAGCTGACTGCGAGCGTACTGCAAGACGACCTGGCGGCCTTCGAGCACCTGCATGTGCAGGTTCTGGATGGCGTTCCAGGCTCCGTCGACTGAGGAGAATTCGACGTAGCCGAATCTGTAGCGTGTTAGAATTTCACATAATTCCAACTCGTAGTTTGTATGTGGGTCTCTTACCCTTTGCTTATCCCGCGGGCATCGTGCACGATGTACGTCTTCAATACCGTTCCGTACTTCTCCATGTGCTTCCTCAAATCATCGGCCGTGAGATCGTAAAACAGATTTCCGATGTACACTGTTTCATTCGCGAGTGGTACCTGGGAGAAAGCGTCTACTTGTTCGTGTCGCGCCTGGCGCTTCCCTTGTGGTAATGAACTATCCACCTGCTCTGTTTCGTCCCCTACCCGAGGAGGGTAGTCGGAACCCTCCTCCAATGGTTTTAAAGATTCGGGAAGTTGGCGTTCATTGTCAGGGGTATGAGAGTTCCAGCGGGTTTGGAGGCTAGCTCGGAACGGGAGTTGTAATGAGAGGCAAGGAGGGGCGGATTGAAGCGGGGTGACGCATCGCGATCGTGAGATTACAGCAGGCACTGTCGTTAATGACGGGCAGGCGAGCCTTGATGTGGCTCGACGGAGGGAATGCCTTGAAGCAGGTCAGCGATGGTCCAATCCAGAGCGTGAAATGCGCGAACTTGAAGACTGCAGTTCGGTGAGGAAGTCGGGAGGTGCGCAAAGGTGACTCACATTGTGAATTCAACGGGCCTGATCCGAGAGTCGGCCGCCTTCAAGATTATTGGCGTATCAGTGTTGAAGAAATTCAAGACGTCGAGTTCGACTTCCGTGCATCGAAAAGTTTCCGGGTCGATAAGTGGCACGTGACTGTTATCGCACTTTTATACTTCAATGCAGGCTACGATAGAATCATTGTACGTACGACCTTAAGGAACAATATCTCGATAGAGAGGAGTCTTAATATTGGCACGTTCTCAATATTATACATGGAATCAAAAAGTGCACCATCGTAATCCACCCAAAGGAAAAGGAGACTAAGCATTTAACGGAATCCCGAACCCGCCCAGTGTTGTATAATCCGGCATAAACAGATAAATTCAGTCTGGAAACACCCATGAGCTGTTTTCAAGACACCGTCCCAGTATCCCAGATAAAACAAAAGATGGTTTGCAGTGAAGAAAGGAGATATTTGCATCATGTCATACCAGTATTAAATCCATAATTACAGGCCTCGGCTGCCCGAAGTCCGTCCGGTGCCTGTGCTACCAGACTGCGACATGGGTGTGAAGCCAGGTACTGATGAGGAGCCGCTTTCAGGGCTCGTCGAGGGAGGGGTAAACATATTTGGTGGTCGTGGCGCGGCGCCATTCGACATCGGTGGTACTCGCGCTGTACCGAGGGGACTTGAAATTGGCGGCTGTGTTAAGCCAGCTCCTTGGGGAGTGGGCTGTCGCTGAGGGTCCATCATGGGCCAGAACTGGTTCGATGTGTCGAAGGTTGGGTTTTGGATGTATGTGTCCCATGCATCCTGATTAACGATTAGTGCTTGAAACATCGCATAAGACGATAGACTTACCCAATCCAAGTTCACTTGCATGTCCGGCATCTGACCGAACATGCTACTGAAAGGCGAAAGAGCACCCGGCATTTCGGCCGGGGCCCCGAAGCCAGGCGGCGCCGGCGAGTCCGACATTTTGAGCATCGGATCTGAGAAGGGTGGTGGACCCGGGTTCATCGGGCTCATACCGCTGCTCAGCAGCCCAAGCGTCATCGCAGCATTCTGCTTCTCGTCCTGTGGCTCAAACATGGTGTTCCCGGCGCCGTTCTCAAGGCCCGGGATGGTGCTGTGCAGCTTAGCCAACATCACACCCAGGACGCTGCTGGCCTTGTATGCCTCCATGCTCTCGTCACGCATCTCATCCCAAATCATTTTCGTACGCTGAATCGTAGTCGTCATCTCTTCGCACCGCTCCCGACCCCACGTGTATGTATCTCCAGATGGTCGTCCGGATGCCTGCAATTGGTAACCCTGATACAAATCAAGGCACACAATTGTGCCAGCCAGCAGGAAATCTGCAGAGCTAAGAGAGGAGATTACTTGGCGACCCCGCCAGCACCCATGTCGCGTTTCGTTATGAAGGATCGCCTGGAACTCGAGCAGCTCAAGTGCCGAGTCGATACACGTCCGGCGGGAGTATGTAAAGCGAGGGTTCTCCCGAGCGCGAACCAGATACGGTCGGTGAAGCACACATTGAGCCTTAAGGTAGATAGTCATAACCTGCGGGCGTTAGTACAAAGGTGAACGAGTAACCGAAGTGTTGAAGTAAAGAGCTTACCGAGAAACGCGACAAGATGAGGTTCACGGGATCGAGCTGGCACTCCTCCATCGGTCGAATTTTCAAATGATCTGGAATCAAATCTCGAGCGCGGCGAAGATCCGCATCAATCTCCATGACCTTATCATAAGGGGTGCCGGAAACAGACGAAGCATGTTCATTGACACGGCCAAAGGCGTACGTTAGACGAGACTTGCAGATCAGATAAGAGATGGGCGTTGGCTCGCCCAGCTGGCGAGGCGGGGGAAGCTCTTTGCAATTTTCATCAAAATCGTCGTCATACAAATTCCGCGGCAGCTCCGTATCACTGTCAGCAACACGAAGCATGCTCGGCATTCCAACCTGGAAGGAGAAAAGGAGGTCTGCCGTCCGCACAAACGACCATACCCGGCGTCGCATCTCGCCCTGGAACGCTGAGACGTTGGGGAACACCTTCGAGTCACGATGATACCCCTGGCGCATGGCCAAACGGGCTATCACGCCTGACAGGACCCATACCGAAATATCGGCTTCCCGAGTCTGAGAGAAGTCACCATGTAAATGGAACACGAGGGCTTCAATCAGGAAGGGATGGGATTTCGTATAGTCGGCAAGAGTCAAACACTGCGCGACTGAGTTTCGGAACGAACCAGCCATATCCAAGGCCTTGCCCCGGAACTCCGGCGGCTCGTCGCCTTCGCGGTGATATGATAGCATCGCTAGTCGCATCATGGCGAAGAGCATGGCAATCCACACAAGTTCGGTTTGATTGGGATCATCCCAGTGTTTGTTGTACTGTGCCTGGAATGTAGGGCCATGGAGGATGTGAGTTGCAGGGTCGTAGCTGTTGAAGTAGCGGGCAATAAGCAGGTCTGTCGTATATTTGGATGGCAAGGTGGCCATGATTTCCGCCCGACTCAATGGCTTCATTACACCAAATAGAAGCGTTGACCCTGGTACATCGGTCTGAGGACGCGCTGCCTTGACTTTCTCTGCCTGTTCCTCGAATTGCTTCTTATGTGTGGAGAAGAAATTCCGTACTTCCGAAATCTATCCCAATGATTAATAGTAATCCTCACGGTCCAGGGACTATGCAAACTTACATCGTTCAGTACAGAGGCCCAGTGAGCTTCACTGATGTAATAGCTCTTGTTGTTGTCCATCTTCATCACGCCAAAGGACTTGGTCACCTGCTCCGTATCGCTCTCCTCCGGGCCACCCTCGCCATCCTCATCGATGTCAATTTCATTGGAAAGCCCCGCTGATCCTCCCGCGCTACTATCTGTGGAGATAGCAGCCAGGGCCGCGGCGCGGCCCGCAGACTGATTGCCATTCGTCATCAACGACAGAACCAAGCCCTCCAAGCGATCAATCCGGTTCTGCATATCATCTGGCGAAGTGGGTGTAGTCTGCTGAGGCGAGTTCTTCTTGCGCCCGGTGGCCTGGGCGTAGGAACAAGAGGGAGCGTCGCCTCGTTTGACACAGTTTTCGCATGGGTGAGTGCGGTCGCATTTCAGCCTGCCGTCTGTCAGGTTCAGGAGCTCAAGGTGAGAGGGCTGCTATCTCAGATACTCACTTCCTGTGGCGACAAGGCGCGCACGATAATGGCACCCGGTTTCGTTTCCGAATGACTCTAAACTCCGGCGACTGAGCCCCGGCGCTTGAAGAGGTTGTAGAGGGCGGTGTAGGCGTCAATTTAGCCATTTTCAAGGCTGTATTTTTCTTTGTCTCGAATGATGGAGAAAAGTTCTGTTTCAGGATATCTCTCGCTGCGGGCACCTGCAAATCTCAACCCCACTGCGAGTCGCGGGGTCCTGTCTAGGTTCAACCAGTTGAACCGTTGTAGGCAAGAACCCCGTGTATGTAGTGTCTCGAGGGGCGATGTTCCCCTCCCCCTTATCGAAGTTGCCTTTGCGCTGCGATGCGCGTCTTCGCTGGTCTGGCTGGGCGGGCTCTATGGTATCGCACAGCTGCAACCACGCTGACCACAGGAGCTTGCAGAGATTTTCAGTTGGCGAAAGTCTTGCGAAATCACCGATGATTGCGCAAAATTGGCGGAGCGTTGGAGCTTGCGGTGAAGAGGGGCTGGATCAGGCTGCAGTCGCGGGGCCGGAGTTGGGGGCCAGGAAGAATGTTGAAACTGCAACGAAGGGCGCTTGCCGAGCGTGCAATAGTCGCTATTACCCTTGCGATGGAGCAAATGAGGAGAATGAAACAAAGTTCCCCCGACCTCACAGGTTGATTAATCATCCACTCCTATCTCCGTTTCGGGTGCTTATCACCATGATGATCTCACCGCGCGCCCCCGTCTCGTGTCGGTTTCTGAGTCATTCCCGCTCACCGCGCATAGCCTCTCTTCGGCTTTTCCATTATCACAGGCAAGCATTAAGTTCCGCTGGATGGCAAAACCCTCGACAAATATGACGATTTGCCGTTGCTGAGCTGGGCTACCGGCCAAGAACAGTTCGTGACTTTCTCCAGCGGAGATCAAAATGTTGAATTGGCAGCGCCCTGGAGAACCTATTCGGTGTGATGACACCGGTACTTGCCAAGAAGCAACTTAGCTAGCATCCTTGTGAACGATGTAATATACCTTGGATAGCCTTTGCCTTCTATAGTCCTGTCTATGTTCGCAGTGAGATCCTAGCCTTAGGAAACGTCGCGTGATTAGCCTCGATATATTTTGCTTGTATACGAGCTGAAATTATCACCGTTACTTTCCTAGCGCCTTTCCTCCTCCATCGCTATCTCTTTCGACTTATGTCTATGAAGTTTTCCTTCGGAACTCATTCTTTGAGTTTTCTTGCTTTTGTAACCTTTCAGTGCTTACTGGTATTGTCGTGGATGTCGTCCGCCAGGATAAGAGTTTGGCAGTGGTGTACAGGCGACAGTCGTAAACGTGCGGGTATAGTGTTTAACAGCAGCTGTAGTCGCTTCCGTGAGCTTTCCGATGTCGTCTAATGCTGGCGTTATAGTTTAACCCCTGTATGTTTCCATCTGGCGTTTCATTTCCTCTCTGATCCCTTCCTATTCCGCTCAGTCATGGGCCGTTATCATTTTATCAACGGGGTTGCGCTGTAGAAAACTGCATTCCGAAATGGGTTGGCGATATTCCGAGTCATAATTTTAGTGGTATAAATATTATTGGACGAAATGATCAGGATTGATCGTGGGGTTTTCCGTGGTTGGCTGAGTTTATACGCCGAGAGAGCTCATTTCATCTTAAACACTACAGGTGCACTGCCGTACTGGAAGGGATATATGGCGGATGAGTACATGCCTTTGCATTTGTAACAGGCCAGGGAAAACTAAATGAATGAACTATGGGAAATCCCGAATCAAGGCAGATTCAAAAAATTTGGCCCATTCAGTCTCCCGTATGTTACTGTCCTTATAGTATCTATTTTGTTCTTTCTATGGCTATAATTTACTAAGGGAATTGGTAAAATGAAACTCTGACATTCAATCCTCTATGTCCCGAAGGTCCTTCCATATATTCACATGGCTAAAGCCTAGCAGAATTTTGGGGTTTTTGAAAGGTGCAATGCACTTGAAAGCCTAAGAGGGAAGTGCAAAGAAATAGAAGATACAAGTGTGATAGGTGCAGAGGCTCCTTAAATGTTAGAAAAGAAGGCCTACGGTGGTTCAGTACCAAATGAAAGGACCTCTCTATTTTGCAACAAGCCGCTACAATCAGACAGAACAAAGGTTAGAACATGATGAAATCCATGATTGTCTGCCATAAGCACCCTAAGTGAAAGGTGAATAATCCCTAAGCTTCCATGAGTGCTCATTGAGCACATCGTAAAAGTGGGGTAAATTTGATGACTAAGTTTGGGTAGCAATAGGACGCTTAAAATGGCGTCAAAACTAGCCATTTTCAGCGCCCAATTTACCATAACCCATGTTAATATATCCTATTATTTATGCAGTAAACCACCCTGGTTCTCAAAATCTAGTCGGGATTAGCTATTGGTATTAAGAGACGATGTCGTATTTTGTATAATACGTGTTTGGGGGTAGTCCGCTGGCAAGGCCCACTCGCTTATCGATTACGCTAACTTGATAGCACACGTGAAAGGCGCAACAAACACAATGCCTAGCAGAGCTACTGGATGTACGAGCAGACAAAGAACACGTCATGTACAGGGATGTCCCTGCTTTAGATAAACGCGGTGAGACCAGTACAATCAAGCGCCAATACGGGAATACCGTAACTACGTAAAAGAGTTATCCCAACCTTGAACTCTTCCTTCTCCTTTTCTTCTCCACACCGGGAGACCCTTCTCTCCGACATCGCGAGCTTCTTTTCTTCTTCAACACGTGACATCACCAAATACAAGTCGCCGTTGAAAGTTACACACAATGTCTGATACCCCGCGTGGGCGAGGACGTGGTGACCGTGGGGTGGTGACCGTGGGGACCGTGGTGGGGGACGAGGGCGTGGCAGAGGAGATATGAACTTACCCTACCGCCCCTCTAACCGGGGTGATCATGGAGGTGACACTGGTGACTATAGCGGCCGTGGCGGCTTCAGAGGTCGGGGTGACTACCGCGGTGGAGGTGATAACAGAGGTCGAGGTGACTACTGCGGTCGAGGCGACTTCGGAGGTCGCGGCAGTGATAGAGGTCGTGGTGGAGGTGATTTCCGCGGTCGTGGACGAGGTGGATATGTCCAACGCGGCAGCTCTGGCCCGAGAATCTTCAAGTGAGTTACAATGATTAATGTGCTATCATTTCAGCTGTAGTTCTAATCATCAACCGCCTACAGCGATGGCCAACCTGTCCCCCAACCCGATGCGAAGGTCGCAAAGGCCGAAAATGATCTGGCCAAGAACCTCGCCATTGCTCGCCAAAAGTCTCCGGGCCAGCCCCAGTATCCGGATCGGCCTGGATATGGCACAGCCGGGAAACCCGTGACACTTTATGCTAACTATCTTGCTTTGACATCCGTTGGCAAACAATTGTTCAGGTACCACGTTTCACTCGTGGATGGCCCGGGTAGGGCAGATAAGGCACCCGTGGGCAAAAAAGCCAGACATATCGTGCGTTTACTGTTGGAGGAATACTTCCCATCACTCAAGACGCAAATCGCAACGGACTATCGCAGCACCCTGATCTCCTGTGTTGAACTGTTCAAAGAAGACAAGGAATTTGATGTGCGGTACAAGGACGAACACGAGGACGAGTACTCTGAGAACCCTCGCGTGTACAAGGTCGTTTGCCAGCCTACTGGACAGATCAGCCCATCCGACCTGGTCGATTATCTCTCGTCGACCAATGCCAGCTCACTGCTGGAGTCCAAGCCCGAGATCGTCGCCGCTCTCAACATTATCATGGGTCATCACCCCAAGACCCATTCATCAATTGTGTCCGTCGGTGCCAACAAACACTTCTGCAAAGAAGGGGATACTATGGAGAAGGCAAGCTTGGGTGGTGGTCTTGAAGTGTTGCGCGGTTTCTTCATAAGTGTGCGTGCTGCCACTGCCCGTGTCCTGCTCAACGTGCAGGTCAAGTACCTGGCCTGCTTCAAGGATGGCCCTCTCCGCCTGGTGATCGAAGACTGGCAGTCCGGCTTCGCAAGGCCCAACAATTACCGTCTGGAGGCATTTTTGAAGCGTATGCGGATCTACACCAACCATATCAAGCGCAAGACGAAGAGTGGCAAGCCCCGGCCGCCACGTTACAAGACCATTGTCGGGTTGGCTGCCAAACAAGATGGTAGAGGTCTGCCCAACCCGCCCAAAGTAAAGGATCACGGTTCTGGTCCTCGTGATGTACAATTTTACTTGGCCCCTCCTGGTGTTTCAGCTGCAGAGCCCCAGGCGAGTGGCGAAGGCAAGGGCAAGGGCAAGGGCAAGGGCAAGAAGGCTCCGGCCAAGGGCCCGGTCCAAGCAGGCAAATACATCACGGTGGAGCAGTTCTTTAAGCAGGGTAAGTCGCCGTTGTATTGTGCACCCAGTAAGTTGTGATCGTCGCTAATTGATTATACAGAGTACAACATTTCTGTGGATCCCTCTTTTCCTGTCGTCAATGTCGGCACCCGTCAGAATCCCGTTTATATGCCAGCTGACGTCTGCGTGGTCCCGCCTGGCCAGCCTGTTGGCAGCAAGCTCTCGCCGGACCAGACATCTCACATGCTCAGGTTCGCTGTGATGAATCGAAACCCGGCAGAAAACGCCCAGTCCATTGTGACAACTGGTGTGAACATGCTGGGGCTTGGTCAGCCGCACAATGAAACCCTGGTAAGAAAGACTGCCCGGTAATGTGGAACGTGGAAACTGCTAAACGTCTAATAGTCCGCCTTTGGCATCAACGTGGTTCCTAAGCTCATCACCGTTCAGGGCCGTGTGCTGGCTGCCCCACGAATCATATATGGCCTGAAAAAGGAGATACTGGCCTCGAAAGGCAGCTGGAACATGGCACAAATCAAGTTCTCCAAGCCTGCAACCCTGAATAAATGGACATGGCTATGCCTCGATTCTAGCTCACAGCGCTACAGCATCAGAGACGATGAGATAAATGCGGGTCTCAGAAATCTCACCCTGTCTTTGCAAAGCATGGGCATAAACACCAATGGCCCCGAACCGGGAAGCCGTGTCATATTAAACGGTAATAACGACACAGGTGCCATTGAGAAGGCTGTGCGATACCTGAAAGATCTGCACGAGCCGCAGCTGATCCTGGGTATCCTCCATAGCAAGGAGACAGCACTGTACAACTGTGTAAAGCAGGTCTGTGATGTCACTTGTGGTGTAAGAAATGTCAACGTTCAGGCCGATAAGCTGCGAGGGAATAAGCACAAAAACGAATTTGGGGCCAATGCGCAGTACTGCGCCAATGTTGGTCTTAAAATCAACCTCAAGATGGGTGGTGCCAATCAATCTCTGCGGTCTTCCGATCTCGGCATCTTTGGCGATGGCAAGACCATGCTTGTGGGACTTGATGTTACTCACCCATCGCCCGGTTCGGCAGGCTCCGCCCCCAGTGTAGCCGGCATCGTCGCGTCCATCGATTCAGACCTGGCGCAGTGGCCAGCAGAACTCCGCATCCAACCTCCTCGCCAGGAAATGGTCGACGATCTGGACGAACTTCTCAAATCACGCATCGAACGCTGGCGTGCGGCCAACAAGAACAAGCTACCCGAGAACATCGTGGTCTACCGTGATGGCGTGTCAGAGGGCCAATACGACATGGTAATCAACAAGGAGCTTCCCCTTCTGCAGAAGGCTTGCCGAGCTACGTACCCAGCCACCGAAACCCAGAAGGGTCTCCCACGCATGGCGATCGTGATCGTCGGCAAGCGGCACAACACTCGCTTCTACGCCACGAGCGAGGGTGAAGCCGAGAGGTCCCTCAACCCTCAGCCCGGCACCGTGGTCGACCGCGGCATCTCCGAAGCCCGTCACTGGGACTTCTACCTCCAGGCGCACTCCGCCCTGCAAGGAACCGCGCGCCCCGCACACTACTTTACTGTCTGGGACGAGATTTTCAACCCCCAGAACCCCGCCAAAGTAGGCGGTCCCGGTGCCGCCGATGTCCTTCAGACTCTTACGCATAACTTATGCTACCTGTTTGGAAGGGCAACTAAGGCTGTCAGCATCTGTCCGCCTGCGTACTACGCCGATCTGGTGTGTACCCGTGCCCGCTGCTTCCTCAGTGATCAGTTCGATCCTAGTCCTGCTGCTAGTGTTGCTGGTACTGAGGGTGGCGAGCAGCAGCAGCCGCTGGACAGGAGTAAGGTGGTAATTAACTCCAGAATTGCCGATACGATGTTTTACATCTAAGTAGGCTTTCTTGGAGTTTCCTTTCAGTTCATAAAGAAAGATTGGAAGATGAACAAAGATGAACAAGATAACAAAGATAAGGAGGAATTTGGGAAAGGGTTCAGATTGGGTGAGCTTCTGGGCCTATGGATGGTTGACTTTGGAATGGAATTGGCGATGGGAGAGGTGGTTGGGAAGGTGGTTTGGGAAGGCGAGATCTCGATGAGGAGGTTGCTTGCTGCAGCGGGCATTTCAAATTGGCAATTTGCTGGCTTTTCTCTGGCATAGCCCTCTCTTGGCCTTTTATTCTTAGTTAGATAGCGCTCAGCCTACTCTCACTTAGCTTTCTGAGACATCGCATTGCTATTCTATTTTTGTTGACTTGTCGTCTTGTACGGAACAAATCTGGATTTCGTAGACTAGAATCCAAGCGCGTAACTATAACACTCTTTTACGTTCTTCCGAGTGTTCTATGCAACAACCATTAACGGCACCTCACGTTTAGTAGCCTACTTATGTAGACAGCCTGAACTAATTCGTCATATCGATTCCAAGGGTTCTTCTGGTCAATTTGCCCAGTTCCATATAACTCGATCCGGGCTGTGTGAACTTTCATCAACTCGAAATAGGCCGCGAGGTAAATTCCATGTACGGTTTCTGCCAAAATATTCAATTCACATGTATGATATTCATCCAGTGTATCAATGACATTGAAGATAATCCCTAACAGCACTCGAGGTAGGAAGCCTCGCCCAAAGGCCAAACATCTCCCCAGTAATGCCACGCCTCAAAATCTGTGGTATCGGGTACGTGAAACAAAATCCCTTTTTCAAGACATAACTGCTTCAAGAACTCTAATCTCTCTGGCTGCTCTGGGTCGTTGCCTCGATCAATCTCAAGATATAATGCAGACAGCTTGGGGACGTCCTCTGAGCCAATAAATTCTATCAGCTGCTCAAATCCATCCTCCTTGCGAAGGCGAAGATACAAAGTCTCAAGTGAAGGTGGCAGGACATCCTTGAGCCTTCGCGCCGGATTGTCATCCATGTCTAACCCCACGAGATTGGCAGCACGGGCATAAAGAAACTTCAAAGCAGTGAAGTCTGCAAATGAACCCATCCACTCGTCATAATTATCCCACTCGGTATCCTCCGTGTTTCCAATCCAAATGGACTCCAACGTGGCCTTGTGCAACGAGAGCGACTCATAGATCTTCCGCGGCTGAATGTCATTGTGACTTATCAATGCACCTCCATGAACAATCCGGAAAGACTTTAACTCTTTGCATGCTTGGACCCAGATCCGCATTCCCCTTGCAGCATTGGTTTCATGGAGGTCGATATCGGTGATATTCGAACATCGTGGCGGAGGAGCCTCTAGGCAGGGTTCCGGATATTCAAAAATTTCATCAGGGTCAGGCTCGTAATCAGAATCCTCCGGCTCGTCGAACTTCCAGCCCCCCAGTTTCCGCATAGATGGGAAACTGAAAAATGGATGCATGAAGTTTGAGTGTGCTGCGTTTTCGGTGTCGTACCAAGTCGCGTAGACTTCCTCGAGATGAGGAAACACCGGTATCTCCTCTCGAGAAGCCCTCTGCAGCATAGACAATACATAGTCCGCACCATAAGGCCAGGTTAGGCTGAGCTTCCGCAACGCCTTCAGTCGCGGAAGAAGCAAAGCCAGCCATGCATCGGTGACGCCGCGCTTAAGGGCATTTATCCACTTTGACCTCTCTTTATCGGAATATCCAGTTGTGTCGTTAACCAGCTTGTGTATCAGATTCCTATCAGATCCAAGCTTTTCGCAGGCCTTTTCACCGTGCCCGTAATCGGTATCCCATGATCCAACCTCCAGGGTCCGTACATGGCTAGCCAATTTCGGGGTTCGGGTAATAGCGTAGAGGAACGTGCTGACTGAACTTTCTATGCCTTGCAATCCGCAGAGAGTCACATTGGTGTAGAGAACTGGTTGTAGCACGTTGTAAAGACCACGCGACGAGGAGAGCAGGTGGTACAGATCACATGGGCGGCTGAGATACCCAGCAATAAGGTAAATTATTTCCGGAGGGAGGTCGTTTAACATGATTCCGATGGTGAAAATGGTTAGAAAGATTTCTATGGGGAATTGATCTCGGTGAAAAGACTCGTCGTGGTCTTCGCTAGGCGTAGGCAGAAGCAGGCGCCATCTCCACTAGCGCCAAATCGAGAAATCGACTTGGAGTTTCATACTTTCGAAACCACGATTTTACCGCCTTGTTTTCACCGCCTACCCGATGCGTTTCTACGCGCAATAGAGTAATTTAATATTCTATATGCTATTTGTATACCTCTTTGGTGGTATCAAAGGGGTTCCTGTAAATAGCACAAAAAAACTGAATGTTTAAGAGGCAGAAAACGCGGCAGAAAATAGGCGGTAAAATCATAGTTTCAAACTTATGAACACCCACTGTACTATCAGGCCATGGCGTTACGTCCATATGTTCATCTTTCTAACATGACCCTGTGGCCGATCAAGAACAATCTGCTCTTTTTCACCGAGCGAGCGACTAAGAGGGCCATTGAATCATCTGTTTACTGTGGAATGCTGTAGTTCGCACGGTATAAACATGACTGGATGAGTACCTCTCCATCCAATCTTACATTACACATTAGGACATGCACAATTTCAAAAAATGGTATCAGTCAATTTACCATTAGAAAGAGCCTCCTTCATAGCAACCTAGTAATCTTGTCGCTATGAGCAAAGCAGGTACGTACACAGAAAAAGATATTCTCAAAGAGAGGGCACACCTGGCGCGACGACTAGAATGAAAGTAAAGGGTGACAAGAAAGGAAGCAAGGCCAGAAGACTCATCTCAATCGCGCAACCCAGCCTCTGGCCTTTTTCTCAAGATATTTTTGCAGATTTATGACTGTTGAGGGTATCGGTACACATTGCTCGTGATTAAGATAGGCCATTCAAAAGGCGTCGTAGTAGTGATGGGACGTGTCTCATGGACTTGGCGTTGGTATAAGCTGTGCTTACTCGTCGCCGTAGGTCCAGCTGCGTTGGTTGTGTCCCTTGGGGTCATGCAGGTGTGTAGCGGGACGGATTGGTTCAGGGGATACGTCGTAGTCTTGATCCCAGGACGCTTCCATTTGCTGAATCGACTTGGCACGGTCAGCGGCCATCGTTTTTACGTTCTCGCTGTCGAATTTGCTGGGTGCAGGAGAGATATCGGCCATCTGCCAGTGAACGTCGAAGTTGTTCTTTCGGCTGGCATTGTTACCAGTGACCCCCAGAGACTCATTCTGCGACGCTGACTTGCTGGGGATAGAATCGCCGTTCTCTTCGCCGAACAGACGGTTCTCGTACAGACGGTTGCCGCGGTTTCCGTAGGAGCTGATCATGCGGCCGTCATCACCCTTGTCGTCGTCGGTCATACCGAAATGAACGTCTGCGTCCCGGCGGGGCTTGTGCACAGCCGGCCTCGCTGGAGGGGACTCACCCGTCTCATCAGCATTGTAGCCAAAGGGACGCGATTCCTCAACTGGCTTGGGGTTGGAGGGCTTCACGGGAGTGGAGAAGTCGCCGAAGTCCCACTGCGACTGGTGACGCGACTTGCCACGCTTTGGCTCTTCCTTTGCTTCTAGATCGGCATTGTCGGCCCCAATCTGGAAGTGGTCGTACTTCTTGGGGTCACTCTTGTAGAAAGCGCGATCCTGGAGTTCGTCATCGTCCTGGAAAATACGGTTGCCCTGGAACTTTGAACCAGCCTTGGAAGCAATAACCCTCTCGGCCTTGGTAGGTGTGCCAGGCATGTCGTCATCGTCACCTCCCACAAACAAATCACCGTATGGACGCGCGGCCGGCTGAGAACCGCCGTAAGGGCGCACCGGTTGAGTGGTCTCCGGCTTGCTGGGCGAGAGGAGCTCGGTCAAGGACCCGGCAGCATAGGGGTCTCTAGTGTGTCTCTTGCCAGTGGTAGCGGGCTTGCGGGTTTCCTCTTCGCTGAAAGTCTGGGCCTCAGCCTTGTTGGGAGACAGGAGATCGAAAAGGGAGTCTGCGGCATAGGGGTCCTTGATGTATCGCTTGCCCGGCGAGGCAGGTCGCGGAGGCAGGTTATTGCTCTGGGACGGGGCCAGAGACGGGGCGTCGAATTTCGCAGTCGCGGCATTCCTGAGCAGACGGGTCTGATCTTTGCTATCACGGATGGGCCAGGCACGGCCGCTCTTACCAATGACCTCGACAGCCTTGAGCAGTGAGGCCTGGTCCCAGTAGATCCGGACCTGTTGGATCTGTTGTTCGGCATTGAATTGGACGATGTGGAGCTGCAGGATGCTGCATTAGCATGGGATCGTACTGTTGGACAGGCCAAGGCCATGCGGTCTCGGGGAAGTTACCGTGGGGATGGTTGCGACCCTATCCATCAGGAAATTATCGTCCATCACGGGAAGATAGGCACCACCGCCCTCAACGAACGTCAGGGTGACCTCAATATCCAAACACAACGCGTCGGAGCTCTCGATAGCATTGATGACCTGCTCCGACGTCTTCTTGACGATTCTCGCTTCGCGCGACACATGCTTCTTGACCGCGTCGGCGCCATCGATGCGTGTGGTAGTGGGGACATAGATCAGCGACACATTGTCGGCCAACGGCGCATCTCCGCTGTTGTTCAGAAACTTCTTGTAGCTGTCCTTGAGGTAAGTCATGATGACAGTTCTCAGGGTTGCAGAGAAGTTGGGAGAAGGAAAGAGGAGACGGGAAGATATCAGGGGGGGGAAGGAAATGAAATAAACAAGCCGAGGGGAAACTACGGGGCCGAGCCTAAGTGAAGAGGAAGGTAAAAGGACTATCGGATGAACTGCTACCTTGCTGAGGAACCCTCCAGATTACCGTTTGCCTGCAGCTACGCGACACGACGTATCAGATACCTGGCACGTGTATGACCCGCTCTAAACAGACGCAGGTACCAGTGACCTGAGGGGGCAACATTTGACAGACGAGACAAATAGTAAATAAAACACGCGCACGGGGGAACCGCAAAATGCGCCAGTGTTTCACCGGCCGGCTGAGCCCCAGTCGCAGAGCCACGGTTACTGAGCCTTAGCACGTTCCTCGGGCAACTCCCTATTTGGCAGAATGTCGGATTGAGTTTGGGCTTTGAATTCCAGATCAATTCGTTGAGAAGAATTGGATATTCACCTCTATAATAGTTGCAGTAAATTGGCCTGCATCTTGGTGGAACCCATTGTAAATTGATTGGGTCATTCATCTACATATCTACTCTGTCTTGCCACACGACCGTGGACAGATAGCTGATCTTCCTAGGTCTTTTTCAGATACCGGAAGTTACGGTGAAGCTGTCTGAGCAGAAAAGAGTCTATACCTTGAAATACGGGTTAATTTCACGTTGTATATTGTACATATCGATGCCCTGCACAGCACAAAAGTGCATGACCGATGTCTTATTCTAGACTTCGGCCGATCTTCTCGTTGCGAACCGAGTGGAACATTTTCTCCAGTTCCGATCAAAGAAGATGAAGGCATGCGTATGTGAGAGAAATCTTGGAACAAAAGCACCCAAGGGGCCTGTGGTCGATGTGCATTCCATTCCGTCTTCGCTCACTCAAATCAAAAATCACATGCAATAGATCGGAGAATTATCGTCATCCGTGGAAACTCCCAGCAGCGCCAATTTGACAAGACTTTTTTTTTCTGTCTCCACAAGAGTATTGTGAATAGTCGCTGCACCTTTGGCGGTCTTGCCTCGGGTGTAAATCGTAGGGTGTAAGGGGTGGGTATGTATTGCGGCTCGTTTCTCATTACAGGGGTCTGTTGAAGAGCGGTGTTAGCATCAAGATCCCCAATATATGGGCGAATATCCTTACCCAAGATAATCCTCTTTGATCGTGCCAATGGCGTTGATCGCAGCCACATCGGGCTTGACGCCGAGAATCTTCAGACGCAGACTGGTTCCTTTCTCGATCACCTGGTCTGCATGATCGGTGTACTGCGGAGGCACAGTATTCGGCTCCCATTTGATATCACCGGGAATGTTCTTTCGCACTAGTCAGTGACAGGACTCGTGCAGATCAGATTGGCTGTCCATACCTTTCGCGCAATGAAAACGGACAGGGGGCCAGCCAAAGTGAAGATACCGGTTGGCTTCACAGAGGTAACGACGGCGTCGACCTGGCGATTCTTATTGTTAGCGCGGCATTCTTAGAGCTAGACTGAACCTGAACTGAGAGCCAGAGCCCAAAGTCCGATCCTCAACACATACGGTCTCTCCCCGGAACGGCTTCCAGATAATTGCACGGTACTTGATGGTATATTCCGCATTCCCACTGGACGGAATCACCCGTCCCTCGCCAATGTCGACCATGTCCATCACGCAAATCACGAAGTGGTCACCCGTACACCGGCCTTCCTCCTCCTCATTAAGTCGAGCGACCAGGTAGTCTCGCATATTAGGTCCGAAATAGGACGGATGCAGAGAAATAATCTTGGTCTCTTCCTTGAGAAAGAACATCTTTGCGGTGGTTGACGGATCGGCTTCAATGCGCGGTAGGAGTCGGTGGGCAGGTCGGCACTGACCCCGCGGAAAGTGCGGTCTCGCAGTGGGTATCGCTCAGCTCTGAGAGTCTCTTTCCTGTGCAGTATGCGGTATGCTGAGGCTCAATAATCGAATTGCGCCCCGGTGGTGCAAGGTTGCTGTCAATTGAGTTCGAGGGTGATTGTCGGGACAGGCTAGGTCATGGCCTGAATTCGTGGCAAGTCAAGAAGGAGGGTTAAAGACCGCACAAGGATGAGAAATGAATGACACTCGGGAGCAGGTACGGTATCTGCCGAAAAATAAGAGGCAGATACACCGATGCTGCGCGCTTTCTGGAGCTGCCTGAGATTGTCTCCGCCGATGAGGGACTCGGCACCTGTCAGTCACGTGACCGTGGGAACAATGAAAGGGCTGGACTGCAAACCGATGTGGAATTGTATACTCATTTGAGAATTAGGTGCGTAATTGTAAGGATGGTAGTAAATTGATGTGCTAGAGGGTATTCTGCTGTCAATATATCCCGTTTTGATGTAATATGGGTCCTCATAATAACTATATATTTCTTGCTTTCTTGTATCCTGCACAAGATATTTTCTCTCACACTTTACAGATCATGCCTTTTTTTTATGTTCAAACTCAATCCATTGCAAAACCATCTAACCTAGTTCATTATTTACAATATCTAGTATTACATAGATTGAAAGGTCCTCTGGAGGCGTGTTCTTGGCTGATACTCCGTATGCACCAAGGCCCAACCGCATCGATTCTCAATCAGCAGTAGCTGGGGAGAGCCCATTGAGAATGAAACATACGAAAAGACTGATGCAGGTATCTACAGAGAATAAACTCTATTTAGTTCAATGTAATGTATGTGGTTTCACATTAGTACGCAAAGTTACAGTCACTACCACTGCACCGAGCGGGCCGTACCACGCAGAAACACATCCTCGGCCCAAGCACATGACGGTCGACGGCGACGCATTACACCACTTAGCGCGACCGTATACCTGATGATGTAGCACCACGCCTCCACCCCTCAATAATTTGTCTCAAGCGCCCACTTTTCCCTTGCCCTGTCACTTCAGCGATCACTTCAACATGGCGCTCAACCTCGAAAAGCAGCTGATCTTCGTGAGTCTCCGAGTCTCCCGACTAGCCGGGACTACGGCTAACTTCCGCAGTATGGATCTTACCACAACAACCCTGTACGGAGCCCTCAGTGCCCTCGCTTTGACGGGCGATCGGAGCATATATTGATGGATAATATAGGTGAACGTCGCCATTCACATTACGTGTGTTCCGGTCTTGCTGTTCACCGGAATCATCCTGGTAAGCTGACACGACCTCTCCCTAAGACCGGTCACTAACGATTGAATCCTAGGCATGCAACTGCCCACCGCTCTTCAGCGCGCCCGATGCCCTCTCCCTCAAATACCTTCCCGCTAATGCCGGAACGATCGGGGCTTTCATATACGCCATCTTCTACGTACTACTTGAACCCGTGGCAGGCGGGCTGATCGCACCGCTGGTGATCGGCTCAGCAGCATGTGGAAACTATCTCCTCGGAAACTACGGAATGATCGTGAACTACTGGGCCGCCGGCATTCACGTCGTGTCCTGGCTGGCACAATTTGTCGGACACGGTAAATTCGAGGGACGGGCGCCGGCGTTGCTCGATAATCTCGTCCAGGCTCTGCTGCTTGCCCCGTTGTTCGTGTGGATGGAGATCCTGTTCTTCTTTGGGTACCGCCCAGAGCTGAAGCAACGGTTCGACAAGAACGTGGAGAAGGAGATTGCCAAATTCCGTCAGGAGCAGCAGCAAAAGCGCAAGACGAAATGAATGATCGGCAGCGCATGGATGAAGATATTGGGTTGTCTTTGTTTTTCACTCGGCTATGGTTGGTGAAATCGCGTTCTCATGTCTCGAAACGGACTTTTCTGAGGGCCCTTGATCGATATGATATGTCATGCCTCCAAATACCTGGCGGATGCGCACGAGGTGAATCTCGGGTATCGGCCCAATGCACGTCCTTCGCGCATTGCAGGGACGGGCTCACCCAAGGGTCATGTTGTGGTCTGCTATAGCAGATAGAGGTAGCAATAATAATACTCGAACCCTCATCAGGTAGCTCAAGGTACCTAGGTAGTTCAAACAGAGTCCGAGTATACAGCTATACATACAGCTCCGGTTGCCGTGACGAAACGCATTAGCTAAGCGAATCACTTGACCAGGAAACCCGCAGATCCGAGAAGAGAAAAAAACGGGAAGGGCTGGCCCGCTTCGGAGCCCAGGTCGCCCACAGTCGTCAGCCCCAACCACGAGGGATGGGAATTTTTGGAGTCAAATTAGAGAGCTAGAACGGGAAGACACCGCATGAAAAATCGTAGTATACATGTACGGCCGAGTGTGGCACAGAGTAGCAACGCGAAAATGGTCAGCGTGGAGACGGGCCACATCGGAGAAGCCAGTGTCCGAAGCGGCTTAGCGCGAGTCCTGAGAATCCTGGCCTCCCCCCGACGACAAAGCTCTCCTTCCCACTCACACCTTCTCCTCCCTTCCCGATCTCCTCTCCCCAATTACATCTCTCCTTCAGAGAATTCATCCTCCCATCCTCTGAACCTCCTTCACAATGTTCAGGAACGCTCTGCGGCAGTCCAGCCGCTCCGTTGCGGCCGTCCAGGCCACCGGCCGCGTCGCCTCGGTGAGTCCATCCCCATCCTGGCCATCCTCGTCCACCGTCATCCCGACTTCTTCCATCTCGAATCCGAGCTCGATTGGTCCTCGGATCCCTTCACAACCATCTGCCTACCCATTGAGGATAGCCTGGTCGACCTTTACCCCAATGACCTCGTCGCTGACAAGTTTTTCATCCCCAGGTCCGCGCGGCTGTCCCCGGCCCCATCTCCGGCGCCTCCAAGCAGGTCCGTTCCTACGCTTCTGAGGCTAAGGCCCAGCCCACCGAGGTCTCCTCCATTCTGGAGCAGCGCATCCGTGGTGTTCAGGAGGAGGCCGGTCTCGCCGAGACCGGTCGTGTTCTGTCCGTCGGGTACGTCCATTCTGCCAGGGTCGCAAGAGAAAAATTCGATTCCCGGATACAATCTCGCCAAACGCGCCCGCAACCATCACCATACGACAATGCAACGAACTAGAAACTAATCGAGAATTTGAACAGTGATGGTATCGCCCGTGTCCACGGTATGACCAACGTCCAGGCTGAGGAGCTTGTTGAGTACGTGCACCCCAATGTCTTGGCATTTCCCAACTCGGTAATTTAACACGACAATAGGTTCGCCTCCGGTGTCAAGGGTATGTGCATGAACCTCGAGGCCGGCCAGGTCGGTGTTGTGCTCTTCGGTTCCGACCGTCTCGTCAAGGAGGGTGAGACCGTGAAGCGTACCGGTGAGATTGTATGTCACCCCTGTTCTCCCCTCTCCCCCCTTGGAGTCGGAATCCATCTTTGATATTGGGTTCCATCCACTCCACCTCTTGACAGCTTGTACTAATGTCCTATAGGTCGATGTCCCCGTCGGCCCTGAGCTCCTCGGCCGTGTTGTCGACGCTCTGGGTAACCCCATTGACGGCAAGGGTCCCCTGAAGACCAAGGAGAAGCGCCGTGCCCAGCTCAAGGCCCCCGGCATTCTGCCCCGTCAGTCCGTCAACCAGCCCGTCCAGACTGGTATGAAGTGTGTCGACTCCATGGTGCCCATCGGCCGTGGTCAGCGTGAGTTGATCATTGGTGACCGTCAGACCGGTAAGACTGCCGTCGCTCTCGACACCATGCTCAACCAGAAGCGCTGGAACTCCGGCAACGACGAGTCTTCCAAGCTGTACTGTATCTACGTTGCCGTCGGTCAGAAGCGTTCCACCGTCGCTCAGCTCGTCAAGACCCTCGAGGAGCAGGACGCCATGAAGTACTCCATCATCGTCGCTGCCACCGCCTCCGAGGCCGCTCCCCTGCAGTACATTGCTCCCTTCACTGGCTGCGCCATGGGTGAGTGGTTCCGTGACAACGGCCGTCACTCCGTCATCATCTACGATGACCTGTCCAAGCAGGCCGTTGCCTACCGTCAGATGTCCCTGCTTCTCCGCCGTCCCCCCGGTCGTGAGGCCTACCCCGGTGACGTCTTCTACCTCCACTCCCGTCTTCTGGAGCGTGCCGCCAAGATGAACAAGACCCACGGTGCTGGTTCCCTCACTGCCCTGCCCATCATTGAGACCCAGGGTGGTGATGTGTCTGCCTACATTCCCACCAACGTCATTTCCATCACTGACGGCCAGATCTTCTTGGAGGCCGAGCTGTTCTACAAGGGTATCCGTCCCGCCATTAACGTCGGTCTGTCCGTGTCCCGTGTCGGTTCCGCCGCCCAGGTCAAGGCCATGAAGCAGGTCGCCGGTTCCCTGAAGCTGTTCTTGGCTCAGTACCGTGAGGTCGCTGCCTTCGCTCAGTTCGGTTCCGATCTTGATGCCTCCACCAAGCAGACCCTTGCCCGTGGTGAGCGTCTGACCGAGCTGCTCAAGCAGAAGCAGTACTCCCCCATGGCCGTCTCCGACATGGTTCCCCTCATCTTCGCCGGTGTTAACGGTCTCCTCGACACCATCCCCGTTGCTAAGATCCTCCAGTGGGAGAGCGACCTCCTCGCTCACCTGAAGAGCAGCCACCCCGAGATCCAGGAGACCATCGAGAAGGAGGGCCAGGTCAGCAAGGAGTCCGAGGCTAAGCTGAAGGAGACCATTGTCGCCTTCAACAAGTCTTTCAACGCATAGGTGAGCTAGAGAAACACAAACTTTCGACTGACAACATCCGTTTTGGCGATCGTTCTGTTTTCCTGACTCTATGTGTATAGACCAGATAGCTTGTACAATTTTGAGGCCATTATTTCGTTTTGTTCCCATTTTCTCAGTGCCGGCGGCTCCTGGGCTTCATTCTCACGATTACGCCCTGGATGTAGCGATGTAAATCTGCACGTCCTACTCGTCCGGGGTAAATTTGTTCTTGTTGCCCTTTGGCTACCGGTCTTGCAATCGGGACTCGGCTGATCTATGGGCTGCCAAAATGTGATTATATCCTGTACGTTTAGATTTTTTCGCGCATTGGGGGGCGCGAGATGGGTGGAGGGCCATTCTTCCGTCTGGTTCTGTCTCTCCATGTTGGATCCGCAATTTATCTCTTTTCAAATCTTTTTCAACGTAGATTGTAGATTGTCGCTTGCATATCCATAAGTCTTAGATGTCTAATAGAGACAGAACTCAGAAGCGGGATGCCCAGGAGGATTATCGTAGACAGCCAAAGTTGTATCAGATTCTCTCAATAAAACGGAATTTTAATTGGCAAATCTCCCCTTCTCATTCAATGTTTATCAATTCCAAGGTCTTTCGGTTGATAGTCAATTCATTGTTGAGGGAAAAGCTCATTCGTTCTATACCATGTCCTGGACACGGCGTATAGAACACCTAGTCGTGCTTCATCCTCCAGCAACGTCCCTTTTCAAAAATACACAAATCTATCATTCATCTCGAAAATACCCCATTTCCACATCCTAACTTACCCGGTATGCCGCCGCATCCAGGCAGCTGCGATCTCGGCAGATGAGGCCGAATGCGGCACCCGATCTCTTATCGATAAGCGAACAATCTTTTTCCCTCCAAAGCACCAGACCCCGCGAGAACAGCGAGCCCTATTTTCCTATTTTTCGCGTCCAGCTACACATCCGTCGCCATGTCAGCCCCTACAACCTCGGGTCCCGCTTCCTGCAAGGTGATGCTGGCCAAGAATGTCGCCAATGGCCTGCTCAGCGAAGTCCAAGAAGGCGTCAAGACTCTCGACAAGGCGCCGCACTTGGTTGGCTTCCTGGCTAACAATGACCCTGCGGCATTGATGTACGCGCAGTGGACCCAGAAGACCTGCGAGGAAAAGTGAGTCTTTCAAGTTTGTCCCGATTCGTGGTCACAATTACTCGCGCGCAGCCTAGTGGGGTTGGATGTATGATTCATAGTTGCCCCTCGTGGATATAGCTTCGAACGAAGTCCGCGTATAGAATGATGAAGACCATAATCAAACAATGCTGACTTTCTCCTCGATAGTGGCTTCAAGTACACCCTCCACGAAGTCTCCCGCGACGATATCGAAGGTGCCATCCTAGCCGCCAACACCGACAACGATGTCGACGGCATCATCGTCTACTACCCGATCTTCAACAACCGTCAGGACCAATATCTGCAGCAGATTGTCGATGTTTCCAAAGACGTTGAGGGTCTCAGCCATCGCTACATTTTCAACATGTACCAAAACATCCGCTTCCTGGATCCCGAGACCAAGCGCCAGAAGTGCATCCTGCCCTGCACCCCGCTGGCCATCGTTAAGATCCTCGAGTACCTCAATATCTACAACACTGTCCTGCCCTCCGGCAACCGTCTGTTCGGTCACACTGTCTGCGTTGTTAACCGATCTGAGGTTGTTGGCCGCCCGCTGGCTGCACTGCTGGCTAATGATGGCGCCTGTGTGTACAGTGTTGATATCACTGGCGTACAAAAGTTTACTCGTGGTGAGGGGCTTAAGAAGCATCGTCATGAGATTCATGAGATGGAGGGTGCCACGCTGAAGGATGTTGCGCCACTTTGCGACGTTGTTATCTCCGGTGTTCCTGGTGATAAGTACAAGTTTGATACCAGCCTGCTTCGTGAGGGTGCGGTGTGTGTCAACTTCTCGAGTGAGAAGGTGCGTGACATTTGTTTTCCTTGAACTTTCTGCTAACATGGTTTTCTAGAACTTCGGCCCTGAGGTCAAGGAGAAGGCCTCCATCTTTGTTCCCTCGATCGGCAAGGTTACTATTGTTTGCCTGCTCCGCAATCTTCTGGTACGTTTTCCTCGACCTAGGTCATCCATATTAGTAGTCTGACCATTTCACAGAGACTCAACCAGAATCGCCGGCTGGACGATGTCAAGCCCGCTGCGGCTACGGAGCGTCCCGGCACTATCGAGTCTATTTAAAATGCAGCTATCGAACTTGAAAGTGACGGATATGATGAGGTTTTATGTGAAAATTTGAGTATAGACTGTTATTTTTAGCTTTTTTTGACTATATATGGAGATTTTCCGTCTGCCTTCTCGCTTCCTTTGATACCTTTGTAGAAGGGCTTATACCCCCAAAGAAGCTGACAGATTGCAAAATTAAGACACGTTTCTGGACAAAATTAGAGTATCTTTGCTCCATCTATATCATCCTGTGATACTTTTCAACCCTTGCTTTCGTGGAAATGATCACGGGTTGCGTGCTAGTCTCCCGCGGGCTGCAAGTGGGGGCGGGAGACGTCAACGTCCTAGAAAACTAGAATCGCAACTTGCTTCCTCATTCATTCCGTTCAAAGGGAGGACTACAAGGGTAATGTCTCAGTTAGTACCAATCGAGCAGGGTAGTATCCCTGCCAGTGTCCGGTCTCACCCAGTCGGGGATTTATCAGAGGAATCGATTCGCGACGAAATCAAGGGCTGGTTGCAATTTATAACGGTATGGCCTCTTTATCCCTCCTAGTGCTCAAGTCACTAAGCTCTCATAAAATACAGGAAGAATGGACCCCTTTGCCAGACGCAGAGGATGACCTCCGTCAACGACGCAGTCTCATCGAGAGATGGGCTACAGCCGACCAAAGCTTCCGCGATGTGTGTAATGCACATTTCCTTCTCAATGTTAAGACATAAGCATACTCATCCCAGTTCAAACATTACTAGTCCTACGATCTTCGGGCATCATTCCAGATATCGGACCCGCCAGCTATTGAATCACTATCACCATTACTCGAAAAGAGATTCATCTGCTTGGCCCCTGTAAACAGAGACACCCACCCAACCAACTACACCAATCTAATCAAGATCCTCATTATCCTGTACTTGGGCACAGCCGGCACTGGCGGTCACCCATTCAGCCATGCAAAGGCCGGCGATGGCCCGAACCCACAACTTCCGACATTCATCGCTGCCGACTCCAATCTAGAGGTTGCTCCCCAAGACCTACTAGCAGCCTTGTATCTGCAGGGTGCGGATTTCCGCATGGTCTCTATGTCCCGCACCGGTACCGTGCTGTTCCATAATTTGTCAAACAAGCTCTGGCTTGTTATCGATCAAGCCGGTCTCGACACGGGGCGTCTCATGCTACTTCAGTTCCAACCTAATGGACAGTCTTTGCTCTCTACGCTGCGGAGACCGTTGAATCTGGGAGAGGCGATTACTTTCCACAAGGGACAGGCCCTTGGCCTTGAGGATATCGTTGAGCAGGATATCGGTGGTCCTGAGCATATGAATGAGCCGTATGTTTTACTTCCTGCGCTTCTATTAACCGAAAGCGAACGCTTTATATCACGCTTGTGGGTTAACTTATGGCTAATATTCACATGTAGTCTGGATATTCGTTCTCCCGTTCTCGATATTCTGGAAGGGATTGCAAAAAGGGATGAGTTGAGGTTTGCTGGGTGGGGGAGCAGAGAGACTTGGGCGAGAGATATTGAACAGTGCGCGCCGGGGTATTTGGGACTTGAGAAGAGTGGTCGCGAGGTGGAGTTTGAGCTTGAGTGTCTTGAGGAACTTCTTAAATAATGGCTTCATGATCATGAATTCCGCAATGACTATGATATGCAACTCCGACCTGGCATTATCAGATGCCTTTTTCTCCTAAACCATGATGCCGATTCCAGACTCATATAATAATCTCAGTAACAGAGACCAAACAGACTACCCGCGTCGTTTGCTGCTCTCACCGGGTGGCGGAACAACAGCAGCAACTCCACCAGTCTTCTTTTCGTTCTCCTTGGCCGCCAACCTCAACACATCAACCTCACTGGCCAACCAGCGGCGGAATGGCTCAGGGTGGAACACGCCATCTTTTGAGAACCACATGGTAAATGGTGCCTCGAAGCGCTTGTCTTGGAGGACCTTTCCAGTGGGAGACTTGTAAACCACATGCAACTTATATGGGACGTTGTTCTTCACGACAGACGAGGAAATGGACATCTGTAGATATGGTAAGCAAACTGCCCCTGAAAACAGGTCTGGCAAAGCCATAAGCAGCAATTCAGCACATACGGTTTCTCCGGTTTTGCGCTTGCCACTAAACACCTCCCCAGCCTCGACGGCCCAAATCCAAAAGGTGAGCGCGCTGTTGAGGATAAAGTACGCGGCGACCGCGGCGATAATCCATGGCGAGTTAGTCGCCTCCCAGCCTAGTTTGCGGTCTGCGTAGAATGTGAAGCCTGCGATTGCGACGGCGCTGTATCCAAGCAGGAAACGGATGTTGCTCTTGTTGTGGTCTATCGCGAAGGTGTAGGGTGCAGGGAGATTAGCCAGGTAGGGAAGCAAGGCATCGTCACTAGTTGACTTGAGGTCTTGAAGTCGAATGCACGTTAGCTAGGGTCGAGCAATTGGTGATTGCTTGGAGAGCGCGCAGGACGTATGAAGAAGTAGGGCGAGGGTTACTGACCGTTGGTGGAGTAGACGGGCACCTTGTTGGAAGCCATGTTGCAAGTTGAATACCAGAACGGTAGTTCTAGTTGCACTTCCTGTCTTGTTGAGCTGGGAGAAACGTGAACGTGGTGAAGTCGTGTTTATTGCGAGGACACAGTTGCGTCGGAGCTGAAGCTAACGGGCCAATGACCGCCCGCGCCGCACCCTCAACCACCTCCTTCAGGCTTCATCATCCTCGTCTCCGCACCAGCACCCGCTCGGAGATATCGTTGGGTCTCTGTCATTGCACCTGACAGTTATTCTCTTTCAGTCTACTGGTCTCCCTTCCACCATGGCAGTCCAAGGAGTTGAGCAGACCATCCTCCGGGATCCGGCTCTCTTGTGAGATTCCCTCCACTGCATGGGAGCAAGCCTAGCTAATCACGACTGCACAGTTACTGGATCCTGTTCCCTATCACTGTGGTTATGGTATGATCCCCAGCCTCAATTACCTCCAATCTGCGGAAAAACATCAAAATCTAACCCCTCCGCGATAGATCCTGACTGGAATTCTACGCCACTATGCGACTGTCCTAATGAACACACCCCCTAAGTCACCCTCCACTCTCGCCGAATCGCGCGAACGCCACGCACTGCTCCGAGGTGTAAACCTCCGCAACCATGCCTTCGCCGTCCTCGACCGTGAAGCCTTCGAGGCGCGGAAGAACTACCTGCTCTCGGGCTACCGGAGTGGCGCGTTCCTGAAGGATCCCAATAACCGTGGCCAGCCGCCGGCGAACCCGATGACTGATCCTCAGGGAATGGAGGCTATGATGGGAATGCTGAAGGGCAATATGATGATGATGATCCCGCAGACCTTGATCATGAGCTGGATTAACGCCTTCTTCTCGGGCTTCGTGATCTGTATGTGCCCGCCTAGATGTTTTGGGAGGAGTCCCCGCTGACTTGTTGCAGTGAAATTGCCTTTCCCTTTGACCATCCGCTTCAAGTCGATGCTTCAGTCCGGTGTCATGACCAGGGACCTGGATGTGAGATGGGTGTCCAGTCTGTCGTGGTACTTCCTCAACCTCATGGGCTTGCAGTCCGTGTTTGGCTTTATTCTGGGCAGTGATAATGGTGAGTCCTGTGCTTTAGTCCCATAACTGTGTCAGTCATCACTAATATTCTCTCAGCTGCCAACCAGATGGCCCAGCAGATGGGCATGGCTAACCCTGCTGCCATGATGAACCCCATGCAGCCCGGCCAGGACCCCGACAAGCTGTTCTTGGCTGAGGCGGAGAACTTGGAAGTGACGGAGCACTTCTGCATTCTCGATGGAGTGGAAGAGCGAGTCCTGCAGAATTTCGCTACTGCGTGAAGTAATTGCTTGTTGGGCGGAGTTCTGAGCTCAGTGTCGGTGTATATATGTGCCGGAGAAGGCATTGCTGGCCCTGATAGACAATAAAATCTGTGATATCATGAAGAGCTGCCACGAACCAATCTACAATTTGTAATAGGTTTCCCATGGATATTTCCAATCATCATCTCGTTAATTATAGCTAACACTGTATTCAACGGTAGTTGATTACGCCGTTCAAAACCCAGACCTCGCCATTGGAGACTTTCTCCGCAATACTATCCACTTCGACGTTGCCGGGTTGAATCTGATATCAATTAGCTTAAGCAGACCTGTGATCAACAGTAAAGGAACTTACGAAAATCTTATCGCCCTTCTTTTCCCACTTCAGTTTCCCCCCCTCCAAGCGTCTCAACCTCTTCCCCAGCTCTCCAGGGACTCGCGGGGATAAGGTGAGCTTCCGCGAACTTCTGCAGGTTGCCCTTTGCTCGATCCTGCCCCTCTTGTCCTTCGTATGCTTCCACTTCGCCAAATTTGCTATAATCCGCCGGATCCTCCCATGGCTTGCGAGGCAATGCCTGAATAACACTGTTCCTCGGCGCGAGGACGGTTATGTTCTTCGATGGGTCATTCAAGCGAGAAGCGATCGGTTCGAAATCCCGAGTCAGCTGGGCGAAGATATTGATTCCCTTGGTTTTGGGAAGAACGTCTGAGATTATAGGCCCATCTGCTTGGCCTGATAGATCCTCTTTTGGCGCTGCAGTCTGCGGCTTGAGGATATCGGGGATGAGCTTGTCCATGATTGATTGCTGATCTGTGAGAGCTTGGAGAGGTTGTTGGCGGGAGTTGATAGGAGACGAAAATCCCCACAGAGCAGCCGTCGAGCTGGTAAGCGCTAACAGTAAAACAAGAAGCTTGATGACTCCAGAGTCTTTCATCTTGAATGTATCGCACATTGTAAGCGCAGGTATGCCGCCGCCCGCCATGACGCAAGGGGCACGTGATGTGGAGTGACCGATCACCTGACTGTTATCGATAACGGCCTCAAGAAATTGGACGGCGGGGAGGTTGAACTTCACGCACTGCTCTCGCTCGCTTTGGCTCGTGTGGCCGGTTAATTGGCAACATGTCGGCTCTCCAGAAGTTCATGCTCGTGGTGGAACACGACAAGGAAGAAGCCAAGCGCATCGCCGAAAGCGTTGCCCAGGGTAATTCCACCCCCCGCACTCACAACATACGATGACTCTAACCGAGTGCTTTACAGATGTCGAAAGCAAAAAAACCACCCTGATTGAAATTGTGCAGATGCTCGGCGAATATATCAACGATGAAGACCCAATTCTGCGCGGAAAGGCTGTCTCCTTCCTTACCTCCGTTATCAAGTCGCTATCGCCCCGGTTCCTGTCTAGACAGCAGATCCAGGTACTGACGACGTTCTTTGGTGATCGGATTGAGGATGGAGGTGCGGTTGCGGGGTTGCAAACACTGCAGGCATTGGATCGGTTTACCAAGGAAATGGTCACCGAGACTGCGCAAGCGTATGTACACCTTGATCTCAGTGACACCTGTGTCTTGTGGCTTTGTCGTGATGGCAGAGAGACGAGACGTAGTTTGAGACGATGCTGACATTTCCATAGCTTGTTCTCCAACTTCCAGGACCTACAATCTCGGTCCCAGTCCCAGCGATTCCAAGTCTACCAATTGCTCAATAACTTGATGTCGAATCATCGCAAGGGTGAGTGCGCGACTTTATTTCTCTATCAGCGTCTTTATTTCAATTGGACATGAGACTGACATTGAAAAAGCGCTTCTTGAAATGGGCGACACGTCTCTCGTCGGAATCGTGGATCTTATGACAGGGGAGAAGGACCCCCGGAACCTGATGATGGTCTTCTCCATTCTCAAGGTAGTCATGGTGGAGTGGGAGATCACAAACCACGTTGAGGTAAGATTTAATTCGATCGAAATCGAATAGGATTGCTAACTCTAGCAGCTTTTGTTCGACTCGGTATATAACTACTTCCCGATCACGTTCCGGCCGCCACCAAATGACCCATACGGAATTACTGCACAAGACTTGAAGGGCCGACTGCAGGATTGCATCTCTTCAAACAGACTTTTTGCTCCACAGGCTATTCCTGCTTTGCTTGATAAGCTGGACTCGACATCCCCAAATGTTAAGGTAAGCTCCTTGTTTGGTACGTGGGGATTGAATTGTGTCTAATATCCTCGCAGAAAGATGCACTCAATACTTTGATCGCCTGTGTCCACTCATATGATCCAGATACTGTGTCACGATATTCCATCACCATTTGGGAGGTTTTGAAATTCGAGATCCTCAATGTCCAGGAAGAATTCCTCTCGGAGTTGTCTCTGACAGCCCTGCAAGGAATCGCGCAGCGGCTTTCAGAAGGCGTCACTGAAATCTCCCAAGATCTCCCTCTGGCCCAGTACCTGAAGCCTATCACCAAAGAATGCAACGAACAATTGCAAGAGCCTCAACAGAAGCAGGCGAAACCCGCACAGCAGATTCTCGCTTCGCTGTCATCCTCCTCAGTGCTCGCTTTCGCACTTCTCGTGCAGACTGTTGTCGCTCCGATCTTCACAATTTACCAAGAAGCAGATGGAATTGTCAAGCAACGAGCTCTCTTAGACACACTATCTGTTTTGTTCGAGTCTGCCATCCAAATCTTTGGAAAGTGGACAACCCGTGGAGCCGAGGTCGCTTTTGAAAACCCACTACTTGAGTTCAAGGATCAGTTCTCGGATGTCTTGGGTCAAGCCTTGATGGGTGCTGCTAAAGAAGAGGTCTCTTTCCGGGTTACTGCCTTGAAGGGATTCCTCCGCCTGTCCACTCTGCGCGGCTTCTTCCAGGACAATGAGATTGGTCTTTTCGTGCAATACCTGGATGAAATACTTCTCCAAGAGGAATCAGTTGGCCGGGATGACTTGAAAAAGGAAGCCATCGCAGCGCTTGCGGAGATTTCCAAACACAAGCCCCGCCTTATCATGGACATTACTTTCCCTGCCTTCGTGGCAACCCTGCCGGATGAGGATGACGGCACGAACACAGCATACCTATCAACTCTGGACACTCTGGCCCAGATCAGCGTTGAGAGGGATATCTTCGAAACCTTGTTCCGTCGTCTGTTCAGCAAATTGTCTATCCTGCTTCAAAAGGAGCAACCTGGCTCTGTAGGTTACCCTCGGGCCATTCTGGTGACTCTTCTCTATGTCATGCAGCAGAGAGATATGAAGGTAGATCCAAATGTGGATCTGTACTTTGACAAGATCGTGGTTGGGCTTTGCCGCAGCGTTTCTGAAGCGGCTTCCGGGAAGGCTAAGAACCGCGTTCTCAATGATGCTACTATCCTCGACACTCTCGGTCGCCTTTGCAACCTCCTGGTCCGATCCGTATCGATTCAAAAGCAGGAACAAGCCGCCGAGAATGTGTATAGTCTCTTTGCCTTGCCGGGCGATTTTTCGCCAGTGCCATTCTTCCATGGTGCGACCGCTGACCAAGAGCGCACAGCCATTGTGTCAACCTACCTGCTCGCTGGTCTTTCCAAGGACTGCGCGAACCGCATTCCCCATACTTGTCCTGATGTCTCTCGCTTGATTCAAGATTTAGTGATGCGCTCTGTCTCTGAGGATACAGAGCCGGCCACCCATCTCGCTTTCCTGCGCCAGCTGGCCCTACTTGTTAACAAGTTCCTTTCAAAGCAGGACTTGCACATTGCCGAAACGGCATTCGACGGTCTGGTCGCTGGAAAAGGGATCCTCAGCCCCAGCGCTATTCGAACCGTCTTCTGGCTCTCAAAAGCCTTGGTGCTTCGCCTCGCTCCAACAACGACTCATATTCTTACTTCCCTGCTGGGCTTGCTCTCCTCCCCAGACCAGCAAACCAGCGCCGCAACAGCCCGCGGTTTCTCCATTCTTCTCAGTGAAGATGATGTCCTCTCTGCGACGAACGGTGCCACAATTCGCTTGCTCTCCAAGCAGCGCGTCTTCACCACCGTCGTCCCGATGATTTCGTCTCGCATCCGCGAAGTCAACATCGCCGGCAACGCCGACGAGACCCAGACAAAACCAGACCACATCAAACCGGCCCATCTAACAGCCCTCGCCGGAATCCTCTCCACCATCAGCACGGCCCTGGTCATGCCCGAACTCCCAACCCTACTCCCCCTCCTCCTCCAATCCCTCGACCTTCAAACCCTCGACTCCGTCGCCGTACGCGCAGCAACACTCGACACCCTCGCCGTAATCATCCGCGACAACGGCGTAGCCGTGATCGACAAGTGCGGACACGTCCACAGCCTCGTCGAGAGACTTCTCAAAACCACGCAAGCCAAGACCAATTCGAGCGCAGTAAACACGCCTCGTCTTCGTGCTGACGCTCTCAAATGTCTTTACCTTCTCGCCACAAAGCAGACTTCCGCCGACGCAGGATCAAATGCACCCCCACCGCCGTCGATTTCCCCGCTTCTGCCTGAAAAGAACCAAGTTCTGCGTTCTCTCCGTGCAGTCTTGGATGACCCCAAGCGAGACGTGCGCAAGGCCGCTGTCGATGCTCGTGGGGCGTGGATTCGAGGCGTGGATGATGCGCCGGAGGAAGAGGACTGAGAGTGTTTATGGTTGTGGTTCTGTCGTACATAGCTTCTGATGCATTGCATTAACTTAGAATAGAAAATGCTTGAAATATTTCCGATACGCCATCGTCCCACGAAACGTTCAGACCACGCCTTCGCCAGTGAATAAACTCCCCCAAAAAACCAAGCCAAACTCCTAGACCCCAGGAACAGTTCATAAAGCATGTACAACATATCCCAGTCATCTCCGTCATATCGATTTCTTCCCCGGCACCGTACAATAGAACCCTATTGACGCGCCTCCAAGCGGATTCCCTGGCCAGCATTGTAGGCCCTCGCAGCAAGCCCGTGAATTAGTGATAGGCTTGCACTCGAAGCCTTCTGCAAAGAGAAAAAAACAAGAAATATTAGATATCTTCTTTCCCCCCAGCAAACTCTCACGCAGACGATAACATACCAGGAAGACAAGACCCATAGCTCCAAACCGCCGATAAGAGATCAATAGCTGCGGCATTCGCGAACGCGGCCAAGGCGACCAGGACGAGGAGAGTCGGTTTCATTATTGCGGTAGTAACAGCCTCGAGGAGTTTAAAAGTTCGACAGGAAGAACGGATGAATATCCCCTGAGAAAAGGGAGTCGAGTGACGATTGTGATTCTGGGGGTTTTCTTGGGCTTTATCTTGGCCGATCTGCCAATCCTAGCTATATCTACCGGCACGTGGGTCGGGGAGTCGGGACTGCCCTATCAACGGCGCAACCCTGGGAAAGCCGGAGACTATATACTTTTTTGGACCTGAATAGAACTCATAGGGAGCCTATGAGGTATTTATGCAAGGAGTTCCTCGCTTGGTTCACGTAGCTCTGTAGGGATACGGTAGAGTGGTTTCCCTTGCGGCCGCCCCACTGACCCTAGCGGTTGGGTCAAAGCTCGATCGGGTAAGCGCCATTTAAACTACCGAGTCGAAGGTCTGGAGGTTTCGTCATTGGGTGTAGAGTTAGAATGTATGCGTTGTGGGAATAGAAGACTTGGTATCGTGAATATAGGAGCTACTGGTTGTAATTACTTAAATGAAGATCACCTTAGAGCAACAGTCGGTGTGGATATCGACTGACGTATACGGCATACCTCGTATCACTTCCCATACCGGGGCCAAAGGAAGACCATTCAACAAGTTTACTAAACTGTTCTTTACGAAGCCGTGAGGTCCACTAATACAGATATGAGAGCTTTGTTTATTACTCTCCTTACATAGAGCGAGGAAGTTTTATTGCGCATCTCCCGGTGGTTTACAGTACAAACTACGGAGTGCATCAGTGAATGTCTACCCTTACTATTTTCGCCTCTATCAAGAATATCTACCTAGGATAACATAGTGTTCAATAAATACATGCAAGCTACCTAGAGTACTAGAGTACTCCAAGCAAATCCCCGAAAATAAAAAATACAGCGGGAGCAATAGAAACAAACAGACTCTACACGTCGAGGCACTGCCGTCGACCGTGCTTAGTGGTCTTCAGAATGGAAAAATACATGCAGTGGTCATCATCACATCAGGTCTAATGGGGGGTAACAAGGCGATGCTCTAGGAATTAAAGAATCAAGGCCGAATCTTGCGATGGGTATCTGCGCTCCCGGAACGCTATGCACCGTGAATGGGGGGAATATGAATAGAATGTGTGCAAGGAGTGGGTATGTGTTTGAGCATTGAGGAGGTGAGTATTGAGTGATCAGCGGAGATGGAGGATGAGCCTGGTGAAAGGGTTAGAAGGGGTTAAATAGTTCAATTGGAGGAAGACAGGTACCTTTGTTATTATTTGCCTTCTTTCTTTCCCTTCTTCTCCTTTCTGGCTTTCTCCATATCGTTGATCTGGATTGCCCATCTCATTTGTGCTTGGACCTCCTTGATGGCAGCGAGAGTATCTTCAATATTATCATTATTGGCGTGAGTGCGCTCGATCTCACCGCGTAGCTCTTGGTCCTTATATGTCTTGTAGTCGGCATGGCGAGCCAGGAGTTTCTCGTTCGTTTCCTTCAGGTTATCGATTTCACGGTTCTTTTGCTCGGCAATAACATCCAGTCGGTCGTGGGACACATGTTGAGTTCTGTGCGCCTCTGCCAAGATCTGCAGCTCGGTGTAGAGAGCCTTGAATCGTTTGCTAAGATCTGCTTTGTCGCGCTTGGTTGTGCTCGCCAATACCTCGTACTGTGCCTCGTGATATTTGGCGATTTCCTGCGTCTTGGCTTGTTCGCGGTTATTATTCTCACGCTCCTCTTGCATCGTCTGGTTGGTCTTGCTGGCATTGGCCTCGGCATCCTGTCGCTTGGCCCGCTCATTATTCAGCTCGATCCGTAGCTCTTCCACTTTCCTATCCTTGCGTGCGATGGAATTGAGGTTGGTTTCGTGGACTTGCTCCATATTCCGGAGTCGTTCGGTCATGTTCTGAACCTGGATCTTAAGCGTTTCGTTGGACCGTTGTGTTTCCTCCGCACGCGAGCGGTACAAGCTGCACTCTCGGGTAAGGCGCGCAATCTCCTCTTGAAGGTTATGAATCACCCGCCCGGACTTGCCAGTAGCAGCCGCGTGGCCGACGGCCGACCATTCCGTTGGAGCTTCGGTATTCGATTCGGGACTTGCGGGTGCGTTCAGGGGTTGGGAGGGAGAGCCGTGAGAATCTGTACGGTGCTGAATGAGTAAACGGGAATAAATGACAAACATAGGAGACCGACCTCTGAGGCCGTCGGCGGCCGTGGATCCGTCTTCAAAAAAGCCGTTGAATTGATGCATGTTCAATTGAGTGTCCACATGTGGGAGATTGACTTGCGGCGCATCTGCAGAAATCAGAGAAACTGAGTCAGTGATGCTATCGAGACGCGAGCGTGAGGTGAAGCGTCGCATGGCACGCCCCAGACTCGCCATGTTGACGGCCGGGGCTCGCTGTTTTCGGAAGTACAATTGCGATGGGCCGGGGTGAGAAGGAAGCGCAGGAAAAGGTAGGGCAACAATGGGAATGATCAGAGGGCGGCATACCACTATTAAATCGCAACTGGGCCAAATGGGTGGTTGCTGCTTTATTTCGACGCTTAATCATCGCCGAGGCTCACCTGAAGTCGCGATGAGTTCCGGGCTTCACGTGGCATGGGTAGTAAAACGCAAAAGAATAGGTAGCACAGAACGCATTAATAGACAGATCCAGATCAACCGGGTTGTAGGTCTTAGTTTGCGGCAAAGGTCATGTTAAAAGGAGGTTGATGTTGATGGAGCTTTGTCCCCCGGGATTCGCGGATCATCAACTTTCCGTCAGGGACGCCACTCCACTGGCACCGCTATTCCATACGTATAAAACCATAACATCATCGTCATCCTGGGAACAACATCTTTGAACTATGAAATAGTTTAATTACCTCCAACCTTTGAACGCCCGAACCAAAAGCCACCTATCAAGGATATCAAGGGGGTATTGGATATATATACATGAAGGTCCTGGTGATGATCTTAAAGAAACGAATGACTTGTTCATACATCCAACCAGTTTACTTTCATATTTACTGGACAAGGTAGATCAGCAGACCGAGAGCACCACTGATAAGCTCCATGGAGTACTTGAGTGAAGAAGCAGCATTCTGGACACCGGCGCTGGACTTGGCCTTCTTTCCCTTGGTCTCTTCGGTCATCAGGGGACCTTCGGCAGTGACGGTGCTGCTCATAACGGCGCTAGAGGCGGGGCTGCTGGAGGGGGTGCCAGAGGCAGAGGAGCTGATCAGGGGCTTGCTGCTGGTGCCACTGGTCTGAGGAGCCTCGGTGACAGTGCCCGTGCTGGTACCGGTGGAAGTAGCACCGGTGGAAGTGGTACCGCTGGCAGTGACATGGCTGGCAGTGGTCGTAGAAGTACCTGTGGTGGTGGCGGTAGTTCCAGTCTGCTTATCCGAGGCGTTGGGAACTTGGGGGCCGGCCTTGAGTAGGGCAGAATAGTTGCGTTGACCACCCTGGGTGATCTGGAAAGCGTAGTTCTCTCCCTCCTTGACGTTGTCACCGGGAGTCCAGGTGAAAGCGCCGTTCTTGGCCTGCGCAGTTATGACCTCGACATCGCTCAGGTCACCGGCGGATCCCTTACGGAGAGTCAGAGTAACGGGCTATTCGTGGTCAGCAGCTGCAGATGCATACGGTTGTGTCACTCGTCGTACCTGGTCAGGAACGGCACCGGCCCATGTCAGAGTAACGGGCTTGCCGGCCTGGACATCCTTGGGCCAACTGGTGAAGGCCAAAGGGTCGGCAGCGAGGCCCAGGGCAAAGACAGTAGCCGACATGGCGAGGACACTGTTGAAATGCATGGTTGCTAAAAAGAGCGAAATGAAGTAGAGTTGGGGTATTAAAGAAAGTAGAAGTATGAGTGCCGTGTATAGTTGTCGACGAGCAAGGTCCGATAGAATCAAAAGCCAGGATACCGGTGGCGTACGACGATTCTTATCTTCTTGCCAGAAGCGCTTTTGCGAGAAATTCGTGTGTGGGTATTCAATGTTGACAGCAACAGGGCATCTGAAGGGAATGCGACATTCCGGGGCCAGTTAAGCACCATCTTAGTGGCGTGGAGAGTATTTCCACACAATTGTTTGGGGAATGTCCTCAGTAAACAGTCGGAATTCTTTCCCACAATAGACCAATAATGAATAACCGTTTGGAGGTTGATGAGGCTGTGATGTGATGGAGGACCAGCCGACCATGTTTATGACAACACCGGCTGATGATTTCCATCTTAACAGCTTTCAAAACGTCAGGAAAGATTGCCAGTTGGCTGAATAGTTCTGACTCGTGCGCGGAAATGATAGTCGTAGAATGGCTTGATGGAACATGCCATCCCTTCCCGGGCTGTTTGGCCGAGAAACAAGATGTAGGACTGCACCGTGCCAATTCATTTCACCGACAAAGCATTTCTGCAGACATTTCTTGGGACAACCTTGGCCCTGGGGTTCCATACCAAGGGGTGGCCAGAGTCCTGACAGTGGTAATCGCTGCTGAGGTCGCACAGCTGGGTCGACGATATAATCCGCAAGGGCGCCGTTGACACCCACCCGCACTGTCCTCGGAAGCTGGAAAGGGGAATTCTTCTTGCCAAATGCGATAGAGTGTCTCAAATTTAAGAGCCTGGTCGCGTGACGCTGATCAAAGATCGACGAGTCTATTCCATACTCTGTTGATGCTGATTTCAAACTATGTCGTATCAACAATCAGCATTGGGCACCGAGCCATGATGATCGACGAGCTGGACAAAGCAGAAATCTACCTGCACGAGATGAAGTTGTTGCAAGCTGATCAGGAAGCTTGTTTGCAGAGTCCGTTCTCCTTCCTGTCATGGCAATATGAGAATCTGGCTAGCAGTTTCCTCAACCACACCTACGACTCGAATTCAGCTCGAGCTTCATGTTTCTAATTTACCAGACACACTCATTCTAGCACACCTGTTATTGCTAATGCCAAGACTCTCATTGAACTATACACTCACTACGGATCACATATTGTCAAAGCCAGGTATTTTCTTTATCCACAGCGATGTCCAGATTCCAACGAGAAACATCCGAGACACCAGAACCAGACACTGACCCAGGCTCTACCTCGTCTTCATCCTACGGACCATCCTCTGGGCCTACTGATTCACATGGCTCCTCACCCAGCTACACCAACTCATCATCAACGGTCCTGACCTCAACAGCCCTATCCCCACGCTCAACACGAGCCTATCTCTCCTCAAGCTCAGCCCGTCATCTGCGCTACTACAGCGCAACATCGCGTTCTTCGAACCCTCTTCTCAACCCAGAGGCAAACTGCGAGCTCTTAGCCTCGCGCTGCCGAGAATATCTCGAACACTGCCGCACCGCAGCCCTGGCCTCAATCACAGACTGCCACAACATGGTAACAACCCTGGAACTAAGCCGCATGACCGGCTCCCGCGTAGGATCCTCCATCTGGTTCTCCTTTTGGAACTCAATGTACACGTACGAAACACTTCAAGTGATTACAAGCTTCGTCAGACAAGCCCAACGCAGAATCGATACCCTTTTCCACAATACCGCAACGCGTCTCCACACGATGCTAAATTTAATTCGAGACTCCGTTCGCTTCGCAGCAACAGAGGCTCAAATCGTCTGGGAATTGGAAATCATCCAAGAACACGCGTTCTGGGAGCGCGAGCGCCGTCGTCGCAAAGCATCTCGCATCATGGAAAAGATGCGTGCCCAAATCCAGAATGCGACGTACCTGGTGATCGACGAAACCAAGCTGACGGATATGAAGCGTGGGATTTTCAGTCTGGATTTAGTCTGCGATTATTATCCGCATAGTCTGGCGGATGGACATACGGCTGTTGTTTTGCCGTTGGAGCAGCCTGAACCTAGGCCTTGGTTTCAGTTTGATCCGACGTTGGATCAACGCAGGGCGACTGTTTTTCTGCATAATGCGCAGCATTATCGCGTTGCGCCGGGGTTTCGGCCGGTTGGGAATTATCAACTCGACTTGACGAGGTTGGCTTAGGTGGCCGACGAGTGAAGTAGGGAGTTTCGTGGATAGATGGTTTGTTGACATGGGCTACTGACTTGTATTACGCTCGTTGTTCATTCTCTTGGGATCGGCGTTTATTTTGGTAGATACCTCTAGATAGTTTCTTTCTTTTCATGACTGGCATGTCACGGCAATAGAAATTTTGTACAGAACCTTCAAACGCCAATGTAGTTTACCTGATGGAGTATATGCAAAATTAAATTAGGAAAAGTCCCACAGCCCACGCATGAAGCTGCCCGGGCCAGAGTCCACACCACCGTCTTCCTCCAACATGCGGTCTGTGAAGATGCGCTTGGGAATCTGGTACTCCACAACAGGCGGCTTCCGGAGCGGCTTCTCGCCAGTGCCGAGCTCTCCCTGCAACATGCCCTGGTATGTGTGGTCCAGGAAATCCTCCAAGTTATACGCCTGCTTGGTGAACTGCTCCGAGATGATACGGGCAATAGCCGCGACGTTGGGGTGGTAGTGGGACTGCAGAGTCTCGATTTCCCACAAACTGCTCTCAATGGCGTTGGTGTGCAGGGGATCCAACTCGGTCATATCGAAGGGATCGTCCATTCCCCGAGCCTCGATATCGGCTGCTAGCTCCTTATCTCGGATCTCGCGGTGCATCATGAATGTGCAGGTGGGGTGGCTCTTGAACAGATTGTACATGAACGGAACGATGACCACGATAGCGGACGGAGGGGCATTTAGCGCCAGGCGGGAGAGGCGCTTGATGAAGCTGGCGACGAGAGAGGCGGGAAGATGGGTGGAGGAGAGGAAGGTGTTCAGCAGGCGGAAGAAGCGGGAGCGGTGCTTGGAGTGGAGGAGATCCGCGTCCAGGAGGGAGTAGAGTTTTGTGTAGAATTGTGGGTAGTCAAGGTTCTTGTGTTGGATGAGGTAGAAGAGACCGGACAGGGCGAGGAGGGAGGTTGCGCCGCCCACGTTGTACGAGTCCGTCAAGAAGTCCATCAGAAGCTCTGGCCGGCTGAACCACGGCTCGATTGTGTGCACCATGATGCGCAGGAGGGACTTTCGCTGCGCTTGCGAAAGGTTGTTCCGAAGAATGGCCAGCCATGCTTCCTGCGCTCGTTTCTTGTGGGCGTTCACAGACAGCATACGCTTGTTGGTGGTTGCGGGCTCCACGAAGAAGGTCTCAAATTCGTGGTCTTCGCTAGGAACGTCGTCGCAGGTCGAGAGCAGCGAGATAAGGGTCTCGAGGGTATCGGAGCTCCGACGAATGTCCGCGTACTCCCTTTTTGAGGTTAGCATCTTGTATATCATCCTCCCAACATTGGTACTTACGATGCTTGCACATAGAAGTGGTATCTAACGTCCTCGTACTCCTTGACGAACTTGGTGACAAATTCGGTCTGCAAATCTTGACCATCCTGGGCCTCAACGACAGCCTCGAAGATATCCTTGAACAGAGTAGCCCAAATATTGTGCTCCGCACCCGGGATGTGTGTAATGCGCTCTTTCACGAGGCGCATGGCGAGGGTCAGAGCAGTGACCTGAGAGGCTGTATCGGCTTCACGCATGATGGCCATCAAGGCACGCTGGTATTCCAAGGCCCGCTCCTTCAGCCATGCCACCACAATCTTCTCGTTTTCAGCCGCACGACTCGAATCGACAAAGTTGCCCGCGGCAATCAATCTGCTGAATACTCGGCATAGGGATACCGCCACAGCAAGCTCGGGCTTCTTGGCGGACTTGTCGACATTTAGCATCGAGATCAGGGTCGCAATATTGTTGTAGTATTTGCGCGATTCCGCAATTTGGTTCTCGAGCTTTTCAATAGTAGACAAGGTCTCGGCGAAACCGTCCTCTTCAGCGACCGCACGGCGCTTGGACGAAGGGGCACCATTCTTGGAGCTCTTGCGCTTCTTGGAGCTAGACAGCTCAATTGGCGCAGGCATTTTGGGCGCAAAAACAAAGTCGCTGGCGTGAACCCGGAACTTGTTACTTTTTTCTCGGCTGCGATTTTTCGAAGTTCGGACCCGGGTTTTTCCGCCGGAGTGCGCTAGTACATAACGGGCTAGTGTTTGCAAGCCCGTCCTAGCCGTCCCGACTTCAAGTCTCCTCTTCGGTTCACCCTCACATATTCAAGACATCTCTCATCTCCAACAATGGCTTCGCGTCTCGCTAAGAGTGCCGTTGGTATGCTGCACCCGACCTCGACAATCCGAATCGCTCCATTCCAGTTGCTGACTCTGCCCCTTAGGCGCCGCCCGGCTGCGGCCGACCATCGCTGCCCGCGTCCCTGCCGTCTCTGTCCTGACCTCGACCCGTGCGGCCTCCAACGTCCCCGCCGAGGCCCCCGAGAAGAAGGCTCAGTCCATCCTGAACGCCATTCCCGGTAACTCGCTGGTGTCCAAGACCGCCACCCTGTCCGCCGCCGCCGGTCTGTCCATCGCCGCTATCAGCAACGAGCTCTACGTGATGAACGAGGAGACCGTCGCCGCCTTCTGTCTGCTCTCCGTCTTCACCGCCGTTGCCAAGTACGGTGGCCCTGCTTACCGCGAGTGGGCTGAGGGTCAGGTCCAGAAGCACAAGGACATCCTGAACGCTGCCCGTGCCGACCACACCAACGCTGTCCAGCAGCGCATTGACAACGTCACCCAGATGTCCGGTGTTGTCGAGGTTACCAAGCAGCTGTTCGCTGTTTCCAAGGTAGGATCATCTTCATTCGGATCTTAGTTCCGGGAATCTCGTGGCCTGACTTTGTTTCTGCAGGAAACCGCCCAGCTGGAGTCTCAGGCCTACGAGCTCGAGCAGCGCACTGCCCTGGCCCACGAGGCCAAGCAGGTTCTCGACTCCTGGGTTCGCTACGAGGCTCAGGTTAAGCAGCGCCAGCAGCGCGAGCTTGCCGAGTCCATCATTGGCAAGATCCAGAAGGAGCTTGAGAACCCCAAGGTTCTGCAGCAGATCCTCCAGCAGAGCGTTGCCGACGTTGAGCGTGAGTTTCCATCTCTTCTTATAGCTTGATGACTTAGTACTAATCGTCAACAGGCATCATGACCGCTAAGGCTCAGTAAATGGACACCGGTAGCTCCGTCGGCTGTTGCCATTGTGTACAAAACTATAGGGGCTAGTTGCATCTGCTGAGTTAGAATTGCAATACCATTTTGATTACAACTATATACCGGAGGCTTGGGCTCGAAGCGAGTTCCTTCACTTGTACCAGGGTGATGCGCTCGAGCTCCGTTGATCCCTGTGTAGTGGAGACGGGCAAGGTCCTAGATTGCTGGACATGCTGGAAATGGAAGAGCGGGATACTATAATATCGTCTCTGCCACTCTTCCGTAGGTGCCTATCATGCAAGCTATCTCCCCGGGGATATGCCTAGATAAGTAGGCGTAGATCATTTTTGAAGCCCTGCAATGTGTGGTGAAGCCTAATGTGGCCACGCTAAGGACGCAGGGACCGATGCAGAGAGCCACATGTGGGACGTGCAATCTTATCTATAGAGCCACCACGAGTATACAGTCGTCATTAGTTCTGTATTCTACCTGTAACGTACCAATCTACCCAAGGCAACTGTTTCCATGAGCAATCTAAGCGCCTTCATTTAGCGTAGCCGCCTGGCCCTTGGCAAGAATCGGGGCGTCTCACCTGCGGCACACAGCCCCCGCTGCAACGTTTCCATTCTTGACTCTCATAATTTATTCTGACATTTCTTTCCTTCATCTTAAAACTGCATTGCATCCAGCGCTCTAGTCCTCTTCCGTCCGAGCCCAATCCCTCATCTGCACGCCTCCGCATCGCATCGCTGCAGATTATCGCGTCCCTGCATATCACGTCGCATCGCATATCAACAATCTGACAGTGCAAGATGCCATCTCTACTAAACATCCTCCACAAACGCGATGAGCTGAGCACAGAGAAACCTTCCCAAGACGTGCATCAATCAATCCCAAACTCCCCGCCAACACCCGAAATAACCTTCGTGCGCTCCGACACATTCGGCGAAGAAGTCATAACACCACCAACCCATCACTCGGAATTCCAACCAACCTCCCCAATCTCCCCAGACCAAAGCCGATCAACCTTCTCAACCCCGCGCCGCAGCTTCTCATTCCTCCACCGTTCCCCCCGCTCCGGCTCTCTCTCCAGCCCGTCTCCGCCCCGCACCCGCGAGCGCCGCCTCTCGAACCTCCTGCATCTGGATGGCCGGCGCAGTCGGAGTGACTGGCGGAACTCGTCTGCGAATATTCCCGCAGACCTGCCGCAGATAATAGACGAGCAGGGTGATAAGGATGAGCGAGAGGAGCAATGGGAGAGGAGGGCTACGGTGCTTGTTCAGCAGAATCCGCAGTTTGGGCCATTGTCGCCGAGGGGGTCGGAGTGGGATTTGGTGAGAGAGAAGGGGAGGTCGAGGAGTCCTAGTAGGGGCGATGTTGTGGGTTCGCAGGTTGATGTAAGTCTTGCCTGGGTTTATATCTCTATGGGTGAGTTGCTGATTGCTTGTAGACCAATATCCAAGAGGCGATTCGGTTGCATGAGTCCGGAGGTAAGTTGGGAGTATTCACAAATTTGATATGCGCCGGTACTGATTATAGTCTAGATTTGGAACGATCGACGCAGATGTTTGGCCAGCTGGCTGATCCCAATGGCGCAAATAATCCTCTAAGCCAGGTTTTGTACGGACTGGCCCTTCGGTATGACCATCGTCTCGCATGTGCTTGCCTAATATACTAATCAGAAACAGACATGGATGGGGCTGCGCCAAAGACGAAACACAAGCCGTGTCCTATCTATCAGCTGCAGCATCAAATTCAGCCGCTGTTGAATCCGAGGCACTACGCGCAGGCATGAAGAAAGGCGGTCTTGCCAAAGGCGAACTAGTTCTCGCGATTTTTGAGCTCGCGAATTGTTTCCGCAATGGCTGGGGAGTGACCAAAGACCCCTTCGCGGCTCGGCAGTATTATGAGACGGCAGCCAACCTGGGTGATACGGATGCTATGGACCAGGTCGCTTGGTGCTATGTCGAGGGCTTTGGCGGGAAGAAGGATAAGGTATGGAGAGACTGTTCGAGATTGTTGAGACACCGCTGATCCATGAGTCACAGTTCAAGGCAGCCAAATATCTTAGACTTGCCGAGGAGGCTGGAGGTCCGACTGTTGGGAATTCATGGTATGTTTTGTCTCGTGGTTCTTTCATATGATGAGATGGTAGTTGGCTAACGAGGTTGATAGGATCTGGAAGGAAAAGTATAACCCGAAATAAGGGACTGTTTATGTTTGCATATCTAAAGCCATTTGACGTTGCATTTTCGAGCCAGCTGTTTTCCTACGGGCGGTTCTAGAGTGATGATGCTTGATGTGTCCATATTGCATGATATTTTTGTACAAATGTCGCTGCGTTCAAGGCAGCAAATGACTTAATTTTAATGATTTCACCCATAATATCCTCTTGATTCTAGAATCTAGGATAATTTTGGTCTTTTGTCATATTCACACCCGTGGGGTGAAGACTGCACAGAATATTTCAAGTCAAAGACATCGAACCAAGCCAATTTACCAAGTCATTCGCACATGCAACCTGGGCAGATGAAATTCACGATGATGAGCAAAAGCAGGTTTATAATGCTTTTTGAAGTAAACCAGCATGAGAGAAGAAGAGCGGTCGATAATTCATAAGACTGAAGCCCGAAGTATCACCGATGTGCACCAGATATTCCGGATCGGGCAAGTCCGCACACCAGACAAAGTCTGGTTCGCTCGCCCTGCATTCCAAAGACAGTAAGCAGTACGCACTGATGAAACTCACATGTGAAGATCCCTCGCGATCGCTTAAATCCCCCATGACATCCCCCAGAACCTTAATCAGAGGCAGAAACTGTTGGGACGCGCTAGGGACGTTCCCCGCATGTCCGGCGCACTCTGGTGTTCTTCATGTGAAATTCGAACTACCCGTACCCATTGGCTACTACGAGTTATGAATGATGGAAAGCTGGTTGGTTTGGGATGAATAAATATGAAATTGAATACATCATTGTCACATCTGGACACATGTGAGCCCCGATCGTAGTCCTTATATAAATCTCATCGGACTTTTGCGACGAAGAGAAATCAGTTCTGAGCTACTTTGAAGCACGAGCAATTCAATATGGCTACTGGAAAAGACAGTCTACTTCTTTTGATCCCTTCCACGGTGATCGAGACTCTCCTGGTAATCGCCTCCCACCTGAGCTCGGAGCGACCGGTGACTATATTCCTCTATGCATTCTCCATCAACTTCGTTATACTGGCAATATGGAACGTCTTCATATATCCATTCTTTGTCAACCCACTGCGGCACCTACCAACTGTCCATGTACGTACCCCTTGCCATAACAGAAATCCCTACTAATATATCCCAGGGACACCTTATCGGAGCCAAAGTCTTCATGCGCCATCCGCGAGGCCAAATAACCGTAGACTGGCTCCGCTCAATTCCAAACGATGGTCTTATTCACTTCCGCGAAGCTCTGAACTTCAGCTTCCTGATTGCAACCAACCATCGAGCGTTAATGGATGTCCTGAACACGAACAGCTACGATTTCGTTAAACCGCCTGGTGCACGCGCATTCCTGGCCCGTGGCCTTGGATACGGGCTTATTCTTTCCGAGGGTGATGCACACCGCGCTCAGCGCAAGGCTGTTACGCCTGCATTTACTATGAGGAATATTCGCGCCATGTATCCGCTCATGTGGACCAAGACGCAGCTTTTCCTGAAGCAGTTGGAGAAGGAGATTAGGCTTCATCCGGAGCCGGGTACGCCTTCTGGTGGGCCGGTGGGGTGCCTTGAGATTTCGGGTTGGGCTAAGTAGGTATTCTTCACCGTGATAACTGGAACAGAGAGCTAATGGATGTAGCCGATTGACACTTGATATCATCGGTCCTGCGGCTATAGGTCGTGACTTCCAGTCTCTTGAGAACGAGAATGATCCCGTTTCGCAGAATTATACAGCGATCCTCAAGCCTTCGGTTGAATTGCTTGTTCTTTTTGGTGCTTCGCTGCTGTTTCCTCAGTGGATAGTGAGAAACATCCCCTGCAAGGCGAATTTCACTCTCCCGCGGAAAGTGAACTATTTGCGACGGGTGTTTCATGAAATCCTTGTGGAAAAGCGAGAACTGCTTGCACGCGAGAAGAGCGATCAGGAGCCTGCCGAAGGTGACATTCTAGGAACGATGATGCGAGGCGGGGAGTTCAGTGATAGTGAGCTCGTCGATCAGATGCTTACGATCCTTGCTGCTGGTGTAAGTCTTCGTACTCTCTCTCCGAAAATACAAAACTAACAGCGTCTAGCACGAAACAACAGCCGGCGCCCTGACCTGGTGTTGCTACCATCTCAGCAAAGAACCACACATCCAGGAAAAGCTCCGCGAGGAAATCCGCGCCACAATCCCCTCTGCCGACGCCCCCGTCACCTGGCAAGACCTGGAGGGAATGCCCTATCTAAACGGCGTAATCCAAGAAGTCCTCCGCCTCTACCCAACGGTTCCCATGTCGGGCCGCGAAGCCATCCGCGACACAACCGTCGCCGGCAAAAAGGTCCCCAAAGGCACGACCATCGTACTATGCCCGCAATCGGTCAATCGCAGCTATGAGTTCTGGGGTGAGACGGCAGATGACTTCCTGCCTGAGCGATGGATTGATACGGATAAAGAGGGCAAACAGGTGCCGAATAAACATGGCGGTGCGTCTACGAATTTCGCACAAATTACGTTCCTTCACGGGCCGAGGGCTTGTATTGGAAAGGACTTTGCGAAAGCGGAATTTAGGTGTGCGGTTGCGGGGCTTTTTGGACAGTTTCACCTTGAGTTGGAGGATCCGACGCAGAAGATAACTTTCGGAGGCACTTTGACCACTCAGCCTATTGAGGGGATGCATTTGAAGTTGACTAAATTGGAGGATTGGGTGGCGTAGATGGCCATTAGTGGTGGTGGTGGTTTGGCTTTTTTGCGATTTTTCAGTTGACCTATACATCGTCTCAGCAATAATGATCCCACTTTCATATGAATGTTACAGAATGCAACGCAAGTTTCAAAGTTAATGGAGCCTCTCCCCGCATAATGTCGATCCCTTCCCCGCGGTCGTGTTCGGTCAAGGGGCCCCGACCCCAAATTTCAGCGGCCCCAATCCCAAATTACAGAGGATCGACCGGCAATCGCCGAGGCTGGAATCGACCCGTGAAAACGGTCGTGAGGGGCGCGCCTCGGTAGCCCCTAGATGCTGCCCCGGTTCCATGTATTCATGTGTTCAAGCTCTCATTGAAAAAGATAAATCGCATCGTTGGACTTGACTTGACCCAATTTCATTTCACTCCTTAAACTGAACTCTCTACTCACCACCATGACTGTCACACCGGACCCGACGGGCTATGTCGGCAACCTCACGCCTACCCAAGAGGCCAAATTGCGAGACCTTTGGGTGCTTCTGTTCACCTCTGCGGCCTCTGTTCTCTCGGCCGTGTACGAAGTCGACCTGCCAGAGGGCCCGCCGAACAAACTCTTCGAAGTCCTAGACAGAGTCCATGAACCGACAGTCGGAGCCATTGTCGCCGCACTGAAAGGCGAAACCGACCCCGAATTCCAAGATGCTCTCGAGACGAATGGAGAAGCTCCCGTGACTAATGGAGGAAACAAAGAGCAAAAGTCACTCGATAAGATGGACTCGCTCATTAACAAGGACGCGGAGAACAACATCAAGGCCGAGATGGCAACGCGAAAGGTCTCACCGGAGCACTTCAATGCTGTGTTTGCATCACTCCGGAAAATGGGTGTCCAAGACTCAGAGATCAAATCCATGGAAAAAGTCCTTTCGCAGATGACACCTGAGGAAATGTGCTTTTCCATCGTGAAAATGATCAAGCAGGAGCATCCGGACAGTCTCCTGCTGCGCTTCCTGCGGGCCAGGAAGTGGGACGTTGGAAAGGGGTTCGCGATGATGATGTCTAACATCTTGTGGAGAAAGGAAGCTCATGTTGACGATGATATCCTGCCCAAGGGTGAATTATATGCCCTCGAGCAATCTCGAGACGAGAAGCTCTCTGCCAAAGAACAGAAAGAGGGAAAAGATTTCATTGCGCAGTTGAAGATGGGGAAGAGTTTCCTGCATGGGTTTGATAAACAGGGTCGGCCGGTTAACTATGTGCGAGTGAAGATTCATAAGCCTGGCGCCCAGAGTGAGGAGACGCTGGAGCGGTATATCGTTAATGTTATTGAGGCAACGAGGCTTATCGTTGTTCCACCTGTCGAGACGGGGGTATGTTCATGTTCGTTCTGATGGGAATGAGGACCGAGCTGACAGTTTGCAGACTATCGTTTTCGATATGACTGGGTTCTCCTTATCCAACATGGTACTTTTTGATTCTACCCTCATTATGAGTGCTCACGCTAACTTTCACAGGAATATCAACCAGTCAAATTCATCATCAAGTGCTTCGAAGCAAACTACCCCGAATCACTCGGCCAATTACTGATTCACAACGCACCCTGGGTCTTCTCCGGTATGTCCCACCTTTTATAATCAGCTTTCGCAGCAACTCACTCACAAAACCCAGGGATCTGGAGACTAATCCACGGCTGGATGGACCCCGTCGTAGCCTCCAAAGTCCACTTCACCCGCTCGGTGTCAGACCTAGACAAGTACATCTCCCGCGATCAGATCCCCCAGGAACTTGCCGGCGACGAAGACTGGACTTACAAGTACATCGAGCCCGTGGCCGACGAGAACGCCGCCATGAAAGATACCGCCACTCGTGATTCCCTCATGTACGAGCGTATGATGATTGGGTTGCGGATGCTTGCTGCTACGGCTGCTTGGGTTTCGGCGACTACGTTTGCCGAGGGAAAGGAGGATAAAGCGAAGGTTGAGGAGCTGCAGAAGAGGCGGACCGCTGTTGTTGAGGAGTTCAAGACCAATTACTGGAAGTTGGACCCTTATATTCGGGCGAGATCGATGATTGATCGTGAGGGAGTCCTGAAGGCGAACGGGGAGGTTATGACGGGGCAGAATGGGAGCGCCAAGTGAGGATAGAGGGACATGGGTTATATAGCTGTCTATATTGGAATTTATACTGGTGTTCTACTTGATGAATATTATATCTATGCATTGGCCAACTGCGCTGTTCCCAGGAGTTTTTCTTTATACCTTCTCGGCGTGCTCAACTCCGACTCGCTTCTCCCGACGCTCCATATTCACTGAAACAGCGTCAGTGACACGTGCCAGCTCCCCATCAAAGATAACAGCCATCTCCTCAAGCGAGTAGCCATGCGTCTCGGGATAATAATAGTAGACAGTAACCAAGACAACCAACAAAACAACTAGAAAGACAAAATAATACTTCCATGAAATAGCCTCGAAAGCAATGGGGTTAATAAACTGGTTAAAAAGCAGTGCCCCGTAATTTGCCATCTGCGAGATGGCCACTCCTTTGGCACGCAGAGAGAATGTCCAGATCTCGGCTGGGTAAGCCAGTATTAGCGGGGTGAAAGCGATGTCATACCCGGCGTAGTATATGAATAGGAATGGGATGACTGCGGTTCCAACAGCTGCTGTGCCTGTTGTGTTGAAGCTGCCGGATAATGCGGTGATCATGATGTAGCTGATTAGCATGATGATCGTAGATGCTAGGAAGAGAGCGCGCCGGCCGGCTCGATCTACGAGACATGCGCCGACTACGCTCATTATTAGGTTCCAGAGTTGAAGGAAGCCGTTGATTAGTGTTTGTTCTGTGACGGAGGTGATGCCGATTGTGTCCAGGATCATCGTGAGATAATAAGAGACAACGCCACTGCAGATAGTTGTCAGTCAACTTTCTCTCTGTTGGAATCCCCAATCGAAACCCACCCGCCATTCCATTGGGCAAAAAATCCCAGCGACACACTCAAAAAGAGTCGGTACCGGTTACCCGGTGTCTTCACACAATCAACCCAGCGAGACTCTGCATTTGCACTCTGCTCAAGCATGATCGACTGCGTAATCTCGTCCATCTCGAAGGCAACGAGCTCGGATCCCTCATCTCCACCGGCATGAAACCGAACCAAGATATCTCTGGCCTCCTTCACCCGCTTCTGCCGAGTTAACCAACGCGGAGACTCAGGAATAAGCAACGTCCCTGGCAGTGCAACCAACGGCAAAGCAATCTGCATCAGCGAAGGAATCCGCCAAGCCCAATCACTAGCGAGATTCCTTGTTCCAAACGCAACCCAAGCCGATAACAGGGACCCAACGTAATACTGGCACATATAAATGGCCGTAACAAGAGACCGATGCGACGGATACGCAATCTCAGTCACCAGGATAACAGCAGCCTGGAACCAAGCACCCGCAATACCGACGAACATGCGCGACGCGACGAACATGTTTGCATTCGGGGCCCCGACTTGCAGGCCGACGCCCAGAGCGAGCCAAATATAACCTATGAGTACTGTTCGCTTGCGCCCGAGACGATTGGCGGACCATGCGCCTACGGGCTGGAAGAGCATGCTGCCGAGAGATTGAAGGGCGTTGATGAAGCCGAGCCAGGCGCCTGTTGGCCGGTGCATGAATAGTTGCCATTGGTCTAGGGACTGGAGTCCGTTCATGAGAGAGATGTCGTAGCCGACTGTGCTGGAGAAGAGAACAAGGCAGGCGATGTAGCCGTTCAGGGTTAATAGGTGAGGTGTTTTCCACCATGGTTTTGGGTTTACGGGGAGGACCTGCGGCAATTCAGTCGATTGAATGATATTGAGTGGATGGAATGTACAGATTAACATACCGATGCAAGTCCTGTCGAGAGAACCGGGTCAGAACCCTTCCCCGTCATCGTGAGGGTGATCTGGATCGGGATGGAAAAGCCGGCTTGGATAGAACATGGGGACTAGCTTAGGTCTTTATATGGACCGCATCGTGGGCTATCGTTTCTTGATCGCCATGGCGTTGGCAACCCGGCAATTGCGCTATCCGAGTGCCCTGGTGCGTGAGGCTAATTGACAAGGAAAGTGCCGAGATTTCAGAGCCGAGACTCCGAACTAATCCATACCGGCCTTCGGTGTGGAGAGGACGCGGGGAAATGATTGTGGGGATGGGGTTTTGGCCCAATGCCGTTTCAGGGACGAGATTCTAATGGGTCCATCTCGATAGTCGGCCCGCCTTGCCGCTAGGATCGAGGCTCGTCTTGGAGATTGGAACTATAGTTGTCGAGTATGGTTCGATGATGATGCACTGCGTGATTTGGATGCCCGAGGAAAATAAGGATGTGGTGGCCTGAAAAGAAGAGGAATGAGAATTTTCTATTGGCAGATGAGGCCACCACACTGTATCATTCCTTCTGGACCACATTAATTGCACCAGGAGATAACATTATACAATTTCCCATATTATGCACCACAAAATATCCTTTTTATGTACCATAAGTCCTAAGCATACCGCTGGGCCAAATAGCCTATCACAATCGAATCCAAAGCCAGTCTATCAATATCAAAGGTATCGGGTATCAAGCATCATATCAAAATAGGACAGCGACACAGATATCGCCACACATCTATCGTACACTCTCTTCCCCATTTTGGTTCGGGACTTACGCCCACTTCCCGAGCAGGGCCATAATGCCCGTCCCGAGCAACAGCGAAACCACCATGAAAGTCAACCTCTTATCATCCCTCGTGCGATGAGGATCAAACAAGAAATCCCTAGCCAGCAGCTCCACAAGACCCGTATAAATCAAAATTCCCGCAGAGATCGAATCCAGCACTCCCGAAACAACATTCGCCGTAAACGAGGCCGGGTTGTACGTCGTGCGCACACCAAGTCCGATCGCAATAGCGATGGGCGTCGTCAGACCGTACGCCGAACAAAGGAACCAGGGCAACCAGCTCCCCTTCTTGAAAGGGATGGAACTCATTCGCGCGCCGATACCGAGTCCTTCGAAAGATTGGTGGAACACGAGGACTGGGTAGAGCGTTGCGAACTCTTCGCCTGCGACGCCGAGGTTCAGGCCGATGATCACGGAGTGGAAGATGACGCCGAATTCGAGGATCAGGAAGGCTGCTATTTGTTGTCTGAAGCTGCGCTCGATCATCAGATCATCCGATGTCTGGCTCTGGCTCTCAATGTCTTTCGCCTGCTTATTCGTAGAATGGTGCGTGTGGCTCGATTGTGCAGAGTTGAGGCGCTGCACCTCGACACCGGAGGCCATTATCGCTTCTGGATCATCGCGGCAAATGCCGTACTTTTTTTCCACATATCGCTCGGCGCCGAAGTCCATTAGGAAGATGATCATGAGTGAGGTGAGCACGATGGCTGGGCACCAGGAGTAATCGGCCCAATGTCCGGTTCGGCCAACGCAGGAGTCGCCGCCGATCTCGCTGTAGGCAGGGTCAAGGAGGTGGATGAAGGCTGTGGCGATGATGACGCCCGCGCCGAAGTATTTCGCGAAGAGGTAGACATAGAGTGGGATACGGACGTGTGGTGCCCGCTTGGCGATCACTGGGAAGAAGGTTGCAATCGATGAGACGATCCCGATGACGAAGATGGCGGAGATTCGGGCGCCTAGTTGGCCATTGTAGTCGTTGCCATCGCTGTCCAGGTAGCAGACTACCTGCGCTGGGTCGGCGGTTGTTAGGTCGACGTTGTGTGGATCGAAAGTCATTTTGATATATGGACGTCGGTCCTAATCAGGCGACCTGGAAAGTGGGGATTATCCCGTTATTAAAGGGAAAAGAAGATGGATACAATGAACATAGGTAGGATCGGCTGTTCATTTATATCGCGAAAACGCTAGATCGCGCGTTCGGCGCCACTGCCGGTTGAGGACCTTGTGAGATGGTGGCCTTGGTTAAATGATTCTTGGCTCCCCAATGTGATGGCGCCGTCTCACTAGGGCCGGCATATTGTCTTTTTGGGTTGAATCGAATTATTCATCATAGTACAAGTCTCGTAACAGAATCCCAAGGTCCTTGCTGTTCGACCCGTTGTATGACTTGGTAGTTCTGGCCGGTGGTAGCCCTACTGGTACTGTATAACATGCTCCGGACGGGAGTATCTGCACCCGGCCGACGTAACGTGTCTTGAAATCTTGGTCAGTGCTTGGTCTGGTCCAAGCTTCTACTGGGGCTTTCACAGTGGATCGCATTTTGCGTGGGATGATTGGGTGCGCTCATCGAGATGGCAACCACCAGGGTCCTTCAGCTAAAACTTACACGTGGATGGAACCATGCCACCCACGTAATTCCCAGATGCAGATATTACTAAGAGTAGAGGGTGATAAGAGGAGCCAAGAGAATGTGGAATTTGCTCACTAGAAATATGGAGATGTCATTATGATCTGTGGAGACCAAGATACTCCGGTGGTATTAGGTCGGCTCGGTGTGAGCCCGAAAGAATGGAGAAAAAGGCGGACGGCACAAACCGCGCCAATCCAATGAGTAGAAAATCAATCGTAATGGATTATAATCATATCGCGTTGCCCACGGGGCCAGGTCGTAACTTCATCACGGCGTCGCCGCCAACTCAAAGGGTTTAGAACGTGTTCACAAAGTAAAACGAGACCACTTTGGGGGCCAGGATCATGGCGACCCTCCAAAGTAGCTCGAAAGAAAACAAAACCGAGCAAAATCCAGCCCGAAAAAAAAGCAAACGCTAAAGGTCACAAGTCAGAACTGTCACAGTCGAAGTGGATCTTCATGTCTCGTATCGCATGTCCCAGCAAAGCTCCCACGTCTGTACATATCATGTCTCTCATGTCCGTGTGTCATGCCCAGTGCCCCGTATCCTGATATCCCCATTTCCGTATGATATGGTTAACAAGCCCCCCTCCCACGCTAATGATAAAAACACGCTGCAAAAGACGTCGCTAAAAACCAATGAAACGCTAAACACAAAGTGTTGAACAAATCAAAACAATACATGAAGGAAATGCGTGGTCTAGAGGCACGCTTTGGAGCCATCGCTGGCTCTGTTTTTGGTAATTTTGAGGGCTAGAATCCCGCGCAAAAAAAAAAAAAAAAAAGGTAGAAGACCAGAGATTCTTAAGATCTGTCGCAAGTTCTTCAAGGGGTCGTTCAGGTTGTCTGGAAGCCGACCATCTCTTCCTTCACTGGGTTGACGCCGTATTCCTGGACCATGCGCTGGAAATCGCGGATCACCTTCTGTGGAACATGGTCCCACATCAGTGAGCGAGAGTAGACGCCTGAAGTCGAGGCTTCGTGCATGCGGTGCTGCGCTGCATTATGGTTGCGCATGGCTGCCAGTGCCTGTTGCAGGTTGGAGGGCTGCTGGGGCTTGAACCCAGCGTCGTCGTCCTCGAAGGTGGTGAGGGAGTTGTACTGTTCAGCATTAAGGGCAAACACCTGAGCACGCTCTTGTTCTTCGGTCGGCATGATTAGTGTATCGTGCAACTCATCCAGGGTGGAGGACCCGGTTGGCGCAGGACCCATATGACCCATCTCCATGGACATGGTGGTTGGGTCTGGTCCGGCGGCAGACGCCGATAATGCGTGGGCCACCGGGTTGGCGAGCTCCGGTGGAGACGAGGCTAGCACTGCCTTCAAGACATTGGCAGACTCAGCGCGGTACTCTTCCGACATTTGGGGAAGGGAACGGCCACCAGGCAGCGAACTGTTGTTGGATGCGATGAAAGCACCAAAGAGAAGGCACATGTAGAAAGCATTCCAGCTGAACGGATGCTTTTCCGGTCCCCGCTCGTTGGAGAGAGACTGCGACGGATGTGGAACAGGGGCTGACTCTGGCATCGAGAGCCCGTTGGCCATGGTGAAATCCTCCCACGGATGGCCTTCCATGCTGAGATTCTCGAAGCCGGCAAACTCGCCTGCGTGGCTATCAGCCAACGCAGGCTTGACGCCTCGCTCGAGTTTCTCGACAGTCTCCATCAGGATATTGTTTTTCTTGCGCAGCTCGGCTGTCTCCAAGGTGTGTACACGGATCATCTCGTCCTTTTCCATGTGGAGACCCTCGATGTACTGGGTGATCTGTCCCTGCTGGGCCATCCACTCACCCTTCTCGCGCATCAAGTCTGCCTCTCTCTTCTGCAGAGACTGCACCATATCCTCCAACTGGCTGATCGTATGAGTGAAATGCTTCTTCTCTTCTTCGAGCTTTTCGGTGTGAAGCTTCTTCCGTTGACGGGAATCCAACCTACGATGAACCGGTTAGCCGAAACAAATAACTCATCACAGGATATCAAACTCACGCCGCCTGTCGGTTGCGCAACAGTCGCTTCTGCTGCTTGAGCTCTTTGATCTCCTCATCATTACTCGACTGGCTGATCAAATGATCGATATTACTCAAAGTCCGCTCCGCCGGGATCTCGAAGCGGGCGTTCTTCTTCCGAATGCCATCCCGTCTCAGCGTCAACGGTGAGCCGTTCCGATAAGGCGCAGCCTTCGACTGGGTGGCCGCATCTGTCAGATCCATCGGCGCCGGCATCCAACCTTGACTCGACTGCGGGGACATGGCGACCCCGCCAGACGGGAACCCCATTCCGTTGCGATACGACACCGCACCCATGGGCATCGAACCAACAGGACCTACCGCACCACCCGAATAGGGCGCCGCAGAGGACGTCTCGGCATCGGGCGGATAATGTTCATAAACGGTAGGTGTACATGAACCGGACGCGGTGCGCGATCCAGACCAGGGTTGTTGTGAATAGGACTGCGGGCCATCGACGGGCATGAAATGGGCGCCCGATGAGTCCAGAAGGGAATGATCGAGATGAGAGTGCGGCCTCGACTGGTCGGAACTCGCGTGGGAATAGTTGGACCAGACGGAATTCCGATGTGAGAAGGCGTCTTGGGCGTCGTAGGATGAGCGGCGGGGATCGGAGAGCCCAGGGGAGGTCGGGTCGAGGATCTTGTCGTCCAGCACGCTCATCTCGTCCTCTTCAGGTACGTTTAGTGCTGATGGGGATTGTTGGTAGAAGTCGAACTGGGCATATCTTGCCATCGCGAGAGCGAAGTGGCGGTGTGTGGGTAGGAAGAGAAGGTGGGGCGGGGGGGGGGAGGCCTTGATAGTGAATAATAAAAACACAAGATGGAAATGAAGATGAAGAATGAAGATAAAGTGATGATAGAAATGAAGATAGATGAGATCAAGATCGGAAGACCGAGAGGGGAAACGGCAAGGCTATGTAGGCGCATGCTCGTGCACTCCACACAGTACATCGGCACGAGATACAGAGTCCAGGGCCATACTGAGTACCGTATACAGGTACCCACAGGTACAGTGCCTGTACATCGACCATATGTACCTACGGCGGTCTGCGCGGGAAACCGGTGGCTCCCCGCAGTCTCAGCGTGTTCCCACCATTGGCTGCTCCGTTCTCCTTGGGCACGCTTGCATCTGATCACTTCCTCCCTCCCTTTTTTCCTGACTCGTACCTTTGCTCTCAGCCCGATCTTCTTCCTAACCGCCTGGTGTCGAGGATGGTATTGCACGTATACCGGGAACTGCCAATATCCCACTCCCATCCCACTTGAGGGGGGCTTATCGATAATGATAATCGATAGGCTATCGCTGCTCGGTTGAAACTCCTCCCCGGTCTGGTCTGTGCTGCTGCGACGCCTTGTCCTCCAATCGTCCCCGACCCGGCGTGACGACCCGTTTGGGTTTGAACGTGGTACTACTACCGGAGTGACTCGAGATTCTCAGATTCTGGAACGGGTGCGGCCCGCGGGTGACCCACTCGCTCTTCCACGGATCCCAAGTTCCCAAGTCCAAGTCCCCCGAGTTCCCAAGGACGATGCACGGCCCTGCACTGATCACTCGTCCCTCCGGATGACGCCCGTCAGCTCTTGTCACCAATCCGCTCTCCGGATTTCCCTGGTGACAGTTTCATTTGCAAACTTTGGGATAATTTGCTCAGGTCGACTGCGGGGGCTCGATGATGACATCCTCTTGTCTTCTTGGTATACCCTTACGAGTGCCATAATACAGTAGACTCACCGAGTACAGTACTGGAAAACTCGTCAGTGGTATTATCGGGTCTATGACCCAACTAGTGTGTTTCTGTCATCCTTCCGATCTACGACCCATCGCCCTTACCGCTCCTCACGGAATCAACGATGCCTGTTCCTGTCTCCTGACATCCACTCCAAGGCTTTGCCTTCAGCACCCGGATGCATCAGCCCCTGAGTCCGTTCGCCATCTATACTTAGCCCGGCTATCCTGATGCCATGATAGGCCCTGTCACCAGGTCGGTTTCCCCGTAGCCTAGCCGGCGAATCTGGCGGTGAATATACCGTTTCTATCCAATTGAGATTCAGTCCGGCATCGGTACTTTCTCGACTTAGTCATGACTGAGCTGAATAGCCTGAGCCCAGGAAGGGAGGTACCGCTGAGGTACTCGTCGAATGACGATACTCTCCTCGTGATCTTGTTTTGATTTTGTATGGTGGTCGTCTTATCGTGTATACTGTCTTTTCAGTTCATCATTTCATCACTTATTAAACCATACATTGCCCAAATAGTATCCAATAACTTGAAATGCTGAGTTCACAGTTCAAAGTAAACCGTTAGAATGACTCACGAAGAAACCATGATCATCAAGCAAGACCCGCCATGACAGGACCCTCCACCGCTCCACCCAAACAAAACACGGTTCGCGCTCGTTGCCCAACCGCTCTGAAACGCTCAGCTAAACGGATATTGAGACAGCCTCACTTTGGTCCCTGCCTGATCCGGTCTGCACGGCTCTGTTGGGCACATGATATGGGCCCGGGTCTGAGAATTGGAGCGTTCTAGGACCCGGGATTGGATTCTTGGGAGGGGCTGTTGTTTAGATCAGGAGCTCCCGGGCCTCCTCCTATTCGAGATGGCGTTTCCGCTTTTAATACTTGGTAATTGGTGATGATGGTATCACCGATGGGGCAGGAGTGGATTGTACCCGGGTTGTGAAAGTTCTCTTTTGTAGATCGCTTCGGATGAGTTGTATAATTGATAGTCTTGGTATTCTGGGCTTGTGACTCATTGTTTACTCCCGCCGTGCTTTCATGTGAGAATGGCCGAGTAAACGAGTACAGAGGAGATTCCCTGTGATTCTGGATTCTGGCTTGTGATTCTTTCCGCCTCGCCGCGTACACCTTTTTCAGGTTCCTATCGATATCATTACAGAGGTGTAGGTTATTTGTTTAATTGTTAATGAAACTGCTCGAATTATCGTGATTCGTTTGTTCTTGACACTATAACCAATTTGAATTGTATCCCAAGGACGAAGATAGGCATACCTGGGCGATTCCCGTATTCCGAGACTTCATTACTTGAATCTCAAACGTCAACTGCCTAATAACGCCTTCTGTCAAGGCAGAGTTGAATGGCTCCAGGATAACAGTGCAAAATTCTAGGCAGTGAGTAGTATGCTTGGAAATGAACATTCTGCACTCGAAGCCTATCTCGGCTTAACGTCCGTCTCACCCTTTGTAGATACAGAATTCGAGATCATACAAACGTATTATCGCAATAAGTCCAAACCCCTACATCAAATACATCTCTTCCCTAATATGAGAAGGCAACGGTGATAGTCAATGCCACAGACCTATAATTCGTGGATTTGATTCAAGTGTACACTAGAAAGCAGTCTGGTCATCACCCATTCTTCCCGCGGAAGAGAACCCGAGGACATCTAAAGATATTCCCGGCAAATACGACCTTCCGTCTCCGTAAATATTATGCCATCTCATCTCACCTGCATTGCCTACAACATGCGCAACCCAAATCCAGCGATCTATATACATACCATAGTCAAAGTTAGTATAGAATGAGTCGAGTACAAAGAAGGTTCAATGTCAACCCATCACCCCACTAACTACTCACCGATCAGCACCCCGAAAAGAGTCCCCGAAACCCAAATCCAACAAAGACAAAAAGCAATATCCCGTGCCCGATAACCCATTCCTACATCCCGCATGGATCATCCATGTGCATGAAGCCAAACCTACCGCCAAGCCCCATCTGCCGCAAACTATCTCGACTGGCGCAGACACGAGGTCCACAACCTTCGTCTCGATTTGGGCAGTGGCTGACGACACCATTCACACGCACGGAAATCCCGAGCCGTTGTCCAGTCACACGATTTACCACCTTGGGATTTCTTCATGGATGCATTGGACGTCACCAGGACACGGTTCCTGCAGGTTCGTCACTATCACACATCGCGCAGAGCTACCTAAAACTCTCGTCCTTAAAGACCTTACGATTCCTACGAGCCACTACATTAGAGGTTACCAAGGAAAGGGATAGAGGTATGTACTAATAATACTTTTTTTTTTCTCGGCAAATGCGCTCAACATGTTCAGGGGGTATCATCGGATCCATAGAACCGCATGAGGTGTAAACAAGGGCCAAAGGACGAAAACGAAAAAAAGGTAAAGATGCTATCCAACGACTACAGTGGCAGACGAACTAGAAGTGGATGAAATCCTGCTGCTGCGACATTTCGCCGCTATCCTCGCCGCCAATCAGCTCAGGCTCGTCGTCGAACTCGTCCGAGTCAACGTCGTCCGAATCAATCGCGTCGTACTCTTCGTCTTCGCTAGAAGGATCAGACTCGTCATCGCGCTCAGTCTTCGCCGCAGCGGCAGCAGCCTTGCGGATTTGACCGGCGCGGTCGACATGGGGCAACTTGCATCGTTTCTTGTGGCAGACGCCGGTGTTGGCATAGTCTGGACACTCGTGCACGTGGCGCTCTTCGCAGGACTCGCCTTTCTCGCAGTATCCCAGAGTTGCGAACGCGCGGCATACCGGGGCGCCGGGTGTGGTACGAATATGTGCGTAGCGGCATTCCGGGTTCGAGCACCGGCCTCTAAGGAAATGCATACAGGTTGGGGAGCGGTGGGGCGAGGGCTCATGGGATAGATCGCAGCTCTCACCGGCGCTGCATTGGCCTGTTTGGAGGAAGTCTTTGCATATCGCCACTTTGTTAGGGTCATGGGTGTAGAGACATGATGGTCCTTTGTAACATGTTCCTGGGGTGAGTGTGGTTAGTATGAGATGAGGAGATGGGCGGAGCGTGGTGGTCCGTCGGAAAATAAAATACCGGTCGTTGTGAATCTTTTGCACAGCTCGTCGCGTTTCTTGACCGCTGTTGGTTGTCTGGGGGTTGTCAGCGTGGTGGTCGGTGTAGATAAAAAATAGACTGACTTCTTCGATGTCACCGCTCCGAGGCGGTGCAGGTTGCCGTTCTTGCTGCGCACAAAAGCCACGCCAGCCACGGTGACTCGCTTCGGCGTGGTATTGGCTTTGTTCGGGTCATCTATTGAACGGTAAGCCGATTCTCAACATTAAATGAAAATGGGGACAGCGAAGGGCACATACTTGATACTCGAACTAGCTTGCTTCCTCCGCGCATTATCTTGAATGGGACATCATTGACAAGAATTTGGTGATCGGCGGAAGGTTGCGCAGGCGTTGATACTGTAGAGCCTTGAGCATACCGGAGAACCTTTGCCTGTTCCCGTTGAGTGCGTCGCTGTGCCTTGAGCTTGCGAGTCTCTTCCATAGCCTTGGCTCTAGCTTGGGTTTCTTTGTCGTAGACAGCAGAGTTGATCAGCTGCATGTGCCGATCGCGCTTCGCAATCCATCCGGTCGAGGTCGGGGTCGGACGCGTTTCACCATCGTTGTCACTTGTGGCGCCCGGGGAGGAAGTACCGCTAGCATTTGAGCCCGAGCCTCCGTTGTTCAAAACCAGTGTGCGATGCCGGTGCGGAGCTGCAGGGCGGCGGCCTCTGCCTCGGGAGTAGGGAGCCCATCCTTGATGGGCAGGAGCATGACGCGAGACATATTGGGACTGGTGTGAGGAAGGTTGGTGCGGCTGGTTTCCCTGGGTCTTATGCCTGTTGATTTGACCTGGGCTCTGTGAGAAGACTGCTGAGAGAAAACGGAGATCGAGTGCTTTACCTGCAAGCTGACCAATCTTGGCCAATAAATCATCGTTTTCTGTCATGGGGGCTTGCTGGTGTTAAAGTGGGTTAGTGAATGGAAGGCAAATAAGTCTGAAGCTTGTCGAGCGACAGGCAGACAATAAGACCTAAGTTGGAGAACGTAAGGTCTGCCCGATACAGTGAAAGCTGTGGATGACGGAGTAGCGCATTTACCCGCCGGTGGCGTATCACGTCACGTGATATAGACTCGGCGCGTCGATATCGAATGGCATTGGTAGAAAGACAAAGAAAGTGAAAGAAAGCGGATGCACACTAGATTATTCCATGAGAGGCATACTACGCTCTGTCCTTGCTTTTTGGTTGGGGGTTGATACCGTCTTACGCTGGATGTTTGTCCAAATTCAGAGGCCACTTAGCGCCGAGGTTTATCTACCATCAAGTCTACACCTGGGTGACTTGAAGAGCTAATACAAGATCCAGAAGATCCTCGCACGCAACGAAAATTAGCCTGATAGCTTTGTAATCGAAGAAAATCAAATAATCACGAACAAAGAAAAAAAAACCCCGCGCAGCATGTGCATTAATGGTGGTAGCTTAATCTAGTACAAATAGTGATAGCTCAAGGGACATGTTCAAAATTAACATCGTCAACGCCAGAAGCATTTGGGTCATCTTCCGAGGCATCGTCAAATCCGGGTGGCAACTCGGCTTTGGCATCACCATACGCCGCCATCATAGCGTAGTTACTCTGCTGCGCCTCCGGCTTCAACTCCCATGTCATGGCAAAGTCTCCAGATTTAACCAAGTGCGCGACCATTTCAAGAGTCTCCTTGAGATATGCCTCAGGTTGCTGAAGCTTTGCTTTGAGGGTCTTAAATGGCCAGTACTGGAACTGGCGGAAGCAGTCGAAGATGCGGTCCAGCAGCTCGTTCTGAGGCATACGTGTAGACTTGTTCTCCTGTGCTTTGGCCTTGGAAGGCTTGGTCGTTTGCTGTAGAGATGTAAGTAAGTTGACACAGGCTGGAGGATACGATGTTGGCAAAACATACAACGAAGGTGTTCTTTTCCACGGGTAGTGCATGGCGATTCTGCAAGAACTTTCCAGGAATCTTGTCGATAAAGACGGTTTCTTTCTTCGGCTTCAGAGCCTCCAGGGCCCGCTGTTCGGAGATCCGTCGGAATTCCTCGTTTTCCACCGGCAAACAATTGAACTCCTCGCTGACCTGACCGATAAGTGCCGTGTGTTCTGGAAACTGTAAGTCAATGCACCTAAAGCTTGCTGATTCAGTGACACATACTTGGTACAGTCTTCCGCACGTATGGCTCCCATCTTTTGCCCTGCTCTCTCCTCCGAGTCTCGCGCTTCATGGCTTCGTACAAAGCTGATCGGTTCTCGCCAAACGTCGCCATTCGATTTTCTGCGCCCGGAATGTCTTTTTCTGTGAAAACGAACGTATTTTGTGTCATGTGCGAGGCGTTTACAGTGTTGATCGTTTGTTGTTGCAGGGTGTAGTCTTTGGGGATGTCTTGATTATCGGGGCGCTCGTGAAGCCGCAAGCTAACCTTAGGTTGAGAAGACTGTCAGAATCCTGGAGATGAAGCTGGGGATACAACTTGAGTCTTACCCTCTTGAGATCATTGACGTCTCCTTCTATCCTGACTGTCCCGATCTCAATTTCTTCGTCATCGTCCAGTTGCGACCAGTGGTCCCACAACTGCCGAGGCAGGCGAGATATCCACACGTTTTGCGCTGCCATCGTAAAGTCTAAGTCTCCAGCGTCTTCGTAGAGATCATCATCGTCCAGGTCTGCCAGCACTGTGTCCTTGCTGTCGGGGTCATCTTTGATGTACATAGCATCCGGATCGGGCTTCACCTGGGCCATGATGGTGGAATGAGGCGGGTGAAGTGGTCGTGGTGTGTCGAGACAAAAGAAATAGCGTACGCGACTGCGAAAAAGGTATGGAGAGACCGACGACTGGTGAATGGGACGACAACGGTCGAAGTTGAAGGTGCGCCACACGCGGGTGAAGCTACTGGCCTGGATCATCCCAGGGCGGTGAGCGGCGGCTCTTTGGATGACTTCACCAGGGATGCATCCACGACAAGCGCAGGTTGTTATCTAAGGATTTAAATGAGAAATCTGCATTTTATAAATATTTGGAAGATGATTCAAGTCACTTTTGGCCATGGATAACTGGAAATGCCAAAGCTAGGCCGGACAATGTAGATTGTATAATGATGAGTACTTCGGAAGGACTCTAATTAGTGAAATTTGCTCCTTATGGTACGGTTCCTTATTTGACTGGTATACCTTTCTTCTGCAAGCAGAAAGCTGTTCTGCTTTTCTCTAATTATTCTCCCTAACACACGTTGTGACGAAGACTCGGCGCTATACTCAGCCGTTCTCCGCCCTTATCGATAAGTCGACATCTCTTGTCCCCAACCCACCGCTCCTCACTCCGACATCATCGCGTTTGGAGTCTGGAGTCTGCCAGCCGACGGCTTCCACTGTCTTATCTTATCTCCAGCTACACAATATCACCATGGCGTCTCCGAAGGTTACCTCGGCCCTTGCGTCCATCGAAGCCACACCCCACCAGCCAACCAAGCTCCAACAATACAACGACCTTCTCAATGACATCGTGGCTAGCTCATCTGGCGATGAGCTCGCCCAAGATATAGTCTACTACCTCGATTCGATCCTTAACGAAGATGTCAGCATCGTCGCAACACGACCCCTCCTCGATTCCTTCATCACCGTCCTCCGTAACTTCGACCCGCATGTCAAGATCAAAGTTGGTCAACACGCTGTCAATTTGCTTCAATCTCGCGCCACTTCGGTGGAAGAGCAAGACTCGCAGATCCGTGAGATCTTGGCAGAGGCCTACGAGTCAGAGGAAGAATATACCGCCGCGGCGCGAGCGCTGTCGGGGATTAATATCGACAGCTCGCAGCGGCTGGTCTCCGATTCAGCCAAGGCTCGACTTTGGATCCGTATCGTGCGGTATTACCTGGAGGACGACGACACGACCAGTGCAGAGGCATTCTTGAATCGTATCAAGAATCTGCCCAGCAAGCTTGAGGACCACGATGCCAAACTATACTTTCAGCTGTCGCAGGCGCGGATTCTCGATGCTCGTCGGCGGTTCTTGGATGCCGCACAGGAATACTTCAGTGTCAGTCTTGCTCCGGGTGTCGATGAGGGTGACCGTCTCACGGCCTTGTCGGCTGCTATCCGCTGCGCGGTTCTGGCACCTGCAGGCCCGCAGCGTTCGCGTACTCTCTCCCGTCTATACAAGGATGACCGTGTTCCGTCAGTACATGAGTTCTCCATCCTTGAAAAGATGTTCCTCGACCGTCTTCTGAATGCCGACGAAGTTGCTGCTTTCTCCAAGAAGCTCCAGCCCCACCAACTCGCTGTCACTGCCGACGGCACTACTGTTCTCGACAAGGCAGTTATTGAGCACAACCTTGTAGCTGCGAGTAAACTCTACATGAACATCTCCGTCGACGCTCTTGGCTCCATTTTGGGCCTCCAGGACTCGAGCGACATGTCCGCTGGCGAGAAGGCACAGGATTACGCTGCTCAGATGGTCGAACAAGGCCGTCTCAGCGGACAGATTGACCAGATTGATGGAATAATCACATTCGACACCGAGGCTGCTGGGTCGACTGGTGCGACTGGCGCGAGTCTTCGTCAATGGGATCTGGGCGTGCAGGAACTTGCTGAGGATGTCGAACGGGTGGCAGCTAGTATCACTGAACAGTTCCCGGTATGATGACCCTTTTCTTCACTCACGATCAATACTTACCACGTTTTAGGACTTCGCTACAAGTCAAATGGTGCATTGATACATATTTGATATGATGATACCTCTACGAATTGATGCTACTTATATGTCCATTTGCGTGCTCAGTAGCCAACTTCAGTATAGCGTTATCATAGGCCCAGAAGGTAGACACTAGCTGGGATAGACCCTGGTTGGGGGCCTACGGTTCGGTTCGCAAATTCTCGTAAACTGAAGCATAAGAGAACCAACACTGGGCTTCGTCTGTTTCCAAAAGGGTATGGCAGTAGAGCTAAGGAGCACTAAGAAATAACCATTGTATGCCCCAACCCTAGGGTGCCCAAGTTCTTCGATGACCCTTGTAAATATGCCTTCGACCGAGGATGAGACCGAGAGGGCCGCTTTGATCTGAAGATAGTCCTTCGCAGTGCTGGAAGACTTGTCTGAGAGTGATATTACACCGAGTTTGTAGCCAGGGGTTGCGAAATCTTTTGAAACTACGACCCCGATGTTCGGTCCATAGCCAAAGATAAGTGTGTATAGCTTTATCACCCACTCAGTAAAAAGTCCCAAAAGTATCAAGGGCTAACACCACAAGGCAATCACTTCCCGAGGAAACCCCTCTCGAGAAGAGACTTACTCGCTTCCCTTTTAAGTTTTCAGAACTTGCTGGCACACCGCTGATCATCAGCTTACAAATGATCGTGTGAAGGAGGGGGGGTTGAGTGTCACCTTTGTTCACTACTGGCCCACGTTTCAGTTCTAGTAAGCCTATTTGGCACTAATGTGTTCTCACACTATAAATAGCTAATAATCCCCGCCAGGAACTTGGCATATAATCAATTTGCATCAATTGTCGAATTCAATTTCCTTTTCAACGTCTGAAAATGACCAACAAACCGCAATCTCGGGGTGAATATCTGCTGGTCAGAAATATGGCCGAAAGCGAAAGGTACGTTAGTATTACGCTAGTAATTGTTCTGAAGGCCTAAACATCGTTTTCTTTTTTATTAATTGCTAATAATTGCCATAACCATAGATTGGAGATGCAATTTAAAGCCTGGCAAGCCAATATTGGGTACCTGCTTCATCCAGCCATCAAAACGCATGATCATATGCGTATTGCAGATGTTGGCACAGGGACTGGGTTGGTAGCGAATCCATCGGAAAGGAGAAAGTATCTGACATAATTCCTAAGAATATGGCTACGTGAGCTTGCAGATGTTCTCCCTAGTACCTGTCAACTTGACGGGTTTGACCTATCAGACACTATGTTTCCTAGCAAGGTATCCTTGCTAGGAAAATATTTCCTTCCATCATCAAAACCTCCTTGAGCTATTCCCGGATGAATATCTAGGGAAATATGATGTCGCCAATGTTCGGGTGATGATTGCGGCTTTATCTTCTAATGAGTGGGAGGTTGCCGTGCGAAATATTATCACGCTTCTCAGTGCGAACTCCCCCAGATCAATGCCCGTTGATTCAGAACCTAAGCTAAATTTGAACAGAGCCAGGGGGTTATTTACAATGGGTCGACTGTGCCGCACATGAGGTTGTAGTCAAAGGAGTACCCGAGGGGAAACGAGCCACTAATGCACAACATGGAATCGACTTAATCCAAAGGACTATGATCTCTGCTGGGAAAACACCAAAGTAAGTTTGACTTTGCTTTTCTACGTAAATTATTTATCGGAGACTGATCAGCGGGGCTAATCGACATTTTCTAGTCTCGTCGCTCTTTGTGGCACTTTCCAAAAGAGTGGATTGGAATCTTGTGAAGAACGGATTTACACTCTTGACAACCCAGAAACTCGAGAAAACCTCACTCTCACAGTTGTTACTGGAATTCAGCATATTCTAACTGCGGCTTTGAATTTAGACAAGCTGGATGAGATGCAAACTATTGATCAGATCATGGAACTGAAGGAAGCCATTTTAAGTGATTTGCATAATGTTCCTTGTTATTATTTCTTTGATGTTCACGTGGTGGTTGGAAGAAAAGCTTGACTGAGCTACAGGCTGTTTCTATTCCTCTTGTTCTTGTCTTTTAGCTCAGCACCATTCTTAATTTCGAGTAAACACAATTTGTCAGAAGAAATATAGAATGAAATATTTTCTTACATATATGGTCACTAGTCGACCAAAACTTGCCTAGGCCTGCGCGAACAACGTTGTTGGTAATCCCTATGAGTGTGGTTTCTGATGAAATGATAGTACTGATGGCGTTTCAATCATCGCATGAGCCGGTGTTGAATTGTTTCATTCACACGATATGGTAAATCTCAATACTGATGGGCACTCCCATCGCTATGGCTCTTGTCTCCAGCTTATTACAGCTGACTTGCTCCTATCGACTGGTAAATTCATTCACCCAGGCAATAATTACGAAGACACGAGAGAATGCTCAATTATTTCAAGCCTTATCCAAGAGGCGGGGGAAAACATATGCTCTGCCATCCCTGTAATTCTCGAGACAATGCCGATCCAGGAAACTGATCAGTCCAATGAAGAAATGGAAGTTCCTATCGGTAGCTTCCTAGTCTTTTGGCCTCTATGCTGCGCTCTGAAATCACCGAAGATATCGCAGAGCCAACAAGATTGGATACGAGGTACTCTATGGTCAATTGGGCTATGAGCGCTTTTCCCTCATGCTTCTGCTTTGGTATGTATGTATTTTCGGAGTTTTGCGTTGCATTATCTGACGTTTCTAGGCGAATTCAAAAACAGAAAATACCAGGTGGACGGATGTGATCGCAGGGTTACTTCTAATACGAGTTGCCCTTGCTCAAGAGATGCGGGGCTTTTTCGGCAACATGGGGTATCAACTGGCGTCTGGCTCTTAAGATCACACCAGAGTGGCTCTGGGTCACGGCGGCGAGTGCGCTGCGGTAAAGTCTTGAGGGCCTATTTGTACTAAAAACTCCAATCATTGCCTATGCTCCGCGGGTATTACTCTAGCTAATTTAACACCTCAAAGGAAGATCAGGATCGATCAAGCGTTACCTAAGTCCCGTTATAGAGTGCCCAGTATTATAACTACTCTTTAGGAACATCTATCATAGAGACGAGACTCCTTAACTAGTTTTCAAGTCAGAAGCCCCTATCCACCGTACGTTGGATTCTCCCCAAATATATTAAGGACTATAGCGCCAATTAGCGGTGAATTATTCGTGATGGAGATTGGCCAGCCAAGAAAAGATTCGGAGTTGGAAATGTATTCCTTTCTTTTCAGTCTCATGTGGGCCGAAAAGACCCTCTAACCCATGATTGTGGATATGAAACCCAGCACGGCCCTGAACAAAAGTGCAGAACCCATCCAGTGGGGCCGCTCCACAAGTCCATCAAATAAATCATCACATCATATCGGCATGAGATTGGCTCAGAACACTCCTCAGTGAGGAGCCTGGCGCATAGAAGATGAGATCGAATCATTATCTGGGGTAATTGCAATATCAGTCTGCACCTTGATATTAAGTGGGTGCAAATCATCACCCAGGAAATGACCATTAGTCCTCTCGCCAGTCATGCCGTACATGCCCCCTTCCATCTTCATGTAATCCAGATCCGGCAAGCGCGGACTACACTTGGAGACCATGTTGGACTGGCTGATATCCGTGTTGATGTAGTATGGGCCTTGGTTGCGGTTCGAACGGTTCTTGAGTTTTAGGGCTGGGAATAGACCGCGGATGATTGGGAGACAGGAGCAGATTAGGCCGACGGAGGGCTCGATGTGCGTCCAGAGGGTTGCTTGGTAGACTGTGTAGGTTGGATCAACCGGGCTGATCCAGAAGAGGACCACGATGCGGTAGATGCTTGCGAAGCAGACAAATGTGCCGAGGGCGAAGACGCCATTTAGAGCAAGCTTGTCTTGCCAGGCGCGGTGGAGGCCCCAGATCATTGGGATTGGAAGGACGAGGATTATAAAGTCCATGAGGACGTTGAAGGCCTGGTTGACGATAAAGAACTCGTTCGCGTCGAAGCATGTGCCTTTCACGCTGGTGTCCCAGTATGCGCGGAGTGGACGGCATTGGCCGGCACAAGCGAGGAAGATGACGAGGCCCCAGGCACCGATGAGGCAGTTCAGACCGAAGGTAAAGGTGCGGAACTTCGGGGTTGTGAAGACGCGGCGGTAGAAGCAGATGATGGAGATCTTGATGGCAGGGCAGAGGACGAAGTATGTGAATTGGTTGGCCAGGAAGATCTACTCCGGTTAGAATTCAGGTAGTGCCATCGGTGAGTGAATACATACCTTCCAGTAGTTCATCATGGTCTCGGCATCTAGTGTCTTGACATGGGCGCCATTGCCTCCAATTGTACACCCTGGAACAGTCAGTAATGATATCCAACAGGAATCATGTGCACACTCACATAGACACAGTTCAATTAACATAGCAGTCATCAATACCATCGACACGATACTAAGATAGTCATCCACGCCGAGCCCGACTCTCCTCTGCAGGCGAGCCACCACTCGCATCACCACCGAAATGAAGCAGAGAGCGACCAAGACCGTAACGATCTCGATCATCTGCCAGCCTCTCGCAGTCGCATCCATTATGATTATTATCGAAGCGAACCACAAACCAAAGTCCAAGAGATTTATAAGAGGCAGACAAAAAGAACGAAACACCTGGGGTCGATCACTTGGCGAGGGTATCCTCCACACATATAAGACCACATGAATATGCATCTGCCGGGGAACCTTGGACGGCTCTCAAATTATTGATTGCCTCCACTATTATCCATCAACGCGGTTCATCATTCGCGGACTCCAGCTGCATCTTACAGGCCATTTTCCCAGGCCGGCAATGTACATGGGGCTTACCCACAATAGAGCGGAGGCCACTATTGATTTTCTGTTTTCTGGTCGGCCGATTAGGTTACAGCCAGTAAAGGGCCGGTCGAGTCAGGCACAGCAGGGCATGACATCGTCCGGCACTGCTTTTCTCTGGTTCGCCGGTATTAGTGCTGTCTATCATTGCTCGGAAAGGAAGGCTACGGCAGTGCGGATAGGCATTGACACACGATTATTGACGGCGGGGCCCGATTCGACTGTCCAGCTAGTTAGGGCTGAGTTGATGGGTCCCGTTTCTTTGGTTAGATGGGGCGGTGGGTTCTTCAGCTGATCGGGAAGTTAGGGCTTCGATCATCGGTGTGCCAGTATTCACTCACCTTGAGGTAGCGTATGCATACTCCTCGATGTGATGTAGAATGGAAAGTTTATTCAAAGAAAAAGAAGGTTATCTGCGGAAGATGTATCCATTTGGAATCTCGATAGATCAATCCGAATGTAAGATAATGCCGGGTTGTACAGGTCGCGTGTGATACTCGCGGGGCACTGGGGACGTAGACCGAATCATGATTGACAAACCTGTCATTGCAGATCGCATGCCAGTAGTGCAGTCAAACTCGCGTGAACGAACCACGACAACGGCACACACTATCGAATGCCAAGTAGGTTATTCAACACCTCACCGGGTCTAATGAGGGTGGCAAGGGCCGTGCTGGAGAATATTCTAAAATAGAACTCTGGACACACCTTCGAGGCTTGAGCGACAACTATATGATCGGTTGATCCTAAGCGGTAATTATTGTCGGAGTTTAGAAGTGATGGATCAAAACAGCCCTCGGGAAAAGTGGACCTCGGGGCCTCAGATACACAGGCGCAGAAAATAGAAAATAGAATGAGCGCCGTGAGTGGGGCACACTATTGGAAAATCACAGACTTTGCGCATATCTCCGGGCCTTAAGTCGACGTAGGAAAAAGTGGTAGATCACTGTGATCATCCTGCAGATGCCATTTATTGGGAAAATTCGATGAACAAGAGTATAAAATCGGACATTGAAATCTCTCCGCCGTTCCGTCTAAGGGGCCTCAGCCGCATGCCACCCACGGAATGCAACCGCGGGGTCTTTCGTTCCACGGCTCTGGGTGAGGAGTTCTAGGGTTGATATACAAATAGTGTGTGGGAACTTGTTCCATAACGATGCCTAGTTCTTCATGATATGCGTGAACATCTGAGTACCTCGTAAGCAGTGAGTAAACGATTCTCTACCAGTTCTAGGGAACGATCTGCCTCCCCACCCCATTGTTCACAACTGATCCATGCATGCTTCTCGGCCAGTCAGCCAACTGTCCTAATTCGTAGCGGGGCAAAGTAGGCCCAAGATTATCTGGCTCGATCCATCTCCATCAGCTCTCCAACCCCCAACTTCCCCTCGTGATCACACAATCACCCCGGCAGAATGGTAACCACGGTGCCCTTGATCATCAATGGCAAGGAGGAGGTCACCTCCTCCACCTTCGACGTGGTTAGCCCCTATACAAACCAGGCCTGCTGGTCTGCTGCCTCGGCCACCCCACAGGATGCCATTCGCGCCGTTGAGGCCGCGGACGCCGCCTTTCCCGCGTGGTCGCAGACTAAGCCTACCGTGAGACGAGATCTCCTGCTCAAGGCCGCGGAATTGTTGGAGCAGCGCCTCGAGCAAAATGCTGAGTATATGCGTACCGAGATGGGCGCCGATGTAGGCACTTCGCAGGGTTTCGTTGTGCCGCTGGCTATTCGCATGCTGCGCGACGTTGCTGGCCGCATTACCTCGATCTGTGGAAGTGTGCCTGTGGTGGAGGCTGAGGGCCAGAGTGCTATTGTCTTTAAGGAGCCGATGGGTGTTATTCTTGGTATTGTGCCGTGGTAGGTTTGGTCAATCCTATTCAATTCCTACGCATGTACGGGGCTAATTCATACAGGAACGCGCCCTACGTCTTTGGTATCCGCTCTGCCGCTTGCGCCCTCGCTGCTGGCAACACCACCATCCTGAAATCCTCCGAGCTGACCCCGCGCTGCTACTGGGCCATTGGCCGTGCCTTCGAGGACGCAGGTCTGCCCGCTGGCTGCCTCAATGTGCTGCACTGTCGCCCGCAGGACGCCGCCGAGGTAGTCAACACCATGATCGAGCACCCCGCCGTGCGCAAGATCAACTTCACCGGCAGCACAGCTGTAGGCCGCAAGATTGCGCGGTCGTGCGGCCAGAACCTGAAGCCGTGTTTGATGGAACTGGGCGGGAAGAACAGCTCCATTGTCTGTGCCGATGCCGACTTGACAACCGCCGTGCAAGGCGTGCTCGCCGGCGCCTTCTTGAATGTGAGTATATCCCGAGATTATCTGCCTCTGGTTATCTAACGTTAGTGTCTTTTACCAGTCCGGTCAAATTTGCATGGCCACAGACCGCATCCTTGTCCACTCGTCCATCGCACCAGCCTTCACCGAAGCCCTGAGAACCGCTCTAGCCACCGGCGCAGACGCCTCCGCTCTGCCCCCCACCCTGGTCAACACCGCCTCCAAAATCCGCGTCGAAACACTGATCTTCAGCGCTGTAGCGTCAGGTGCGCACTTTATTTCCTGCCCCGCCGAGACCAAGGTTCCTAGGGATGCAGGCGTGCGCCTAGCCCCGGTCATTCTGGGCGGCGTGAAAGAAGACATGGCCGTGTGGCAGGAAGAGGCATTTGCCTCAGTAGCTGCGTGCATGGTCTTCGAGACCGAAGACGAAGCGATTCGTCTAGCGAATAGCAGTGGGTACGGACTCTCGGCATCTGTGTTTACGGAGGATCTGCGCAGGGGCTTGGCGATGGCCAAGAAGATCCAATCTGGGTAAGCTATTTTTCGATTTCCATTTGTGGCTTGTTCGATGCTAATTCAGTGCAGGGCTGTTCATGTTAATAGCATGACGATCCATGATGAGCCTGTTCTTCCGCATGGTGGTGTGAAGAATAGTGGTTGGGGACGATTTAATGCGGCGGAGGGATTGAATGAATTCTTGTCGACTAAGAGTGTGACTTGGATGGATTAAGCTTGATGTTCGGGTACGAGTTGATGCATTGTGCAGCGTTGGATTTTGGGCCGAATTGGCTGATATGGCTTTTTTATAACCATAATTAAAGTGGATATAATCTTTTTTAGGTCTTGTTATTCTCTTGTAGATGGGTGGGATCTCTTGGGAGCGATCTGACACGGCACTGGACTGGAGCTCTAAATCTGGGTCATGGTGAATACGACAGGATCTGGAAAGAGTCATTGGGTTCCATAAATTGATCAAATATCAAATTCTTCCTTGAACGTGCGGAATCTATCGGCTATATGCCAACCTAGATGCAATTCCAGATCCCGGTCTCTCGGGCGAGAACACTCGGGGAGCATTAACCCGAGTCCGGGAACTGGCAGACTGCACACCGAGCATTCGCAGTCAATTAAAGCCACATCGGGCAGCATGAACTGGATCACCCGGGGGAAAACGCGGCCATTTTGTACTTTTCAACAGTCATCTGAAATAGAATTCCGTCGGCAATTGAGCAACTACCGACGACGTCACCGGTCCCACCAGGGCAAGTTCCATCCCCGGATTACCTCACCCGCCGCTAGTTGTTCCACCAATCAGTGGGGCTCAAAGGTCAGCGGTCGGCGACTGCTTTTTCTTCTTTCAGTTGCGAGATCGCGCGGTTTGGGTCCTTTGGGAGTGTACTCCATACTAGATCTATATTTGACGGATCCAGTCGCTTTCTATACCTTCTATATATCCTAGCAGGTAGCTATACGTCTGAATTGTGAGTGTGGTGTGATCTTGTACCCGCTGTTGCAGTGGTCTCGGATAGCTGCTCTCGGCCCTGCTCTCCCGAGGCTAACGGTACAGCTGGCTCCGGGCGATTCTCTTCAGACCGAGAACCCGCTTGTATTGTTCTGCAGAAACTCCTAGTTCCGAATTCCGAACTGCCATAGGAAGTGAGAAACCTCCCAAGTTTTCTGCTGCAGTTCTGCCTCCCTTCCGGTCGCCCCTACCACGAGCTGGAATGGAGCCATGACGTGGGCTGCAGGGTGCATGTGAAGATGGTAGTTGTAGCATGATCATACGAATAACACATGTGATACTCCCTTTTCCCCAGGTTTTGTCTTTCACAACCAGACCGATCGGAGCAAACCAACGCGCTGCAATTAATAAATGAGCTCCACCTTTCCCATTGGACCCAGAGCCAACCTGTTGAACATCCCCCCACGTTTGTGCCTCGGCCGATAGCTGGTCGGCTTCTGAGCCTGGGTGAGCCTTCCCCCGGATCCCCCATAAGAACCTTGGCCTCCCGTCACTTTCTCCCCTCTTTTGCTTCACATTTATCCCCTTCCTTTCACACATTATCCAACATGGCAGCACCTCAAGTCATTGTGGTCGGCGGTGGATGTAAGTTTCTCTTCCCCGCGTCTCTCTTTCGGCATCTCGGCTGACCTTACTTCCCAGTGTCTGGCCTCAGTGCCGCTCATACCGTCTACCTGAACGGTGGCAATGTCCTCGTTCTGGACAAGCAGGGTATGTTAAACCACTTGGTGGCATATATCCTGATGCACGGCGCTAACCATTACCAGCCTTCTTCGGTGGAAACTCCACCAAGGCCACCTCCGGCATTAACGGTGCGCTCACTCGCACCCAGACCGAGCTCGGCATCAAAGACAGTGTCAAGCAGTTCTACGACGACACCCTCAAGTCCGCTCGTGACAAGGCCCGCCCCGAACTGATCAAGGTCCTTACCTACAAGTCCGCCGCTGCCGTCGAGTGGCTGCAGGACGTCTTCAACCTCGACCTCACTCTTGTTTCCCGTCTGGGTGGCCACACCCACCCCCGCACACACCGTGGTCACGATGCCAAGTTCCCCGGCATGGCTATCACCTATGCCTTGATGCAGCGCCTTGAGGAGCTCGCCGACGCCGAGCCCGACCGCGTCCAGATCGTCAAGAAGGCCAACGTCACCAGCGTTAACAAGAACGGTAACAACGTTACCGGTGTTACCTACTCTCTGAACGGTGAGTCCAAGTCCGTCGACGGTATCGTCGTTCTGGCTACCGGCGGTTACGCCGCTGACTTTGGCGATACTTCTTTGCTCAAGAAGCACCGTCCCGACACCTTCGGCCTGTCCTCCACCAACGGCACCCACGCTACTGGTGACGGTCAGAAGATGCTGATGGAGATCGGTGCCAACGGCATCGACATGGACAAGGTCCAGGTCCACCCGACCGGTCTGGTCGACCCCAAGGATCCGCAGGCCAAGTTCAAGTTCCTGGCTGCCGAGGCCCTCCGTGGTGAGGGTGGTCTGCTGCTGAACTCGGACGGCCAGCGCTTCTCCGACGAGCTGGGCCACCGTGACTACGTGTCCGGCCAGATGTGGAAGGAGAAGGAGAAGGGCAAGTGGCCCATTCGCCTGGTGCTGAACAGCAAGGCCTCCAAGGTTCTCGACTTCCACACCCGCCACTACTCCGGCCGTGGTCTCATGAAGAAGATGAGCGGCAAGGAGCTCGCCAAGGAGATTGGCTGCGGCGACGCTGCTCTCAAGAAGACCTTCGACGAGTACAACCTCATTGCCGACGGCAAGAAGAAGGACCCCTGGAACAAGCGCTTCTTCCACAACATGCCCTTCGACGTCAACGACGAGTTCCACGTCGCTGTCATGGAGCCCGTCCTCCACTTCACCATGGGAGGTATCGAGATCAACGAGCACGCCCAGGTCCTCAACTCCGAGAAGCAGCCCTTCGACGGCCTCTACGCTTGCGGTGAGCTGGCCGGCGGTGTCCACGGTGCCAACCGTCTCGGTGGTTCCTCCCTGCTGGGCTGTGTCGTCTACGGCCGTGTCGCTGGTGATTCCGCCAGCCAGCACCTGTTCAAGAAGCTGATCAGCGGCGGCTCCAACGCCCAGCAGCGTCTGGGCCAGATCTCGCTGCACATCGACCCCTCCACCCCCGGCAAGATCTCCGTCGAGTGGGGCGGTGCCGCCGCCGGCTCCCAGCCCACCGTGGCTGCCGCCCCCGGCGCCTCGTCCTCTGCCGTCGATGCCCCCGCCTCCAGCGCCTCCCCAGCCGCCAAACAGTCCAAGCCGGACCCTGCCAACTTCAAGATTCCCGAGAAGGAGTACACCATGGAGGAAGTCGCCAAGCACAACAAGAAAGAGGACCTCTGGATCGTTGTCAAGGGCATCGTCCTCGATGTGACCAACTGGCTCGATGAGCACCCCGGCGGTGCCAACGCCCTGTTCAACTTCATGGGCCGTGATGCTACCGAGGGTGAGTTTTCTCCATTTACCCCAGACTAACAATCCTGGGAACCTCTTATATTTTGAGACATTACTAATACATATATAGAATTCGCCATGCTCCACGACGACGAGGTCATTCCCAAGTACGCTGGCCACATCGTCATCGGCCGCGTCAAGGGCCAGACTCCCAGCCTGGAGCTGTAATCGGTCCGGTGCCTTCTGTTTCTCTACATACCCCTCTTTTGCTCTTGTCTATGGTGCATGCCACGAAGGTTTTACGTGATATAAGCCGCGGCTCTCAGAGACTGCCGAGGCTTTGGTCGTCGTGTAACATATAACTAAATTTGATCAAGTTAGACTGTGCTTTGTTTACCATTGTAGTTTTGGCGCTAAGTAGACCTAGTGTTGCAGTGCATTACTAGGTAGGGTATTGGATCAACCATTGACTCAAATACCATAGATCATCCAGTCCGATCTTCTGTACCCTCTTTATCCATGTTTCAACGCATGCGATTCCGTATCTAAATGCAATATTCTAGGTAAATCAACTGATCCAGAGTATCTATAATCCTCAACGCATATGCTCCAAAATCATCCTCAACCTCCTAACAGCAGGCCCTTCCTCGTGTCCCTGTCCCTCTCCTCCACCACCCTCCTCCATCTCCGCCTTCGCAGCCTCCAACGCAGGCCGTAAATACCCCCACACCTCATCATGATACCTATCCTGCACACCCACCCAATCACTCGCCCCAGGGAGGTGTTCCAATACACTATCCCGCAACGCCCCTACATCCGACGATGTATCCTGCGCTAGGAATGTATCGATATCCGGAACGAGACTCATCCCCGACAACCCACGTCCCTGTCCCTGTCCCTCGGATCCAATCTGTGTCTGTCCCTCGGAACCAAGGCTCTTCCGAAACGACTCCAACGCCTTAATCTCCTCCGCGCTTAGAGGCTCTGGTTCAGGCGATACATCAAGGTCGAAGTCTGCATTATTAGGGTCGAGGTTTGGATCGAAGGTCGCATCCGAGAGGAGTGTTACCACCTCTGCGCCGTCGTTTGCGTTTGGTTCGTATGTTGCTTGGCTGGGTTGGGATTGGGAGTGGGATTGTGCGCGTTCCCAGGCGGTGCTGTACTCGCGTTGGATGGGGTCATGGGCACGTTGTTTGCCTTTCCAGGGGCCTGTTTCGGTTTGGAGGTCTAGGTCGTGATTTGTTCGTGCATTCGGTGCCGGTTCGAGTGTGGATGTATCCGTGTGGGTATTCGCTGTCGCATGCTGCGGATCGAGTGTATACCCTTGCTGGAACTCCTCCTCGCTAAGCGCTGGTATCGTGAACCCGCCCTGTACTGTTGTAGCTGGCGCCTCGCGGAATGTTTCGCTTGGTCCTGATCTCGAGGATGCGGAACCCGCGCCTCGAGGAGCTACGGATCCGCTGGATAGGTGTCCTGCTCCTGCTCCTGCTCCTGCGGACGGTCCGGCCGTCTTACCCTCAGTCGCGGATGCTAGTGTCTGCGCGGCATTTGAAGTGCTGGAGGCGAGCGCGCGTGCAAGTCCGGCTGCGGAGCGGTGGACTCGGTTTGTAAGTGAGGGTTGTTGAGATTCGGCCGTGGCTGTGGCGTCATCCGAGCGGGTGTCAGATGTGCGGGAACCCCGCGTGTTCTCCGGCTTGTTGTTGTCGGTCATTTGGGGAGGTGATGGTTTGGCGATTGAGGTGTAGGGCGTCGGTACCTCAAGTTGGAAGGGCCATTGCCGTGGGGTCGGTGGTTCGCGGGCGTCGGTTTAATGGAGCCGGATGGAATAGGAAGGGGAGCATGTGAAGGTGGATGGCTCAATGGGTCGGTCTGGTTTGTAGGTAGAGAGTACTTGGGAAGTCTGATCTTTGTTTATGACAGGGTTTTGAGCTGTGACAATGGACAAGCTTGATTATGTGCAGCTGTTTAGGATTCACTGTTGCAGGGTGTTATGATGTCGTTGATATATCACCACCGTGGTGCCCATATTCTCCGTAGTGGAGAGATAGGTATCCAAGAATGGCTCAATACCTGGCACTTGAGGTACAAGCCTCGGCCAGTTGCTAGAATACACCCCGATTTATAATGGAAACAGGCCCAAGTTCATAGGGGAGAGCTCGCTCGATAGGATGACGACAGAGGCGGGGGATGCATATGGCCCCGGGCACATACTCCAGCTTCGTAAATCGGACTGGAGGATTATTAAAACCGGCAGAAACAGCTATCTGGCTACTGACAAAACTCTTTAGATAGCTTCAATTGATCCGTCCGTAGTCTGTAGTACCTCTGATCATTGTGCGCCCGCAGTCAGGGACGCAGTACCTGCTTCGGGCGATGTTACAGTCTCGGACAGTGTTGATGTCAGCGATCTTTCGCCCATGTCTGGCCCAGGTGTCTAACTGTAAAATTGGGTAAAACTCTGACAGATCTTTCAGATCAATCTCGATCTTACCTTAGGTAGAAGACTCGGAATACGGTGAGCTCGGTGGGCACAAAGTGACGCCGTAACGAACTCCCCACCACCGCCTCACCTCAACTCTCTTACCTCTTTTTCCTTTCCCGTACGACGCCTCCTTCACTTCCAAATCCCCACTCTCTCTCAACGCTGCGCCCTGTTGGACTCGGATTGTCAACTATCAGGTCGTAGGATTTCCCCTCTCCTATGATCCCCTCTCAAGCTCTGCGGGCCCACTCATAACAACCTCCACCGGGTCGTTTGCTTTCCACCCCCTCCATCCCGGACCACACCCCGTCTTTTCAGCATCGCCAACTACCGTCACTCTATCGACTCTTTCACCAGAGTTCGATTCCCCGGGTTGCTGTATTCTCTTCGCCCACCTTTCTCCCCTCTCCCTCTCCTCTCGTCTCCCGTCATCGGCGTCAAACCCCTCGCACGCCATCTCCGATCGATCATCACCGACCGATTGCTTTCGCCATTCCTTGTGTGATCGCTTCAGCTTCACCGTGTTCTTGTCCCCGTCCGACAAATTCAGCTCTGCCGTCAACTTCCTCTTCGGTTCGGTCCGAGTGATTCTGCGTTCACAATAGAGCTCGGAGACAAATTCAGTTGCCAAACTGGTTTTTCTTTTCGCTTTTCTGCATCCGTCTTTGTCCGTACGTCGCGTGCAAGGGCGATCCTAGAACGAAAAGATGGTAGACAGAGATCCAGGGACACCCACCTGGAAGTTCACACAGTGAGTCTTGCCGTGAATGGAGGCTGGCGTGACGGCTCCCTGCTCCACGTTCTCCATTTCTGGGAACGTGTGGAGCTGCTAGGATTGTGGCTGACTCCCCTGCAGATGCTTCGGTGATAAAGGTGATGTAGAAGATATCACAGAAGGTATTGTCCCCACAAATGCGGTCGATTCATCCGGAGCATCTGAGCTGACTGACACCGTCCTGCCAGCGGACATCATCTCGACCGTTGAATTCGACCATACCGGTAATTATTTGGCTACGGGAGACAAGGGTGGACGAGTGGTGCTATTTGAGCGGAACGAGACGGTAAGTCAAGCCGACTCAAAATTCAGTGGGCGGCGCTCACGCATGACCGACACAGAAAAAAACCTGCGAGTATAAGTTCCACACCGAGTTTCAGTCGCACGAGCCGGAATTCGACTACCTCAAATCGTTAGAGATTGAAGAGAAGATCAACAAGATAAAATGGTGTCGCCGACAGAATGCATCACACTTCCTCCTCTCGACCAACGACAAGACCATAAAGTTGTGGAAGGTGTTCGACAAGTCGTTGAAAGTGGTCGCCGAGAACAACCTATCGAATGAAATGACCCCGGCGGGTGCTGTGAGCGGTGGTGGTATTGCTCGGGCACCGCGCGGAGCCTTCAAGGATGCGTCAGCCCTCAAGCTGCCACGTTTGACACACCATGACACCGTCGTCGCTGCCGTCCCACGGAGAACCTACGCAAATGCCCACGCCTACCATATAAATAGCATCTCGGTGAACAGCGATGGCGAGACCTTTATCAGCAGTGACGATCTCCGAGTCAACCTGTGGAATCTCAACATCCAGGACCAGAGTTTCAATATCGTGGATATCAAGCCGGCAAACATGGAGGAGTTGACCGAAGTCATCACGGCAGCCGAGTTCCACCCGGTCAGCTGTAACTGGTTCATGTACGCTAGCTCCAAGGGCACCATCAAGCTTGCGGATATGCGGCAGCGCGCTCTTTGCGACGACCACGCCAAATGTATGTATTCTTCAACAGCCCGGGATGGTCTGTGCTGACTTGTTACAGTGTTTGAACAGGAAGAGGATGCTTCCTCGCGCTCCTTCTTTTCCGAGATCATCTCCTCTATCTCCGACGTTCGATTCTCACACGACGGCCGGTACATCGTGTCCAGAGACTACTTGACCGTCAAGATTTGGGACGTCAACATGGAACGCCAGCCGGTGAAGACCATCCCTATCCATGAACACCTGCGGCCGCGCCTCTGCGACACCTACGAAAACGACAGCATCTTCGACAAATTCGAGGTCGTCTTCTCGGGCGACGCCGAGAACGTGATGACCGGCAGCTATAACAACAACTTCATGATCTACCCGACGCAGGAAGAAAAGGATACGGAGATTGTGCTCCAGGCGGACAAGTCGGCCTTCAAGGCGAAGAAGGTTGGCGTGCCCACTCCCATGAACAAGGGCGGTGCCAAGAAGGCCGGCTCGAGGTCCGGCAGCCCTGCCGGCCCTGGCAGCCGCATGAAGAAGGAGACAGATGCCGATCAGATCGACTTCAACAAGAAGATTCTGCACATGAGCTGGCACCCCTTCGAGGACAGCATTGCCATTGCCGCGACGAACAACGTGAGTTTTCCTCTCCCCAAAAACCCGAATTACACACTCAAATGCTTATCCATTTGCAGCTCTTTGTCTTTTCGGCCCTATGAGCTCCGCAGGTCCATAACCATTTTCCATGAACAGGCGCATCTTGGGGATGGGATACGGTGGCCGGTGGACGGGGTTGGTTGATCTGAAGAGAACGGATGAAAGCCAAAAGGAAAATCCACATGACAAAAATTAATGGCCGTAGCTGCATGCCCCAGGTTCCATAATCTCACCACTGTCCCTTCGTCTGCTCCACGCGAGCCTCCGCATCATTTCGAGTTTCCCGTTCCTGGTTGTGTTTGGATTCCCCTTTCCTATATTCTGGTTGTATGCAGCTTCTTAGGTACCCCTGAAGGCGTTGTATGGAGGCGCTTCATGATAGAGAATGCGAGGCCTGTTTTGAGGCATGTTTTCATTGTTGTAGTTGTGTGTAGCCTTGGTCTCGACTGTGGAGGAGGTTCTCTCACTAAGCCTTTATTTCTCCTGTATGAGGATTGTATCTGTCTAATGGGAATAGAGGTACCTCAGTCTTGATCCTAAGGACCGTCTGGTAGCATTGTATGGTATTGCTGCTATGGGACACTTGAGGCGAATAAAAACATTAGGTGCCTCATTGGCTCGTCTACCGAGGAACAAAGCTGAATGTAGCCTAATAAAATCAGCTATAGAGAGCTTCGGGGTACTGTTTCTCTTCACTGCTCGCTCACTCCTGCCTATGACACCCGCTGGCGCAATCTCGGGATGCCCAGATCCCCCGTAATTTTTCTGCCGGCGGACGCGGGCGATGACGAAGGCGGAGGAAATGACTCGCTCCCACATTACAGAGTTTTACAATAATACACTCTGTCCTGGCAGACCGCCGAGTGCAGCCGTGTCACATACAGCTCATAAATACCGGAACAACCAAGGCCCGGAACAGGATACGCCTTACCGTATCTGGCCTAGCGGAGTCGGTCAGGAAAGCCTCCACTGCTGAAGCCCGCGATCGGTCGCGCGCACTCTACCTTAGCCTTATCATCGTGGTGCCTGTGGCTTGTCTTCTTTTGCTTTACTCAGAGCGCGGAGCATGCTCTGACATGACTGTCATTTGAGTGTCGAACCTCCGCCTCAGAGAACACGCGCCAGAGAAAACAGCTGGAGCTCATCTTCTCCAGACTCGCCGTCTCCCTCCTCCCTTTCCACCCACCACCCTAACAACGCCTGATACCGATACCCATTTTCTTACCGCCGCCGAGTTCATGACCAGATAATGAACTCTGGGAACGATAGCTGGCACTCCCCTGCTGGTGGGCCTCCGTCGCACCCTGGCATGGATCAGATGAACCAACAGAGGCCCTTGGGGTCTTTCAGGTATGCTCAATCGCCGCAACTCATTGCATGATCTCAAAGGCTAATATCGCGGTTTGCTTCGCAGTCAAAATCCTCCGAATCAAGGCCCGGGCTCACAGCCCTCCGGGCCTGTCCTCCCCCCTCCAGGCGGTTAGCACTCCTCCCAACCGACTTTAACACAATCTCGATTCCCCGATTTATATGTGCAGGAAACCATGATACTGACTTTGATGCGCTGTTAAAGGCCCCTACCATCCCTCCGGACAGTCGGGCGGACACTCCCTCCCCGGCCTGGCAGAATTGAGCCAGAGCCACGGGGCTCCGCACCAACCGACCTACGGACAGCACCCGCAGGGCCCGTCTCACGGTTCCGGTCACTCTCTCCCTGGTATCGGCCAGGCCATGCAACATGCATCTCCCCAGTCTCTGAACCGCGAGCGCGAGCGGGACTCAAGGGAACGCGAGATCCTTGAACGCCAGCGCCAGGAAGAGATGGCCCACCGGGAGCGTGAGCAGCGCGAGCGCGAACAGATGGAGCGCCAGCAGATGGAGCGCCAGCGCGATCACCACCCGGTTCAGAGCCACACGGGCTCCATTCCCCTACACCAGCCGGTCGCCTCGAAGGTCCCGAATTCGATCCACGGCCCAAATGGTCTCCTTTCGAGTCTCGGTAACAACCCACCCAATGGTCCTCAGGGAAATGTGCAGTCTTCCGGTGGTCCAGCCAGCCTCTTCGGCCCGCAGATGTCGCAGCACGGCGAGGGTACACCACGGTCGTACATGCAGCACCCGGGTGCCCCGCCCATGATGGGCTATAACGGACAAGGACAGCAAATTCCTGGAAATGTGGCGGCCCTCGCCCAGGGTCAGCAGCCGATTCTGAATGTCAGTCTTTGGCCCCCCCTCCGGATCCCCAGAAATATGGTCTAACCCTGGTTGGTTGATACAGGATGCCCTCAGTTATTTGGATCAGGTCAAGGTACGATTTGTCGACCAGCCTGATGTGTACAACCGGTTTTTGGATATTATGAAGGATTTCAAGAGTCAAGCGTAAGTTGTTGGTTTGTTGATTATTTTGCGGCTTCGGTCTGATCTTTGTTAGGATTGATACACCGGGCGTGATTCAACGGGTGTCGACTCTCTTCAACGGCCACCCGGCCCTGATTCAGGGGTTTAACACGTTTTTGCCTCCTGGATATCGCATTGAGTGCGGTACCGAGGATAACCCGGATGCCATTCGAGTTACCACACCATCTGGCACCAACACCCTGAGCATGCCTCGTGCGGGACGTCCTTTTGAAACTATCACTGAAACTACGGCTCCATCGGGAGGACTCGGTCCTCACGGCCGTACTGACTACTATGACCAGTCACGCCCCGGATGGCAGCAAGGCCAGCAACAGCAGGGCCAGCAGCATGGTGCCCCTGGATCATACTCCCCTGGTTCTCGGATGATGGGCCCGGGTATGTATCAACAGGAAGGACAAGGTCCTGCACAGGACCCTCACTATGGCTATCAGAGTCAAGAGGCTCAGGGTGCCTCGGCACTGTCTCATCAGCAGGATCATCGTGGTGTTGCTCAGTTGCAAGGCGCTGCTTCGGCGGCCTCTGGCATGGGGAGACCTGGCATGATGCAGGTCTCCGGTGCTGGCCAAGCTGCCGGCATGACCCAGCCTTTGAACGGTCTGGCTGGTGTTGGTGGTATGCTCCAGAGTGGTCATGCTGATCTGAACAAGCGTGGACCTGTGGAATTCAACCATGCTATCAGCTATGTGAACAAGATAAAGAACCGCTTCTCCAGCGCTCCGGAGATCTATAAGCAGTTCCTGGAGATCTTGCAGACCTACCAGCGCGAGTCAAAACCTATCCAGGATGTCTATGCGCAGGTCACTCATCTGTTCAACACTGCCCCTGACCTGTTGGAAGACTTCAAGCAGTTTTTGCCAGAGTCTGCTGCCCACGCCAGACAGGTTGAGCGGCAACGCGCTCAAGAGAACATCCCAGTCAGCGATCTCCGCAGTGGTCCTGGCGACTTCCCGTCGCAGACGCCTAACCGTGATGTCAAGATGCCCCCTCTCGGCCAGTTCAATGTGAAAGACTCTGGCAAAGAGAACAAGAAGCGCAGAGGCGCCCCTGGTATCACAGGCTCTATGTCCGGACCCTCGGGCGTTGATGCCGCCCGTATGCCTGATGCTCAAGTTCGTGGGCAGCCGGGTTCGTTTGGCAATCTATCCAAGGTTCGTTCAACTGCACTTGCACTTCCCGTTCTGCACGTTATATTATCAATCGGTTTTTTCTTTCGATTACCCTCACTCGCATCTCCGTTTCTGTCTAGTATCAGTTCACTAACGCATACAACAGAGACAAAAGCACACCCACGGCAGGCCATCCGGTGCTGATATCCCTAACGTTTCGCCTACTTTGATTCCAGCCCTCCCTGAGCCAGTTCCGCCGACTATGTTGACGACCCCCAGCCAAGAGGAGATTGCTTTCTTTGACCGCGTGAAGAAGTTTATCGCCAACAAGCAGATTTTCAGCGATTTCTTGAAGCTGTGCAATCTGTACACCAACGACCTGATTGACCGCTTCATTCTGGTCAAGAGGGCTGAAGGTTTCATTGGCTCCAATGCCGAGCTGATGAGCTGGTTCAAGCGTTTTATGAATGTCGAAGAGCCCGAAGACAAGACCATCGACCCCAAGCCCAAGACAGAGGCTGGTATGGTGAACCTTGCACACTGCCGGTCCTTGGGACCCAGCTACCGTCTGCTTCCTAAGCGTGAGCGACAAAAGGCTTGCAGTGGTCGTGATCAACTCTGCTTCGAGGTTCTGAATGACGAATGGGCTTCGCACCCTACTTGGGCGTCTGAAGATTCTGGCTTCGTTGCGCACAGGAAGAACCAGTATGAAGATGCTCTCCACCGCATCGAAGAAGATCGTCACGACTATGATCACCACATCGAAGCTTGCACTCGCACAATTCAGCTCATCGAGCCTATTGTCCAGCAGTTCCTCCATATGTCTGAAGTCGAGCGTGCCAACTTCAAGTTGCCGCCCGGTCTTGGTGGCCAGAGCGAGGCTATCTACCAACGCGTGATCAAGAAGGTTTATGACCGTCAGCGTGGCGAGAAGATCATCCGTGATATGTTTGAGCGCCCTTGCCAAATCTTACCTATTGTCCTATACCGCCTCAAGCAGAAGCTCGAGGAATGGAAGGCATGCCAGCGCGAGTGGGACAAGGTCTGGCGCGAGCAGATGCAAAGAGCCTACTGGCGCAGTCTAGACCACCAGGCCATCGCTACTCGCCAGACCGACAAGAAACTGTTCATTGCTAAGAACATTCAGCAGGATCTACAGGCCAAGTTTGAAGAGACCCAGAGCCGTCGGAAGAGTGGTCTCAATCCGCCCAAGTACCAGAGTCAGATGGAGTTCAAGGATATGGATGTCCTTTTGGATGCTACCCACCTGCTCTGCTTGTACATTGACCGGACTACCTCTGGATTTGGCGCTGAGCCGCAGCGTCTGATCAACTTTGTTAAGGATTTCATCCCTGCTTTCTTCGGCTTGGACCGTGACACTTTCCTCGATTACATGGATGAGCTCTCGGTCAGCGATACTCCTGCCGAGGAGATGGAAGATAACTTTGGTGCCGATGACGTCTCGAACGCTAGCCGAAAGGTTATTAACACGCAAAAGCTGGATCTATTGCGTGAGGTCCTTGAACGCCGAGTCGAGAAGGGTAATAGCAACGGTCAGCCCAAGGATGATGTTCCAGCAATTAGCCAGCAGCCTACTCCCGATGTACGGCCCCTTTCTGCGACTGCTTCTGAGCCGGAGGATACTTTCGATGTTGCTGAGTTGAAGTGGATGTCGCACCCTGACCAGGGTAACTTCAACCTGGAGCGCGCGTACACCCTCAACGAGAAGTACAAGAAGACTGTGCATCACATGTACTGCAACTTGAACATCCTGTGCTTCTTGCGCACATTTGAGATCCTTTATGCTCGCCTGCTGCGTATCAAGCAGCTGGAAAGTGAAGCCCATGAGCAGGTCCGTCGGGGTTTGCTGCCCAAGCCTGCACACGAGTTGTGCCTGATCGATCGCTTCCCTGGTGATTTCTTCTACGATGTTGATTCCAAGGCGAATCTCTACAAGCAGATTGTTCGTATGTGCGAGGAAGTCATCAGAGGAGACATTGACCAGCTTCACCTGGAGGAGACGCTGCGCCGCTTCTACATGCAGAGCGGTTATTTGTTGTACAACTTGGAACGTATCTTCTCGTCCATCACCAAGTTTGTGGCCTCGATCTTTACCGGAGACTCGCGAGACCGCAGCTCAGATATTGCGAACTTGTTCTTCAAGGAACGAGAGAAGGAGGAAACCACCCACCACCAGGAGATCCAGTATCGCAAGCAGGTGGAGAGGTTGGTTAAGGAAGGCGATATCTATCGCATTACTTATGTGAGTATCTTCCCTCTACTGGAATTGTCCATCGCTAACAAGGTTCTGCAGCTTCCCGCCGAGCGCCGAGTCACCATCCAGGTGATGTCCGCCGAAGACTCCACACTCGACAGCGAAGACCTCAGCTCTGAAGCCCGCTGGTCGTACTATGTCACCGCCTACTCCATGCGCGACCCAACTGAAGGTGTGCAATTCTCCGAGATGCGCATGCCTTTCTTGAAGCGCAGCCTCCCAAGCAAGCTCGACGAGGATGAGGAGTACGACCGCTATTACCGGCGCCTCCAGCACTACGACGGGCTGATCATCCGCATCTGCGCCAACAACTACACGATCCTCTACCAGCCCCCCAGCCACGACTGGTTCTGGCGTTCCACCGCCCCAGCCATCGACAAGGACGCCGACGCCGAGACCGTCAAGTCCAAAGAAGAGCAGCAGGCCAGGGAGAAGGCAGCTCTCCGCGAAAAGCGCCACGACCGCTTCGTGGAGAAGTTCGTCAACAATCCCAACTGGGCGCGCGGTCTGAGCAAAGACAAGGTCGACGAGTCAAACCAGCAATTCCGCTCCTGGCTAAACGGTACCCTATCCAAGGAAAGCCCGACTCCTGCCGAGGAGCCCGCCACGGAAGACAAGGAAGTAACTGAGAAGAGCGAGCCGGCAGACACCGAAATGGCCGAGGCCGAGCCCGCCGAAGCGTGAAGCGTGAGCGATTATGACGGGGATTAGGGGGAGATGAATTGCATTTACTGCTGAGAACGGGACGGCGTCTATCATACGAGGAAATTGCGACTATGAGTTCTTACGGTTTCTCTCACCTTGTGTTTTCTTTTTCTGTGCCTTACTTTTCGCAATGGTTTTGGGTCCGATCTATGATCTCCCCGGTTTGTTTATTATGCCTTTTTTTGCACTTGCACAAACCATAGTGCCTTTTTTTTCTCCTACTCGACTGGTATGTCTGACCTAGATCAGACGCCGCGTACGAGGATTGGAGCCGGGGTTGAGGAGTGCTTAATCTTGCCATAGGCCCCCCCCCCCCTTTTTTTGTACTGTATTCAATGTATTCTAGCCCAGAATTTTGCGGGTATTCCATATTCAGACTGTAGCTCTAGCGTCGGATAGGCACCGTCTAGCACTCACTAGGTAGAAACTGGAGCCACTCACCGGAAGCATGGTCGATCATTGATCCGCGATCCCCACCCCAATCAAACCAAATCCTTCCCCTGGTACCAATTCAGGGATGGCCCAGGTCTCCGTGTGGCCGAAACCGTTAACCGAGACAATCCGAGACGGTGAAATGACTGGACCACCGCCGGGCCGGGCGGGGCGCTGATCTATACTTTCCAATCTCCAGGCCGTGAAGCGGGTTCTTTCTTGCATGCATTTCGTGATATCTAATGCATACGGGGATTTTGCGGAGGTTTCTAGAGCTAGAGGAGGTTTGACCGGGGTATTCAGGGCGAAAGTTGGGGATATGATGGGTGTAAAATTGGGGAATGCGAGGAATCTCCGAGCTCCACCGAGTCTGGGCCGAGCTGACGTCAAGATGAACACCCAGGTTTCATTTGACTCGGGGGGAGGGGAACCTATCGGAATTTGGGGAATTGGGGGTTCTGAGAACAGTGAAGAAGCAATTGAATGCGTATAGACGTTTAATATAGCAATTGGATAGCTAGAACATGGTAGATCTACATTTCCAATCTATCAGGCTCACAACGCCGGAAGACTTTAGAGCCCGGACTGTATAGGAGAACTTTTCCTTTCTCCCGGAAGTCTGTGGGACCTTGCGCGTTTCTGCCTGTGGAGTTTTCACTCGCGGTATTTCTATCCTTGGGGATCCTTTTTTTTTTTCCTTTCTCCTCTTCATCCTCAGGAACTCTCCCCTTCACACCCTTCAGGATGGCTGCATCTGCACTTTTGAAGAGCCGTGTTCGCCGGCCCTCGTATCTGAACAAGCTTGCTAAGGCTGAGGATCTGATTGATCTGTTTCCTCATGGCTCGTACATCGGATGGTCTGGCTTTACGGGCGTTGGGTATCCCAAGTACGTTCTCTCTCTGCTTGTGATGGAAGGGGGCATGAAGGGCGGGTGTTAATGATTGAACAGGAAAGTGCCCATTGCTCTGGCAGACCACGTCGAGAAGAACAACCTCCAAGGCCAGCTCAAGTACAACCTCTTCGTGGGCGCTTCGTCCGGTGCGGAGACGGAGAACCGCTGGGCACGGCTGAACATGATTGAGCGCCGCAGCCCGCACCAGGTCGGAAAGGAGATCGCAAAGGGAATCAACAATGGCAACATCAAGTTCTTTGATAAGCATCTCAGCATGTTTCCCTCGGACTTGGTCTATGTGAGTCGAAGTTTAATGTCGGGGGTTCCCGCCGCGGGGATCGTTGCTGATCAGCGCTAATCCGGACCGTAGGGCTACTACACCATGAACAAACCGAACAAGAGGCTGGATGTCGCCGTTATCGAGGCTTCGGCCATCACCGAGAATGGCGGCATTATTCCCGGTGCTTCAGTGGGCGCTTCGCCCGAACTCATTCAGATGGCCGATAAGGTCATTATCGAGGTCAACACCGCCAGTCCGTCGTTTGAGGGCCTGCACGATATCGTGCTCTCCGACCTTCCCCCCGGCCGTAAGCCGTACTTGGTCATGGCTCCCGAGGACCGTATTGGAACCTCTTACATCCCCATCGACCCCGAGAAGGTCGTTGCTATCGTCGAGTCCGACTACCCGGACCAGACACAGCCCAACGCTCCGGAGGACGAGGCCTCGCAGCAGATCGCCACGAACCTGATTGAGTTCCTCAAGCACGAGGTGAAGCACGACCGCCTGCCTCCCAACCTGCTTCCAATTCAATCCGGCATCGGCAACATCGCGAACGCCGTCGTCGGCGGCCTCTCCAAGGGCGGCGCAGACTTCACCAACCTCAAGGTCTGGACCGAAGTCCTGCAAGACTCCTTCCTCGACCTCTTCGACAGCGGCAACCTCGACTTCGCCACCGCAACCTCGATCCGCTTCTCCCCCGACGGCTTCAAGCGCTTCTACGACAACTGGGAGCGCTACGCCGGCAAGCTCCTCCTCCGCTCCCAACAAGTCTCCAACTCGCCCGAAATCATCCGTCGCCTTGGCTGCATCGGCATGAACACCCCCGTCGAAGTCGACATCTACGCGCACGCCAACAGCACTTGCGTAATGGGCTCGCGCATGCTGAACGGCCTCGGTGGATCCGCCGATTTCCTCCGCAACTCCAAATACAGCATCATGCACACGCCCTCCACCCGGCCCAGCAAGACCGACCCCACCGGTGTCAGCTGTATCGTTCCTTTCGCTACGCATGTCGATCAGACGGAGCACGATCTTGACGTCATCGTTACCGAGCAGGGTCTTGCTGACGTGCGTGGTTTGTCGCCGAGGGAGCGCGCTCGCGTTATTATTAAGAAGTGCTCGCACCCCGATTACTACCCTATTCTTACGGATTATCTGGATCGCGCCGAGTTTGAGTGCTTGCGGAAGGGTATGGGCCATGAGCCGCACTTGCTTTTCCAGGCTTTCAAGATGCATCAAAACTTCCAGGAGAAGGGCACTATGAAGATTAGCTCTTGGGACTAAGGATCAACGGGATATTATCCAGGTTTATGGGTTTTTATACATTACTGGATTGAAATGGGTCTGGTGTGTTGGGTGTATATAACTTTAGCGTTTAATTTTGAGTGATCAAAGTTTATTGGGTCATGTTTACATTAGCTGGACTTGTAGACGGCGGCGTATATCCAAGATTGATTTTGGATTTAAGTAATGGACTAAGCTTAGCCGTATGTCTTGTTTGTCCACTAAGATGGGTGATAATATAGCTTTACGTTGACAAAATCCTCGTCGTGATTGGCATCGGCTGTTTACAGTAATTTGGTGGTGGGTCTACTATTGTGTAGATCACAACTTCGATCAGGCTACGAGATAACTTGACAGCACGGTCACTCATCTCCATCTCTTATCTGCATCTCAAGTCTTCGTAAATGGGATATCTTTTGAATAGAAAAGTAAAGCTTGAATAACTGAAATCTTTGTACCAAACTCCAAAGGTATCACAAACGAAACATCAACATCAACCGAAGTATTTACAGCGTGAAGCCATATTATCCACCAGAATTATGCAATATAAACAGGCTCGTCCATCTGAAAAAGCATTCTTAAATCGATCACTTAAGCCGAAGTAGGAGGCTGGTACGATCCACCAGTGAATCTATCACAAGTCAGCACCAACTCTTCAACACCAATACCACAGTGAAGGAATCTTACCGGCTCCAGAGCGATCCCAGAATCCCAGTCGACTCGGCAGAAGACTTGCGACGAGCCCAGCCGGATTCCACGTTGTAGTGCTTGGTATCTTGGAGACCAGCGAAAAGGCCTCGTCCAGCAGTGGGGCGCTAAGACGATGTTAGTATGTTATGTCCGATAGTTACAATGGGGGATGGACATACGCGGTGCTCCTCAGCGGGATTGCGAACCCAGTAATCCGCGCCGAAGTCGTTTTGGAGACGGGTGGCCTGGGAAGTCTTGGATGCAGAAGGCATTGTTGTGGTGTTTGGTTTGTATGAGTGGCGATGTATAGAGTAGAGTAGAGTAGAGTTGTTTGAGTGAAGATCTTGTGTTTGATGATGATGATGGACGGAATCGAGGATGCATTCTCACATCCTTATATACCTTTGCTCCTCTCTAAGACTCAGACACAGCCTTGAGAATCGAACATCTAAGCCTTAAAAAAATGTATGGTACCACACCCTATACCGGCCGAGGCCGAAGCAGTTCTGCGGTGTCGGTTCCGAAGGCCATATCTCGGATGACCATCGCTCCAATGCGATTGGTGTAAATCCCGTTTCATGGCCCCATTTCATTCTCTGGGTGACATGATCTCTGTCTCGTGCGATTGGGTCTGTGTTGAATCTGGGGATTGGGGTTGGGTGGTTGGTGTTCGTGGTAGGCTGGTTGAGGTGAGTCGTGACGTAGCGAGTGGTGCGGTGACGGCCGAACCACGCGGAATGGGATTTTCCCGTACCATAAGCGTTGAGAGTTTCGGGTTGCCCGTGAGGCTTAGATTAATTTCCTCCTTTGGTTACAGGGGAGTTTCGGGAGATCTTGGGATGGTGCTTTTGCTGGTCATGTGCTTTAGGAATTTGTCGGGTGTGGCATGATCGAGGTTCGCGGGTGGTGTGGTGTATAGCCATGAGGAAGGACGGAATATACCGAATTCTTCATGTCAGATTCAGATTTTCATTCTGTGGAGTCATGGCTTTACTGCTGTAAGTTGTAGCTTTTGGTGGTCGGCTTTATACAGGCACTGTGTTACAAGACATGATCCTGTACCCTTGGTACTATGCAAACCCTCAATCTTTGAGCAGTGAATGAAGAGCCTCGATTGACAGAATTGGAAGAGACCACCTTTCGCCAAGTTCTATGCCTAAGCTAAGTTCATGATCACCTATGTCTTGGTCTCAGGCATCGTACGATGCTGCAGATTAAGTTAACAGCTCCTACGTCCATGCGTAATTCGCATCCCATGCCTCAAAACCAAACACCCGCGAATGGCACCATCAAGGAAACTTCTCGGCATGATTGTTATGCCAACGCAGCCTCAAAGAACACGCGCTGATTGAATGAAGTACCTCAGGATTTCTTTGCCCGATCGGAAAGTCCACGTTCGGAGAGAAATGATTCAGGAGAAGGGAAGACAATCTCAACTTGACAAGCGATGCTTGCAGGGAAAGTTACGAAGACATTTACTGTATCAATTCATCGTCCATGATCGTGCCTTCTGGTGGGGACTCGTTGAGCCAGGATCAGACCGGTGGTGATCGACGCAGGCATTGATCCCAACAAGCTTTGAGCTATGGTAAGCCCTGCACTAGTAAGGGGAAGGCTGTTTCAACGGTGGGAACATTAACGCTAAATGCTTACAGACAACAATATACCCTACCTCAATCACTACTCGGGGTAAAGCGGCGCCATTCTCTATCTTAGTCCTCCTCCAGACGACTACCAAGTCATCCACTATCGCCCGAGCGACGCTTCTTTGTTTCGAAAAGCAAGTGATGACCGGTACAGCGAAGCACAACGGTGTAGACGAGTTCCCGAGCGAGGTCTAAGGAGACCACGATACACATCTGGGCACTTGAGAGACGGGTAGCTACTACACAGTATACGACCCCACAGCTAGTGCCCCAAGCGGCTGCTTGAGATGTGTCCAGGTTATGGACATCACTAACCAGAGACCTGGACCGTGACCACGGCCAACATCTGGACAAAGATCATTTTTACATCTGGCAAATCCTACAGATGGCGTTCTCTCAGTCACTGCTCGTCCATCCAAGGATGCTATCTGCCAAGGTACCGGAGGTAGGTCGCGTCTGAGAACCTCGAGACTTGGCAACGGTTGCCTGATGCCCGAGGATATATCGCTCAATGAATTCGGGCGAAGCAGGCCAGGAATGCTGGGCCCAGAGATGCCAATGGATCGCACCCACATGGGCAGAGACAGAGATTGCATTCCAAGACACCCGGGCATCCATGTCTCATCCCGGATCGCACAACGACATATTTTGAATGACAAGCTGGGGAAGCGCCAAGTGGCGAGATTACACCATTCTCGACCCAAGGTATAATGTGAATTACGAGTCTTTTTAAATGAGGACCAAGACCATCTAATTTGGTGGCGTCTACACGGGTCAACACAAACACCGTGGCGAAGCGCCTTGGGCACGGCTCTCATGGAGACCACGGGAGAAGACTCGGCCCCACGTCACCGATACCGGTCACACTCTGGGGGGCAACCACAAATGGTCCACCGCCCCTTCAACCCCCTGAATAACCTCAATTCCAGGGTCTCGCCCTGCGTCGACCTGACTAGCAAACACCCTATTCCACAAATCCGGAAGTTGCGCGGTGCCCAGATCGACCACCCCGCTTGGCACACCGTAGCGCCTCCGGATTACCGCGGTCGAGACCAAGTGGGCGGTGGGTCGTATAGTAACCGAGCCATGCCACACCGCTCCAGAACGTACGTCGTCAGGTGATGGCGAAGGCTCGAACCCCTTAAGAGCGCGTAACTGCAAAGTCAAACGACAAAATCTACGCACGCAAGTCAATTATTGGCCCCGATCGGGTAATGACCGGAAGCAGGCGAGCCGAGACTAGCGAGGTATTTCAGGAGGTAAGCGGAGTGTGGCTTGGGCAAGTGCTCCTCCACATTGGTAATGTACTAGTAGTCTTGCGCGGCTCGGCAGTGAAATGCACTCCACGAACAACTTCGGATGCCCCAAGGTGCGGTATGTGTAGACGTCTACGCATGTCTGTCTCATTCTTCTACGGTATGTTCAAGAGGGGGATCTAGACCGCGGCATTGTGACCAGCACCCGATAGATTGGAGAGGCCTGTGCCCACTCTTCCACTCTTCACGGTGATCTTCGATGCGGAGCGTGGGGAGTCGGGGCGGGTTTCTACGGTATAAAACATTAGAGAATGCTAAGCCTTGGTTAGAAGGTCGGCCGGACACAGACGGGTCCATAATTTCCCAAGGTTTGTTCACAGCCAGTCTGATGCGTCCCGGATGATCGGCAATTGTCGTGACAGCGCTGACGAGTCGACGGTGATCGGGGGGGGACGTGTGTTCACTGGAACGGGTAAGCGCGTGGAAAGGGCGGGTATATTGATGGACATGAATGTTATGATAGGAGAGTTGAAGACGCAGCTATGTCATGGTTGCCACCGGAACCAGGGGAGTTACAGCAATCATAACAAAAGAGCACCAACGAAGAGGAGTAAATAAATTTACCAGCGCGAATGGTGATCGGCAGGGCGGAAATTAAAGTCCAAAGCGCCGCCAATGATGAGCCCTACGCAGATCCACAGCTGCCACTTGCCCGCTTCGGGAGTAGATCGGAACCACATGGCCTCAATTTCCTGTTTTTTTTCTTTCCTCTCGGGACTCCCCTTCCCCAGGACGTGTTCCAGACGAACTACAGGGGCTGCGTAGATCTTCGTTTCTGGGCATTCTGATCTCCACGCTTTATACATCGGAAGCAGATGGCAAAGCGGAACGAACGGCGAAAGTCCATGCGCAGCTGTCAGGGGCCGGTAAGGGGGCGAACTACCGTATCTGTACTCGGGGTCCGCCCCCCCCCCAACTGAGACAGGCCTATTTTTGCTGCTTACTCGGATTCGGTCTCTTTACAGCTGGTACCGTACAACTGTTTACGTAGACCCAGAGAATCCCCACTCCTGGCCGACCCGTGCGGGCCAACCAACTCGGGGAATACACCGGGTCTGCAGGCTTCCCCCAATGAGATCGCTGTGCCTGAACGCACGTCTAGGCTTGACCCCGTACGAACGGCCCAGGGGTAATAAATCACGATCGGTGGATCCGGAGAGGTACTACAGCGCCTAACTCCCTTTTCATCTGCCTCTGGCCGTTTCTCCCCCTTTTCCTTCCCCCCGAACCCCCCTTCCACACACCCCCAGTGCTTTGAGTCTCCAACAAAAGGCCTTGCGTGCCCACCCACTCTCCTTTACTTTCTCATCCCACGTTCCTTGATATTACCAACTACCACCGCTTCACTCGTTCAGCGGGCATTCATTCCTTGTGTGGACGCAACTCGAATTCTCATCATGAAGGGTTCAGTCTTTGCGGCCGCGGCCATGGTCGGATCTGCCATGGCCGACGGTCACCTCCACCGTCGCCACGAGGCTCTTCACCAGCGCCGTGATGCTTCATCCAGCGCCTCCGCTGTCACCTCTTCGGTCCCCGCTCTCGAAACCGAGGAGGCTTGTGGTTGCATCACCAAGGTCATCACCTACCTGGGTTCGCCCACTCTGGTTCCCATCCAGACTCCCACTTCGGCTCCCGAGTCGACTTCGACCCTGACCAGCACGGTTCACTCGACCAGCACCGCTACTAGCACCGTGACTGTGACCCCCTCGACATCGTCGACCGTCACCGTGTCGCTGCCCACCAACGGTGTTACCAGCTTCTCCTCCACTGGTACCTACACCATCCCGGCCACCACCTTGACCGTGACCGACACCACCACCGTCTGCGGTGCTACCAGCACCGAGGTCCCCAGCGGTACTCACACCATCGGTGGTGTGACCACCATTGTCGAGACTGGCACCGTCGTGACCTGCCCCTACGCCACCGTCAAGCCCACCGGTACCACCGTCACCAGCATCATCGAGTACACCACTTACACCTGCCCCGTGGCCGGTACCTACACCGTCGTGCCCGGTACCGTCACCTCTGTGCCTTCCGCTACCACCATTGTTTACCCCACTCCCTCGACCATCACCCCGGGTACCTACACTAAGCCCGAGACCACCATCACAGCCACCGTCACTGACACCACCTACTACTGCCCCTTCGCCACCAGCACCGGTCTGCCTTCCTCCACCGCTGTTGCCAGCTCGCCCGCTCCCGTTGAGACCACCGCTGCTCCCACCAGCGTTGCTCCCACCAGCAGCACCTCCACCGCCAAGGCTACTAGCACCGCAACCACCGGCAGCGGCCTGACCGGCAGCGGCCAGTGGGGTATGACCTTCTCTCCCTACACCGAGAGCGGCAACTGCATGACCCAGGCCGAGGTCACCAAGAACATTCAGACCATCAAGGACAAGGGCTTCAACCTGGTCCGTGTTTACTCCACCGACTGCAATGGTCTCGAGTACATCGGCTCCGCCTGCAAGTCCCTCGGCGTGAAGATGATCCTCGGTGTCTACATCGAGGCCTCCGGTGTCTCGGGCGCTCAGGAGCAGGTCGAGGCCATCAACAAGTGGGCCCAGTGGGAGATGGTCGAGCTGCTCGTCGTCGGTAACGAGGCCATCTCCTCCGGCTACGTCTCCGCATCCCAGCTGGCTTCCTTCATCACCTCCTCCAAGTCCGCCTTCGCCGCCGCCGGCTACACCGGTCAGGTCACTACCGCCGAGCCCATCGACATCTGGCAGGAGCACGGTGTCTCCAACCTGTGCTCCCCCGTCGACCTGGTCGGTGTCAACATCCACCCCTTCTTCAACGCCCAGACCACCGCCGAGCAGGCCGGTGAGTTCGCCTTGAGCGAGTACCACATCCTCGAGAAGATCTGTGGCAAGGACGTCGTTAACCTCGAGACCGGCTGGCCCAACGCTGGTGACGCTAACGGTGCCGCTGTTCCCGGTCCCGCCGAGCAGCGGACCGCCATCAAAGCCATTGCCAAGGCCCTCGGCTCCAAGTCTATCTTCTTCTCCTATGCCAACGACGACTGGAAGGCCCCTGGCGAGTTCGGCGTCGAGCAGCACTGGGGCTGCGCCGATGTCTTCTAAACTAGCCATGCCTAAATAAGATGTTTTGTTAAAACTTGTACAAGAGGAATAGGAGTTTTTTTTTTTTTCTTTCTCACCTCGGACCTTTCCCTCGGGATTGATTGTTTTCCCGGGGCGAAGGGTTCCGTCTTGACTTTACCATTTCTCTTGTCTGATATCTTGGACGTTTACGTGGTAGATACTCCTTTTATTCGACGTTGTCTACTGACCAGGTTGCATCCACTCTTCTATTTGTTTTTCCGCTCTTTTGCGTTGTCTGTATATGTTTATCTTATTGATGCATTTTATGATGTACTGCGCAAGTAGTTGTAGTTCTTATCTCCAACATTCCCGTGATGATCCCGTATCTCCGTGAGATGGAATGTGTCACTGGGGTTTCCTCGGGCACTGATTGTCCTGTGCGTTACCGCTGCAGTTGGCCGTCCAAGGCCAGGATCTCCCTGATGTTTCAAGGTTTTTATTTTGTATTCAGCCGGCTGGGAATACCCGGCAGTTCCTGTTGGATGGTTTGGCCACAACTCAAGGTCTAAAATGAAGCTCTACAAGTGGCCCAGCCCCGGAGTCATACCAAAGATACGATACGAATCTTCCCTCTCGATCTCACCCATCAATTGACCGACCGTATGTACGGATATCTTATCGCATCCATACTCGAGCATCCAAACCCTGCACACACTGCCCGAAGTCGAACCCCAGCCATCTGCAGGCCCCCTTGTTCAGCCGCATCCTGGCAACACAGTGTTGGTGTCTCACCACTGAAACAGTCCCCGCATGTACACCACCTGCAACTTCAAACAGCAAAGCGAGGAGACCGCTCAACGCTTCTAGCCCCCAGCATCACCGTTACCTTTCTGGGGTTGCTGCAACCTCCCACCTTGCATTACCCCTCCCAACCCTCCAGATAAGATATCAGTCAGGCCAACATGTATAATCGAAGATGCAAGTAGCATAGGCAAAAAAGTGGACAGTGTCAGTTCTCAATGATATTTACCCATTAGAACGCAATTAAATACACGAGAAAGAAACGTTCCAACCCGTCATCCCACACCGTGATCGGCTATGTGCAATACAATTTCACCCCGTGGCTTCAAGCCTCTCAGTTCTGGTGGGGGCAAGTCTAATTCCATCCGTTAGCATGTCCACATATTCCCGAGGTTTCTCGTAAAACCCAAGGTTGGGGTTTGTTGACTTACTCCCATGGTGCTGTTGCCTTCAGTCACGCACTGCAGCGGGTAGCAGCACGCCATAGGCTGGCCCCAGGTAGCGGTCTTGTTGCAGGATAGCGTAGGCTGGAGTTCGTCAGTATTCGATCGTAGGATTGGAAGTTTTTTCCCCTTTTTTTCAAAAGTCGGGCGTCTTACCTCACGGCACGTCTCAGCGGCCTTGGGCATAGCGTAGGCAAAGCTGGCGAGGAAGCCGCAGACGAAGACGGAGGCGCGCATGTTGAAGGAAGTGAAAGGTTCTGGACGGAGTGATTGTTAGCAGGAGTCAGGAAAACGCGGATTTGAAGAATTTGGAGCTGAGATGAAGGGATGGAATCGGATCGAATGAATCAAGCAGCGAAACAAATGCAAATCGAGTGAGTGATGGATGGATTTGAGTGGTGCGATGATGAATCGTGTAATTTGCAAGAGATCGATGCAGAAGCAGAGACGAGTACATACCGAGAAATATCGGGATTTGAAAGGAGCGACAATATTCTAGGCGAGCTCGGGAATGTCAGGTCACTGGGACGTCTTATAGCATTCCTGACGTCGTGCCGCGCAAGATGGGGCCAGGGACCGCCACGCACGACGCTCCCGTGGAGTCGGTGTCGATCACCTCGATGTAGGTGAAACAGGATCTACAGGGGGAGCTGAGTAAGATCGTGCTTTTTTTATTGGTAGAAGCCCTTGACTGCTCTGTTTAGTCGTTTGATTCATGGGGTCTAGAATCTGACACTTGGTAAGGCTGAGTCTGTTTCAATATTTCCCTAAAGGGTTGTGTTTGGGAAATACTCTTCTTCATGATCCAAGTAGCGTTCAAGATAATTATAGCATCGGCTATGGCCCGATACCATGAGCTACTGTGCTAAGCGAGTGGTAGGACCACCTCCGTGGGGCGGGAAATCAGAAAGAGTGACCTGGTTAGTGCAGGGCAACTGGGACGGTAGCAAGGCACCGATAATCCCCCGGAGTGACGCGCAATAAGGGGAAGCTCTTGGCGCTGGTGTTTCTTGCTTGGCGTAGGTCCTGCGAGGGGTGACGACTTGCGGTGGCCGGGCCTTGGCGGGGGCAAGAGCTTTGCTGGTGGTGACTCGCTTGGTAGGGATGTGCTGCCAAGCTGCCAAATCAACCCCATGTCTGATAAATCCTGTTAAATAACGTCTTGTTGGTGATTTACAAGTTGCAATTTATCGCATTCACTATAGGATTTGAGCCTGGCGACCCGCTTGTGGAATACTTTAAACCTTTTTTTATAGACACCTACATAGAATATTTCAGCATCTACCACCTCGCCTCTATCCACTCCAGAAGATCCACTACGTCATATCTCCGCATCCTCCTAGCCAACATTAATGGCGTCTCACCATTCCTATCTCTCAGGTCAACCCTCACCCGCCCTGTTGACAACAAGACCTCTATAACATCCACGTGCCCATTCCTGGCTGTCAGCAAAAACGGCGTATTAAGCATACAATCAGTGTGATCTACAACCAAATCAGGCGCTTCTTTGCCTTGGTTGAAGGAAAGGATGCCCCGCCAGTTCGCCAGCCGTTTTTCTCGCATCTGGATGCCAGACAAGCATTCTCTTGGCGAAATCCAGGAACGCTTCCCTCTCACCTCCTGCAAGAAAGGATACTGTGTCGTCTAGTTTGCGGTCGGGGATCAAGTCTTCGTAGAAAAAGCGACCTAGGATGTATCATGAGTCTGAGAATAATTCGTTGGAGATAGGAAAGTCAGTAATACCGTTATTGTCAAAAAATGGCCCACAGAAGTACTCCTGCGCGGTCTCACATACTCTGCCGTCTTCTCGTCTGATTGGTCCCGGCCATGAGTACTCTCGCATGTATTGATACCTTTATATGACCTCTAGAGGAGGTGGACCGAGTAATGCTATCATTTCAGCAATGTGTAGTTTAGCATCGTAGCGACCTTTTTGATCATGAATATGCCGAGATAGCTCTTTGCCTTCGATCATATCCCACAACTAGTATAGCATTAGTGGATGAAACAACTCTGGAGAACAATAGGACGAACCAGAACACCAAGATTCCAAATATCCACAGGCATTTGCCATCCATTACCCAGAATCACTTCTGGCGCCCGATAGTGGTCTGGCTGAATGGGCCAAACGCCCCAGTCGTCGTCTTCTTCGAGTCTAGTTGCCAAGCCAAAGTCGACAAGCTGTGGTATACTTCTCAGGCTTTTGAGCGGCCCGAAGTCATTACGGGACTGATATACTGGCCTTCCCGCTGAATCAAACTTAAAAACAATCGGGTTTTCAAGCTGAGAATTCATGAAATCAGCAAGCACGGCTGGATCCTCGAATGAGACCATAATGTTCTCAAGCTTTAGATCTAGGCAGCCACCTAGGCTCAGAATTGCCGACGGGAAGCATGGCCGAAGATGAAATTACCCGTATGAACTGTCCTGCATTCTCTGTGCAGATAATCAAGCCCCGTAAGAAGAGCACGAATGTATGTTTTAATGAGGGGCAGCGGTATCTTTCTATCGTCAAAGCGCCGCTGATACATCGACAATGACTCCCTCATGGGCGGATACACAAGACGCGAATAAGAACCTTCTGGACCTTTCACTTCAAAAGAGTCTAACAATGTTCGCATAAGTGAGCGACCGCGATGTGATGGGTCTGCCGTGGAAATATGGTCTTCAACTTCGCGCTCGTGACCAGCGGAACTCGCATTGTTCTTGGCGATTTTCAGTGCTATAATACTCTCTGGCTCTTCGATATGCCTGTATATTTGTTAGAGACAAAGAGAGCTTTGAACTGAAGAGAAATTCTTGAAGGCTACCCTTGCAAATCACGCCCGAGCCATACTGTTGAAGATACGCCCCAACCAACCTTGACCATGATTTGGTAACGATCACCGAGTACCTCTCCAGGCTTCGCTGGGTAGAAGTACTTGGAATCGTATACTGGCGAGATCTCTTCATCAACGAGTATGCCGGAGGGTAAAGGTGGCCCGGGAGAAGATATGGGGAACGGTTTCTTCCGAAGCAAGGCAGATAAACGAGACATGAATGGCTTTGTAGTGTTCATTACAGAGTAGCTCCCGGTAAGCCGACGGGACAGTGTGATATGAGTGATTGTCGAAGAAGATCAAGGAGCCCGAGCACGGCTGGTTAACGTGGACGAGTGCCAAGGATGGAGATCCGGCAGATCATCGCACACCTGCAACACGTTATTGACTAGCAAACCACGCTCATACAAGCCATCTGGACCGAACAAAAAGAAGTGGAACACAGCCAGAATAAAATTTAGACCCGAAACGAGAAGCTGCGCGAGGAGGTGCAGGCGCTGCGGAAGCGGATCGAGGGGCTGAACGCGCCGACCGCGACATGATCCTGGGCCGCCGTATCCCTTGCTATAGGCTCATATGGGATAATCGCCCACAAGTATAGCTCACCCGTATCCTGCTGTTCACGATTGTATGTGCAGAAAAAGGTCGACAAGCAAGATCAGCACGAAGCTTCGAAGATCGCACCTCCCGCACACTCGGCATAGAGGCTCGAGATGAAACCTCAGTGCATTTACTACATTTGGAAGATCGTTCTCTCAAGTTAAAATCTCCTTGACATAACTAACGGATCCTTAGAAGTATGGCCTCACGTGCAAATGGACAGTTGAATTCATGTAGAAGCAAGCGTGTTGAATCCCGGAAGGTCTAACATAACGAGAAGACGAGGCACTTGGTATTTCTAGAAGTGCCCAACCATCGATTTTAAATGAATGTATCCCATGAGCCTGGGCGCCCTTCGATGAGCCTGTCAAGTTTTCTACTATCCCTCTAAAGCCTTCTGTCCAATGCGGACCAAGTCAGCATTGCTCAGGGTGTCCTTCTCGAACCCGTTGGTGACCTGATCCAGCAGAGCTGCTGCGATGACCGGCAGGTCGATGTGAGGGAGGCCAGGGATCTCCCGTGTCTCCCTCTCCGGGGAGTCAATGAGCCCAGGCTTGACGACAGCGGACTGGACGGCACCTTTGGACTGCTCACCGTATGCGAGGATTTGAGTCTCTGCCTCGCCCTAGAGTAGATTTAGTTAGTATTCGATTGATATGCGGCATAGCATAGGGACGTCGGTAGAGGAATGCGCGATCCCGCCCCATCGTCCACACATACCCGCAAGAGGCCATAGTTGATGAGGCCATGGTTTTGTAGTTCTTTCGGCACCTCGGCCACGCTGCGGGGGGCAAAATGGCCGCTCATGTAGATGAAGCGCAGTGGTCTATCTTTCTGGTGATGGAGTTCATCGAGAGTCTTGATGGCCGTGATAGCGTAGTCGCGGGAAATCTTGCACGTCTCCTCAAACGGGATGGTACTGAGCTTCATTGGCGTCACAGCGATGGTCCTATTTTGGGTCAGTTAGCTCCCTCATACACTGCGAGCGAAAGGGACGGGATATGACGTGACTGAAAAACGTTGGAAAGCAGCCGGGGCGGCATAATGAGGGAGGGGTTACCAGATAGCGGCATCTGCACCCTCAAGTTCCTTCTTAACACTGTCGGAATAGCTCTCAAAATCCTCGCAGACGATCGACTTCAGCTTTGCAGCGGCTGGTCCGGCCTCTAGTGGTGCAGGGGTCTCACGCCGGCCAAGGGCGACGATAGAGCTGATAGCCGGGTTCTTGAGACCCTGGCGGATGAGCTCTGCGGCCACAAAGCCGGTTGAACCGCCGATTACAAGCTTCATGGCGATATTGGGTTGTGGTTAAACGGGGATGTGGTTTAATATAAGGCAGAATAGAAGAGACGTAGGAGTTACGTTGATTTATGTTGGTTTTGGTTGGTGTTGGCTTGTGATTGTGCCGGGTGAGGTGAGAAATACACCTAGGGGTACTCGTATTTGGTGCTCGGTACCTAGTACCCCTGGCGGTCTGGCCGGGATCGTTACGACGGACTGAAGTGATTCGCTGCGTGGGACTAGTAGCCAATGGACACTTGTAGGGAACGTGCCTCTTACGTGAGATTAAAAGCCGATAGGGCCCCTATCGGATTTCTCTATTCTGCGGCGCAGAACTTGCTTTACTTCTTTCTTTCTATAGTCAATCTCTCTCTCAATCACCACGATGTCTCTCTCAGAGTCAAGCCCATATAGCGAATGATCTCAACGGCAATAGAACTAAATGAGCAATCTTTATATCGTTAGAACATTATTACTCTCTCTTTTTTCCCCGTCGTATATTTCCTGTCAATCATTCCATCCTATCTTGACGCTCAAGGTCAGCCCAATATACACTTTTGTTCTTAAAAGCCTCACTGAAGAACGTAATGTGCGATGTCCCTTTTTGAACCTACCTTAATGCAGAACATTTTCCGTGGATCTTTAATTCGATGGCTATTTGGAATAGAAAAAAGCCCTGGCCTAAGACTATGGGTTCAATTTCGAGTGGACGTTGGCGCTTAACAGCCGTCGTTATTCTCTGTTCATTCATTATCATTAAGCCTTTATAATACATAATCTCAGCGATCCGCTGAGTTTAAGAGAAAGTTATATTCGCATCACTCCCTTCTGTAGCTGGGTACATGACAAGTGCACTTTGAAGTCCCTGCAGCTCTCGCAGACAGCTTTCAAGAGCAGCAGACAGGTCTGAAATACGTTTTATGTCTACCGCCAAAACAGAGCTCTGAATCTCTTGTGCCAATCCCTTGGCGGCTAGTTGGTATGTTTGCACCACCATAGTAGGATGCTGTAGTGTTTAGTGTGAGAACAAGGCCGATTAAAAAGCTAGTTGTACTTACCGGGTGTGCCCGAATGTCTTCAATATTTGCCTTAAGTCCATGTTTTCCTTGGAAGCCAGGGCTTGAGACTCCATGGTTCGTTGAAGCGAGGTAGGAAATTTGCATCGCGCTTATAAGTCGCTGGCTATTCCGGTAATTTGTGGTTAGCTTCAGTGTTTCGCGGAGACTATTTCCTGGAGATAGTGGCTGGTCCGCAAGATGACTCTGAAGACGGCAAGAAAGCTCGTAAAAGAGAAGGACCGCGAGATCGCCATCAGTGGCGCAGAAAATCGCACTGCGCCGCACATCGGCTATTGATAGCTGCAGACTCATAGCCGAGTCATAGTCGATTGTGCCAAAAGTCGTTCTCCATAGATCAACGAGCATTATCATCCTATTAAAATGCTGATGGATCTCTTCATAGTTGACGTGGATGGCCCCTATATTCTGAGTTGCTATAGTCAAGCGAGCAAGTGATTTCCACATTAAGACGACGAAAGACCCTGATTCAAGCAAGGCACTATGCACAAGTTGCTCCGCGGAGCCTTGAGTCCATAGCACTGTCACCGGCCGGGCCACTGTCTTGACCCGCGCAATAATGGCATCATCCATCGGTCTCGGATTTCGCCCATTATCCACGCTTTTGACATCCAAATCCTGAGTTATTTTCTCTTTCAAGTGAGTATTGTCGGTATTGAAGTTATTAACAGATGGTGCAACAAGAAAACTTGGAAATGGGGAAAGAGCAATTGATACGCTTTGTACCATCTCAACGAGCCATTCAAAAGCTGCGATCAGCTCTAGAATGTTTTCAAGGGCTTCTGGGGACAATATGTGGAACAGACACTGCTTTTGCACGGGTGGATGCAGTCCCATCAAGGGCGTAATAATACTAGAGCGGGCATCACCACTCTGGAGACAAGTACGAGCCTCAGCGCATAGTATTTTCAGTCGTCGAATGCCTTCTTGCAGTGCATAGGCAGCGTCTTCTTCAAAATCACGGCTCTGATCCGTGCCAGTGGGTGGCAAGATTGTTCCAAAGAGGAGAAGCGACAATCCTAGACGGAATGATTTGCTTGCCGCAATATTCTCGAACACCATGTGTTTTGCCTTGGACCAGGTAGCATATGCAATATCTTTTGCTTGCTGGTGAGACTTTTCTTTGTTCTCAGCACCATTTTCATTGACAGCAAATTGCGACCCGGTTGCAATGGCAACCCATTTGTGGGTTTCAGTCAAGGCAACATCGCGAGATATCAATCGCCTATATCCGGAGCGAGAATCTAGACGTTGGAACAGCAAATCAAGAATGCTAGCTGTCAGGAACAATCGTGACGTAGCAGAAGTTGGCAGCCATGGAGAAGATCCCATTTCCCAAGAATTCATGATGCTCAATTCAGCTTGGTTGAATCGTGCGGCTAGCTGTGTATTGTTTCTCAATGGTGTTAAAGCACCGATTCCCAAAGAGTAAAAAGGAGGCACGCATTTCTCTGAAAGAATTTTTGACATTGGAATATCAAAAATGTCAATGTATACTCCCAATTTCTGAGAGCATGTCCGGGAAGCCATTGTACGGTAAACCAGAGTACAGTCGTGGCTTGACAGACTTGTTGGAGTGGAAGGTGAGAGACCTTCGTCGGTGGGCTCGTTGATGACACCAGTGCCATGGTCGGTAACATGACTCTTAACGGAAGATGCAAGCTTCTTGGTATTATGGGAAAACTGCTTGCTCGCACGCCATGCAACTGTGCAAACCGTGCCCCGTAGTTTGCACATGGAACAAGGTGATGAAGGAAAATTGTTTGAGAAGGTGGTGTTGGGGGGCAAATCGCAGGCCCTTTTCGCTGTACGGCAGGGATCGCACGAACGATTCTGTCTTCGAGGTCTGTGTGGTCTCCGCTTACTCGCAGGTGTTGGGCTCTGTGAGTCTGGAGAAGGCTTTTCTTTGGCTTTTTGGTCGGTTTCGGTGTAAGGGGACCTGGGCATATCGCCTCCCTGTGGGAAACGTAAAAGATCTAGTGGATCCAAGACTTCACTGTTTAACTGCACAGGCTCTGCTTCGTCAGCTATGGGCCCCGAGTAGGTCGAGGATAGACCTGCGTCCGAAGTAGAGGGCAGGGCAAATATCCCAAAAGGATAAGGCAATTTAAGGTGACTCTGACGCGCAGGAGCGTCTAGAACACCGTTGTAGTCATCATTTTCAACATCAAGCACGTCGGAATCATTGGGATAACCATATAGGTTGGCAAACGCCATACTGTCGAGGTCCATATAAACCGTATTTAAAATTGCTGGTATAATGAAGACGATAAAAAAATGGACTCCCAGACGAAATGTGGTCACTGAAGTATTTGAAAAAAAAAGATGTGTTTCGCCTTCCGTGTGAAGGCCATGAAAGAGGAGCGAGCTCGCTAGGGATGCCTTCTTGGCCTGTGATATAGAAAATGCGGGGTTACCTATTGTGGGTCCCCGGGTCCGCGGGTCCCGAGTTAAACTTGCCACCGATCCTCACGGTAGTGGACGAATCTCTAGGTCAAGGGCATTAAGGTTTCAGATTGAGTTTAAGCATTTCGAAAAACTGTGATTGTGGTTTTTGCGGGGTGGTCTGGCATTTGGACATGATGCTACGTGTTTAATTCGCTATCTTTAATTATGAGCAAAAGAGGATAATACATCGATTGTAAATAAACTAAAACGTCTTGAGGATTGGCTATGTAGGGCTATAGCTTCTATTTGGCCAGCTTGATAGAGATCACGAACAGCTTACAACAAATAACGAAGTCATTTCGGCTCTGAGTTCGTTCCAGAGCAAGATCCAGAATCTGAATATGTCTGTTATTACGACTATGAAAACACCGTCAAGCTACAGCGACCTCTCGTGGGATGAGGTTGTAACTTGATGTGGTGGTGAGGAGGATCGCGATAACCTCTTATATTGCTCCTCTTGGATTGCTTTAGACTAGGTACTATATTGACAATCAGGGACTACTTCGAAGATGGGAAATGAATGGTGTGATAGTCTCGTTGCCAGTCATTTGACGACTGGGACCATGTTACGGCTAATGCTATGCCCCTCGCCGGGTAGAAAGTCTCAAATGCTCAGTTTTCCTGGCAAAGCAACGGATAGTACTCCTCCATCGTCCAACAAGTTGCCCGTCGAAGAGCGGTTCGAGGTTCGTCTGCAGATGTTATGGATGAAAGAGGCGAGAAGGAAGCTGACCGTAATATGACTTGAATCATAGGCGGCCGCAACAGGGTCTGAGAAGTTCCCGTTGTAAAGACATTGCAGCGACTGGCCAAAAACGTCCAAGGAAGGAGGAGACTCGGGGCAATCTAGGTATGGACGGTAAACCTTTTTCAATCTGGAACAACTTCCAGATATGCGAGAGGAGAGAAAAGGTCACTGTATTTTTTTGGATGACTATTCCACAAACAAATGAGTACTTACTTTAGTTCTGGTTGGAACACCAGTGATGTTTTATCTGTTTTATCATGGTTCATAAAACTCAGTGCGGCTTGGATTAAATGAGGATTCATCGACAGACAAGCAGATTGAACTGACGGGTACATTCAAGATTTCAAAGCTACAAGCACATGTCGACATTATACACAGACAACAGCAATCTCATCGTATCGATGCCTCTTCTACCTCAACATCTACCGTCTTCAAAATACCCATCCGGCTGATCCCGCTTTCTGCATTAGACACCTCATCGCTGGCGATATCACCTGCCCGAATGTGACTTTCCGTCCCTCGATCGCTGTGCCCGCCTTGCCATCCTTGTATCTCATCCAGCTCTCTATAATCGCTTTGCGAATTGTTCTCCCCATGACTATTCCACCCAAGCCGCTTTCTGGAGCTCCATCGCTGGCTCTTGGACGAACTACCATATCCATTATTGGACTTGCTTCTGTGGTTACCGCTGCTTATGACGGTGGCTGCTTTCCGTCCGACGTGCCGAAAGAATGATGGGATGGCAGGGAGACAGCTGGCGATGATACCGGCGCAAATTTCGGCCGATCTATTGGACAATCTCGGGTCAGCGGATACTCCAAGTATAGACTGGGGTTTAATGAATATGAGACTCACGTCCAGAGAAATTCCGGGAACCAGTCATGTGTCTTGTCCTGGGTGTTGCCGTTTTGGATGCTGATCACAAGCCGCATGATGCTGGCGAAACACCCACTAAACCTTGGTTAACATGCTTCTCGAACACGGATGGAAGTCTGGAAGTTGGTGCGTACAAGAGACCAGCAGCAAAGACAGCCGAAATGCCGAATTTCTGAGCTGTCCGCATGTGCAGGCGCCACACACAGAAGATCGGCAAGATAAGCAAGGAAATATCGGAGACGGTGTTGATCACGGCCGTGGCCAGGATCATCGTCTGTATATTCACACACTTCCCTGGGGAATCTGGGTTCCAGATCCGCTCCCGAGGCACACACTCGAAAATTTCAATGAGGGTGTCCGCCAGGTAGAAAGCGGCATTGAACCACAAGAGGAGCTGGATAAACATGTACAGCCAGCTCTTTCGGTTCGGGGCGAAGACGCGGAGGTAGAGTAGCAGAATGGAGAGTTTGGTGATGAATATCAATGGGCCGTACATGATCTGCGACGCGTTGGCGAGCTAATTAATTGAGACTGGAGTCAGCCTTTCAGAATCTCTTTTGATATTGATCATCACAATCATAGTCGTACCTGGGCGTATCTCACGAGATCATCCTTGGCAACATCTATTTGATGAATGCCGCTGCCCACCTTATCAGCCTCGAAGGAAATGACAGAATACCCTATCAATCCAGCCTAGTCATTGTGAGCTAAGTTTCCTCTCAGGCGGCTTTGTTGTTGACGGGCGGCGATACTCACCCAGGCGACGATACACGAATCTAGGGCACGTTCGGGTCAGCGCAAACTCCTGCACTCCTCCACGCCCAGCACATACAGTCTTCCCAGCTCGCGGACCGGGTTAAAAAGAACTTGGTGTAACTCCTCATCGTTACAACAACCGTACTCGTTCCCAGGCACGTTGCCTGGCAGACCACGTCCCATTCCCGGAGGGTACCTCGGTAGCTATAGGTCGGAGGTTCCATTTTTTTTTCTCCCATGAACAGGACAACCGATGCAATGGCTCTATCTCTGGAGTCTTCGCTCTGGTGATGAAGGAATTTCCACGAAGCACGAGAATCAGGACCAAACAAGACTGGCTTGCCTTGACCCAGGGCATCCAGGGTACCGACTCAACGGTGACAAGGCCAAGGTACTCAATTTATAAGCTCATTCAGCCAAGGTGACAAGGTATATTTCTTCTTTTATTTATTTTCTTTTTAGACAAGCAATTTCTGCAAAGTGATTCATCGCCCCAAATAGAACCCGAGACCCGGGGAGGGGGGGGTTACTTTCTGAATCCCTCTCGGGCGGCCCCCAACATGTGGTACACAAAACTCTATGGCGGATTGAGGTAGATCGGCGGGATCTGTCCACTTCGGGCTCAGCTTGTGGGACGAACCGTAGACAATGCAGATTCCAAAACCTAGCTAAGCGATCTAATGTGGCGGCCGGCCGGTAATACCCTGCGAAGAGTTACATCTACCTGGCATATTTAGTGTCTCCACTGGGGCGGAAGCGCGAATTTCTTTTCCATACAGGGCCCTAGAAATCCTCCCGTGCCCTGCAGGGTTTTGGGTACTTTTGTTTTCTTAATTTAATACGCTCTTCAGTGAACAGGGATTATTGTAGTTCCTCCTGGTTGGTCCGTATCTAGTGGCTCCTTATTCATATACATCGTTCCGACCGCTATTCTGTTCGATTAATTTATATTCTGTGGAGACTTCTAAAGGGGCTATTGAATCATTAACGGTCTCCGTAGGCACTGGTCCAGGTCATTTCGATGTCTCGCTCCACATCGTATCCATAGCACCACGCTTGTGTGGCTCGATCGTTAATACCGTAGGGGCTTCGGTCCAGTGATTTCCCTTCCACAGAAGGGCGCATTTCGGCATCTCTGGCTTCTTGCTGCGGGCCATCACACATATGGAGGACCTGACCGTTGACAAGGCTCGCCTTCTGGACCTGTCTGGTGCGGCTGGTGCGAGTTTTCTCCACTAACTGGAGAAATGGCTTCAGGTTCTGCTTATCTGTTGCGTAGGACAGTGCTTTGGATAATGCAGCGGCATCCTCGACGGCCATTGAGACACCTGAAAAATACAGAGTCAGAGCGTTTCGATAGTATTATAGTTAGTCAACTTACCCATAGAGAGGTAAGGCACCATGGCATGAGATGCATCGCCAATCAAGATAAATTTGCCAGATTCCGACACCCATTTGTCAAGCGGATCTACCTCGAACAGAGGCCAGTTATGGATCGTCTTCTTTTTTTGTACAATCTTCATCAGCCTGAAGCATCGATGTATCAGCGACTATGTCCAATTTTTGTGGGATTCGGGACCAAGCATACTCTGGATCCCAGCCATAAAAGTAAGAGAGCATTTCCTGCGTCAGTTCTTCCTGGGACATGTTCGAAGTGTCCCTTTCATCGGGATGCGAAAGCACTAGGTTCAGTCGGCTTCCGTTGCAAATCATATACGCCATTGCTGAGCAATGGTTACCCACCCTAATATTGTTCTGGTGAGTTTCACATCAACTATTTACTTTGACGAGCACAAACCATAGGTTGAGGTCACGGCTATGCACAATCCATGCCGTCTCCGGATCGGCCAGGAGATCAGAGACTTCCACCATGAGTCGGTAGGCCGCGACTCCGGTCCGGTGCGGGCCTCCCTTCTCGGCTGTTCCCAGAAGCTGAGTTCTCGCAAAAGAATTGATGCCTTCGCAGAAGAGTCAGCTAGGGCTCTCCTGTCTTTATCAAGTCTATGATCACATACCATCAACAGCCACCACTAGATCGGGCTGAATGATCTCCCCAGTTGCCAGTGTAATTACGGGTGTATCAAAATCATAATCCACGGCGCGGCGGGCTACCTTGATCGTCACCCCCAGTTCAAGCGCGTGCTGGTAAAGTGCACGGTGCAGGTCAGCCCGGTGGAGAACTAGATACGGTGCGCCAAACCGCTGCTCAAAGTCTGGGTTTAGTTGCGTCCGAGAGATTAAGTCACCCTCTCGCCAGCGGCGCAGATTCAACTCGGACGGCAAAGATGATTTTTCCAGCAGAGATTTGCCTAGACCCCATTTGAGCCACCAGCTAACGCCATTCGGCGACATCTGTACACCCGCGCCGATCTATATGCAAGATCAGTCACTGTCTCGGCGATATCTACCACACCTATAAACTTTCCGAACAAATAAGGCTTACCTCTGAAAGCTCTGGTGCAGACTCGTACACTGTGACGCGGTGTCCATCGCGAGATAGTGCAATGGCGGCTGACAGTCCACCTACCCCGGCCCCTATGATTGCCACATCTAATTTCAGGGCGGTGCCCGATCCGTTCAAACGGTCATTCGGCTGGGTATTCTTCAAAAAAATAATTTGTGGTCAGCTAGCACAAGTAATCCGTCAATGGAGACCCTGCGCCCACCTCATGGTTTGCACGACACATGGTTTCGGGGTTGGATTTCCGTTGAAAGCAGTCGAATTCCCGCACTGTTCATTATGTGTTCCTTTTTCCCGCTACTTATATTAATTATTATCATACAATCGCACAATCCTTGCAATGTCTCTGCCTTCGGACCCACGTGTCGGGCTGCACCTGAACCCTTGTCGGGCTTGGTATTGGTCCGCGGGCCCGGCACACCATGTGGAAGGCCGATGATCCCTGCCGGGATTGTCCCCCATTCTGCAGCATCCCAGTCGCAACAAACTTTGGCTACCAGGCACCCGGCCGTCCGATGTAGCATTTGGGCTTGCCGGGCTTGCTGGGCTTGCCGGGATTATGGTGGAGCCACACTTAGGTATCTACTACAGGCCAATGCTAGCACTAATTGACTACGCACATTATTCCCTCGTTAGTACACTGTACCCGAAAATTCTTCCCCTCTTACGGCATTTTCGGGGCTTTTCGGCTTTCTAAGAATGTTTCCTAGTTTGCAAGCTCCCCTCCTTCGCTAAAAACATCTAGGAAGTGCTTTTTTCTGTGTTATCCTTCATTTGCTCTTACCGACCAACCGGCGAAGCACAATGACAGATATTCATGAAAGTCAGTTTCATTTCGTGGTCTTTTGCATTTTTAGAAAGCTGACAAAATAGTAGAGCCCGGGGGGCCGATCACGGTGGACTCTAGCAGAGATAGCGAGGAATTGACCAACGAAGTCCACCTCAATGAGAAAAGGTTGTTGTTCAAAATTGACACGCATGTTCTGCCGATTTTGTGTGTTCTGTACTTCCTAGCCTTCTTGGATCGGTATGTTCTACAACATTCAAATTTACATGCCTTGGCGAGACATGTACAGGCAGATACTTACTCCTACTTCGTGAACTAGAATCAACATAGGCAATGCAGTCGTCTTTGGCCTTGAGGAAGATTTGGGCATGGACCCCAAATCCAACCAGTTTAACACGGCGTTGACGATTTTCTTCGTGCCGTACGTGCTGCTGGAGATTCCATCCAACATCTTTCTCAAGAAACTGCGGCCGCATATTTGGCGTATGCCCCTCCCTGGTACAATACAACTACCACGACCGAGATTTTGTTAACTCTGAGATGGACGTAGTGGCAGGATGCATGTTTCTCTTTGGTATTTTGACCATCGCTCAAGGCTTAGGTGTGTTGCCTCTTCTCAGATACACCATAACTTTCCTGACTGACTTGGATTGAATGGTAGTCAAAAGCTACAGTGGTCTCCTCGCAACACGGTTTTTCATCGGTGTCGCAGAATCTGGGATGTTTCCAGGATGTAAGCAGAAAGGTTGATTTCCACAACAAGTATTGTTGACCAATATCTCAGGCTTTTACCTCATTGGAATGTGGTATAAACGATCCGATGCCCTCCGCCGATATACTTATTTCTTTAACTCGACCACGCTCGCAGGCGCATTCGGCGGGTTGATCGCTTATGGTACAGGCCATATGCAGGGCATGAGAGGATATGGAGCCTGGCGCTGGCTGTTCATCATCGAAGGCTCCGTGACCTGTGTGGTTGCCATTGTGGCCTGGTTCATCATCTCGGACTTCCCCGAGCAGGCGCGATGGCTGAATGAGGAGGAGCAACAATGGGTGAAAAAGCGACTCATGGCCGATCATGGGGACGACTCGGTTGAACGGTCTATCGGATTCCGGGATGTGGTTGAGGTCCTGAAGGACTACAAAATCTTCCTAGGAGCGCTCATGTACTTTTCCTTCCTAGTTCCTGCCTACGTACGTGACTTCTCTTCTTTTCTCTCACCCAACCTCTGACCCTTGCTTTCCAGGGCTATGCATACTTCTCGCCTACTATCATCGAGTCCTACGGTTACAGTCCTTTACAAACTCAGCTCCACTCCGTCCCACCGCTGGCAATGGCTTTTTTTGTGTCTCTGGGAATTGCATTTGTCTCTGACCGGGTGCGACACCGGTACCTCTTCGTTCTCTTCAATTTACTGGTTGCTATCGCGGGGATCGCAATCCTGCTGACAGAGCACCACAACACAAAGCTTGAGTATGGTGCGCTTTTCCTTGTGGTTTTTGGCCCGTATTGCGGTATGCCAGTGGCGCTCTGCTGGTTCACCATGAACTTGGGTGGCCATCGGCGGCGCGCCATCGGGACCGCCCTGCAGCTTGGGTTCGGTGAGATCGCGGGTATCGTGTCTACGTTCCTGTTCTTGTCTAAGGATGCGCCGTACTTCCACACTGGGTACAGCGTGGCTATCTTTTTCTTTACACTTGCCAGCTTCTGGTCAACCTGCTACTTCCTTGCTTGTTGGTCGCAGAATCGCAAGCGTGATCAACTCATAGCACAGGACTCTGCCGAAGCTAGAATGGCAGGAGAGGGTGATTTGGATATCTCGTACCGATATATGCTTTAACATTTGGACACTATTGAACAGGCAAGCGAGATGATACCTCAGATGATGCTCCCATAGCTGACCTGGATTTGAATAGGGGTCAGAGGCTGAGATTAAGGAGATTATCGAAGTGACTTGAAAGAGGCTCCGGGGAAGCCCCGAGAGCCTAGCTCTCCTGAGCAATATTACGGATTGTGCCTAATATAATATGGGACAATAGCATCTGCCCTGGCGTATATGAGGTGATAACGCTCCGGAATACGCACAGTAATTCGGGTACCTGGATTTTTGGAAGTGTTCCTCAGAGAAAATTGTGGCCATTTGAGTGTTTAGAAATTAATAATTTCCTTTTACGCATTGGCGTAGCATTTTAATTTGTTTGGCTCTTTCTTGTTGATGGACTTATGCCTTATAAGAGCGCCCATTTCTAATGTTTTTCCTCTATAAGTGCATTCACATTTGTAGCGCCACTAAAGAGCAAAGCAACCGCTCGCAATGGGTGAACGATGGTAGCGGCTGTGGACCTGGTGGTTGGGCGGAGTTTTGGGAAGAGGTTCTGCTTATATAGTTGATTGACCTAGTGCACATTGTGCTTTGACTGAATATAAGGCATCGAATTGTATCTTCCCTGTCTTGTTTTCTAATTTATTATTGTTGAAGTTTGAGCGAATGGGATGTCAGACTACTATATACTATTTTTTAAGGGACAAAAAAAGAGACAAAGTCCCGCCTACGCGAAGAAGGCTGAGAAGGGTTGCCTAAGAGATGATAAAACTGAGATATTAAAAGTTCAAAAAGTTAGGGATGATTTGGGACCATAAAAGCCTACAGCCACAAGCTACGCAGGGGTCCAGCTTCTAATGCCACTCAATGATAGCCGGGGCTCCGTGACGAAAGGGAAGCATAAGCACATCCGTCGGGATTTACATGCTTAGCCACCTACATCATCATGGTTTTACCCCTTGCTGAATGACGTCTACATATATTCTCGGATGTACACCGGCAGATGAAAAACCCCCAGGCGCGATGGCCGTCTTCATGCAGATACTGCTCGATTTTGTCGGCATTGTTGAATCGAGTGCTCCTATCCGGGAGGCGTGGAGACAGTTTCTGCACAGGGGGGAATTGAGCAGATGGGCGACTGTGTTTCCCATTTGGCTTAGGAATTTAGGGGTGGTCTTTGCTGGTTGGGTAGAGAAGAAGGGTTGACGTGGGATATTTTGATATCAGTTTCTTTGCCTAGCGTTGAGTGTGCACGCGTTGAAGAAAGTGGGTGAAGCGGGTGAGACAGGGGTTTACCTTCTATTTCACGACTCTAAAACTTTAGAACCGCAAATATATTATTCTGCTAAGAATTTTCTTTTTCGAATAGATAGATTAATGAGTCAATTTTGTGGAGTTCAAAGAGCGCATTGATGTTATATCTATTCCTGAACTGATTCAATTATCTGATTTCGTGGGATACCGAGTTTCTCCAAATATTTGAAAAATGCTTCGGGTTTTGCCCAGTCCTCTGGACAGTAGACCCCCGGATTCCTTTGTACTCCCATGTCAAGGGCCAACAACGCGAATGCTGCACAGGATGCCCCGATCGATGTCGCCATGCTTTGCCGCAGAGAAGAGTCATCCGGGGCTGTGGGGGTCCGTCTAATGACCACAGCAGGGTATCCATTACGGATGCCAATACCCCGAACGAGCAGCCCAGTGCGACTCGGGGATTTTTTGCCCCGTAAATTGTCGATCAGAAAGCTGATAGCTTCGCTCATTGAGCATTGACCCTTTCGTACTTGGTTGATTATGCCCCAGAGAGCAAGATTCCACGGTTTCAGTGACGAAACACCATGTGAAGCCAAGCTCTGTAGTTGGTTGAGTGAAATATCTCCACCCCGGAACTGTGCACTGATTGCCTTAATCATGTCGCTGCAGCTCCCTGTTGGTTTGCTCATATTCTCGAGAAAGTCGACAGCGGCATCCATAGATAGAGCACCAGAATTGACGGCGGCCCCAAGCCCCCGTGCAAGTCCGTTGAATGGCGCTGGGTTGAGAGCGCCCGAGGTCCGAATTCGATTCACGTTTGGAAATCGACGAGGCAATGTAACTGGCTCCGGGTGAACGCTCTCATAGACGAGGTCATTAGGGCCACTGGTAATGGGAACATATGATGTCTCGACCCAATTCTCATGAACTGCTGCTTTCCCGTCGGCCCAAGTCAAACACGGCCCACCAGTGATGTGCATAAGGTGTTCTAGAACTTCTCTTCCCAATTGACCGCCCTCCTCGCTAACAAGCCAGCAAATGTCAAGAGTCTCAACAGTATCGAGCTCTTCTGCAATTTCCACCGCCAGAAGATTTGTAATCCCAGGAGAGGAGCCACAATTAATGTAGCAAGGAACTCCTTCCTTCTTTGCCCGCTCATGTAGACTCAGTGACTCCTGCGTACTATGTACATCGTCGGAATAGTCGAGATAAGGCACCCTTGCTTCGATGCACGCCCTGAGCACAGGGGGCGAAGTCCGATAATACGGCTGTGCACCTTGAATCACAAGAGCTGCATCGACGATGGACCTCCGCAACTGGTCGGGATTAAAAATGTCCACCGTTCGGATGGTGATATTTCTACCGGGCAGCTTGGAAGCAACCCGACGGAGGGCATCCTCGTTGGCGTCTGCGAGGACGATGGGCACATCGGTTGCTTTTGCAAAAATCGTAATGGCTTCACCACATATCGCATCTGCGGCACCAATGAAGACAATTGGCTTGCGAGCGCTGGATGTAGAGGACATGTTGCAACTGTGCTGTGCTTTGATAAAGAATATGTATATTTTTGGAAATAGTAGAGAGATTTTTGATTTCGGCTGTGTGGTTACATGTCGAGTATAATAATCCTATGTTAACCTACATGTAGTCTGAAATATAAGCTTCTTTTAAGATGGTTAAGAGCTGTGCTAAGTGGTCCATGAGACGGACGACTTGCCAACGGGTTCGGGACAACTCGCATGACCGGCGGTTCCGGGGTGTCTGGCTTCCCAAGCATAGCAAAATTTCCAATGACTGGCGGATAAAAGTCTTTGACCGATTTGCGAACTGGATCATATGAGGGGGTAAAAGCGCTAGGTAGATTGGACGGAGTTGCGGATGGATGGACTCGGAGCCGCGGAAGAATAACCAACCGGGTAACGTCCCAACTGTGGCCTGTTCAAGGGGCCCGTTGAAGCCTGCGCGGAACTTGACATTGTGAGCTTTTGTTTCCCCGCAATTACCGAGGCCGCAGTTACCGAGGAATAAAGCGAATTTTAATTTGTGAATAACGTTCGGTAATCAAATACCTGTGTCTCAGAAATAAGATAAATCAGACGCGCGGCGCCTCCTGTTGTAGTTCTTTTTCGGTATGCGCACACGGATTTCCATCTGTCTATATACACCCACACGTGTCTTTATCAAGAACCGGTCAAGAACAACTCAATTGATTCAATGTCCAATTCAACCAGACAAGATATGGGGGCTCCTGAACTCCCACAAGAATTGTTATGCAAATTGGCTGGCCAGGTAGTCCAAGACCCCGGCATTCCTGTTCCAAATCCGACAGTCTCGGCCTGGCAAGAGCCTCCGCACCCTCTCGCGACTATTCAGTCAAAGAACTTGCCACAATATACCGATTTTGCCATTCTTGGCTCTGGCATCACCGGTTGTAGCGCTGCCAAGACAATTCTCGAAAGTGAACTGGGCCGCGACAAGAGGGTCGTCGTCTTTGACGCTCGTTCTCTGACTACCGGAGCGACAAGTCGCAACGGAGGCTTTCTGCTAAGTCATGCGCCTCAGTTCTATGGACAGTTTGCTGATGCTTTCGGTACCGCGGCTGCTAAGGAAATTGCTTTATTTTGTGACCGCACACTGGAAGAGATCATCCAGGTTGCCAAGGAAGAGAGCCTTGACAAGATCAGCGAGATAAGAGACGTGACTACGGTATCTACCTACGAGGATGAGGAAGGTTTTGAGAAAGCCTCTCGGTCGATTCGCATGTACGAAGAAGCCGTTTCCGGGTCCAAGGAGAAATATGCAATCATCGACGGTGAAACAGCAAAGAAGGTTAGGCGTTTCATACCCAGGCACATAAATGAGCCTCTCGAAAACAACAAGCTAAATATTTCCCAATAGACATACAATTTCAAGGAGTCCAAAGGTGCTCTGGTGGTCAAGTCTCACGTCTGCTGGCCATATAAGCTGGTAACAAATATTCTCCAGCGCCTTCTTCAAAGCCATGCAGAACTGTTTTCAGTCGAAACAAACACGCCAGTGACTTCAATCAAAGTCTCTCGAGATTCCAACACCGCATATCCCTATGTTTTGGACACCCCCCGTGGGACTGTCAGGGCGGCAAAAGTCTTCCATTGTGTGAATGGCTTCACTGGACACCTTCTACCCAAGCTTAGAGGGCCTCTGTTCCCGTGCCGACTATCAATGTCGACACAAAAGCCAGGTCCGCAATGGGGAAATCGCCCCTACTCATGGCTCTTCCATTCGAAACAGACTTGGGATCCTAATACCACATTGGTCGAGCAAGGGCTATATTGGATGCAGCAAAATGCCGAGACGGGTGATCTTTTCGTTGGAGGAGACACTCAGAGGCTGGACGACTTTTTGTCTTCGGATGACTCAGTCATCAGTGCGGACTCCGCGAGAAATTTTACCACCTTGCTTCCCAAGAGACTCTTCAACGAGGGTTGGACTAACCCTATAACCAATGACACCTTGTCTTCTGCTACTGCGCTTCAGCGGATCTGGTCTGGAATCATTGGTATGACCGCTGATCAACTCCCGATTGTGGGAAATTTGCCAGCTTCTGTGAGCGAAAGGGACGTTGAAGGTGGTGAGTGGGTTGCAGCTGGCTTCAATGGATATGGCATGTGCCAGGCCTGGTTATCCGGCCAGGCTATTGCTCGTATGGCCTTGGGAGAGCCAAAGCCAGAGTGGCTCCCGGACGTCTACTTGAGCACCGAGAAGCGGCTGACAGACAAGACAACCATGGGCGCAGAAGCAGGCCTTGCGTCGTTTTTCTCCAGGTCATAAGACTGGCACGGATGTTTCAAACCGACCGCATAAGTCTACGAGCGAGCAACGCGTGATTTCACACTCAATTCATGTTAATATTGTGATTTTTGGAATTAGATTGAAATTGAAGTCTATTTTTGCTCAAGAAAGATTTTTGTTAGGCCTAGTTCCATTCTGAATAGCGTATGTATTATATATTCCGTTAAGCCAGATTTAACTACAGAGATGCTAGGGTTTTGGGCTGGCACGCTCAAGTAGGCCCAAGATCGACACATCGGCCGCAGGCAGAAGTAATCTCATGGCTAGGACCAAACCACCCATGAGGAGTAAGTCAGTGCACTCGGACATATGCCCAATTATCCTTTTACTTGATTCCAATTTGGACCAGAGGTCCTTTGGTGAGATTCTTGTGGTAATTTCACTATTGACTGAACCGTAACGGCTGTTTCGCGGATCCGCGGACCCGAGAATTCATCACTTAAAAATTACCGGAGGAAGTGGGAGGTGCCAATAGGAATGGCATGAACTACGAGGGAGCTTATATGGTCTTGCATTGACCTCTATAAGCCTAGGATCCCAAGCTACAAAACAAAGCGTCCACACAAAAACGCCCAAGTCAGCTACGTCACTATGGCTACGTACAAAGAAATGCCAGATTTCGATGTCATCATTGTCGGTGCCGGAATCTCTGGCATTAACTTTGCTTACCGTCTGCAAGAGCGCAGCCCAGAGCTCAGTTACTCTATTCTCGACGGCCGACACGAAATTGGAGGGACTTGGAGCCTATTTCAGTATCCTGGTGAGCCCTGCCATCCCCATAGTTATCAGATTTGAATATTTTTCCTGACCTTATAAAACACAGGTATTAGATCGGATTCGGACCTCTATACTTTCGGCTTTGCGTGGCGCCCCTGGACAGGAAAGGACTCCATTGTTCATGGCTCTATCATTCGCCAGTACCTTGAAGACTCAGCCGCCCAAGAAGGCATCGATAGGAAGATACGCTTTCGCCACAAGGTGAACAAGTTGAACTGGTCATCCTCGTCTAATATGTGGGACTTTGACATCGCCGTCAACGACACGAAAATGATGTCTTTGAGGTCTCGCTTCGTCTTCCTCGGCACAGGCTACTATGACTATCAGGAACCACTACAGGGGGAAATTCCTGGGATACACAATTTCCAAGGCAAGGTCATTCACCCCCAGTGCTGGCCTGCTGATCTCGACTACGCCAACAAGCAGATCGTCATTATTGGATCTGGCGCCACCGCTATCACACTACTTCCGTCCCTCGCCACAAATGCTGCGCACGTAACCATGCTCCAGCGCTCGCCGTCCTACATCGCGTCCCTTCCCTCCCGGGGAGTTTTTGAAGCCATTGTTTCAAACATTCTACCCCGATTTGCGGCCAATCGAGTATTACGCCTTAAATGGATGCTTTTCTCATTATTCATGGTGTCAATGTGCCGTCTTTTCCCTCGTGCAGCCAAATCTTTCTTCCTCCGGGAGACAGCCAAACTTCTGCCGCCAGGCATAAGCCTAGAGCCGGATTTCGTGCCTTCGTACAAGCCATGGGAGCAGCGCTTGTGCCTTTGTCCTGACGGCGACTTTTACGCCTCAATTCGGAGCGGAAAAGCAAGCATCAATACCGATACAATTGAAACTATTACTACGTCCAGCATAAAGCTCGCCTCCGGGAAGGAGCTCCATCCTGATATCATCGTGACAGCGACTGGGCTTAAGCTACGCATGGCAGGTGGTATCGCCATTACCATCGACGGCGAGCCGTATGAAATATCGGACCACTTTGCTTGGAGGGCTGCCATGATGGAAGGTCTGCCTAACTTGGTGCTATCAATTGGATACGTCAACGCAAGCTGGACGCTGGGGGCAGACTCAGGGGCACAGTTAGCGTGCCGCTTGCTGACCCGGATGAGGAAAGAGGGCGTATCGGTAATTGTGCCGCGAATGACGGTGGAGGAGAGGCAGGCATTAGAAGAATGTCCATTTTTGGCATTATCTGCGACCTATGTGAGGAAAGGGGGAAATGTGTTTCCCAAGTCTGCGTTTACGGCTCCGTGGCAGCCGCGTTCGTACTACTGGAGGGATCTAGCCATCGCGCGATGGGGCGATGTCAAGAAGGGCATGCAGTGGTTGAGATAGATTTCTTTGCGGACCTATCATGGTAAAATCATGGTAACATCTACATATCGACTGTCCATCGTCTTGAGCCGTGGGCGCCTTTCACCATGTCAGCAGTTGACCTAAGCTTTTCTTTCAACTACTGCAATATAATCAGTAGATATCTCTATGTGCTAGCAGATAAGTCTTTATGGAAAATATTTGACTTCGTCCTCTAAGAATCTGAAAACAGACCGGAGTAAAACCGATATCCTCGATGCATTGAGACTGATTCAATAGTAAACCATACACATTTCTTGCCCCTCACATTAACAATATCTGAAGTTAGTTAGCATTATCAGCTTGTCGGGGCTTAGCATCACCCTCGCAGCTCAGCAATCAATTGTTGGAAAGAACTCGCCAATCCCAATTGATTGCCACCTTATCATGGGAGGGTGATCTTCGGCAGAACAGCTCGATTTGGCCTAGAGCTCAATGGGGCGGGTGGATCCGAACCAGCTAAAGCGATGCGGAAAGTATAATCATGGGACCCGCGGCTCCGAGGAAGCGCGGCTTTTATGGCCAAGTTATCATAAGAACATGTTAAGGAAACTATGTGACCCGCGGAAGAAGTTAAGTTTAAGAAGTTTAGTTAATTGCGGGGTACATGAACCGTGGATATTCACCCTGCGAGTTTTATCATTTCATATTCGCGTCATATTGCTGCTTCGTAGGTCCGAGCCCTATATCGACAAGTAACTAGACTCATGGGCTGTAAATTAACTTCCGAGCGGCGCAAGTGTCGTAATGCAGTGTTCATGCCGTCCCCCCATTGAATTCAGCATTTAAAGGACGGTTAAAATCCAAAAAGTAGAGTTAGGGATAAGCCCATTCTTTGTTATTGAAGCTTTTTTTTTAATTCAACCAAATTAATGGCGATCTGCAAGAGTGAGGATGTCGAACAGTCTATTTCGGAGAGTCAAAATTTTGAGTTGAATGAGACCAACGGCAGCCGTTCAGATCTTGCCATCCAAGATGATGTACATTTTCCAGATGGTGGTGTCAAAGCTTGGCGTACCGCTCTTGGTGGGTTCCTGGCATTCATTGCCAGCATTGGTTTCATGAGCGGTGGCTCCATATTCCAGAGCTACTACATTACAACGACGCTGTCCTCATCGGACCCTTCCGACATTGCCTGGATTGGGAGTGTGCAGCTCTGGGGTTGCTTTTTCTTTGGGATTTGGGCCGGTAGGTTGTCTGACAAGTATGGACCAGCCTTGCCCCTTGGGGTGGGAACCTTTTTTATGGTTCTTGGCACCATGATGGCTTCTATTTCGAAGAAGTACTATCAGTTCCTATTATCCCAGGGATTTTGCGAGGCATTAGGAATGGGCTTGATCTTCACACCGGCTCTAGCAGTCCAGTCACAGTGGTTTTTGAAAAGACGCGGCTTTGTTGTTGGAGCCGTCATGTCGGGCCAAAATGTAGGAGGTATGTATCTGGCCGGTTTGGACAAGATTCTACCTCCAGGACTAATCTCGCTCTCTCCAAATCAGGAATAATTTGGCCCGTGATGGCCGATAAGCTCCTCAATTATGATGGAGTGTCATTGGGCTGGACGCTACGCATAATTGGCTTCATGCAGCTGGGTTTGATGATTGCTGCCACTCTATTAGTCCAGCCGAGATTTCCGCGGATCTCGGAATATGATGTGCTCCCTGTGAGACGATATTTTACCGATAAAAGGACTATCATGTTTACGATCGCATTTATCATCATGGATTTGGGGATTTATATCCCGTGGGTGAGTGGCAGGAATATATTAAGTATCCTCAGTTGACTAACGAGCTTCCCCTCAATCACAGTTTTATATCACTCCCTATGCAATGCAAAGCGGTGCCTCTGCGAGTCTCTCTTTCTACACCGCAGCAATCCTGAATGGCGGCGCGTTTTTGGGATGTTATGCCTTGGGAATTATAGCGGACTCCGGATGGGGTTTTTTTAATTCTCTCACAGTGACCACTTTTGCATGCGCGGTGGTCGCCTTCGCATGGATTGGTGCACAACACATTGATGCCATCATTGTGTGGGCTGTAATGTACGGCGTTTTGTCCGGTGCTCTTCAAGCCATATTTTCACCATGTTTATCTCTCCTGGCACCTACGCCAGAGGTGATTGGGTCTTGGAATGGTAAGCGACTTTATTACTCTCTTTGACTCAAAAGTTTCAGTGAAAATAACACAATTCAAAAGGAATCGCTATCACGGTTACGTCATTTGCAGTCTTAGTTACTGGACCGATTGCTGGACAACTGCTCAGTGATGAGGGTGGGAATGGTTACGTCCCGATGCAGGTGTTTACGGGAATTACCTTGGTTCTTTCTGGTGTCTTCTATCTAGTCACGCGGTTCTTAGTATCTCGTGATAGATGGATTTGAGTGAATACGTTAAGATTTGGCCAGCTTGAAGCTGAGTAAAGCAGTGCGAGCTCCGTGTAGTTCGATAGCTGGATCACACCATCGCTATGCCTACCAGCATAGATAATATGGACACCGAGTAAAAAATCAGCGAGCGAATCAAAATATCATTCAAATAAGCACCTGTCGCTCTTACATCAATCCCAGGGACAGTAAAGACGACGGCAATGAACAGAATTTGGTCGATATCTCCCCATAATAGAAGCTGACACCAGACCGCGTTACAAAACATAACCGTTAGTCAGAATTTCCTGATAGAAGTGCCTGATTTGAGGTCTTAATCACCATAGCAGAAGTGTTTAGAGTATATCCCTCAGATAGGGACTTGCGATCATTCTGACCTGATAGCGATCATGTTCTGGATGCACGAGTGGTAGACTCACTTTTGCTCTATATTTCACTGGTTCCTCAACATACTTTCGAGGAAGCATCAGCAAAGCTAGTACTAAAAGCTATTTGTGACTTAACTCACGCTGCCCTCCGAGACCGGAAGTCTAGCGAGCTTTATCCTTTCAGGTGACTTTAATCGACACCACCCTGCTTGAGGCTGTAATTACAACCTTCACTGGTTTACGGAGCAAAAGCCGACCTGGATGACTTTTTCTAAGATCCTGCATGCTACGGCTGGAAAGGAGAAGGAAAGATGGCTGATTAAGCCGCGGTTTGTGGCCAAGTTGATTTTTTGAAGAGCCATTGGATGGCTATTTCTATAACGGAGATCGTAGCCGGATGTAGAGAGATTTTGCCGTCACTTTCAGTGAACCTTCATGATCCAGAATATGTGCCTCAAGGAACCATTTCCTATCTTCCTTCCTCTTCACCCACGTTTTGATGACAATTACACTGGGGGTAGGCACAGGTGAATGATAGGATACCTCGAGTCTAGCCGTAAGTAAATGCTCCTGTTCCTCTGAGACGAAAACACGATAGGTCTCGGCGCAAAGACCCAGTGTCTCGTCTAACAAAGCTGCCAGAACTCCTCCGTGGGTAGTGTTGATGTAGCCGCTCACCCCCGATTCAAGTTGACAAAAGGCAACAAAATGTGGCTCCTCTAGACCTTGTGATTGGTCAGAGCCCTCATTATCCGCTGGTGGGCTTTGTAGAGAATATTCCTTTCGCATGAAAGCTAGGACCCGTGGAACGGTGTCCTTCGAGTTGATCGCTTTATTGAAGAATTTGTCGGACAAATCTCCTTTGTCGTATCTCGTGACGAAAGGTACCGGCTCGTAGGAACTGGACTTATCCAGGTAGGGGCGGGCGAAAGGCATCTTAGCGAAGAAGTCGACATCTTCCTGAGAGACTGGGAGCTTGCTGATCAGCTCTCGGTATGTATGTTTGTACATGGTTGTTTGGTTGATGAAAAGGATAGAATGGTCAAATTAGGTCTATGTGTCCAATTCCGCGTAGAGAATAGCAATATTCACCCAGGTTACAAGGCGGTCAATAACGAAACCACCTACATCTGTTTGCCCAACAGCCGCGGTTCGGACTTGTGGCTCCGACTTGTGGCTCCGACTAGCGGACCCCGCTCCAACCAGCCGCAGACCCGAACTGTTTAGAGTTTGTTCAACAACATTTAATGAAACAAGACGTGCGAATACGATTGGTAATAGAATAGACAACCAAGCCTGGAGCCGTAAAAAGAAACCAAAGAAAAAACACCAAGGCTATTTTCCCAATAACGATAAAGCCAATTGGTGTTCCATCCATCCCGTCACCGAGTATTCGTCACGTTGAAACTCCGATCAAAAGCTCAAAATCAACATTTCGGTGCATTTAAAAAGGGGTTGTATTCCACCTGCGATGGAGCGACGAACAGTGGTGTAGGTTCCAAGGCCTCAGGTCCGCTCTCACTCCCTGGTTTCACGAGGGCATCCTCAGCCGGAGTCGCTATTGTGGGCATCATACTCCGTAAAAATGCGCGCTCTTCCGCTGTCGTCAAAACATTGTCCAGGAAATTGCTGCATCTCTGCATGGACGGCTTAGAAGTAGAGGATTGGATCGATGAAGTTGCCTGAGGCAGCAGTTTACGTTGTTCAGGTTGGCAGACACCGGTCTGTTGGTCCCTCATCACGGGTGGCGTGGAGAAGAACCCGGGATGAGATAAAGAAGAGGCAGGATCGCGGAATACAACCCGGCTCCTTTGTTCTGGATCCTCATTCGATTGAAGGCATGGGAACGGGAACTGGGGATCGATACCACCAAGGGCGATGATGAGCTCCTTCTTCGATAACGAAAGTGCCACTTGCTGCTTGGACACGGAGCTCCTTGAATTGGAGCGACCGCATTTCCTGATTCCTCCGCAAGATGCTCTCCGAGAGCTCATGATGGCTTCTCCCCTTGGGCTCGGCGAGGGACTGGCACGGGCTTGTCTAGAGTGGCAGGCTGGGGCGTTCATGGCTTCTTTGTGTGTCTGGTGTCTTTAAACGTTTATTTCTAGGAAGATTGAAGGGGATCAAAATAAAAGTCCAGATTCGAATCCGGTGCCTTCGCGATTTAAAATTGAAATGATCTTCTCGGCCTCACAAGACCACCTCCGAGAGTCTAATCATTCTGGCCTGGCTCGGACCTCCATTTTGCCATCCCGTGTCCGAATCATAGCTACCACACCGCTATTCACGTCTCACGATGGGAAATCCAGAAGCGCTTCACCTGCTGTGGGTGGGTAAGGGGCCGTTACTGCGCAGCCGCGGAGCATCGGAGCCGCAAACGCCCTGGATCAATGTTTGGCCTCAAGCGGCTCCGCGATTCCTTTCCTCTCGCACTATTTGTTTTGATTCTTCGGACAAGAATTCGTCCGGTCCATTACTGTAGATCTGGGGAATATAGATGCGGGGAAGATGATGTGGATACCGAGGTGAAGTGCCGAATCATCATGTAAGCCAAATGGTGGGTGGGTGAGGGGTAAGGGAGTGGGGTAAGGGAGTGGGGTAAGGGAGCAGTGGTATAAATGAACCACATGGGGACTGCTCCCGTGAACCTCTAGCTCACAGTATCCTACTTTCTGAACATGGCTCGTCGGCATCGAAACCCCCTGCACGATCCTCTCCACTATGCAACGCCGCAGCCTGCCTCGGGTCCGCCTGTGACGTATGCTTCGGCTTCTCGCCTTCTGTGCGGGTATGACTACGGTATGTCTGACGATAGAATCATTTTTTTGACGATCTAGATGGCTTATTCTCGAAACCAGTAATCGTCGGTGCTGGTGCAGCTGGATGTGTTCTCGCCAGCAAGCTTTCGGAAGATGCAAATGTCTCGGTTCTGCTACTTGAAGCAGGAGGAGATAACACCAGTATTTTGGAGACTAAAGTCCCTCTAATGTTTCCAAAGCTCTTTCACACGGAGCATGACTGGAACTACTACACGGTCGAACAGCCGAGTCTCGCATATCGAAAGCTGTATTGGCCTCGCGGACGTGTACTTGGAGGCTCAACTTCGCTCAATGCTATGATGTACCATCATTGCTCAAAATCCGACTTCGATGAATGGGCTACTGATTACGGATGCGACGGCTGGAGCTACAATGATTTGGCGCCTTTCTTTCGCCGTATGGAAAAGTTCACTCCGAACCTCACACGACCGGCCATTGATGTGAAACATCGCGGCTCTACCGGCGACTGGCACACAGGCTACTCATGGCTCTCCGAGATCATGGACAAAGGGTTCCTGCCGGCTTGCCAGGATGCAGGAATACCTTTAAGTGCCGATGTGAATACCTCTGACGGTAGTCTCGGAGTGACTCGATTTCAAACGTTCATCGATTCCAAGGGGCAGCGTTCGTCTTTAGCTACCGCCTTTCTAACACCCGATGTCCTTCAGAGGCCAAATCTCTATGTAGCCTGTCATTCCCATGTCACACGCATTCTTTTTGATAGGCTCACTACCAACCAGCCTACTGCGATCGGCGTTGAGTTTCAAACCAAGCAAAAGGGCATTCTTTTCGAGGTCCATGCTCGGAAAGAGGTCATCCTCTCTGCCGGTTCCATCAACACCCCACAAACTCTTCTTTTGAGCGGGATTGGTCCCAAAGTAGAGCTCGAACGCCACGGCATTCCCATTCTTCAAGAAAATGACGCAGTAGGGCGAAACTTGAAAGACCACCTCTGTCCCACAGGCATCATCTGCAAAGCAAAGCCAAACACAACCCTAGACTATCTTTCCAACACATTCAAAGCTTTGCCAGCTTTACTCCAGTGGATGACCTTGGGACGAGGACCTTTGACCAGCAATATTGCGGAAGCCGCTGCCTTTCTCCGCTCGGCCGATTTCACCTTTCCTCAATCATCTGGCTCTCTAACGGACTACGGTTCTGGGAGTATTGGACCGGACTTGGAGATTATTGGGGCGCCCTTGGCTTTTATCCATCATGGAGAGGAGCGCCCACCAGACGAAAGCGATGCGTTTAGTATTATCCCAATCATCCTTCGTCCTCAGAGCAACGGCACCATCACACTTCGGAACAAGGATCCATTTGAACCACGTAAGTATACTGATGGAGTCACCTATGAGTCGATGACTAATGAGAATTATCTAGCTATCATCGACCCAAAATACCTGTCTGATAAGGACAACAATGACCTAAACGTTCTGTTGACCGGTCTTCGGATCTGTCTGAAAATAGTGCGAAGCCCGGCCCTCCAAAGTTATCTAGAGCCTGTTCCTGTCAACGATGACCCAACATCCGCATGGTGGCCCTACTCAAGTAGCAACGTTGAAGCCATCTCGGATAAGGACCTTATTCGCTTTATGCAAGAGAAAGCCTTCACACTTTACCACCCAGTTGGCACGGCCCGCATGGGCTCAGACCCAAAAACGAGCGCTGTCGACCTAAACTGTCGAGTCCATAATGTGAAAGGCTTGCGGGTTATGGATGCGAGTGTGTTTCCCGAGCAAGTTAGTGGACATCCAACTGCTCCCATTGGTGCATTGGCCTACAAGCTTAGCGACATGATCAAGCAAGATCGTCGCGCAGATGCACCGTTGTCAGCGAACTTGTAGTGCATTTTTGGTTATTTTCTTCAGTTTGATTGTATACCCGTCGTTTTAGAAACAACTTTTTGTAAATTTGACATGTTTAACGGGATGGATAAATTCACGCCATCTGCTGGCAATCATATCTTGATAAATTTGGAAAAGCTATTAACCTCTCCTCCAATCATCTTAAGCCCGAAGGCAGGGACAAAGCTGCATAGGGTGGAGAATGGACAAAGAGCATTTTGGTGATAGGGGTTTGCATTGTAAAGATTTAATATTACGCACACAGAAGATATATTTAGAAGATGTAGCCTGAATAGTCTCAATTTAGAGAACATGGGACATTCTGGAAAGTTGGTCTGAGCCGGGGCGCCGCACCACTTCTCGAAATCCCGAGGCAATGACGACAGGACAACGTACACTGTCAGCCCCTCTTCAACAAATATCCTGAAGCAATGTTCGTTCTTCTCATCCCTTCAGGTCTCAGGACCTAGATCTAGCAGGTTTTCTCTTTGCGTCTAATTGGTCAGGGATTGGGTGGCTTGTTGGTAGGATGACGTCGTCTATAATCATCGGTTCGCGGCGTTCCCCGCAAACCCATCATCAATATAAATTATCGAATCCTTCAAAAAACAATTCATTGATCCCAAAAATTTCATTCTATTGAACCACGACCGTGAAATAGTATTGTCAAAGAGCACATACCACGCAACCTCATCTCCACAAATGGCACCTTCGGATAGCAGACCCATGCTTGGGAAGAAAGCCGCGCCGGCGGCTGAAGAGGAGAATATCAAAGAACAAGCTCAGCACGACCCCAACCAGAACGAAAACGAGTCCTCGGATGCCAGACCTATGCTGGGGGAAAAGACCCCTTTGGCGGCCGAAGAGGAGAATATCAAAGAACAAGCCCAGCACGACCCAACCCAGAACAAAACCGCGTCCTCGGATACCAAGTCTGCTTCTCGGGGGAAAAGCGGCGCGCTGTGAATAGCGACGCAGGTGAAATGCAACACTCTGTACTTTGATTCTCTCTATGTCGTCGAAGATAGACGTGGTGCTGCATGCACTGCCATGATCAAATCTTGTTGGGGGATGTTTCCCCTCAGAACAGAGCACGTCGAGGTTTTTGTCAAATATTCCCAGAGTCAATTATGTTCCTCTCAAAAATGGTTTGCACCGCATTAAACCCTTGTAAATTATTAGCGAAAGAAACGAAAGCAATTGCCATTTCATTGTGAGTGAGGATTTAGTAAAGTCTAAGCTTTGAGGGGTTGAACCCCTAAAGTAGGGTTCGCTGGAAATTACAGGTTTCAAGGGCACCATTTCTGGCCTAAAAGGCGGTCATTTCCGGGATTGATTTCAGCAGACTTCATATTCTATATATATTATTAGCGCCTGAATTTTAGTCTATATCGCAGACAATATCTCCCCAGGCTCATAGCCCCAAGCCCTCTCGAGATCCTTCAGCCTCCACAACGCCCCCCAACCAGTGGTTTCCTCAACGATCTTGAATAACTTTGCAACTTCAACATGCTCACTATGATGACTGAGTAGCTTCCCCGCAATATATAGCGGCTGAATCGCATTAATCAGATTCCCACTGTGCGGATTCGTCAACGAAATCCCACACACCCTCCTTGCATGCCAAATCGCCGAGTAATGTGGTTTTCCCGTTGGCAAAGTCATTTCCATTGGCCTGATATCTAGCATCATGATACAAGATGCGTGATACAGCTGGTTCCCCGAGATAGCCGCCCAGTGCGCGAACAGAATTTCGGGAAAGATTTGTCCGCCTCCTATTCCTGTAGTTTTGATTGGGAGCAAGGCTGGAGGTCGTGTCTCGAGCCAGTATTGGAGTTCATCCCAGAGAGTGTTCCATTGTTCGCTGAATGGTCGCTCGTCGTCGACCATCTCGCCCAGCTCTAGGTGTCTTGTCTGCCGACATGCAAGATCGCACGTCTTGGCGCATAGGTACACGGCCCAATTGGCGTGCATGTCCGGACTCACGCGACCCTTCGCGCAGAATAGGTCGCGAATCATACCCTCTCTTTCTTTTGGGGATGATGTTTCCGGCATCGCTGGTACCCATTTTTCAAGTGCGAGAACCGTGCTCTCGGCACCATTGGAGATGATCGCGCCGCATAGCTCCATCCGCGCGTAACACCAGAAGACAGCTTGGAGATGCCCCCCTGATAGGCCATTCACGTTAAACGAGTCGAATAATGCCGCGCACCCTTCCACGTGTCGACGCCAGTCTCGCGGACTCACGGACATTAGTTCCATTACTGCGAGGATGCAGACTGTCACTAGGACATTCGGGTCTTTGGCTTGAAGGCATGGTGTCAAGAGGCGGATGGACTCTTGGTAGAGCTCCAGGCTGTCGTAAGCTTTATCAAGACATGCTTTTCGCTCAGTCTGCCGGGCAGAGAAAGCAAGGATGGCGTAGAATAAAGTCGGAGATCGTTGCGCCAGGATGGGAATGTGAACTCCAAAATGGCGCGCCTCGTCGAATTTATCCAAGTACGGTGCGCACTCGGTTATCCAGTTCTTGAGATAATAAATCAGTCGGATTTTTGGGATTGATACCCGTGTGAAATCAAGACTCTGCCGTGATGCACGTGGACCAGGGCCATCTAGTGGATCCGAGGGTGCTGGTGAGATATATGTGCTAGGTTCAAGACTTGCGACTGCAGAGAATAGCACGCAGCGCAGCTCTTCTTGTAATTCGAGGAAGCGCGGGTTAGCAGCGTATTCGTCCGCGCTTGAGAATGTGCCGGGGGATAGGAAAGCTTCGTCTTCGAATAATGGCGGTGCGCTGTTGAATGAGTCGGATATTCTCCCGTTAGGAAGAATTGGAGGGACCGGGTCATCCATGATGGTGGTGAAGAGGGAACCTGGGGTAGAATGGAAGAAAAGGTAATGGGTGGAGCTTCCCAAAGTTCTGTCTCGGGCTCCATCCGGAGACAAAAAGTTACTTAGTCACGCAGGCCCGCGCTGCCCCAGAATGGGATCGTGACCCGTGGATAGCCATGAAAAGCCCGAGATGAGTACAGAAAAATTGTGAGTCGAAGATAAGCCTTGGAAACCAGGCATCGGCCAAAAAGTCACTTAAGTTACTTCAGCTACTTCTCTGGACGACATTTCTAGTCCCGTGGACACATTCCCAACCGGTAGAATGTTATAACTAACATACAAACATCTATTTAAACCCAATTCGATCCTCTAGTATATACAATATTTACCTAGCGCCTCATGATATGTACATCTACAGGTCGGCGCAAGACTTGGGGTGCATAAGAGAATGCTTAATCCGCTGTTTCAGCTTATCCGCATCAACCTCAAAGACATACGTCACATTGCGAATACCAGCGGGCGCAAGGGCCTTCTGGTAGACGTGAACGTTACCGTAGTTGGGGCTGCCGTAGGAGATGTCGACGTCGATGTATACTAGAAGTTGACGATTAGTTCTCCTCAAGTATCCAATGATTTCTAAAATGACAAACCTGTAGTCTTGTTGATGGCGAGGGAGGGATCAACCATCAGAGCCGCAGCAGTTTCATCCCAAAAGGGGAAGGAGATGTCATAGTACTTGGCGAACAGCTCACTGTAGGGGTTTCCGGCTTTCTTGATCTCGTCGACGAATTCCTGGGTAGGGAATACCTGGTTCGCGACGTTGCCGGCGACGATGATCTCGGGGAAATCGGCTGTCAGGGCGATCTTGGATGCTTCAGGGTCCATCATCAGGTTGATCTAGGAGTGGTCAGTTAGTGCGTCTCTTCTTGGAGATATCTAAGGTACGTACGTCGGACTGGTAATCAGCCTGCATGATACTGCCAGTAGCCTGGAGCATATTCAGATCAACATACCCGCCCATGATCACCAGGTTCTTCGCGAGTGATGCGAATTGAGGATCCATGCGAGCAGCCAGTGCCACATTGGTCAGAGCTCCTGCAGAGTAAATGGACACCTGACCGGGGTACTTGTGCACCATCTCGACCATGAAGTTTGCAGCGGAGGTCGAGTTGTCCGGCTTGCCCTTGGGGAAACCCTCCCTGAACGCCGACTTGACAATTCGGTTCGGGTTGCCCGAAGTAGGATCATTGCCTTCGGCCTCATAGGTTGCGTTGTAGGGAGCGAATGCTCCCTGCCAGGGGAGTTTGCCGTGAATGGTCTCCCATGCCTGGAACCGCAGGGGAGTATTGATCAATGGCCAAGTAGAACCAGGATAAACGGGGATGCAGCTCAGATTACCGGCTTCCAGAGTTGCCACGGCGTGCAGTGCCGCCTGGGGTTGCCAGGTGTCGCAGGTATCTAACGTAGAAAGTTAGTTGCTGCGTACGGCTAGTATATGACGCACTCACCTGATGCCAGGGCCAGAACATCGACGTCCCCATCGAGGGCGATCAGATATGGCACGAAACCAGCCGTGTACCAATCATTGTCCATGATGGCATAGTGTTTATCCCCCTGCGCAAAGGCGCCACCCACCAAGGGAAGCAGAGAGCTGCAGAGCAGCGGCAAAGAAGTCGGCCAATACATCGTTCCCCTAGTCTAGCAGGTCACGCACTGAAGATACCCCAGATTTTCACCCCGTTCATTCACCGGGGCCTTTATACCTCGAAGTACCGTTGCCTATCCTTTAACATTACGTCGGCCGGTCCCGGTCTAATTCCCAATCATCAGCCGAAAGCTTGGAGTTTTGATGTCAAATTGCACCGGATCGCACATCCAGCTCCACGAACCCCCCCCGCATCGACTTGACCAATACAGCAAAACTCTGCCTCCGATTCCCCGAAACAGGCACAGATCCGTGCCCTTCCCCACAATCTGCCCACAATCGGCAAGGCTAGTTTCACTCGTGGAAACCATCAGTCACGAAATGTGCGCAACCCGAAAGCTAGCGGGCTTGGGCTGCCAGGGTCCGAGCCTTCACACGGGATTGTGGCTCCAATCTTCCCCTTCGCTTCCCGAGTGGATCCACCCGATCCCGATATTTCGCCCAATTAGGTGGGTATAGCCTACACATATCCATGTATGGTTTAGTGCCGAGTCTCCGCAATTGCTTTTGCCTCCACGTTTTTGATTTTCTCCCGGGGGTGTGACCACTCGTCTCGGGACGCCGAGGCCAAACCGGGGTAGACGTTAACTTTTTTTTTGCAGAGGTCTCTTTGGACCGGGGATGGCGCTGGCGTTGGAAATAAGATAAAATGGGACCTGTTGTCCCTCTTTCCCCGTATTCGAATTCTTTCCCCAGATCTTCTTGCGGAGAATCATCTTTCTTGAGTTGCATTCACTTGGATTGATTTTATTTCGCCATGATTGAGTCGACTGTTGACGTGGAGGTGGCTCCGCGCGTTCAGATCGCGAAGAAGTCGATGTGGCAGTCGATCTTCGATAACCCTAAAGTCATCTTTATTGCCTTTTTTGCTTCGTGAGTCGCTAATCCCCTCTGAAAAATCCTTTCACGATCTAATATATGGGATACAGGCTCGGTGGGTTCGAATATGGCTACCAGCAGGGTGTCCTTGGCCAGTCATTGGTCATGACTCGCTTCACTGAGAACTTCCCGTCTGTGGTGGCTTCGTCTACGGCAACGGGCTGGTTGACCTCCATTCTTCAAGTTGGAGGTATTGTGGGATCTCTTTCGGCTGGTATCTTGGGCGAGATCTTCTCTCGCAAGTATACCATGTTCTTTGCCTGCTGCTGGGTCGTTCTCGGAAGTTATCTCTACGTGGGTGCTACAGTTGGCAACCCATCTCTCCTGTATGCAGGCCGTTTCTTCACTGGTTTGGGCGTCGGCCTGTTCAGCGGTGTCGGCCCACTTTACAACGCCGAACTCGCCGCTCCTGAGATGCGCGGTCTTCTGGTCTCCTTCTACCAATTCGCCACCATTCTCGGTATCATGATCTCGTTCTGGGTCGGATACGGCAGCAATTTCATCGGCGGAACGGGTCAGACGCAGTCCGACATTGCTTGGCGTCTGCCCTCTATCATCCAGGGTATTCCCGCTTTCTTCCTGGCCTGTGGTATTTGGTTCATGCCGTTCTCGCCCCGCTGGTTGGTTAAGCAAGGCCGCGACGAGGAGGCTCAAGCTACTCTGGCTTGGATGCGCAAGCTTCCCGTTGAGCATGAACTGGTTCAAGTCGAGTACCTCGAGATCAAGGCGGAGTCCGTGTTCGAGCAGCGTGCGTTTGCGCGCAACTCGCCCAAGCTGGCGGAGCGGGAGCGCCAGAGCGTTTTCATGAACCAGATTGCTCAGTATGTCAACTGTGTGCGGACCATGGATAACTTTAAGCGTGTGGCTACTGCTTGGTTGATCATGTTCTTCCAGCAGTGGAGTGGTATTGATGCCAGTGAGTTTTTCTTATTCAAGGGTGAGACCCGCTTTCTGACAATTTCCAGTTATCTACTACGCGTCAAACGTTTTTGTTAGTCTTGGTTTGACCGGCGGAACTATTGCGCTGCTGGCTACGGGTGTGACTGGTGTAGTCTTCATTGTCAGCACGGTTCCTGCTATGGTAAGTTCAACACATTGAATTTCCTGACATGAAGACATACTAACGTCGTTCCACAGTTGATCATTGACAAGGTAGGCCGCAAGCCTATGCTTCTGGTCGGATCCATGGTCATGTTCTGTAGCATGGTCATTGTCGGAGTCATCGTGGCCAAGTTCCAGCACGACTGGCCTCACCATGTGGCAGCGGGTTGGACCGCAGTTGGTAAGTGGCTTTCCACCTCTTTTGACAGGACCAGAACTAACAGAGAATCAGCACTCATCTGGCTGTACATTGCCGGCTTCGGAGCCACCTGGGGACCTTGCTCATGGACACTCGTCTCGGAGATCTTCCCTCTCTCTATTCGTGCAAAGGGTGCCTCCATTGGTGCTTCTAGCAACTGGGTCAACAACTTTGCTATTGCCTTCTTTGTCCCCCCGATGCTTAAGGCCTGGGAGTGGGGCACGTACATCTTCTTCGCTGGGTTCCTGGCGGTAGGTATGGTTTGGGTCTGGTTCTTCCTGCCAGAGACCAAGAATGCCAGTCTCGAGGAGATGGATCGCGTCTTCGGTAGCCACACGGGTGAGCGAGATGCCGAGCTGCTTCGTGAGGCGCAGCGCGATGTCGGCCTGACCTCGTTTATTGAACGGATGGGATCTGCGACCGGTCGTGATTTGGAGAAGACGGAAGGATCTCAGTATATCGAAACTCTTTGAGTATAGGTGTAATTTAAAGAATGCGGGCGACCTATACCTAACGCCCTATCGAATACGAATGACGTATGACGATGTTCCATAATTTGATTCAATGCATCACACTTCAAGTACCGAGATCTACCCACGTTTACTCCACAACACATAAAAGCATCTCGATCGATGCGGGTGGCGTTCCCAAGTCAAGCTTTGAAGACATAATGGAAATGCGGTCCAAGCCGCGTCGACTGGCGCTGCCCCTTTCGGCCTCGCCCCGCCAAACTCGGACACTCGGACACTCGGACACCTCCGCTTCGTCGTGTTGGCTCTTGGGGACACTGGAGGCTCCGCATTCTTTTTGGTCTTCTCCAACATCCGGGGTCATGCATGCTCTACATCATGCCTAGGAAGGTCACACCTGCCGGCAAGCAAAGGGTGAGGACGGGCTGTCTGACCTGCCGCAAGAGGCGAAGAAAATGTTCGTGTCGCGTGACCGTTGCGGGTCCTTTACTGACTGCTTCCAGGCGATGAGCAGAAGCCGCGATGCGCCAATTGCGAAGTCAAAGGATTTGCTTGCAAATATGGCGCTGATCTCGCCTTTGTGCCCCCGCAGTCTGGTGCTGCCTTGGGCGGGACGAGACAGGTTTATAACACCATCACTGTAGGACTGCATTATCATCCGATCTGGCTCAGGGCGTTGCTGATATCCGGGGTATAGTTCGTCGACGACTCCCCCATTGCAGTAGGCCAGGGAAGATCGCAACAGCAAGATGAAGCTGCGCCTGAGTCTCAGGCCGCCACCCAGCAAATTTCCAGTGGCCCGAATGAAACAGCATACCAGAATTCAGAAAGCCGCACGGCTGTTCCTATTAACGACATCTTAGCGTCAAATGTACCGATCGGTTTTTCTCCGGGGCCTTCAAATTTGCAAAGCACACCTAATGTGTTCCTCAACAACATAGCGCGAGGAACCCCTGGAGGACATCCTATCCCCGAATACCTGAGCTTTCTCATCAGCCCCCAGCAGATGACAAGGCGCCCGACTACTGCAAATAGCTGCCGGGAGACAGACTTATTACGGCACTTTCGCTATCACGTGGGTCCTTGGATTGACGTTGGAGATCCCGACTGTGCTCTCGGAGTCCAAGCACTGCTTCTTTCCCGGTCCAACAGGCCTTTGCAGGCTGCTATCCTTGCGTTATCTGCTAGCCAGCGGTCGCTGCTCTCTATCTATCATGATGAAGACACCGGCAACAGCATTCGGTTTCGCAAAGAGGCAGAAGATAGCTTGGACCTTCAGCCTGATTTGATAAGGCAGGCAGGGCATGCTATACTTCTCATGCAAGACATTTTGCCATTGGGACTTCAGAGATGGAGGGGTTTGATAGAATCGGTTGGCACGTGGTTGTCTCCAGCTTCTATGACAGATGATTTGGGTGAAGCCTTGTTTTGGCTACACTTCCGACTTGGTATGTAACACTTAATTTGGTTCAAATGAAATGTGAAGTACTAACTATTTTCTCCAGATCTCGCATCCTCAATCGCCGCCTCTAAACCCCCCTCATTACCTTTTCGCTCTTTTCTCCACCGTGACGGCTCCTCAATTCATGCACCACCACGACCAGACATGCACTCTCGAACCGTCCATCGAGTATACGACCATGCTCTTTGTCTTCTTGGCCACTCTCTTGCCCTAATATACGGAGATCCAGACGTGACTTCACCGCAGGCTGCCGGCTCGCCAGAACTAGCAGCATTTCCATCCCTGCGACAATCACATGTTCTATCCCAATGGACTTTTCTCTGGACGGACTGCCAGAAATGGTACAATGACCGCCCAGTCGATGCACAGCAGATAGTTGACGTCCGCGGTGGCGAAGCAGACCAGATCGACCCTGACCACGCATCATCATTTCCCATTCTCATCTTCACGACACCGATGGCGCTGGTCGCCAACGCCGTCTACCACATAACCTCACTCCTATTATTGACACATAAACCAAGGTTACTGAAATCATTACCCGGTCCACGATGCTTCACATCGCATATCTGGCACGCCCAATCCATCGCTGGAATCGCGGCTAGCAATGACTCGCCAGAACAATGGGATCCGATACTAGTCGCCAGTCTTTTGTTGATCGCAAGAGAAATGACGCACGAGTCTCAACAGACGGTACTTCTGGAACGACTAAGAAGGATTACAGTAACTACAGGGATTAATTTGGAGCAAGAGACGGTGGCGCTTCAATCAGTATGGAGGATTGCTCGATTTGATGAAGAGCCGGATGATGACGCGGATGATTCTATTATATCTTGAAATTCGTAAATCCGTACACCATCTATACAAACGATATGATCCCGTTCTAAACCATTTACTCCATATCGTACGCAAAGGGAATGCTCTGGGCCGCACCCCGTTGCTGAACACACTTTGCCGCCGCCGCATTAGCCTTTTGCACAGCGGCCTCAATCTCTGCATCGAACTCTTCCAACGTAGCACCCTTGGCCAAAAACCTCGCCAAATCTGTTGAAAAGTACCCCACAAAAGTGTCCCCGGCTGCCGTGGTATCAAGGACCTTAGCAACCTTCACCCCCCGCACATTCCCGGATCTGCCAGTCCTCGTCGAGAAATAAACCCCCTTGGATCCAAGCGTAATAAGCACAATCTGTACTTTCGCCATCTCATGGAACCTCGGCGCCAGCTCCGCAGTCTGCAGGGTATCAAGCTTATCAGGCTGGCTTGAAGACACAGGAAGCCCAGCGATAGACCTCGACATCTGAACAGCCTCCGTCTCATTCATAATCAGAACAGAGGTGCCTTTCACCGCAGCCAGTGAAATCCCCTCGGGATATACAGGCGCCGGATTGAAGACGACATGAGCGCGATCACATACCCCGCCGTTGAAATATTCCAATAATCCCAAGGTCGTCTTCCGTGGGATCTCGCCCTGCATCACGATCACCCCGGGATTGCCCTGGTTCTTGACAGCGCTGACAATCTGCGCAACATCACTCATCATACCCGCGTGATTCGCACCAGGTACAACAAGAATCCGGTTCTCTCCATTGTCCTCTTCAACGATAATACTCGCAGACCCAGTCTGAGCCTCGCTCGACTCTTCAATATTCGCTGTATTCGCGCCTGATGCTTCGAGCGCGGGCTTCAAGAGTGTGGAGTAGTAGACGTCGTCTGCTCCGACGGCACCGATCATGCCCACCGCTACATCTTGGGTTTCTTTTGCGATGAACGAGGCCCGGCCGCATGCGACGGCTTGGTTTCCGCCTTTTCCGCCGGCTGTCACGGTGAGGGAAGTCGCGGTCAGGGTTTCGCCGGGACCAGGGCACCGAGGGGTAGATGTCACGAAGTCGATGTTTAGGGAGCCGATTATGCAGATTTCTGGCGTGGGGGTCGCGGCTTGTCCTTTGATGCCGGGCATTTTGGCGGGTGCGTAATTGGTGTGTGGAATGGGTGTCTTGAGAGGATGGACGGGTAAGTAGATTATCGAGACTTTGGGAGTGAAGGAATTGGTTTAACGAAAAGAATTGATTTCTGGGGAAATTGTATTTGTATCCATCTGTCTACACTAACTTTTGATGGCAATAAATATGGTCTCGCCAGTTGAAATCTATCGGCAAATATCTAAATCGGGCGAGCGTAGCCTATTCCTCGACAAATTGGGTTAGTCTGGAAGACTAATTGCCCGACTTGGTTAGTCCGTCGCTTGTCTCTTTCCCAAATGGATGCGGCGTGGCAGTCATTGTACCTGCGGCTGCAACGCGCCTGATCGAAATCAATAGAGTAGATATTTCTCAGGGATGCGCTATCAGAGGCTTCTCAATTGTTCTTCCGGGGTAATCCTGGAAGCCAGACCGACGGCTGTCGTGCCGACTTTCCAGGTATCAGTGAGCACCTCTGGTATGAAATTCGAACAGACGCGCAAGGATTTCAAAGCGTATTACACAACTATTAAGAATGATCGAGAGAATCAAGTGCCCATTGACGATGCTTCATCATACCCTGGTATGCATGTACCGGCGATAAGTTTAACATATTCCTGGCCATGGCACTTTCACAAGTAATTTCTGAATAGTGAACCCATCAAAGAGGAATATTGCACGTCGTTATAGTCTTCGAGCAGAGCTGGAACGATGCAGGTCCAAAAGGAGTTCAAAGACCGTCGATCGGACATAACGTCTGGGGTCTGACTGTTTAGGCCTCCTCTCTCCATTTCTGATCGGACATCGATAGCGATGTCATGGTAGCACTTCAACAGTAGAAGCTCGAAGTGTCAATTCACGCATGCGAGTAGTATTTCGGGCATTTTATCCGTGGTTCTATCCCGGACTTTTGTTTCAATTGAAGTCAACCTTGGGAAAAATCTTAGTTGATAATTTTCTAGTGAGAGATAAGAAGATCCCGAATGTAATGTTGCATCGTACCGAGCAAACAAACCATTAATTATGTGGGACTACTACTAGGCCATCTCAGATCAAAATAGAACTTGAAGGGCCTAGACATTAATTACCCCGTGATCAGCAGCGTGATCCACAATGCTTACGGCGTGCGCCACAGTCTTAGCATTGACGTAGCCAGTGCATGGTGAAGATGCGCCACAAAAGGGTCTCCAAAGGGAACCAGATCCATAAATAGCACGAGGAAAGTAGCGCCGAAAGAACCTTCGCAAAATCTGTAACCGTAACAGTTATAAACAGGTGACCTAAGGCAAACTTCAGACCATCATTAGGTGTCAAGAGGCCATGTTTCACACCGTCAGATTTTAGAGCAGGCCTCGAAACCTGAATGGGAGACTAGAATAACCTTTCAATACGAGAAAAGAGGCGAAACCGGTTAGAAAGGGTAACAAATAGCTTTGCGTTGCATTATTTGGTGCCGCGCTGTCGGCTGTCGGCAAATCCCGTGCCCCTGTCTCAAATGATTCAAGTGTGTGTAAGCAGTCATGAATTTGTTGCGGAAGATCTAATCTCATAAAGCTCTTCGTTAATACCCTCCGATTTTATTCAACAACATATAAATCAATTACACATTATGGCTCTTTCAGCGTGCAATGCGGTGGTGAACCCATCCTTCGAGTCCGGCGTTCTTTTCCCATGGCGCGCATCCGCCGTGAACGTCGCGACCGTTAGCAATGCTGCCAGTGCATACAGCGGTGAATACTATCTGTAAGACAATCTTCCGCCTGAAATATCCACGATATACTGACCCTTCTACAGGGAGCTGCAAACCGCCATCGACAATGGCGGCAACACAATCTCCCAATCCCTCGAAAACCTTAAGCGCGGCACAAAATACGACTTCAGCGCAGAGATTCAAGTTCCCTACGCAGGCGCCGAATATTGCTTCATTTCCGTCTACATGGGCCGCAATGCGACTAAAGGCCATATTGCCACCAAGGAAGTGACGGACTTTGGAAAGTGGGTTTCTGTTACTGGAAGCTATACCCCGAGGAGATCCGAGGATCGTTTGAATATTCTTGCTGCGTGTGACTTCCCGGATAACTCTGTTACGGGCCGAGTTTATATTGATGATGTTCTTTTTGCGCCGAGTGGGAGCTGTGGGTCGAACTAGATAGATCTGAAACATGATGAATTTCATTGCTTTTGTTGATGTGACATTAGTTGTGGAGTAGATTGCCATGGGGAAGCTAGAATGATTTGCAATTCAGGTCTTTGCCGGGTACACCATGTGTAAAGTCGACACAACCCTCGTTCCCCTGTGTAGAGTGGAAATGTACTTCCCTTCAAACCTTCACCCTTTCCAAAAATCTCTTCAATCTCGTCCCTACCGTTTTCTTTTCCTTCTTCGGCACAAACTCCGCATCTCTCTCGGTGCAAAATTGCGTGCAGGTCCAGAATTCAAGTTGATCCAGCGGGCCCAGCCACTCCTCTCGCGGTGGGTAAGGCGACGGATCAATGGTCAGCCGGTATTTAAACCTTGGTGCATCCCACAAGTCCTTCTTCTTCCTCCACTTAGTATCGGCAGCCGAGACGAAACTGCCCTTTTCGAATGTAAGGGTTAAGCGCTTGGGCGTGAACGCGGTCTCCCGCAGTAGAGCCTCATTCCAAACGTTGTCACTGGTATCGGTGTTTGCCAGGCTGGGAATAAGGCGCTTGGTGAGTGTCATTTCGATGTTGCAGCGCCCTAGCGTTAGAGGATTATCCGCATTGGCAAGACCGGTAGTTGCTGGTTTGCCAAGTGTGTTATTCACTGGCCTCCACTCAAATTCAACGGCGAGGAAGAGTGTGAGTCCGCTGGCGCATGTCAACTGTGAACTATTAGTTACTGGATATGTCGATGCGGTATTGGACTTACCTCGCCCGTCCCGTTTTCATGGAAGATGACGTGGCTGTTCTCGGCCCAGTCCCAGTTCCAGGCTCTTTCACAGAGCAAGGCACGTGGAGTTGTGATCTCATGTTGGTGTTTGCTTGTCATGGCTGCAGTGTGCACGCTTTGATGATGAACCTTTGTGGCCAAGGAAAGGGAAGGATGAAATTTATGAATATGAAGAGGAAGTGGATGCGTAGAATGAAGAGAGCCAGGATAGCATATGGTGCGTATTTGAATAAAACAACAGAATGGCTGATTGGAGTGAGTAGACACGAGAGGACTGAGATCTCGATTGATTTCCAGAACAAACAGACGGAGACTACGGCCTGATAAACAAGGCACTGGATGCACACCACTTATACTTTATCCTTCGACAATAATATTCCTGGTATTTATTCTATTTAAATGGGGCCCGAGATCGACTTGGATGACAACCGATTCCAAGATCCTTATAAGACTCGGAACAGCTAGGTATCCGAGTGCCGTCCGAGCCGGAAAGTATTATATAGAATCCTAGCGTACGAGGTCATTGTGTTTGTTTATTCACGGATGGGATGTTATAAAGGCTCAGAAAGGATGCTCCCGTCTTGCTCAGAGCTTAAAGCCTCGTCTTCTAAGAATAATACTTCTCTCTTGTTCATCTAGGTGATGGTAAAATTACCGCCTCGGGAAATGATAGGCTCCCAGAGCACAGGGTGAGTTAAGCCACCCCGCCACCCTGAGTGGCTCACTGCGAAGTGATTCCTAGATTCATTGGCTCTCGGTGGCCCATCAGTAAGTTGCAGACCTCAAACAGTTGGCGACTGCAGTGATCTTTACATCGACGTTGCCTTTGATTATGGCTCTCCCGGATAGCGGAATACGAAGATATCTCCAGCAGTGCCATTGGACCCCAGCGGGGATATGTCTTTCAAAGGTCTAAGTGCATTTCCCGCTGTATCAAATATCTCCACCCTTACAAGATCGCGGTTCTTCATCCGATTCGAGTCAGCATCCAAGGCGTGGGTGAACCGGAAATAGGCGCAATTTGCATAGTCAACAGTCTTGAGGACGGTCTTTTGCGAGCCCCCAGGCACCGGAGGCGTGGCACCGAAATAATTGCCCGCCTTGTCGTTCCAGAGAATGTACTTGTGACCCGGTTTGAACCATATCAGTTTTAGTTGTTTTCAATGTATACTTGATAGAGTGAGATGGGTGGAGATTTGAGACAAGACGTACCCTATAATTGAAAGTGTTCTTGGACTTGTCATAGATCTCGAAGAATTTATTGCCAGCTTGAAAATTTTGGGTGGTGCGACATCATTATTCGCTTCCATCATTTTGAAACAGTGAGCCGATGAGCAGAGATTTATAGAGGATTCGCTAGTACTACAGCGTATTAGGTAACTAGGATGGGTGAAAGAAATGTGATCTCCCTGGTCTGACCTTGTGAGGGACAAGGGCAAAAGAAAAAATCAAAGTGCCCACTTGCGCTCGTCCTTTCGTGAATTAATCAATGTTAGCTGCGCTGAGATACCCCAGCCCCCCGACCTGCAAAAGAGTAACATCTCCGGGGGTAGCAAATCACATTCCCATTCCACATGAACTAAGTTGCAATATGCAAATGATGTCATACGGGGCTCGGTAAGTGCTTTCCTATGGCGCATATTTCGGGTGATCATCCATGCTAAGCCCCTGGAACCCCTTGATTATTATCCCGAACCTAGATACATCATCGTTCCACTAGCGACTAGAAATCTTGGCATTTAATTCAATCTCGCGGCTTAGATTCTCGCATGGTCGCGTTTCAGCCCTAGATTACCAGTTCACTTACCACCTTCTGGCATCGGGCATTCTGGCACAGGTGGCTTCCTCTTCAAGTAGACCGTTGTAGATCAAACAGTCTGGAATGGAGACCCTATACTATAATCCTTGAGCAAAATGTGTCAAGTAACAGTCTGGGGTTCCAATGACTTCTCCCCATGCTCCAGGATGCCGAAGGGATGATTCGCATTTCGTCATCACGATAGTACCTTGTCCAGAGTATAAAATGGACGAGTCTCTAGGCAAGACACCACAGCATCCCATTACCACAACTTCAATCTATCCCGAAGCATACATTGACAGCAAAGCAGGTCTGATATCCCCCCGCCCCTTTCCTTTACTGCACCCCTAACACCCATCCAGACAAAATGCACCTCCACTGGAACCTTCCTCTCCTTACTCTCCTGGCAACATGCAGCACTGCATATCTGAAATCGAACCAAGAGTGTGGCAGCAACAATCAATGCTCAATGGCCTGCAAAGACGGCGACTTCCATCCCATGTCATACAACGGCACCGTCTACTTCGCATGTACAACACAAGAAAACCACGACGTCAAATATTCTCTCTGGACGTGCAAACATATTGGGTCCATGGATAATATCGAGGTGTGTGAGGCTGCTTCTGGGAGGTGGTGTGGGAGTACCTCTCATTGTATTTTGCCGAATAAGGGGGATGGGTTTGAGGATCTTTGCAAGCAGAAAAAGACGGAGGCGCTCAAGATCAAGGACAATTTGGGGTATGGAGATGTGCTGTCCGAGGCTGAGTGTAGGGGTTGACGGGGTTGATGGGGTAGTGTGAATAGGAAGTTTGTTTCATTATTGATTTGGACTTTTGTGCGAGGCTAGGCAGGCCATGAGCTACGCGCAGTATGGAGGGTTTTGTTTCAAATTGATAGCTAGTTTCGATTAACTTCTTGATTGATGCAAGAATAAATTACTTGAGATAACAAGAGAGGACCTTAGCCTTAAGACAGAGAAAATCGTTTTTGGAACAGACTCCAGGGCTCCATTGCAGTGCAAATGAACTCATGTAATACTCCTCTGAAATGCCACGGTAAGATAAGCTGGATAAACGAATTACTTCATGTGAACGTAGAACAGATACCGCTGGCGAATCTGAGCAACATCGTAGACAATGTACTCATTGTACTGGAGCCAAGCTTTGTCCTTGCCCTGCGAAGTGCCTGTGCTCACGTCTGGCATCTTGACACCTTCTAGAGACTGGTTCAGACAACCTGCATCCTTCCATCCGGCAGGAATGCTCCGGCCTAGGCCGAGTGTAGCGAGCTTGCCTTGCTTCTGGGCATTTTCGCCGGCGTTGTAATCACTGTCGAAAAGCTCCAACATGGGGTCGCCAAGCTCGGCATCGCACAGGAGGAGCAACCCCATGTTACCACTGTTGTTTGGGCAGCAGTAGTTTGCTGACTTGCTTGAAGTGTCCGCAAGGTAGACACCCTTTCCGAACATGTATCCGTTGACTGGGGCTTCTGGTGGTGCGATTCGAAGACCCTGGCTTAGAATGCCACCGAAGTTGGTGCTGCGCGAACCATGCCAAAGAAGTCTTCGGTCACTCTTCTTGACCTTCGCATAAGGAGAAGCATTAAACCGATCATTCTCGCCCTGACGCTCAATTCGGAAAATGTCGATCACCTGGTATCGGAGGTAGTGGGTTGCACCACGTGAGTTTGAAAGATAATTGGATAACTCGATGAATTCGCTCGACTTGTGATCAAGTCGAGTCATTTCTTCCATGCCCAGGCTCTGGAACTGACGGTCAAGTTGGTTGATTTCATCAGCTTCTTTCGAGTTCTTCATGATCTCATTCGCAACATCCATGTCAGTCAATGCGTCCAAGAGTTCAACCTCCTTCTTGATTTGGGCATCTGAATCCAGGACAGGCGGCCTGTTTCGACCAAAGACGTGCGGAATGATGGTGAAGTACTGGTCGCTTAGAGTCTCTGTTGCGGTCCCATATCCAGTATCGTACTTGGACTGTGCAAGGCTCGGATCCGCGATAAGTTCAGACAACTCTTTCAGGATCGAGAACCCGTTCTTCAGGGTCCTATCGGAGAGCTTGCCCAGTGGCAATTTCTTCGCATCGTAAGACATTGACGCCATAGCCTCGATAAAATGCTGCGAATTGAAAATAAAGCTCATAAGGTTCTGGAGAGGCTTTGACAGGGCACTCTCAACCTTGGGTTTTGAATCTTCAGTCTCTTCCTTCTTCACCTCGTCGTCACCTTCATCATCCTCCTCGTAGTTGCGCTCGATAAATGTGTACTTCTTCGGCTTTGCAGGATCAAGTCGGTTCTCCCATTTCAAGCCTGACTTATCCTTGAACTTCGTTTCAAAGTATCTCATCGCGTTTGCCAGCGTCCCATCTCCCAAACAGGCAGACTGGCCATGCTCACCAACGCGACCCCATCGAGTCCACGTGAAGTAGTTCTGCCCATTCGAGACGGAAAGCAGTTGGATGATGTAGAACTTGTTGTTGTTTTGAGCCGCGACAGTTTGGTTCAACGTGGCATCCCAGATCAACTCGGCATCATCGATATAGACATTAGGATCTGGAGAGGATGAGTTAGTTTCTGGGCGTAAGATGAAAAGCCGATGTTTTGGTCACCTTTGTGTTGGATATGCTCCCGAAGAAAAGCCTCATCGACGGGAATATTCAGGTTTTTGAAGCCCGCTTTTTGCGCATCCTTCTGCTTCTTGCTTGAATCTTCCTCAATGCCATCGACATGTGCGGCGTTGCGCTTTTTTGCCGAGTTTTCTTGGTCGTTCTTTGCATCAACCTGGACATCACTCTTTATGACCTTCAAGGCCTCGCTCGTTGTCTTTTTCTGAATAACACTCTTTGTGTCCTTGTTGGAACCCTTTTGCACATCCTGGCTTATTCCATTTGGAACAGAGCCCAGGATGTAACCAATTTCGGGAAATGGTTTCTTGGCCCCATTCACCTCGACGGCTTGGATTGACTCAATCAGCCAGTCGAGCGACACGATGTGACAAGTGGCAAGCGCACACGCAGCTTTGTCTAGAATATTCGGTCAATGTCAAGACTGAGCACTGAAATTCGCAAACTTACATTTCGCCGTGTTCTTCTCAACATCCTTCTGGGTCGTAACCAAATGCGTGCATTCATCAGTGACAGACGAACAGAAACTAGCATCTCGGTCTTCCAGCATGCCTTTCAGATCGGCTGTAGTCAAAGCGTGACTGTTAGTGTCATCTGCACGTGCAGAAGAATGACCGTGCAGGGGTCATTTCTCCGGAGATCGAAGCGGGAACTCACAATGCTTGAAGCCGGGAAACGTGCCGCTGAGGGCAATGCTGCAGCCCTTGAGGCAACCTGGAGCCATTGCGCTGAACGCTGAAGAAATAAGAAATGAACACGTCGAGGCTGGGAAGTAGGATAAACACGGGGCGTGCGGGGTCCTTGGCTGGATCAGGAGGATTGTGAATGAATACGGGTCAACGTGACAATATCACATGTATGAGGGAGGGGGATGAAAGGATGAAGAAGATTGACAAGTGAATGGGAAGAGAAGAAGAGAGAGCGCCTTTTGAAAGAGAAGGATGGATGAGAGACTGGATGTTGGCCTGAGGATGCAGGCAAACTTGGGGGCTGCTGCCTGAACGACGGCAGGCAACACAGCGCCAAGTGGAGACTTTTCCAGGCAGAAGCCACTGTGGGGTTGTTCCTGAGCTTTAAAAGAGCGTTCTTAGTCTTGTCGTGGAGAATCTTTACCGTTTTGGATCATGTCACTATGCTTCCGCACATCAGCTTAGGTCTCTTTACCATTGTCATATGTCATGCCCAGAGCGCAATTACTCTTTTTCATAGAGTTAACCTTAACTGAATTCATCTATAGCTCTTGCAACCAATCTCATTCCTCATCAACAGAAAGCACCTGCTGCGTAGAGCAATGGATAACACCCCCAGCCAATGGCAACCCATGAACAAGAACCGGCCTCACCACACGATCAGGACAAAGCATCTGGAAAGTGTCCAGCGCATTCTTATCCCGCCGCTCATCCCCAAACTGCGGAAGGATAAGACCGCCATTAACAAAATAACAGTTAACATAATTCGTCGCCGGCTCATCATATGTCAACTCTCCAAGAGCCTTCGGATCCGGTTCATCCACAGTGTAAACTTCAAACCGCCGACCCTTCGCATCGACTTCTTTGTTCAGAATATTCCGGATCTCTTCATAAACCTCTTGCCATGGCTTTGGCGCACTCGGATGAGGTCGAGAGAGGACAATAACTCCGGGTCGAATGAAGGTGACTTCTGCGTCGGCGTGCACGTCTGTGACGTCGAGGCCCTTTCTGCCTGGGAACCAGATGATCTTTTCAACGCCGAGTAAACGGCGCAGTTCTGTCTCGATCTCAGCGCGCGAGAGACCCGGGTTACGGTTTTCGTTGAGGATGCTGCTTTCGGTGGCTAGGAGTGTTCCTTCACCATCCGCGACGAGCGAACCGCCTTCAAGGCAGATCCGTGATTCAACCAGAGTCACTGGAGATGGATAGACATCCGACTCGATAACCCTGCTGGCAAAAGTTGCGTTCTCTTGAAATTGCTCGGGCTCCATAACGGGCCACACAAGGCCATCAGCGGCGCGGTCGTCATCGCCCAGGTCGGCTTTTCTTCCCCATTCACTGAAGCGGAAGTTGATTGCATACCGGCGGAGACGGGTCTCTTCCTCGGTTCCACGCACATAGACGGGGCCCGTGTCTCGAGCCCAGAGGTGGTTCGTGAGGAATGGGATGATTGATATGTTTGATGCTTTGCAGGGGTATTTCGCACTAGCTTCGTTGACTTTGGATTGTGCCTTGGACAGATCCTCGGGCCGCGTATATAACCGCACTGGCTCGAACTCGGATATTGTGCATGCTAGACTGGCGATTTCGAAACATACGCTCTCATAATATTCTGAGGCGATGGAGTATATGGATGGGAATCCAAGGATGGTAGCTGCGTGGCGGGAGGTTTCGCTTGGGTAGAGATATTTTCCTCCAGTCGGGGCTGTGCTCGGTGCCATCGTCGATATCCTTGGGTTGCGGAGTACAATATGCAGGATGGATTTTTGTATTGTTTGAGTTCGAATCGAGCACTTGTAGATTCACGGCTGTGCTGAGTCACGTTGGCCCTCGCAGTGGATGAAGTCCTTGCATGCGGGGGAGGCGGAGGTTTCTCCGCAACTATATTTCAACACTATGAACCTTACGCTGGTCACTGTTTGAGAAATGACTTCTGAGTACGTTGCACACCTGCGTTGCATCAGATCACATCTGACAGAATACTGAATCTGGTGACTCCGGATCCGCCTATCAAGCTTACTAAGCAGGACGTAGGTGTCTATTTTTAGTCCATGCCAGAACGCAATTCCTCAGTTGCGGAGCCCCAAGTGAGTGCAATTCCCCACGATGAGCGGTCGTTATATGGTTCAGGGAATGCGTCTTGTATAGGACACATGCCCCACATAGGAAACTTTCAGAATCGAACGTTCGTGGGGCTTGACAAGCTTTCACCCTTCGCTGTTTCCGCCTACCAACATGCGCTAAAGCCCGCTTGGGTATAGGACAGATTATGAAAGCTGAGACCGATGAGTTGGCTGTCTCCCATGTGGTGAATGATCAATTAATTTTCAGCCTGCGGAAGTAAACCAACAAATCCCACCCTGTAATTCGGAACTGTTGGAAACGCGTAGTCTAAACAGAAGTAATTCCAAGGATTTATCCGTTTGCTGTCCTAGGGTAACATATCTACATATGCCCGAAGACTGCATTAACACACGAGAACCTTGCAACTGTGGCGCACAATAAAACAAGCACAGAGATACGAAATCTTCATTAACATCATTAAAGCGCCGCTAGATTTCGAAACCCGACCACGGAAACTTCACGCAGCGTGGTTGGGGTCCACAGAAAACAATGCATGTGTAAATGAGCTATACACAAACATCGACCGCTCGGCGTGGTGAACCACGAATAAGGCCGAGCGAGACATGCAAACGTGATTATGAATATGAATTATGCAGAAAACAGCAAGGAGATGAGACATGAACCTTGAATCAAGATGGATGATACTGACGTGGTGGGGATATCATTGCAGGTAGGGACAAGATGGTGTTTCCCAAAAGATGGGAGATGTAAATGCGAGAATTGATGAGTCGAGTGAGGGATCAGAATATGACGAAGCGTTTTTGTTTGGTTTTATCGCCTTCTATCAAAGACTGTCAGCGTTGTTTGGAAGAAATCAGACGTACATTGTACGTACCTTGGCTCTTTGGACCAGATTTTCGGAATCTTCCGCCATGCCGGCCTGTCATGGCCGGGTTGGCTCCATCTGCTGCAGCTCTGATGGCTGCAATGCGGTGTTTCGCTCGCTCGTCGCCTTGGTCGGCCGCTTTAACGTAAAACACGTTTGCTTCGAGTACGTCGCGGCGGCAGCCGATGCCCATTTCGGTGAAGTAGCCGACGGCGTATTGGGCTTTCGCAAGACCAGTCGCAGCAGCCCGTGCAGCCCATTCATATGCCTCATTCTCGTCTTTCTCAAGCACAGGCTCGGCTCCTACAAGGTACCAAGCACAAAGAGCCATCATAGCCAAAGGATGACCGCTCTGCGCCGCAGTCGTGTAAAAGTGAATACTCAAAGCAGGATCACGCGGACAATTCAGCTTTCCATGCTCATAGGCATCGCCCATTCGATAGTTCGCCTCGGCATGACCCAGCTCAGCTGACTTGGTTAAAAGCTGCGCTGCATACGATTCATCCGGAAACACGTCGTCACCAAAGCCGGTCTCGTGCATCACGCCGAGTTCATAAGGTGCGGAGTTGTACTGCGCGTCGGAAGACTCGGTCGCCCGCTTCATCCACTTGATGCCTTCACGGTACCGCTTTCCCAGTCCCATGTCGCCTGCCAGACATGCCTTGGCCATACGGAGCATTGCGCCGGGGTGGTTTTTGGATGCGGCTTGGCGGTAGAATTGGACTGCGCGTCCGCCCTCTGCTCGACAGCCCCAGCCGAACTCGTAGCATAGTGCTGTGCGGTAACAGGCTTCGATGTGACCGTGTTTGCTGGCGGCCAGGAATAAGGGGAAAGCTCGTTCGTAGTCTTCTTTGTCTTTGCTGAACAAACCAGAAGCGTAGCCGTCGGCGAGATAGTACTGTGCGAAGGGGTAGCTGCGATCAGAGAGGCGTTGGAGAATGGACTTGGATTCGCGAGAAAGCCTTTGGCGAGTGATTGAGCTCGAGTCTTCGAGGTCGACGTTGGGCATCTCTCGCATTGAATTGATCATGAACACTGCGAACTCGTATTGCACGGCTGGTTCGTCTGTTTTCTTCACGTTCGCAAGGTACATCTCAAATGTCTGCTTGTGGCTAAGCAACGACGCATTGTTTCCTACAGATGAGCGGAGGCGCGAATTGTCGAATGAGGTCACGGTCGGGCCTGGTTGGGGGTAAGATGTATTTAAAAGATCGAGGACAGAGACAGAGCGAGTGTCTGGAGAAACAGTGGAGTGTCGTGAAGGTGATTGACCGTAAAGATACGGAGATGCCGATAGATTGCGTCGGTGATTTCCAGCACCCGCATCAGAACCGGAGGAGTTCTGTGACAATGGCCGTGAAAGGCGTGATTTCCTAACAGCCAAGTTCCCGGTTGAAGCAGACGGATTGTCCGCCGAGCTCACTCTCAATGTCGATGGCCGAGTGGCCTGTGTGTTTTCAAGCTGCTGGTGATGGTACTGAAGAGGCTCATAGCTGTCGGAAGTTTGAGCAACACTTTCTAAGCTGCCGCGAGAAGAACTATTGTGGCTTCGCCCCTCTCGTTCAGGCGACGAGGCGCTCTTCTTGGGATTGGCATTGGCCTCGTCTTTGAGCTGGTTGTCCACCACTGACCACGAGCCGCTACTGGCAGGAGTATGGCCGAACGAATGCTGTGGGATATAATACGGTGTTTGATTTGAGTCCCGTCGTAGTGGGTATGAAGGGTTCCAAGCCTGCTGTGGCTCTGCAGGATCATCGAGGGTCATGACCGCAAACTCGGGGAGCTCTAGTTGGGGTGATGGGCGCCCATTGTGCGGATTCTCGATCCGAGCACTGGACGCCTGGGGCAGCTCTACCCCGTGGGCTATCTTGACCGGCGATAGAGGCGAATGATGGATCACGGGCGAATCTGGTGACTCCCCCGAGATAGGTTTGCGGGTGATTTGCAGACTATGAGGCCTGTGGGGTGTTGTCCGAGGAGTAGACTGGTCCGAGGATAACGGAGGAGAAGATGGGAGGTAAGCTGGAGGGGGAGATGGGATGGACTGCCCGATTCCGACGTGAGCAGCCATTTCGTGCTATGCAGAGGCGAGTCGCAACAGTTGGGGCTCTTGAGGGGAAATATCCAAAAATAGCGAGTGGAATGCGGAGTCAGCGACCGCAGAACGGAGAAACCGGGAGGTGTTATTGCGCAGACATAGAGAGAAGGTAACGACAGCAGCTCTCTCCTTTATCTCACTATGGAGAATGAGATGTCAAGACGTTCCAATGAGAGCTCAAATGAGCCGAGGAGACGAAAGGGTCGGGTAGCTCCAGTTGCTGTGGACCGAGGACTGACGCTAGTTAGGATTTCTTCATAGATGGGATGGCCGTTGCCCTTCACTACTTACAGTAAAACCCAAGGGCGAGGGTGAAAACCTGCTGAGCGAAGGACTTTTTTTTGGATGAAGCGAGGGGAAGGGGGGCGATCGCGGAGTTTAGCAGCAACTGCAGTGTTTCAGCCAACGGCGACAAAGATCAGACACGCCTCCACTCCCCACTTCGAGTGGCAGTCCCTAGTTTGCTCCTAGTGATTGATAAACCTGGAAAGATTGAACTATTTACTATCGTTTGCCAAACTGGTTTTTACCCAAGGGGTTTTTGGGGATATACCTCGGTGCCTAGCCCTAGAGGTATTCACGATTCTACCTCGAGCCTTTAACAAAACCTCGGCATAGTAAATGTTTCCACGCAGAAGGAGAGACTAAAGTCAGGCGACGCAGAGTGGAGCTCCACACGCCTGCTATTTTGGGTTGGGCGCTCTCCCAAGTGACTTTGACCCTCGTATAACACGGGAGCCCGAACCTGATCGCTACTCCCTGTACGACGTGATCTACATCTCCATTGCAGATGCAAACATGCGGAGACATCGTGCCAGTACCAACACCGGAGGCATTCCACCTATATAGCCCTACGATCTACCGTCTGGAGAGAAATCTAGCGATCAATCGAGACGTCGGCATCCACCGAGACACGGGGATGATTCCATTCGGTTCCACGACTTTTCGTTACCCCTCAGCCTCCGAACCGAGCTACACCTATAGCCATGCTTCCAGTGGTGGAGCTCGGAAGTCGATCTCTCACAGTGGAAACGACGCTTGGGCACAACTCTACTGTATTTCCATCGCGCATTGTGCTAGTCGCAACGGGGAATTGAGTGCATCTCACTAGAGGAATCGCGCTCCCCGGTATTTCCGGTCTATCGCGCTGAACTGAATCACTGGTTATTCTCACCGTTCTTTTAGCGGGGCCTTTTATTTGCGGGGTGTATTAATAGCCCGCCGTGCCCGGCTCACTGACACCGCAGGCGCCATTCTCACTTCGGTAGGGAATACCTGGCGATAAAAGGTGGCAAGTTTCGGCGGTTAACCACCTGGCATCACATCTATAGATAACCCTTCCCATGGCAAAGGGTCAAATTGAGTTTTTCGTTCCTGTGGTGCTGAGGCTTTGGGACTCGCACGGCCCGAGTGAACGGGCCTTCACTAGATCTCCTTGCTGGGCGATAGGCTTGGCATTGCAAAGTAGCCAAGTGGTCACATTTTGAAAAGAGTGCCAAGTATCTTTGAGTCTCACGGTGGATGACGTGAAATGGCGATACCAGGCAGCAAAGTCGCGGGAAATCCCCCCTCGCGGGCCAAGTGGCGCATACCGGCGCCGCACCAGATCCTAATTCCTATCGGAAATATTTCCCTCCAGAGCTCCTTCGAGAGGGGACATTGGAACGGTGACATTCCAGTGTTATCATAAGAACGTGGTTTCCCCTGACTCCCATGCACTGCACAGGACAGCACAAAGCCGGTGGGGACTACTTGGTCTGGGGATCCCTGTGCTTCCAGTCGGGTCTGTTGGGATACGGCTCGATCAAATACACCTAGGAATGGCTCACCATGTGGTTGGAATGCCTGAAGGCATAACATGGCTGTAGGATCTGAAAAACCTGGAGATGGCGGAGTGTTGCAGTGATCTCCCGCCGATCGCATCCATCACAGTGCTCGAGCACAGGGGCGATGGAACCATGATGCCATTAAGGGGAGCCATCGGGATGACGTTTCTTTTGCTTGGCTTTGAAGTTTCTTATTCATCTACGAGAACGGAAACGGTGTGGCTCCAGCTAGTGAGGATGTGACGGCTCTCGTCCTCGATCGCGAAGCCGCATGTGTCTGACGACATAATCGCAGCAAGGTACGGCCACGCTCCACTGTGCTAAGGGCAATAATCGACACTGGAGCTATGCACTACTATTTTACATCCGCATTTGGGTGTTAGATATGTATATCGCACCGTGCCGTAAGGCTGTGGGAGATCGGGAAGCCATCACAAAATATATTCGTGGTCCTGCTAGATGAATAGGACATGGAAATGTTTCCTACCACCAAGGCCGATGCCGACTTAGGCTATGAGCTCACGTTGTTGGCAACCCCACAATAAAAAACAATCTGATGATCATCGTTGGTCAAAACGGTGTGTCGGGCAGAGTGGCTCTCCCGAAGGGTCCTGTTCGTGGTGGGTCATTTCGAAAAGATAGATCATGCGCATGCAAAGAGTCAAGATGTGCATGTGCATAACGGGAATACCGTAGGAACATAAACTAAACCAGGACTAATCATATGCTAGCGAATTCACCAAAAATAGCTGGCCCCGTGATAAGAGGAAAAATTAAATTAGAAAATGAAGCCCTCGGCTTGATTCCCCTCACATAAGAGGAAAAGGACAGGCGTTAACCCCGTTGGGTTTAGTTCAGGCTTAGCTTGAGACGCGGTGATTTGCCTCTGCTTCTGGGCCGAGTTTTTACTCCCCTTGATTGGGCGGCTTGCTGTGTACCCCGGGCACATTGCCCCTAGCGACAGGTTGATTAGGGGAAAAGGAAAGGGAAGCTCATTTCCACGGGTCCAGAGGCGAACGCAAGGTCTTTGGGACTTGGTCTAGGTTAATATCGGTGGTCCCAAGGTGCTAATGTGACCGTGACTCGGACTTGGAGACCCTGACTCTCCACACCATCGCCGTTGTCTCACTCTCTTCCGTGATAGCGGTCGTTCCCTCGAGCACCTATCGTATTTCGCTGTTCTGGCGTGAGGGAATAGCAGTCCTTTGGTTTCGTGGGCTTCTTTCTCACTCGTTTCTCATTTTCTTGTTTCTCATTTCCGTTTCTCGGGCCCGACGCAGGTGTGGACCGCACTTTGTTTATTCTCCACCCCCGGCCCTCGTTGCACCGGCCGACCGCACTGGCAACCCGCAGACTAGTCGAGACTTTGCGTTGTCTCGATCGAGATCGCATCTTTCATCTTTGGACAAGATCTTCAATTTTCAAGACCTTCTTCAAGACCGTCGCATTGCGTGGGGAGATCGGAGTCGTTACGACTTATTGATCGCCGAGGGCATGTGCTAATAGAGACACAACGACACCTCGTTTCACGTCATTTCTACGATTTCGAAGCACTGCGCATGACCGCGAACCTCTAAGAGTGAGTGCGACACCGACTCACCCCATTGTTGGACCATAACTGGCCCGAAACCCACCGAAGCCCAATGTCTTTGCCGCAGAGGCCGGGCAAGGCCTCGCCGAGGCGCGATGAGCGCAGTGCCTTCCGCGAGGGCTCGCGCCGTCATCGTCGCCGAGACATCGAGGCCGGCGCCTACACCGACGATCCACAAAGATCCCCCTCTTCACATCGCCGACACCGCCGACACTCGCACAGCCACAGGAGGGGTGCCGACACAGACGAGGAGCGTATGGAGAGAGGAGGGGACGTGAAACGCAAGAAGAATCTGGTCAAGCCGGAACGACGCCATGTGGACCGTGAACACCGCGATTACCACTACCGTCAACGATCGCAACAAATGCCTACGTATCCATCTGCAACCGGAAACGACCCGTTACTCGATCGCGACGGTGAGGCGGAGACTAATAGCTCGCGTAGCATGGATATGAAGACAAAAGAAGATCTTTATGGAAATATCAACAAACCGATGGACCGGGCGCCCAGTCGCCATCGCTCAAAAAAGAAGAAGAGATCCTCCTCTCGGCGAGTCTCGAAGAGCGCATCAGCGCAAGAGAAAGAGCGGCAGAAGGCTTTGGAAGCGGCACGGCCACCAGATCTTTGGACAACTTACTGTGCACTCGTCAGTTGTCTGGTGCCGGACTTTGTGCTCAAATGCTTCGGCATGCCACAAAAGGAACAGCGCACTGCTTGGCGAGAGAAGATCGGCTTGATCAGTATTATTTTGATGATCGCTGCATTTGTCGGTTTCCTAACTTTCGGTTTCACGGCCACGGTATGCGGTACGCCCCCGGTGCGTTTGAAGGTGAACGAGGTTAGCTCCGGCTATATGATTTTTCATGGAATGGCATACGACTTGATGGGTACTAAGCACCCTGCAGCAGAGGGTATTCCTGCCGGTACCAACGTGCTGTACGATCTGCCTCATAAGTACGGCGGTCAAGATGGCAGCTTCATGTTCCAGCAGGTCAACGGCGCATGCAAGGGCCTGATTACTGCGGTTGATGGCGGTGGTGTTCCGACTAACTCCAAGGGAGATCTCGGATGGTATTTCCCCTGCAATGCCTTCAACCAAGACGGCTCATCAGAACCCAATTTAACGACCCCGTACTATCTGGGTTGGGCCTGTCACACCAGCGCAGCTGCACGAAACCCTTTCTATTCGCTGCATAGCTCTGGAGATGTCTATTATACCTGGGAAGACACCAGGAACAAAAGCCGCAATCTGGCTGTGTACTCGGGCAACGTCTTGGATCTCGACCTCTTGCGCTGGTTCAATACGTCCCAGGTGTCATACCCTGCTCAATTCGATCAGCTGCGCGAGAACCCTGCTGTTCGAGGTGTTGATCTCACCTATTATCTGCAAAGCGGCGATCAGAAGCAGATTGGCAAATGCTTGGAACAGATCATCAAAGTGGGCAGCATCGATACTGACACTGTGGGATGCATTGCGTCCAGGGTGGTACTTTATGTCGCTCTGATCTTCATTCTGTCCATTGTTGTCCTCAAATTTGGTTTCGCCTTGCTCTTCCAGTGGTTCCTGGCGCCTAAATTCGCAGCTCAAAAGACTAGCATGAGCTCTGACGCCAGGACCCGCCATCAGCAGATTGAAGACTGGTCCAACGATATCTACCGACCTGGACCTCGTGTCGCTGATCCTCCGGTTCCTTCGGTCAGCAAGCGTGCCAGTTTCCTACCCACGACCTCTCGCTTCTCCAGCCCATACAACGTAAACAGCCCAAGCGGAAAACAGACCTCGCAATTTGTCACCATGGCTAGCCAAAACTCGACTTCTCGACTCATGCCCAGCTCCACCACCACTGGAACTATGTACAAGATGAGCCATAACGGCAGCGGCGGTACTCTCAGTGCTGATCCTCGTGGTAACCCTGCCGCAAGTCGCACGAGCTTGGTCCCTGGACAGCACGATCCCGGTTTCTCCACGATTGTTTCCGAGTCGGAGGGACCTGGTCCTGCCGGATTCATCCACGAAGCTGTTGTCCCGCAACCTCCACCCGAATGGCAACCTTTCGGCTACCCATTGGCACATTCGCTCTGTCTGGTAACATGTTACTCTGAAGGTGAAGATGGCATTCGATCGACTCTCGACTCTATTGCCATGACCGATTACCCCAACAGCCACAAGACCATTCTGGTTATCTGCGACGGTATCATCAAGGGCAAAGGAGAAGAATTCTCAACCCCTGACATAGTTCTTGGCATGATGAGAGAGCATGTTATTCCTCCCGAGGATGTCCAGCCTTTCTCCTATGTCGCTGTGGCTAGTGGCTCGAAGCGTCACAACATGTCCAAGGTGTACACTGGATTCTACGACTACGGTGAGACCTCGGTCATCCCGCCGGACAGGCAACAGCGTGTCCCCATGATGGTGATTGTCAAATGCGGCACTCCTGCCGAGTCGACTCTGTCTAAGCCTGGTAACCGAGGCAAGCGGGACAGTCAGATCATCCTCATGTCATTTTTGCAGAAGGTTATGTTCGATGAGCGCATGACAGAGCTCGAGTTCGAGATGTTCAACGGATTTTGGAATGTCACGGGCATCCCCCCGGACTTCTACGAGGTAGTTCTAATGGTTGATGCCGATACGAAGGTATTCCCGGATAGTTTGACACACATGGTTTCGGCTATGGTCAAGGACCCGGAGATTATGGGCCTGTGTGGAGAGACGAAGATTGCCAACAAGACGGACAGTTGGGTGACAATGATCCAAGTATTCGAGTACGTTTCCTCCCAACGTTGACCATGACACAAACTCTAATTGCCTCTTAAGATATTTCATTTCCCACCACCAAGCCAAGTCCTTTGAGTCCGTGTTCGGTGGTGTCACTTGTCTTCCAGGCTGTTTCACCATGTACCGCATCAAAGCTCCCAAGGGCGGCCAGAACTACTGGGTGCCCATCTTGGCTAACCCTGACATCGTCGAGCATTACTCCGAAAACGTGGTCGATACCTTGCACAAGAAGAACCTCTTACTTCTCGGCGAGGATCGGTATCTGACAACCCTGATGCTCAAGACCTTCCCCAAGCGCAAACAGATCTTCGTGCCCCAGGCCGTCTGCAAGACAGTCGTTCCCGACAAATTCATGGTCCTGCTGTCCCAGCGACGTCGCTGGATCAACAGTACTGTGCACAATCTGCTAGAACTAGTCCTGGTGCGTGATCTGTGCGGTACTTTCTGCTTCAGCATGCAATTCGTCATCTTCATCGAACTTATTGGTACCCTCGTCCTACCCGCCGCCATTGCCTTCACAGTCTACGTTGTGGTTGAATCCATCATCCGCAAGCCAGTGCAGATCATTCCTCTCGTCCTCCTAGCCCTTATTCTCGGTCTACCCGGAGTTTTGATCGTCGTAACAGCCCACCGCCTCGTCTACGTCCTCTGGATGCTAATTTATATCCTCTCCCTGCCAATCTGGAATTTCGTTCTCCCAACCTACGCATTCTGGAAATTCGACGACTTCAGCTGGGGCGATACGCGCAAGACAGCCGGTGAAAAAGACAAAGGCCACGGCGACACCGAGGGCGAGTTCGACAGCTCAAAGATCACCATGAAGCGGTGGCGCGATTTCGAAAAAGGTAAGTTTCTTTCTCCTCCTGTACTCTCTCGACCCTACTAATATCCCCCTCAGAACGCCGTCTTCGCAACACCCCCTGGGCTCAGCCTCAAAATGGCTACTCCCATTACGAGATGTACTCCGACTATTAATCCGCGATTTCGACTGTGATTATTTTTTTTCATCTATTTGCCATCTACATACCTCCGGGCGTTTACGTTTCTGATTTCAAATTTTATTTATTTCCAAATGAGGACGTTATTTAAGCGCGTCACGACTGACGAGATATTTTTGATCTGTGCTATTTCTTTTCTTTCTCTTTTTTCATCTAAGATTCTCAATGTACAGCGAATGGCGTCTCCCTGTTTACCTAGTTGTATTTATATGAAAACATGGGCGTATGCCCTGCCATATAAAATTATTTGGATGCATCCTTTCTCCGATTTTGGTATGCTGTATGTTTCCTAGGGAGCCAGTGCCTGGTCATCCCAGGGCCCCGGCTTGACTCAACCGTTGCCCAATGGATCTGTGCGTTGGTCATCTCGCTTTGCGGATTGATCTGCGGTGCGTCTCCCTGCATTATGACCCATTGCATATGCAGACAGATGTAAAGGGGTCTGGCTAGTGCTGCTTTTACGAGGTGCTTGGCTTGGGCTTGCTGGGTATATTTCAGAATGGACTCGGCATAAACGTACTTGGTGCTCACCCCAACATTGGACTTGTACTGTACTGAGTACTCGGAAGGCTGGCCTTAGACGCCTCATATCTCAATTTAAATATAGAATCTGAGGACCTATGAAATCGACGCCGAAAGTGACCGCTGTTGACACCAGAAACGGCCGCTCTTCCACCCGTTTTGTGTCAAGCCTGTGGGATCTATCAACTTATATCCTAACTACGCAATGTCTGGAGTATTACCTACTACAGTGAATCCGGTCAGTTTTCTATCCGTCAACACTGCTATTCTGATACGTATTAGAGACCCTGGGTTGGTATACAACACCAATCCCGTCCTTTCAACTGCCTCCAGGATCAGAATGTACATATATAGTGGATATAGTTAGCATAATTGCGACCACCAAAATGTATCCCTGTAACTACGAAAACAGATCCTCTGCGACATGAAAACATTTGGACACCCTAAATCTTAATGGAAATTACGACACACGTGGTATCTACAATGGATTCACTCCCAGGGTTCCCACGGCCAAGACGAGAGGCCCCTTCCTCTCCACAGCCAAGATGGGCTCGGAATACCTAACGGGGCTCTTCTCCATGACACTAAATCGCCCGTGTGGTATTTGTTCCCAGGGTACTCTTTTCCAAGACCTCTACTCTCTTGGCACGATTCCGCCGCGCTTCCATTTTAGCATGATGAAATCTTCCCGCTCCATTACAAGGTCATTCCTCTAATATTCAACAGAAATTTCCTGGCGACAGTTCTCGCCTAGACCTGTGCACACAAGGTCCTTCCTTGGCTCTTGGTATCATCTCTATTCCATGGGCAGAGAGGTGAAATATAAAATGCAGCTGCAATGCCACGCTTGGAATTATCCCGATCGCATCACAGACACAGAAGTTTATAGTCAAATATGTTCTTGCTCATTGCCTTGCTCTTTTCAACGGCCATTGCAGCTGCACTGCCTGCCCCGGGGTATACCGAGGGAAATCTATCCCAGCCTTTAAGTCAAACGGGATTCACTTCCTGGAATGCCGGCGCAGTCACCGAATTCCCCATCCACTCGAGCTGCAATGCAACCCAGCGCCGGCAGATAGAGCTGGGTCTAAACGAGGCCGTTACTCTCGCTAGGCATGCTAAATCCCATATCCTGCGCTGGGGCAATGAGAGCGACATTTATCAAAAGTACTTTGGCAATAGCCCTTCCATGAATGCCATTGGTGCTTTTGACATCGTGGTCAACGGCGACAAGAAAGATATTCTATTTCGCTGTGATAATCCTGACGGGAACTGCGACCTAGAAGGTTTGAAAACTTACTTTCCAAATGTAAGGCGTACATCAACTGAATCATTTCCCCACAGGCTATGCCGGACACTGGCGAGGTGAAAACGCAACAGGTGAAACGGTCATCTGTGACCTGAGCTACGAGACTCGCCGATCTCTGTCCACGATGTGCGCCCTTGGGTATACTGTGTCAGCCTCTGAGACCAATACTTTCTGGGCATCTGATCTGCTGCATCGACTGTACCATGTTCCTGCCATAGGACAGAACTGGATCGAACATTTTGCCGACGGATATGAGGAGGTCATTGACCTAGCAACTGAGAATGTGACTTTATCAACACATGACTCGGACACACTTCAACACTTCGCACTGGAAGCGTATGCTTATGATATTGCTGTGCCTGGTACTGGCTGTCCGGGGTCCCAGCATGAACATCATGATAGCGATACGGCCGGTCCTGGTACCGGCGGGAGTGAGATAATGAGCACAGCGACTGCGACGAATGGGCCTTCCACGACGTCTGAGGTGCCTGCTGTAAGTGTCTCTCTAGATCTCGTTCCGCACTAACTCCCAACTACCGGACGCTGACCAATACAGAACTGTCATACTCACGATGGGGGAGAGCTTCATTGCATTTGAATATAATTGGCTGGAATAGACGAAAAGAGATTAAACCTAGGACGAAATTGGATGTGCTTGAATTCCAGTTCATTTGATCAAAGTTGCCTCCGGTGGGATTACTATCTGAAATCCAATTTTTTTTTTTGCCTTCCACCCCATGCTGCATTCATTATAGCGAACCTAGCGTATGGTAGTAGCAATAAGCAGCCACAATGCTACTTGGCCAAGGCCTTGAAAACCAATATTCAATCCACTGTGCGAATGACATCGTCGATCGCCATCGCCACATACCGAACATTCTTTTCGTTTACTGGGGAGTATCATTAGCAAAATGTCTGTAAAAAGGTATTTACCATTGACTTACGGCCTGAGATGGAGATTCGGCCAGACTTGAGCAAGTAAATGTGATGCCTCTCTGTCATGGCATGTACTTGATTTTCCGTCAACCCGATGTAGGTGAACATGCCGATCTGTATATAATATTAGTCGCGATCCTCTGGAATCAAAGTTTAAAAACGAAACAACTTGCCTGATTTATAACATGTTTCCAGTCACCGGGTGTGCCCAATTTTATCAACTCGTTGAAAAGAGCATTCCTCATGAGCTGAATCCTCTGGCTCATCGTCGTAAGATCTTCCTGCCACTTATTCCGGAGATGCTCATTACCCAAGACAGTTTTCACTATCTCTGCGCCTCCCCTTGGGGCCATGGAGTACTCTCCACGGACAAGATGGCACAGATTTGCGTGCAGTTTGGAAGCAGTATCATTCGTGGCGGTGGAAGACAACGCAACGTGTAGAGCACCAACTCGCTGTCCATACAGCCCAAAGTTCTTCGAGAATGATTGCGCCACGCAGAATTCAACCTCGTGAAGCTCCTGGAAGAAGTAGCGGATGGCCCATGCATCTTTCTTCGCATCACCAGACGCAAATCCTTGGTAGGCGAGGTCGAAGAAGGGAATGATGCCCTTTTCTTTGCACAACTGAGCCAGCATTTTCCATTGTTCTTGTGTAGGATCAGCTCCGGTTGGGTTGTGGGCGCAAGCATGAAGAATCACAACGTCATTTGCCTTTGCAGACGTCGACAGTGTGCGAAATGTCCCTTCGAAGTCGAAAGTCTTGTAAGTGGCATCGTAGTATGGATAACCCTTCTTTGGCACTCCCGCCAAGTCCCAGATGGTATAATGGTTGGCCCAGGTAGGATCTGGGATCCAAACGCATCCCGGTCGCACGTTTCGAGCCAACAACTCCGCACCGAGTCTGTTCGCTCCGGTTCCTGACACCGTTTGTATAGAGACGACCCGCTGGCGTTGCTGTTCGGTCATCGATGGCTCACTATCCTTGTCTTCGCCAAATCCGAACACGAGACCGGAGGCGAGAGTGAGGAATTCTTGGTCGCCCTGTATGGCGAGATATTCGTGTCTATTTACATCGCCTGTTTCGTAGATCTGCTTTTCCGTCTCTTCGACCACTCGCAACGGCCACGCGGCCCCTTCGGACGTGCGGTACACCCCGATTCCTAGATTGACCTTTTGCGCATTGCAGTCTTGCTTGTATGCTCCATTCACGGCGAATGGCTCGTCGAGTGGTGTTTCAGGAAGTGTCGAGAAGATTGAACCCAGCTGCCCTTTGGCTGGTGATTCGGAGATTGATCCCATGGTAAGAAGAGTTTAACAAAGTGATGATGGCTGCCGGGTGTAGAACTCTGTAATCTTTTGACTTTGCTTGAATGTAACAGAAACCCCGAGGTTTATAAAACCCGCGGCTTGTTTCGGGATCGCCAATCTGAACCTTGTGAGATACCCGCCATATCAAGATACCCGACTCCAGCCGGCGTTTTCCGCGTGACTTGATTTCTCGCCAATAAGTTCTTGTGAATCGCCGCAGGTGACTCTGTGCCAAAGGTTGAACGATGGCTTTGAGTCGCATTTGATTCATGATGACGTTTGGTGGTGAAGATATAATCGAAGTGAAGCTCAGTGGAAGCCGATGGCAGACGAAAGAGCCGGAGGCTATGGGATCTGTGCATCGGATCAGGCAGATCCCATCGGATCAATATATAGCCTACGTGTGTAGCCTTTGACGGGAGTAAATTAAAGTCGGTTTCCAGGGCTATGGATATATCTAAGAAAGATCCATGCGCTTCCCTGCACGTGTAGGCTTTTTAGCGAAAGCGGACCTCAACACTCATGCATCCACGTCATTCTGCAGCCTTCCGGCGAGAGAACTTTTGAACATGCAATTCACAGACCTGATGGGGTTGGGTGTCCGTTATTAGGTAGTTTCCCAAGCATTCTCGCCCAGGCTGTATATGAAAAATCGGGATGAATCATCGAGTGGATTTCAGATAATGTTTCGTCGCGCTAAATTATCCGGTTAGTTCTGAGAAAGTAGAAGAGTTTCTGGAAAATTTAAAGGGGTAAAGGTCTTTATCAATCGAAAAATAAAGAGGTAACACGAACAGGGGTAGATCATAGTATTAATTTATCTTAATGGTGAATGAGCATTTTATCTGCCTTAGTGTAGCCTAATCAGGATAAGAATGCTAGAACGGGTATAATCCGACCCGCGGTACAATCCAAAAGGTTGGACCCAAGCCCCAGGGCGAAGTGTAAAGAGTGGTTTACTGGGGGCCAAAAGCACGAGAGGTCTTAACACCGACGAAATGGTGTGCTGATCCGGTCGGCATCCGATCTCCAGTGGTGATTGGTGTGCCTGCCACGCTAAGATGCGCGCTAGACCGGAAAACCATGTTTTTCTGCCTCGGTTGCAGTCGTGCATCGCTTCATTTCCACCGGTGCAGGGTTCTACACTAGGCAGCGATTTCTAATTCCCATGGATTCACCCCAAAAGGGCCCTTGGAGATACCGTGAAACACGTCTAAGCCACAGGTTTTGGAATCGATATCTCACTTTCCCACCTTCTCGGCCTTTTCGGTTTCCTGGATGCCCCGTTGGAACCGCGTGTGCATCTTGTTTGGTTCATGGACCCTCTGCCACGGAACTATCTGCATTAGCGCTGCTTGGCACAGCACAGGCGACCGGAGCCCACCGGAGGTTATCCCAGATCGTCCATCTACACTGTGCCCGGACCCAGGCTAAACCCCATCTAGGGCCTGTAGCCTTGGTCATGCGGCTCTTAAAATTATGCCAAGGGTGCCTGGGCTACCCTTCGCCCACCATCATTGAGGCATTTCACCAGTCCTAGTTACTTAGCGCGGTTCTCGCTTCCCGACTGTCTCTTTTTTGCCCTAGTACACTACTAGGTCTCTTTTTCCCCTTTAGTACCCTACTAGGTCTGTCGCATTTTACCGTCACATCCTAACTAACGCCACCGTCAGAGTGGGCGCCTTCATAGTAGTCATTCATTTGCCCCGCCCTGTTAATCTCGCTTCAGACCAGTATTTGCTAGAATGAACGAAGTGGAGTGACCCCAAAGACGGAGCTCCCGGTCTAATCTAGGGTAGGCTCGAAGGAATAGGCAACCCGAACATATTATTGGAGAAGTCCCCATCCATCTCATGCGCCATGATGGACGGTTCCTACGCTAGTGCAGTTTCCACCGGCGTACACGTCCCGGTAGCGGTGTCTCCGCTACAGCCTTGCATAGTTACGGTGGTCCTTCTTTAATGCAGCCATTCCCTGTGCCCCCCTGACCCTTGTTTTTGCCTACATAGCTGCAGGGACGTTCACTTTGTATCCTTGAGAGACAAACAGCTTCTGCAGACCATTGTCTGCGTCCTCTCGTTCAATCGATTTTGGCAGATTGCCATAACATTCATTTGCCCTTTAGCTATTGATTTTCATTTCTAGCTGCCGTTCATTACATTCTTTGAAAATGGTTTCAGGCAAGGTACTCGGCCTGACCATGGCGCTCTCAACTTTGCTCCCTGCTTCCCTGGCTTTAAACGTCAACTCGCCGTCTAATGTCGCTGTTTACTGGGTATTTCTTCCTCCTTATCCCTCCACTTTTGCCAGTCATCACCTGCTGACCTTTCTGATTAGGGCCAAGGTCCGAACCAGCAACGTCTGAGCCATTTCTGTCAGGAGACCGACATTGATATCATCAATCTTGCTTTTATCGATGTCTTCCCCGAGGCTGTGGGTGACTGGCCTGGCTCGAACTTCGGCAATCAATGTGATGGCAATACCTACAACGGCACTCAGTTGCTCAGCGGCTGCCACCAGATCTGGGAGGACATTCCAGTCTGCAAGGAGTATGGCAAGACTATCATGCTTTCTATTGGAGGTGCAACTGCCTGGCAAAAGCTTCAGGATGACGCGGTTGCCAACTGGTTCGCCGACTTCCTGTGGTATTCGTTTGGTCCTTCCAACCCTGACAAGCCCGAGTTCCCTCGTCCATTCCAGCAGAACTCGGTCGATGGATTTGACTTTGACATTGAGCACGACGGTGGTGCCGGTAAGTTTCTTCTTTCCTCTCCCAGTTCAATAAGGAATGGCCACTGACGATGGTCAGGATATGCTACGATGATCAACCGACTCCGTTCCCATTACGCCGAGTACCCCGAGGAGACCTTCTACATCTCGGGGGCGCCTCAGTGCACCATCCCGGATGAGCAGCTCGGAAATGCTATTGCCAACGCCGCATTTGATTTCATCTGGGTGCAATTCTACAACACCGCGGGCTGCTCGGCAGCGGACTTCGTGAACGGTGGTTTCAACTACGGAAATTGGGTGGATGTCATCAAGAAGAGTGCCAACCCTTCCGCGAAGCTTTTCGTTGGCCTTCCAGCTAGTGAAGCCGCAGCAAATGCCGGCTTCTACCTCACCCCCGCGGAGGTGAAGCCTATTTTGCAGTGGTACATGATCTTCTATCCCGAGACCTTTGGTGGTATCATGCTTTGGGAGGCTACCGCCGCCGAAAACAATGTGATTGATGGTTACGACTACACTCAGCAGATGAAGCATCTTCTGAACGAGTGTGGGCCTGCTCCTCCCGTCGTGACCTCGACCACCATGACCGTGACTCCCACGCCGACTCCCACGCCGACTCCCACGCCGACGCCTACCCCCTCGCCATCCAGCTCTGCGACTCCCTCCAGCTCTGTGACCCCCTCTAGCTCTGTGACCCCGTCGAGCTCCACGACTCCCTCCAGCGCTGTGACCCCGTCGAGCTCTGTGACCCCGTCGAGCTCTGTGACCCCGTCGAGCTCTGTGACCCCGTCGAGCTCTGTGACCCCGTCGAGCTCTGTGACCCCGTCGAGCTCTGTGACCCCGTCGAGCTCTGTGACCCCGTCGAGCTCTGTGACCCCGTCGAGCTCTGTGACCCCGTCGAGCTCTGTGACCCCGTCGAGCTCTGTGACCCCGTCGAGCTCTGTGACCCCGTCGAGCTCTGCGACTCCCTCCAGCTCTGTGACCCCGTCGAGCTCTGCGACTCCCTCCAGCTCTGTGACCCCGTCGAGCTCTATGACTCCCTCGAGCTCTGTGACTCCCTCGAGCTCTGTGACCCCGTCGAGCTCTGTGACTCACTCGAGCTCTGTGACCCCGTCGAGCTCTGTGACTCCCTCGAGCTCTGTGACCCCGTCGAGCTCTGTGACTCCCTCTAGCTCTGTGACTCCCTCGAGCTCTGTGACCCCGTTGAGCTCCACGACTCCCTCTAGCTCTACGACTCCCTCGAGCTCTACGACTCCCTCGAGCTCCGCGGCCCCGTCAAGCTCTACCGTTCACTCTAGCTCTGTGACTCCCTCTAGCTCTATGACCCCGTCGAGCTCCGCGACTCCCTCTAGCTCTGCGACTCCCTCGAGCTCCGCGGCCCCGTCAAGCTCTACCGTTCACTCTAGCTCTGTGACTCCCTCGAGCTCTGTGACCCCGTTGAGCTCCACGACTCCCTCTAGCTCTACGACTCCCTCGAGCTCTACGACTCCCTCGAGCTCCGCGGCCCCGTCAAGCTCTACCGTTCACTCTAGCTCTGTGACTCCCTCCAGCTCTATGACCCCGTCGAGCTCCGCGACTCCCTCTAGCTCTGCGACTCCCTCGAGCTCCGCGGCCCCGTCAAGCTCTGCCGTTTACTCTAGCTCTATGACTCCCTCCAGCTCTGTGACTCCCTCCAGCTCTGTGACCCCGTCGAGCTCTATGACTCCCTCGAGCTCTGTGACTCCCTCGAGCTCTGTGACCCCGTTGAGCTCCACGACTCCCTCTAGCTCTACGACTCCCTCGAGCTCTACGACTCCCTCGAGCTCCGCGGCCCCGTCAAGCTCTACCGTTCACTCTAGCTCTGTGACTCCCTCCAGCTCTATGACCCCGTCGAGCTCCGCGACTCCCTCTAGCTCTGCGACTCCCTCGAGCTCCGCGGCCCCGTCAAGCTCTACCGTTCACTCTAGCTCTGTGACTCCCTCCAGCTCTATGACCCCGTCGAGCTCCGCGACTCCCTCTAGCTCTACGACTCCCTCGAGCTCCGCGGCCCCGTCAAGCTCTACCGTTCACTCTAGCTCTGTGACTCCCTCCAGCTCTATGACCCCGTCGAGCTCCGCGACTCCCTCTAGCTCTGCGACTCCCTCGAGCTCCGCGGCCCCGTCAAGCTCTGCCGTTTACTCTAGCTCTATGACTCCCTCCAGCTCTGTGACTCCCTCCAGCTCTGTGACTCCCTCGAGCTCTGTGACTCCCTGCAGCTCTGCGACCTCCTCTGGAACTCACTCTGTCACTCCTTCCAGCCACTCGGTCTCGTCCAGCAAGCCGGTCACTTCTGGATCGACCATTATTCCTAGCGGAACGGCTTCTGAGACCTCCGACTGTTCCTCTACGGCTTCATCGAGTGCGTCTAAGAAGACTTCGGTCTCAACAGCGCTATCTTCAGGCATCCCTAGTGGCACCACTGTTGTCTCCAGCCTGACTTCCGCTTCTGGAAAGCCATCTAGTAGCTTCGCTACCCCCACTTCCGTCGCTAGTCAGTCTGGTACCTCTTCCACAGTCACCCGCACCAGCTCGAGCATCTCTTCGGAACATCCTGGCTCCCAGTCGACTAGCCAATCTCAGACAACTGGCAATGGATCTGGGTCTGGCAAGATTACATCCCTGGTCACTGCCAAGCCGTCGGTGACGCCCACTCCTACATCGTCCGCGGATGTCACCACCACGGTCATTGTCACATCATACACTGATATCTGCCCTACCGGCTTCACTACAATCACGACTACGATCACGACAACCTGGTGCCCTGAAGCTACTGCCAGTGTGACTAAGCCGGCTATTGGTCCACAAACCACCTCTGCTTCCATTCCGGAAGGCTGGACCACCACTGTGACGGTTTGCACGCATTGTGCCGCGACTCCCACGACAGTGACTCTGACAAAGCCTATTCCTACCACTGCGATGACGACGGCCGTTGAAACTTCTGCTGCGCCCACGACTGAGATCTGGACGGAGACCTGGACCACAACTGTCACATTCTGCAAGCACTGTGGTCCTACTGGTTCGACTGTCACTCGCACAATTCCTTACACCCCCTCTGCTCCTGTTACTACAGCAACTCTTGTATGGGCCTCGGGTAGCCCATCTGGTGCTTCCGGCCCTACCGGCGGCGTCCCTACGTCTTCGGCTGCTGTCTTCTCTACCTCGAAGGGAGCCGGTGCAGGACCTGGAGCCGTGCGCCCGAGCAGCCAGACGCCGGGTTTCACCCTGCACGCGTCGAAGACCGTGTCCCATGAGACTACTGCCCCTACTACTAGCGCCGGTAGCGGAGAGGGAGTTACCCCCGTTTTCAATGGATCTGGATCTCAGTCGGGCCTGATCAACTTCGCAGGCGCCCTTCTCGCCGTCTTCATTTCTGCTGCCGTTTTGATTTAATTCTGATAGCATCATCAAGATGGCATTTGCACATATTACCCACCTACGATACGCGGGCTGATGTTTGTCTTATGCGTCCCACTATGATAAACTTTTTTCAATTCTTGTACCCCCAACCTGCAGACTCCGCAAATGATTTCCATCTATCAATGCTGAAGGGATGTATTTTATTAATTGTTCGAAATATTGATGACTCGAACATTTGAGCCTAGATGATGAATGAGTAAAAATGTTTTCTTTACAACACGAGATGCCTTGGAGTCCAGTGGAGAGACTAGCTAACGGTCGCGGACATCAAATTTCCCCAGGGCCCTAGACCCTTGCGAGTGGAGCCACAGATAAAACTTAACTAGATCAAAAAGGCCAAGAATTAATATCCCTGCTTCACCGCCTCCGGCCCTTTCCATGCCTTTTTTCAGATCTTATTTCTGTGGGCCTTCAAGGCCTCACGTTCATCTGCGGGGCTAGCTTCGCACGACCATAAACGCCTCGTTTCTAAAGCTTAAGCAAATTGGGGGAGGAAGGTCGTTGACTTTCCTAAGTCGATATGGTGAATTGGGCCTCTCCGGGGCCACGGAGTCTCGGTCAACAGTACTTACCGGGCGATCCACACGGTTCCACCCCGAACGCCTCCGAGGATCTTCAAAGGTTACTGAGATTAATCTCGCTTCAGGATCCAATGACACGAATATAGTGTATAGAGACGTATATAGTGCGTCCCGAAACTGGTTAGCGTCCCTGACTTGTCGTTACATTGCTAAGAACGATCCCTGTATATACTGGTTATACGAACCAGGGTAATATCCATCGCCTAAGTATCCCCCAACTAAATTCGTCACGCCCCCTTTATATTATTTCTCGACTTCTTGACCGACTCAAGGCAGCGCAGATCGCAAGACCTCCGAGGCAAGTATATTTCTCTTTATAAGAGACTTTTGCCAATATCTAACTATCTGATGTTTAGACGAAAATGGCTCAAACGGATTCTAGCGAATATACCCCGCCTCTCTATGATGCGAAGTTCAATTGGAGAGCGGCTGTATTTGCCCTGCTATCCTGCGGGAGATACTTTGGGGTCGCCGACGCGAAAGCCGTCATCTCGAATAAAGGTGGCAAATTGGAGCTAGTAGGGCATATAATCAAAACCATCTCAGCACTATATCTTGCATGCTCCGGAGGATATTTCTTCGGATATATTGCCGGACGTTCTCCCTCCGATATGCCCTATGATACGGAGTTTAATTGGAGGGCGGCTGCGTTCGCAGTGTTATCCTACGGGAGATATTTCGGAGGCGCCGATACGAAAAACCTCATTGACCAATGCATCTCACAGCAAGGCGGCGACGGAAAGTGCGGGGTGCAAGTAGTCAATATCGTCTTGGCACTTTATCTTTCATGCTCCGCTGGATATTTCTTTGCATTTCTTATTGCACCTTTCGCCAGAGAACAAGCTACAAAGCTTAGTCGGAGGACGGTTGCAAATGTGGTGTTATTATACGCCATATGTGTTGGGGTTTATGGCGATGTGATAGACGTCATTAAATGCATCTCCGAGGAAGGTAACGGCGGAAAGTGTGCAGGGCAAGCAATCAAAACTGTTTCTGCCCTACTCCTTACATACTTCGTCCCACTTATTGTCGGAGATTTCGTAAAGTATCGTACCTTTCTAATCCACCAGATAGTGAGATCTATTGCTAATCCATTTCATTTCTAGCATCTTGACAATCGTTTCTAGGATCTTGAAAATAATTTCTAGAGTCTTGATAGCCGCGGCCTCGAGATTAGAAGCGATAGCAACGAACCTGCGTGCGGCTTCGAGGAAAGCGAATGAGAAAACCGGATGAATCCATTGCAGATGTACCATTAGGTAGCCTCAAGAGATGATCTCGCTTAATTTATAGATTCTGTTAGCGAAGCCTATCTAAATCTTGGTCATCATGCTTAGGAGCGAAAGAGGCTATATAGACCCATGAGGTTCAAATTAATTTTCTAATACAGATTCTCGAGGCGCTCAAGCTCTACTGTTTGACTTGTTTGCATTAACATGGTGGCACTGGTTTCGAGACGCACTGCAAGAGCTCCGAAGGCATCTTGAAAAGGATCTAGGGATCGTTGTTCCGTGAGGTCGCTGTTCCGTTTTGCAGGCTGTCAATGGCGGTAAAGCAGTATCAAGGACCTGGTGGCTTCCTCTAGGGACTTTGTCTGACTCACTGTCGCTTCACTTCTCCATGATCGAGAAAAAGTACTAGTAACCATGTCGTTCGCTGTGAACTGAAAAAAAAACTACATTCTAGCTCGTTGCCAGTTTTGGACTAGAATGCTATTATCAGGGCTCTTTTGTAGGTGGCTAAAAGATAGCATGGCTAGAAGGATTAAAATCACCGAGCTGCTTTCATCTATGAAACCGTGCTGATAGACTTGTACCATTAGGGTCAGTCTCTTGGGCCACTCAGGGGCGTACTCATACAGTACTGAAGGAAAAGCGGCGAGGGGTGAGGACCGAAAGGGAAAGCCCAGGAATGACAGGGGAAATGCGGTGCATATGCAGAGGCTCCTGATGGGCCTGACCTCACAGGGCGAAAGTCATACACATCAACCCCCTTTCCTGTTCACTACTGCTTTTCTCCTAACTTCCTTTCCCCTTCAATGGGATTTCCTAATTTGGGGAGATGCGTGATGACTAAAATAGGACGGGTAAATTGGGGGCTGCCTCGGGCGCCAACTCCCAACTCCAACTCCAACGATTTCCTTGACTTCAAGTACTTCTACTTATATTCTTACGGTTTTCTCAACTTCAGCTGCCTGTTGAAAGGGTCATCTCAACCCTAACTGCGCCTTGCACTGCTACTTGCACTGCTACTTGCACGGGCGAAGGACTGGCGGCTTAAACCCCACTTCTCGCGTCCCCTTTCGTCATCTCGCATCCCGCTTATCAGCCTCGTTTTATCCTGGAATCGATCACTTCGCTGGGCGACTTCGTACACGTTGCTGCGCTCGAGCATCCCCCAGAGCTGACACGGCGCTAGCCCCAAAAAACGTCTGCCCGTGCCCAGTCCCATCTTGCTCTTGCTGCCCCCTTTGGGTCGCTAACGGCCCACAAGTCAAGGTCTTTCCTATTTCTGACGTTTCCTGGGTCGAACTTTACCCCCCCCCCCCCCCCCCCCCCTTCTCCTGGGCCTCATCATCGCAACGCCTCTGCGCTCTGATCTTATCCCCGACGCCAACCGTACCCCGAAGAATTGCTGTTCCGCCCGCAGGTACGACACTACACAGGGCTGCGGCATTGCCCCACGCTGTGGAGAACCTCGGGCGCGAGTCAGCTGCGCAACCGACCGATCAACTGCAAATACCAGGATCGTGCATCCCTATTCACGGACAAAGATCCCGCGCTGCCCTCATAAGCCCGCGTAACCGTTACTGCCAATCGTTTGCTTTTCTCGGGCTTTGATCTTCAACCCACCTCGTGCCTGGCATCGTTCTTCTCAACTGTCGGTCCTTCCGGCTGTGCGCTTTTCCTTCCCCCACTATTCGGCATTTCCCAAGACGGGACCGGGCTTCCCCATGACGGGTGATGAGGAGTGACAGCCAATCTGAAAACACGATTCCTACCTCCAACTTTACAGTTCATTCGGATTATCTCAGAGCACGTCATGGGTCATGTGAGCCGTCGAGGGTGTCGGCTTATTCCGGGGTTATGAATAGCACTTCGTCAGATTCCTCTAGAGGCAGGTCGCCTGCCTTTGGTGATGACGCTTTCACCATGAGCATGGATATTATGGGTTCCAACACGCTTCGTCCTGCGACCAGGAATGACATAGCTTCCGACGAAGATCAACGCTTGCACAATGTTGGGGTTGCGGCTCTCGCCGCCGTCGCGCAGTATCCACACGCTGTCAACGAGGAGAGCAGTTCTTGGCTGGTGTCTGACGTTGTGAATGCGATAACCGGCAGTGCAATGCCTCCGAACCCATCTACGCCGCGGTCTTTCCAGAATGAAAGCCATTTATTCTCAAATGTCGGGAGGACGAACTATGCGGCACAATTCGACCCAGAGAGTGTGCCCATCGAGTCAGCGATCTTCTCCCCTCGGACTGATAGCGATGTTAGTGACTTAAACCTGGATATCACCGTGCAGCAACTGATTGAGCGCACCGCGTCTTGGCAGACCATGGCGACCATCGAAAGCAACTACGACAGTCAAGATGATGACATGTTGAGAGATATGGGTCTCACTTATGACCCTCTTTTTGAAGGAAACCACTCCTCGCCATCAACAATCCCAGATGACGAGCTTGCAGATTTGATTCGGTTCTACCCGGGCGAGGAAGAGTTCTATAATCAACGACATGCCCCGTACACTCGCGCCGGGTCTCCGATGATGGATGAAGTTAACCTTGACGCATTCTATGCTACAGTAAGCTACAATGCTACCGATCCGAACCTGCCACAGGCACCTGGGAACTTCCCATTTCCACTAAGCGATGACGAAATTGAAGCTACGCTGCACCCTGAGACCGTCGTCCACACAACCAGTACGTTTCAACCTGGACTTGCATACATATATGGTAGTACTGACTGATATAGCTTACGAACGAAATCTTACAATTGATGAGTTCATTCATCGCTGGATGATCCAGACCAATCTTATATACGATGGCTTCCACACCGAAACCAGACCTCCTTCGCAGATCCGCCCACTTTCAAAGATGATGAGCTGGAAACCGGCGTTGGATATCGAGCGGCCACCCAACTACAAACGCAACTTCTATGATCTCCAACAAATACCGTGGAGGGAGATCTTGAAAGTGAAGCGATCTACTGCTCGCCACCTGCGCGATACTTGGTATACTTCATATCATAACCTTGATTATTTACGCATAGAGGGTGCCGAACGACTTCCAACGGATGAGACTTATTTCCGCGAGAAATCCATGCACACGGCGCACACGGCCTCCATCGAGCACTTCCAGCTCCGCAATTTGATGTCGGTGCCTGCCTACAACACCGTCCATTTTGCCGGTCGATCAAAGGTCCACTCCTGGACTCCTGAATTTGACGAATTCCGCTGTCTCATCGACCTTACTCGACCATCCCCAGAATCGGGATTCCTGAGCGCGGTCAAAATTTCCAGCATGAAATCAGCATACGGCCTCACCATGGCAGGCGGGTTCTGTGGCGAGTACGCATTGCGCTCGTCCAGCGCAGAAGGCTCCGGCGCGAAGGGCCTCGTCACACCCGACTTCAATGACGGCATCACCAACCATGTCGACATTATCCCCAGCCGCACCGGCCCTTCACCCATCTGCGTCTTCGCCTCGAACGACAGACACCTCCGCGTACTAGATTGCGAGACCAACGTATTCCTCTCCGATCAGGAACTCTCCCGCCCGATCAACTGCACCGCCACTTCGCCCGACGGCCGTCTTCGGGTTGTGATCGGCGATTCCCCGGAAGCATGGGTAATCGAAGCCGACACAGGCCGGCCCGTGCACCCACTCCGCGGCCACCGCGATTTCGGTTTTGCCTGCGCCTGGTCGCCGGACATGCGCCACATCGCCACGAGCAATCAGGACAAAACCCTAATTATCTGGGACGCGCGCACCTGGAAGCCCCTCCAAACCATCGACTCCGACGTCGCCGGCTACCGCTCCCTCCGCTTCTCCCCGGTTGGCGGAGGTCCCCGCACTCTCCTATGCTGCGAACCCGCAGATCGCATATCCATAGTCGACGCCCAGCTTTTCCAGAGCCGCCAGGTCCACGACTTCTTCGGCGAGATCGGCGGCGCTGACTACGCGCCCGATGGCGGGTCCATCTGGGTTGCGAACACAGACCCCCACTTTGGCGGGTTCATGCAGTATGAGCGCTGTCAATGGGGTAGGCCGTTCGGTTTGACGGATCTGCCGAATGAGTGGCTGCGTGAGGACGAGTTGGATGGGGATGATAGGTGTATCTTGAGTGAGCGGGAACGGAGCTTGCGATTTCTGCGCAATTTGTCGGATGAGCAGCACGATGCGTTCATTCTTTAGCTTTAGCTTTTTCCTTTTCTTGTTTTTTTTTTTTTTTTGCATTTGATACCCTGGGCTCGGTGTTGTTGGCTGTCTTACCATATTTTTTCATTTGCAATGGAGTGTACTACGTATACTAGCGTCACTTTCATTCATGTTCCTCTTTCCTCGTTAGTCCTCGGACATGGCCCTGTATTTGCACCTAAATCCAAATCCTCCCCTTGTAATAGTACCCGGTTTCGTAAGGCCGATGGGGACTTTGGGTATATTTCACCGCCACCGTGACCCACGCAGAATGAGCAACGCATTCGGCGGATCGAGAACAAGTCAAGGGATATAATATCCCCCGGAAACAGCCAAGCTATCAGACGGGTATTCGATCCGTCCTATCTGATTACGATTACCGAGAGTCTCGACCAGTCAGCCCCACGGCGGAATGTGAGCAATTTGGAAGCACGACCCACCTTGCTTGGCAAGTATGTATGGGAAAAAAACCGCAATTCTAATAAATTCCCCAGTTCACTGACATTTTGAGTTCCGTCTATGACTAAATACTCTCTCAACCCTAAAGACATGGCACCTGTCAAATGGCTCCTTTCGCTCGTGGGATCTGCTTGCCTCATTCACGCCGCGCAGGTCCAATTCTCCTTGGACCTCACGTGGCAACGAGGAGCTCCCGATGGGGTAGAAAGGGATATGATCTTCATTAATGATCAGTTTCCCGGTCCCACGTTAGTTTTTGATGAAGGAGATGAAGTGACGGTTTGTGAATATCGTCCTGGTAATCGTGAAGTTGCTGATTTGAGTAGATAGATGTAACTAATCATCTACCGTTTAATACTTCTGTTCATTTCCATGGCATTGAGTAAGATCCTACCCTTGTTCATGTGTTATTGCTGGGCTAATCATTTCGTTCAGGCAAAAAGGGACACCCTGGTCTGATGGGGTCTCTGGGTTGTCGCAATGGGCTATTCTTCCTGGCGCAAACTACCAGTACAAATGGGTGGCTAACACCTACGGAACGTACTGGTACCATGCCCATGATAAGTCCAGAATCATGGATGGTTTGTACGGCGCGATTCGCATCCGGTAAGTCTGCTGCTCGCCCGATTTAAACTTCCACATATTCCTCCTCCAAGGTACATACCTCTAACTTTGTATACAGACCCTCCGCTGACAGCAAGTCGCCATTTTGGATGATCTCTGATAATCCCGATGACATCGAGGCTATGAAAAGAGCCGAAGAAAATACCGAGATCGTCATCGCCTCGGATTGGGATCATTTGACCTCTGACGCATACATGGATGCTTTGAAAGAATCAGGATACGACATCTTGTAAGCACCCAATTTCTGTGACAAAGTACTGGTATTGACTCTACTAGCTGCTCAGACAGTGTTCTGGTCAATGGCCGAGGATCAGTCTATTGTAAAGATCCCGCAGAATTAACTGCCCTGCAACCACCACAGGTCAGAGTAGTTATCACCGAGCCACTAACCGACAAAGGGTAAGTCCCTACGCCTAATTCCCATTTTCTCAGGAAGGCCTAACCAAAACCCAGATGTGATCCATTCATGCGCGTAGTGCAAGGCGACTGGGAACACCACCCCGCAGCCCTCCCACCCGGTCTGAACTCAGGATGCATCCCGAGCCAAGGCCCGATGACCGGCTTCATTGTCGACCCCGTGGCAAAGTGGGCCAGCTTCAACTTCATCAGCGCCGCCAGTCTCAAAGCACTCGTCGTGTCCATCGACGAGCATCCAATGTATGTCTATGAAGTTGACGGACGCTACATCGAACCCCAAATGGTCCATGAAATCCCCATTTACAATGGCGAGCGATACTCCGTCATGATCCGGCTGGATAAAGAGTACGCAAGCTACACGATGCGCGTGGCTGGCAATGGTAACCAGGTGATTTCTGGCTATGCCAATGTCACTTACAAAGGGGGCGAAGATAACCCGCGGCAATCGACGCCGTATATCAACTACGGCGGTGTCAGTACGACGCCTGATGCCATTCCTCTCAACACTACTCATCTTCCACCCTACCCGCCCATTCTACCCGCGGATATCGCAGATGATTTCCATCTTCTGACCCTGGGACGCATCAATTCATCTTGGGAATGGACATTGGACGGGACTTCCTTCCTTCCGGCAAACCTGGATAGAATGGAGCCCGCCCTTTTTAACCCGCAGTCTCCTGGATTGGATCCCTCGCTCAAGATCGAGACGAAGAATGATACCTGGGTGGATATTATTTTCCAATTGGCGATTCCCTCGCCGACAAAACTTCAGCCACCTCACCCTATTCACAAGCATTCTAATAAGGCGTTCTTGATCGGTTCGGGCATGGGGAAGTTTACATGGGGCTCCGTTAAGGAAGCTATGGATGAGTCGCTGGACAACTTTTTTCAAGTCCCGGTTTATCGGGATACTTTCGTTACTGCACCGAACGGCGTCGCTTGGATTGCGATGCGGTATCATGTTGAGAATCCCGGCGCGTTCCTTCTGCATTGCCATACGGAGACGCATCTCCATTCGGGAATGGGAATGGTGTTGCTGGATGGCGTGGATGCTTGGCCCGAGGTCCCGCAGTAAGGAAGGGCGTCGAATTGGCTATGTTGGATATTCATTTATGTTGAAATACCCAGGAATAATTCCTAATACACCCGTAAAATGAACTATTGAAGTTAAAATCGCTATAATCGATCCGTGCCCAAACGGGCAAAATGTGTGTAAACACCACGGGTTATCGATCAACAGCCAGTAGACGAGTATGCAGCGGTATGCCTGCACTACTTCATGGTTCGCAGCTACCTTGTACACGTGTACGCGTACAAATGGCATGACCGCGCATAGCCACAGGCCATGAACAGGCCAAGCAATTGATCGATCTGAAGTGGGACGTAAGCTCAGCCCCGCCGAGATCCGATCGAGGCAAATGATAGGCAACGTCAATACCCCTCCATAACAACCCCTCCATCTCTCTCCTTTTCTTTCCTTCCTTTTCTCATCACCTCTTGATTTCCATAACCATTAATCCATCCACAATGTCTTACGACCGCTACAACTCCGGCAACGAGCGCTCCGAATACGGTGGTGGTGGCTCCGGCCGAGACAACTACTACGACCAATCCAACGACTTCTCTGGCCGCTCCGAGAACCAGGAGTACGGCCGTGAGAACCAGGGCTACGGCCGCTCTGAGGAGCAGGGCTACAGCCGTGAGAACCAGGGCTACGGCCGCTCCGAGGAACAAGGGTACGGTCGCGAGAACCAGGGCTACGGCCGCTCCGAGGAACAAGGGTACGGTCGCGAGAACCAGGGCTACGGCCGCTCCGAGGAACAAGGGTACGGCCGCGAGAACCAAGGCTATGGTCGCGAGAACCAGAGCTACGGCCGCTCTGAGGAGCAAGGATACGGCCGCGAGAACCAGGGCCACGGCCGCTCGGAGAACCAAGGCTATGGCCGCTCCGAGGAACAAGGGTACGGCCGCGAGAACCAAGGCTACGGCCGCGAGAACCAGAGCTACGGCCGCTCGGAGGAGCAGGGCTACGGCCGCGAGAACCAGAGCCACGGCCGCTCCGAGGGGCAGGGCTACGGTCGCGAGAACCAAGGCCAAGAGTACCGCGACACTCGCTATCAAGGAAACGAACCCTACTCCGGCGGCGACGACTTCTCCTCCGCAGCGCACCACGCATCCGCGCACCACGACGGCGGTAACAGCGACATGTTCTCCAACGCTGTGTCCTACGTCCAGGGCCGTGGTTCGAGCGCTGGCCAGGGCGACATCGGCGAGGAGCATGTCGTGAAGGCTCACCAGGCTATGTATGGTGGGGGCAGTAGCCAGGGCCAGACACATGATTCGAGCACCGTTGGTGCGGGTGCTGCTATGCAGGCCCTGAAGATGTTTACTGGTGGTGGCAGCAGTGACGGGGGTATGGATCAGAACAAGTTGATGGGGATGGCGATGGCGCAGGCTGGGAAGCTTTGGGATGAGAAGCAGGGGAGTGGAGCTAACATGGTGAGTCTTCTTTATTTATGTTCTTAGTATGGTGGATTGGTTTTTGATGAGGTGTTATCGTTTAATGGATATATGCTAATGAGGGTTGTTCCAGTCCGGTGACAAGCAGTCTGCTATCAACAACGCTGCCGAGATGGCCCTGAAGATGTACATGAAGGGTGGTGGCGGTATTGGTGGAACCGGCGGTGCCAGTGGCCTTATGGGTCTGGCTAGCAAGTTCCTTTCCTAGGTTGGACTTTGAAGCCTTGACTCAATGCCCATCTACGTGGATCCCTGTCTACCCACAGCGGTAGAAAGAGGTTTATGGATGGTAGAGGGTCGACCTCGGGAGTATGCGTCGTGTACGGTCAAGATAGGACATGGAAACAATGAAACTAAATTGAGAATCGCATATATTCCAAAGTCTTTCTACTCTGTAGAAAAGCCAGGGAAAATGCAAAGTACCTAGGTAGAACGGTAATCCGGCCCGCCCATGATCCAACAACCAGTAAAATGAAAATGACTCAATGAAACCATCATCACCATCATCATCATCATCAGAATCTGACTGAATGTACATGCCGTGGGTCTCTTTTGCAAACAAAAAGCGAAAAAGAAAAACTCGCAACGCTAAGCGCAGAAACGGAAAAACTACCGACTTGCGCATCTAACCTGCCCTTCTAAGATAAAAAGGGTATCTACCACTCATCTTCATCATCATGCTTCCCCTGCATCGCACTCTGCCGCGCGCGCAATGCCTCCGCAAGGCCGGCCAAACTGGCGTTCGAGGCGCTGTTTGGTGTACCGCGGCCACTTGCACCAGATGAGTCACCTGAGTTCATGCTCACGGCGCTGTCGCGAGGTGCAGGCGGGGGCGCGGGCTTGCGGCCGGCTATGTTGGGTCGCTTGGCTGGGGGCGCGGGCGGGGCGGGCTTGGACTTGGCGGCGGCCACGCTGGCTACGCCGTTGGGGACGGGGCTGGGAGTTGCGCGAGGTGCGGTGGGAGGAGGGGGAGGGACGGGTTTAGGTGCTGGTGCGGCCGCTTGCTCTTCGAGATAGGCTTCGGGCGCCCAGCCTTGTGTGGAGGTTGTGGTGTTCATGCACAGCCACCAGCCTGGGATTTGTTAGAACTTCCTTTTTTCTTGAAAAGATGGAATGAGAACGTACCGTTTCCTTCCTTGGAGACGATCTGCACAATCTCGCCGGTACGGATGGACAACTCGTTCGCACGATCGCTGTTAAAGTCGTACAGGGCCTTGGCGGTGGGTTTCTTCGAGGCAGGAGGTGCGGACGGGGGAGGTGGCGGTGGGGCTCTCACAGAACCTGAAGAGTCGCTGCGAGTGTGTGCGGCAGCTGCAGCAGCAGCAACAGGCTGAGGTACAATGCGCGGTTGCGCAGCTGCAGGCCTAGGCGTGGACTGGGGCAGAGGTTGTGCGGCAGGCGGAGGTTTCCGGGCAGCAGCGGACAGCTTCGATGGGCCACTGCCGGGGCCACCAGGTCGAAGCAGTTTGCCCGTGGTGACGGGTCTGGCAGCGACTTGCTTGGCTCGAGGAGTGGGTTTGGACACGGAGCTGGCAGGTTCGCCGGCGCTGGTGTGGATGGTGCTACTCTTGTAGGAGTCGGCATTGCCTGCCTGGGGATCTTTGACGGCCTTGACCAAGGCCAACTTGCCGGGCTTCTTGTTGTACTCGATGCTGCATCTTGTTAGTGGCTGATTAAATAGAAAACGGGCAAATCACCCACCTCTCGCCAATCTTCAGGTTCAAAGAGCCACGCAGGGCATTTGACAAGTGGGTGAAGAACTCGGTCTTGAAAACACAAGTGAGCAGCGGATCGGGCTCCTGAGCACCGATAACCAGTGAAAACCAGTCATCCTTCAGGTTGGAGGTGCTGACAGCCTTAATGGCGCCAATCGGGATAGTCTGTTCGGACGAAATGACAAGCTGGTTGTTGACGATACTCTGGGCCACGAGATAGACATGCCGGTTTGTCTGGAGAATGTTAATGGATATAACAAGCAATGACAGAGCGATAAAACCTACCAAAACAATAATCCGAGGAGCCAGTTTGCTGGAGCGACCAAACTTGGAAATCAAGACCTCGCCACGGCAGGAGAATAGAACTTCTTCGGAGCCTGTGACCACGGATTAGTTGAATTGCCATTGGCAAGGGAACATGATGACTTACTGCTAATGTTGGCACCGTTGCGGATCATCTGCCCAGGTCCGCCGTTGTTCGCCACACCGAGGTAGTCACCCAGGAAGCGACGAGACCCGAGAATACTCATCCTCCGGCGCTCCTTGCGGCCCTGCAGGACATGGTGTCCCTGATCACGAAGCTTGATAAACTCCATTCCTCCAGTCATACGGCGCCAGAAGCGCTGAATACGGATAGCACACTCGATACGGTACCGGAGGTAGTTGCGCCAGGCACGCTGAATCCGGATGGCCATGTTGTGCCAGTAGCGGTCTCGCATGGCCTCGAGTGCAAAGAGGGTCTCGGGTGTCTTGACAAAGACCTTGGTGATACCCATCTGGTATTCCTCAGCGGGGATACTGGTATCCTTCAAGATTTGCTTGGCACCGGACTCCGAATCGCCGGTCCAAGTATAGTCACCGGCATAGGAGGTCTTGGGCGACAGCAGATAGAATCGCTCGACGAACTTGTCAAAAGTCTGACGGTAGGCGAAACCGGCGCGACGAATGCGCACGTTCTCTTGCAGACCCAGGTACTTGATCTGATGCAGCACATTGCCCTCGTTGTATTCCTTAGGAGCCTTGTTGTCGTTGGGCTTGATAGTTCGAATGTATGAGGGCTGCGCCTTCATCAAAGTAGCAACAAGGTCATTGGCAGATGCCTTGATCTTGTCACCCGCAGTGGGCGGGCGTCGCTTGTCATCCTGGTTCACCTGGTTGGGGAAGAGTGCGTGGACGAATGGGTTGCTGCTGGATCCGGCCAAGTTGAGCAAGTCCTTCAGCAACTGGTCCTTGTTCTTATCCGTCATGCCCTCAACTGCATAGCTCACATCACCAGCGTAGTGCTTGATAATGAACTGGCCCTGCCGGCCTTCAAAGTTGGGGTTCTGAGCAAGGAAGTTCAACCTTCCGACGAAGGTATTGTCGGCGGCACCAGAGTCGGCGTGGGCTGTTGCACAAGCATCATTCAACGCAGCAAACACACCAGGCGGCCGCTTGTCCTCGATTAACGAGCACACCACCTTGTTATCAAAGTACTTGATCGGGGTCCACTTGATCTGCTCGCGAGCGTACTCGTCCTGCTCTGCCTTCAGGGTCAACTGGATGAAGATCTGTTGCAACTTCTCATTGACATAGTTAATGCAGAGCTGCTCGAAAGAGTTCTTCTCGAAAATCTCGAATCCGTAAATGTCCAGAATACCAATTGAGTTGGCGATAGAGCCCCTGGCAGCCAGAGACTGATTGACACGCGCCACAATCCAGTCGAACAGATTGAAATATATCGCCTTGGACAGGGCATCCCGAACAGCCGAGGCTTGAACGGTGTTAAGCGGCACCTCGTAGACGGAACCCCTGCGACCTCCGCGCGAGGTCTCCATCATACGATTTGTCAGAGCCTTGTTGACCTGAGCAGAGTCTACTTCCATCAGGTATGCGACAAAGTCCACCACCGATTGATCCGCAATGGAGGCATTGCCCGAGTCATCCTCGCTGAACTGAACGTTGCCGATCCATAATATAGCAGCCAGCATGCGGAACACATTATCCTGCTCCGCCTCGCTCATGCCAATCATCTTCATCGCAGCAAGGGTATCCTGAAATTCGGCCACATCGTCGACTCCGGGAACATCGAAACACTTCGAACGACTGGTGTAGAGGTAGGACTGCGGTTGCTGAATGCCGAAGTTGTCGCGGTACTTCTGCGAAGCACCCTTGGTGAATTGGTAGAAGATGTGGAAGTTTCGCTCGTTCATAATCTGGCCCACGACTCGAGACTTCTCCAGCAGGTAGTTTGTAATGTTGGCACCCACCGGTTCGCCATTGGCGTTGAACTCCAGCTCCAAATACTTGCCGAATCGCGACGAGTTGTTGTTGCGCAGGGTCTTGGCGTTACCGAATGACTCCAGAAGAGGGTTCGTTGCAAGCACCATGTCCTTTGTCTGCTGAATTGACGAGTCGCTGCCGCCCGAGACACTGGCGATGTATTGCATGATCCGCTTGGCGGCTTCCGTCTTTCCGGCACCTGACTCTCCCGAAATAATCACGCACTGATTGTCCTTATAGGACTTCATGTTGTAGTAGGACGACTCGGCGACTCCGAATACGTGGGGAGGGACTTCGAGACGGTTCTTGCCGCGGTAGGAGTCAAGCACCTTGTCGGTGTAGATGCCCACTAGTAAATATCATATTAGCGACCCGACCCTAGACCTGGAACTTAGTTAATCCCACTTACAGTCTTGGAACGGGTTGACAGAGACCAGCACGTGTCCGATATAGGTCTGGTATGACACCGTTAGCTTCTGTTCTGGTCCGCGCACCGCAACCCCGCAGTCCGCGTGCGCCGGCTTTTCTTACATAAATCTCGCCATGTTGGAAGCGGAGCTTCAGATTCTCGTTGATAGCCTCATTGGAGATCTTGCTGAGCAGGGTAAGGTCGGAGACACCGATCTCCTTCTTCTTGGAGGTCTCGAAGGTGGCCTTCTTGACCTGGGGCTTGCCGGACTGGCGGCCGTCGCCCACATCGGCGACTGCTTTGTTGCGCCCAAAGCGACTCTTCTTCTCCCCACCTACGGGGCGTCGTGACTGACCCTAGAATCGCACGAAGGGTGGTTAGCATCTCCCCGCTCCGGTCACTGTTGTTGTCGGAAATGTGTTCACTCACCATTTTGTGTCGGCCTCTCGGTATCTTGCGCCCAGGCGACGAATATGAGGTGGACCAGGTAAAAAAAAGAAAGTAGGCCTGGACCGAAGGGAATTGCAAGAGTCAAGCGCAAGAATGATCAGGGTGTCGATCTCACCTGGGAAAGCGGAAGGCGGACTGCGGACTTACGTACAACGCGCAAACCCACCAAACACTTCGAGGGACTGCGCCACACCAGATCCGCTGCTGCCTCAGGGGCGAATGCGACTTGTGCCGGGAATGTCGGCATTGCATTCTACTGTACTGTACTTCCGTTTATCTATTTGACTATCAATGGCTACCCACTAAGCCACTCCGGTATACACACTAAAGTCGTGCGTGGCTAATCAAAGTAACTCAGCACGCTGTGGCTGGAGAGGGTCAAAAAATAGCAGCACCGACGTCATTGGGCATGAGGAGCCGAATGGCGAATTAACGCCCGAATGAGTTCGTAAGCGCCCGTTCCTTGCGTGGGGGTCTTTGCTTTTTCTGCTCTCGTTAGGCGCCAGGAGAGAACGAAGTACAAAAAACCCGGTTGCAATGGCAGATCTTGCTTAACACCAGGGGATGTTCTGCCTTCTCGATTGACGTTGGATTGCGCCACAGGCCCCTCGATATCAGACCGAACATACTCCGGGTATTGAGAAGTCTTGAGAGGCACTAAAGTGCAGGTATAGAGCACGCACCTTGATTCCGGCAGAGCGCGACCTCGTGGAGTAGGAAATCTATCAGTTTCCGTAGACTGCCCGCCATGATTAGCCCATAAGTGCATGAAGTGAAAAGGGTAAATGGGGAGGATGAAGATGTCAGCCGAGAGATGGAATTTAAAACGTGCAAGGTGTGCTTCGAACTCGCGTCACTTGAATTCAGTTCTCGGCGCGGGGGTCCTATTGTAAGCAGTTGAAGAGAGGGCCACTAACTATCTACAATGACCGTCTGCATGGGAGACGGGGCTTCTGCACATTGATGGATTTCCTGTGTCAACTTTGACGCGCAAGGACTCTAGAAGCCATTCTAAGTCAAGGCAACTACAAAGAAGAGTCCAGAAACTGTATATCTTGTTATTCGGAGTTACGGGAAGGCGGCTTAAAGTCCGGCCCACTCAAGAGATGCCGAGTCTCATTCTGGCCAATCACGCTCTAGGGAATCTCGTTCATCGTTTTCCATTACTTGCTGCGATGCACCTTGTCATCCGGACATCTTCACGATATAAACGAACTATTGACAGAAATAAAAGTGGATTGAAAAAGAACCCCAGGCCCAGGAATCTGACCCGGATCTGCCGCCCCCGAAAGGCACAGGTTTCCCCGCGTGTCACCTGCCGTGTTACCACTTACACCAGCCCGGGAGTTGTTTAGATTTCAATTCTATCCAAATTCATCTGTTATTGGGCTTTAGGGATGTGTCGTGTTGATTTACGCGCAAGGGAATGTTGGTGAAGGGTTGAGGTAAAGTGGTTCTGTGAGGGAGAGCCGAAAACCTATGAGAGCAAACTCGAGATTAGCTTCTGAAACTAGCAGAGTATGTATTACCTGGTCATATATGGTATCAGCGACGGAAGATTTCATGCTTTGTAGAATATGCTTCTGTTGTCACTCGGTATTTCTCTGTGCAAGTCCTCCTCGATATGTTTCTTTTCACTCTAAGGGTGGAGGTGTCGTCACCACCAGCACTGAGCTTAATAGGAGACGTGATAATATTTAAGAAATTTATGAGAGAAAATGGATATTGACCTAATATACATAAGGAAGAGCTTTATATGCGGGGAAGGAGGGGAGGGTATCACAGGTGTTCGCTGCTCGAAGAGGGGTGACTCGATAATAAAGGCACTGTCAAGAAAAGAGGTATTGCCCAGACTCATCAAGGTAGCCAGCGAGGTGGGCAGCATGGAAACAAACTGCCTCATAATCAACAATCGCCAGAAATGCATGTGAAGGATACGTCCGATTGTTGAGCAATCGTCTTATGAACTCTTGCTTGCAGGAGGTGGACTCTGGCCTGCCGGTAGTGCTGCTGGTTGTCCATCAGATTGCCCGACTGGCTTCGAGTCCGCCGGTTGTGAGCTTCGGGTTGCGGGTACTATCGGCGTGGTGCTGGGGGCACTTTGCAAAAAGGAGAAATACGACGTGGTTTTGGACCACCACGTCTCTTTGACTTCTGGCTCGTCCGCTTCGGGTTGAACCTCCCACACTTCCCGAGGCAAGATCCGATGGTTTGGCTTCGGCAGCTCACCATGCTTAGCCTTCAGAGCCAGCAGCTCCTTCTCAAGTGCCACTAATGACTGGATCGCAGTCTTCTCTGACTGCTCGAGCTCGGCCAGTCGCTCCTCGACGTCATCTCTGCGCGTGCTTTCCTTGCGACGCGATCTCCATGACTCAAACAAGATCAACCCGCCGGCGACCATGAACAAGAAAGTTTCACTAATAAAGTTTGCGCCGGATTCGATAGCTTTCGACTCGGACAAGGGTCGAATACGGTATTGACGAGGCTTGGCCGCTTCTTCTGCAGCCGCCTTGGCCTTAGCAATGGCATCTTTTTCGGCCTTGGTCTCGACTTCTGTTTTCGCCGTCGGGGATTTCGGGGTGAGCTTCTTCACCTCCGCCTCGGCGGCAGCTTGTCGTTGTGAAGCGCTCGTGTCGCGGATGGAGCCTAGCCGGAGGCGCATGTCGAAGCGGTGAAGGGCCTGTGCCATTGACACACAGATGTGTCGGAAGCGCTCATGCTCGCGAGCCTGTGCCTTAATTTGGTTCTGCAGATTGTCAGCCTAGCTCCGGAGTGGACCCGGGGATAGTGTAAACGTACGGCGATTGGCTTGGAGAGGGTGCGGATCGCAAGTGAAGAGAGCTTGAGTGTTAACGACATGATGTGCAGCGAGTGAGCACGGTGAGCTCAAGTTGCCTCGACCTTGACTCAGGTCAGAATCCGCTCCGTGACGTTGTTCCAAGCACCGTCCCCACTGCGGCTTAACGTGGTGAGTCAGCAGTGCTTTATCGGGCCACCATTCCTAAGAACCGCGCCTCAAACGGAGGGCCTAATGTTTTTCCAAGCATCTTTCTATGCATCTTCTCAGAAATATATGGGGTTTGATTCCAATGAAATTCCGAATATGCAAATTCAACGTCCTAGAGCGAAAACTCTGGCAAAAACTTGGACTTACTTGGCGATTAGAAGAATAATTAAGAACCATACTATTGCATGCCTTCACTAGTCGGATGTTTGATAAAGTTCCACTGGCGAATTACACAATTTTCCAGCATAGTAAACACCAAATCTACCCGCTGTGCGGTCTGTTGGCTCCAAACTTCGAGCTGTTCTCTCTGTGCCTATGTTTTTCGGGATAACTCATTCTGCCAAGATCCCAAGGCTATCCTCCTGAGCAGACCTTTTCACTTCGGCGCTATCGGCATTTTTGTTTGCTTGAAGTATGACCTGCTGTTGAAGAAGATGGCGAAAGGATAATAAAGCGGAGTGAGGAGACGTATCACTGCTACGCGCGCTGTCTATCTGGTCCTGCCTGTACAGTAGTTATGCTTATTACATTGGTGGAATTTGCTACTTTTTTTGGACTCATTTAGGGAGATGATCACGTTCTTTTACAATATTCCGAGGCTACGTAAAATTTAGATGCAGTCAACAAGGGTCTAGATGTAGCATCTTCGTCAAGCTTTCCCACATATACAGCGATGTTCGTATCCAGTTATACATCCACACACTTACGACGTGATCCCAAAAAGGAAACCGAAGCCCGGAGTCCACGCTCCCCGAATAGAATCGGTCGGAAATAAACGATAACACTATCGATGCTAAAAGCACCGTGCGATCACTTACCCGAAAACCCCACCCTCTACAATACTACTTCAAATATCGGTGGGTTCGAAGGAATTGGTGATGATATAGCCTTTGCATTTGCAAAAAGATGCAAGGAAACCTGAAATCTACAGGAGAAAACCTACATCAAGGCCGAACAAAGATGCTACTGGTTTAGGGGTTATGAAAATCGGAAATCCTTTCAAACCATACCGTTCAATCCACCCATCGTTAATAACCCATACCAGCAATGATTGTCTCTCGCAGGCGCCACGAGGGCGTCTTTTACTTACAGACCTACGCATAGTGTATATCCATCCGATTTAGCCCTTAGTTCATATTGCCTACATACTTACGTTACTGGAAAAGAACATGGATCCACGGATAGTATATCCAGCTCCCCAAGATTGGAAGTTGGGTCAATTTCAGGGTTCAATAAAATCAAGTTAGGGGTGTAAACAAAAACGCGGGTCCGGAAATATACTCCCACGGAATCTCAGACATTCAATGTTTCAACATTCAAACCACCGCCTCGGCTTCGCAAGGTCAATAGCAACCGCAGATATAACAAAATCCACCAGATCTATTTAGGTAGAATTGAAAATATCCAAGATCCCCAAAGCCGTTGCTAGGGCTCGTGATGCTCCACAGTCAGGTGACTTGGCAACCACTGTTTATCGATTGCCGCATTGGGCAAACTATTATGGCCCGACTCTTCACTTTGGCTTCCTTCTCCCCACTCCAACTCCCGGTCGAGTTGCGCCCTGTCGGTTTGTGCGAGCTTTGTACACTTTTTGCTTCTTCAGCGCTTTGCATTTTGGTGCGTTCTATATATCCTATCCTTTGATACAATTGCCATCCCCTGACTCGGTTTGCCGAACTGGTGGAGTGCGGTGCTGACCGTCCGATCGCTACAGGGATACCGCACCTTGATACCCCCATTTGCACCACCAATTAATATTTGTTTCATTCTCATGACCTTTACGCCTGATATCCTTTTGCGAGTTTGCGATTATACCCGAGACATATTGCGACTATCTTAATTTCGGTGCCGACCGCGAAAAAGCGACTCCATTCATAATGGAGGCCCTGTCACCGCGCAGCACAAATCAGATGATAAAGCCCAAGCCTGTGATGGACCGGAAAATGGGCGACAGACACGACAAGAATGCTGCTGGCGCTGCGCCAAAACCCTCGACGTCCAAAAACCATGCCGACCCGCCGCCATCAATAGTCACCGAACCCGAGGACGGCGCAGAGCGATATTCGATTGGCGCATTTTTGGGCAAAGGAGGATTTGCCGTGTGCTACGAGGGTACCCTTGCGCGTAACAATCGCGTTTTCGCAATGAAAGTTGTGAAATCCCACATGCCGCAAAAAAAAATGGAGGAAAAGGTGAGCTCGGGTGAGGCATTGGAGTTGACAAGAACTGTGCGCTAATACCATTGCAGTTTCGAACGGAGCTCCAAATTCACTCCAAGATGCGTCACCCCTTTATTGTGCAGTTCTTCCGCGCATTCGCATTCGGCCAAAGCACATACGTTGTGCTCGAGCTATGTCCGAACGGTTCAGTGATGGATATGGTCCGCAAGCGACGGTGTCTCACCTTGCCAGAGGTGCGACGCTTCATGATTCAGCTCTGTGCGGCTGTCAAGTACCTGCACAAACGATTTGTTGCCCACCGCGACTTGAAGATGGGCAATCTGTTTTTGGACCATAACATGAACCTCAAGGTTGGAGACTTTGGGCTGGCCGCAATCATTTTGTCAGACAAGGATGCGAAGCGACGTAACACATTATGTGGAACGCCCAATTATATCGCACCGGAAGTTCTCGACAAGAGTAAAGGTGGACACACCCAAAAAGTGGATATCTGGTCGCTCGGCGTTATTTGGTAAGACTCGTTGCTCAGCCAGCTTTCTTGGGTTCTGCTAATGGTGTGAAACAGCTTTGCGATGTTGACTGGATACCCGCCCTTCCAATCAAAAACCCAAGAAGAGATCTACAAGAAAGTGCGAAGTCTCACCTATGTCTGGCCTAAGGAGTCCGAGCACAACAACTATATCCCAGACGAGGCCAAAGACCTGGTCAGCGCTTGCCTGAACTTGGTGGACGAAGAACGCCCTGACCCCGACGACATCGTCGAACACCCGTTCTTCAACATGTACGACGGCTGCATTCCTCGCCAACTGGATCCCGCATGCCGCTTCAATAAACCCATCTGGCTGAAGGATGCATCCCCACGTGGCGATGCTATGATTCGGGGTTACGGCTTGGACTCGGATGAAAAGTTGCGCGCCTATGTTTACCAGGTGGACGACCCCAGTCAACGGTACCATTCCTGCAAGGCTGCCTTCTATTCCCTGTGTGGTGTCGGACGGAAACCCGATGGAACTGCTCGGAAGTCTGTGGGTAGGAACTGCTCGAAGTCAGCATATTCCGAATGCGAGACTGAGGATTCCAGAGGCCTACGTCCGATCGTTCCTTTGCCAGATGATTTTGTGTATCGATGGCCACACGATGGCGAGGGTGACTGGTGTTTGATGGAGACCTCGAGGAAGACAATTCGGACAGAGGAATCTGCTCTTGACAGTAGCATTTTATCCAAACGCAGTGTTTCTTCTCGTCCCAACCCTATGGCAACAACACGGACTAATGCAGCCCTTGCAGCTGCACAGCAACGGAGAATGGAGGGTCAGAATCATGCCGCAACCCTTCGGCAACAGGCCCGCCCAGGAATGGACTCCATTCGCAAGCCTGAATCGTCCTCCCGACCTTATTGTGACCCCAGGGAGTCTGAAGCCGCGCCGGCTGCTGGCAGCGAAGCACCTCCGGGTGGCCTAGCCGAACGCCCTATTCGTACTCGCAGAATGGTTTCCGCTTCTGATGCACCTACCCTGCGTGGGAACATGGCGCCTCAATTAACCAAGTCTACCAGCGTTCCATCTGGCCTCACATATGGCAAAACTCGTTCTCAATCCCGAAGACTGGAAGCTGCCGGACAAGGACCATCTCATCCATCTATCCCTGAATTAAAACCGTCTGCTCGACCAGAGGATCGCAGAATGGTAGGTCGCCAGCCGTCTTTACGATCATCAACTCGACAGGACCCAAGAATTGCCGCCGAGAGAACAGAACGGCCAAGGGAAATTCCGATAGAAGAGGCCTCGGCGCCAAACCCATACGCCAAGTCCACATCTACTGCGAACGGAATCGCCCGCTCAAACGGCAAGACCGGATCACTGAACAAGGCTCGTTCCAGCCTTGGCTTGAGTCCACTCTTCCACCAGGAAGACCTTTGCGAGCTTCTGCCTGGAACGTCCGTCAACGATGTAAACACCGAAATCCGCCTGATGTTGTCCAACCTGGTCAACCACGCTCCTTCTCGGCGTCGAGGCAGCTCGAGAAAGCAGCCCCACGCATATGTCATCAAGTGGGTAGACTACACCAACCGCTACGGCATTGGCTACGTCTTGGATGATGGCAGCGTGGGATGTGTTTTTCGTGGGGAGAACGGTCAGCCGGCCACCAGCGTTCTCGTGCGCGATGGCGAGAAACACATCCGGCGTAAGGCGCGCAGTGTCGACAGTGAAGAAGGAAAGGGAATCCCGTACTCCGAGGCAGACCAGCTGATCCCTCGCAACGGCAATCCCGTTGAGTTCTATGAGAACCACGACGATGATTTGCTAGGATGTCGTGGCATCCGGCGGTCATACGTCTCCCCGTCTCTGTTCGATGCCAAGAGCCCCCGTGTGATGAAGCTACGCGTGAACGGCGGATCGGAAATCGACAGGGCAGACGCCGAGAAGATCAAACGTATTAAATTGGTCGATCAATTCGGCAAATACATGATCGGATCGCTTGGTCGCCATGGTGATGAGGGTCTGAACGATGAGATGTCCGCCCATACCAATGGTCAATTCATCAAGTTCTACCAGCGACTCGGAAACGTCGGCATCTGGGGCTTTGGTGATGGTGCCTTCCAGTTCAACTTCCCCGATCACACCAAGCTCGTAATCTCCCCCGGTCGTACTCGCAGCTCCTCGCCGTGGATCGACTTCTACCATCTTTCGCCTTCGGCTGCACGCTACTTCTCCGCCAAGGGCAAGATGCACCCCTCTGGCTTCGACACTCGCGCCGTGGCGTCTGATGAAGCAGCCACCTTTCTCAACATCGCCAACGGTGACTCTATCAATTCAGTCGAGGACCGAATTCGCGAAATTCTAGACGCCAATTCATTCGTTCAAAAGATCGGCTTCATCAAGGATGTCCTGAAAGGGTGGATCAAGCATGGTCGGCTTGGCGGTCGTCCTCTGCCCAACTATCTCACTTCCGAAGACAACTCTATGCCTCCCGAGATGTTCTGGCAGGGCGTCCAGGAGCGTTCGCAGACTGGAAGCCATGGAACTAAATTCGTCTGGGTGACCGTCGGCGCCCCCGATGGTGATGGAGAGTATCGGTCGGTTTTGTTGAAAGAAGGAGACCGAGAGAAGGTGGAGAAGAGGCCCGCTATGGACGTGGAAAAAGAGATGGATATGATTAAGGAGCGACTGCGTAATCTTGGGCCGTGATTGAGGTGATCCGCTGGTCTTCTTTGCTATTTATCCCTAACGATGTTATGACCCCCGCCTGTGCTAAATTTCCGATGGAGTTTGACTGGATCTACCGTGGATAGCGGACAGTCTATAATAATTTCAAGATTTACTCGATTCCCATACCGTATATCAGCCCTGTTCTTAGATCCGGGGCTTACCAGCTCCGGTGGGGTTCTTCCCCTCTCGTTACCTCCGTATCATCACTCGGACTCCTCTCTTCCGCCCATCGTCTCATCTGAATAGCAGGCCGTTTCTGTACCTTTTCTCCTCCTAATACTCCTAGTTCTCCCGTTATATCAGGCTTTTACATCCCCCGCAAAGCAAAGGAACTATCGATGTTGATGACCCCATCATCAGTAGACAACTGGCTCCAAACTGTAAGCTCCACACCATCGGAGATGCAGAACCCATCATGTCTACTCTACGGCCCGGGAGACGCCCGCTTCGAGGACCGACCTCTCCCTATGATCGAAGATCCCTACGACGTGATCATCCGCATCGCCTACGTGGGTGTCTGTGGAAGTGACGTACGTGTTCACCCGCCCCCCAAACTACTCTTAATCAATTACTAACCCAACCAGGTCCATTTCTGGACTCATGGAGGCGTTAAACGACTCGTCTCCCCATCCAATCCCCTGGTAATGGGCCACGAAGCCTCGGGTATCGTGCAAACCGTCGGCCCCGCAGTAACGACCCTGCAGCCAGGGGACCCCGTTGCCATCGAGCCCGGGCGTGCATGCCGTCTCTGCAGCCGCTGCAAGATGGGAAAGTACAATCTGTGCCCGCAGATGAAGTTTGCCGCCAGCCCGCCCGACCATGGCACCTTGTCGAAGTATTTCAAGATCTCCGCTGACTGCTGCTACAAGATCCCCACCAGTGTGGGACGATCTTTCGGGCTTGATGAGGCCGTGCTCGTTGAGCCATTGTCCGTCGCTGTGCACTCGGTCAGGCAGGTCGGCGTGCAGCCCGGTGACAAGGTTGTTGTCTTTGGCGCTGGCACGATCGGACTCCTTTGTGCGGCTGTGGCGCGCGAGTACGGGGCTAGTATGATTACATGCGTGGATATCAGTCGGGATAAATTGGATTTTGCCCATTCGTTTGTTCCGAATGGCAGGTTGTCGTTTGCTACCGCGATTCCTACCCAATCACTTTCGCCGGAAGAGAATGCTCAGTGTCTGCGTGGGATGCATCGCAATGCACATATTACCGAGACGGACGTTGTGGGGTTCGATGTGGCGATTGAGGCCACGGGTGCGGAATCGTGCATTCAGATGGCTATTCATGCGCTTAGGGTTGGGGGATCGTTCGTGCAGACGGGGCTTGGGCAGCGGAATGTCAGTTTTCCAATTTCAACGGTTTCGGAGAATGAAATCAATGTGAAGGGGTGTTTTCGGTACGGGCCGGGGGATTATAAGATGGCGTTGGAGTTGGCATTTACCAGAAAGATTGAGCTGAAGTCGTTGATTACCAAGATTGTGCCGTTTGAGAAGACCATTGAGGCTTGGGAGACTACGAAGAGAGGCGAGGGTATTAAGACTTTGATAAGGGGTGTCGGGTTTGCGGATGAGCATGATGGGAATGAGGCTGGGGATAAGGAGTATAATCCGGGGTACGTGTGAGGAAATTATCATTAGGGTTTAACGTTAAACTATGCTGTACATTCTAGACGTCTCGTTGGTCATTACGGCCCATAGGCCCTCGTCACCATGCCATGGGAGTGGTCGCTTCAATATCTCGTTCAGCTTTTGCCTCCAGGTCCTTCTCGGTAGACTCGTGATCATCCAGTCCACGAAGGCCCTGGTTGGTTTCCAGTGCTCGGTCGAGATCGTAGGACTCGGTCAACAAACTGACCAGCATGGCCACTCCGGAGATTGCACAACAAACCGCCCACACAATGCGTAAACTGTCCGTGTACGCATCCTTGAGATTCAATTTGTCCGCGCCTTCAGCCATGCCTTTGATAACCTGAACCAGACCGGCAGCATCTTGACTGTAAGCACTGGCCATCGGGGCGAGCGCAGGATACTTGAGCAGATTTTTGTACATCTGGTTCTGGAAGACCACGCCGCCGACAGCAACTCCAATTGCCTGTCCCAAAGCACGGAAGAAACTGAACATGGCGACTGCAATAGCGAGATTCTCCGGCTTGGCTGATGCCTGCACCGCGTAACCCAGAGAAGGGAAAAGAACACCCAGCCCCAGGCCGCCCACGAGGTTAAGAAGTATCCACCCTGGAACACTGGTTGTCGTCTTGATGAGACACATCAAACCAAAACCGATGGTGGAAAGAACCCATCCGAGCCAAACAGCCCAGCGATAATGCCCAGTGACGCTAATGAGAATACCCGCGATCATCCCGCTGGGTGCAACGGTGAATGTCTCCGGGAAAAGAGCAACGCCAGAGATAATAGGGCTGTACTCTTTCACGGCTTCGTAGTATAGTGGCAGGTAATAAAGCGAACACCAAAGAATCAGACCTTGTAGCACGCTACCGATAAACGAAGCCGTGGCCGTGCGATTCTGGAATATCACCGGTGGAATAATCGGATCGGCTGCGAAGCGATACTCGTAGTATGCGAAGAACACAAGTCCCACTGCGCCCACAATCAATGGAACGAGAGTGCGCCATGAGTCCCACGGGTATGACACTCCACCCCAGGTTAACGGGATTAAGAACGACGATAGACTGCCGACGAAGATGACCGTGCCGATATAGTCGATGCGTCGGAGTTTTTCACCCAGCGAGGTAGGGATGGTATTGAGGTTCAGAAAAATTATAACAAAGAGAGCGCCGATCCCAATGAAGGGGAAGTTGATGTAAAAGATCCATCGCTACACACATTAGCTCTGCACCCAAGATGGGCTTGTTCAGACATACCCAGGTAACACTCTCCGCAAACCCACCACCAAGAATAGGGCCCGTCACCGACCCGATACTCCACATAGCGCTCAAAATACCAAAGTATTGACCGCGCAAGCGCAGTGGAATTAGGTCGGTGACGATGACTTCGCTCAGCGCGATAATTCCACCGCCGCCGACGCCTTGGATGGATCGGCCTACTAGCATGTACGTGAAATCGTTTCCAACTGCGCAAATGATGGCACCGACGCAGAAGAAGACTATGGCGATGAGGACCATTGGTCTGCGGCCGAAGGTGTTGGATAGAGAGGCGAAGCTAGGTTGGAATACTATTCTGGCGTGAGTTATACCCGTCATAAGCCGTGTCGGGACATACCTGTTGAGCTTAGTAGGAATGAAGTACCGCTCCAGAATGCTTCGATGGCTGTTCCATTGAGGTCTTGCGCTATGGTCTTCACAGGTCAACAGGAGTAAATCGGAAGGTGTAAGGCTAAACCCACTGGCAATGCGACGGATAGCGAAGTTCCATCGAGAGCCGCCATCAGTGTAAGTATACACAATGTAAAGACGACGAGGATGCCCCTGCGTCCCAGAGCAAACTTCTTATCTGTCTCATTTTCTGACAATGTAGATGACGGCCTGCTGGAGCGAAGAGGATCTGGCCTCTCAGAGCCGTGGGAAGATAGATTAGATGCCATTACGATCAACGGCGAGTACTAGAGGAATAGGAACCCAATTATTAAGGAAAAATACTGTGTCGCCTTGTAGAAAACATGTAGAAAAACGGCCTACGTCTTAACAGTTATATGAAAGACTCCCACATCCCACATGGACCCGGAGTTCTCTTTGAATTTGGAAAACGGCCAACAATTGCTCCGCGACCAGCAAACGGGCTTTGTCAGGCCACTTTACAAAATGTCACGATTAGAAGGTCCCAGCACCTGTCATGCCAAGAATCGGCCTAATTCTACCCCGACGTCAGCCGGTGTTCGGGCCAACCTTGTTCACGGGAGGTCACCGGTCGGGTTCGAGACCGGCCAGCCCGATTTCATTCTTCCGACGAGGCTTGCAATCTTCAATCCCTGCGGGTGTTCCCCACCGCGGGTCAGAACGTGTATGCCTACATGAAAAGAAATGTCTGGATTGGCTACACCAAAAGACCCGTCATATTGCGAATTATTAACTGTCCCTGGTGCAAGCACGGAATTCTTCCCGAGTCCGGCATATAAGACTCACACACCGGGCCTTTCAACTGTTTTGAAACTTAGCAGCGTGCCGTGTCCCACCTGGCCGCAGGCTTGGGCATGGGCCTAGAAAGAACATCCTAATCTAATCTATTTCTGCATGCGTTCCAACTCACTGCGAACCACGGTGGGCAGTTCTTCAAGCAGACTGGGCCTGTAAGGCTTCCAACCCAGAATGGCACGCGCTCGCTGCGCACGCCAGGGCGAGTTCATCCTCCAGCCCAGTAACTCGAAGCCTGCGTATTTCTTGGCGCTTTCTAGGACGATTGTCTCGGCCTTGATTTCGGCGAGGTATCCCAGTTTCGTGCCTGCTTCTGCTGTGGATTGGGCCAGCTCGCCCCAGACGTGCTCGCCATGCTCTTTAAGGTAGTAGGCTTTGGCTCCCCACAGGTCGTCGTCGGTCCGGCCTGCAATTGCGGCGTCCACGAGCAGTGCGTACACGTCGCTGAGGTCGTGGATGTGGACATCGTTCCAGATGAATCATCCAGCGCCGATGATGGGCCATTTATGTAGTCGGAGTGTCGGGTTCGCGAGCTCGTAGACCTGGCGACCGCGCTGTGAGCATGGCCCTCGGCTGCGACCTACAGAATTAGTAAATACTTCCGTTTTGCGATTTCAGGCAGGGCAATCAGGGATTACAGTAGATGGTACGTGGGCAGACCAGAGCGGTTTTAAGCACGTCTGCATGGTTCGCTCCGGCCTCTAGCACGAGCTGGTCCACATCGTGATGGAAGGCATGGTCGGGGAGAGTGAGCAGTCCCTTGACCCCGCTCCAGTCATTGTACACCTTGTCGCTCTCAGTGCCGTATTCGTTCTTGTCGCTGTCCTCAAAGGTCAGGATTCCGGTTCCTCCCATGTGCAACCAGTAGCCTGCGTTCCCTTTGCCGTGACCGGCAACTAGATCGGTGGCGATGGCCCTTGCAGGCCCCACATGATCAGAGGCATCTGCCGTGTCTGGGACTGCCGTCAGCTGCTGTGATAGGTTTGGATGGTGGGTTCGTACGCAGAACGATGTCTGCGGCGGCACTTTCCCGCTCGAGCAGGGCTGAATCGTCGAGATCGCCGATCATGACCCGGGTGTTTGGGTACTGGGCCATGACCTGCTCTGCTTTTTGGGTGCTGCGGACCATTGCAGAGTAGGAGAACTCCGGATGCTTGGCGACCAGAGTAGCCAGGGCGTCGCCGCCAACGTATTCGGTGACACCAGTGCTGCGGTGAAGTTAGAAATTTACATTTCTCACTCGGCGAAGTGACTCCATTTTACATCAACACTTTGGTCATTTTGTTTATGCTTTTGATGTCTGACTTTCAGACTCCAAGGGCGAAGTGTGGGGGTTGATGTCAGAGGTCGCAGGGCGGCCTGATAGTAATATCTCGCGATAAGTTGAATATCAATGAAAACAGATGAACGATGGCATTTGCGTGACATTGTCGGCAATTATATCGACGGAGACTCGTCGGTTCGGTTTGGGCATGATGATTTTCTTCCAAGGTTGTTTGGACTGATCGCGAATATCATCACGACTTTCGTTAGCACGGTTGTGTCGGGTGTACCTATTTTGTTCTATGGTGCTTTTTGAATTCTGTTGGCTGGAGGGTGGCTGGATTTGCCAATTGAGACACAGGCAACGGAACTGCATGATGAGTCCTGCTGAGCATCATATGTCGAGAAGGGAAGATTGGGAGCGCGAAGGAAAAGCGAATGTTGAATATGTATAGAGTTGCCTCGACGCGAAGCCTCGCTGTCGAATAAATATTTGGATGGAGAGAAATGGACCAAATACAAACATGGTATATACAAGCAAGATTCAATCCACGAGAGACATGGACCAAAGACCTGGTCAACTCATTTCTGAATCGGTCGAATCATATTCAACTGTTCGTACCCCGGGAAGGGCGAGAATGAATCCTTGCTTTCAAAGCCATACTTTTCATACATCCGTCTCCCCTCCGGCGAACTGGAAAGGTAAACCTCGATACCTTCTTCATCGGCACGCGCAAGGCCCCATTTCAATAGCTTGGACGCTAATCCACGCCCTTGATATGCCGGGTCAACGGCTATAATGTCGAGATCTGTCACGCGTCAGTCCTGTCAATGTGAATAAGGGTACCGCAAGAGCTTAAAGGGGCAAAATAAAAAAAACAGAAAAGGAACAAGAAAAAGAAAACCTACAATAATGCCTCCTGTCCCCCATATGCTGATGATGACGCTCCTCCATAGTCCCAAAAAACTTCTCACAAAGCTCCACATCGCTACTAGCGGGCCACGAAACCTCCTCTTCTTCCCGCCCATCCGGATCGGCGCTCCTTGGCCGAATCCATTTCGCGAACGCAGCTACTTTGCCCTCTTCATCGCGTACTTTCAAAAATACTTCGCGTGGCTGCGCGCCGTTACCGCCGACTAGGTGCTCCATTGCCCACACGCGCACGTCCTCTGTGGGCGGGAACATCGTTCTGTTGAAGGCGTTTGAGAATGCGGCTTGGAAGACGCGCACCATTTGCGGCGCGTCGGATGGACTGGCTGGTTCCACTTCGAGTGTCATTTTGGATTTGGTGGTGAACCTTACACCGGGGGTTGGGCGATTGACGGATGGTGTAAATTTGTGAAGTGACTTTGCGCGGATGTGTGCGCGGGATGCCGAGAGTCCGGGCGGGTCGAATTCGAGGTTTGGGTTGGGCGGTGCGATTTCGGGTCGGAGATCGTGGATGAACTCAATTTTGTGCTTATTTCTTTTATGGCGTCATATTGAATGGCTTAGGTAGTTTGTTTTCTCCTTCTTACTGGGATTGGGGTGTTAGTCGAGTTCCACTTCGGATCAAAACTGGTGCAGCCACTTGGTGATCGGCGTTCTGTGGGGATTCCCATTGTTGTGAGCCTTGGAAGGATAAAAAGCCTCTGTCAATATTTCTAGACATTAAAACATTATCAAAATTATGAATATGAAAATAAGATAAGAAATCCGTGGCCATCGTAGATGCATAGGGTATGGCTTGGAGAAACGCCGCCTCGATGTATGGGTATTGGATTAACAGCATACCCCTGCCCGCAATCAAAATGTAGAGTGCCATTATATGGCGATTCAGGATAGGAAGTCAAGCCACGTTACGGGAAGTATTGTGATGTCGCAAGGGAGCTCATGGTTAAACCTGGAGAATAACCGGTCGATCACCATAGGTCGTCCAAGTGTTGGCCGCGCCGAGTGTCTAAACGCTGTCGACAACTAGACCTTCTCCGCAGTCCGCTCGGGAATAGTGACTGGACTGACAGGCCCGTCATCAGGGGAACTCTGATGACACAAATCACAACGTCTGACCGATGTCGTAGTCTGTCGCTCTCCAGTGAGTTGATGTGAAGGTGGGAGCAGAGAGCGTCGAATGCGCGGGTCATCCGGTTGCTGAGACCTGCCATCGCCGGAACTCTTGTTTGTTTCCATTTCCGATTTGACGCTCTGGTACATGCTCTCCACTATGAAGACTTCTTCTTGTACATCGAGATCACAACCAACTAAACAGAACTCTCGCTCACGTTGCTCGATGTACTCCCGGATGTTCTTCCATTTGTTCTGGTAGGCCTTCAGACGGTCTGGGAGTCCGGAACTGCGGAGGTAGGTCAGAATACCGGCCATGATGATATTAATGGCACCAAAGGCTGTGACGGCGGCATGGCGCCCGCTCGCTGCTCCGACAGCGGTCACTGCGGCGCCAACGATGATTTGGATGCCCAGGCATATGTTGATTATCCAGTTGAAGAGACGGTAGGCCCGCCCGGACTTGGTCTCGTTGTTCACAAAACGCGTGTAGATGCTGACGTTGGGCGCGGTACGAAGAAGATGCCCGCCTGATGTGAGAGCAGGGACACTGTCGATACCGGTCAGAGCGCGGAAGATTAGAAGCTTGTCGTTTGCTGGGATGAGGAGATTCGGGTCGTTCACCGGAACGGCGAAGCGCTTTCCTGATTCTAGGTCTGGCACTCCAGTGCGCTCTGCTGCAGCGGCCGCATGTGCGGCCATGGGTGGGTAGTGGTGGTCTTCGCGGAAGAGGGCGGCCTCAATCACCCGACGCAAGAGGCTTCGATCGTGCGCCCCTTCCGGCATGTTTGTCTGTATGGGTTGGCACCAGGTAGACGAGAGAGCAGTCGAGGGTCTCAACCCATCGATGAGGGAGGGGGAGCTCCCAACATTTGTAGCTGTGATCAACAGCTGGCGAACCCGTGCATAATACCCGCACAGGTGCAGATAATACGAAGATTAGGGTAGGTCTGGCCCGACGCCTCAAGCAAAGGTAAGGGTGTTTTCAGCGCGTCGCGAGCCATGATGGACGTGATCGAATACTGGAACTGGTAAGCTGGGTGGATATGCCCTGCAGGGTCTGGCAGATTAGGATGTACCAAAGGCAGTATCTGGATCATGACAGGTCGGGAGCGTGAAGAGCGGGTGTCCAGCAGTGACCCGCGCACACGGGCTAAAGTTTATGGGGGAGGGGGTGAGCCGAGAGATGATGACCCTAAATTGGGTGTTGAATACGCCGTGGCGTAAGAGACCGGTGGGATTTGCACGGAGCGCTCACGCGGAAGCAGCCAAGAACGGTGGGTCGGTTCTGAAGATTAGGGACTCACGGCTGGATCGCTATGCGGACTCAGCGAGGGAATGTCGATCGATTCCACACTATAGCTAGGACTGAAAAATCCTCCGATTCAGGGGATGATTCAGTGAAGCTGGTTCCTGCTCCATTTCCAAAAGGAGCCAGCTATGGGGATTTGTCAACGTGATTGAGATTGGCACTCTGCAGATGTCTCGAGACTAAGTTGGCGACCCACTGTCGCGGAACGGCTTGCCTTGCACGAGACGAGTAGCTCCACTCCCACTTTGAGTGATCTGCCGCGTCTCTTTACTCTGTACTTCTGCCACTGTGAGGGATCTGTGCACTCCAAACCGGGCCATTTGGCCCAATCTAGATCCGCCCTGGACGTCCTATCAGAGGGGTTTGCAGGAGAGGCTATGCCACTTTGTGGGAGTGGTCTAAACACTCCGAATTGCTCTCTTCTGTGACGAGATGTCCCACTTTATTCCCGGTGGGTTCCTTTGCCCTGAAGAGTGTGACGGCAGGTTGGGTTCGTCTTGTTTACCCGATTGTAACACGAGCTGTCATTGGTTTGGCAACCCGCGCTCTACTCCATCGATCTTCCCGGCTGTTTTTGTGGCGACCTGAGCGAGTTGAGCCAGCTTAGCTTGTCTCGGGTTGAGAAGAAGAAATAAGCAGATTGACGTGGGTCCAGGACAGTACCGGCATGAATCGCACCCAGACCGGGCTTAGGGGGGAATACCAGTAGAGCAACTGCGTACGTAGTCCTGGCTTATTTGATTCTGGTGGGTCAGATGTCGTTCTTTTGCCGCATGCACGTCTTCCAGACGCTTGGTTTCCACGGACCTCCCGGGGATGTGGCTCTCGCGTGAGGGCTCCATCTGTCAAACGACTTGGCCGTGCGCTTCATTCGTGGAAACGGACGTTTGTCCCGCTGACCCCACAGATGACTGATTGGATCGGCACTGAAGAGTTGCCTATTCTTTCCAGCAAAGACAAGTCGAGTTGGATGAAGTTCGTTCTGACAACATTGCGAGGCAAGGTGGTCAACCGGGACTCGTTGGTTGCAGCCCTGAAGAATCGAAATTTAAGCGCAGCGCTTGGCGATGTCACGGACCCCGAGCCTCTTTCCCAAGGTCATTTACTATGGGATGTGCCAGATCTTCATATTACACCGTGGAAGACTTATTAAATCAAATCACCTGATGGATTTAAACGGAGAATTCGATAGTCCTTTCCAATGACTTCTTCTACTGCATAACAAAAGTCGTTTTCAGGACTTCCTCCACCACAACACCCATCAAACCACAGCCCACGACGGCCAAAGCCCAGGGATTGGCCAGGTCGTGTAGAGAAGGCCAGAAGCTGTTTTTCTCCTGGCGCCATGCACGCAGCTGTTGATACTTGCGCGGGTCATTCACCTGGTACCGCACGTCCTGGCTTTCCTCGGTTTGCTTGTCGCCGCCCACAAATCGAAGGAAGCAGTAGTTAGCAATAGGGCCAAGCAGAATGATCGGATTAAAGGAGTCCGCAAGGTTGAGGACTGCAAATGAGAGATGCACGAGAGTGTCACCCAAGTAGCTGAACAGGTATCAGTATGAAATAGGCAAATGCGCGCGGATGGGGCAACTCACTTGGGATGGCGCACGATACTCCACACACCATGGCGACACAGATCATCGCGTTCCTTGCGGTGCAATTCAAGCTGCATATCGGCCATAACTTCCAAGGCAAACCCAGCACTGAACAAGCCAGCGCCGAGCGCACGCACCGTAGTCAGGGAATTCATACCCATCCAAAGAGTAGTATCACCCATACGGAACGGCAAGGTCACGGGAAGCGAAATAACACTCAGAAATAGAGCTTCCGGCAAGAAGACCTTGAACAGCGCCGATTTCCAGAATCCGCGCTCTTTCTTAACCGCGTCATACCGCGGATCGTCTTTCCCGCGAACGAGGGACCTACTTGCGATACGCGCAAACAACCGTGCTCCCCAGATACTAACCCCTCCGAGAAGAAGTTTTTCAGTCCAAGTGAGCCCTGTCCAGGCATCGGAGAAGGACATCCCGGTTTCGGTCATGGGTCGCCCGACGGCGCTCCACCATGCATTGATGACTTGGCCGGAGGGCCATAGCCAATCCTTGAGCTCGACTCGGTTTGTCGTCTCGGCGGCTACAAATGTAGCCAGTGAGAGACTTGAATAGAGGCCGAGGGAGGGTAGGAGTGTTGATTTGAGAATTCCGACGTCTCCGGTTGTCATCTTGAAGTCAGGCGAGGCGAACTCCCGACGGCGGTCGGAGTCGGTCCGACTGATGATCGTTGTAAGCTGTCAACGAAGGGGATAGGAAATTGATTTTTTCTCATTGGAATTATTGATCCTAGAATTGGGATTTGGAGATCCTGGCTCTCTTTAACAGGGCCCATTGTTGTTGATGTCACTCTTATGTAACGGATCAAGTTTCCGACCTGACTTTGAGACCGCGCAGTTCGGCAACGAGGGCTATGATCAATTGGAGGTTCATTATAATCCATCATGTAAACTACATATGAATTTCTTTTATAAGATACAAATTGAGAGCTAGGCGGTGCGTTTCTTATTCGGTGGTTGGACATGAAGTATATCGAGAATGCGATTGATATCATATGATGGGAAATAATGAGTCGCAAGCACACTTGGATAACACAAGTTGAATAATATACAAGCCCGGCATATTTGATTGGTCAAGAAACTGCAGTGCGCAAAGGCTGGGAAAAAAGAAACTGAACGAGAAAGAATTTATAGAATAAAGACTTTGCCCACGCGAGGGAAATCACTCAATGTAGTCGAAGTTAATTCAAATGCTTTGCCATGACAGAAGCAAGATCAACTTGCCATTCGGGATATCGTGTATCATTGGTCTTATAGTTTTCTTTGATGATGGAGATTAAACGTTCATTCCAGAATGACACAACAGATTCTCTGTCGGATTCGGGAAATACATCGGTCTCCTTTCCGGACTGGGTATATGCGTCGAATGGACACGACAAACTCGACAAATGGGAGATGAGAGGAAGATCGGAGGACACGGGGAGGCAGATACTGTGGATATCATACTCTTCCGGGGTACTTTCAAACGGTAGTCGACTGGTGTGTAGACGTCGCAATTTTGCACTGCCCTTGGATCCCTCATTGGGCCCTGGCTGGCTTGGGTGATGCATGAAATAGGCCCTTGGGTCATGTGGAGAGAGGGATGTTTTCGAGACTGCCTCGACCACCGAAGGCCGCTCGGCTGTTAGCGCCGCTTTTGCTGCAAGATATCGATTTTTGTGGGGCGATGGTCCAGACGAAGCACCTTGTTGAGGTTTTTGTTGACCATCGCGACCGCCCGAGCGTGTGCGATTTCTCTGGTTCACCTCCCTCTTGCGCCTTTCAAAGTCAAGTGCCCATGCCAAATCCTGACCTTTCTCCGGACCGAAATCTTGATGAAGACTCGCAGCCCATTTTTCCAGGACTGGAAATCCTCGGCCACTATCCATAGAGCCATCCTGGTCTTGATTTTGACCCGGAGGTAGGTTACCATCGTCATCGGGGGATGTTTGGGAATCCGGATCCTCAGACGCGTCATGTCCTGGGTCGCGGTTTTCCAGATCAGTAAAATTATTGGTGGATTCAGCTTGAGCTTGAGGTTGAAACCTCTCTTGTGCAAGCTGGGATAATGTAGGAATAGCAACTTCCTGCTCACTCTCAGGCTGCGGAGGGTCTTGGGCCAAGGAAGCTCCCGTCGTTCGTTGGAACAAAGTGTCAAGCGCGCCATTACCGTATCGCTCTTTATCGCGCCGCCGTGCAGCCTTACGGACGCTATTCACGGTAGAGCCTGCCTCGGGCAGCGATTCCGATGTTGGCCGGGGTCGGCATTGACGTGCCTCCGGAGAAACGGTAGCAGGCCTTAAAGCAGAAAAGCTTGTCACCTCAGGACTCTCGGGAGGTGACTGATAATCCAATCCTGGCGCAGCATTCTGCTGGCTGTTGTTATGCTGAGGTGTTTGAATGACAGCCTGTGAACCACTTGACTGAGGAACACGCTGCTTTTGTGGGGTTTGGAAGGAAGCATTGATTCGCGAAATGGACCAGGGGTTAATGAAACGCGAGCCTCGGCTTTCGGTGGTGGCCATACGATCGCCAGGGTTGCGTTGGGACCCGCTATCGCGAAAATAATCAGGCGATAAAGGGTCGGAATATTGATTGGCACGTTGGGAGAGGGGGCTTGCGGGAGCAACACTGATGGGGCCTTCGAAGTTGCAAGGTTGACTGGAAGCTATTTCAGGGCGTGTTCTGGACATGAGGATATCAAATCCACTATCCCTCTGGGAAGTGTTTGAGGATGGCTTCTGTGCTTTCTTTGGACTCCTTTTTTGAGTATCTGGCAATGGTCCGTAGTAGTCACGAAAAAGACTCTCGATCATGCTGATTATCATTTCACGATCCTCAAATAAAACGTCATCTTTACCAGGTTCAATGTTAACGTCATACGTTCCTCTTGGACACTTCAATTTAAGGCACAGGAACGGGTCACTGATTGACTTGGCCGCTTCATTTCCCGATGCCGCAGCGCGTACATAGGATTTGAACAACCTGGTGGCATCTTGGCCAATTCCCCTACTCGTGGATAGAGGGCGGCCATCAACACTGAAAAACTGCCCCTGATTATTTGCTTTGGCGATTTCTGCATTGATCAGTTCTTTTGCTTTAAAACATGATCTGGGTCTTGCATACCTGCACCTGCTTTGGGAAGGAAGGCTAGAGCGTCATAGCCACTTTGATCCGAAGACTCAGACGGAAGTTTCTGGACAACACAACAGGATGACACATCTCTCCCGACAATCCTCATGGCTGCATCGACAATTCCTGCATCAGGACTTGGCACGTACATCCAGTTGTTGTTTTCGTTCTTGGCCTTAAGCACTTTGATAGAGAATCTCGTGGTTGGATGAGCAAAAGCATACGATTGAAGAAGCCCCTTGAATTTCGCAAGAGTTTTTGTCGCGTCTTTCAATGCCGTCTGCCTGCGAACTGGGATGTACTTGAGGAAGTCAGTTATTCGCATTGTTGTCCCGGCTGGATGAGATGTGCGCGCGGAGCTACCAAGTATGTGAGCTTCCATATGGATCATGTCAAGCTGCATTTCAATCAAAATACCTTGAAAGCGATCCGTCTCTTGCATACTTGAGACAGGTCCCAGTGACCTCGGAAGCGGATCGCGTGGTGACGGTGACTCCGCCGGACATTTCCGCCACGCTCGCCAAGGCCTCTCCGCGGAAGCCAAATGACGTGCCTCCAACGTTTTTCAAATCATCCACAGTCTGGATTTTGCTGGTGAACGTGTGTTTACAGACGCTCGGGTGATCTTCAGTCGGAATGCCGTGACCATTGTCTTTGAGCTGGATCACATCAAGAGTGTTCTGAGAGATTTCGACCTGCAGCGACGTTGCAGATGCATCCAGCGCATTGTCGATAAGCTCCTTGACCACTGAGCAAGGATCGGAGATGACAGAGGTAGACCCAATGGCGCGGACTGTGGTCTGGGGAAGAGCTTCAATCGGCATTCTGGTCATCGCGGATCAATTGTTGATCGCTCTGGTATTTACCATCGAGTAGGGTGGGTCGATATATATCATCTCCAAGACCAATTCAGCCTGATCGGGAATACTTGACGAGGTGTTGATGATGAGAAGGTCTAATGTGATCAAGATCCATGTGGCCGATCCCAACCCGCTTAGTCATCGCCCGAAGATCCGAACGGCACCAATCAACAACACGTCCGTCACGATTCTTCCTCTTTCTATCGAGCAACATTGCGGACGCGGAGATGTTCGGCAATGATTTTGAAATATCTCGGCTGGCCATTCCAGCCGTGAGCATCCTGATCAGCTTCCTGGCTTACACGTCCCAGTACTTCTTCCTTCATTTCGAGTCCGTGCCGCTCCGGAAGGATGAAGTCTGGAAGATCAACATCTTCGCTCTGTGCATCTGGGTCTGCTATTTACGGTCCTGCTATGTAGATCCTGGCCGACTTCCTGCGAGCCAGAAGAATGCCAATACCAGTCCAGAAGAGAAGGCCCAGGCTACCCGTCGGCAGCGATGGTGCCGTAGATGTGAGGCTTACAAGCCGCCGCGCGCACATCATTGCAAAGCTTGTCAAAGGTTGGAATCAAAGCCGATTTGAGATTTAGCATTTGCTGACGCATGCTCAGATGCATCCCCAAGATGGACCACCACTGCCCATGGACATCAAACTGCGTGTCGCACTTTACCTTCCCGCACTTTTTTCGGTTCTTGTTCTACGCTGTTGTTGGCATGGGATACCTGGAAACTTTGATCTGGGAGCGCGTATCTTTTGTTTGGGGCGCCCGAAACCTGCCCAGCGTGAGTTGATTGTCTCATGGCACTCGTGCAAACGCTGACTTCCTCTTAGTACCTTGGACCCAGTGTGGGGCAGCTTGTTCACCTGTTTCTTCTGTTTGTTGTCAATAGCGTCACTGTGTTGGCCCTTTTTATCCTCCTTGTGCGCACTCTTTATTCAATTTTGTTTAACATCACAACCATCGAGTCCTGGGAGATCGAAAGACACGAGACCCTTGTGCGGCGAGCCCGTGTTCTTGGTGGTTATCTTGACGGACCCGCAGGACAAAGATTCCGAATTAAGAAACAGGAGTTCCCTTACGATGTGGGGATATTCTCCAACATGAGTCAGGCAATGGGAGGAACTAGCAACGTCAGTCTTTATTTGCTCTCGTATGACCTATTGGGATGGGATTAACACTCCTTGCAGATCTTCAGCTGGTTTTGGCCATTCACGGCAACCCCCGACCGCAAATCTGGTTGGGAATTCCCAGTCAATGACTTTGAAGGTATCCCAAGAATCACCACTCATGCCCTTGACCAGTTCCTTACCACATTTTCTAGCTCCTGGTGTAACTTGGCCGCCGCTGGATCCCGATCGCATTCCTTTCCCAGCGCAGACACCCTCCACAACTGATTCCCCAATGATGAAGACCTACACGTCTGCTCGAGAACAGGTTGAAGCATTTAAGCGCCGGCAATCCGATGATATGAACCGCCGCCGGCCATTTTCGAAGGTTCAAAGGCGCAAGCGGTTCCACGATCGATTCGAAAAAATTGATCAGAATCAAAGCGAAGATGAAGGCCAGCCCGGACCTATCTATGGCGATGACTCAGATGACGGTGAAGAGTCATGGCGAAATGCTGACGGAGAGCGCCTACAAGACTTTGGGGTCGATGAGGATGTGGAGTTCTACGACGAAGATGATATCCCATTGGGTGTCCTCATGGAACAGCGAAGGCAGGCTTAGTGATTCTGGGTCCTAGATCCCTACATTCCTACCTGTAGTTTCTCGATACACATGATGCAAATACTCCATCGACGGCGAGATCTTATCTTTCAATGGAAAAAGACCTTGAAAGTGCGACCGCCAAACGCTTATACTGTTCCAGAGCCAACAATTGAAATGGTGCCATTGGTGCGCCAGCACAAACTCTTACTCTCCATCTTGCGAATGATGCCCTCGCCCTCGATGACTTCTCCAAAGACAACGTGCCTGCCGTCCAAATGAGGTGTTCTCACGAACTGGTCAAGTTCATATGTTTGTATCTTTCATTGCAGGTCTAACTCACGGTAATAATGAACTGGGATCCATTGGTATTAGTAGGACCGGCATTGGCCATAGATAGCAAGAGAGGCTTGTCGTGCTTCTTGACAAAGTTCTCATCTTCAAACTTCTCGCCGTAGATCGACTTGCCGCCAGTTCCCTGTAATCCGAATCGTCAGCTCACGGCTGTAATAAAGTTAGTCGATGGGCACCTACATTGCCTCTGGCGAAGTCACCACCCTGGGCCATGAAGTCAGGAATCACACGATGAAACTTGAAACTGGCGTAGCCGAAGCCCCTCTTCGCCTGTTGCAAGGGCGAGGAAGTTGCCAGCGGTCTTAGGGACGACATCGTCATAGAGCTTGAAAATGATGCGGCCCCATTGTTCCACTAGGTGTAGTCAGTACAGTACTCTTAAAGGAAGTAGATCCTAAAGCATACCATCACCATAGTTAGGGATATATACAATATCAAAATAGCTGTTGGCCATGGTTACTTATGTTGGAAATTGGAGCCCTCATCCTAAGGCGCCAATATCGGTCGGCATCTCTCTGCCCCGATGGCTGCTGATTGGTCAGCTAGGCCCATGAGGTTATTGGAAATGGGCGCCCGTATATGCAGGTTCCTCATCTATATCGCCTTCTTTGCTTCTTTTCAGGGGGTTTCCCCATGGACACCGGGCAGCGGTGTAGGAGAACATTTTTGTATGCATTTCTCTTAGAAAACAGTTCTCAGGGGTAGGATATAAATATCCCCCTGAGAACGAGTAGAAAAGACAATCAGAATTTACCATCAATTACCTGTCTATCTTCTTTTCGTCTGATTATCTACCCCCTAATTCTCAACAACTTAGATTCGCAACATCGGATATGAACCTTTAAGATCTATAATGTACAAAATAGGAAAAGTTCAAGTCGGGGGAGCACCGCGTTTAGAAGAAGGGAGTTTTCCGACCCCTCCAACCGTTCCACTTTATAATTCGAGTGTCACGAGCATGAGGGAATATGTTCAACAGTCAATAAATTACACCACATGTGTCCGGACATAATGGACCCCGGTATTCCTCCTGCGTTCTGATAACTCGTGCGCCTGTCCCCATGCCCCAGAGACTCAAGTGGTAGATTCAGTAGAGTTGTGTGATGGTTGGATAGTGGAGGTTGATTCATCTTGCAAGGGAGTGATATCTCAGCACCGACTTCTCGCAAGACCTCTTCCCTGAATTGGATAGTGGAATACATGGTAGAGTATGACTGCACGCGGATAACGGGGAGTTTGGCGCTGTACGTTCATACAGATGGTATTTGTCAACCAAGTTCCCCGGAGAACCACGGGTCGAGGACGACTCCAGGTAGTGCCCGCAGCTGAAATTTCGGTGACGCACCACGTCGGTAGCTGTCGACACGTCATTGTATCATATCGGAAAGCATCTGGCTACGGCCCATGGATTCTGCTGCATTACCAATTATGCAAGGGATAGTACAATACAATACGTACTTTGTACAGTGGTATCGCGTTCAATCGCCGGGAATGCCGGGGAGAAACCGTGGAATGACATTTATCAAGACGGATTCGTCGCTACTTCCAATTGAGAACTCCCCATTGGTAAAATGTGCGACACGAGTGTCTCCACAGACAGCTGGGTCATGTAACATGCAGCTGTCAATAGCTATGTCAAGTGGATCTTGGCGGCCCGTCGTTTCGGCCCTTTCGCTTCCGTTGCGGACCCGGGCGGTTCGGCTTCTTAGGAATGAGCCGTAGGAATTCTAATGTCGCCAATTATATAGGCTGAGAGTTCGGCTCTGATAACATCTTCTGGGGTTTCTTCTTTAGTCACGCTTGCCGTAATTAATAGCTAACCAAAAGGGTGTTTGTTGCTTGTCTTTGTGGAGCTCAGGTGTCTTCCAGGGGATGTCACTATGTCTGATCGCAGATCAGTGCAACCTAAGGCTTCAAATACATTGTCTACTATGTGTGCTTTCAATTTATCATTGAAGTGACAGGCATGCGCAGTAATATTTCATGTAATCAATCAGTTCACGCAGCTATTAGTACTATAAACTACCTATCGATGCAGCAAATCCATTCCACCTTTACATCCTTTGCGCCAGTGTTAGCAATTTGCTTCCTTTGGGTCGTACCAAACATCTGAATGAAAGGTTCCTTAGAAGACTGTTTTCGACTCTCAGCCATGGTTCAGCGAGTTGTCTTGGCTGGAACTGGCATTGCCTTGTGGAGAGCACTCTTGGTGCCATCTGCAGCTCTCTCTTCGGAGGCGTTTGACGTTTGATTAGATAGTCTGTTGCGCAATTTGCTCCAGGTGTAAGCGATGTTTGCGACGTTGGGCAAATTGGGGTTGTCTCCGCCTCTGGGAGGAATAGACTCCTTGTCCAGAATGCCCGCTTGAATCATCTCCTTGACACTTGGATCGATAACAGCATCATTGGGCAAGTCCCGTGGTGCTCCCAAGTTTGGAGGCAGATGGCGCGGGATCCATTTGCCATTCTCCAGCTCAAGACGGGTGAAAATTGGCAGGATTTCTGACGATGGTATTTTGTTAGCTGTCTAGACCCAATTGCAAAAAGAAAGAAAAAGAGCAAGAAAATGGAAAACATACCAAGGATCCACCAAAGTAGAACCATAATGAACGGGGTACCATGACCGAATCGGAGGGTATCATGGGGCTGATTAGTCTTCCTCCGAAGTGAGAACGCATCAGTGCCAGGTTCCTCCTTTCCGGGGAATGCGTTTTCAGCTTTCGATACGTCGTCCACATTCAGAGTCTGGAATTGCAATTTACTCTCCGATCCCTCGAGGTTGAGCACCTCTTGAAGCATCCAGTTCAAGGCCGTGTCGGAAAGTAAATGCTTTTGGCCCTTTTCGAGTCCATAACCACCGCCGATGTCGCAGTGATTACCAGCAAACCAGACCTCTTTAAGGTCAACAGGTGGGCCATCCGGATCAATGTGGAACAGAGCTGGCTTAAACTTCAGCCTTCTCTCATGGATGGCCACGGCATGCCGGATGTATTGTGCTGGTGGGTTTGCAATGACCTTGTAGGATTTGCGGAAAAGCGGAATTTCAAATTGACCCACACTGTTGACACAGTCGAAGAGGCCAAGGAAGTGGATTCCAACATTTGGCCGGCAAAAGGTCTTGTTGAAATTCAACATGTAAGCTTTTAGCTTGTCATCGTTTTCGGTCTGAGGATCGTTGCCACGTGATTGTTGGAAGTCGCTGAATGTATCCCAAGCGAATTGGACCATTTCCTCATTTCCCTTCGATAAGAGACCCAGATCATGTATCATCTCAGCGAGGAACCGGGCCGTATAGGCGCCACGAGAAAAACCGAAGATGTAGATGTGGTCTCCCGCTTGGTAGTAACGCATGACGAAGTGGTAGCCCGCCAAAACATGCTGTTGGAAAGAGGTACCAACTGCCTGGTCGACTGTAGTGATGATACTTGACTTGACTTTGGGCAAGATATTCCCGCTTGTCGCACTGTTACCTTGACCTTTGATGTAGGTACCAATCCCCGCTGCCCAAGTGCTTAGCTAAAAAGATACGAACAAAGGACTGAGTTGGCATCTCACGTTGGTAATAATGGAATTGACCTTCCTTGTGTCGATCAAGCATCTGATAGATCTTCACAATATTGGTGTCTGACTCATTGCCCTGGAAGTGGTTTCCGGTGCCATCAAAGCAAAGAATAATCCGGCGTGGGCTAGATGAAGCATTTTTAGAATTTTTGGTTTCGTTGGTTGCGTGAGGCATAGTGGGCAAGTATGGGCTTCAATACTGTGCCAAGGTGGACTTTGGTATTTGAACGAGAAAAATTCTTGAACAAGGGTAGATTACACATAACTAGAGTGATAAAGGGCAGCCATTCCATCCAGTATATATGACTTGCCCAAGAAAGAAGTCTCTGACCATGCATATGTGCACAAGCTTTGTACGACGCCCAAAAACATGCTGGCAGGCCCCATTTGGTGAAAGTTTTACCTTTTTGCGCACCATCATTCCGTTTTCAGCTATGTGAACCTTAATGATCAAGCGTTGAAAGAGCAACACAATCTGCTATGATCCGTGCATTATCAGCTAGATTGAAAAGTTGAATTAGAACAACAGTGCCAGGGGTCGATGATCCTAGGAAACGCGGAACTCTCGCATGGCGGGCTGCGAATGTGACATATTGGGAGTTTGTCCATGGGCTATGAGATCATCGATAATCCCTTTCGAATAGTCTGGGCGGTGAACGATGAAGCTCAAAATGAGTGAATAATGATTAATTTTGTAACATTTGGTCTTCTATTGGCTTGGTAGTTAACATGTGGAGTTCAATTTGGACATTGGTACTATGTAGCATCAGAACGCAAGCGTCGTCCCCAGTCTGTTATCGCTAGGAAAAGCTACAACTGTTTATCGTCGATCACACGAGGATTTTTCTGGATATTGCCAAAAAGGAAATGCCGTGCGACCCAATGTTGGTGATGTCTTGGATCCATGACCAAATGCATCACTGTACGTCAAGGTAGAAAAATACGTACAGTTACCATGAAAATACTTAAAGTTACGACCTATGTCCATTTCCAAAAAGATCCTTTCAATTCAACTCATTGAAAGGCTCTCGAACGCCTTTGATTCTTCAATCTCTCTGTTAATAATTGCCACTTTACATTCCCTATCACAATCTCCCCCCAATATGGGACTTCCCGATGCTATCCCTCAAACATCCCCGGGATCCTCTTGGAATCCTCTGAACTGGGCTCCAAGTCTGCCTTCTCCGTTCAAGCGTGAGTATATGACATCAACCAAACACCGGAACGGTCTATACTAACTCGTGAGTTTAAGTTGCGCTTCATGGATTCTCTTCCCTTCCTGGATTGTTCTCGCTCCCCGAGGCCTCTCTCTTCGGAACCAAGGATCAAGCCTGGTTGAAATCAATGCTCACAAAGCTTGGCCTCAGTGGAGTTTTGACTACGGTTTTTAGTTACTTCCTTTATGCCGCTTACTTGAAGTTCGTCAAGAAGGATGATAAGGGCGTTCTGGACTTGCTCAAGAACAAGGTTTCCGAAGATGTCAACAAGATCCCTGGAATCGGCATCCTTAGAAAGGTCCCTCTCTTAGGAAAGCTCATACCGTCACCTGAAAGTTTGATACGTGTGCCTAAAGGCACACAGTCAGCTTTGAGTAGTATTTCTGGAATCGCACCTGGCATATCCTCGAAGCTCAACCCGGCCAAATGGAAGATTTTTAACAAGAAAAAGATCGCCGAGCAAGAAGATGATGAGAACTACCAGGCGGGAGAGCCGTACGGTGATTCTACTGCCATGGCCACGGGAATCGCCACTGAT